ACATGCTTCAAAGCCCAACTTTCGTGGCTCTTCTGGAAGTACCGTCGAGGGTCGCCCCTATCGGAGCGCCACACACATTGCCGTCTGAGAAAGCCTCCATGCTGAGCTGCTGGATGTTGAGATCATGTAGATGTTGAGATCATGTAGATGTTGTGTTATGACCATGTCAAAAACTTGATAGGCCCATGCCAGTTTGATGAGTAATGGCCTTCGCCTATGGGGGGGTTTGAGGGGATTTGATGTCTAGAGGGGTAAAACCCTTTGGGGTTTGCACCGAAGCACAAAACGGCCCTGAGGCAGCTGGATTTGTCAATTTGATTGAAGCAGCTTTCGCACTTCGCACTTAAGAAATTCTAAATGAGGCGACCAATATCAAATGAATGGCATGCGGCTGCGGCCGTCACGGTGCTCGTCTGCGTGTCTTGCATGGCGCTCACATTGGCCGCAGATGAGGGCAAGGCAAGCTACTTTCCTATTGCCAACCCTCCACACTACTAAAATCGTTGAGTGTTTGTAATCGACATCATAGGCACAAAGCTACAGGCGAGTGGCGCCGTCTCTTATCGCTGTATGACACAATGCGCCACCTTCCTGAAATTTCTTGAAGCGGGTCTACTCAATGCAGGCCCCTGATTTGCACTACAGGTCAGCCACCGCAGACTACTGCAGCAGAACGATGCTGGTCTCCCCTCACCGGTGAACTTTCAGGGGATCCTCGGCAAGGGTCTGATAGACATGGCCGACAACCTGAAGACTTTCTTCAGTGGCAACCAGCAGGCACAGGTCCAGACGACGGACGCTACATCAGCGACAACGCCTACCTCAGGTATGCTGTGTTAAGACTCAGACATCTCCGGAAACCCCTTGGATTGACGAGCTCGATATTGTGGAGGGAAGTTGGCGTTGTGACGAACCTGCGATTCGTCTTTTACGCACCTGCGGCCGCCTGTACTACACGCTCACCATTCCTTCGATGTCGGACGAGCACAACGTCATCTCCACGATATTGACGTTGCCGTGCAGATCGTTCCACATTCCTGAGCCGCCTGTACAGACCAGGCGCTCCCAACAAGACCACAGCGTACCCACCTGCTCAGGTACCACACTGCACGTTCTCCACTTGCCTTGCTGCCAGATCCTTCTTTGCCACGTTCATACCTTCAAGATAGCCTGGGTTTCTTATGTGCACGGTCAGAGGCTGGCTGCAGCATCTTTGTCAGCTCTCAGCCACCTCCTTTCGGCTGCACCAGTGCTCTGTCATTGAAACATTCCCCAAAGCCAGCAACATTTAATGAGATTCTCCTCAGGCACCGAGGCTGGCTGGCAGCATGATGTCAGCACTCAGCCACCTCCTTTTCGGCTGTGCCTTGTGACCTGTGGATGTAACATCACTCAAAGACAAAACCCATTTCATGGGGTCCTGCGCAGGTAGCAGGGCTAGCTGCAGCACTGAGTCACCTCCTTTTCAGCGAGTGCCCTGTGTTTGTAATCTTACGCAGAAGCCAACACCTATATATAGAGGATTCTGCGCAGGCACCGCGGCCAGCCGAGGCACCTGCAGTAGTGGGCGCTCTGCTGAAGGGAGCTCCAGTGGCTGCACCCATCAAAAACACCCACCACGCAGCACACGCCCCGGCCGCCTCTGAGGGAATCATTGTGATCGGTGCGAACTCTCTTTCCTTCTCTTGACACCGCTGACGTACTCCAAAGATGGCTAATACTGCCATTACAAGGTCGGCAAACCCCGAGTGAGAGGCCACAGAGCAGAGATGCAGAGCGCCTGCCAGGCCTCTGCTCGCATAGTTTCTTCGTGATGTTCTTCAGTGTACTTGATTTGGAAATGCTTGCAGTACTGTTCATGTCGAAGGTGAGCGTTTAGGTTCTTTCAATGTGCTGTCTGGCAAAGAGAGGGAGGTGCTTTTGCAGTGTTCATAGGATCAAGATTCAGGGTTTGACAGGGGATGGGCAAAATCCCACATCTGCCCTGAGGCCAGGTCAAAAAGGGCATAGCCCCCAAAGTTCATGCCGACGATGTTAGGATTCTGGAGAGTCACCCCTATCGCCTAAAATTAGGCGACCCGGGGATGACCCGGGAATACCAAACGACTCGCAGAGAGGAGGTTCTACTGGTAACATTTGCCCTTTGCATGCATTCGCATACAGCAACAATGACATCTCTTGCTGTGCATGCAGGTACACACGGGCCGTACCTACACGCGCCTGCGCCGGGGCCGTCCATCGACATTTCCATCAACGTGCCGAGTGTTGATGAGATCCTGCGGCGCCTCAACCACACCCGCCCTCAGACACACCCCCTCAAGGTCGCCCGCCCCCCAACGGCCCCCCATCATACCCCCAACGCCACTGCCAAGACCCAGGTGTGTTACCGTCTGAATTCCCAAGTACCATTTCTATTTCTTAACACTTTTTCACGCCTTTTTTTTGCCACAGGCAAGGTGCCTTTGCGAGCAAGCTGCGTGTAAAGGCTGCCAAAATCCTAGCCCTTGTTGGACTTGCCAGATCCCAACTAGTGTCTTTGCAAACCGCCTGTTGTTTTTGCCATCTAATCCTGCCAGAAGGCAAGATATTTTTCATGGCTTGCCCACTCAAGATTGCACTCTGCAATGTGCATCATGTCCCAAATGCAGCAGTGCTGGTTCTGTCAAGAGAGGCAACTGTTCTTTATCGCAGTAAAGGTCAAAGCATGGTGTGGCACAATGGCAATTGTCAAGCAGTGGCATTAGACAAAGTTGTTGTGGTGTTTCTGCAGGCATTCCGGCAGACAGCGCTACCCAGGAAGAGCGTGTTCAAGGCTGCAAATGTCAAAGCCATGTTCGCCCTGGCCCCAGGTATGTCCCACACTCATCTCTCTGACAAGATACTACCGTTTTGCCTGCGACCCACATAAAAAATTATCTAGATGCTGTGCAATTTGTTCTTAGAGCTCCCAACAGGACTGGGCTAGGTCCATAGCACTGCAGCTGCGGTGCTGCTTCAACTCGCAGAGTGCAAGCAGGCAAAGTGCTTGAGGGTTGCATAGATGCACTGGAGTGTTGTGTGATGTCATGCTCAGCACTGACTCTGGCCGTTAGACGCAGGCATCTGATCAGCTGTAGTTTGGCTGGAAGCAATAATATCTGTCTGACCGCCCTATCTGACTGACTGGATCAAGGGGCTGAAGGGATTCTTTATGCGGATGTGCAGAGGCGTCCGCGGCTGCCGAGCCCCTGCCGGCAAAATTCCCCGAGTCGTTGGGCCTCGCACCCGCACCCGCTGCCTCTCTGCAGCGCAGGCTGCTCGAGGGCTCTGACTCCTCCAACCCCTTTGATCTAGCCCAGCAGGTATCTAATCACATGCACCTGATCCCATTTACAGCGCTCCTGCGACCCACTGTCTTCTTGAGAATGGGCACCCCATCCGAGTCCAGAGTCACCGTTGCATCTCATCAGACAATCGAGACTTTTTATTGTGTGCATGTAGCATCACCCAAATGCGATAGAGACACTCAGTACAACGGCAGGGATGTTCAATACCTTGGTGCAGAATAAAAGCAGCATGCTGCTTTCAGGCATCCCCAATGTGATCTGATGAGTGCTGAGAAATCCGTGCTGCATTGCGCGCACAGGCCGCAGCAGTGAGGTCGGACTTTGAGAAGTTCGAGGCGAAGCAACTGCAGCAGCAGGGGGCAGCGGGCAGCTCCCCGGGCAGGTCCGAGCAGGTTGTACCCCCTGCCCGGGGGGACCCATCGGTGAAATTCCCCGGCACTGTCCTCCCCACCGCCCCCCTGCCGGGGCCCCCAGCGGCCATCGGACAGCGCGGAAATCCTGCCGCCGTCTTCTCGGCGCCGATTGTTGCCCCGGCAATGGCCCCTGGCTCCGATGTCGAAAACCCCGCCGCCCCTTTCCCCGGCATCACCAAGGGGTCACCAGGTGAATTACTTCCCTCTGCCATCCTTTACCCAGCAGGATGATTAAAGAGAAGTTCTATGTCATTCCATTTAGTATGTGCCCAGGAGGCTGCAGGGTACAACTCTCAGGTGCACAGCGTGGGTATCTGCAAAGTCTCTGTGCCTGAAGGATGGCTCTTTGAATGAGCACCAATGCCTGGGCTTGGCAACATCAGATTCCCCTGCCTTGCAGTGTCCATTGATTTGCGCAGACAAATGGAAGCCGCTGCGATGGAGCTGATGCAGCTCTTATGCCTGCAGGATTCGCCATGGCTCCTGCCCCAAAGGTCTACCTGGATTGATGAGTGCACCCCTACCTCACCACTGACTGGAGGCCTCCAATTGGTTTGTTGGCATCTTCACTAGCCTAGCAGAGTCGCTATCCTGTCCCACAAGCAATCCCTTGGGTGGCAAGGGAACAAAAACGACAATGATGATTCAGGGTGTCCCTTTCGGTTCTGCTGATTCTGTGAGAAAGTCAACCAGTGATTTGATCGGAGAACGCTTCAGACCAGTGTTTGTGTGGGTTTTACTTGCGGGCTTGTTGCATTAGGAAGCAAAAGGAAAATTGATGTGTTGCAACTTAACGGATTGTCTTGCACATTCAGCATGCTTTAATGTTTTAAAGTTCCAGGTAGTTCCCATTGGAACTAGTAGATGCAGGAAGTCCACGTAAGGCTGACTGCCAACCTGTGGCATGGATTTTGCCAGGACGTTAATCTATTGTGATGTAAAGAGCAAGCTGTTGACTCCACTCCAGTCATCTCATGATCATGCACATCATCACTTTCTGATCGCCCATGTGAAGGCCGGGTGTTGGACTCTTTCACGAGGCCACCATGGCTAATGCGTTCCTACACATGCTGTAGTTCGACATGTGTGCTTTTATAATCCAATGATGGTGCCCGAAAGGCTTGTTGGGGATGTCAACGATTCAAGTCCAATGAAAGCTTCTGCATGAATAAGAGACGTCCAAATTTGGCTCCCCCCTGCAAGGCAACTCTAGAAACGCTTCTTGTGATCCATTTATACAACGTTCTGCAGTGTCCAGGTTGTTATAAGTGCTTTCATTGATGCAGCGTTACCGGCAACCACATACATCGTGAGATCATCTTAAAGATAAGGGACATCCTTAGGATCTAGGAAGCGCAGAGCCAAAATGACGGTAAGTTTTCTCTTAGTGGCTTGCTCGGACGTGATTTTTTGAAACCAACTGTGCTAATAGGATGATTCTGTCCTTCCTTGAACGGGGGGTATGATGCATCTGCGATCTATGCCTGCCGGCTGAAACGGTCTCATCAACGAGTATGCAAGTATTACATCAATGCATGCAGTCCCTTATACATGTGAAACTTATGTTACTCTTTGATCTTTTATTTCAAAGTATGCTTTTGCAATACACCGCGAAGGCTTTGTGCTGCACGATGCTGAAACTTTGCTGATGGGGTGCACCAGACTCACACGAATGTGTTACAAGCTGGCGCAACGGAAGAGAAGGGAGAGACTGCCAGGATGGTACGAATAAAAGTATCCCATGCCGAGTATGTTTAGTGAACCGAGTTGACGATGGTCACTTGATCTGATCAACTGGAAAGTGGCTAATCTATGTATCTTTTGAGCTTTCAAGGTGTCCCATTGGTGCTCTTTTCTTGATCAAAGCATAATTTGTTGTTGTTTATCATTAGTGAAGTGTGCCTGTCGATGCCTCTGCAGGCAGCCTTTGTGGGAGCGATGGCCATTGCAGACCTGGTGAAGACCACGTTAGGCCCGAAGGGCATGGTGCGATCTCAACATGTTGCCACCTGTCTATTCGCAGGGCTTTCAACCTTGAGGGATCGCATAGCTCTGTCATGACACAAAACATATCACATGTTTTCCAGAGATGCTGCGAGACACTGGGATCTGAATATCAGAGGGTGTTTTCAAAGAGCACAGCTTGACCAGGATGTATTGCTGCGCTGCAGGACAAGATCTTGCAGAGCATGGGGCGAGGGCAAGAAGTGGTTGTCACAAATGATGGCGCCACCATTCTCAAGTCCCTCTATGTGGACAACCCTGCAGCTAAGGTGCTAGTGGGTGCGTGCACCCGCTGCTCTTTCTGCCGACCATTCAGCCTCACATGTCAGGAAGATATATCAAGCGCACATGCACTTGCTTCCGGAGTTTTGCAAGCTATGCCAGCTTGACACGGCGTGTTCTAGTTGGGCATGGAGCAATGCAGTCCCTCCTGTTTTCATGCAACATGGAACTCTTTCACGCTTCAAGGCTGTTTGGGTCAGGGGTGCTCTCCAAATAGCCTTCGCTGTCTTTGGGGGTGGCAGGCTGCTTCTCTGTATCTCTGCAGAATGAATTTGATGTGTACATGGGGACGCAGATATCTCGAAGACACAGGATGCGGAGGTGGGGGATGGGACCACCTCAGTGGTGGTGCTGGCCGGGGAGCTGCTGCGGGAGGCTGAGAAGCTGGTCAGCCAAAACATCCACCCCATGACCATCATCTCAGGTGAGCAATCCTCTGCCCGTGCTGCACACCACCCGCGTACAGGGACAAGCATCCTGAATCGCCAACATGCATGACACCGTGTTGATCTTCGATACCCCTGGCTGGAGGCAGTGCCGAACAACTGGCGCAGTGTGCATTTGCAAACATTCCCCACAATCTGGTATGACAACTTGTGGAGTGATCTTAAAATCTCTGATGCTGGCGTGCAGGTTACAGGGAGGCCTGTGAGCTGGCGTACGCGCAGCTGGAGAAGGTGTCTGTCAACAACTCTGCCGACAAGGAGCGCTTTAGACAGGTGCATTCTTCTACAGAGTTGCCCCTGTGCTGTTCAACTTTGTGCATATTTTATCTCTTCCATCTAGCGCTGGGCCTCCTGTCCCGTGGGAAATCTGCGTGCATGCATCTTTGCACAAGTAATGTCCTTCTGCTGCCGCTGAAAAGAGCTGCGGGTTTTGCATGGCTGTGCGGCTGTACCAAACAAGACACGTTGGACAGAGTTACTCTTTTAGACAACGTTGTGCAAAAATGAACAACCAGAAGGAACACGAAAAGATTGACTGCAGGAGCAGGATGGCATGATACACGATGTTGCGCATAATGGTTTCGTAGCATCAAGGATAGATGCGAGCACGCAGAACCAGCCACATATTTTTGCAGAGCAATGTTTGGAGCATGAAATAATTATGTGGTCTGCACAGGACCTGCTGAACATAGCTCGCACGACGCTGAGCAGCAAGATCCTGACGCACGACAAGGACCACTTTGCCGAGCTGGCCGTGGACGCAGTGCTGCGCCTGAAAGGCTCCACAAATCTGGAGGCCATCCAGATCATCAAGAAGCCCGGCGGCACCCTCAAGGTTTGTCTCAGCTTTTCTCGCTCAGGGGTTACTAATGTTTAGAACAGTGTAGTCACCAACTCTTCCACCAGCTGGGAGTGCAGGACTCCTCAGGATGCTATATGGAAAGGTGCCTCAAGGCATCTGAGTAGACAGTGGCATTGTGTTTGGTGTCATGACCACCATAATACTGACTGTGGACCAGAATTACAGGCTCTTCTCATCGAATGTTAGGCGCCATCACAAATCCTGACATGCGGTGCAAAGGGACCATCAGTATCGGACCATGGCAGAGTCAGATCACCCAAGACCAATTTGGGTCCGCGTTCCTCAGGCGCTTGTTTCACAGCACCCCCTTGAGGACCCTGAATCCTAGTATACATTCACCCGGACGCGCAGGAGTCTTTCCTGGACGAGGGTTTCATCCTGGACAAGCGCATCGGCGTGGGGCAGCCCAAGCGGCTGGAGAACGCATCCATCCTGGTCGCCAACACGGCCATGGACACCGACAAGGTCAAGATCTACGGCGCTCGCGTCCGTGTCGACTCCATGCAGAAGGTGCTTCCATGCAACTAGCACACAATCTTAATCTTTTCATCATGGAAGTATCCCAAGATGTGCATGCAGGCACCCAAGCATGCTGGGGGGAAGGGAGTTGTTGCTCAGTGACTGCGCACATGCCTTCTGAATTTTGAAATGAGGAGCAGACATTGTTCATGAGGATATTGTGGATGTGACAAGCCTCATGCTCTCAGGAGAGCGGATACTTCTGCATAACCTAGTCTAGTATTTGTCAGGTGACCTCAGCTCCATGTCGTGGCTACTGCAGACTCTCAGTTCTACTGCTGTCGGAGATTTTCAGGTGGAGATGTTGCACGTAAGTTCGCACTGTGAGATGAAAGCGTGAATCCAAAGTGACTCTCTGACCTGACCTATAACGCCAGTACGCCACCGGCTGGGCAGAGTGAAGAAGGTGTACATGTAGCAAGTCAGCAATATTCTGCGAGCCAGCAAAGTGCTCAGGACATGCTGACTGGGAAATGTGGGTCATGCCATAAAGCAATGAAAGAGCGTGCTGGAGACTTTGGGGAGCCTTAGAGAGCTCTGCTGAGCGGTTATGTGACGGTGCCAGGTGGCGGACATAGAGAAGGCTGAGCGGGACAAGATGCGGGGCAAGGTGAACGCCATCATAGACCACGGCATCAACTGCTTTGTCAACCGCCAGCTCATCTACAACTTCCCCGAGGAGATCTTTGCCGACGCGGGCATCATGGCTATTGAGCACGCCGACTTTGACGGCATCGAACGCCTCGCCCTCGTCACAGGTGGCGTTCCCTGCTTCATTTTGGCACTCAATGTGTTGTTAGCTGGGCATACAGGCCTTCAAGTAATAGTTTCAAGATTGTTTGCTGTGTGATACTCTGTGTAGACGAGCACCAGGGCTTTTGGACAGGTGTCTTCTTGAGACTCGCTTAGCGAGGGGTCTCGAAGGGTCAGTTATGGGGCAAGGGTCGCAAGGGAGTGTTCCTGGTTTGCAAATTGCCAGATCCACTGTGTGCATGCGTGTCATTCTTCATTTTGTTCGGTCAAAGATAACAGCTACCATGATGAAGAGCCAGGCACGCTAAATGGCCGTATTTCACTCTTCGCACAAGAGTCGTGACCTTGACCCGAATGGCATGGAGATGACATGCTTGCCCATATGCCAGTCGTTATGGCACTTAGTCACCCCGCTCTTTCTTCACAGTGTACACTTCTGTGTCCCACCGGTCCCACCGGGCCAAAGCTGTTTCCATCCCTGAATCACTGCCGCCTCTTGTAGATCACCAAATCCGACAAGGATTCCTGTTGTATTCATCCTTGGGGTGGCAGCTCTTTGCGAACCTTTTCCTCAGCATCCTTGCTTCCAAGAAAACATGTACAACACAGTTGTTTTTTGGCCCGCTCGCCGGACAATATTGCGGGTCACATAGGCCCTGAAATGTAGAGATTGCATGAATCTCACCTATCGTACAGTGCTGAGCCATGCTATGTCTGATGCCGGCAGTCGGCGAGATTGCGAGCACCTGTAGCCCTTCACCCGGTGAATTTTGAGTCCTATGGATCGCACAGCGCTCAATCTAAGATGATGCCTTGCTCATGCAACAGATCACACAGCACTTAGTCATATTTTTGACGCGTGCAGGCGGGGAGATCGCGAGCACTTTTGAGAACCCGGGCGCGGTGAAGCTGGGGCGGTGCAAGCTGATCGAGGAGATCATGATCGGGGAGGACCGACTCATCCACTTCTCCGGCACCGCCATGGGCGAAGCCTGCACCATCGTCCTCCGCGGCGCCAGTGAGCGCTTTTTACACCTTAGTCTTGTAGCTCAACCACGTTTAGTCAGAATTAGAAATCATCAAGTGTCATCGAGTCAGAAGTTTGTATGCATGCACCATCGTTCTGCGCGGCGCATTGAGCGCTTTTTTCACCTGAGTGTTGTAGCTTAACCACGTTTGGGGTCCATGCGAGTCCTTGTGACATGTGAAAGGTGTCAAATTCATCCGATGAGGCCCTGCCACCCAAAGCATTGCCTTCGTCATCAAGTCTCATGAAGTCAGAAGTTTAAATCATAAAGTGTCATCAAGTCAGAAGTTCGTATGCATGCACATGCGCGGCACCAGTGAGGCCCCCCTGCCACGTCTTCATCTTTTGTCCAATGATGTATTGTTGTCTTGTGCCTTGTTTTGTACTGGCACTTTTCAACTTCTTTTGCTGGGTCAGCAACGAGAATTTTGGACAGCCCAGGACAGTGAAGGGGAGTCCAGGAGTCCTCGGGGAAGTCATAGGGTCACCCACTCTGTACATCAGGCTTTTGGCACCAATACTGTTGTATTGCAGACTGATATGCATATCTGATGCCAGGAACTTGTCCTGTGCAAACTGCCATATCTTGCTATTTTCTGCCAAAGTTCAAAGAGGGATTCATGGTGATGAGGTGGCTGTGTGTGCCTGATCAGGCACGCATGTGTTGGACGAGGCGGAGCGTTCCCTTCACGACGCGCTCTGCGTGCTGAGCCAGACTGTGCAGGACTCGCGCGTCGTCTATGGTGGTGGTTTCCCAGAAATGCAGGCGCGCCTACATCCCTGTGCTCAGCCGCTCCCTTGCAGCCGCTCCTGTGCTTCGCTGTGTCGTGTTGTCTGTCAGCTGTTTGCAGGCGCAGTCCATGACGCCGATGGGCTGCTCACAAGGAGCAGTGCGTCATGCAGTCAAATGTCAGGTCGGTGAGGAGATGCAGTGTGGGGAGTAGGGCATGCCAGACGCTGTCTCCCTACTTATATGTTGCTGCATCTGGACTTCTGTGCGGATGGCTGTCCATCACAGAGGCCTGTGCATTTGGCAGCGCACCCTGATGTTTAAACAGCTGATGGCTGCTGGAGGTGTTTTGACGGGTCATGTCTGCATGCGCGCAGATGGCGCGGGCGGTGGGAGAGGGCGCTGCGCGGACGCCAGGCAAGCGCAGCCTCGCGATGGAGGCATTCTGCACCGCACTGCGCGCCATCCCAACCACCATCTGCGACAACGCAGGTGCGCGCAGATTGCATTTCGCACGCCTTCCGGTCAACCTCCCTTCTCACCTCCCTGCTAGCTACCTCTAGGGTGCTGCAGCTGACTCAGGACCCACATGAAGGCGCAAAATGCAGACAAACATTACCCCACAAGTCAGCCCTCACATGTTTGGAGAGTCGATGACGCCTGTTCATAATTCAAGAGATAGAAGCCTAAGATACACAGCTTCAGCATTGAGTAGTCATGCCAAGCAGCCGTTGTCCAATTCGAGATCTCTGTGGCAGACATGGGGGATCTGAGTGGGAGGTTGCTGCATGCCCATTTTGGCGGCAGAAGTCAGCTGCGTGATTTCAAAGGCCTGTACCTCCACTGCACGCGCTGCTTGGCTCGTGGGGTGCTCTCTCAGAGCTCTTCTTAAATCTTTTCTAGAAATTGTCGAGATTGGGGTTCATTTGAATGGGCGGCTGCTGAGAATGATTCATGAGGGCCAGAAGGGGTCCATTCAGGCGATCCGCAGCTCAGCAGCGCCACTGGAAATTGCGCACAAAAAGAATTGGGAGACTCTGCGTGACATGGAACGCCGTCTGCTGCAGGGCTGGACAGCGCGGATCTGATATCCCAGCTGCGGGCGTCGCATGCGCACGACGCGGCCAGCCGCCAAGGCGTGGACGTCCTCACGGGCGGCATGGGCGACATGTCCAAGCTGGGCATCTTCGAGTCCTTCAAGGTGCCCCCCTTTTCTTCTTTTTCTTTTCTGGTGCCGCACCACCAAAATTGTGATTTTTTGGGGCATAAAGTAGGTTTACAATGCACATGGTGGGCATCTTTGAGTCCTTCAAGGTGCAGCGCCTTCATTTCCTCTATCTTTTCCTGGTGTCGCACCAGCAAGACAGGTGAATTTGCTGGGAATGCTAAGTCTGTTCACAGTGCACAAATAAGGGCATTTTCTGGGTGATTCAAGGTGCAGGGATTTGCACTTTTTCCTCCTTTCTGTCGCATGAGATCTGGTGAATCAGCTGGTCCACGGTTCACAAGCTGGGCATGTTTTGAGTCTCTCCAAAGTCTGCGCAATTCTTGGGGATCTACTTCTACTTGCAGCATCACATAGCTTTCTCTTCAATCGGCTTTCACTGATGCTCCTGTGATGTTGTGCAGGTGAAGGCCCAAGTGCTGCTGTCAGCGACGGAGGCAGCGGAAATGATCCTGAGAGTGGATGACATCATCAAGTGCGCGCCCAGGCAAAGGAGCGAGCAGTGATGCAGCTGTGCAGAACGTGCTTTGAGATCATGGTGTGTGAGACACGCGGGGTAATATCATCCTCGATTAATCACCCAGTGTCCTCCTTGGGCCTTGACATCTGGACTGTTAAAGAGGATGTCAAGAGGGTGTCGTGGCCGCCATAAGCGGAATGAAACAGATGCTTTGTTGTATTTCATTTTCTACAAAGGACCAGCAACACTTTTGGCATTGCATGCCCAATGTTTTTGTGACCCTAGCTGACGTTGACCATCAACAAGTCCTTGTGCTCTTGCTTGTGAGGACGAGGCCTTTTGAGCCTTCGTAGATAATCCGGGCGTGGCAAGTGAACAAAGAATCGTGCATGCGATCGCTATAGTTTTCTTTGATGCAAAACGTCCAAGGAATCCAGAAGAACCAGATGTTTATTCTGCGGAGAGGTAAAGAATGGTCAAAGATGCTGGAAACTATTGATCAAGCTATTGTTCTGTCCTCAGCTTACACGCAATACGCTTGCATTCGCTGCATCCAGCTCTCAAAATATCTTGACCCCTCACATGGGTCAGCCTACAACCTCACATCTCCTAAGGATACCCTCACACTTAGTTTGCGCGCTTCAATTGGGTGCTAACAATGAATGCAAGCCAGTTACAGCCCGACCCAAATATACAATCCTCCCAGCATGTCCGTGGCTGCTACCCGCAAGGATCGATGAGATTGAATCTGCAGAGGCAGCCTTAATTCGCAATCCACCGTCCTGACAATCATTTGACAAACTTATTTGGTGCTTCCAAAAAGCCGCTGAAGTAAATATTGGGGGGTGGGGCGGCGGCGAGAATTGACCAAAAATTCCTAGCGATACACTACAGCAAAAATTTGCGCAGGGCGGGCTCTGCTGGCCGCACCCGCTCATCTCCTGATACTCTCAAAATTGTCTGGCGGGCTCCTAGCCTCCGCCGATACAGCCTAATGCGTACAAATGACAGGACTGTGCAAACATTGAGCCACACCGGGAACAACCTCAAGCTTCAAACTCGGATCTGAAAAGCGAGGCTGACAGGGTAGGCGCCTAGTAGTGTCCTTAGAGCAGCTTTATGTGCAAAGCGCCGCTAGAGGCGTCCTGCAACCCTGCGAGCAATATTTCCTAGTGAGCAAAACAACCAAAAACGCAGCAATTTGCACCAAATTCCTAAACCATTACACAAAATTGAAGCGCCCGCGTGCGTAAAAGTGCACCGCTAGGCTCCAAAGACACTAACAACTTCCAGCAAGCTGGCTGGGCCGTCAGTGTTTTCAGACTACTAGAGCAGGAAGCCACGTGACTCAACACATGGTCAAAATTTCCCTTTGCTGCTGCGCGCCAAGGGCGCAACAGTGCTGACAAATACCTAACACTGCAGGAAACTCTAAACGCCTCAAAAACTCTCAAGCCCTGACCACAGAAGGTGGAGAGGGTCGCTCTCAGCACAGCACCCATGGCACAGCTGGGGAGTGCTAGCCCCAGTTGCGCCTGCTGCCGCCCTGAGGGCCCTAATGAATGGCGATACTAAGTGCCAAGGTGTCTGTACAATGTCTGACTGACAGCCCGACGACGCAAGGTGCAATCAATACAGGAAAAGGGCCCCCCCGCCCCGCTGTGATTCTTGCCCCCTGCAGAGCTGCGCACAGCGGGTGCGAGGGGCGCGCGTTCACACGCAGGGATCTCTTTTTTTGGTACTGTTCCCCCTTTTTCAAAGAATAGCGTTGCCTCGGCAGTGGGTTTCACCTGATTGAACTGCACCTGCTCGCTCCCTTGTGGGAGCAGAGTGGGAAGCAGCCACCAGGCTCTGACACCCTCTTCCCTGCTCGGCACTGCTGGTGCTATTGATACACAATTCTTGATCCTCCTCTACCCAACACACCACACGACCTTTCCGCTCTCGGCTGTAAACTTCCCTATAAAGCCCCACCGATCCCATCATTGACACTCCACTTTGAGCCTCCTTGTTGCATCCTCCAAGCCACGACGCCCTGCGTCTTTTAGAGCGGCAGGAAGCCTTCTAAAGCCAACCTGGCGGCAGCAGCACTGCTCTTTTTGAAGGGCAAGTGCCGGGCGCAGGTAGCGATCTCCTCAGCACTTGACTCAGGCGAGGATTTAATTACTGAGCAAGCCATTGGACTTCTCAGCACTCTACGCAGTCGAGGCCCTGGTTGCTGGGGGAGCGATTGAAGGAGAGCGGGCGGTTCTGCCGGCCGCCAATGCTGGCCAGGGGCCGCAGGCACTCGCCGATATTAACAGAGCGGTCGGTGCAGTCATCGGGCGCTGCGTTGCTGAAGTTGGCGTTGCGGATGAGCAGCTCGCTGGGCAGCACCGGGTAGGTGTGGTTGGCGGTGTAATTCGCGAAGGCGGCCGCCGAGAAAGGCGGCACCGGCGAGCCGGCCACGACGGAGCCCTCGTCCACCGCGTCTAGCGAGTGCGAGGGCATGCGCTGCAGACCTGCAATTGACAAGTCACCAGCATGTTGGAATGGAACTCTTAGTTTAAGGTCCCTACGGCAGACCTGCCAAGACTTGGGTGCATCTACATGTTGGGTGCATCCACAGTGATGATTGAGGCGCCTCCACCCCGAAACATGGCAGAGGCTGCCTGTTGTGCTCCAATGATACGCACTACCGATGGCGATGTTTCTGCCACTGAACAGGTAGGAGCACAACCTTCAATAGTGCACAGTTGTGAACACAGACCCCGCACACAACATACATGCACAGCACATGGACACTAATGCCACTGTGCCTCTCGTGGTAATGCGAGGCAGCACGCCGTCAAGTAGAGCCCTGTGAAACTAGAAGGGAGTCTGGGCAGCGCACCGTTGCGGGAGTGGGAGGACTGGAGCACGGCCTCGGACGTCACCCTGGGGCCGATGGGGCGCCCGTCCAGGGACTCCTGCGAGGACGGCCGGGGCATGCCTGCAAAAACGAGAGCGCCCAATCAGCACAGATGCTGACACAGCTAACAGCAGCTGGTGCAGGCACAAACATGATCACCCTCTCCACTTGACGCTGTCGACTGCGTTAGTAGGACAATCCCGATACTGGTGTGTCGCATGGACACCCAATACGCGAGATAGCCCAACTATAATCAACAACATCAGTCCGATCACATCTTAAGCAACCGCAGAAGTGACAGCAAGGCTAGGAGACCCAGCAGCTTGCGCAGAACTGCAGGTGGGAATCACTGCAGCATAGCTTGCACATATCAGTAGAAGAAAGCAACAAATTGACGAAGGCCGCGCACCGCCCATGGAGGCGAGGTTGATCCAGGAGGGGATGCGTTGGTGCATGACGCTGGATCCATTGCGCCCATTCTTGGCGACGCGGTAGAGCCCCTGCACCTGCTTCTGGGCGGCCACCATCTCGCTCAGGCGTAGCATGCACGCATCCAGCGTCGCCTCGATCCCGCAGTTGGCCTGGATCGCGCTCAGCTTCGCCCACGTCACCTGCTCGCCCTGCAGCCGCGCACACAACAAGGTCGACTCAGTTTCACACGATTCAGAAAATAGCGGGCGGCCCAACGCATTGCATTGTGCCCGGCCTCTGGATCTGGACATTCATCAAAGCATGTGAGACTCTTACATACGATATGGAGGGGGCAATGCTATTGATCCCGCTGCATCTTATGGGGAAACAAATGGACATGGCTGGTAGAAAAGGACATGTAATCTGCTCCTATATTGATAAAGACAGTGGCTACATAAACAACTCTGGCAGCACCAGAGGTGCCGCAGCCACACATGTCCTTGCCAACGCCACTCACAACGCACCCTCTGTGAATCTCAAGATTATCCTGGGTGGCAAAGACAGGCGTGGGTACCCCATCAAGACAAGTGGATGTCACAACCACATGATACCGGGACTAGCCTTTCAAAGCGACAGTACTTCAGAGGTATGGGGCACGGCACCTGCTTGCAGGCGTCAAGGAGGTCCTTGTTGGTGGGGTTGGTGATGGACTTCTTGAGCTGCATGTAGGAGGAGGGCAGCACCATGGTCACGTCCCCCTCCCAGGTCTGGCTGAACACCTTGAGCCAGCGCAGCACCGGGAACACATACATCAGCTGCTGGCACCTGCACGCACATGAGCCGAATCAGTCCATTCCATGCTGAGCTAACTGCACAGCTGGAGGCATGCTGAGGAGACCTCTTCTACAGGTGCAACCTGTGCTTCCTCAACCTGTGCTGTGCAGATTACCTGTGCATTCAGCTAACAATTTCCAAGCACGCATGACTTGGTGCACGAGCAATCTGCACGGCATGTGAGCACATGATACATCTGTCAAGAGTAGTACTGTCAAGCTCACAGTTCTTTACCTCATGATAATAGACACTTGTGCACTTTCAAATAGACGGCAACCTCCATACGCTGAAGATATTGCAAAAAATTTGAATGGCAACTGGCAAGCGCAGACGCACGGCACCTGTGCTTCCACTCGGCTTCAAGGATGTTGCCGAGCTTGCGGTTGACGCGCTTCTTGAGATTGAGGGCGGGCACGATGTGGGGGTTGGTCTGGCTGACCAGGAAGTAGTTGACGTTGAACATCTCGCTCAAGCTGCGCATGGGCAGGTCCTCCTCCAGAGACCCGTCCCTCCACCGCCGCTGGCTCTCCTGCATCGACTCCGCGCTGAACCTGCAGCACATGAGTGACCGCTGAGTCATACATTGTTACCGTTTAGTCACGGTCCAAGCTAGGTGCCGGCAAGTAGGCAGTTCAAAAATGCAGGCTGTACATAGGTGGTGCCTGCACCCAATGAAGAGAGCGTTGGATGGATGACAAGTCACCCTCACAAGACTGTATGTATGAGAGGGACATGCCATCCCTAAGGCCAACTTCATCAGGTGCCGGTCACACATTGTCAACAAGACCCAGTCACTAAATCCCATCAGCAGCACGATTGATATCGGAATGCACGCTGGCAAACACAGCAGAGTTAGTACACCGCCTGCCACCAGATAGCACCGTCTTGCTCCGGAACGTTCCTCTGCAACATGCCGGAAAACGAAGACGCAACCGGGTGGCAGGAGAGGATAGAATTAGTCCCAATAACGCCAGATTACTGGCAAGCTGCTGCACACAACAATATCAAGCTGCACAGCAACACGAAAAGATATAAGTTGGCGGGTGGGCGCGCACGTGACTTCGGCGCCCTGCTGGTTGCGCCCAAAGAGGTTTTGGGGCGCAAAGAGGAGAGGGAACGCTGAGGAGCAGGAGACTGCGCTCCAGACGTACACGTGGGGCGCTGTGAGGTAGTTGAGCACGCGCGGCGGCTCGTTGGTGTCCGCCGGGCACACCGCCACGTTCAGGATGCGGCCTGGGGCGCAGCACATGCAAAGGTCACTTCGATGAACCTAAAGTTGCAGCTACTCATAACACGACCGCACTGTGACCAGTCCCTGGAAACAGAGGGTACACTTGACTCCACAAGGCTCTCTGACTAGTTACGAAATTGCAGGTGGCTTCAGAACCACTTCAGGGCTATATAAGGTCCCCATGGACAGGAGGAAGCACACTGTCTTTCTCACGAATGCAGATCCACTGAGACATCCAGAGCGGCGTTTCTCAAGAATCCAAACCCAGTGAGATAGACAGTACGCCCCCCTTTCTGGACACGGAGGCCCCTCTGCAGGTTAGGTGAGAGGATGTCAGGTAATCTCAACTACTTGCACGCTCCAATACAACATGTAGGATATTGCCTCTCGGTCTCTCAATCTTGACCTTTGAAGGCGAGGAGAACAGCAATTTTGGGAATATCGACTCAGACAGAAGGAGCATGGCAGGGGCGGCCTCACCAGAGTGCTGGAAGGCCTCCAGGAAGGTGGCGTTGCCCAGCAAACGATTGAGGCGGCGGGAGAGAACGGTGGCGTCCTGCAGCGTGCCGTGGCGCACAAAGTGCTTGACAAACTCGGCCGCGGTGTTGTTGCTGAAGAAGGACAGGTCGAACTTCTCCGCGTTGTCAAACAGCTCCTCCAGCTCCGCATCGTTGCGCGTTCCCACGCATGCCGCCACTGCACGTGACAAACATCACCAGAATTAGCACCACCGTTTCTGCCGTTTCTGCGCCGTTTACCGAGCTGTTGCACAGCCCACGGCTCCAATGCTTTGGTGTGATATTTGCAAAGACACATCGTGCATCATGCACTCATGTGTAAACAGCCTAATGAAGCAAAAAGTAATGTAAGCAGGCCTAACCACGCTCTCACATGTCAAGCACTTGATCCACACGATATGCATGGCATTCCGTGGGAAACGAATCTCCTTTATGAAAGGAATGAATGAGTCTTGCCGGCAGCGAAGGTCCTGATGACAATATGAGGCGTTAAGCGCTGCTGGTTGATGGAGGCTGGAGCTTACCTATGGATCCCACGCTGCTCCCTGCCACGATGCGCGGCAGCAGCTTCTGCTCACGCAGCGCCTTCACCACACCCTGCAAGCCAGACTCATGCTGTCAGCTAGTGGTGCCCAAGTCAGCAAATCCACCTCCACCACAATCCTGCAATCATCACCATGCACAGCAAGAACGGTACATCCTAGAATGTCCAGGCAATCTGTCGATGCCAATGGCAAGTGTGCAGGCGCTGCCGGGAAGGAGAAGGGGAACCCTCAATCATCAATGCCACCTTGCAAAGCAAGAATGGTACATCCTCTCTCATGCTATGCGCCGACAGGCCTGCATGGGGATGCCAGGACTCCAGCATTCATGCAGTGCTGCAGAAGGAGAAAAGAGCAAGACTCACAATGTGGAAGGCCCCGAGGGCGCCGCCGCCGCTGAGCACCAGTGCAGTGCGCCCGAAGGCGTGGCGGGTCTCGCGCAGGAAGCTCAGCTTCTCCTCCAGCAACAGGTCAGGGCCCTCGTAGTTGGTCAGGGCCTCCAGGTGCATCTGTACCTCCTCGATGTACTCCCGGATCGGCTCTGGGACTACCGGGTAGTGCTCATGCAGCTCGCTGCAGAGGCATCACAATAGCATAGAGTTCAGAACTGCAACTTGTGCATGCAGCAGTCAAGAATGCAGCTGTTGGGAACAATATTGCGAACGCACTTGACCTGTCTCCAGACCTTGGCACTGCTCTGATCTGCGAGACAACTAAACAAGTGCCTGGCAAGGTATCTTGGGTGGAAAAGGACCATGAAGCTTCTCACGGCACATTGTCTGGATCCGGACACGATATTTACTGGCCTTACTACACTGCACGCGGAACCAAGGCGTGCATGGCTTGCAAGATAGAGGCATGTCCTTGATCGCAAATGGTGTCAAAAATAAACTTTTGCTTACGGACCAAAAATGATCGAGCAGTGAGCAAGGCTGCCATCCATAAAGAGAAAGTCTCCCAGAGAAACCCCTCACCTGTTGGCCATATTGCCCAGGTTCCTGAGCAGGTCCGCCCTCACTGCAAACATCATCTCTGACACCCTGCCTCCCTTGCGCACTGCCCGCAGATGCCTGAGCCGCTCCTCCAGCAGCCGCCGGTCGTAGAGCTTGGTGTCCCGTTTCCAGCGGGCCTTCTTCTCCTCCGGGCTGATGCCCTCCACCTGGTCCAGCTTGGTGGCCGCCATGGACCACTCCACGTAAGAGCTGGCCTGCTCCATTGCCCGCGAGAGCCGCTTCCGCTGCTGCACGCCCGGGTCATTGGCGTCCCGAGCCCGCTGGATGAGCTGGCGGATCGCCGTGAACACCACGACGCCCGCTGCGCATGCCCAAAAGCAAGCTCTTCAAATCCCCAGACCACGAGGACCAAGACGTGAAACGCACCGAAATTCTGGGAAGCAGCAAGGGAGCCTCACCCAGAGTGTAGTGCCAGCGCCGCACGCTGATGATCCCGCGGCCCACGCTGCGCAGGAGCGGGTCCCTGGGCGGTGCTGACAGCCATCCTATCCCGTCAGAGAACCTGTAAACTATGTCCGCGAGCAGCGTCCACAGCGACTTGCCCAGGATCAGCTGCCAGGCGATGGCCCGGCGCAGGGGCTGGCCGAGGGCGCCCAGCAAACGGACGAGAGTGAGGTCTAGTAGGAGCTGTGCGAGGTTGGCCTGCTTACAAGGCGCCACTCTGTTGGCACGATGAGGTGTGAAGCCCAAGGCGAGCGCCTTCATGGCTGGCATCCGCTGCAGCAGCCTGTCTCAGACGCACACCGGGCCCATCTAGACTTCGGTTGGGACGAGCTGAGGTGTGCAAACAGCTTGGCGCGTGACTCCTTCCCTGGCTGAAACTTGCACTTTTGGTGATGTGGGTCGTCCACCTCAGCGCGGGCAGGCCGTAACGAGGACACGGAGGACGGTGGAATCTTTCCGCGACCCCTGAATAGGGTTCTGATAGGAAATGCTTCGAAGCCCTGGCTCCAAGAACTTCGTTGACATCAGGTCATTTGTTTGCCACCTGCTTTGTTTGCAATGTGTTTCAGTGTCATGGATGGTAGCTTTACTGCCGACGCACCCCTGCTGCATGTGCTGAAGACCGACTATCACTCATCTGTATCTTGCCCGTGATCAGATCACCTGAGATGGGAACAAGGCAGAGGACATGCGTGGCATGCAGGCAGTCCAGGGATAGTTCGAAAGTAATCTTCTTAGATAGCCATGCATCGACTAGCTCTGTCAGGGCAGATCAGGGTCGACCCAGTATTGAACATCCTTGGACTGGTGTCAAGATGCTCATGATACGGGTATTGAATCGGTAAAACATCGACCCATTCACCGATGCCACCGAAGGATATCTCAATCCTGCTCACCACCAGGTCCCTGCGCATGTTTGCGTTCGGATCGGTGGGGCTGATCCTGGCCCTGTTCCTGCACGAGTCGGGCTTGCCAGACCGCCAGCTGGGCGCAGTGATGACCCTGGCACTCCTGGGAGACGCGGGCATCAGCCTGGCGGTCACGCTGCTCGCGGATCGCGTCGGCAGAAAAGCGATGCTTTTGATGGGATGCGCCTTGAAGATCCTTGCTGCAGCGATCTTCGCGCTGCCAGGCACCCTGTCGTTCTGGCTTCTATCCTTAGCAGCCTGTGTGGGCGTGGTGTCGCCCTCCGGCAACGAGGTGGGCCCGTTCATGGCCCTGGAGCAGAGCATCCTGTCCCAGATGCTCCCCCCGAGCGCTCGCACGACGGCCTTTGCCTGGTACAACGTGGTTGGATATGCGTCCTCTGCCGCCGGCGCTGCCGAGGCCGGCCTGCTGGTTGACGCACTGCAGCAGCAGTTTGGCCTCAGCGCACTCGACAGCTACAAGACGGTCTTCTGGCAGTACGGCGCGCTTGCCACGCTGGCAGCCCTGTGCTTCACGTGCCTGTCTGGCAGGGTAGAGGCCCCGCCGCATGCAGGCAATACCAGAGATCAAGAACAAGAGCAGGGGCCGGGGGTACAGAGACACGCGCTCGGCTTGTCGAATGAATCTATGAATATCCTGGCGCCGCTGTCAGCGCTCTTTGCACTGGACTCCTTCGCGGGCTCGCTGATCACAGGTAGTGTTACCAACAGTTACACCCACCTTTCCGTGATTTGCAGCAACTGGTTAGGTACATGCAGTTGGGGCTCAGATGACAGGCGCTGTCATTGCACACCGCCCTTTCCCTTAAACTTTGCACCAGCTAAACAGGTGGATGCGATCGGGGACAGCTTGATTCTGTGAATCAAAAAGGAAAGGAACAGGGATGCAGTCATGCGTGCAATCAGCATTGGCTTTCTTTTTGCACAAGCATGCGAGTATGGAAGGATATAAGGTTGTGAGAAATAGCAAGTAAAAAGTGTCAGACCTGTCAGCAAACTTCTGGCATGCAACAGTCAGTCATGGCGCTCTGTTGCTGGCCCAGGTTTGCCTTTTGGGCTCTACTCTCTGTGAGCAGCTCGCCGCATGTGTAAGTCAAGAGCAGCAGAGCATAAAAGCTTCATGGTGACTGCACTGCTGTCCAGGCAGCCTGCTGGCGTACTACTTTCGGCAGCGGTTCGGTGCGAGCGCTTCATTTCTGGGAGGACTGCTTTTTGCCTCCAACATGATCGCTGGAGCCTCCTCCCTGTCATCAGGGTTTGCACATCCACCCCTCGGTCTGTCATAGGAATGCACCATGTACTTGTCATATTATCCATTATCGACATTTCTTCTTGAGCTGCACTTCACTTGTGCAGACCTGCGAACACAATTGCAGCCTTCTTTTCAGAGGTGCACTTTGGCTGAGGCTGAGTTGAAAGTGCTGCAGTAGAATGATAGCTGCCTCTCTGTGAGAATGGTGAGCAGCAGCAGTAGGAACAGTGCTGCAACAAGGTGGTCCGATAATTCAGATAACACATGCTTGCAGGTGGATTGCCAATAGGTTTGGGCTGGTGAATACAATGGTGTTCACGCATTTGCCCTCCAATGTGCTCACCATCCTCATCCCGTTCATGCCCACCGTAGAGCTGGCGTCAGCAATTGTCTTCCTCAGGTGCACCCTCTGGTTCACCCGTGACAATGCCCAAAATGTATTATCCCATGCTGCATGAGAAACGCACTGCAGCGCTTAGGCTGGCACCTGCAGGGCAGTCCTGCACCCAGGCTTCCATGCAATCCTTTCTGAGCAGAAGTCAGGGGGTGTTCAGGACAAGTGAAGCAAGCACATTGCGCTTTTGACCTGCATGCCTGCAGCCGCATGCAAGGCATTACTCTGCAGATCTCTTGGGCATAATGACTGCACTCTTGGGAATTGCAGTGCCTTTATAGTGAGTAGTCGATTGAGGATTTTCTCAGGGATATCTTGGTCATAATCATACTTAAATTACATCAAGACTTCATGAATTGCAGTCCTGTCGTGCGCAGGTACAGCATCTCCCAAATGGACGTGGCGCCGCGGCAGAGCTTTGTGGCGGGGATCGTGCCTGCAGCAGAGCGGACAGCCACCATGGGAATTGTCAACGTGGTGAAGAGCCTGAGCGCATCTCTGGGCCCCTTAGTCACCGGTTTCGCGGCGGGCAGCGGCAGTTGGACGGCCATTTTCGCGCTGTGTGGCGGGCTGAAGATTGTGTATGACTTGGCGCTGCTGTACTCCTTTGGGCATGTGAAGGCTGATGTGGAAATGGCGGGGGCGGCGGCTGTGGCTGCACACAGGGATGGAGCCTTGCATCGGGGAGAATTGGAGGCGCCTTTGCTAGGGGAGACAGAGCATGGTCAGATTGCTGATCTTCTGGTGAAGTGAGTGCGGGGGAGTGATTGCTCCTAGACCTGCTATAATTTTACTCAAGGTTACCTTTTGTGTACACTAGAAAAATTGATAGAACAGAGATGCAAGACACACATGGCAGTGCGAACTTGGAGAGAGGGCTGCCCCGCGGTGTTTATGCAGTGTCGAGACATACAGACACCTTTGGCAAGACATCTACATTGTTTAGTGAATTGCTCATGCAGTGGTGTCCAAAAATCATGTAGACTGCCAGTGCAGATGACCTCAGTATTCGTTGATTTGAGTCAATTACATGCTTAAAATGCTACAACTCTTCCTCGTGAATTGTCAGTCAGACAGACAGATGGTTTGAGAAGCTACTATACAAATCTGTCACTCGGCAACACATGCTAAATACGGCACATTCACGTAGGCACACCCGGCTCAATGAGGCTGCATGCATATGGAGTCTGTGCCTTTGAAACCGCTTCATACAAGATGCTTGCCAGACGGTGATCATGAAAGCGCGCAGCACAATAATAAAATCTCTGTCCTTGCACAACTCTGCACCGCATGCTGATCGTTTCAGGTCCCTTCCGTGGATGTGTTCTGTCAGTGTCAATGTCAGATCAGTGGGCACATCTCCTCACAGCTTGCACTGACGAGTGCACCAAAGCGGCGGCCACACTCTTTGGCTGCCGCCAGAGCCTGGTAGCAGCTTGGTCATGCAGTAAAATTCCACTTGGTGCAAAACACCTCCCAAAATAATGGCCCAATAGCCAGTACATGAGTCTTGACCAGTCCAGTCTTGAGAGCTCCTGCAAGGCTGCTGCATGTGCAATCTCTCCCCAATGCACAGCAGACAATCGCACAAGACATGGCAGCCAATCTCTTTGTTCCTGCAGGATATCCAATCCTGCCAACCACCATACTTCATTTCCCGCCCATGCTGCTATCCCCCGACCAACCTCAGTCCAACCCCAACCCCATCCGCCCACACACAAACCCACCAAGCCATCCAGCAGCCTGCATTCTGCGTGCAGGCAACTTCCAATCAGCGCCAAGGCTGCCCAGATTCGCGCCAGTCTTGATGCAGCAGTCAGGAAACTCCAATCCCCACAAATTTCTTCGCCAGTCCGGTAAGCTGCCAGAAGTGGCGCTTCTGCCAGTCTGGCACCATCGCCACATTTGGCCGAGCCATCGCCGTCGCCAAATTTGGCACTTTTCAGAACGTTGCCAAATTTGGCGGTACAGCCAGATTTGGCGCTGCCGAGTGCCGAAAACTCCAGCACTGACACAGACACACTGACTGTCTCATTAATCAGACGTCTGTGTGCGGCACGGCGCCGTTGGTTGCAGGGGATCGGGGCATGGCGAGCTCTCCGTTGACGCCCTCCTGGCTCTCCAGCGGCATGTACTGCGCCATGATGGCCCGAATCTCCTGGTGCATCGCACTGCGCAGGCGCAGCCGGTACGCCACGAAGCCAGCACCCCCGACGACCCCCAGGCACGCGAATACTATCAGCACCACCGCCCATGAGTGCAGCCCTGCGCGCGCATGCATGCAGAGGAATCAGGATTTCTCCAAGGGCGCAGGCGATTCCACAGCCCTTCTCATCTTGAGACATGAGAACATGTCAAGTGCGATTAGGAAGAGTGCGAAGTGATGCACCAGCGTGTTTGTGTGGCGGCTGCAAAGTAGTGCAGCCTAAATGTGTAAATTCATCGTCTGCAGCCATCTTGGACAGCTTTTGGCAGGCTGACAAAAGTGCCAAATTTGCATACATGACAAATCAAAGCAAGTCTCGGCATTCCAACTGCATGGCCCCTTGACTTGACAGAAGCTACTGTTCTTGACGGGGGTGGGCTTGGGCCACACAGGCCACCGCTCAGGGATGCGCACAAGCACCCGAGAAGATGACATGCCAAAGACAAAGACAGCATACCACAGAGCCGACAATGCCTCTGTTCCTCCAACATCTGCTGCACCGGAAAGCCACAGGACAAACAAGCAGCCACAGAGAATGTCACAAGAACACGCTGGCAGGCCGATAAGACATCCGGCAGACAGTAAAGGTTTGGGAGGAGATAGCTCACCGCCGGAGCCGCCGAAGCCGCCAGAGCAGATGCCGGTGGCTGCGTCGCAGGTGGCGAGATCGCACTTGGGCACGCACTCCATCTTGCCGTTGTTCATGTACTCTGTGAAGCAGGGCGGGCACGTGCACGAGTGCAGCGGAATGTCCTCCAGCGGCTTGCCGCGCGCCGCCGCGTCCTGCGAACGCAATTGTAATCGAGTGTTAGTGGCGCAAAACATCAGGATGTGTGCGCAGTTCTTCACTTGCGATTCCCCATGCTTGTCGCCGAGAACACCCACCAGATCTGCCGTCCATGAAATCAGCTGTGAAGGTTCGGTTGTCCCCCAGACTGCCAGATGGAGAAGCAGAGATGCAGAGAAGGCTTTGGCAATTCATTAAAGATCCACGGAAGCAGATCGGCTTGAAGCTTGAAATGTAATGAGTTGTCAATTCTGCCAGGACAACTTTTTTTCGTGGTCAAAGTCTGTCGCGGCTCAGATGGGTCGTCAGCGCTAAGAGGCCTCAGATCTGCTGATATACTTGAACAAATCGAAACAAAAATAAAAAAAAGGTTTCACACCTTGTAGAGGGCAATGTTGTCCTTGCAGGCGTGGAAGGTCTGGCTCTTGCCGTTGACCTTGAAGTCCCCGCGCCAGCACCCGGCGTAGTCATGCGCGCAGTCATCGCGTATGTTGGCAATGCACCTGCGCGCACACAACAGCCACGCATCAGCATCACCGCAATTTCTAGATCTGGCAGTGCATTTGGGAAAGCATACACAGTCTGGCACCTCGCAGACCACTGTCACAGCTGCAATGTTCTTTAAAGGGTACCGTACAGATGAGTACAGGGATAATAGGAATAGTGTACAAAAAGATCATGCTTGCAAGCAGGTGAAGCAATGGGATTCGTGATAGACACTAGTGTTCTATTGGAATTTTCAGATTTGTCATTCGAGTTTGAAAGCTCACTCGTATCCGCCGTAGGTGTCCTTGCAGGCGCAGCGTTCGCAGGTGCACTTGGGGTCCAGGTCGGCGGCCTCAGTGGAGACGCACTCGTTGATGTTGAGGCACTTCTCCTTGCCGCCCTCGCCCACATGCAGGATGAAGCCGGGCCCGCACACGCACTCGTACCCGCTGAACGTGTTCTGGCACTTCGTCTTGCCGTCCTTCCTGCAACAGGCAGGCAAAGCAATGCGCGTTCAGTCCCACTGTGATCCTCAAACAGGCAAGAAATTTGCCATTTACACACACACTGTGCATGTGCTGACTATGGGGAATGCAATTCACCCCATGCAGACCGTCACCGAACAGTGCAGCAACATGCAGGCAAGAAGGTACACCCCGGATTTGAAATCAGATTACAGTTTGACACCCAGGTGGCTCAGGAGGGCTGACATTGTCAAGCCAGATGACCCTAGCCATCTTGGCATGCGTCCATTACAGCCCGGCCCTGAATCTCTTGCCTCACATCCACATCCCTGAAATTGATATTCAAGTTCGAAAAGGCAGGCGCGCACCGGGCGGCGCAGGTGGAGTGCCCGAGGGATCCGTCACGGCATGAGTCGTCAACCGCCACGCGCATGCACGCCTTGGGCTCTGCGTTCCTGGTGAAGCCGGCGCAAATTGCGCGCAGGACCTCCGTGTAGCTCAGCTTGCCGCGGTACTGCCCGTCGTTGATGCGGATTGTCGGCAGGATGTACACCTGGCGCAGTGCGCAGAAGAGCCTGATCAGGAACTTATCTTTTGCAATGACAAAGAAGTGTAGATCGCATCAGCTACGGGCGGAAAACATTGCCTAAATTCCTGCATGGTCCTGCATGGATATCTGGCGACGCACATCAGAGCCCAACTGCCTGTACATGAATGAAGTCATTGGCGCAACTGCAGCAGAGGGTAGAAGAGCCATGATAGCATACCCAACACTGCAGCAGCCTGCTGCATTTGGAGCGCCATGCAAGCACGCAGCCTGGCTACTGCTTGCCGACCCAACCCATTCAGTTGTAGCCAGTAAGGAATGGCGAGAAAGCTGAAAGCAGAAGCTTTGGGCGCCACTTGCAATGACAGGCTTCACAGTAGCTGCTCCAAAGACCGCCGTCATGAGTAGACCAGTGTAATAACAATTCAAAGAGATTGCATCCAGGAGAAAGGAGGCAGCGCTGCACCTCGCCGGTGTCGCTGTTGCCGCGCTGGCGCTTCATCTCAGACTCGAGCAGTGCGTTGTCGGCGTCGGCGGCCACGTCACCGATGCATGCGCGCAGCTTGGCCAGGCTGCTCCATGTGTTGCCCTCCAGCTCGTTGAACACCTGGCATGCCACGTGCGCCCCACGTTAGCATTGCTAGTATGACTACTTACGCGATCACACATTCACCTCCTGCAGGGATGCGGCCGCGGGCGTAGCATTGACACGCTGGCAGCAATGTGCTTTGGCACCGCGCAACGCTTCTGTGGCTGGGTGGGTGCGGCAGACGGCATTAGCGACTTGTGTCTTGCTACACCATCACAAGGCAGCCTAGCTGCATTCGGTACTGTGCGTATGGTGCAGCAGGATAGGGACTGTGTGCAGAGCATGGTAAATCACGGGGAGACAGGTGGGTCCACCACAATCCTTCAAAGGACAGCAACGGCCACAGGGCACCTGGGTACCTTGTGCCCATTTGGAGAACACATGGCAGGTCTGCCAATTTCCCTTAACACCACTGCTCTGTATAGGAGTCCCGAGCCACCCGCAAAAGAGGGAAACCACCGCAATGATAGGACTAAAAATGTTGCACAACAACCAAAAGTGCCCCCGTTACGTCTGGAGCATCCGGGATATGCGTCCATTCTCTGCATTTTTATGATGTCTCTCCTGACGATCTGATGATTGACAGGGCCATGTCCGTTTACATCCAAATTCTAGATCTACTAAACATGACCGAGATCGTAGATGTGGCTTTTGCGCAGCACATTGGCTTTCAAAAGCCACTAAAAGTAACACTGGTTGCATGCACTGGAGGCTTAGTTTGTTATCCGCACAGTCTGCAGGGGTGACGCACCCGCTCGGCGCACTCCTCGTTGTATTGGTTGTCAACCATCTTGCACTGCTCGCCAAACTTGGTGCTGTACTCCCACCACTTCCACGGCACGCCGCTCTCATTCGCCAGCTTGAACACGCACAGCTGTCGTAGGTTCTCCTGCAGCACAGACCACCATATACCACTTCAAAATCAGACCAAATTGTAAGTGTGTTGAGGGTCTTAGCGCCAGATCGGAACTACTCACGCTCCGTGGCTCATAATAAGGCAAACATCCTCTCTGGCCCTTCGTGCGCCTTGAATTCCGCCAGGAGTAGCTTGTGTATGAGCTTGATTGCGAGGTGCATGCAGCTCATTCCACCAGGACTCTTGGCGCACAATATAAAGCACATGGCAGGTTGAACAAGATGGACGTTCAGACTAGTCAAGGATGAATCTGCAAAGGGCCTTTGCCACCTTTCTCACACAATCGAAGGAGAGTCGCACAGAAATGGGGTTCACACAGATGGGAGGTGAGCCTGCACGGTTTCCTTGCTGGAAATGCAGCAGCCGCAGTTCCAGCATAAAAATTTCCAAAAAGGTGCGGCGCGAGCAGGGTTCGAACCTGGACGATGTCCTTGCCGGAGTAGCCGGCGAGGAGGTCGCCATCGGGGTCGGGGGTGCAGTAGCGGCCGTTGTGGATGCACTGGGACTGGCACTCGTCGGAGGAGCGGTAGGACTCGGGGCACACCCACACGATGTAGTGCGGCGTGAAGCGCGTCCAGTTCCCCTCCAGCTCCCGCGCTACTGGCACAAATTCCTGCGCGCATGCATCAGTACCATTACGTGCATGCAACACCACAATTATGTAATCACAAGTTTCAGAGCTCATCGGCAGCTCTGAAGGGCTGCAGAGTTTCTAAGTGGCTGGTGGGGATCCTCCCACACACAGTCTATACTGAGGCAGCAAGTATGCACATATGGCGGCCACGTAAAGATGACGTGGCCCATGCAAACATCCTTCTGGAATCCGTATCTCTGTGCTGCCCCAAAATCATGTCTTGGCAGCAGTGCAACATATTACCATGCACCATGAGTGAGGTTTGCTTCAAGAAGCGCTCCTGAGCTTTAGAATTTAGCAAGAACCAGCAAGTGCACGGCGGGGAAGCAGCAGCAAGTGCACGGCAGGGCGGGCGCACCTTGATGAACTCCTTCTGGACGTCGCAGACGGCGCCGCACATGTCATTGCTGTTGGTCCAGAACTCCCACTCCACCTGATCCATCACGCACAAATACACATCACGAAATTGCACAATGCATTACTCGCAAAGAGTTCCTAAAGCGGCGCCGCTCTGCACCTCAAGATTGCAGCGCAAAGAGCTCTCTCCTTTGCGTCTACCTTACTAGGATCTTTCGACTGCTCTCAGGGTCCTCAGAAGGAGAACCCAAGAATGTGAGCACACTGTGCTGTAAAGAACACAGGTGGTGCTGGGACCACATTAGATGCAGTAAGCCAACATGCACATGCATATGACAAGGCCGGGAACAAGCCAGCCACAAAGGAACAGGACGGCGCATTAGCATCAGTCGGATGATGTGGCCTCGATTCTCTCTTTGGAAGTTCGAATGGACTACCCTGTAAGAGTTACAAGCCTAACCAGCATGCTCGTAAACTAGCTCCTTCTATTTTTGCAAGCAACAAAAATGAAATTCACCTTGCGGGCACGTGGCAGAACATCATTCCAGTCGAGGACCACGTACACATCGTCCGGCTGAGCATTGCCGGGGGTCTTCTTGAACAGGTCCTTCAGCACCTGGCCGTCCGACTTGGTGATGAACGCCGCTGGAATGGTGATGTTGCGCAGATACCTGCACAGACATGAATTGGCCAATCAGAACGGCAATTTGACAATTGTGGTCCCTTGCGCTGCGGATTAGATACATATTCACCGTCAGAGACGCCAGTTCTAGATAGTTGTCGTCAGACATCATGAAGCGGAGGTGAGCAGATGCTGTCACGAGCTAGTCCAGAGCAGGAGAAAACTCTGTCCAAGCTGATTCTCAGTGCCACGAGTGTCAAGGACTTGAGGGGCCACACGCTCAGCCAGTCATTTGGATGCAGCAGCACATATTCATTGTTGCATTTTGTCTTCCAAGTCTGCTGCTCTCTGCTGCATCCTCACAACTGACTTGGTGCGTGGCTCCCCAAAAAACTTGCTTGCTCTCATGATCATAGCATGCACATTTGCGCCAACATGCCTGATGATGCAAATCCAGTACTGTGCAACTCTTAATATACTGGCACGCGTGCTGGACACAAGAAAGACGCAAGAACACATTGGTCTGGCAAATAACTTTGGAGTGAGAAGAGCAGGACAATCACCTGTATGAAATCTCATCCTGGTCATCTGGGGCCTCCATGGTTGTGTGCTTGTCCTCATAGTTCACCACAACAACCTGCATTTGAGTTCAAGACTATTGTTCAACTATTGTAAAGCTGGCAATGGACACTGCGCACTTGACACAGCGTGAACAGGCTGGATAAGTCCAAGCCAGCTTGAAGAGAGGACTCACCCCCTGGGCTCCTGCCTCCTGGGCATTCCAAACCTTCTCCGCGAATTTGCAGGGAGCCATGTCGTCCTCGACTGCAGCAGCGATCTCGCATCAGCAAAGTACAGGGCAGACAAACTCCCAAGCACATCCACAGGAATCGAGAAATCGGGGACTTACGTGGGCCTCGGTCTACAAGCATGATGTAGTTGGTTCGCTGCCCCGGTCTGTCCGGATTCGTTGATGGATTTAATTTGAAGGGAGGGCTCGCTTGCTGCACACAGAAATCACAACTACTCAGCCATCTGTACAAAAGTACCAAGACAATAGAGAATCGAGCTAGGTCCAAGACGCACCGAGAATGGTTGGCATGCATAGTTGCAGCTAGGAATGCAGGTGTTCGGATGACCGTGATCCGCGTCCACATACACCAGCTTGCCCCTGCGCGCAGCACCCGGGTCGCGTCACTAGATCTGGCAAAGCCTAGCGTGCAGGGAACTAGCAGGTTCCGTCGGGCCCGGGAGCACTCACATCAGCGATCCTCCATACTTTGGAGCTCCAAAATTTGCTAGACTCATGTCAAAGCCCTTTGGGTGCGCCTTCGCAGCTGCCTTCGGGAACGAAATCTTCAGACCGCCCTGCTCAATCACGAATCGGGCCTGCACGAGGCTGCCAGAGAGCACGGCGAGGCCAAGGACCACCGCTAACCTCGTACTGGACACCATCCCTCTGTCTCTCTGTCCCGGAATGCAATTCACGTTCTGCTTGGTGAGTCCCTCAGCACAATTCACGATCTCATACTAAAAAACCGCATCGCAGCCTGGTAAGACTTTCCCTTCGACGATGCCCGCACGCAGCTTCAATATAGCAGCTCTAAGCAGACATCGGGCAGATCCTTGACAAATCCTGACCTTGAGGGACAGGAGAACGCACTGACGTTACTAGTTACTAGTTTGTGTGAGAGACCACGTTCCAGATTTCGCCAGGTTTTGGGCGGAAGTGCCAGCTGCAGCAATTCCAGCTGGCTTTACTGAACCTGTGCAAACTCCTCTATTCTCTCAAATTCTGCGAGACTTCAAAGCACCTGTGTTTTTGAATCGTGGAGTTTGATTATCCAATGAGATACGAAATGCAGATTTCTTTTGTCCTGGAGGTCGACTGAACATTTTATAAAACACGCCTTCATCTGATCACTGGGATCCCATGTCTCACGTAAAACAAAGGAAGGAGCATCTAGGACCCTTTGCTGGCGTCGACAGACTGTCCACTCTAGGTCAGATGCTTTTGTATGGCTAAGAGGTGTTCCATGCGACGTACAACGGCTTTGACATCCACTAGCTAGTCCTTCTTTGCCAGAAAATAGGAAAGGCGAAAGCTAATGTTTTACAATTATGATGCAGGTGGCACAAATATCGGTTTGTCAGTCGTCGGTGTGCAGTGTACTCTCTTTCAGGACGCAGATGGCAGGATTGCTGAAGCACTCGAGCACAACCTGCTGCGCTGGGGCCCAGATGAGCATGCTTTGGTAGACAGATTCGATGCCAGACTCCTCTTGGACAGCATTCCGGCCGCCTCAACTTCCAGGTCTGCACCCTTGCGCCACCTGCTCTGATGGATGCTTGACGTTCGAGGATCTGACATTGTCAGTATAGCTGAACTTTACTGTTGTCATGGCAATCAGGAAGGACTGTGCTGTGCAGGCAAGTGTCAGGCGCTGACGAGGAAGCCGAGGAAGAAGAGCTAGACGAGGAACGCTATGCAGACCTGGACTACAGCCGGGAGGCAGCACTGCAGCACCCTTGGGCCGCAGGTGCTCATGCAAAACTCCATTTTTCATCCATGCAGTCTCGTGCTTGGCCTACTACTCATTGCATCTGTTCCACACCAGAACATGCAGCGAACACACCTGCCTTGTTGCTTGCATGTCTGCTTGACAAATCTCAGTGCTAATGACGGTACATTTACTGCTGATCCACCCTTGCTGCGTGTATTAGGCAGGCTGAGACTCATCTATACACATGGTCATCGAGTCCATTGCTACAGAAGCCTTGACCATGCAAGTATGTTGCATTATCAGGCGTACCTCCAGTACCAGCAACGCTAGAAGATCAGCCTAGCGGCGAGGATGCATCGCCAGAGGGAGATGCAGCAACAGGCGATGGGAATTTTGCGGCCGTGGGCTTTTCTTACGGCGGCGGTGAGGGGGTGGCGGATGCGATAGAGCCGGGGAGCGAAGCCGATGGAGAGGGATATGACCCCGGCTTTCCGATGCCCTCGCACCTGTCTCCTCTGCTCCGCGGCGTCACAGACCGCTCTCACAAGGTGCAGGTTATGCCTCTGTCCTGAACTTGAGGTTCAGAACATTTTGTGGCTTAGGGAGCGGCCTTGACTGACCAAGGCTTGCATGACAATGCTGTCATCTGCTCAGGAAGACTGGTTTGCACGCCTGGCATGGGCAGCAGAATCGTATGCTGAAAACGAAGTGCCACCTGCGTGCCTTGCATTCATGCAAGAGGATGCACACTCTTGATAAGCAGTGTGTGCTGCAGATCATGATGCAGACAGCGCGCTTTGTGCGCGAGTCAGGCGGACACTCGGAGCTGGTGTTGCGCGTTCGCCAGGCCAGCAACCCCAACTTTACCTTCCTTCGGCCTGACAATCCCCGCCACCCCTACTTCCAGTGGCTCGTCTCTGCTGACCCCCAGGTCACATCCCCCTAGCTTCCTGCAAAACCGAAAATTTGTAGTGTCCCCTGTTCAACAGAGTCAGAGGAAAGGCACGGGGGGCTTTGAGAGATGTGAGGCAAAGACCAGTCTAGAACAGTTTTTGACCGTGTTGCATAACATCCGCGCTTTCCCCTTGGATTGGCACAGCCAAGCATTGCCAGCCATCTCTGCTTGACGCCATGAAAATTATAAAAGTTTGCCGAGATGAATTGCTTCCTGCAGGTGACAGTGGAGGGAAGCAAAGAAGGAGAGTCAGACGAAGCTGCAGTTCCTGACAGCACCGCGCCTGAGTCAGCAGCAGACGGCACTGAGCTGGCGGGCAGCGAGAACGCGCTGAGCATGCTGAGCGCGTACGGCAGCCAGCACATCGGGTCTCCCCGCTCTGCTGCGGGGGAACCCCCCGTGGCCACCGACGGCAATGCTCCAAATCAGGCTCCTCCCCCGGGTTCCCCTCGGCTGCATCCGTTTGACGGCGCCCCCGCTGCCGCCAGCCTGGCGGCTGACCTGGCTATCACAGATATGGTCTGTGCTGCTGTGACGGCTGCGGACAGTGCCACTGCTGCGGCGAGTGTAACCGGGGCCAGTCAGAAATCACAGCATGGGGGAGAGAGAACAGCGGCGGAGACAGCACAGCAGGAGGGAATGCCGCCGGAGGACGTGCAGGCAATCATGGCGAAGCTGGTCGCCTTTGTGAAGGTGCGCCCCGGCCGAGTGTATCCTGCGATGCGCCAAAACTGGACCAACCTGGTGGAACTGCGGAGCTGCGGCTGACTGGATGCTGAACGGACTGCACAAACGCCCACAGGTGACCGGGCAAATGAAACGTGCATCTGTTCATCTGTTTCTTATTGGGTGCTCATTTCTCTCGCTTGAGAACCCTCAGTACACAACAAACATGCTCATCATTTTGGGCGTGATTTGGGCTCAGTTATCACTGAAAAGAACATTGATGTACTTTTCAGCTGGCAATTTGGGAATGGATTTACAGCGTTTGACACTAAGAATGCTCTCAGAAGAATTTGGAACGCCATTTCAGACCGTCCAATGAGGAAAGTGTCTAGGCCGATTAAAACCATTTGTCGCATGGATAAGAGGGCTGGTGTTGAGGTCAATGATGTGCACACTGCAGAAGAATGGTGTGAAGTTTGAGGCAAGCGTGCGCAAACGCGAGAGAGCCAACCCCCGGTTCGCCTTTCTGCATCCTAGCAACGAGCACCACTGGTACTACAGGTGACCAGAACTTACTCCCACATTCCCCTGTCATATCCAACGGACACACACCTGAAACTTACCTGCAAGCTTCCCTGTGTGATCATTTCTAGATCAAGTTTTACATCAAGTTCTAGATCAAGGTCATGGACATCTAGAAAATTGGATGCCCTGCTTGGCATTCTGTGGAGAAGACAGAGGACAGCTGTCTCATAGTTTTGTGACAGTACTCAAGGGGTTATCTTCACAGGGACCACATGCAAAGATATTAGTGTGCCACCTTGCAGGCAGCTTTTGGCAGAAGCGCTCGGCGCCGAGGCAGCACAGCAGGTGTTTGCTGCCATCCCCAAGGAGCCATCCACCCCAGCGACCACAGCAGCTGTCAGCGCAGACAGGATTGGACATGAACAGGAGGCGCCTGCACGCTCTGAGGAGACTGGAGCGGCTACTCTGGAGGGACCGATGGAAGGGCCAGCTGTTGGGAGAGATGAGACTGCAGACGCAAGTGTCCCTACCGCTGCCCAAGCCGGGCAGAAGCTTGCAAAAAAGCCTGCAGGTGCGGCTGCACTCTTGAGATGGGAAGTCTCCAAGGGAGGGTAACAAGGAACTGCATGTTAGCCTTTGACTTCAGTCATGGCATCCCTTCTGGTTGTTCCTGGATTTTAGAAATCAGAAGTCATGTTTGGGTGTGGTAAATGCTTGCGATGCTTCATACAGGAGGGGCGGTGTTCACAATTAAAGCCAATCCCAGCGTGGCAGGGATTGCCACGGTGCGCCGACCAAAAGACTACGTTGAGTCGGCGGAGCCTGCTGTCCTACACGTTGAAGGGGGCAACTCTCCCAATGGGAACACTGGGGTGCCGCCAGAAGCAGCGCCCAATGATTCGGCAGCAGCTGCTGCTAACAGCAATGGCAGCGACAGCGGGAGTGAAAGCTCTGACAGCGATCCTGACAGGTGTGTCTTTCCGCCACAATCCAAAGAGTCACAAGTTTCTGTGTTGCCCAGTCGTGCCTTCCTGCGCCAATGCACATTTCGCCTGTGCTCTGTATGTGCCTATCTGTCTTTCTTTTAATGTGACAACCTGCAAAACATTACATTGAAAATATGCATACACCTTGGCAGTATCTGGAAACCATCAGGATTTTCAGGCGCCATCTTGACCTGCTACAACAGGCTTCGGATGCTTGTGCAGGGAGGGCACGCCCCAGGATGACGGCTTACCACTGTCGGAGGGAACGGCGGAGGAGACCGCGCGAGCGGCCAGTGCCAGGCTGGCGCGCGCGTGGAGCAGCGGCCGCGGCGTCGAGTCGGCGCTCGCGGCTGCTGCCGCTGCCGACGCCGCCAAAGCCACCGACGATCAGAAAGCAGAACGCCGACGGTGCGTGCTCCCTGATGGGCCGATCACTGTGCTGCTTTGATGCTTTATTTACTGCTTTCAGACAGCGAGAAAAGCTCATGTTAGGTATCATGCATATATCCATGCTGCTGCTTGCCTTATGTAGACTTTTCATCAAAGCTTGGCCGTCGGATGACCCTCTTTGGACAACACAGCGAGGGGGTCATGCCCAGATTGCTGAGGCAGTGTGAAGACAATTGGAAAAACACAAGCTTGGCAGTGTCTACTGGGAAGTGCAGTGTCTGGTAACTGATTCAAAGCAACTGCGTGTTCTGGCGCGCAGGCTGGCGGCGCAGCTTCTGGCGTCGCGCAGGGCGGCTGCCGCGCAGCTGCTCGCGCCGGAAGCTCCCAGAAGCTCAACTGCAATTGCAAACCACCGTCTGGCCCTGCTCGCTGAGGCAAGTCACATTCTGATGCTTCATCTGTCAAGAAACATCGTCGACTTGCTATCACATTAAGGTTCTGATGTGAAAGTCTGGCAACCAGGTCTCTTGCTACTGCAGCCACGCAAACAAAGACAGCCTGAGGCAGGACTATTTCCTAATGATCGAACGTTCCTCTGAGCAATGCAAATCTGAGCCATAGTTTTGATGGGTTTGGTTGGCCAGTCAAGGTCTGCATTCTGTGTGTGCCAGTGATAAGGTGAGCTTAATACAACAAAGGCCATCAAAATTGTTTCTTGACCCGTATGTGGTGACGGTGCAGGACCCAGACTCCATAGCACCAGAGGAAGAAAAGGAGGCCGGGGAGATAAAAAAGGTAGAAAGGTCTGCGGCGCCAAAGATCGCTTCGCCCAATCAGGCGCCAGAGCCGCAGCAGACGTTGCCTAAATTGGAGGACATCCTTCGGCCGCGAGTCATCCGGTCGCCCAGCGCGTCCGGCAATGACTCACCCGATGAGTCATCCAATGACAGCGCCGGCATCTCTGACAGGCACAGGTGCTTGTTCTTGCCATGGGACAACACATCCTCGCCACCTTTGATGATGAGATCTCTTGTGCGATGCCCAGAACAGAACCTGACAGAGAAGAGAAGGCAAATCTCCGGTTTGTATATGTGTGCCAAGCGCGTTGCATGGCATCGGGACTGCCCACTGCCACTCAAAGCATTTGCAAACTTCGATAAAAAGTATTATATCTGACCATATGGCCTTGTCTGAGAAAATGCAGGATTAGTGATTAAGTATCACAGTTGTGCTGCAGGAGCAACAGGCACAGGACAGAGGAGCGACCCAGGCCTGACAGGGACAGCAGCTCGGACCGGCGGCGGCACGCGCACGAGAGGGAACACAGCAGCAGACAGGCCGAGCGCAGCAGCCGCCACCGGCACACTCGCAGCCGCGACTGCGACCGTGACAGGTGCCCTGCCCACTACTGTAGCAGTCTTACTAACCCCCACTAAATAACTTTGAGCATGCAAACGTTTTAATAACAGGTGTTCGAGGTACGGGATCTTGGGGTTGCGGGAATACAAGATAATAGCTTTTTAACGTGCGGGTAAGCCCTTTAAATGCAGCTGACAATGCAAACGGAGGAGACCCTTTTTGATATGTTCTGCCTTGGAGGGTTCTAGGTCAAGATTTGCAGAACTTGTTTTAGGGGTTTTGGTTTGACTACTACAATCATGATCGATGGTGCTCCTGGGCAGGAGGTAACGTGCATGTTGCACTCATTGCATCTACATCGCAAGGCGCTCCTTTCTCATCCCTTTTGGCGCGCACTCTGCTTTGATGTCTGCATTCCTCTCCCTCTGTAATCACCTCGACAGTGGATGCAGGGCGCATCGGATTCAGTGTCAAGGCACACACTGTGAACGCCTGTATGCACCTCGCATTTCTGCATCTGAGTCTCTGGAGTTTGTCAGGCTGTGGTTTCGCTGACATGTCAGATGTGGCAATCAAAATCTTCGCCTTCGAGTGCTGCTTCATGTCTCACATGTGCATGAGCGAAGTACATTTGCACCCCCGGACACATGCTGTCCTTTTCACGCTGGCTGGCCTTCTTTAAAAGTTTTGGATCAACGCTGTTCAGGAGTGACGGCAGCCGAGGCAGAGAGCGCAGGAGAAGCAGACATAGAAGCCACAGCAGCGACCGTGTCCGGGAGAGAGATTCAGGAAAAAGAGAACGAGAGGACGACATGAGGAGGAAGAAGCACAGCAGCAGAAGGGAAGGCAGCGGGTCAAAGAGCAGCAAGGGGAAGAGGGCAGGCGCGCATGAAGAATCTAGCAAACCAAAGAAGGCAAGGAAGCAAAAGCATGATTGGGGCATTGCGAGTGCCGCCCCGGCAGTGCAGCAGGTGCCTGCAGAAGAGAGAAAGGCGCCGAGTGTGTCCATTGCTGAAGTGCCTGACGATCTGCGTGCCCGCATCAAAGCCATGCTGGCCAAGAAGTGAATGATGCAGCGCTGTAATAGAGACGCTTGTGGGATGACCTTGGCTCTGTGATCATGACCTTTCACCTTTCAAGTGAGGGAATGGAATCAATATCTGATGCACTATTAATATATGCTCAAACTTGCATATGCTCACACTGGCATATGTAACATGAACAGCCAACCGCGAATTCTGGCGCTCGCACAACCTTGTATGTCTGGCATATAAGTCTCTCCATTGGCCAAGTCTTCTAAATGCCAAGTCTTGTTGAGATCAACTGGGCATTCAGAAATTTGCGTAGTGCTGTTGCAACTGAGGTCAATTGAGGCATCAGCACATTTATCAAGCTTTCAATAACGCAATACTTACAGCTGTACACAGACGCTAGTTTTTAACGCGAGGCACAATGCATAATGCCTCAGGCATAGTCAAACAGCGAAAGTGCACTGCATGCCAGCTCTTCACGCACTCAAAGCCTTGCATCCACACCAACAATATCCTAACACACATGCTGCAATTACATAGCAATTGCCGCCGTAGTAACATAGCAATGTATTTATCTGGACATAGTAGGCTGCAAGGGTGCATTTGCGAGTTGACAAGGCTGCAAGCCTGTGCATATCGGCCCCGGGTTCCGGCTGCAGACGGACCTGTGTATGCCCTATGGCCCTCTGGGCTCTGGGTTCGCCACTCGTACAGAATATTATTATTATTATTATTATTATTATAGTATCCAGGTGACCTCCAGGGCCTTGATGGGGCACACTATCAAAGATAAACGTCATGATATATTAGCCAATGTCTCGCACGAGTATATTCAACCTGCCACCACCATGTTGCTCATGTGATAACCACAATGTCACTTCCAGCACTCCCTTGCGGAATACTAAGCAAACTCCATAATTCATACACCCCTAGGGCCTGCTCTCCAGGGGGTTCTATATCTTAGATGTAGAACCCCCTGTGCTCTCATTCTCATTTGGCAACTATCACCAATTGCAACATGATGCCTTTGCAGCTCAATGTGTGTGCATCTCAGCAAACAGCACCAAACAAACTTGTGCATCGCAAGATGCACGTCTCAAGTTTCACTTTTCTCAACCGAAGCAGACATGACATATCATACATACAAGCCCAGCAATGCTGACTTTTTTATTGGCTAAAGGACGTCTTGCAGATTCCTCACAGCCGCACATCTGCTGTTTCGGCAAAGCAATGGGGTCACACAAGATCATCAAACTTCAGATAACCGAGGAACCGTAAAGAGAAGCACGCTCAACTGAGGAGGCGGTCCCGCAATTCAATGATGGTCAACTGCTAGCCAAGAAATATGTGCAGAATGCAGACGACAAGCAGAGAATCTTACTCCCTTCTTATAGGATAGCAACCCCTTTAGAGCTGCTTCAAAAAAGGGCCTGCAGCTCCAACAAACTCCCAATAAATCAGGGATCCTTGGACTTCCGGAAAAGACACTCAATGTACACAGCACCCACAAGAAAGGTGCCGGGGAGTAAGTGCAACCCAGTTCCATAAATGAAATGCCTATGACAGGTCTTATTTGGCCTACAGACCAAAAGCTGTCCCTATCTGTCACCTATGGTCTAAAGAACCACAAACATAGGCGCTTGAATCAGATAAAAATCGCCAAGGCTGGCAGCTAAAGCCTGAAAACTTGGGGGCCACTGCCGAGCAGCACTGGGCCTCGCAAAAAACGATGCGTGGCCACAAATGCAGCTGGCAGGTTTTGCCCATACATAGCAGCATAGAGACTGCAGGGGCGTTGCCACAATACATGAGGCAGACTCCCCTGCTCAACACATCAAGTCCTCATCATCTCTCTTGTTTTCCCATCAAGTTCGCAATAAGAACACAGGAGCCACCCCCCACAGGTCAGTGCACAGTGCGAGAATAATAAGCGAGGAGCATGACTGACTCTGGCAGACGCTCCCCAGACATGATCGGAGCCCCCATGAATCAGAGATGGATGGTGTACAAAGGCTGTCTTCAGGTGGCAGGCTTGGCAGCCAAGACAGGCCAGGAGCCCTGCCAAAATGAATGCCCCTGCCCACAGATGATGGTCGAATACTTTGCTTCCATCGACTGGTTCGCAAGGTCCTTCAAGCGCTTATGTAATCTGTAGCTGGTGGCTGATGTCATCTATCAAATGCGCTCTGCCCTTGAATTGCCTCTCCCCTCCCGAGTTTCTGCCTCGTCCAGCTGTGCTGCAGGAGTGCTGCAGCCTTGAGCATACTGCTCATCGTGTCTTGCGCCCAGTAATTAGCTCAAATTCACAACCCATTTCCAGGAGCATGCCCAACAAAAGGCCCCTTCTGCCTTTAAAATCGGCTGGGTGACCTTGGGCATTCTTGCTGCGCGGTTAGGAGCCTTTCTTTTTCTTGGACGCCAGCAGGCTAGCGCTGGGCATGGGCAGGGCTTCAGGTGTGGGGGGCAGAGAAAACCCCGGCCCAGCCCATTTTGACAGCAGAACGCTGCGCAGCTCCTGTTCCTGCTGCGACGGCGGCGCCAGGAAGCTGAAGGGTGCGCTGCCCTGCTTGGGCTGCCCGCTGGGCACTCTCTGGGCAGCTGCGGGCACCACTCACTCAATCAGTCAGTCACACTACTCCGTTCCAGCCAAGTCAACGAGTCAGATATAGGGATCAGGCGCCGGTTCAACAGCCACGTGAAGATAAAATGAGACTCGCTTGCGCTTGCACTTTTGGATCTACAATTCAGCTACCTGAGAAGAGAGAATCTGACACAGATGCGACCGGTCACCATTATGCCTCCGAGGCTGGTGGCAGGATCAGTATCAGTTCGCGTCAGATCCCTGCATCCCTGCATGACTGAGAGTACCAGAACCAGTGCGGTCAGGTATAAGGCTCTCTTATACCATCACAGCACTATCTCCTGCACACCCTAGCATGCAGGACCCCAGTGACCTGATGTGCCCACCACACTCGTCATAAGCAAGTGCCCCACTCCCCATATGGACGATGAAGCCTTGCTCACCTGGAATGGCGAAGGCTGCTGCTCGTGTGGGAAGGCCCCTGAGCTGTTGGGCCTCTGAGGGCTGCTGACGCGCTGGCAGGGCGCCCGGCGCAGAGGCGTGCTTGTACAGTGATCCATCCTTGTTGCGGTGTGCAAGAGCCGTCTGCCTTACAGCAGGAGACGCCGCATCGGTCTGCTTCGGTGTTGCATTGGAGGACGGCTGCGCTGTCCGCTTTGGTGTTGGCAGCTGCTTCGGTGTTGCTGGCATCTGCTGAGGTGCTGCTGCCTTCTTTGGGCGAGTGATCCTGGTTGCATACAATTAAAGTAAATGCCAGGACACACCTTTGACAGTGAAGCTCCAAGATGGATGCCAGGACAGCAATTGGGTCTTAAGGTGCTCTGACGACAGGGCCTTTCGCAGTGAGTACAAGGATGGGGTTTACTCTGAATGGCTAGGGAGCGTACTTGTCCTGCTCTTTTTGTGTCTTCTTGTTTGCAGCCTTAGGAAGCGGCAGCGCTTCGGCGTTTGGACCGTCTTCTTGTCTGCTGGGTCTCTTTCCTTTCTGTTCAGCTGGCTTTCTGCTAGGGAAGCACACCTGCTAGTGAGTTTACAACAAAATTGGTAGGATACAATGACTGAACGGAGCCATGCCTCTCTCTTTCGCACAAGGGATCGGAGAAGCAGGTATGATATTTAACACAGCCCAGCAGGAAAACTCACTTGAGACTGACGCACGGTTTTGTCTCCTCGAGGATCTCCCTCAAGCGGTCCTCCATGGGCTCGGATCTTTGATGCACCCCTGGATTCATTCTGCATGACACGGAAGCTAATATGAGACAGACTCTTGTGCATGTGGTCCAAAACCCGTATACAGGTGTCTCTGACTGTTCCCAAACAAATATTCCCTCAACCAAGAAACAGCTCAAAACTGCAGTCTTGCCCTTTAATAAACTAAATATGACTCTAGATACGAAGCCTCCGTACACCGGTTCAATTCCACACTTGGCAACAGAACATGTGCCCTTACCTACTGTTTGCTGTCAAGACTGTCGTCATGGCAGCTTGGAGTGGCCTGCGGTGGTCGTTTACAGGTCTCTGGCACGCAAAAGCAACAATCTGCTAGTTCTGCCTCCCAAACGGGCATTACTTAGCAAGCCTCAATTGATGATATATCTGAGGCGAGCTCTTCAGAAGAACCTCAAAAAGCGGGGAGGCCAAGACCACCGCCGCTCACTACGGGGGGGACCGCTCAGCTCCAAGAAAGCTTTTGGGACGGAAATTTTGTCTGAGTCACCCGTCATGCAACCCAAGAGACACCACAATCCCATGCAATTAACATGAAGTGGCAATCGTACTCTGGTGTTGCGACCGATGATGGGGAACACACAGACAAGGAAAGCAGTGATGGGCACTTCATCTCAGGAGCACAGTCTACACAAGGTCTAGGAGCGCAAACACGCCCAGAGAGGAACAACACGGACCAACGGACGCACTCTGTGCTGGGGTTCGGTACCGAAAACACCGTTGAAGGTACTTTGCGATGGTGACATGTGCTGCAGACTGCAACGAAACGTTTGCTTGTGACCATGTAGATTACTTCAGAAACGCCTTGAATGCGCTATAATAATCTTCATTTCGCATTCCTGCTCCGGATCGATCAAAATTTCCAGGGTTTGCAGGTCGTGTTGCTTCGTCACTTCATCTTCTGAACTCCAAGACATAAGACGTGCAATCGCATGCCTATCTTTCTGTTAGCATATACTGAACGTCAGCAGGATATACTTTTGTTCTTTTCATCCTTCTTTGGTGTTCATGGCCGGTTGCCTGAAGCTTGTGTGTGGGAATTGGCTCTGCAGCTTTGAAGTCGAGGGGAATGGGGCTTGCAAACTTCCTGCGGGACAAAACTGCAGCAGCCAGCGAAAGCCTCAAGCAGCGCGACTGGACCAGGGAGCAGCTTGCAATCTCCTCGCTCAAGACCTGGAGCACAGGGTGGGTCCATTGCTTGCTTTCCTCCACCCCAGACTGCTCTTCTTCCTCACTTTTTACATGGTCAAGGACCAACGACGTAGATGTAGCACAGAGTACTGTAGCAGTGCTCTCTTCCAAAATCTGGCTAACGTTTTTGGCGTGTGTGCAGGGCAGCAGAGCGGGTGCAGATAGCCACAGCACTGGGCATCAAGCAGGCCAAGGACGGCATCAGGTCCTTCGCAGGCGGCCCGCTCTCGGTGAGCCTCCCTAGCACTCACCAATTCAAGTCTGTGAAAGTGACTGACAGCTCGTAACGGACGCACTGGAGCATGCACAATGCATGTGGGGCCAGGCATTCCAAGGGCCTGCTTCATGTTGCGCAAGCGAGTGATAGCCTGCCAAGAACACACGAAGGGAACAGGATCAACAGAAAAGGTACCATCTGTTCTGTTGGACCGTGGCATGTCGTGTGCAAGTTCTCTAAAACTCCAAGAAGGTGCCAAGATGGCTGCAATTGTGCAGCCATGCATGCTGCGAGGGGGTGCAGGCACTTAGAGAATCGGACCCGATGTGAGTGTTGCATGCCTCCGCAGAGCATCTGCAAGCAGGAGGCGGCGAATCGGCCCTGTCCGCGGATAATCCTGGTCTGCTGCACGCACCTCGTCACAGGGGGCCTCTCAGCAGAGGGCCTCTTCCAGAAGGATGCCCCAGAGGACCTCGTGCACTTCCTGCTGGGTGCCTTCGAGGAAGGTGAGACCTTCATCACATCTCGCACGAGGGTGGTGATCTTGCAGCTGACAGACCACTTGATAGAGCTTTCCTAGTTTATTATTTACGTCATTTTGGCAATTGGCAACTAAAAGGGGACATGTCAGAAATTTTGCGCTCTCTTTGCTGAGATAACCATCTGATCACTTGGTGCTGGTGTGCAGGTGCTGGTGTTGTGATGCCTCCACCAGGTATGCAAAGCTCCTTGGATTACTTATTTGCACTCAAAAACTCTGTGATGATCTTCTGATGACCTCTATTCATGGCCATCAGGCATCACAGCCCACTTGTCATGTTTATTGCAGCTGCATGGTTGATATATGTTGCCTCTGGATCACAGGCACATCGCCGCATGTGGTGGCAAACACCCTGAAGCGCTTCCTGCTCACCCTGCCAGAGCCCCTCCTCACATACAAGTGCGTGCCTCCCTTGCAAAATGTCCTGAAATGGGCCTTTTTTAGTCTCCATAAAAAGCTGCGCAATTCAAGAAAAGCCGCTCAGGATTCTGTCATAGTGGCAGTAGCGAAATTCTGTCCCGTGTAATCCTGCCTGGGGCTAAGGGTGGTTTTAGTCCTTTGGTTCCAAGGGGAAAGAAGTTGCAACCTCTGCCCAGCATGTTTTGTGTATCGTCTGTTGCTTATTGCATCATTCAACCTCATTGGGTTTAGGAGGAGTGGCATTGGATGTGCCGCCCCTGCACCCGGCTGTGTATAACAGGAACCCTGCCCAATTTTGATTTAGTAATTATGTCACATATGCGCAGGCTGCTGCCGCACTTCATCCAGGCGGGGCTGGAGAGCCCATCGCGCTGCGCCATCATCATCAGCGAGCTGCCCGTGCCCAACCAGACCAGCCTCCAAATCCTGCTCGAGACCCTCTACCGGTGCGCGCATGCCAGGCTCTCAATCTAGATATGTGTGCCCCTGTGCGCCTAGCTAGGCAGCAGCAGGACTTTCACAAGCCAGACACCAAGCTTCGCAGCGCTTGAAATTTTGGAAGTCACGCATCCCGTGTCACTTAGAATGATAGTCATTCCTGAAGTGTCTTAAGCAACCGCCAATGATCGTCATGGCTGAGCCTTCTCTACAATCCTAGTAAATTTCCTTTCCAATTGGAAGACACCCACTATGCAGGCACAGCACAGCGCATGGCATCTGCATGGGAAATGACTCTGACCCCCAACGAAGGTTCTTTGCACTGGGAAAAGCTCAATCGGAGCAAAGCACACAGGAGGGGTCGACGTATCTCTGGGTTATGTGGTTTTGAAAGCAGGGGGATTGTTGCGGTGTACAGGGTGGCAGGGAACGCTGCGGAGAACGAGATGGATGCGCATGCGCTGGCGCTGTCTCTCGCGCACTGCATCGCCTGGCACCCACCGCCGCACCACGAGCGCAGAAGGGTGAGCCCCAAAAAACAAGTGGGTATAAGTTATTGTAGTCCCACAGAATGGGAACCGCCCTCAGCGATGCGACGCGGAGCTCCAGGACAGCAATCGGTAGAACTGGTCTTGAAATTGCACTCCAAGTGGTTCAGAAACTGCTGGGGCAGACTGGTGTCCTGGATGCTTTGTGACACGTGCTGAGGGCTCTTAGCTGAGGCCCAGTCTATCTGCGCTGCCAGTGTCATACTGCCATGTGAACAAGAATATTACAAAGAAAGAATGTCTCATCTGTGAAACTCGGCCTGCTGCTGGGTGTGGTCAAGCTTGTCAGTCTTTTACAGACATTACCCCTTGGAGGGTCCTCTCTTCCGCTTCTTGAACATGTGCTGAACGTCGGGGAAAAACAGAAACACTAGTCGTTGAGCTGCTGCATTCAAATAAGCAACGCATGTATGGCATGGAGCGGTGTTAGTTTGTGACATGGCTTCATGACTCGTGCATCGATACGGGCAGGTGGGCACGGCGCGAGCAGGCGAGGCGGGCAGCGATTATGGGGACGGCTTCGCGGGTGAGTCACCCACGGGCGGAGGCGTGCGGACCGATCTGTCGCCCGATGAGAACGGGGCGATCGTGGGGGCCCTGGATTACTTAATCTCCAATTTCCAGCACCTGTACAGCGGCGATGCCTCCCCGCTCTATAGCACCACGCACACCCTGGAATGAAGACCCTCTCTTTCTTTATGTGCAAGGGATACAGGGGGGAACTGTCAGGAATTTCTATGGCTCGTCCCAGAGCCAGCCTGTTGTTAGAATCGCGGAGACCCCAAGGCAAAGGAAAATGAACGAGTGACAGACTGCCAGGGAGACCTGCAGCATGCGCAAAGCAACTAGGAGGTTGCCTTCATACAGTATATAGCAGGGCAAGGTGGCACCTTAGGGTCCAAGGAGTCCATAGGATGAGTACTCTCTCCTAGCAGTATTAGGGGAGGGGAAACCTGACAGGGGGACCCTGTAGCTCTTAAATTCTGGGATTATGCCGAGCAGATCAGATAGGCGCAGGCGAGTCTCGAGCCGACGGTCTGTTGCAGGAGGGACTCTGAAGTAACAAAGGTTGGGGTGCGTTGAGGGCAGCCTTGGGATTCTGGAGGGAAGGAGAGCTGAGTGCAGGGTGCATGTTGGCGTTGAGACTGAGTAAGGAGCAAGCAGTACCTTCCAGTTTTGCCATGTGCGGCTGCTAGTGTGTCCCCTGTCAGGCAGATCATCATTGACCATTGGTCAACATGGAGAGAGAGAAAAACAGATGAGTCCCTGTCATTATGACACGGAAAAGTTTAGGCGTGTCATTTCTAAACATGTACTGTAGAACGTCCCGGCTTCAATCTGGTAGGCTACCAGTGGTAGCCAAAGCAGGATCTGCTGCGAGATGATAAGGCCTTCTGCAACTGCATGCAACTTGGTGCTGTAACAGGTACCTAGGTCCACTTCAAGATTAGGAAGTACACACCGGGAGACATGGCATGATAGTCCCATGTGAGATTGGTTCATACATTTCTCACTTTTCTCTGGGGAAGTGTCGTTTCAGAGGCCATGGGTCTAATGCATACATCCGTGATAGGTACATCACAGCTAGGTCACCCGGTGACCAGGACCTGCATGGTACCGGTGCAATAAGTATTAATCAATGTGCATGCCTACATGCAGAAGTGTGTGGTGGATATCTGGGCTCATGTAAGATCTGAAGAGCCTTGCCACCCGAGCATTCCTTCAACATCAATCTGCAACTCTGAAAGCCCAAAAAGAGGAAGGGTCAAGTGCAAGTCTGAAATCACAAGATCCTGAGTTTATCCCCAGGGTTGAAGGCCGGTACAGCGGTCTTCCAGCGGTCTCTGCTGACGTGAGGGCTCGAGCCCTGTGTAATCATCACTGTGATCCGCTGATTTCCGGCCAAAAAATGAGACGGTATTTGCGCTGCTTTAAGGCAAGACGAGACGCATCACAGAAGTGTGAGCGATCCGAACAAAAATGTGTCGATTGGTCGCCTGATATCGGCACGTCTTGGCGCGCCTAGTAAAGATGCACCTAAGGTCCTGAAGTGTGCCGAAGTTTGTTTGGCATTTGCAGCGAAGTAATTCTGTCTCACGTGTCGCCCAGATGTCAGAGACACGCAACAGGGCACAGGGCTAAAAGCTGCAAAGACCTTTCAACAGGTGCTGTGGCAGGCGTTTCCTGGTTAGAATTCAGAGCATCCACCCACGTGGGTGCAAACTTGTCTAATTCAGTGCTCATGTACCAACAGTCTCCTATTCATCATTTTTATCATCTGGGCTAGAGGCAAAGCTTGCAGCTGCAGGCCGATCACGCTGCCTGGATCGGGAGTGTGACCGAGAGCGTGAAGGTCCTCAGACGACGGGAGATTCAGAGGATGACCTGTAGAGAGGATTACAACCAAGGTATAATGTTCAGAAATGTTACCTCTTGTCACCAGAGAGTGACCGCGTCCGAAGTAGATGTAACGTGGCCATTGAACAAGTGATGGGCAGCAGTATGCCATCAAACCATCACGCTACAATACATGGAATCTGATGAAGCTTCTACTATCATGGTTTCCATACTGCGCAGGACGTAAAAAAGGAGGGATGTAAGAAGACCTTCTCAGGGTGTCTCATCGGGTGCGCCAGATGGCGACCCAGCAAAGACTGGAGCTTATATGCTGTTGGGGAGGCAGGGTGGTCTTACAGAATGAAAGGATAGTATGCGTTGGTGGGGACGCCGAGCGCTGCAATTTCTCGCCTCTACTTTCTTACGCTAATCTACGGTTGGCGATAGCGGCTTTGGTAGGGTGAGCACCGTTTCATCTTCGTACTGCCTTGCAATCAGCATCCATAAAGATGTATCAGCTTTAAATAGGACAATTCATACCGTTGGCATAGTCTGACACGGTCGGCACAGGCCAGCCCCGGCTGTAACTCCCGGTCGATGCCACAGGCTCGATGATGAGGAGTGGCGTCCAGCCTTCGAGCTGGATTACGCCTTACCATACGGCAGCGGCAGACTATTCCCAATTTCCTGCGACGCCCACTTCCAGGATCTAAAGGTAAACCAGACACCAAAGCCTGAGATGCACAACGATCATTGACCTCTGCTCTGAGCTGCACACGCCTCTTGCCTTCCCACTTGATGCTTCTTGCCGAGTATCCTGTGCCAAGTTGCTGGCCTTGTGCCTTGCATCAGTGCCTTAAATAATCTCTGGCAGAGACTGCTGGCTTGGGCATGCAGGCATCTTATGAGCACCTTCAGGAGCAGGCCCCTCCCTCGCCAGGAACAAAGCAGGACATCTGGCTCTATGTGCTGCCAGTCCAGGGGCGAACAAGGCAGCCGCACAGCTCAGAGGCCTCAGAGACCGTACCTCTACCCACAGCTTTCAGAGACTTTCCACAACAGCACCAACAGCAGCAGCAAAGAAGGTATGACCCACAGAGGGTCAGCAGCGAGATGCATTCGAACTCAAATTTGGATTCGTCCGGCGGGCAGAGTACGCTGCACCGGCTCAGCATGGACATGGGAAGCACTTACCACAGCCCCAGGTGAGGCACTATTGCTTCAATATCAGTGTAGCGGCAACAGTGTCAAGTCCACATGTGAGCCTTTGCCTTGACAGCCAAGCAAGTGCAGAGGCGCTTCTCTAGCTGATCAAGGCCAGCAGCCTAAGAATTAAGGCCACACGAGTCACCTTCACCGTGCCGTGCTGGGCTCTCAGCCTTCATCTTGTAGATGCCATATATAACCATCTACATCTTTTTGAGCTCCAGGAGTGGAGCAAACGTGGGGGACCAGGCTGCCAAGCCAAGTGCTTTCCACTGTCTTCTGATTTGGCGGTCGTTCTTCTTTTTATGACAGGCAGCTGGACATTTTGACGGCGTCCCCCTCAAAGCTGAGTCACGATGGTGGCCCCCCGAGGCCGGCGCCAAGCCTGCCGGGGCTGCAGGCAACGCCCTACGACAGCGGCGCGCACGCGGCACATGCCGGCGGCCACCCGGCACATGCCGGCAGGCGCTCGCTGGACATTAACATGCACCGCGGCCGGCCCCCTGATGTGCCCACCCTGGAGCTCGGAGCCTCCCCTCGAAAAGCTGCCCTCCTCAGGCAAGCATTTTTCTTTGGGTGATCTTGTGCTGAGGCCCTGGCAGTGCCTACATGTCACACTTATATTGCATTGCTTCCAGCCACTTCAGGGCTGATCCGATGCTCAACTCTTGTGCTTGTCAACCCTTCTTATGTTACTGCAAAATATGCATGGATGAGGGTACGCCTCCCGAGAGACCTGTTTGTCATCAGATGCTGGCGCTGCCTGAATGTGCAGCCTCTTTCTCCAAAAGTCTATCTGTCCCCGAGCATGCATGGTTCTAGTGTTTTTTGTGAAGGAAGTTAAAAACCGCTCCCTTGTGTGAACAGGCACTCGGCTGCGATAGCGCGGCAGGCCTCGGAGGGCGCGGAGCGGCTGTGGCCGCTGCCGAGCCATGCCGGCGCCTGGGGAGCAACGTTCCCTCCAGCGCAGTCCATGCTGACATCAGACGTCAGCTCGCCGGGTTACTACACCCAAACGGCGCAGCAGGGCGGCTTCTGCGGGGGGCCGTCCCCCTCCGGCGGTTACTCACCCTTCCAGGCACTCGCGCACCGGCCCATTGGGCAGAGTGGCCTGGTCCCGGAATGGGCACCGGATCTTCCCAGACCGCCACGCCACCATCACTACCAGCAGGGTGGCTATGACCGGCAGCTGCCGCAGCATGACGTGCAGTGGGAGGTGCATGGCTACAACAGCATGCATGAGCCGATGGACCGGACGGTGCACCGGGGGATGGAAGCTGCGCCGCAGCTGCCGGCCGGCTTCCGGCCGCCGCCGCTGTTTTCGGCTGTTGGCCGGGTGGCGTTGACTCAATCAAATACAAATACTAATTCCGGGGACGGCTCCGGCAGCGGCGCCTCGCTGGCGTCGCCGGAGGGAACGATGCGGGGACGGATGCCGGGGATGGACACGCCATTCCGGACGCGCACGACGCTCTCTGTCGCGCACTCGGACGTTGACGCGTACTTCCAGTCGGCCGCCGCCGCAGCGATATATGCCTCCGGCACGGCGCAGGTGCGTGACCACATCATACTCTTCTTAGCCTGCCCTCTGACCCTGCGATAGGGCAGCGCTGGTAGTAACCCCATTCACACGATCTGACAGAACTCTACAGCCCACTTGTGAACATGACCCAGTGCTTGGAAGTACCTCATGGTGAGAAGCGCCATTCTTTGCAGGAGGCGTTCCATGGGGAGGCGCCATACATGCGGATGCACCCGGCGCATGCCGCGCTGCACCGGGCAGCCGGACTGCGCCAGGCGGGCAGCGCACCCGGCGAGCTGCCTGCCCTCGGGCAGCTCTTCTCCCCCGCCACAGCTGAACCGGGGCTGGCCGTGCATCCAACGGCGGCGGCAGCGGCCGCCGCCGGGGAGCTGGATCGGCCGTACACAGATCGGCAGCGCGGCGAGACGGCGGCAGCTGGCCGCAGGTGGGACAGCGGCCAATCGGCGGCGAGCGCGCCTGCGGCCACGATGCTGTCGCGCGCCGGCAGCTCGCGGGGCTCGAGCCCGCTCATATCCCCGACTAACAACCATGGTGATTGCTCTATCCATTTGAAATCTTCCACTGCCCAAGCTGCCAACAAGCGTCTGCTGCTTGGGTGACACTATTAGACAGAGTGAAAAAGTGTCAATTTGACGCCTGCTGGATGCACACTGGGCTCCAAAGAAGGCGGGTCCCATTTTTGGTCTTGAAGGATCATTGCAGATGGCTTGCTGCATGGCTTGGAATTATGGCTGCGGGAGGGAGCGAACAAAGAATTATCTGATTCGGCAACAAGACCAAAACATAAAGTGGTGCTGGGTATTTTATTCATATAAAGAGGCATTCACAGGAGCTTCTTATGACTGTCACAGGTGTGTCGCTGTTTGCCACCCGGCGATCGGGAGATTCCGGGGCAGGCTCCTGCACAAGCCCGCAGCGGGCGGACTGGGCAACTGCCGCTGCCCAGCCGGGCAGCTCTGCGGGCAGCTCTGGGCAGCCCGCCCGGGCAGCTGCTGGCGCGCCCATGCCTCTCGGCAACCTTCTAGAAGAAGAGGAAGACTCCATGCCTGCTGCAGGTGTGCACAGCTGCAGTACATCTATCATTGAAAGTCTCAGAAAGCCTGCTTTAGGTTCCGGCAGAATCACTTTGACATTGCAGCACACCCTTGCTGGTAGCTACTCAGCAGTGGTCCCAGAGAACTCCAGGGCCTAAGAAGGTTTTAAAAGTTGGCAGGCACTGAAGTAGTAATAAAAACATATGGAGATGGAAATATGGCGCCAAGGTCATGATGAATTAATTTGGCTTGGCGCCCGAATTTGGCCGATTAGAGTATATATAGGGTTTGGTGAAGTGGGGGAATAAATCTGTGCAGGTCAGGATGACAGGCGTCGGAATTCTAGCAGCACGGAGGAGTTCTTCAGCCGCAGCTCCAGCCTTGCCAGCAACGTGAGCCCTTTCTCACCCGAGCATCTTGCCTGGCACCCGCATTCTCATGGAAACGCCTCGATCAAAAGTAAATGATTGGGGAGATCAGCATGGGTACATTGTTCTCATGTGCACACCCAGTGGCCAGCAGATTTTTTATTACAGACATTTTTGCCCATGCTTAGTTGTTTCGTTGATCGGATCATTTTTTGCAAGTGGGTAGCGTTTGTGGGAGTCTTTACCTGCCCCGTGTTTGCACAGACAGGCATTTCCTCTCTTGGCAGAAAGCATGTGAGCCCGTGGTTCTAACATCCTCTGACTGCTAAAAACCTGGAATGTCATTGCATCGATTGACAAAGCGCCAAACTCTGCCAAGACTGAGAACTGTGTCACACGTGTTGCTAGACATATATGACCCCTAAGGCTCATGTAAAGTGGAATACATGCAGAAAAAAGCTTAGGATCCGAATTCAAACGATGCGTTTTTTGCATTGTAGCTGACGGAGCGGGCAGAGAGCCTGGGCAGCCGGGCGGGCAGTCTTGTGAGGCAGCCGCCAAATGAGCAGCAGTGCATGCACAACCTGGAGGCCGCTCTCAGCTTGGGCCTGCGCTTGAAGGACACCTACAACAAAGGCTTCGACTGCCGCCCTGTCGCGGTGAGCCGCTCACCAGAATACAGAATACGTTTGATGGGTGCTGCAGTCAAAAAGACAATCACAAAAGCTCCATTTCCCAATACAAAAAACTGTGTGTATACGCATCTGCGAGCAATCAGCAATCACCCACCTTCCAATGCTTCCTGCACTAACATCAGTCTCAAATCAGTCAGACTACTTTTGGTGAGGAGTGCAAGGGTGCATTCAGGGGTTACACAATATGTTGCCCTTTTAGGGGCTTCACAGAGAAGTGGTTGAAATGTAAGGTAGGGATCAGCAATGGGCCTTTCAGGGGGGAATGAGGTAGAAGCCAATGTGGCAGCAAGCACGATGTTTGAATTTCCTTGCTGAAGGCGCAAATGTGGCTGAAGGATGATAGTCAAGCAGTGCTGCATCCTGTGCCTACCTTACAAATTGTCACACTGGGGCTTGCTGTGTTTTGGGACAGTGTACTCTAGCAACTAATGCACTTGATTTTCCATGTAGCTCGCTGCATTTAATTTGTGAAATGTCGCACAAGTGACATGAGACCAGCACCATTAGACCAGAACCATCTGCCAAAATAAGAGCTCTTGAGAACCATCAGCTTCTGAGCTTTGAGCTTGTGCCACGACAGGCAGGGAAAGCCGACGGTGCATCAGCGGCTGGATTGTGGGGAATCGCGGCGAACAACAGAGGGGGGCCCACCGGGGGTGCCGTGGCACCACTGGAGGGGGGACCGGGGGGTCTCGCCAGTGAAAACCCGGGGGGCAAACCGGTGCGGCTGAATGTGCCGGATGACTCAGCGTCTGAGGAGGCCCTGGAACCTACCCTGGACACACCAGCGCAGCTGCCACATCAGCAGAAGCAGCTCAGGCGCGTGCACTTTCCTTCTTGATCCCAAATTCATGTTCAGCATGCAATGCAGTTCAACAACACATAATGACCTGAACTCAATGTCAGTGAATGCATGTCATTTTTAGATGCCTGGCAAAACACAGATGTGGAAAGCGGATTGGTAAACCTGGGATTTGAGTGTTGTACTTATGCAAGCACAAGCCGCGTTTCCTTTCCAAGTTTTATTGAGGCTGGCTCGTTGGGATGAAGAGGAGGCGATTCTCACGTTGCGTGCCATCGGAGAAAAAAAATAGCGCCGTTTATCTCATCATGGCGCACATCACCCACCAGTAGTAACGGCCACATCTCCCACTCTATCCGCCTCCCACATATGCAGCTGGCTTGAGCAGGCTACTAAAGGCCACTGTGACGGTTTCGGCAGTGTGCCTGAGAGGCTATTTGGGCTGCCCGCAGGCTGGAGGTGGGCAGCGGGCTGCGGGCAGGGGAGTGGACATCGAGCGCCGGCTGGCAAGAAACTGTGGAGACACCTCTGGACATCCCCTCATGCCTGCCCCAGATCCGCAGTGACTCCCTTGTCAAGGTGAGGCTTGAACGACTTATACCACTCCCATGCCAATGCATGCATTGTCAAGGTCTGGGCGGCCACCAGTGTTTCTTGTAAGAATTCTGGCTGAGCGCGAATGTGGCTTTGGTGGTGTCTCTGAAACACCTTTCTGAAGCCACAAGTATGGCTGAGGATAGGAATTTGAAGAGATTTCTTGGCTCAAACTAGGGCTCAAAGCGTTCTCGAGTCCCATAGAAGTCTCACAAGAGCATCCCCCAACCTGGCAGGTGCAAGAGCTGGGACAGGGCCAGTCTGGCAAGACTTCATTTTTTAGGGTTTCTTATTGCAGGACCCTCATTCTCTAAGCCCTGAGCAACAATAATGAGCACAAAACAATAGGTGCAGGAGCTGGGGCGGGGCCATTTGGCAATGTCTGGCTTGCTACCACTCAATTCAGGGTTTTGAACAGCATCACCCCCATTTTTTAAACCTTATGAAGTTTTACACCAGCATCCACAACCACTGATGATCTACAAACACACAGGTGCAGGAGCTTGGGCAGGGCCAGTTTGGCAGCGTCTGGCTGGCACGATGGCGGGGGGTAGAAGTTGCTCTGAAGGAGCTGCACGGTGCGAACAGTCCCCGGTCAAGAGCGGAGATGATTGCCGAGGCACGCACGCTGGCAGGGTTACGTCACCCCTGCGTCATCGCCATCTACGGCGTCATCATCGGCCAGGTCAGCGGCCGGGCCCGGGTGTCTGAATAGGGGTGTATTTCTTGGTTGGTACAGTATGGGATTTCCTTCGCTGAATGAAGGGTTTCGGTCAAGCCACCTTCGCGTCATCATTGGCCAGGTCAGAGACTGGAGTCATGGTTGTCCGTGGTTATTGTGGAAAATTTGAAGGATTTTAGCAAAGGGTAGCCGGGCATCTGGACCCAGGCGCTCCTGCTTGGGATTGCACTATGTCATGCACGGAGTTGCTGTCGCCAGGAGCCCTTCAGGGTTAAATCCAATTCATGGTTGCTTGCTTTTGAAGGGCCCAAGTCTAGGCGACATCAATGTTCACCAACCACTCCAGTGCTTTCCAAGCAGTGCTTTCGATTACTCGCGCACCATCCTTAGAGTGCATGTCCCTTGTCTGTGACAGACTTGAAGGCAACGGACCGCCATCAGTTTGACAAGAACTTGAGCCTGGTCACAATCACAGGGGCAGGATTCATGTACTCTTGCAGCTCTACACTGCCTTGCACATGAAAGCATGACTGCTTCCGGTCTGCGCGCAGGGCAGCCCGGCTTCTGTGCTGGAGTACGTGTCGGGCAGTAGCCTGAGAGCGGGGCTGCAGCGGCTGGCGGTGCTCGGCCCCGTCTCCGGCCGCCTCCGCGCCGCCATCGCCCTGCAGGCCGCCCGCGGTGAGTCATCGTGCTGATGTCATTTTCATGGTAAACGTCATGTCTCACCAAAATGGATTGTCTCAGGTAGCAGCCCTGGTTGCATTGTTCTATGGGTGGGTGAAGGTTTTGAGCTGCGCCGGTGCTGTGTGCCCAGTGCCCATACCAAAAGGCACTCAGGCGAGCTCGTCCACTCGTGGTACTTTGCAAACAAAGTCTTAAAGTTTCCCTGGGTATATTCTTATGTTTGCGATTGCCAAACGTAACATAGTGCCGATAGAGCCGCGAACACATGCCAAATAAACCAGAGATATAGCGTGATGGGCTTGCATGGTGCCTTTGCCCATGACTCTGAGTAAGACTGGGTCTTTGACACAAAAATTACCTCGATGGCGCGCAGGCATGGAGTACCTGCACAGCCGGCACGTGGTACACTTTGACTTGAAGTGCGACAATCTGCTGGCCGACCTGCGCAACCCGGCACGCCCGGAAGTGAAGATCGGCGACCTCGGCCTCTCCAAGCAGAAGGTGTTCATCTGTGCTGCAAAGCATCAAACAATCTCAAATTTCTGTGTGTTTTCCTGCCACAGCCTATGTGGAGGGGGGGCTCTTCAGAGGCTCGAGAGCCACATGAGCTGCGCTACAGTCTGTAGCCTACAGATTGTTTGTTGACAGCTGACATGAATATTTTCACCCTGCGAGATGTTCACGCTCTGAACGTGGCAAATGGAGCTGTAGAGGAGCTTAGAGCAGGCTGCTGGCAGAGGCAGCTTACCCCAATGCAGCCATAATTTCTTGGATCCTGTGCCTTTTGGAGCCCGTGCATCAGCGTGATGGGTGAATCGAGCTGCTCCGAAAAGGGGACTGTCAATCATGTGCCCGCCAGAGCTCATGGCAGTGTGCGTAAATCCAAAAGAAAAGTTGAATTTCGCGCAGGCGGCGACGTTCATGAGCGGCAACATGCGCGGCACGATGCCGTGGATGGCCCCGGAGCTTTTCCCAATCGTCACCGGCATGCGCGAGAAGGCGAGTCACCCTTGACTAAGCGGCAGGCTACAATTGCCATGCATGCACAATCAAAACACGGCTCTTGTCTTTCTGGATTCTTTGTGGGCTCAACAAGTGTTGATAGCAATGCCACAGTTGCTAGTCGTTGGTGTGAAATTGCCTTTTCCCCTTGTGGAGCACTTTGTTCTTTTGAACGCAGAGGAGCAAAGTCAGGCGATAGTATGGAATCCAAACCATGCAGACCTTTTGGCGTGCATGAATCTCCCTGGCAGGGATGACAAGAATTGAATATAAGTTGTCTGTGCAGGGGCGGACTGATGATCAGGTGACTGAGAAGGTGGATGTGTTCTCCTTCGGCATCTGCCTCTGGGAAATCTGGACGCTCGGGGAACAGGTGGCGCCCAGCGCAGATGTGTTGCATATGTGCCCAGTTGACAGGGCCTTGTCTTTTCTTTCTTGGGTCTTTGACAATCATGCCAGCCATGTTCAGCGAAGCACAACTGTGGACGTACAGGCCATGATCCAATCCTCGCAGACACCTTTTTTTTTACACCGTGGAATCCACAGCTAGGGAAGAGTTTCGTGTGTGTAACAATATCACTGGCAACCTGTGAGCCACAGCTGTAATATCATCGTCAGCCTGTGGTCCACAGCAAGTGAATCTTTGGATGTCACTTTTTATTTGCGTTTTTTGCAGGTGTATCCGGGCTTGTCGCTGCCGGCAATATTCACGGGGGTCGTCAATGGAACGCTGCGGCCGGCTCTGCCGCCCGACGCACCCCAGCTGTGGTGCGTTGCCGGCTTAAGTTTTCCTGTCACTGCACAAGCACTGAGCTCTGCACAGAGGGTCAAGATTGACAGGAAGCACACAAAGATTCACTTGCATTCCTCTGTCTTAGAACTCTGTGAGGTGAAGCATGCACTCTCTAGACTTTTTCTTTTAGAATTGCATTTTCTGAGCATTGTACCAGGCAATGAAAGGTTGCAAGATCGTGCTCTGCATGCGGAAATGGTCTAAAAATGCTTACTTGAATGTCTTGATCGTGATGCACTGGAATTGCATGGGCAGGCTGCTACATTCCCAATTCCCAAATCTATAACATTTAATGTTAGACACAGAATATTGGCCCCGGCTTGCGGGGGCCGGTAGAAACTGAGTATCGTGCCCACGGTTGATTGGTGCTTGCCTGGATCTGGCAAGTCCAGCAAGGGGCAGGATTGTGGCAGCCTTTGACTGCACTTGTCTGCTGAAGCACCTTGCCTTCAGGCAGGAGAAGCGTGAATACGAAAAATAAGAGGAAATAGACGTATAGGAAATGCAGCTTGGCTCATCAGTAATCTGTTGATGCAGGCGGGAGCTTATGGATGCATGTTGCGCGCCACAGCCCAGCTGGCGGCCCAGCTTCACGGAGGTGGCTGCCGTGCTCAAAAGCCTCGTCAGCACCCTCGGCGACGAGTCAGAGACCCCCCAGCGCAGTCAGGGGTGATAAAATAAGGATGACAATCTATTAACCACCCCCAGCTCGGCGACTGGGCATGCAGCATGGTGCTCAGCGCAGCCAGGGGTGACATATGGTTGTCATTTCATTAGTCATCCCCGGCACAGGCCGAACCTGACACCCAGCGGAGTCAAGGGTGATTAGCATGCAATTAGTAGTGTCATTAGTCACCCCTAATGCAGCGCAAATGTGCATGCCTCCTGACATGATGTCCTGAAAGAGGACTGAAATAGGGTCACTGCCAGTAACTCAATGTACAAGAGTTCTATCGCAGGGCACAGCGGGGCCTGCTCAGAGCACTTTTTGCTGCGGGCTCATTTGGGTACGAGTCCTCCATTTCAGCCTCTTCTCTGCATCAGGCTTTGAGATTTTTTCTGAGGTCTTAAACAGGCTTTGTTGCGGCGGGCAGCCACAGGAGTGTGCGTCCAAATTTGGCCGCAGTAAGTGCGCTGTGCCGAGGTGTAATTACTAATGCACCTCGTTGTGTTGGTAACTAGAGTATTCTCCATCTGTGCTTGCATTGTGACTTGATTAGAGCAGCGCTGCCGATGCTACAATTGCCTGCGCCATGTGTATTGTGCTGCATGCATGCAAGACACAACCTTGTATCTGACAGGTACAGCATGTAACGTTGACAATTGTAATGCATGCACGAGCAAGCTGTGTTGCGAATGTTCATTTTAATGCAAACGTGCATATTTGCTGTTAAGGCTTGCAAGGCGGGCTTGATCTCTGGCGGCTAGAAAACCTCCCCAGACCTACTTGACCGATTCTGCTTGTAATGGATCCCATGCAAAGACAACCAAGGGTAAATGCTATGACTATACGGCAGTGATGTATAAGGGCCGTCTGCTTATTCATGTATGGAAAGTCGAGATTTTAATTGATTAAATCCTCAAGTACGTGAACCGTGACACACTGGCAGTCTCTTGCTCCTGATGAGCTCATGATGAATAAAAATGCTATATTTACCCCCGTGCATGACAAAGAGAGTCCCGACGACCCCTGAGCTGGCACCCAACAATCTGACCGAGCTCATAAACATGTACATCCGCGGTAGAATCACAAGGCAACTCTGGGCTTCAATCGTTTTCTAACACACCCCATGCAATCGTAAGCTTTTTGTCTCCGCGGCTCAATCTGGCAAACACCGTGGCCACGTTTCAAAACGCCTACTGCTGAGTCTGTGAAATGGTGAACAACATCTATCTTTCTGCAAATAGCAAAAAGCCAGTCAGTTTCTATTGTACACTAGAACTCGTAAAAGAAAGAATTTAGGCAGATTGATAATGCAAGACGGGGCGATAGCAGCCTGCGGTGTTGCAACAATCCTAGCAGTGTACCTCGATAATCACCCAAACAGCTGTCATCAGTGAGTTGCCACTAAACCCACAATCAGGGCCTGCCCATTCAGCGGGCATAACTGCGTCTCAAACAATCCACAGCAAAAATCATGCAAAATCAAAACCAACGCCCATTGACTTACAACGCTGTGTCCCTTGGGGAGAAACTAAGGAGATCAATAACGTAGCAGACAACCCTGTCGAGAAATATCATACGGAGCTTGACAGTGAAGACTAGCGGCATCAGAGGCTTACAATGCTGACTGCTGACTTTGGCAGAATGCCTGCTGTGAGTGTTGCAGTGGCTGCCGTGCTGACAGACAGAGAGGCATCTGTGCTGATCTGATAGTGCCTGCTTCCTGCTAGGTATTACTCATTGCAGCCTGCTCTGCAAAACGCCTGCTTCCTGCTAAGTTAGTAAATTTTTGCACTCGCTGCCCCTGCTGGCTACGGCAGTCATAGTAATACCCTCCTGCATAGGTATCTGCCACTCGCCAGCGCAGCACCACCAGCGCCTAACGTGGTCATTCACCTTCAATGCTCGATGCCTCGACAGCTCAATGCTTGCCTTGCACCTCTGCAGCAGCCGCCTCTACCTCTTTTGCAACGTTTGACGTTCATTGCCAAATCTGGCACATGGAGAAGTAGGGTTAATCCCTGAAGCCCTAAAGCGGCGCAAGCTCGCATCTGCCAAAATTGGCGTGGGCACCGAATCTGGCCCCGATGCGCCCGCACCCGTTCTGGCGCGCGCCCAAACCGGCTTTTCAATTCAAACTTTGTTGGCGGCGGAGGTGCCGTCCATGTAGTGGGAGCCGGTGTGGATGGTGGGGTCCAGCCGACTGGCAGTGATGCCGTAGCTGGGCTTGCAGCGACCACGGGACTGCAGCACAGCAGATTTTTCCTTATCAGTGCCAAGATAGATGGCTCACATGGAGGACAAAGCGCGTGTGATGGTTCCAAGAAAAGATCCCATAAAGTGACCAGGCTGTGTACAGGAGTCTAATCCCAGGGATTGGTGGGCCCCTCTGGAGGTCAGTATACATTTGTCATTGAAAGACAGAGGCCACTATGTCAGAGAGATGGTGAGCGGGTAAAGAGATAGCAGGGGTTGCATCAAATCCGAAAGCAAGACTTTGTGGCCCTTTTGAGGGTGGCAGGCTGAAGATTGGGCAGCTGGCCTGCCTTGTTGCATCAATTAAGCAGTAATTGACCGATAAAAATCTATCATTGGTTTTTACCGCACACTTTTTCTGCCAGACACAAGGTGCGTATGCAGACAAGCTGCATGTACAGGCTATCACAAATGCTCCTGGACTTGCCAGATCCATGCAACAACCAATCACTTGTAGGCACGGGGCTCAGTCTTTACACCGGACCCCGCCAGCTGAGGGGTAAGATTAAACTGTAAATAAAGCAGGGGTCACTGACCTGGCGGGCAAGCAGGAGAGTAGCACCGAGGAAGAAGCAGATTGAGCCGCCGCCAAAACCGACCCCCGTAATTATGTTGTACTGATCAACAGTCTCCACCAGATTGATGGGAGAGTACCTGCGCAATATGCACCCCTTTCATTTAGGGTTCATGTTAATATCCTGAAACCCTATACAAATATAGTACAGGATACAGATGGACCTTTAATTCCGTGCCTATCTCTTGTCTAGCCTACTTGGAAAGTGGGTACACTACTAGAGACCAAGCCATGTGATATACTTTGTCAGCTGCTTTGTTGCTTGCATGTCTGCTTGACAGATTGCTCTTTCCCTGACGGTAGAATTTCTGCTGATCCTGCTTTTGTGTATGTGCTCTCGCCAGATAGTTACTTGTTTGTAGTACACGCAAGACAGAACCACCGCCCTTGTCTCTTGCTGCTTCTGCTGCCTTTGCAGGTATCCTGGACCTCCACTGCACAGGAAACACCGTGCGAAAATCCGGCAGGTCATGTTGCAGTTGATTTGGGCTGCTCAAACACTGTCAACATTTGATTGGGTCTTGCTTGGATCTGGCGAGTCCAACACGGGGCAGAATTGTGGCAGCCCTTAACTGCAGCTTGTCTGCAGGACGTACCGTGTCTTTTGGCAGGGGAAAAAAAGAGCGTGCAATAACAAGGACAGGGAAGGAAAAACAGCGCACCAGTAGAGCTGAATGCCGCCCATGGCGAATCCGATTCCGCCCCAGAAGTAAAACCACAGAGCCCACCACTGCAGCGAGGTGGCATGCTTGCGAGTGAAGGGGCAGAAGATGCCTGCGCAAGAAATTCAAAGCAAAGTCTCGTTAGTGGGAGCTTCAACTCTGTTCGACTCCTAAAAACCACCCTAATATACACTCAAACCCCTGGAATGTAGACCAGAGCCTGGGAGCGACTACATGCGTCCAAGTCTTGATGACTGCTTTGCCCGCCAAACCCCATCGCAAGAAAAATTCAAGCGTTTCATGCCAGGCAGCATTGAGAATAGATGTCGAATCTCGCATGCAGCTTGCATCAAGCACCAATGCAACAGTGCCTGCTTTGTTGCTTCACAAGAAATACAGGAAGATCACTCCAAACGGAACACGCAAGGGAAAGGAGATTTACCCACCTGGAATGAGCCACATGGAGATCTCATACATCACATAGGCGATGCCGGACAGCGCAAAGAGGACGCCAGCAATCAGATAGAAGTAATCAACCAGCCACAGCTGCAAACAGAATCACAAACCCATGTCATTTTCAGGTTCTTAAAGGCGCACATCTGCAGACAATCCAGCAGTGCTAGCCATGCAAATAACAATAGCCTGTAGACTTTCTTCTTTGCTGCGGGTTCCTACTGGGGACTTCGTCCTAGAATTTCTCCTGAGCTTCTCAGTGAAGCAAGCAGCTAGCTCTCCACTGCACCGCTACCGGCCCATACTGTATGCTAGAATAAATTCCTGGGTCAAGCCTACAGCTAATTGCCCAAAGGACCCTCCATTTCTAGGTGCTGGGCTTGTTAGCTCAAAACCAGCGCCCCGCAAAGCACAGCAAAGCAGGGGCCACAAGAATAAGTGATCCTAACTCAAATGGCGGCAATTCTTAGCCCTTGCATCCGGCTCATTTCTGAGAAAGTGGGAGTGAAGGGAGGGAACGCGCACGTAGACATTGGGTGCGAGAAGAGTGTTGGGGCAATCGTTGATGATGGTTGCAATTGCTGCGCCCAGATATAGAGCCACTCCGAGAGTGTAGCTGCATGCTCCCCACCAGGCGAGGTTGGTCAGGCGAAGCCCAAACCATATGTACCTGCGAGCAGCAAGGATGACAATGTTGAGCATTTCTTGATGTTGGTACACGCTGATCCTGCCAGAGGCAGGGTGCGTCTACAGGCAAGCTGCAGGCACAAAGATCCCAAAGATGTCTAGCTACTTCAAAGAAAAAGGACTGCTGACATGAAAGCAAGGGAGCGCCAAAATTAAAAAAGGCTTCTTCAAAACCCTAATCGACATAAAAATGCGTTCAATAGACATATGTATGTCACGAAACTGTGTGAGACATAAGTATCTGGCGTCTTGGCCAGCCCTCAGGATATGGATTTTTTCGCCGTCAAGGGGGAATAACGTCCTAAACCATAAGCCCTAAATCCGAGCCATAATGCCTACACCCAGCTGAGATCATGAACTCCCGGCGAATCGACGACGGCCAAAAAGCCCTGATGCACTCAGGGGCATGCACAACTGGCATGGCACATACTTGCTAGCATCACCTGGTCAAGCAAGTTTCTGCCGCCCCAGTCCATTCCGATAAGCAATACTTTCAGGAAATGTCAGGGTTCTTACACTTAAGCCACTAAATATCTAGTGCATGGCCAAACAGGCCGGCAAGATCAGACGCAGGGCACATCAGAAACAGCTGAAGCAGGAAAGTCACAGACTGGTCACTGCTTTGTCACCCGAATCTAAAACCCAGTACCCTTAATCAATCAAATCAAAGCCAGTGTGCATGTGGTAGAAAGAGCGCTCACCTTGGCTTGGGCCCCATTCGGCCGCCAGCTTCCCACTCAACCACTTTCAAGTCATAGCCGGGGTTCAAAGCTTCCACGATCTGGAACGAGGTGGCAACAAACCAAAGAGCGTTGCCCAACAAGTATGTGAAGGACACCTGCGAGCATAACATAGACCCTTGACGCGGTACTTTCAGGGGTATTTATACGTGCCTACTTAGACCCTGGTCCTTTGGGATACTTACAACATGACTCTGTTCAACTTTTGTTCCCTGCAACATAGAAACTGCCTGTGTACAGGGGCTTGTCACATGTGATCCGCGTGAATGTGGGGTTCCAGATTGCAAGGCAGTGGCAGGCTTCGGCTGTGTCAAGATCCTGCAAACTTTCCCAACTGCCCGGGTCAACATGCAGCAGGGTCGGAACTGTGCGCTCCAGCAGAGAGTAAAGCTGATTTGGGCAGGACATGATATGGCAATGGGGGTAGGGAAGATTTGTACCGTCCAATCGTACGGATCCCCCATACAGTTGCCCACCACTGATTGGAGGTAGATCTGCCAGCAGGCACAGTAATGTTAGTCATGCTTACTCACCCTCACACCACTACCGTTCTCCGCACAAAACAAGCGTGCTGCTGCAATTTGCATGTAATGGCAGCTTGCTAAGTCGATGGCTGATGGTTACAGGTCAGAAGTCTCAGGCCTTTTCCTTGTCAGGAAGGCGCATATCATGTTCTGCAGGCCTATCTTGAGGGTGCCAGACTAAGGGATGTATACACAAGTTGGCAGATGGTCATTGCCTTTTGGGAGCAGGGACAAGGTTAAGGGGGAAAGAGGGCTCTCACGTCTGGTGCGATGCTGCAAAAGGACCCGATGATGAACAGGATGCCTCCGAAGAAGAATCCAACGCAGGCATACCATGAGATCCTGTTCGATAGCAAATATTGAGTCTTTCAGCTTTGAAGGAAAGCAGTACTGGGCAGCAGAGCGACAGCACTGATATGAAGTTGCACAACTACTTAAGCACTTCCGCATTTGCATGTCACAAAGCAAGCATGAAGCCCTACCAGTGCGCTGGAGTGTCAAAGTAAATCCAGAACCGGAAAAACCAGTCGAAGTAGAGCAGTGCTGGGCAGTTCTTGTACACTGTGGAACAGCGCAGAAATATTCAGCATAAGATTACGTAAAAGAAGCCTCAGTACGTTGGGCTGAACTTTGCGGCTTTCACCCTTTCAGACTTCAGTATCCTAGGTTTGGATGTCAATTGCCCTCCACAAGACGGCTGATCCTCGGCACGATCAGTTTGCTAAAGCGGGCTTATTGAATGATAGATGCATGATCCACAGGTTTCTTGCGTCAACGATATGCATTTCAAGCTACGCCAATGCGTGTACGTATGTCACCGGGATGATCTAGCCCTACAGCCAAACTCACAGCGGGTACTCATACCGCCGATCTCAGTGTTCAGGGAAAGAATGGAATAGCTTACTTGGAATCACATCTCCTTTGCCGTCGAAATGGGGTCTTGGCGCTGACGCTTTGAGCTGGACAGAGTGCCCATTGGCACCCTCCTTGCCCGACTTCTCGCCGGATGCCATCGTTGAGCCCGCCACTTACGTGCAGTGTCCGCGTGGCCAGAAAACTATGCGTTTTTGCTGCTTCACATCAGGTGTAGCGAGGAGTCTGCTCGAGCGAAGCTGAACCTCGGGTTGCTAACCCCATTTACGAAGCCATGTGGACCCCATGTGGATTGCTGATGTGTCCGCTAGATGGCTCATCTCCCTGACCATGCTCGGCATTCCTAGGTCGTTAGAGGGTTCCCATGAATTGCAGGGCAACAGCTTTGAATGACAGAAGTCCACTTCTCTTCCCAGAAATTCAGTTTCGGCGATTTTAGCAGACAGATGACTTGCAACTTGACAATTAGGGCAGCTGGAAACCTAAACACCAATTGGATTTTCTTGCAAATTCAACTGTCGGCTCGGAGCAGACACTTGCATTATACTATCATCACACTATATTGCGTATTGCTGTTGCAAATACACTAGGGGGGTAGGCACTGTCTGAAACATAACCTTGTCAGCTCAGCGCTTAAAATGGGCAAGGTCCCCCCTCCAGCCTCATGTCAAGCTTGCGGTAGGCCATAATCTACAGCACGTGGCTTCACGCAGTTGAGCGGTGTGTATCTCACATGCGCACAAGCTATTACTGTGACAGTCCTCTTACATAATCAAATGCACCTCCCATGCCGTCAAAGAGGACTTGTCCAAGAGAGTCGCAAAAAATTGGAGCTGAACGCAAAATTCCTATTGTAGATGTCTACATCTGCGCAGATATAGACACGGGTGCTTTATTATCATGCATGCATGCACGCATTTATTATCGCCCTGACACCTCCCTATCGAACCCTGTGTTCACCCTTGAGTCGTTTAATGCCCTGCAAGCCTGTCTGTCTGGCCCGTGGCTCTGTGGTGGAAGAGGCATTCACAGCAAAACTCCTAGTTGGAATAAGCCTCACACACATGGTCAACCATCAGCCAGACAACGAGATAGAGAAGCTAGCTGACTGGGCTTCATACTTAATCTTTGCAGGCCCTGCTCTCTGGCCTGCAGCTCTGTGGTGGATAAACCAAAACCTGATCAAGAACCTTGTGCTCCCAAAATACATGATCCAGGTCACCACGAAGATGAAAGTCAGTAAGAAAGCTCGGGGCTTATGCCCTGCAGGCCTGCCTGTCCCGCCTGTGGCTCTCGAAAGAGGAAGGCATGCATATTGATGCTCCTAAAGGGTTACTCTCACACACATGTTGAAGCCCTCAAAGCAAACAAGACAGAGAAGCTTGCTAAGTGGGCTTCAGGCTTATTCCTTGCAAGCCCGTCTGTCTGGCCTGCGGCTCTGACATGGCAGCCGCTTGTGTGACCTGCTTGGCCTGCCCGCTGGCGATTCTGGGCAGCTCTGCCAGGTCAGCAGCCGGCAGGGACGCCGCGAGACGGGCGGCATTGCCGGCCTTTGAAAAGAACACCGTCCTGCCACAGACACTACTAATGCTTGTTAAGGATTGTCATGCAAAGTGGCATGCAACATCAAAATTTTGGTCAATTGCGCTGCCAGTCAAGGTACAAACATTCTCACCCTCACTCTACTGTTCCCTCCTATTGCTGCGAAATTCCTTAGACCTCAGCCACTTTGCAAGCTCAAAATTGCGCTTAAGTGCCAATGATTTGCCCTGCTTTCCAGGAAATTTCAAGCAATTTGTCCCCTCGAAACCAGACTCTGCTATGCTCACAGCATCCAATAATGTCCATGCCATAAAGCAAGGCAGACCTGGTAGAGCAGCTGAGGAAGCATGTCTCCTCGCAGGCGGCAGCTATGCTCTCGATGTCCTGACTCCCCTCCGAGAGATTAGGGTTCTTCCTCAACCCCGCCGCTATTCGCTCGCGGACCTTCTGTCGCGTGGCATCGTCGATGTGTAGCGCCCCCTTGACCCCCGAGCCTGTTCTGGCTATGCCCCTGGGAGAACGGGGGGACCCGGGGGCCACGCTGCTGCCGTTCAGCGTTCCCTCCATCCTGCTGAATAACCCCTTCCCAGGATCTGCATGCATGCACCCAAAGCCATTTGTCAGAACAAAATCCAGGAGATCCAGCGATAGTTGCCATGATGTTTTCTGCTGCGAAAGAGCGTGCATATGTGACTTAAAATGCTGCATTGGAGCATTGCCATTCCTAGGAAATAGCAGCCAATGCAAGACAGGCATACAAGGGAACACCCTCCTAGGAACAGCAGCCGCTGCAAGACAAGCAAACAAAGGGATACTTGTGAGAGTCCTTAACAACCCCAGAATCTTCATTCTGTCACATGATATTATGTCCCACTGGTTGTAACAGGTGAGCGTCAGGGGCAGAAATCCGCTCACTGACCTACATGCTACACTGTAATCCCCGGTGCCTTGACCTGGACATGCGGGCACTTCACGTCGGTAGATAGTCATATGAGCACAAATGTCTTGCATCTGGATGTCTCGGCCAAGGAAGACAGGCTTCAGTGCTCACCCGGCTGATGGCTGGCATTGTACTGGGTTTCTGCAGCTTCTAGGGCGTCCAGCACAGCATCCTCGCTGCGGCCCTGCTTCTGCGCACGGTCTGCAGCATACAGTGCTGCGTCTGCTCCCTCCACATCGCCATCAACCAGTAATCTGTCTGTGCAAGTATGTCATACAAGACCTCAGTGAAAGTACTTTCACAAGTGGAATTGGGAATTGATTTGTGATTGATGTGAACTGTGGATGATAGCGTGTCAAACAGAACGATCAACAGCATAAGACCAAGAAAAGTGCCTGCTTTAGTGGTGCAGCATGGGGCCTACCTGAAGGGCCCACAATGCCCAGCGAGTAGTTTGAGACATCCTCTGCGGCTGATCTGTTCTCAGAGTTCGTAGGATCTTCTGGTATGGACTCCCCAGCAGGACCCTGGGTCCGCCCTGGGATGCAGCAGACTGGAATAAGAAGCACACCCCTTGACGGCAGGCGCGAGACTGTGTGCAGGTGAAAGCATCCAACAGGTCTTTAAGGATGTGTCTTACCATATTCTCTGGCCACATCCCTTGTCTGCGATCTGCCTACCGTCTCATCCTGCACAAGCAAATCAGCCTGTCAGCAGTGCCACGTCGAATGCAAAGAAGCAGCTCAGCATTCCTCACTTCCAGATGTCGTTACGAACTAAAAATTTTACCTTTGTAGCAACATGCTGCACAGATGTATCGACGCTGTCATCTAGTCTTGCCCTCTTGGAGGTTGATGGTGCATCCAATTCTTGTATAAGTTCCTGTTCGTCAATTTCCATGACGGACGATTGTGACCAGCTCCGATCGCAAATCGCGTAGCACTGGATTCCGAATAGGGCGATAGCTTCCTAAGAATTTTGTGAGTCAGCAGAAACTGAGCTGAACATTTTGTAACCGATGAGTCACCATCCCTGTGTTTCAAACGTTGCTCTCGACAGGAGGTTGTTGTTGTTACATTTCCTATATTCTCCAGGAGAATTTCTCCTCTCACTTGTGCCAACATTGAAGCATTAAAACATGCACGCGGGATACACGCGATAATTTAAGGAAAGAAGTAACCTCATAGGGACGTTGCACCCAGCGCTGAGCAACTGAAACTGTCATGAAGAAGTGAGTTTGCAAGAGCAGAATGTCTCGGAAGCAAGGGAAGATGATGGAGAAAGAAAATTATGAAGTCAAAAATGCAGCTGCTGGGCCTTCACAAGGCCTGGCCAGCATGTTTGCTGATGGCAGCAAGGCCATCGCCACGCAAAAGTGAGCAGAACACACTTTACTTGCTTGAGACCAAATGCTCGAACGTCTGTGATTTAATCTGTTTCTAAAACAGCCATGCAAACAGGCAGGATACCCATCTGAACTGTTGTGCTTGTTGCAGAAATGAGGACCTGTTCAAACAACTGGAAAGTCGTGAGCTCACAGAAGAGGAGCTTGGCATCATACAGAGCAGAGTAAGGAATCGATTCTCCGATGCAGAGGACGTCACGTGCATCTAGATCTCAATCACTCTTGCGACATGCAACTCATCTGAGATTGTTGTTACCCAGGTTGCCCTCCAACGGAAAATGCTGCAGGAGTATGAGAAGCGTGAGCGCTCCAGGAAGGTGTGCATTAGATGTCGCTTACCTTAGACAACAACGATGTTCTGTACACTGAGTGACCTCGGCCCATCACCAGACCAGGCCACTCATCTGTGCAATGCTGCGCAGATCCAAGAGATCCAGAGCATCTGTCCAGATGTGACTGAAGAGGAGGCACTGAAGGCTCTGGAGCTCTGCGATCAGAGGTCTGACAGAACCACTTTTGAGTTCTCAGCCAGGACTTGCACATCTGACCATGTTTCTCATGCTGACTCCAGCTGCCTGTTGAGCTTTGCGCCTCTGTGCATGCCAGCGCCATTAGAACCAAGCAAGAAAACTTGCCAGACAACAAGTTGACAGGCATCATCTTCTTCAAAGTTGCCAGGCAGCAATACTAACATGACGATGGATTCGCATGCGCAGGGAGGAGGAATCTGCCGCGCAGCTGGCGGACCCGGCATTTCTGCGCCGCGTGCGCGTCTCCCTGGGCATCGCTGTTCCCTCCCTGGCCGCCAAGACCCGCTCCTGGGCAGCCAAGCCCAGCGTCAGCCGTCCAAGAAAGATCGACCCGAGCAACTGCAGCGATGAGGTGCTTATTAGCCCACACATATAAACCAAATATGTCCACCCATTCCCAGCACCGTGGTTGCATGCGATTCTGAGCCAGATACCGAATCCAGGACATATGGTGTCTTCTAAGGCCCAAAACAAAACATGACATGCAGAAACGGAAATTTATTTGATCAGGTGCTACGCAAGAGGCCCTAGAGAGTTTGAAGCCTTCTTGTGTGACCTTCATCAGGCAGCAATCATTTGGGCCTGCTCTGCTCATTCTTGAAAAGAAAAGACCACTTTCAATCTTCTGTAGGACAGAGAGCCCCATTTGAATAGGGGTTATATTCTGTGTGCAGGTGTTCTTTGGAGCCTTCCGCGGCCGCGGCTTCACCACAGGCACAACAGCCGCTGCCGCCAGGCCTGCCTATACAGGTGCACAGGCACCCGCAACCAGGCGCGCAGGCACTGCCGCAGTAAACAAATTGGATGAGGCACCGGAGGCAGATGCAGGAGAGGAAGATACAGATGTGGATGAGGAGCAAGTGGTGGAGGAGACGGCCCCAAAGGCTGCGCCTAGCCCCTCTCCTGCACCCTCCTCCAGCGTGCCACAGCTGTAAGTCCTTTAGGTCCCCTGTGCGCCAGTCAGAGCTATATATGAGAGGCCCCTCCTCACCTCTGAACCCCTTTTTGGGCATGTTGAGGTCCTACAAAAACAGAGATGCGTCGGGAGAGGGTGAAGACATTTGTCGCTTTTGTTCAGTCCCTGTATTGACTTTCTAGGAGGTGAGTTTGAGAAGTATATCCTGCGCATGAGATGATCCCATGCCCACTAGAACACTCTGAAGCAAAATCGCCGCTTTCTATTGGGATGCATCTCATTCAGCTGCATTCTCTAAATTTGTGTCCCGCTGACATAATCAGGTACGGGCTGATGAGAGAGATGAGTGACGGCACCGTGCGGCCCGTAACGGACTCGGAGCTGAACACGGCGCGCGAGTGCCCCCGTAGCCCATCCACCGCTGCCATGTCACCCGCGCACTCGACCCGGAGCCGCCAGAAGGTGACAGCATTTTTCCAGTTCTTAGCAGCACTGCCGCAGCTCTGCCGAAGGTCATCGATGGGTTACATCTGAAGTGGTGCCACTGGAGAACAATCTGCTGGGCAGTCCACCATGCCGCCTGACCAGCGCAAATTGGCTTGCAAGTGAACATGGGGGCGGTGGATGTTTTGCACTCCTTTTGAAGTGTGATGACATTGCCATATTTGTTCAGTTAGATTGTTGATTGTTGTCAGGATGATCCGAACCTGCCATGCAGACTTGAATGATCAAGAAAGACCGTCATCGGACCAGGAGTCTCATACCTGTTGTGCTTGCAGAGGGACACCGCAGCGGCAGCGGGCGCAGGAATGCCGCTGGCCGCCATTGCAGAGGAGGTGACTAAGCCAGAAAAAGCTGCCAATTCAGGCAAGGCAGTGTCTCTGCTTAAGTCAGGCCCCTCTACCAGGCAGCAGGCAGCCAGCACTCCCAGTGCCAAGGGCGCTGCATGGGAAAAGAAAGTGCCCGCCTGCGCAAAAGCAGCAAGCAGCAGCGGCCAGAAGAGGAAGAGTATATCGCTGACGGAGGCAGCAAAGTCTGCACCAGAGGTGGCAATTAGCGTGGGGAAAGACGCAAGCAGGTGTGTACATAATCTAGATGTAAGCAGATGCTTGAAAGACGGCTGCTAATCCACTGCTTTCATTTAGTGAAAGATAAGGCTGTCTGGCCCGCACCCTACCTTACCTGAATTGGAAATTAAGTACAATCCTATCATTGCCATATAATATCTACTTCACGCATTGTAGTAGTTATTGTGCATTGTGACAGGCGGGCCACGCAGGCAGCTGCGGGGCAGCTGCCCAAGGGAGTCGTGCCGAACAGAGAGGGGGGCGATGCTGACAGCTGGAACACTCAGACAGCGATCGATGATGAGGAGACAGAGACTGATGACGACTTTGCGTCCGCCAGAAATGCCAAGGCAAGCATATGAAAACCTTGATCAAGGTTGAGTAGCTGCTGTGACGAGAGAGCCTCTGTTCATATGTATGTCTGCCATATGTTCCTGACAGCTGAAAACAGGCTCATCTGCCTCAGATGTTGAGCTGGGGGACTGATCAGTTCTGCAGGGTGACTCATGCCATCAGGGAAAGTAATAAATTTCTGTAGGAAAGATTAAAAATCGCTGTGCAGTATTTTTATTATAGTTTTTCTCTGAGACATTTCATGTTGGGCATGCAGGTTGCGAGGCCGGCAACAAGGACCATCAGGAGCGCTCAGAGGCCCAAGCCGGCAGCTTCCAGCCGGTTGCAGCTGCCGCGCCGCGCCGGCCGGGCAGCTTCCGGCGCACAGGCAGCTTTCCCGGCTGTGGAAGCTGCACCGGCAATAACCACCGAGCCAATGGCGGCCCCTCGCCCGGAAGAGACAGATGCTGAGGGCGATACCACAGATAGCGGTGAGACACCATTTGGGCATTGTGAACTGATGCTTACACTTGTAGCAAAACTACCAGCGTCCCAAGAAGTTCAGCTTGTAAGGGAACCTTTGATACCCCAGCACCTGCTTTTGATCTCCTATCTTTCTTTTGGCTCGGCTTGTATCAAGGAAGGCCATGATGGAAAGGTTGAACCGAGTGGCTGGGTGTCTATTTCCATTTGCCATTCACAAACACCAATGGAGCTGCCGAACAAGGGCCGAGAAGGGCAGGGCGGGGCTGTTTTCTGACAGCATTGATGAGTGGCCTAATCTGGCATGAGCCTAATTTGGCATGAAGATTGCGGTGGCCTTCAACATATGTTTGGAGGTGTCATGCAGGGGCCGCCACTGCCAAGAAGGGCAGGGCGCAGGGGAACAAGGCAAAGGCGGCTGTGAGCAACCCACCGCGGAGAACAGTGGGGGCCATTTCTCGCAGCGGGCATACCAAAGCTGGCCGCGTGCGCCAGAAGTCCCACAAGCAGGCCGAGCTCATCGCCGTGGGCACCCTCCGGTGCGCATGCTCCCTTCTTGCCTCTTTTTGCATCTTTGGATGCTCGTAAGTCCGCCTAGTCTAGAGGAGCGCCAGAGGAAATGTGTCCCATGCTTGTTATGGCCTGCCCAAAAGGAAATTGAGCTGCAAAAGAATGGGCCCGGGGCTCGGAACAACAGCAGATGCGCGGATAGAGAAAAGAGACTTGAAAGTATTTGAAAAAGTGCCTACGTGCGGACCACTCTAGTTAATAGAATGCAACCCTGCCAGCAATGTGCCACGGGTCAAGAGTATTTCTGCCGCACGCAAGAGTTACACATGCATCAAATCCCAGAGAGCAGGACACGCCCATAACTGCAGAAATGCTGCTCTGATTATACCGAACTTCCTGTGAAGCAGACAATCTCCGCTGATCACCTAGGAGCCTCCATTCCCCTTACCTCTTGCAGGATGGCAGCGGTTTTGCAGTTGCTTGTTTCGGCTGCTCGATAAGGCCTTGCTTGGAGTCACGATCTGGTTTAGTTGATAAAACTTTATTGACATTCAAAGAATATTGGTCTTTACAAGCTGTGCAACACCCATGCAGGGCGGATCGCGGCTGGTACAACAGCGGCTACATATTTCCCGAGGGCTTCTCTTCGCGAGTCAGCTTCCGCTCTTCCGTGGTGCTCGACCAGCTGTGCGTGCACGAGTGCACAGTCATCGGCCGCGGCGGCAAGTTTTGGCCGGCTCCCACCTTCCGAGTGACCGCGCTGGACCGCTCCGACGAGCCGCTGATTGCCAAGTCCTGCACCGGCTGCTGGTCTGCGGTGAGCAGAATCCATCCTAATGTTTGTAAAATAAACCACATGGGTGGGCACCTTAAGCTCTCTCCAAGAGCAATGGGTCTTTAGGGCATGTGCCAAATGTTAAGTGTGCATGGGATCACTTGTTGATAGATGAGCGGCAAAAATTGTGAAGTCTTGAACCGGCTGCGTGAGCGCAATGTGAACCGGCTGTGCGTTCAACACTGAATCTTACTCTTGATGTTGGGTCATTGCCACGGATATTGCACCGCTCTTCTCTGTTCATGCCCTGCTATACGGGGTGACCGTTGACATGGTTACTTCCTCTGCAGTAAATAGTGTGCTGCCCGACTGCATATATCTGATGCTTGCTGCAATAACAAGGTGCAACAGCTTCTTTGTCAATCTAAGCTGTGTGCTGCATGTTCTGAGGACCACCATTGAACGTCAGGATTGCTGAAAGCTGCGTTGGGTGCGCAGGTGCTGAAGCGCATCAACGCTGAGATCGAGGGGCGGCGGCGCGCGGGGGAGGACCTGCCGCCCCCTCCCAAGACCGCCATCGCTGGGCCAGAGTACTTCGGCCTCAACCAGCCCGAGGTACAATACAGGCCCCTATTGCAGCGCTATTTAAGACCCTTTCAGACCCCTCTTCTCCCTGGTGTTTTTCACACGTGCACCTTCGCATGCAAGTTCAGATGGGTTTAAAGCACCTTTTGACGAGGCCATCCCATGGCTTCACATCGGGGATTGCATCCAACTGCTTTCATTTCGAGCGACTGCGTTGCAGGGGATTGCCGTGAATATGGCTGTGGTCCGCTTCCTTCCGCATTTGCTGTCATTCTGGGCTGCATATCACAGACGCCGAGAGCTGTCTTGGGTTGCACTTTCAAATTTTGTATTGTGCAACAATAGTGACTGGAGGTGTGCTGGGCTGCAGATCATGGACGCCATAGAGGCGCTGGACACGGAGAAGCTGTGCGAGGACTACTGGGCAGGCAAGGCCGACCGGGAGGCAGCCGCAGCTGGCCTGCCGCTGCCCGAGCGGGCAGCCGCCCACCGGCCCGCGGGCACAGCACCGCGCCCGACCGGCGCCGGCCGCCGCCGCGGCGGTGGCAAGCGTGGCAGGTGGGGTATTTGCCCAACTTGGACGGCTGCACAGTAATGCTTTATGCTTTTTCTGGTCGATCGCAATATTAAGAAAAGGCCCATATGGAGTCTCCTAGAAGTCTAAAGTAGGCAAATGCCCTAAACACTGAGGTTGGACTGTTTATTGATAGCCTCCCAGCAATGCATGGGCTTTTCCGCCGACCTTTTGGCAAGCGCAGCACGTGTGGGTATGTAAATCAAACGGATGAGATTCTTTTGCTACATTTCTAAGACCTCGAAATGGTGCCATGCCGCAAAATTAGGTGCTGACTGGAATGTGAGCCAACGGAACACGCGTATGATGGCCGAATGGGTGCAGGAATGGCAGTGACAATGAGGGCGGGGACTCAGAGGACGAGGAGGCAGGCGCTGCAGGCAACAGGTGCTTTCAACACATCACTCTGCTCCCTGCATCGCTGTCTACTTCACTAGACCTCTTGTACAGCAATTGGTGAAATTGTGAGCCTTCCGGCACCCTTGTTTACATGCATGTCCATCACGTCGTATTGTGAGTACAGTGTTCTGCTTGCTCGGATTGGGCATTGAGAAAGCAGTTGGTGGTACAATTAAAGGGAAGGAATGCAAGGAGAATTTTTAGGCACTTGCATGGATATCTTGATGTAGGATGTATATGCTCTGGGCTCCGGCTGGCAGGGAACGATGTAAATATTGAGCAATGAGCGCCTGGTTTTTTGGGTCTTGCTTGGATATGGGCAGTCCATCAAGGGGCAGATTTCTGGCACCCATTACTGCACTTTTCTTCTGCAGGCTGCTGCCTTGCTCTTGGCAGAAAAGACGTGTTATACTGCGTAGAATGGTAATAAATGCTATTACAGATTATAATATTTCGCATGCATGCGGCAGGTGGTCTGCCGTGAGCCGCACGGACCGCTATAGGAAGCGGTGCGCGGCCGACGGCGATGCCTCCGATTATGTAGATGCCGAAAATCCCCTGCCAGGGTTTATAGACCCCATAACCCTAGAGCCCGTCGTGACCCCCGCCATCTCCTGCCACGGCCACGTCATGGGCCTCGCCACCTGGAAGGTGCGCCTGTTTTGGCGGAAGCCGACCACGTTATTGAATTTGTATTTGAAAAGAAAAGGTTTTAAGAACATTCTGCCATAGCAGCAGCCCTTCCAATGCAGTTGGAAGCTGCCCTTGCATCCCTCTGTGCATGATCATGTTAAAATATCCTTGTCCTATCTTATCATGCCTGAACTTCAAGCTCTAAGCATCGCCCATGAATGCAACACTTGGCCCCTTGGTGTTGCAGCTTCCTTTGTGATGCAGAAATGCCGACCGAAATATTACCGATGTCAGAGAGAATGAGGCTGAAAAGCGGCTCCGCACAGGCTTGCTTGTAATTAAATTGCCTGTCAAACCTTGGTGGCATGCAATGCCTCATTGTATAGCAGACGTACAGCTTCACTATGCCAGCAAAGCTAAATTATGGATGTATTATTTTAGAGTCATAGCAACTGCAGCCATTGCCATGATGAGATAGCTGGTACCTTGCTATAAGGAGAATGATTCTCGGTGTGAACACTTGGCGGCGCATGCATGCAGGCTGTTCTGGCAGAGAGCGGACTATGCCCCTTCACAAAAACTCCCATGCGTTGGGAGGCATGCACCGTCCTTACCCACAGCAACATCGAACGATACCGCGACCGCATCAAATCCAGCTGATCTGTGGAAAGCAGCAGTGCATCAGTGAATCAATCCTAGTGAAGACCAGATACTAAATGTAGCAGCTTGGGAGCTTGCTGAGGATTGCCGAAGAAACTCTGAAGGCATGTTCTCATGGTGCGTTGGAAATTTAGGCTTGACAAGAGCAGCAGGCGATTCAAGGCCCGTAATGTTCAACAAGAACTTCTGGACTGCGTCATATCAAGGACCACTGTCGCGGCAGCTGCCATCCGTGCACTGCTGGCAAATGCTGGTGCTGCTTTGAAGCAAATTTGTACTGCATGCAAGAAACAAATAATGGTGCACCGCGGCATTCAGTGATTGATTTAAAGTTGTGCACTGGTGAGCCTTCAAGTCGATGTAAATTTGCAGCAGGAAGCATGACCATGCACTTGCTGATTGCTGTGCTGGTGCAAGCAAGCTAATAGATGACTGTTATATTTTCCTGGACATATTATCGTATACCGTAAATTTAAATGCTTTAGTGACACCGGTGTTTCTCTTCTTTTTGCGTCTAGCATAATTGACTGCATGGACTCTAATCTGGCGATACACAATCCAGGAGACTCCTGAGAGACTCATTCTCTGTAAATTAGATCTGAAAATTTCCTGGATTGGCTATCTTGTATGTGTATGTGTTGACTGGACATCAGCCACGTCAGCGCTCCAAGATAGCCTTTCAAGTGGAGCAGCGACAGGAAGCTGGGCAATTCTACGTCCACATCTCGGATATATAACTTGTAAGTATATAACTATCATAATAACCGTCACATATTACAAAGGGAAGTCGTAGAGAACTCCACAGAGCTGAGCAGACTTTGAAGTTTTATAGAATTGTTCTTCGCATCTTCCTTTCTTGTCGTTTCTCTATCTAAACCTGGCTCGAAGAGACGTTTCATCACTGTACAAAATTACGTCTTTTAGTATCTTGAAAGCGTTCTAGAACCAACCATCCGCTAGTTTTGAACGCTGCTTTTATTTACACAATGTGAAGGAATTGTGCAGGCAGACATGGATGTCTCTAGGGCCTCACTGTATCAGCCACCCCACAGTTGTGCGATATTTTCCAGAAACGTATCTGGGAGATGCAGATGGGGCAGCCAAAGGACGACCTCAATATGGTGCTGCCATGGCTCGAGGCACTCATGTGGCCTGCAAATTCTCCAACCCAGGCACAGCAGCCCGAGCCTCCATAGGCAGAAGTACCTGCAACATGATAGGTACCAATCACGCACAAGAAGAAGGGGCGTCATCGCTGGAGCACTGCCAAGGATCGACCTCGCCTTGCTGCCCAAGATCCCCGATCTTGGTAGGGTCTGGCTCTTTTTCTTACGCTTATAAATGTCAATCATGTAATTTCTGCACTCTCGTGCTCATCTGGCCCTGCATGCTTTCCAGAAGTTTATCTGAGTGTCACCAACGCTATTGTCATGGCCTGCAGGGACATTGTGGGACTCCTGTGTGCATGATGGGATCCTGGCTGCGACCACCGGCGCCTCCTTCAATCTCTTCATGCTGTGCGGCTTTGTTGGGTGGCTGCTGCACACTGGACGCATCCCCAATGACACCGCCCCTGTGCTCAGCAAGGTAGGCTCCTTTACTGTCCTCCACCTTACTGTCCTTCACCTACTGCCCATGTCCATTTGTTGTCTACATCGTGTTTCCTTCCGTTGGTAGTGTGCTGTAACGGTCTGCAACCAATATTTGGAGGTCTTGATCAAGTACACCTATACCAGAAGGTTACATTGCATGGTCTGATTATGCATGGCCTGAGGTAAATTGCTGGATCTGACTTTGTGTGCATGTGGGGTGTGCAGGTGGCGTTCAATGTGTTCATCCCCTGCATGCTCTTCTCAAAGGTTGCTTCAACACTCGCCACACAGCCCAACCTCTCCCTCCTTGCTATCCCTCTGGTGGCCGTGCTGCAGGTACCCCTTTTCCAAACTCTTCTTCCAATATTGTCTACCTCTGCTCATGCAAGCACCCCTCAGGCCAATCTGACAAAATGGTTGGCACTGAGAAGTATCAGAATGTCAGACCTTAAACATGCACTTGCCATGTGCTCTGCCAGAGGGTATCAATGGTGTCCACTTGAGCTACAAAAATAGTATGTGACCAACTGAATGGACAGGCTCTTCTGCCCTGTAAGTACTGCCAGGATCCTGAATGTTCTCTATGTCATCCCTCCTAACATTGCCTGATCCGGCGCATGCATGCAGGTGGCAGCAGGCGCCTGTTTTGGCTCGGTGGCCGCGCGCATCGTGGACGGCTCGCTGATGTCATCGCTGTCCGGCTGGCACCCTCGCAACCCCTCCAGGTCAGCGCAGCTCCTCGCCCTCACCACCGCCACCGCCACCGGCGTCCCCGGCGTCGCCGCCGCGCTCCTGCCCCGCCAGAAAAACATCCCCCTCGGTGCGTGTTTTGTTCTTGTTTCTCCTATTTCCAAAGCAAGGGGGAGTGAAGCTCTCTGCAAATCTCCTGGGGGCATTGCTGCAGGGGGTGATGGGTCCTCGAGGACATTACTTATTGATGAAAAGTGCTAGAGCAAGATGTATGAACTGGCAGCAGACAGCACGCCTACGCATTGACTGCGCGCCTTGCAGCTGATCCAAGGGGTTCCGAAAACCGTAAGGGCACACAATGCAACATGGCAGAACAAAAGTGTGCCGGCACATGCGCGCAGGCACGCGCGAGCTGGTGTCGGCAGCCTGCACCTTCGGCAACTCGCTCACGCTGCCGCTGGTCTTCCTGAACGCGCTGCTGCCGGCGGCCGCGTTCGACCGTGCGGTTGGTTACACGGCGCTGTTCCTCACGGGCTGGTCGCCGCTGCTCTGGAGCGTCGGGTACTCGCAGCTCGCGTCCGCCGGCTTTGCCGCCGAGGGCCAAGGTGCGTTGATGTACCCTTGACGATGTCCCCACCCTCTGTTGAATGCTTATAATTTTTGTGAATCTTCCTGGCAATTTGTCGGCGACGAGGCCAGGTAGTACAGCTTTGTTCACCAATTTAGCATCAATTGCCTATTTCCTTTTGTTCAAACGGGTGTCAATCCATAGATCAGCTGCAATTGCATCTTTCTGGTCACCAAAAGTGCGCACTTGCAATCAATTTCTGTCTGCCGCAATACCTATTCAACAAGCTATTCCACAGTAGTCTTCTTATCTTGCGGCTGGGGCTCATGATCAGGGGAAGCACGCAAAGCATGGCTTCTGCATGGCTTTGCTTTACGTGCTTCTTGTCATCATGATGACGAAGCTGCAATGCATGCTTGCACGATATCGCAACACTTCTGCTTTCATGGTTCTCACGTGGATGTGCGCGCCTGCAGAGGCTCCGCCGAGGCCGGCCCATTACGGCAGCAGTTTCCTGGGGATCGATCTTGGGGACGCAACGAGTATCTGTATGTTACTATATCATAAGAACCGCTTTATGACTGGTAGTTTACAAAGGCACTTACATGATTGTGCGCGCATTTGCAGAGGCTCCGCCGAGGCCGGCGCGCTATGGCAGCAATTTCCTGGGGGACGATCTGGGGGACGAAATGAGCGTAGCGCGTGTGGCGCTGTCAACTAATGCCGGTCTGAACCGGCAGCCCACTGCCGCGAGCCGGGCCCTGCGCGGCGCCGAGGCCGGCCGGCGGTGGCTGCGCGGGGTCAGGAGAGCGTTTGTAAGGGTGCGTGGTCTAAATATCTCGGCATGCGCCACTTGTTTCTTCATGGCTTAAGCTCTTGGTGTATCCTCTTAGCCTGACACTGGTTAGGCACGGCTGATTGAGGCCGGCCGGCGTTGGCTGCTCGGGGTCAGGCGAGCGTTTCTAAGGGTGAGCGCGCTTTTCTATCTTACATTTTTATCCCCGCCTTTTGTGCCAGGTGCTGTCACGTTTGCAGGTCAAGGTGGCATTCTAAACGTCCAAAGGCCCAATGGATTGCACGCAAATGTCCATGACCTACCGCTTTGGCTGGGGGTTGATATATAATCTCGCTGAAATATACGGTGCACTGTTGCTGTATGTTAGGCAATCTCTCATGCTATGCGAGCCTGCAACACTTACTTCTGTGATTTTCTGTAGCTGATTTCACTGGTGAAGGGAAGATCTAATCCTCAAATCATGCAACCATGGTGTGTGGATCATGCTGGAATAATCACAAGGCATCATTTTACACCAAAGTATTCATGATGCCAGATCCTGCCTTTTGGATTTCAGCATAACCGGGCATTGATGCTCTTCATTTTGAAATGATAGCACGCGAACACTTCTAGTTTACGCCTGTCCACACTTGTGAGGGTGTGTTGTGCTATGCGCAGGTGTTGAATCCCCCGCTCGTAGGGGTAATTGCAGGCATTCTGATCGGCGTATCCCCCCTGGGCCAGCTGCTGTACCGCCCTGACAACCCCGCCGTGGCCGCTTATACTCTGCGGCTTCCTATGGAACTACGAGTCTGCTTAGGCAAGCCATCCTTCCTGCCTCTGGCTCTTGCCGTGGCCTTCAAAACATGATGCTTCTTACATTTACATTTTCCCCAACACCAACTAAATCATTACTGGTATTGAAAATCCCCTTGGCAGGTGAGGAGTGGCATTTGCACAGTGTTCTTTGCAGTGCAAACAGAACGCCCCTCATGATTTCAGGATGTCCCAAAGCATGCATTCAGGCCCTTTTGAGAGCGGATGTATGCAGCAGGGCCGCACATTGCTGCTAAAGCATGCGTTCGTTCAGGATTGTTGCAATCTGCTGCAGGGGTTTTATGCTTCCAGTTCATTGTGCGCACAGGTGGCATCAAGTCGGTGGCACAGATTCTTGGGCTTATCGGCGGCGCGACTCTCGCCGTGCAGACCGTGGTTCTGGGCGCGTCGCTCTTTCAGAAGGCTTCAAACCCGCCGCCTGATCTGGCAACGGTAAAGCAGGGGGAGGCCCCCTCCGGGACCCCCGGGTCCCCACCCCAGCAGGGGCAGGTCCAAATTGTCACACCCAACACACCCGCCCCAGGTGCGCGCCGGAATGGGGCATTATGATTATTAGTCATTGTACATTACTCTGTGTCATACTTATTGTTGTTGTTACACAATTCAGTCCAGAGGAGGTGAAATTCAGGTGACAGTGTGCAGAGCATGACTGGAAAAACCTCCCGGCGATGCTGTCATGCTTTGAATGGCGCAACATTGGGGCATTACTGGTGCAGTGCAACGCGTGAGTCTGCGGCTGTAGTGCCAGCAGCTTGTACATCTTGAAAGAATCAGGCTGCTGCTGATTGTTGAACCCGGTTGGAGATATGACCAAGCCTCATTTGCGCCGATGCAGGGGAGAGCCTGAGCATTGCGCAACAGAGGAGCAAGGTGGTGTGGAGCGAAGCCAGGCTCGCAACGCAGGGGATGCTGGAAGACAGGGGGCCCGATGGTGAAAGCCCTGCAGCCCTGCATTTTGAGCGCATGAAATGCCAACTCAGCGTCTTGCCTTGTTGCATATGCTTCCTTTTCTTGCAAGGGATTTTGAGGCTTTGGTCATGCATTTTTGGGTTCATTTTGGGGGCTGGCACCCACAACAACTTGCATCTACAGACAATCACCGGAAACTCTTGAGGACTAGAGGAAAGAGAGGCCAACGCATGGCCGGGGACAAGAATTTTTACAAAATTCCGATTTCACACCTTGAGACACCTTCCTCGCCTTTTCTTCATCTTCCTTTATCACAGATATTTGAAAGCTTTGTCAGAAGTCAGCCGCTGTGTGTGCGCAGGTGCTGGCCCAAGCGGGCAGCCCAGCGGGCAGCCCGACCAGAACCTATTGAAAATGCTGCTTCCTAGAGACAATGTCGACGTACGCATGTTCGCGGCTGTGGCCGTCGTGCGTTTAATACTGATGCCGGCGGTTTCGCTGGCGCTCGTGCGCGGGCTGGCGGCTCTAAGACTTCTTCCGGCCGACCCCGTCTGCGCGCTCACGCTGCTTGTGCAGGTGAGGGTCTCTTCTCTCGGGGTTCCTGCTTCTTGGAAATTTGCTTATTGTGGATGGAGCCGGCGGGTGAGACAGAACACACAGCTCCGGATCTCACTGGCAAGCTCTCTCTCTGCCAAGACAACAACACCAAATGTGCTCAACTGTTCCAAGGCCCTACCTATGCATGCTCAACTTGCCTCTTGCCATCAATCAGCACGAAATTGCTTCGTGCCTATGCTGTGTTTAGGGAGTAGTGTCCTGTCAGGTCCCTTATCTTCTCAACCTCTCAGGGTCTGGCTTGGTGAAGCACCAGCTAGGAAAGCCCTGCAAGCCACCACATTATCATACAAGCAATGCACACTCCTCGTCTGCAAACTCCTCCTTTCTGGCCTGGCATCGCTGGCCTGTGCCGCTGTACCTCTATGATTTCCAGCCCTCTCAATAGCTAATCAATGCCAGTTGAGGGTGCCCACTGGCCGCTCCTGCTTACGGGTGCAAGTAGACCCGTGACTGATCTACCGTAGTCAGCACCATATTCCCCGCATAAAACAATTATTCCTAAAAAAGGGTCGAAATTGAGACCTTAATGTGCAAAATATAAACCCTATGACAATTCTGAGACCAGTTTTGGTGAGCTCTCGCTGAGCCCGACCCATTGGTGATGATGAAACAGCATTTCAAGGAAGGAACTACTTTCAAAAACAGGTCCAAACGTTTCACGCATTTTGAGGAGTGCGGGAATTACGGTGCTGATTACGGTAGTGTCGTTGCAGGGCGCGATGCCGTCAGCGCAGAACCTGGTGTTGCTTGCGCAGCTCCGGCGGGGTACACAGCCGCTCGCGCCGCGCATGGCGGCTTTGCTGCTGCGGCTGTATGCATTTGCGATTGTCCCGGTCACCCTCTGGATGACTGTCTTCGCGTACAACCTGCCTGCGACGGCCGCCGCCCTGCTCTAGGCCTGTGCTGCAATTGAGAGTCTCTAGGGAGTCATGATGAACTACTCTGAACTACTCACAATGGATACTCGCAATGGAATGCACAGCCAAGTGTCCTCATGTTTGACCTCCATGCGCCTGACTTGAAGATGGAGCGTTAGCCGGATTTAGTGTGTGGCGTTATTTGCGTATAACCTGCCTGCCTGCCACGGCCGCCGCCCTTCTCTAGGGGTGGTTACTGCAGTCAATCAAGGCGTAGCCAAGTGCCATGACCGGCGCTGCATTCTAGGGGTAGTCACCGCAGAGCAACAGATGCTGACTTGAGTGAAGCAGTGACTACTCCTACCCTGTAGACATGTGTGCTGGACTCAAAGAGTGCATACTGGCCACTATTGCTGGTATGAGTGGGACTTTGCAGCTATATGCGCATCCGCATCTGAAGTTATGACCTTGCAATAACAGCCTGAATATGCAAGCTTGATTTTAAGATATTGCTCTGGCATGAATGCTTGACCGGGAACCCTAAACCCTAAAAATTTATGCATTCGTCGTGTCATGCTGCATGCAGAAAGGACCTGCAGAAATGCTTTTTAAATCACCATGGGGCAGACAATATAGAGTGACAAACAGCTTCATGAGCAGAGCCGTGTATAACCCAGACAAAGCATGAGCTAACATTGCGCCCTACTGCATTTGCAAGTCCCTTCACTGTCATCAATCAGTTCGCGATGTTTGCTATCAGCTTTATGCTTGGCTATTTCTGGTCTAGGCCTACACGCGGGCGAGAGCAACGTCTCAAACAGGTGTTGACCCAGGCTTCTAAACTGGTCAGATGAGTTGTCGCTTCGCCGATTGGACTGCGAGAGTAAATTGAAAGGTTGTGTGCGCATTGGCAATCTTAGATTGATAATGGCAAGGCCGGGCTGGCTGTTGAGGTTGGCTGGGGTGTTCAGCAGCTTTTGAAGGTCACAATTTTGGCATTGGGGCGATTGAAGCAACCAACAAACTGCCAGTTGTCAAGGCCACCATCGCCCTGCACACAAACACAGAGACAGATAAAGAAGCACGAAATGCTCTGTATATTTGTCTTTACAGGTGAGTCAAAGCGCTGGAATCATAGTCATCAGCGCATATCTGCCCATGCACTCTGTTGAATGTGGTGATTTTGTCAGGCACTCAGAATCAATAAGTAAGAACTCACAAGTTTGCAATTGTTATAAATAGAGCTACTGCACGCATGCAATTTGTTGGAAAATTTGCCGCTGTTGAAGGTCCAGACATGGAACGCCCCCCACTGGTACCCTAAATTTTGAATTTTAATCCTCTAAGGCCTTTAGACTAAAGGGATGATCGATGAAAAAGGGGGCATGCCTGGTTGGAGAATTCGCCGGTGTTGAAGGCCCAGACATGGAACGCCCCCGACTCGTAGTCTGCGGCCAGTCCAGTCAGCCCGTAGGCGTTGCAGTCCTTGCACACCATGATGCTCTTGCCGGGGAATGCCCTCTGCGCATCGTTGAAGGGCGCGTCCGACTGAGCCAGCAGGGTCCTGCCAGAGCCCTGCTCCACAGCCCTGAAGACGGCAACCATACACTCAGATATCAGGCCGATATATTATTGTCCTTATTCTTATTACACTCTTTTCCTGCCAGAGGCAAGGTGCGTCTGCGGACAAGCTGCGTGTCAGATTGAAAAGTAAGAGGCAAATGCCATCCTAGTGGCATGCATAATGATGCAAATTTGCAGGTTCAGTGCGTGGCATCAACATCAGATTGAATACCATACATACTGGCATGTTGTGCATTTCTGCCGGCTTAAGAACATGTGTTCCTTTTTGAAGTGCTGCCAGCATGCATATGCATTTGCACCATTGTCTCAAAATCGAAGTCAGGCATATTGATAAAGAATTTTATTAGTCAAATAATTTCCCGACTAATCAAGACTGCGAGTTAAAAGGATATCTTAGTCATTAGGAGGGCTCACCTGATAGTGACCATGTCAGCGTAGCTTTCCACGCCTGCGCGCGCATGGCAGAGCTGCTCAGAACAGCTCAGGAAAAACAACCGAATTAGCATTACGCCCAGTTCCGGGTGCCGTGAATGAAGATTTTATCAATGCATTCACGGTCCAGCACATTGTTGGAGGCCTTTCGTGGATGCATGCACTTTGCAACAAACACACCATGTGCCGTCTGCCGAGGATGCAATTACAATCAAACACGCTGCAGCAAACACCCACTCAGCAGGAAAGAGTATGCCACGCTGAGGCAGTCCAAGGATCCTTCTGACATACTCTCAGAGATCTCGAATTCACGCACCAAAATTCTTCAATGTTGGTAAGGTGCACACCTGGCAAGTCAAGGGGACGAGCTGCAGCCATGGCTGCTGCCAGCAGAACCATTGTGGCAAAGACTGTAATGCGCACCATTGTATCTGTAGCACAAAATAGAGCTCAATGCACAGCTGATGTGCTCTCAAGACCACCGTCACGATGGGCTCAGGTCGGTGACAAGGCTGCCAGAGCAGGATGGTGATCTGAAGGAGCCAACTCCTTCGGTAGGACAATTTACTTCCACTTGTCCAGGTGATAAGGAATGAAGATGAGGTCAGACCAGTGTCAGAGAAATGCGCTGAGCAGCTTTTATGCAAGATTATGTTACGACTAGCACCTGGAGGATAAGAAGCCAATATCGGCACACATCGACGGCCCAAGCTGAAGATACCCTCAAACTGAACAAGTTCTATCGAGAATCAACTTTGCTCAAGAAGGCTGTGAAACCCTTTCTGGATGCTCAAGAGAGGGAGCAACAATCATGTCGAATTAGGACGCTGTGCATATCGGTGGTTACCTGTACGAGCGAAGTTCTGCAGGAGGGAGGGGCGGACGAGACGGCTGCACGATGACGAGCAGAAATAAGTGCCGGACGGTAGCTAATGAGGATAACTTGTTGGCGCTCTGCTAGCAATTTTGCTATTTCGCGAGAATTGCGGACAAGCATTCTCTAGTCGATGCTTCTGTGTCAGGTTCCTTCCAAGGTTCTGCCCTGCAAGTGGGCAGTCCATAGCTCCAAGGTTGCATCCATGCAAAGCACGTGCGAACGCGTCTCAGAAATGAAAACTGCCCGTTTTGAAAGAGGCACATTCTCATGATGAGTCAGCTTAGCAGACAAAGAATGAATCCCAATTCCATTTCCAATTTTTATCAGCAAATTATGATTTGTACGCAGGGCTGCCAGCAGCTAGGATGACTAGTTTGCAAGTGCCAGCTGCCTATTTGATCAAGCAGGTGCTTACAATGAATGCAATGGTTTAAGCTTGCAAGTGAGTTGCCTAGTGCACCTGTGATGTAATGCCTTGAGCTTCATTTATGGCCCTAGCCTGCTTCGGACTGACCTGGTGGCAGTTTTGGCATATCGCAGTTTTGCCACATGCATGCAAGGAGTGTGCGCCGGCTGGCTGACATGTCAGATATGGGCTAAAGTAACTGACGGAAATGTTACATCATGAGTGCTTTAATGCACTGCCAGGACGGTTGCCTTCAGCTGAAAGGCATGCAACACGCTCACAACTCAAGCAATCCTTGCAGGCAAGCGCCACACTGATGCATCCCTTGGGATGGAACATTTCAGGAGAGGAAATTCGAACGCTGCAAATCGTATCCCTAGCAAGCAGAGCAGAGCGCTGCTGCCGTACTTTGCTTTTCTTTCAGCAGTCAGCTATTGCATCTTGCAACGCGGGATTTGATTTAGAACAGTTTACTCATTTTAAATACGGCCGAGTGCTGCGCTGCAGGACACACTTAATAAGGCCATGCACAGAGTCTTGCACTAACGCTGGCACTCAACAAAAGTAATCCAAGCAGTCTGCACCGTCTCACTCGGAAGTCTGCCCCATGCTTCAATCATACTTAGGCTCAGTATATGCATTGCTGCTCGCAGCAGGGTGCCGCGGTCAATTTGAAACATTCTGGTCAGCTCCTTTTTTGTCAGCTCATTTCTGGTCTGGGCAGCTTGTGCGTGCTATGAACTTGGGAGCTTCATCGTTCAGTATGCACAGGCTGTCTGCTGGCTCAGGCTGACAATTTTCAGCACGCCCTGAAGTTCACAAGCTTGCCGTTATCCGGGCGGTCAAAGCAGCCCTTGATTTGCCAGTTGATAAAGCCCCCATCACCCTGCACGCATAGATCATACCGTTCGTTTCGATCTAAAAATATTATTTTCCCTCAAATCTGACCAGGACGTTTGCATCAAGGACACATCATGCAAAACAGAAATTAAAAAACCCTGCAGCGCCCTGAAACCTGACAACGCAACGCACGTGCAAAGGTCTTAAAGCAGCTCTGCTCAAATCATCGCAGCGCGGTGGCACAGGGCCGACTCAATCCACGGTATAATACACTGAAGGTTGTACTAGATCTAGATCAAGTTAAGTGACATTCTTTATCGAGAAGTCCTCCAGTTGTGCACATGCCGGTACAGATGTCGGGGCAACAAGATGGATCAGAACTCATCGAGGTGCCAATTGCGCTGACCCAAACCAAATTCATTCCCAGACCCAGACCTTGACTCAACCTCCAATCTCAGACATTGCGACAGGCTAGCAGACGACAGAAGCCACCGATGATCAGAGACATGCGTAAAAAATGAATGGTCCGAACGCGGCAGGTAAAAGGCATGCATTTGTTAACAAAGTAAGCAAGAGGCTGCTGGTCACCTGATGAAGGAGTGGTATGAGGCAATGAGGGCAACGAGAAAGGTTGAAGAAGAACGAGCCGGATGGTGTCCAGACGAGATCAGGCGAGGCTTGCGGGTGTTTGGGCGGAGTTGCGCTAGCAATGTATTACGTTTGCTGCACTCTGATAGAAACAAGGCAAGCCTGATGCCTTTATATGCGGCGAGGTGGCGCTTCCAAGTCAGGTTGCATCCAAGGCCTTCGATGTCGGGTTCCTCCTGCCAGTACAGGCTGACTGGATACCACTGCTAATTTCACGTGATGGTACGTGATGCTTGCATGTACAGGTGCAACAGGTGATCTCATTGGACTGCAAAATTGGCTGAGATGTTAGACCAAACTGTTTGAACATCCCAAATATCTTAAAGATAACTCAACAGATCCATGGATCCTTGCATTTGTCACATGCACCAGCTTCACTCCACCTCAATGCACTTTGCATTCAGATTTGAATTCAAGTCCAAGGAGTTGGACTGCATTCAGCTATGTCAAAAGTCTGGAAAGGGATATTCCGTGTGGTTATGCCACACTGCTCGTTCACTGCACACATTTCGCTCGCCTTCCCAACACCCGCTGTATGTCATCAATTTTGTCCAAGAGACAGCATCCCTAGCCTGCTCTAGCGTCAACCAGGCTCCTTGCTCAACCCCATGCAACAGAGCCGCATGCCTATTTGTGTCGTTACTTCCGCCATTCCCTCTGCTGTGGCCTGTCAAGGTTTTGACAGAGCAGTCCACCAAGCGGGGTGAAACAAACTTCTGGAGGTGCTTGCCATGCAGCAGGAAATCGCCCGGCAAGAAGTTGCATGCCGGATTAGTAACCAGGCAGGGGTCCGCCGCATGGCTGTCCCGATGGAAGCCGGCCAGCTGGCGATACACCTTGATGACTAACCCACCCACTGACGTAACCTCATACCATGCAGACTGGGGATTAGCGTCCATCACATGGCTCTGCAATTGTTTTCTGAAGCAGCGCAAGTATGTCACATACGGATGCACATAGCCCCATCTGTCTATTATGTCTTTAGACACGCAAGACTGCAGCCCCAAAAAGTACAGGATGCTCTCATGCAATTCCCCATTATCCTGGTTGTAAAAGCGCCTCTGGCCATTGTCTGAGCCGCTGAGCCAGTGCTGCATGAAGCTTCTGCCGCGCTCCGAGTTCCTGACAAAGTAAGCGCTGGCGTGCAGCTCAGAAGCTCCCAGGATGGTGTTTGGCGGGTGGTTTGGGGGAATGCGATCCTGGAGGATCGTGTCAAAACGGTCATCCAGGAAGTCAGTCACCCGCACTGAGTAATTCACAGGTAGCACATCCAGATCGCTGTGTAGTACCCACTGGAACCGTGGAAGGTACTTCTGCACAATGCGCAGCCTCTCGTGCAGCCACGGCCGGCCGTCATTGACAAAGGTCTCCGGCTCAAGAAACAACGGGATCCCCTGCCGCGCGCAGTAGCAGTTGATGGCTGACAGCGCCACTGACCAGTTTCCCAGGTGCCCTGGAGATTGGGAGACAACCCAGGCCAGGCGGGGAAGCTCGCTCGAAGCTTTGCCTGTGGCTGCGCTTGGCTCATATGCAGCTGTGCTGGCCTGCGAGGGCTGTTTTGCCTGCCTCCTCCCCTGCAGAGCGCCTTTGGCTGATCGCCCCTCAAACGCCTACTTGCATGCACAAATCTTTGTCAACCTCGTTTCAGGCATGAAGCCTATGCAAATTGTGTTCAAAAACACACAACACACGCAGACAAAAAGAAAGCAGAGCAAGTGATCCATGCCAGGAACCTTTGTCGCAGGGATGTCAAAATCTTGAAATAAAGCTTGCAATTTGGTGGAAGTGCATGGCTGTCCGATGCTGAGTTTCTACAGGATCAGGAATGCCGATCGCCTGCTGTTTAGAACCTGGCGCAGTGGTCTGCTCATGCAATCTTGATATATACTGATTGTCGCCAAACTCACCTTGGGTGTTAGCAATTGCTTTTGAGGTGCATTTCTGATGCTGCGGATGCCATTGCACTCGCACGAGATGATGAGAAGAATCACTGCAAGCCTCTTCGTTGTGCAAGCTGAAAGCAGTAAAGAAGAGTTCCCTACATTTGGCCCCATAGCCGTCACCCAGGACCATTGCTCTTTGTCCAGTTATCAGGAATATAATAATCCATAATCTGTACGATTCCACGTGAGCGAAACAGGGGTCAACAACTATCGCAATTCCAAGATGGCACCATCCTTCTGCCAGGGAACTGTCAGGGTGCAATTCCCACACAGCGCTCCCCAGCTGTCCTGTCTCATTTATGGAGAGGACCACAACCTTCTTCTCGCAGGAATAGACGTGCCAGCGAACAGTGGTCGCCGAGCAGGCCTGAAATTTTTACCCCGTGGTGCCCATGTGCCCACGTGCACACACACGTGGTCAGGAAAGAGGACAATTTGTTCAACAGGAGACCTGCAGGATGTCCATACATCACAGTATCTCTCGAAACACGATAATGCGCAATGGTTTTCATTCAGCTGATTTTCGTGCCCAACGATCTGGTGTCAAGGCACCTGGGAGCCGGCGCACAAAGGTAGTGCCAAGCACTTCAAGCAGGTTGCTCCACGCTATATACTTCTCATGCCTTGCTGGCATTGGCAGATTCATCACTGAGTCCACCTCGCAATGGCCTGAACCGACATGCATGTTCCTCTCAGCTCCATGGATCACGTGCTGTGAGGCCATATTTGGTCCAGTCAGCCTGTACTGCATGCATGAGAAACCCGACATCGAAGCCCTTGGATGGAACCTGGCACGGAAGCCCCTTTTCGCTGCATATAAAAGCCTCACGCTCCCCTTTTCAGATCAAAATTCAGGAAAGAATAAGCCGCTGCTAACGCAATTCCACTCAGTGCCCACAAGTCTCGCCTAGTCTCACCGAGACTCCATCCGGCTCGTTTTTCTTTGGCCTTCCCGTCGCCGACTTTGCTTCAGCAATCTCCTGTAACAGGCAAGTGGCAGTGTTCTTACCTTTCTCATGAATACGATCACGGCTTTCAATTGCCGAGTCCTCTCAACTTCTGACACGCATGTCAACGAGATCTTCGTTGCCTATTGCCTCGGGCTAGCCTGTCTTGATGCCTAACATATGGCGGATTTGAAATCTTAGTGAAACATGGATCCAGTTGTTTTTGTTGAATACGCTCGTTTGGCACACACTGGGTCTGATGCCGTGTGCCCAAAATTGTACCGCCATCATATGATGTGCTCCTGCAGTCGACCGAAGGCGTGGATGAGGCATGTCAAACCTTTCAATCTGATAATGTCGACAGTCAACTGTATCTTGAATTGTGTGGTCTGTTGTCTTGCAGGCACCATGGCAAGCATTGCAGTCTTCGCCGTGCTCGTCCTGATGGCAGCCGCGATGGTTGCAGGCCGTCCCCTGGAGGCATCGGGTTCGCCTTGTCCTGCTTGCGAGACTTGACCATGATATCTATGAGCTGACGATAATGGTTTTCTTGGGGGAGCTGCATGTATTGGGTGAAAGTCTAGACTAAAATCTGTAACGCAACGTGTGTTTCCTGGCAGAGCACAGACACAAATGTGGCCTCCATTGAGTGAGGTCAACCTGCAGTCACAGAAGCTGATCCTCTGGATACATAAGTTCTTCCGTTTAATGCTCTTTCTTGAAAATCCTTCTCGACCCCCTTCCCATGTGCGTGCAGGTGACGGGAGCTACGCTGATGGTGACAGGTGAAACTTGATGCCAAAACTTCCCTGATGACTACTTGTCCTGGCAATGTTGACATGGCAGGTCATGCAATTCGTATCATCCTTGACAGAAAAATCACAGGCCCCTAATTCTGAGCAATCTCCTTGGCGTTGAATGTGCATGCCTCCTTAGAAAGCAAGCCATGCCTCACTGCTGTCCTGAAGCTTCTTGTGTCAACCTGCGTTGAGTTTGCCAACACTACTGTATTGTTATAACTACTGTACGCTTTTCCTGCCGAGAGGCAAGCTGCAATGATGGGTGCCACTATTTTACCCCTTGTTAGACTCCCAGATCCAAGCAAAGCCCAATGAACCGTGGGCATGGTGCTCCGTATTTCTGCCGCCCCCCGCCAGCCGGGGCCAGCTGAGGCAATGCTGCATCTGTTCTCACCCATGTGCTGCCAATGATGCACGTCTGAGTCGCAGAGCTAAGCAACACTTGTGCCTGGCAGGGCTGTGGAGCGCGGCCCTGGCAGGACCCTGCTGGCTGCGACAGACATCACGTTCAATGAAGCCAGCAGCGCCCACCCAGACAAGTGCATCATGGTGTGCAAGAGCTGCAGCGCATCTGACCTCACCGGAGTCGTGGTGGACTCTCGAGGGCTGCGAGGGTTCGGGTCCATGTCTTTCCATGTCTGGGCCTTTGACGCCGGCACCATCACAAACACCGTGCGCTCCCTCACAGATGTGTCTCTTTGTGCCTGCTGTCACTGCACTACTAATTTCTCAGGCACGGGCAGGCGGACAACTCTATGCCGGATCGCATGACTGGCCAGCCTGGAAGATCTGTTGCAGACATCCAGAATGGCATAATGTTTTCGGCTTTGGCTGCAGGGCGATGGGGGCCTTGACAACTGGCAATTCAAAGGCTGCTTTGACCGCCCAAATCCCAAGCTCGTCAACTTCAAAAAGTGCTGAATGCAGACAATTTCGAGTGCACCAGCCGAAATCAGCAGGCAGCCAGCACAGCTGAAGCCACCGTTGCTATAAGAAACTAACAGCATTGTTGGGCGGAACATGGCAGTGAGCCCATGCTGGAGTTGAAGTGCCAAGCGTGTGAGGAATCATTCTGTGATAGTACAGAACTAGGCAGGCACGGCGTTGAAATTCAAGTAGTGAGATGAGGAATCATATCGTTGAGCAGATGTAGCCTTCCAATTTCTTTGTATGAATTTTCCCTGTTGTGCAATGGTGTAAGACTCTGATTGTTATATTCCTTGCATTTGGGATGTGCAAGCGCAAAAGCTCTGCCATGGGGTTTGTGCAGTGACTGACACCGTGTAAAGAAGATGCATCAGAAAAAGTGTTTTCGGGTGCATCTCAGCCTCATGTCTGACAAGATATTATCTGTTTATACTTTAGGAAAGCCGCCGCTGCAATTGTTTCACCTATCAGTCATTGAACGGCACAGCATAGACTTGAATGGCAACAGGCACTGCTGGAATAGTACATGAGAGCTCAGCTAGTATTAAACTTGAAGAGCACTCCATAATTCCATGTGCAAGTGGAAATCCACTTGGCGGAGAGATGGGGCTACGTGCGTCTCTGTATGACTCACTTGCGCCTTAAGAGTCTTTCTGCAAGCAACATGCTGACACTGCTACAGAGCCATGCCTAAGACAAGCCTTGCATCAAGCACACAAGATACGTTTGCCCTGCTGCCCATATGTCGCATGCGCCCAGACTCCAGCAGCCAGCATCCAACAGGTGTGCAATTTTGAATTTGAATAATGCAGCTCTCTGAGACACGCCCTGCTACGCATTGAGAGATCATGCAAAGCCGGCTCCGATAGTCTCTGGAAAGCATGTATCCATCTGCATGCATGCACAACGCCACAACCTGCACCTTGCATTGCACGATTGCAATAAGGTTTCCTTGCGGTAGTGCTCTTGCCCGTCCTTTTGATGCGATTATGAAGACTGAGCTTCCATCTGCCAGCGCGCAGCTCAGGTGGGAACTTTGCATTCGCCCCGGGCTAGTCCGAGGTAGATTGTAGTCCGACTTGGGACAGCCAAGGGGTAGATGAAACTTTATCATTTCAAGTTCGAAATAGATTCGTCGACCTCATCCAAAGTGGTGACTAAAGCATTCCAATCTTTTAGGCCTTGGGGTCAACTCTGATCCTTGTGGTTCCTTTCCAGTTTTCCTCTTCTGACGTAAGAGTGAGTGTTGTCTTTGGCACGAAGCACTGCAGCTATCAGCTTTGAGCTGCTTGGGTTGGTCTCACAGCAGTAGAGCAACAACCATGATGGCTGACTCATTGCCGACTCATTGAGACACTGCGTTTGCGAATCGAGATTACATTGAGATTCAGCCTGCTAGCTCGCCAGATGTCTAGCCTTCAGGATCATGCTTGGCATATGCCTGGAAGAAGCAAGAGGAAGCCTGGCGGCTACAATGCAGCTACGATGTCAATATGACAGCACAACAACTCCTTGATCTGGCAGTGTGCCAACCGTTCCATGGCCCAGGGCCACTGGCCCAGTCTGAGGTAATATCAACGATAGGCAGCGCGGCAACCCCAAAGCTTATAGACCTGTTCCATCTCAACCGGCCAGTATTCGGGACAGAGGAAGACTTTCTATCCTGCAGGAATGCCACAAGTGGTGCGACAGTCACGCCTCCACTGCCTAAAATAACAGGTCCTACACCGCATCAACAGGTCGACCAGTCAACAAGACGTCTCACATCCCAGACCAGACCAGAACAGCTCCATAATGGCGTCACACTCAATGACCAGGCTTGCTGGTGGTAACCCAGAATGAGATCAGGCTGTGCTGGGCGGCTGAATGTGCCATAGGACTCCTCACTTACAAATTTGAAAGCTACAGTAAGCCCAAGCAAGATGGCTACTAGGTGGTGACTGTGTATGCTGCCAAATTTCTCAAGTTGCAGCTGGGACCGAGGCTGCATAAAGCTCAAGCAAGATCAGCTAACAGGTGGTGGCTGTATGTGCTGCCAAAATCCCAGTTGCAGCTGGGGCCGCGCATACAGTGAGCTCAAGCAAGATCAGCGGTCAGGAGGCGGCTGAGTGTGCTGCAACACAATGCCTTCAGCGTCAAAGAGCGCTCGGCCAATCCAGCGGGCCTCGGTGCACATCTGCTGCCAGGCCGCCAGCGATGTTATGCACTCCTCCTCCGTGCCAAACAGCGCCCTGCACGCCAAAACATACTCATTCTCATGCCCCAGAAATATATAGTATGTTGAATTTAATTCTCTGCTTCTCCACTGAAGGACGCACATGCTCTCAAGATGTGGCGAATATCTCAAGGAAGCCAGAGGCAGAAAGTCTCCCTTGAGGAGCCAGGTCACGCGAGACCATCACTTGAGCAGGCTGGAACAAGCCGCCGGCAGGAGAATGACACAGCCAAGGCAGGGGGAGAGAAGGCATCACCGAGCATCACACAGACAAGCATCAGAGAATCTGGAGCAAAAAAAGCGGCCAGCGATGAGTCACCTGAGGTGCCGGTCTGCGACGGCTGCTGCCTCCTGAGTGCGCATGCTGCTCATCTCCTCGGGCACCGATTCAAAGTAGCGCCACACGCGGCACGCATCGCCTGCAACCGCCACCATCACACTTCAACCCACTGCGGAAACTATTGCACAGGACAGATTTCCTTCAACTGCAGATATCCTGGTGAAATACCACAGCATATCAACCGGCCAGCCTGGAGCCCACAACCAAGAAAGGAAATGCTAAGAAGGCATACACTCACTTTGATTGAGACTTTGCATGCACACTTGCAAATACCCTGCAGAGCGCAGCCCAGCCAATGCAGGCGTATGACTGGGAAGTCTCAGAGGCAGGCCATGATTGCAACTGCCAATTAGCAGCAGACACAGTCCCAAGGGCAGCAAGACGTCACCCAAGCGCTCACCTGCATATGAGACATGCGAGTCTGCAGAGCCGGCGGCCGATGAGTCAGCATCGGCGGCTGCCGGCTCTGAAGTGTTGGGAGAGTCGCGCTGTTGCGCCATTCGCCGCTGGAAGTAGCCCCAATTCATGTAGGTGTGGTACGTCCGCGCCGCGCCCTGTCGGTTCATCCTCGCAGGCGTGTCCGCCTGCACGGACCCGGCTTGATAATGTCAATTTATGGACCATTCGGGTCTGCATCCTTCATGTGAGGGTGCCACACGCACCACACATGCCGTGCAGATTGCTTGTGCACCGATTCATGCGTGCTTGGAAATTGTTAGCTGAATGCACAGGTAATCTGCACAGCACAGGTCGAATGCTGCCATCGACTCTGCTCTGAGCCTGCTGCTGCAAAGACTATGTACCGGAAAGCGTGCGTGCTAAAGCAGTCAGCACGATGTGGATATACTGGTATGGAATGTCACACAAGCAGGGGAGGCGCAATTGGAGATACAAAGTCATTGAGCAGCATCAGGTGCCAGAGGGCTGCCAATAGTCCCTGCTGGAAAGAAACATGCTGTGAGCCCTCTGATAACCCGATCCAGCTCAAAAGCTTCTCACCACGCCTCTCTGTGCTTCCACACGTGGTCAGGACAGCCATTCGACAGGTCCAAAACAGATTTTTGCTGATTAGCAGATGAAGTTGCATCCGGTTGTGGCAGGTTAGGATTCCACGCAATCCCAAAATGCAGAGAAGAAATGTATGGCGCGCACCTCGTATGGTGTGATGGGTCCAGCGCCGTGGCTGCCCAGAACGACGTCCAGTGGATGCTGTTGACTCATCAGCCGAGCGGCGTCGCTCCCCGCGCCGCCCCACGAAATCCCCTGGGAGGCAACGCCGCTCGAGACCGAGCCCAGGTCTGATCCGCTGGGCGCGTCTGCAGGGGTGTCCCTTACAAATTGCACAGAACCTGCGCATGGACATGCATGTCCTGTTATTATAAAGGCAAGACTTCCAATGACGTGCTTGGGAAGCAAGCGCTCTGTGAATCGTAGTGTGGCAGTGAGCAATTGACAGGCCAAAGCGGCTCGGATCGGTCAGACCAATCTACTCCTTACATCCCTCTATACAATATCATGCAGAAAGGGGGCGTAATTAGCCAGGCTCTAATAAGGCAGAAGACAAGCAAAATATGTGCACAACATGCAAATAGTAGGGTCATGCAGCTAAAAGGGCATGCGTGAAGTCTCACAGACATGCAGCTTCGAACGCAAATTTGCATGGGTCAAAGCAGCACAGCAATCATGTGCACATCAGGAGGGAGTACAGGGGGCAAAAAGTAGAGCCTTGCTATCTGCAATAAATTATGTGTCACATATGCGCCAATTTCATTGCAGCGCACCGATCATGTACTGCCCCTGGAAGTCCTCGTCCAACAGCTGCACGCGCGACTGGAGGCGCAGCGGATCGTTGCCTGCCGCCAGCGCGTACGCCTGGCAGCTCCTCTGCTGCGCCAGCCTGGCAGGAGCATATGCAGAACGCGCGGCATCAGATCTAATTCTGAGCATTCAGCCAAACGTGTGAGAGTGCAAACACATACTGTGCAAGGATGCCAATGAGCCGGTCAAAACAGCACGACCAAACTGCTTGTTCTAGTATTTCAAGGAGCTCTTCAGGAATGATGGAGACTATCTCAGACCAAGCTGCTGTGCTGCTAGAGACCTCATCAGAGAAGCTCGCGTCACACCTTGAAATCTCCTTTTCAGGGGAGTGCTCGCATTGAAGAATGTTTCTATTAAGGTCGGGAGGCTCACCAGTGCTGCTTGCTCTCCTGATCGTCCGCCGACGACGAGTAGGGCATCCTAAGCTCAGACCTGCAAAATAAAAACGAGAACCAGTCCTGTATCTCCATTCAAGGCCAGGACATGCGGCATGTCGCCCCTCATGTACACCACGGAGGTTCTCTACTAGATCTGGCAGCATGTTCCCCAAACAGAATGGAAATCAAACACAGCACGTCCCATGCTGCTCCTCATCCAAGAGCCTTCAGCTAAGGCAAAGTAGCAGACGCACCGCATGTCTGCCTGCAGCGCTGGGTGCTGAATGTAGGCCTCAGCCAGCATCCAGTAATATATGATGTCTTCCAGGATGCGTCGCCGGCGCTCATCCTGCTCTGCTGCCCCCTTCCGCTCTCCAGATTGTTTGCGCCCTCTCCTGGCGCCAAAGGCTGACTGGAGCTCCCGAAGAGCCACTGCCACAAACTCGTGTGGTTTGTTCTGCAGGCATGCCCGCAGCCGCTGCCCTGCTTCTCCACCTGGAGCTGTGGGGATGCCTGCCATGTAGCCCTTCTGCCCAAAGACAAAGCCTTCCTCCCCACTGTGCCGCAGCTGGTTGCGGATGTGAAGGGCGTCTGCTTTCCTGGCTCTTCTCCGCTGCTGCTGAGCTTTCGCCAGCCGGGATCCACAGAACGGCCTCATCTGTACCCCCAGCAAACACGCGTGGGCATTGGTCCACTGTTGAGCAGAAACAGGCGTGATCTTGGCTCAAATCCAGGTAAACGGAATGTAGAAGGTATAAATTTTTGAAGTGTATTACTGTGTTGGTCAATCAGTCTCCAATATGTAAGCAATGAATGACCTGTACAACGCTGTGTTGGCATTGTAAAAATTCTGTAGATCTAGGAGAAATCCGTCCCTTAAGACCCACGATCGCCTGCATGGCTCTATTTAATCGTAATCAATGATTCGTGTGGCTCTGCACGACCTGTTTATGCGAACGCCTTGACGAAGCCAGTCTTTGAAGCTGTGCAGAACTCGACACAGGCAATTATAATTGTGCGTGAAACTTTCTACCAACGCAATAAGATACCGTGAAGGTCGAATGTTGTCGAATAGGCTGCTTGGCATCAGAGGTGTGTTGCGAAGAATCAACTTAATCGAGATCACCTGCCCATCCATTGGATACACCCCGACAGGTGGAGGGTAGGCCTGGAGCACTGCTGGAATCCCAGGCATCGATAATTGGCCAAAATTTTTACACTAGAGTTGCTCATGTAACAGGACAGCCGGATCATTGGATGGTGATAGCAACTGGCATAGCATTGCTCGCAACACTTCTTTCAGCTGCAAAGCTGGCAGCGTCACAGGCGTGACTTGCAAGGCACAACAGCCTGAGGCATTTCTGCGTGGTTGCACAGGACACACTGCCTGACACAGCAGGCAACATCATCCACATTCCTGATGCCACACACAAGTGCTAGCCTAGCTCACATGCACATCAGACAGAGCCTTGAGGCTCTGCGCTGAACACTTCTTGACCATATGTGGTTCTTGACCCTCCAGATTTGAGCTCAGGACCATGCATGCATAGGAATCAATGCACAGCCCAGCACTCTTTCAATCAACCCATATTGGGTACCACAGCATCAACAACGCCACGTTTCTTGCATTGGGGGACACAGACTCAGGAACATGATGGCTGACAATGAACGTATCGCATCCAGTAAGAAGCGAGCTCACATGCACACTCACAAAAAAAACTTGCAAGAGGGTTGAGCTCGCTCCAAGAAATGTACAGGGCTCCTGGCAAGATGGTGGTACACACGAGGGGAACGTGCCTAGAAAATAATGCCTTTCCTGCCCTGTACAATGCAGGCGAAAGGAAAGCATGGCCTGCATAGAAGCAGCAGAGAATGACCAGGAACACTGCCAATGCTGTACACTGTATGACTTGATGTGAACGCCTGTTCAGCTGAATGGAAAACTCTGCGGTGACTAAATGCAGCGAGCAACTGGGACACCGAGCATCCTGCAAAGCTTGATGCCACCTCCTAAAAGATGCCTCCAGAATCTTCGGGCACACTACTGCACCCAGAACCCACCCATGCCGGGGAGGGCTCTTGCAGTGAGTTTTCACAAGTGATGCAACGCAGGATGGATGACTCGATGCTGACGCCGTTCTTCGGCCATTAGCAACTCTGCAGCCACTTAGCAGGGTTCACGGGACTCTTAAGGTGATTTAGAGTCCCTGCGTGGTTTGAGGGTAGGGGAGAAAGCTAAAACAGTTTTGCCATGGTTGGCGCCTGCCGCACGCGCCGGTTCTTCTTTTCCGGCAGCGCCGTCTCTTCCGCGTCAAGATCCAGGTCCAGGCCGCGCTTGTGACCTGCCCAAAACAACAACACATTCAATTTACAAAAAAGGACCATATATTATTGTTCATCCCTTGATACGTGTTGTTCATGGTTCATGAGAGTATGGAAACAGTCGCAGCACATGCAGGGCAGTTGTGAGCGCTCAGAGAAGCAAGCGATTCATCATGTTGCATGGCTGTGTGCATGCAAGGCCATCCCTGCAGCTGTCAAATATATACCCACCATAAGGCTGCTACCGGCCTCAGTAGCTACACAAGTTTTGCACATGTGCAACATGCTCAATCCTAGGACATGCAGAGGGATGCAGCTATCCAACACGGTGCAGGAATGCAGTAGCACACAGGCAAGAGGAAAGGCAGGTGCACCTGTGATGTCGTGGGTGTGGCTGCCGCTGTCGCTGGTGCTGGGCATGTCTGATGGTGCCGCCGCCAGGTCGGGGTCAGTGCACAGGCCTTCTGCAATCGCCGCCACAGCCTCCAGCCCATTCCTCAGCCCACGCTGCAGCAGACACAGAATATTCAAAATCGGATGCATAAAAGCAGATATCCTGATGGAGCCTGGGACAGGGGGATCTGTATCTGACTTAGATATAGATTGATATAGAGCCCCCTGCCTGGGGAAAGATTAAGAAGACAGAGGTGATGAGTGACACCATGCCCCCTGATGCACAGATTCCGCCTCATCATGCCACAAAAAGAACTGAGAGCTGACCAGAGCTGACTCCCTATCCCTATTTGTGCCCTGTGCCCTCTGTGTCTCTCTCGTGCCACAGTCATGGGCTCAACATATGCTTGCGTTGACGCCACTGAAAACAACCCTCAGTGCTGCATCTCGGTCCATTGGCATGTACCACTGTCATTCACAGATGCATCTGGGCATGTTGAACAGGGAGGATGCAAAAAGAGAAGTCGGGATGGGAGCGCACAGGTGAGGGGAAGGCGGGCCGCCGAGCCCTCTGGGCAGGGGTGGGGATCGGGGACGGCCCAGGGGAGGCTGCTACAGCTGCCTGAAGGATATCGAGTCTGCGCTTTTGCACGTGCTGCTGCCGCTCTTTTTGCCGCCGCGCCATCATTGCCTCCTGCCGCTTTGTCCTCGGCTTGTTCGTCTGCGCGCAAAACCGTTTTGCCTCTCAGAATACCGCCAAACACTTACATTTAGACGTCACTGCTCTTTGAATTGCCTGGAGCGGTCCCCATACTCCCAGAACACCCCACAGATTGTGCCTCGTGAAATGCACGTGAATAGTTTAAAGAGAGGTACTTGTCCTGCAACCCAAGACATGATGGCAGTGCAGGCGCTGCATGCTGTAATCCAACATTTTGAGGAGTACCTGGACTAAGGTGCTCTTTTCCAGGTGTTTGTTTTAGGATAATTTATCGTGGGAATCAAATTCGAAGTGAAAAGGTTAGTCTCACCTGCAGGAACTGGACCTCAGGGTCGCCGTAGTCAAAGTGGCCAGCGCCGGAGTGTGAGGCCACCTCATCATCCATGTTGTCCATGTATGGCAGCGTCGCAGTTGTTGCATTGCTCTCATCTGTCAAACAACCAGTAAATATCAGCAATGCAGCAGACACGGACTCCCAGGACAGACATTCCTTGACAAGACCCAGGCATGGCGGACATGAACAGGCTTGCAAAAATCTAGCCAGAGCTGCCAAGCACGGACAGCATTGCGGCCAACAGCATATCTGCAATGGCCCATGCACAAGTCAGCCCCTTGCACTGAAACAAACAGAAGCCAATGATGTGGAACATTTCAGGTGTTTGAAGGTGAGAAGGCAGCCCTCACCCTGCTCAAATCGCAGGAAGCGGTTAGCAACAAAGGACGGCCGCGACCGCCTGGAGCGCTGCTGACGCATGAATGGGGATGCCGGGCTGGCATCCTCGCCGTGCAGGTTGGGCTCGGGTGAGCCATCCCTTGCACGCATCCTGCAAGATCAGTGACTTTTCACGTCAGCGCACACATTCACAGGCGAAGGCAATGATGGCCCGCTAATTGCAGCATATTTTCATGACTGGTTTTGGTGTGGGCAGCTGCCGCCATCACAGACTTTTTGCAATGCACAGAGGCAGGCCCCAGCAGCATACCACAGTCATGATGATCATGACTCAATTCTGATAGGAGGCACCTCCACAACATGTGCCCGCGGTCTGCCCAACAGGTGTCAGTACAACATGCGCACAGCAGTAGCATCCGACACTGGGCTTTTCCTTGCACAGAATGCAGGCTATTCTTGGGGAGGCCAAGCAGGACGGCGTTTGTTCGCCGCACCTGCTGAACTTTGCCGGAGAGTTTCCGGGGGTGGGGATCGGGGTAACGTAGTCCCTGGCTGGTGACGCCGTCCTGGACTGTCCTCCCAGGCGCATCGCCTGCCGCCTGTGATTCCGCGTCTCCGCCAGCTCCTGCAATTCAGGCAGCCGGTGTCATGCAAAGTGCGGCCTCAAGGTAGTACATGGCTGGCTCTGTATCGCACATGACTTGATCATATGGCATATAGGAATCACGCATCACTTTACGGCTAAGGCATACGTCAGTGCCCACAGTGCTGCCTAACATGCATTCAAAAGAGCAGGGTGCTTGGCCGCCGCATGTCATGACTCTCTGCACAACGCCATCCATGATATTATCTCAAGACAGCGCCAACGAATTGGCTGGCAAAGATGCAAGCTTGCCATGATAAGCACGGGCTCAATAACCAAGCCGCAGGACACTGACGGAAGGAAAGCTACCTCTTGGTGCCGAGCGGCCGCCTCCCGGCGCTCTTGTGCGGCGGCCAGCTGCTCCGCCGTGGGCGGCGGCGCGGCCTCGAGCTTGCGCCCAAAGCTGGCGTACAGCTGGTTCTTCTCGGTCGGCTTGGGCTGCGCGCGTTCGGCCTTCGCGCGCAGCTCGGCGAGCATTGGCGTCTCCGGGCCGGCCGGCGCCGGCGCGAGCGAGAAGCCGCTGCCGAACACCTCCTCTGTCTTCCCTGTGAAGCCCTCTGCCAGCATCTCCATTGTCTGCTTTCGCCGGCTGCGGTCACATGCAGGATCCATGTCATTCAATTCATGCCATCGATATTTTTTCATGAATAAATATTCCTCATGTCGGTCAGAAGATGCACATGACCAGTTGGTGTAATACTCAACCCATGAGGAGCAATGAAAGTGGTGGCAGCCGCGATAACATGCATGCCCTGCGAATATCAAGGCATACATGCAACATGCGCGCAACGGAATGCAGCAATGGCCTGGATGCTCTCTGACTTGCACACTGCAGATGCATGAAGCATCCCAGCACAACCGCCGCAGAGGCAGGCATGTCATGGCATGCGGACAGGTAGGCTCACCTCTCAGAGGCCAGCGCAGCTACAAGGTCTTCCTGGGACAGGCGCCGGAGCAGGTCCAGCTCAGACGCATAGTCATCGATGGAGTAATTTGTGATGATCTTGCCGCCGTCCCGTGCACCCTTGTTGATTGCAGCGCGGTCATAGGCCCTCGCAGCCGCCTCCTCCGTTGCAAAGAAGCCCAGATGTACCTGCAGCAGGAATGCCTTGGTCAGAAGTCCACTCTCAATATGTCCTCATGTGACCCGCTTTCCTAGTGTTCCTGCCCCTTCTGATGCTCCTGGAACAGTCTCCAGCAGCCAAGCAAGAGCCCTATCCGCTGCCAACCAAGGTCTAGGATGTTCACATGCATCATGCCCTTGCGCAAACAGCAAGTGATGCTGCAGGATGGTCATGCTGTGTGAAGGTCCTGGTCGCACCTGCTTGCCTCCCACGTTGATCTGCGCATGCCACTTCCCGGTCTGCTTCAGCAGCGAGACCCCCCTGAAGTGGGAGGTCTGTGTGCCGCTCTTCCTGGCCCGGCTCCGCAGCATCGCCACCAGCTCTGTCTGTGACATCTCTGCAGCACGTAGACAGCAGTTCATGTCAATACAGAGCAAGGCTGCTGCACATCCAACCTCAAGACCAGTCTCCCGTGGATAAACAGAGAATCAAGCGAGTGCTGTCAGGAGCGCTCCAAAGAGGCAGCAGCTCTACAGGAAACCTGAGCACTTGCCATGATGCGCTCCTGGAGAATCTGCTGAAAGCATGTACACTGCTCAAACCAGGAGCTTCGTTGCAGAAACAGCAGTGCATGCCGTGGAGGATTGTCCATCCAAAATACAAAAGAGGCTACTCGCTTCTAAAAGGTAACCTGAGGCAAGGCACCTGATGCTGAGTACTCGACATCAGCAATGCTGTCCCTCCAAGCCATACTTGCCGTCAACAACGATCTAAAATAGCATAGATCGCTATTGGGAACTCCAACATGCCTCATGGCGATATGCCCGTGGTGTCCTATTTTACAAGATCCTCGCGACTTTATAGCAGCCAAACTACCCTGCCCGATCCTCCTGTCCGCGGACGCAGCGCTCCGATGCTTATGGCAGGGTTCCTCTGGCACCCGCGGATACCGATAAATGCCAGGATAGGGCAGGTCGGGGCTGCCAGCACTGGCTTGTAGTAACCCAAGCCACGGGACATACTAAGATGGTGCAATCCCGGGGGCCGTGGGCTCACTCTGCAGGTCCTCCACTTCGTTGGTGTAGTCGCGGGCATCGAAATTGGTCTTGGCCTCGAGGCCCGCCTTGTTGATGGCCGCCCGGTCGAAGGCTCGCGCAGCCTCCTCCTCTGTGTCGTGGTCCCCCAGCGAAGTGGTCTTTCCACCAGCCGATATCTGCGCAGGCCATCAAAGATCACCGATGCTGCTCGCCATTGCGTGACAACGACCACGATGCTGCCATCGCCACATCGCAGCCCGCAAGCCGACCAGAAAGCACGCAGAAGCCCTGGCTGCCCAGGCTGGCAGCCCCAGTCCGAATGGGCTAGTACACAGGAGCACAAAAGGCAGGCTTCCGCCATAGCAACAGTACCAGCGGGTCCGCCATGCGCTGCATCTAACATGAAAGGGTCTGATGCTGTCATCGCCGGAGAGATCGGGGATCACCTGTGCTCTCCACTTGCCCGTGGGACGAAAGAGTGTCACGCCCCTGTACAAGCTGCTCTTCCCCATGGAATTCACAATCCGGCCTCAACTGCGCTTTCTAGGCTCCTCTATTGCAGCAGATATGCAAACATCACAATATCTGAGGGCCTTGCCGGGACAAGAAGCAGCCAAGGCAGAGCCTATCTCAAGATGATGCCAAACTATATAGCAAAACACAAGGTGCTGAGGCCGCGTCCAGCAGCGCCAAACCCAAACAGCCAGCACCAGAAGCTCCCAGTACTTCGATTAGCGAGTCTCAGGGTTCAGAGGCGCAATGCAGCGTGCTGTGGCCTGGCTAATGTTGTTGGAGCTTTTGAGGAGCGATGGCTGATGGCGAAGGTTGGCCTGATGTGGCGGCGCCTGATCAGGCGCCTCCGAGATCCGTCTCGGAATTTTGCTCGGAACGACATCTTCGCCTGATCCGACCGATCCCTTCATCGGACGATGCCCAAACAACCTCAGCTGGACTTCTGTCCATCCTGCTGATCGATCTACAACGCCCGACTTATGCGCAGAGTCCATGTGAAAGTGCACCATCAGCAGTACAGAACACGATCTCCGACGGTGTGATGTCTGAACTCATGGGAAGAAAGCTCTTTCTCCTGGCAGGTCTTTCATTGTTTCTGGGGCGAGGATCTGATGCCTTCAAGGCACGCTGCAGTGGCACAACGACAGCAAGCACAGTAATCACAGTCACCAGCCCTATCACCTGCAGCAGTGCGTGTTCAAATTGTATTAGATATGACTTTTGGATTTATATAGAAGTTTTCAAATTCAGAGCTATCCCCGTCTGGATGCTTCCCGGGACTGAAGGCCTGCTTGCGCAGGTACACTGACAAACTGCACATGCCAAAGCGCGCCTCAAGAATTCACCATAACAATCTATGTCACCGTCCCTCAGAATTGCGGCAGTCACCTGCTGTCAGAGCAGAGCAGTGGGGCGACTGTGTTCTTCTATAATGGCTTTGGAGGCAAACCTATTGTGAGTCATCATTTCGGACAGAATTGCATGCACATGTCTGCATTTGAACGATCCTATTGTATGATCTTGCTTTTCAACGATGCTGAGCCCCATCGGCCTTTGCAGCACATCTGCCAGTGATAGCCATGCCAGCTGCAGTACCTATTGCAGTAGCAGGAAGGTGACATGATAATGACTCATGTGGTGCAGCTGACAGCACCTGACTACGCGCCATACAGTGCCATCCTGGGCAGCGCCGGTTACAGCACTGTCCAGTATGATGTCAACCAGCTTCTCGCTATGGTGCCAGACACGGCAGAGGTGAGACAATCCTCATGTCATTACAGTGCTTACTCATGTAAATAATATGACTTCATAAGCACCAATAAATTGGCCACAATCTGGTGGCTGAAGATGCATGACACTTAAAAAAGTGCTGCGAGGAAAAAGACTAAGCCTTTTGCATGGGATAATTGGTTGCAGGCATCTGCATATGTTGTGTGCATTCCACCCCAAAAGTGTGCGTGTCATGCTTGTCAGGTCCATGTCTTTCTGCACGCCTGCAGACGAAAGTGCAGGATCCTATATTGTGCGCACACATGTGTATTTGCAGTTGACCTTCCTTGCCCAGATCTATGACTGGCTGGAGAAGCAGCAACAGCAGCCAGGCTCAGATCTGACAGGAGCCCTGGATCTCAGCAACGTGGCTTTGGCGGGGCACAGCCGGGGAGGCAAACTTGCTGCCCTGCAATTTGCCAATGGTAGAGCACCTCTATCCATAGCCCTCCAAAAGCAATGCTTAGACCTCTCAGAATGCTCCAAATTAAATGATCGTCTGCTGTTGAAGGGAAATGTCCGCTTGTTTTTACCAGTGCTGTGGCAGACCCGAAGGTGCTTTAAAGCACTTCTCTGCTGAGCATGAATTGTTCTGTTCTGATGGCAGCTTCGCGGCAGCAAAGGGGGTGTCATGCTTGTGTGTGCAGGCACACTGCCCAATACATTTGCAGCATTCCTGGTGGATCCAGCGGACACCCCCTGCTTTGCATCTACCCCAGAGTGCTTCCCATCTGCTCGTGAGGTATGGTTTGGCCTCTGGACTGCTGCGTACAGAATCTGTCATGTGCAGTGACACACGCCATCATGTTGCATACCTGTCAAAACATATTGCCCGACACAAGGCATGCATGACACTGGGAACCATTGGGTTCAAGCTAATTTAAGAGAAGACCATTGGATGCTGAATCTAGAGGAGCCAGAGCATTTGAATGCAAGCAGCAGACGAGTGCAGATGCCGAGCTTTGTGGCCAGAGCATGTGGCCCAATCTGGAAGAATGTACATGAGCTGTGACGTCAGAGGAAATACATCCATGCACAGGCACTGGCGAAGGCAGGGAGGCGGATAGGGGCAGTGGGCTCGACCATTCGGTTCTGCTGCAACCCTGACACTCCTGGCCCGGGACAGAAGGCCGCCTGCGCATTTGGCCTGACACTCTGCACTGGCTATGGCGCAGAGGTACGCCACTGCAGCCCACGTCAGCACCTGTTGGTGCTTCCTTGTGTCCACATCTATTCCTGAACGGCAGACTCTGTGCATCTGGCATGCGCTGCATGTCTCTGTAGATTTTGTATCTGCTTTTACAGCCTGTAGAATTCACATCTGCTTTTACAGTCAGAACAGCCCTAATAGCTCGCAATTCTCATGTTGTAGCCAAGCAGACCTAGGAAGTCACTGCACAACTGTGCCTGTTGCTTTCTTTTGCTTGATTGCTCAGGTAGCTGCTAGGCGAGCAGTCATACTGCAGAAGGAGGACAAAATAGTGCAATGAATTACTGCAAATCTCCTGCAGTTTGGTGAATTTGGGGACTGCGCAGGCTGAGAGATGTTGGCTGGCCTGCACAGGATCTGGTCACGGCAGCTGGGCACGGCTCAAAACTGTATCTGAGGATGGCGGGGCACATGCAGTTTGCGCAGCTGCCGGCCTGGGAACAGGAGGCTGCAAATTTGGGCTGTCACTTCAATGAATCAGTTACCAGCATGCAAGTCATTGAGGATGTTGCCGCCCTCATGGTGTCTTGGTTTGACCAGGAGTTGGCTGCAGCAAGACCTGCAGCTGGAAAGGATCTGCAATAAGCCATGTGGATCCCTGAATACAGATTGGACTGGCAGAAGCCCACTGAGCGAGACAATTTGTGAGAGCCGAGCATCGTGCGCGTGTAAGTGTGAAGAGAGGATGTGGCAGTAATTGTAAAGGGTACATGTTGCCGTGTTCAAGAATATGTAAATTTGTAGGTGCACTCACCTACCAGGCAGCTGCTGTGCTTTGTTGCTTGTAGCTCTCAATTGCACTGTTGTGCTTCGTTTCAGATGATGTCTTGCAGGATCTAGCGCCAGTACTGGAGTACGTTCAAATTTGTTGCCTTGCAGCTCCTTGCACACTGATCCCTCATGGTATGTAGCACTTGTCACGTGAGTGCACTCCTAAAAGCTGTAGTGGCCCTACCGCGGAAGTGGCTGCGCAGCCACTTGCATGCAGACTCTGCGTGTATGCCCGATGGCCTCTGGCTTTGGGTTTGCCGACCTTGTAATAATAATTATACCGGGTACTCACTGTAGTTATTCAGGTACGATATCTCGAGCTAAGATATCTAGCTAGCTAGCGCCGCGCTGGGTACCGGTGCAAAACTGAATCCGAATGGCAAAGGCTGGCAACCCGCCCGTTGCAATCCCGGTGAATTGGATAGACCACTCCAACCGCACAAAGCACGGATGTTCGGTTTCCCCACTGGGTGCAACTGGATGAAGCGCATTTGAAACTGCATGCTTACCACGTGGACCTTCTTCATTACCACCGAACAACCTCAGCTTTGCTGGAAGGAAGTGAATCTGAAGCACAGTGTTTCAGTATCGGAACAGCAATTGACATACAATTGCAATCACTTGCACAGCACTCTGATTCGTTGCAGAGGGGGGCTCTCAGATCAAACGTGAGGCATAGAACATATCGTTCTGCTTCTTGGGACGTCGCTCTCGATGCAGATATTACTGGTCACTTCTGAATCTACACGACAAAATCCTATTTGAAGACTACTGGCGTGAGCCATCAGCTCATGATTGGTCATGCTGCGACAAGGCCATGTTTACAACTGTGAGGCATCAGGCATGTGTCTACTCTTCGCAGAAAGCTGATTGATATTGTTGTTTTAAAAATTGAGGAGCAAATTTGTTCCCATAAGTCCAACGAAATAGCAAGGAACCAGGAACATGCCGTGTGTGTCCCAACCTATGGACCCCATCTGGACTTCTCTCAGGACGTGACTGTGCCTGCGCAGGTTGACCAGGTGGCATCACGGTGTGCTTCTGCATGCCGCGATCTTCCTGGAAGGCGGACCTCCCTTTTATTTCTGCTGACAGCTCTAGTATGCAGCTTTCTCTCCAACAGCTGATCCACTCCTGCCTTGAACATGGTTTGGTGACCGTGCAGCCAGATACCTATATGCTCACAGAGTCATGCTGATGCCTGTCTGTCCTGCATTCCTCTGAACAAGGATGCATGTGCAGGTGTTGTGCAGTGTCTTGTTGGGCCTGCATTACCGCCAGCGGCCAGAATATGTCCTTGTGATCGACAGCGGCAGCAGTGGCACACGCATGTGAGTGCCACATGAATCGAATCCAATAATCTGTCATAAATGCCCCTTTCTTGCTACCATACTGCTTTTACTGCCCTACTGCAACGGATTGAAGAGGCGTCCTGTGCTGTGCTCAGATTTGCGTATCAATGGAAGGACAACGGCCCCAAGCTGCCCTCACTGACAGCTGTCAGCATCCAGGCCGCCAAGCACAAGAGTGATCCCCATACGCTCCAGCAATTGTTGTGCTCTGTGTGCACTCCTGCACAAGATTGCATCACAGAGAAATACCTTCCCCTGGATGCCACATTGCAGCATCGATTTGACAAGTGTGTCGGTCTTTGCTGCTCCTTGACACCTGGGTGATTGTCTGCAACAGTTCCTCGGAGGGCGGCAGGCGACAAGCGCGCGTATGAAAGGCTCGAGACAGAGCCTGGACTGGACAAATTTGTCGCCGATCCAGAGGGTGATCTTCTAGCCGCTGAACTTCAAGGAGGATGCTTTTGCTGCAGCATACCTGTGCCAAAATCAGCGTCATATTTCATGAATTGCAGAAATTCGCAGGCTAGCCGGAGAAGAGCATATCTGGATGTTTTGCCGCAAGATGTTGTCCAGGCTGTCAGCTAGCTTGAGGGTGGCAGGTTCAAATCCTGCTCCCGTCCAATACTTTTCCCCCTCAAGCTTTCCCTTTTTGCGCTGCAGGCCTGGAGCGGCGCGCGCTGCGGCCACTGCTGGAATGGGCGGAGGCGGTGGTGCCGCGGCGGCAATGGCACCGGACGCCGCTGTTCCTGTTTGGCACTGCTGGATTGCGCAAATTGCCGCCCGAGGGCCGCGCCGCATTATTAGACGACGTGCGCGCCGCGCTCTCCCGCTGCGAGTTCAGGTCAGGACCACTCTCTGGCATTCATTCAGATGTGATCATCATGAGATGGCAACTCATTATTATCTGACCAGGGTCTGCATTCGGAGGAACGAATGCTGTCATTCATGTGCAGGAATGAGATGCAGAATTATGTACCTGCGCCGCACCTGCAATGACACTCTCACTTGAATCATAAACATTGTCTGTGTGCACTGCTGTGCTATCAGTGCTGTCCAGTGCGCCTTATGCTCAGTTGACATGAAGTAGCAGAGATGCATTTTACAAGGGAGTTATGCTGTCTGAATCCCAAGATTGATGTATGATTGCAATCGTCAGGCCCCTGTTTTCTCCTGAAGCAGCATGTGATCTGTGCAGATTTGAGGCATCATATGCGAATGTGATCAGCGGGGAGGAGGAGGGCGTGTATGGCTGGATAGCTGTGAATTACCTGAATGGCCACCTGGCGCCGTCAGCCCTGCCCGCTCCCATCGTGAGCTGCCCTCCCCTCTTTGCACTGCAAGCACCCTTGTGTAAAAAATTGTTGGAGGGACCCACTTGAAGGCTGTGTGTGCATTGCCACAGAAAGGCTGTTGCTACTGAAGGATTTGATGTCGACCTGCCAAGGGAGCATCTACATGTACAGGCCTGCTTCAGGCTGCACACTCTTCTGAGCCTGTTTTCATCTGATTGCACACTCTCTGCACACTTCAGACTCCACAACTCATCACAGCAATTTGCCGAAGGCAATTACGTGCTAATGGCGTGAATGTTGTGGGTGCAGGTGGTGCAGGGCCGGGAAGGTGCGTTCAGGGAGGAGGCAGCTTCCTCGGAGTCAGTGGCAGCTGCCGGGAATGCCGCGGAGCTGGGGGTGGAAACCGTGGGGACCCTGGACCTGGGGGGGTCCTCCCTGGAGGTCACCTTCCTGCCAACTGGCAAGCACGCGTCGGAGGCCACAAGTGAGCAGTCCAGCTTCATCTGAGCTGAGCAAACCAAAGTTAGCGTCGGCAGTCAATTTTCATAGGCGGAGATAGAAACACACCGTGGTTCTTTCTGCTTGCGCTGCTAGTTGCCAGTGATACCGAGCATGTGGGCCACAAGCCGCATGAGCTGATGGCATACTATTTGTTGCATGCGCAAATGAGAAGCGCACGGGACTGAGCTCATGCTGTTTGTAGCCTGCTTGCCTGGTGTTATTCGATTTTTCAGTAGCGCAATAATCTGTGCCAAATGCATTCACAGAGGGCTTGCAATCAACAAAGAAAAAATGTCCTCGTTTTTTATGTTTTCATGCAGATATCCTCTTTGCTGTACATTCAAAATATTTATAGCATAGCCTGAGAACTGCCCAAAGATGTCATATATTTTACTTGTCTGCTGCGCAGCCAACGTGAGCATCATGGGCGTCCAGTATCCGCTCTACACCCACGTACACCACGGCTATGGCCTGAACGACGCCTTCGACAGATCCGTGACACTGTTACTAGAGTCTGCCCAGGAGCGGCCAGATCAGGCGCCCAGCAGGGAACCCCCCTTCACGGCCGGCGAGGAGCGGGGGGCCCCGGACCCCCCGGACCCCAACCGCAACCCCGACGCCATGAAATCTTTTCAAATTCGAGACGACAGCGGCGGCGGCCGCGCGCCCCGGGGCCTGCTGCAAGCAGAGGACATTGCCAGCTTTGGCACGGATGATGCTGTCTCTTTTGGATCAGACATCAGGCAGTCTTCCAGAAGAGGGAATTTTGGCGGGGGCGTCACTGGTCCTTGGAGGAGTCTTCTTGAGGCAGAGGCCGGCGCTGCCAGGCGAGAAAGAAGTGGGCGGCCAGCTATGGAAGATAGCTTGGGGACTTCAGGGCAGCTCAGCGGAGGGCCTGCCTTGGATTGGCAGCGCTTGGAATTGCATGAGGCTACAGCAGATGGCGAGCCTGCTTTGAACAGCAGTGCAGGGGTAGAAGGTGCCGCGGCCCGGGAATTCAGAAAAGGAGCAGGGGTGACGAAGGTGGTTGGAGGGGTCGGTGAAAGGTTGGAGCGGCGGCGGCTGACGGAGCCGCACGTGGTGGAGCACCCATGCTTGCATAAGGGTTACTCATCGATCTACCGGCGCATGGTCTCCCACGGCAAGCTTCCCAAGCCCGCCATGGTGCAGCTGGTGGGCAGGTGACTTTTTCCTGCTACAGCACTTCAAATCAGCGTTTCAAAATGACTCGACATTCAGCCGCTCAAGCTTATATTTCAATTCAGAACTAATGACAAGTGATTCTCGCAAATGCATTCAAAATTCTCAAAGTTGGTTGAACATGCTGAGATCCTTTTTACTTTGCTGGAAATGGCCTGCAGCAGCCGGCTCCCAGGAATGAAATGCTGAAAATTATCGTACATCTTGGCCTGCTGCTCTTTGATGTCCAACACATCTGTAATCGCAGCTCGCATGAGCCCTCCTGATGTTTCTGGGGGGAATTTAATGTTTAAATGTCCGTTGCAGGCCTGACTATGAGGCGTGTGCGGCTGTGGCGGAGAGCGTGCTGAGCACCAGGGACTGCGGTGCGGCCCACTGCGTGTTGGGCACCGCGCAGCCTCAGAGCAGCAGCGATTTTTTTGCCCTAACGGGTGCGCATGCCCGGGACTGCCCCACTCTGCCGCCCTTCAGTCCTTATCTTATGCCCTGAAACTCCTTTCTTTGCCATTGCATGCAGCATAATGCAGCTCATTTATCATCCCACAGTGGCATGTGAAGTTTTTTGGCTTTAAAATTCCTTGATGCTGATATAATACCGCTAGCATCATATCCTCTTCTGAAGGTCGTTTTGCGTTGCTGAACGTATAAGTTTCTCAGCCCTGTGTTTGGAGATAGGCTTCTGTGCAGAAGGGGTGTAAGGCGTGCAAACACAGGGCTGAGCAACTGATTCGTTCAGCAACGCAAAACGACCTTCAAGACAGGACACGATGCTAGCGGTTCTGAATCAGCATCAGGGAATTTTTTCCTGCCACAAGCGGCTGATTGGCGGGTGGTAGCTCAGCCGTGTGCCAGCCACATGCAAGACATGGTGTGAACTAAAATTTTTGCTGTTTCCCAGAATGTGCATTTAGGACATCTGCCAGACACGTTGGGCAACCAGCAAGTTCAAAACTTACTACCCAGGCAGGCGACAAGCGTGCAGCCCTCAGATGCTGCGGCTGCTGCGCAGGCTTTTTTGTGGTGTTTCACTTCTTTGGGCTGCCTGCGGGGGCCGGGTTGGCGGATTTGGAGCGGGAGGGGCGCGCGCACTGCGGCCTCGACTGGGACCGGCTGCGCCTAAGTAGGGGCGAGGAAGTCCACGTGGACCAGTACTGCTTCAGGTGCTTGCCTCATTTCACATTTGTGGCTCAACAGAAACTTCTACGGTATTGGAGTTGCGAGTTTCAGACATTGGAGATGTTGACAGGTCCTCTAGACCCGGGCATAGCTGCGAGTCCTGTAGAATTTGCATGGTTCCGTCCGTCGAGGCAAGAAGGAGTGAGGCACATGCACGCAAGTGATCGCATGGTGGCAAATGGAACTGAGGCACATGCATGCACGTGGTCGCAGAGTGGCAAGCAGAATTGAGGCACATGCGCGCATGTGAGTGCAGGGTGCAGGTAGAACTGAGGCACATGCGCGCATGTGAGCGCAGGGTGCCGTACATAGTGGCGCTGCTGCGGCAGGGGTTGGCGTTGTCGGAGTTGCACATTCGCGTCGGCAGCGGCAACGAAGGGTGGACCCTGGGGGCGGCCCTGGCCGAGGGTGGGCGAGTCGGCATCGGCAGGCCTCTGATCGACAAGGTACCACCTCTGCAAAAAGCGAGGGATACCATTGCTGCATAGTGTAGCAGGGATGGATCAGCAGTGGACCTACCATCAGCAGTACTGACATCTGTCAAGCATACATGCAAACAAATAAAGCTGTTGGCATACAAATGACCAGGCTCGGTCTCTAGGAGTGTACTTCTGCTTAACAATGGTTGCTTTCTCAAAGGCATGTCATTGGAACGCATTAGAGCAGACCTTACATACGATTCTGCCAATCATGTACTTTGAAGTGTGGGTTCAAGCTATTGGCGAGTCGGCATCAGCAGGCCTCTGGTGGACAACGTACCAATGTTGTTATAGAGATGTTGCTTTCTGAAACGCGTCCTTTTGGGACATGTCAGGGGAGGTCTCACAATTGTCTATACATTTCGAATTGTGAAGAGATTGAGAAGCGTTACAGGGTAAGTGAAGAGCCTCACTTGGCGCACTGTAATGACCAGTGAATCCTGTGCGGCAGCCCTATGACTGCTATAACGCAGTGTTCAGGTGGGACGGAACTGTATATTGTACCGGAGCTGCTGCAGCAATTTCTGCAGACCCTCTACTGGTATTCAAGGTCGTTACAAGTATATTGACAGTGGTAAGTGGTGCAGGAACAACAGGCGGACTACTCGCAGTTTGTGTACTTCTTTGGGCTGGCCGCCGCTGTCATGTGTCTCTTCGTCCTGGTTTGGAAGGTCGCAACCAAGGTGCGGTGCACTACACAAATGCTCCTTGATCCTGTTGAGATCATGTTCTTTCCATTTCCCTGGAGTGTCGACTTGACAGTCATCAAACGAAATAAGTGGTCATGCGGTGACCGCTGACAGCGAAGTCCCTTCGTGTATCACTCTACATATCTGGCGAGAGGCATTTTGGCGTCCCTGTCTCTTACATTGTGGATGGTAAGAATCGCCACGTCCCTATATTGTGGAGGATCTCTGGCATTGAATATAATTTTGTGTTCATGCCTGATCAGGCGTTCTCAAAGCCAGTCAGCCTGGGCCATCGCAGCGACTCCCTGGACAACCCAGTGGAAACGCCTCTGCAGACCAATCACCTGCCTCCCCCAGTATTCCCCTCTGGCCGCATGCCCAACGGCCTCAGCCAAAAGCCCTTGAAGACCCCGTCACCTCCAGGTAAAGAGCAGAGCAGAACCTGCACAGAGAATGCTGCCATTGCCTTTCGCTTGCACGTGGTACTGGTTGCGGTGCCTTATCAGGTATTCATGCCCTCAACGTCACAAGCATATATGATACATGACAGCACGGCCTCTTTGAAAGCAGCTCTATAGGTGCAATATAGTTTATAGGTCTGTTTTCATGGAAGCGGTGCTTTCATGCATCCTTTCATGCCTGCTCACCCCCTTCAGGACAACTTCAGAAAAGCACACCAAAGAAGAGCAAGCGCCTGACCTCAGAGGAAGGGCTGCCTTCACAGTGAACCTTGTGCTGCAACGTATTAGCAATACTCCGACCAAGAAGCCCTGTACTGTAATACAACTCAGGCATGTCGCTCACCAAGGCTATGTGGCACGGCAGGTCCCTTTGCGGCGGTTACGGCGTTGCAGCAGCGGCCGTCGGGGGGTCTGGCGGCACCGGTGAGGGCGGTGGGCCCTCAGGGGGTGAATTACTACACCAACCTCAGCCTCAACAGCAGCCGCAAGCGCCAGCCCAGCATTGACAACCTCAGGGGCCTGGATGTTCCTTCGTAGCTGTGCTCAGCAGAGTCTTTGCTTATCAAGGCTTCTCTGCAGCTCATCTGATGACCCCAAATGACAGAACAAAGGCGGCAGCTGGTACATGTCGTCTGTGTTTCTGGTTGAGGCCTTGAAGGAACCTTTGGGAGGGTACTTGCATGTGCATTCCGCTGGATGGCCTCAGGCTGAGGCCTCAGAGACCTCTAAGCGGGGCAGATTATACATGACATGCAAATCAGGAATGCTTTCATACCGGTACAGGAAGAATAGATTGTCAGACAGTACTCCCAGTGGGAACTTCAAGTTGTGTTGAGGCTCAGCATTGAAATTGCAAGAAGCATGTCTAGAGTCAGTGTATGGCTGTGGAAATGGGTCAGCCTGGATTGAGATAAAAGTTTCTTACTGATAAGGTACAGCGCAAAATGGTTTCTGCTGCTGATCACTTGCAGTGCCACGGCTGGAGGTCTGGCATAATTAATGATTGAGATTGCAAAGAATTTGCTGCACATGTGCAAGCAAGCAAGGAAAATTGATGAAAGGAGACCCGAACAGTGGATGGCCATTCTATAAGGTGCTGCGTTCAGGGACGAGTTGGTCTGGTTCTGAGGTTCTCAAAGAGGTAATAAGAATTCGTCTGTAAGCTCCTAAAATTCTGTCGATTTAGGAGCCAGGATCAGCTTCCCTGCTCAGGGAAGCTGCTGATGTCATACTCAACCTCAGGGCTGTGATACCCCCCTTCCCTCATAATATCTACGGTGGATAATCTACCTGTGAAGGCATAGGTAACAATTGAAGGCTCTATCTGCATTAAATCGCAACGCTGAACCCGGAAAGCCTGACTGAAGTGCTCCATCCAATTGCAAATCAAAATTGTCTGTACGGTTTGCCCGGAGAATTTACCTCCGTTGAGTAAACTTCAGAAATACTCAGAAACTTGAATCGGGATTGGGCTGGATCCTGTCGACGCCCGCCCCAGGCCTCCGATGACCCCGCGGCCTCGGCCGGCGGCGCGGCCGGCGCTGCCGGGGCCGAGCGTCAATAGCGGGCGCCCAGCGCATTGCATGGCAGGTATATAGACCTGTCTTGAGCCCCTGAAAGCAGTGGCAGAATTTGTGACATTGGCGCTCTCCATGCATCTGACAGGAGCCTCCTGTGCTCTGCATGCACAAATTCTCTTTATGGAGTCATTTCTAATCCCAACAAAGGTATTGAAGATAGGGAGGGCTGCCAGCCAGGATGCTGTGCGCATGATGCTATCTCGTCCCTGGGTACTTGACAGAACAAACAGGATTTTCAGCCTCCCTTACCGCTGTCTGCGCTGAGATACCGACTGCTGATGTGATGTGGGTGCGCAGAGGGCGTCCATGGTGGCTGGCGAGCACCGCGCACTGGGCATGGCTCGGCAGTCCATAGCACTAGCCTCCTCCGCCGCTGCATCTCCCGCAAACGCTCATGCTGCCGCACAACACTCGGATCACACAGCTCCCGCCTCGAAGGGTGCCCGTCAGCCCTCCTACACAGGTACAAATTACTCCCTCCTCTCTTCTGCATCTTTGTTGTTGCATGCAAAAAGAATTCACCATTTTCCAATGCAAGTTTGCTCTTCATGACCTGCGCCTCTCCTCATGCTTGCTGCACAGCCCATGAAAATTGATATGTCTTTCTCTTCTCCTTGTATACATTGGTCAGTGCCGCTCATCATCCACATCGGCGGTGGTCCCAAGGTACATTAAGTTCCAAAAACCTAAGACATGCGCAAAAAGAAATGCAGCACGCACTCAGCTGGCAGACGCAATCAGGCTTGCACTGGAAGAGCTTTCATGCGGCACCTGTGCTGGGAGATCAGATATGAGGGATTTGCTGCGATCAAAGCCAGGGGTGCATGCATTGTACTCTGCCAAAGGGGCTGCGTGTGAGAGATGGCAAGCTCACTGAAACCTGGCGTAGCCGTGCAGAGCAATGTGCACATGTGCAACAAATCTATGACCGGCGAGTCATTTGTGAAGCTCAGCAACTTCTTTACAATGGCTACAATCTCAATCATTGGTGCTGCACGGAGGACAGAGGATGATGCACCCTCACACAACTGCACTGCAAATCACCCTCAGTCAATCCCACACATGTGCACACGGCATTGATTTTATCTACTCTTGAGTCCAGTCTGACTACCTCTGAATAGCAATGTTTTACACCCAACCAGCAATTTAATGTAAGACATAACAGCCCACCAACAAGCAGAAAAGAAATATCAGTTCAAGCTGCAAGGTAGAAACGCATATCTATTCTTGAAGCCGCCAAATTTCAGAAATCCGACTGAACCAGATTCAGAGGCATTCTCAGATTTCAAGAGCTTACATTCAGGGTGTAATCAGCAGCACCAACTCTCCAGAGCAATCTGTGCATGTTTCTAGACACTACCTACGCGCTCTCAAAATTGTTTTGTCGTCCTCATTCATTTGCCATTATGAGCAGCTCGTCAGCCCTTGCACAGGAGGCGCGCTTCATTTGCCGCCTGCACACATCAACACAGAAACAGATCAGCAACCTTGAATTTTCAGCAGCACACTTCAGGTGCAGCAGTAATGAATTGACAGGCAGCATCAGCAAAGCAGCCTTCAAGGACATACAGAGCACCATAATTAGAAATCACAAAGCAGCACTTGCAAGGGAGAAGCAAGTACAACAGGACGGAGGAAGCAGGCACAGCAGGAGGAAGGGAGACTCACAGTTAGCAGCAGTGCCGCCAGAGTTGGAGATGGTTCCGCCGCAATTGGTGTTAGCGATGGGCGCTCCACTGCTGCCGTCATTATTGGTAGTCACGGTCTGGCCGCCGGTCGCGTAGTTGTTGTTAGTAATGTCTGCGAGCAGGTGACGGCCATTGTTGTTGTTGTTGTTGTTGTTGTTGCCTCCGGTGCCACCGTTGTTGTTATTGTTGTTGTTGTTGTTTCCAGTGCCGCCATTGTTGTTGTTGTTATTGTTGTTGTTGCCACCCCGGCCGCCGTTGTTGTTGTTGTTGTTGTCTGCGGAAAGGCAAGGGACAAAAATCAGTACAGATCCTCCCAACATGCCTCAAATGACAAATAGCTCAGGGGCGCAGACATGCATCCAGCAGAGAACACAGTAGAGCCAGGGCAGATGGAAGCTTGTTGATGGTGGCCTGTCCAAGCTGGGCAAGGGGATATCACTGGGATTGACAAGGGTGAGCAACTCACTGTTGTTGTTTCCGGTGCCGCCGTTGTTGTTGTTGTTGTTGTTGTTGTTGTTGTTTCCGGTGCCGCCGTTGTTGTTGTTGTTATTGTTGTTGTTGCCACCCCGGCCGCTGTTGTTGTTGTTGTTGTTGTTGTCGTCTGCGCAAAGGCAAGGGTCAAAAATCAGTACTGATCCTCCCAACATGCCTCAAATGACAAATAGCTCAGGGGCGCAGACATGCATCCAGCAGAAACACAGTAGAGCCAGGGCAGATGGAAGCTTGTTGATGGTGGGCTCTCCAAGCTGGGCAAGGGGATATCACTGGGATTGACAAGGGTGAGCAACTCACTGTTGTTGTTTCCAGTGCCGCCGTTGTTGTTGTTGTTGTTGTTGTTGTTGTTGCCTCCGGTGCCGCCATTGTTGTTATTGTTGTTGTTGTTGTTTCCGGTGCCGCCATTGTTGTTGTTGTTGTTGTTGTCTGCGCGAAGGCAAGGAGACAAAATCAGTACTGATCCTCCCAACATGCCTCAAATGACATATAGCTCAGGGGTGCAGACACCCATCCAGCAGAAAACACACTAGAGCTAGGGCAGATGGAAGCTTGTTAATGGTGGGCTCTCCAAGCTGGGCAAGGGGATATCACTGGGATTGACAAGGGTGAGCAACTCACTGCTGTTGTTTTCGGTGCGTTCGTTCTTTCTGTTCTCTCTGTTGCGCTCGTTGTTGCCATCGTTATCCTCGTACCAAGCGCCATTCCTCCACTCGGTCAGAGAGCGGCCTGTGCAACCATAACAAGTCCAGGCCAGATCAGCCAGAGATCCAGCCTAAAAAGCCTCACAAGAGCAGTGCATCATGGAATGAGAAGGTGACAAGGCAGGCGCAGATATGAAGGAAAAGGCACAACTAGGCATATGCATGGGTGCCAGGGCTCACCCTTGGTGTTTGAGATGTCCTCCAAAAGCTTGCGGCCGTTGTTGTTGTTGTTGTTGTTGTTGTTGCCGCCGTTATTGCCGTTATTGTTATTATTATTGTTGTTATTTCTGGCCCAGCCTCCGTTGTTGTTGTTGTTGTTGTTGTCTGTGGCAGCAGGCACAGTATTGGTCAGCATGCATGTCCAGCAGAAGCAAGCTTGAATGGCAGTACTTAACAAGACAATCACACAGCATGCATGTCCAGCAGAAGCAAGCTTGAATGGCAGTACTTAGCAAGAAAGTCACACAGCATGCATGCCCAGCAGAAGCAAGCTTGAATGGCAGCACTTGGCAAGAAAATTACAGAGCATAGAACAGACTTGTTGGTTCCATTGCAGGAGTCCATGGCACCTGATGCCAGCAGCATGTGCAAAAGCACAGCGCAGGACACTGCGTGCTGTATACCATGCAAACAGCATTGAGGCACTAGCAGCATGCAAGGGGTGACTCACTGTTATTCCTGGAGTAGCCGTCGTTGTAGTCTGGGTACCAGATGCCATTCCACCACCAGGTAAGCCCACGGCCTGGCAGAAAAGTAGCACAGGTGTGAGCAGGAACAATAACACACATGCAGGCAAATTCAAACACAAAGAAACAGGCCTGGTTGTGCAAGGTAGCTAGCCCATCAGCTTGCCCACCATGGAAATCGAGAATCCGCACTGAGCTCGACTTCGACAATAGGAAGAGTCGACGATGCTACGGATGAGCATGCAAGACTTCGAATGTTCCCCACCTGTGTGCTCCAACTCCTGGGACTCCTTCACGGACTTGGATGCATCCAGGGATGCTGTGGAGCTGCCCACCAGGGCAAACAGGCCCAGGCAGATGATGGCTGTCTTCATTTTCATGATGCCTGCGGTCAGTACATCACATCAGCATGTTGGGCGATGAGCTATTAATAGCGTTGGGACCACCACATGTACCTCTCATCCTGCCTGAGCTCGAAGACTGCTGATACAAACGATGACCGTTGTGAAGCACTCGAAAAGCGCAGATGAAAGCAACCCCTTTCGCGTCCACTACCCTTCACCGACAATCGCAGAAGGCAAGGCACTTCTGTACATCAAGATGCATGCCGACTCAAGATCCACTCCAAGCCCTTCTGCTTTGAAAGGGTCTAGGCCGGAGTTTCAAAACATAAAGATTATCATACTAAACTCTGGGAACCACGGAAAGACCCATAGGCAAATTGCCGGACAAACAAAACACGATATCAACATCGCGGAAGCTTGCGATCACGGCCTTATCAACGGGTCAAACCAACGTTTGGGCAATATCACCAGCTCTGACGCCAAGAGTAAATTTCTTTCGCTTTCGAATGACTCTATCATGTCAGAAAGAAAGCATCCAATGTCGTCTGGTCGGTGGTCACACCTTGGCTTGAAGTGCAGGATGGCAGTCGTCTTCCTCTGTCACTGGCGCTGGTCTGCTATCAAGAAAATTAAACAAAACTCGTGATTTGGAAATTGAAAATGAAGACGGTTTTGCTTTGAGATGAGATGCGTGGGGCGGGGCTGGTTATATGCTGCGGACATGCAACTTCGCAAGCGGCTTCCATGGGCAAATTGATCACGAGCAGACAGCCCCTGCAGCACCTCCCTACAGTCTATATCCTTGATCCAGATGAATTACCTTTAAAGACCCACATCCCACGTCAGTTTCGATCCTTCCCGGCTAATTTTGCGTTTACTATTTGCAGCAGTCACCACTTTACACACCTGTATTGCACTGGATTTTTACTCAAGCTTTGCAGATTGAGTCTCCCAGTCTCCCAATGCTTCAGGGGGCTGTTACCCAAAGAGATGTTCTTTGGCTTCAGTTATGGGGAGGTCATCGTCACGGTCGCGGTCCTTGCAGTTGTTATAGGTGCGTCTTAACTTGCGATTGTCATTTTGTGATCCATTATGAAGCCAGTGATATCCGGTGGCTCACAACAGCTCGCTTGCTTAGTAGCATGCCCACCAGCAGATCTGCAGGAAGGACGAATAACATTGACACCGGAGCTGTGCTGCAGGTCCAAAAGAGCTACCAATCATTGCACGAACTGCAGGGAGAGTGACAGGCCAGGCTGCTGCCTTCCTCTCCCGCTCCAGAACACAGTGGCAGAAGTTTGCTGAGGAAAATGAGATCGCCCAGGTTGGTGCACCGTGCATAACATCCTTCTGTAGCAGCAAAAACTACCATCACGGCAGAAGCCAGAGCAGCTGTCATATATTGTCGCTGGGACGTTCTCCCATAAGATTGCATACATGCAAACCCACTACTGCCAGCTTACTAAAAGCATGCTTCTCTGGCTGGTGCAGCTGCACAGGGAGATGCAGGAGAGCCTGGGCCAGCTGCGGGCCATCCAGAATGAGCTCAGATATGGCCCCCACATCATGAGCCCGGGGTGAGACTGCCATCATGCCTGCCTTCAGTGCCCGAGCAGAGCAGAACCTTGTCAGCATTTTAGATCAGGCAATATATATTAAAACACTGCCAGCAAGTGGCACGCATGCACACCTGCCCCTAATATCTCCTGCAAGATACCATGTCAAATGGGTGAAAGTCCTTTTTCGCACCTCATTCCTCACAAATCACATCAGCAGCACAAGTGGACGCCTGAACGTGGTACAGGCACAAACTTCATGATTGATTTCACAATGTCCGCTGCAGGCCGATGACACAGAGGGCGCTGAGGCTGCCGCAGCAGCAAGGGGGTAGCCAGGGCAGCGCGCCAGATCAGGCGGCTGCCTCTGCGCAGATACGCTCTCCCCTGGGCCGAGGCGCGGCCGCGGGTGCCCTTGACAGGCTGGCAGCGGAGGAGCCTGCTCTGGCGCAGCGCCTTGCCTCCATCGACCCCCAGCTGCTGCAAGCGCTGCAGGACCATCTTGCAAAGGGCACACCCCTCAGACACACGGCCTCTCCGGACAGAACGCGCAGTGGGAATGACAGCGCGCAATCACATGCGGATGGCGGGAGCCGGCTGTCCGAGCTTGAGGGAAGGTTGGAAGGGAGAAATGGGGAAGGGGCTACGGAAATTGGAGGGTTCCGTGGGAGCGAGGCGAAGGGAAGGGGGGATGACCTTGACGGCAGGGATTTGAGCGTGTCAGGGTTGGGGGGCGTGGGCGGGATTTTGCCGGGGAGCGAAGTAGATGGAGGGGTGGATAATTTGAACGCACTGCCGGTGTCGGCGGTTGCGATGGGTTTGGCGCCGGAACGGTCTGGGGAGAGAACTCCATCTGGCGCAGATATTGCCATGGATGCTCTGGCAGAGGAAGAAGTTGCGCACATGGCGCAGCGCTTCTTCCAGCAACAGCAGCTGCTGCAGCCGCCGCCCAAGGATTGACATGCTCTGACTTGAGAGCTTTTGCACCGAAGTTCGTGTGCATTGTGTCTTCTTCTGCAAGCTGGGATTTTGAGATATTTGCTAGAATGCAAATGCAGGAATTACAGGGCCGCATGTTTTTAATCAATTGCCTGAAGTTGAATTCTGAAATTCACATGCTGAACTTTCTGTAGAATGAGGACTTCGCCAGTATTGACAACCCAATATCTACAGGTCCCAATCTCTATCATAATATAAGGCACGTTCCAAGTATGCTGCAGCAATGGCTAGCAGGCTCTCCAATGACCAGATCAACTTGCTCACAATGTCTGCTCCTCTGTGTCTATGTCCTCTCTCAATATGCCCACCGCTGCCGTGAAGCCATGCAAGTATGTTGAGTTGCCAACCTGCCCAATCTCACCTGCAGCAACAGCATCAAAAACATCACTCAACAGCGTTCTGATCAGAAGAAGAGGATCACTGAACGCCGCCTGCTGCATTCCATGGAACACAGAGACACAGCTCGATAGATTGCATGGCTCCTTATGCATGCATGCATCTCCCAATTATAGAAGCTGGTGCTCATCTTGAAGCTTCTGGCAGGTAATAATGAGACTGCCGGGGTGCCCATATTTAGGGTTTTTTTCCCCGCACAGCATGTCATGCTGCATCTGTTGCAAGTGCCTTTCTTGTCCAGGAGCAGGCTCACCGTTACAGAAGATGCCCGACAAGGGAACTGGCACGTAGCTGGCAAGGGTGGCTGAATCGTAATTTGGCTCGCCATACAGATTCATCCCCCGCCCGTTGCATGTGAACACAAGAGCGCCAAAGGCAGGCGGCTGAGCCTTGCCCTCAAGTGTCGCCTGCATATCACATTACAATGCCTCTAAAAGAAATTAAGGGTGGTACACTATGACGCTTCTACACCTGCGAGGCAGCTGCCATGAGTGCACATGCTGGTGCTGAGCTGTACTAAAAGATGCCAATGATGTTGCACTGCGGCCACATGCAACAGGCATTGGCAGGCGTACTGCACAGTCTTGATTTACTTATGCACGCTGTCAAAGAATGGTTCTGGTGCCCAAACGAGTGCCATCGGCTCGTCTGAGACTGATGCCACAACAATGCCAATTCGTCATCAAGTCAACGCTGCGAAGCTTCCAAAGCTGCAAAGGATAAGATTCTAGGCTTATGGAGCTTGCCAGCCCGAGGCTAGATGACGAAATGGCACCACAGGGCTGCGCATGCCCTCTCATGCAACTTCTCATGCTTTGAATGTCATTCACTTGTGACCCCAACAAGACACATACAGTCTTTTCCACACAAATGAAGCTGTGCGCCCAGCAAACAAATCAAGAGCTCGCAGCTGAGCGCAAGGGACGTGATGTTTTGCCGAATGAGAGGTCTTTAAGTGGGGTTCAACCCATCAGTGGAGGGTGGTACATATTTTCTCAAGCGCAAAGTCTGTCCCAACTGAGGAACCATAATTATGCGCCTGCCTGCAGCTCAGCGCGATTGATCGGGCCTCCCAATCGGGCATGCTGATCCCAACCCATCGAGTGAGTGGGCATGCCATGTGAGCAAATATGCCATGTATGCCAACACCTCTGTGCATGGTCGGTCAAAACTCTAGCCACAAAAGACAAGATTGGAAAGCAGTGTGAAGCGCACGCTTGCAGCTGGCGGCGCTTGGGGGCCAGGGCGTACCATGTGAGGCTTAATCAAAGAGTTTCCTTGAATCGAACTCCTTGATGTTGATGGAAGTCTGCAGAGTCTGTCAATCCTAAAAAATAGAAACAAAACCGAAGAAAGGACAAAAACGCAAGGGATTGAACGCGCGCCTGCAGCTGGCGGCGCTTAAGGGAGGGGGCGTGCCTTGAGAGGTCCGATCAAGACTTACAGAATTTTTGTCATCCTAAAAATTAATGGCAAAAAAAAGGGGGAATACACAAGGATTCGAAGGCGCGCCTGGAGCTGGCGGCGTTTGAGGGAGAGGGCGTGGTCCATGAGGTCCTGCCTGGCTCCCTCGCGGTCGCGCACCATGAACCGTATCCGTTGCCCCAGCCGCACTCCCCCGCCAACGCCCATCGCGCCGCTGCTCTGGTCGAACCCCATCAGCGGCCGCACCAGGAAATCCTGCAGGCAAGCAGCATATCCACAGCTTTATTAGCGGTCCCAAACCATGGAACCCATGCTGCTTTGGTCAAGCCCCATCAAGGTGGTACCTGGAATTCCTGTGGGGCACGGTGGTTCACAATGTGAGCGCTTGTACAGATGTCCTGTGCACTGTGCTGCTCTGGTCAAACCCCAACAGCGGCCGCCGCAGGAAATTCTGTATGTATGTGAGCGTTTTTTTTTGGTGTCCTGTGCGCTTCACTGTGAAGCCTGAGGCTGTTCGGGCTGGCTGCTGAATCAAGACAGGTGAATGCGACCAAGGCCATAGAACATCAGAGGCTATGAACACCTGGAGATCATACAAAAGCAGCAACAAGGATGGCCTTGCAATGCATTGCAATTGCTGAGCAAAGCAGCGTCTGCCAAGGCATGTACCTGCGGCTCCAGATCGGCGACAGGCTTGAAGTCATCGGGCGCCACTGCCACGGTCAGGTTGCGCACCATGCGCTGCAGCTCAGGCTCACCCCTGCCAGGCGCCTGCGAATAACCCGGCAATGATTTCTCAGATTTTTGTAGATTTGCTATCCTCAGTAACGTCTCTGTTACTCTCAGTTCTCCCAGACCTCTGTGAAAAACCAGACAATCGGGTCAAATATGGTGGAACTTTTTAGAGAAAAGTAACAATCAATGGGGCATGTGCACAGACAATACCGACCATGGCACTCTTCTCGGTCACATAATGTGAACTTCAATAAATGCATGACTCATGCTCAATGTGCAGCGGCGTCCCACACTCTAGGCCTAGCAAGCACGCCAGCCATGCGAACGCAGGCGCAACCGACAACAATGGTGTCTCTTGCAGGACTAATTGACGCAAGTGAGTGAACTGCCAGGTTGGAAATGCGCGCACCTGGGTCTTCATGTCGCGCGAGAGCGCCTCCATGGGCCGCAGTGTCTTGGGGAACTTGCCGGTGGTGGCCAGCTCAAACACAACCCCCTCCTGCGCCTTCTCCACGCTGTATGTCTCGCCGCTCAGCGGCCGGCAGCCCTTCGCTTGCAAGGGAAAATGTATTGGAATTTGAAATCAACTCTGTTATCCATGAAGACTAGGGCCTGGTAGAGGATCCATGCATGCAGGCAGGCAGGCAAGTATAGGATTAATTCCACGTGCACCTTTTCATAATGTCCGGCAAAACCTTTGACAAGCATGTACTTTGCTTGTGGTATCATTCGTGTCAGTACATCTGCTGTACTGACACGAGTGACACCATGAACAAAGCACATGCTTGTCAAGTTCGGGCAGAATGTCTTCCTGTATGCCGTATGCACTAATGATCGTTGCTGGCTAAAATTCACCTGCGCAATGAGGGGCTCCATTCTGACGCGCCCCTTGAGCACGAGCCCCACGCATCCACCCCACACCATCTGCCGATCCACTCTGCCGTTGCGGGACGCATCCGCCGGGTCCCCCTCGCTGACATCACCCGCCGCTCCGCTGAGGTCACTCGCTGGGCTGCTGATGTCACTCGGCGGCGTCCATGTTTCCAGCACAATGAGCCATCCGGACGGCGACTCTTGTGTCCCGGCCCCCCGCTGTGGGGGACCACTGATCAGCCCGCCCAATTTGGCCGCCTCCGGGTATGCGAAGTCCAGTCCTGCATGGCAGGCCAGACATGCTCTTAGAATCACCCTTCCCCATAGCTGATTTCGTATGCTCACACAGACAACAAAGAGGTGCATATTGCAGGACTTATGCCATGAAAGCAGCACATAAAAGGGCGCCAAGCTGTGGCAATGGGAAATTATAGCTTGTCAGGGATGAGGGTCAAATTCAGCAAGCTGGCAGAAGTATGTGAATATTTTGACCGGAAAAACCAGATCCTTGCACTGCTGTTGCTGCTGCCATTGCCACAATGAGGGCTCCTTGTGAATGTTTATTGCGAAAGCAAGCTCTCCGCTGCTCACCTGCCATGACGTCATTGATCTTGGCAAATGAGGGAGAGGCCAGCAGCACAAGGTTGACGTTGTCATTGGTGTCTAGCGGTACTCGCGTCACTTTCTCCCACTCCAATGGTGACGCATCTGCATGCCATCACATCAACATGGTCAATGCCCTCAACAGAAGCTTGAAGGTCAAAGAAATAACGCATGTGAAGCACGGTGAAAACGCATGTGAAAATCAGTATGCTCAGTGCTAGGTGCCAAAACAGGTGGAGGATATGCTAGAGGACAATTGTACGAATAGGGCTTCCGCGAGGGTGAAATTTGCTTCTTCTGGCAGCACTATTGGGCTGATGAGACTTGGATGCACACCTGCATCAGGCAAGACTGGGCCAGTGATGCTGAAGGTGGACACCTCTGTGCCCTCCAATTGTGCAAGTGTCAGGCTGACAGACGGCAGTGCCTCCAACTCCACTGGACTCTGCCCTTGGTTCCCAATGACACCATGAGCCTGCATGGCGTACCATTACTATTACAAGTCGGCAATTGGTAATGTTACGTATCAGTAAGTCGTAATTACACACATGACAAGATGTCCATGATGTCGACGACAAGAGTGCGGCGAGGTGGGTATGCATGCCATACACGCCAACATGAATCAGATATCGTTTCCACCCATATGACTCATGACATGGTGCCCATGCATGGAATTGAGAGCCAATACATGCGGTGAAACTCACCACAGTGGCAATGACGTGCTTTACGAAGGTGTACTTCCGTCTGAGCAGAGACAGCGCTGTGCGAAGGCTCTCGTCCTGGTCATCGAAGCCAGAGGCAAAGATGAGGGCCAGCTGGACATCTGCTTTGTGACCTGCCGAGAAGTCCTTCTCTGACATACGCAACACCTCCTCCATGGCGACAGATATGCCTCCCCCCATTGCCTGCGCTGAATAAGTATGCCACCTGCGCTACATGCCAGAGCTGAATAGCTAGCAGAAGACAACAACAACATGGATCAGCAGATCTCTTGTGTTGTCAGATGGAGAACCGTGACATTTTTTTAAGAAATTTCCAGCTCACCTGGCGCCCGAATGGACCTCTGTTGAGGCATCAGCACTAGCTGATGCAGGGACTCCATGTCCTCTCAAGCTACTGCTGGTAACACGATCGCTTGATAATGTGGATTTGCGCAGACATTTCCCATTGAATATACTGTTTTGCTTTGCAACACTCTTCCGGGTCGCGGTCCTGAGGCAGATCCTTGGACACGCATGTCTACTGCCCACTCGTCCAACAATAAATTGGCACCTTAGATACGTAGCATTGCAAAAAGTGCCATCTGTATTGCTGCAATATAATACCATGATGCTAACTGCACTCCATTTGCGAATAAATGTGAGTTTCGGGAAGCATGATCCTGTCAAGCTACTGCTAACGTCACTGCCTCGTCCATCTTTCCATCCCTCCAAGAAAACATCTTTCCTACTGGAAGCATAGTACTGTAGTATTGCATGTTAAGCTTAGTTGTTCCACATTCAACAAAAATTGTAATTGGCTTTGAAGCCGCAGTGGGATCTGGCAACATAGAAGTTGTGTTCTAGCCGATGCCAATCCCTTCCCTTCTGAAACCTGAATCGACGGAAGTCTGTCAGGATCAACATGTGAAATATGAAAATAGTGGCACACAGGAAAATAGAGATGAACCGAGTAGAGCCCCAGAGCCACTAGCATCCACTTTGGTGGGAAAACAAGATAGACAGGCCTGTGCAACTGTTCACAGCGATGGCACTGTCACAACATCATTCAGGCAAGTATATAATCACACGTCTCTTGAGATCTCATCGCAGCAACTCCGACAGCCTCTCATCCACATCGTGGCTGCCTACAGCCACACAAGCCTCCAAGATCCGAGGTAGCTGTGTCTGTGCATACAGGAGGAGAGAGCGCAAAATCAGAGCAGCGAAGCGCGCTGCCAGGGGAGAGCTTAGCCTCACCAAGGGTGACTGGTGCGTGCCAGTCGTCAATCCTGGGCCTCAGCTTTGCAAAGAATAATCTCCATTTGTAAAAAGTTATACCCAGACTGGCTGATCTGTGAACTGGTTCTGTGGTGACTGACAGGCGGAAGCACAGATATGCACAGTCTGATGTGCTGTCGACTGAGGGGATTATAGACAGTGTGGAGCGCGTGCACTGCTCGGTAAGCCCATTCAAGTAGATAGCTTCATTCTCAAAGTACAAGCACCAAGGCAATGGACGCTGCTATGCCCGCTTCCAGCAAACAATGGCCGATACTGACCGTCTTGATGATTGGATCACCTGATCGTTGCGTGCATCTATGATGTGCAAATCACATTGCCCTTCAATCTCTGATCTGTAGACGAACAATCAGTGAGGAAGGCCTGGCACGTGCACTCACATTTGTTGCCTGAAGTACGCAAGCAATGGTTTGCCTCTCACAGGAGCTGAGTGTAGAGGAGTTTGTGGAGCGGTTTGAGCGCCCGCGCCTGCCCGTAGTCATCACCGGGCTGTGCGACAGGTGGCGAGCAGCCAAGGACTGGAATGAGGACACCCTGCTGCAGCGATACGGGGACCACAAGTTCAAGGTAGCTCGAACTCTGGCTCTGCTCATGGCCATGCATGCGAGAGAAGCAGTCTCCAAACAATATGCAGTCAGTGGCATTCTTATTTGAAGGCTAAGGCAAATGCTACTCATTGCAAATGCAAGACGCATATCTCAGCTGCAAATAACGAGGCTGGCTTCTAACCTGGTCAACTAGGTAGCTCAGGAGGATGGTAGTAGCCAGTCAGGTTCTTTTTGCTGCAGACCGCACCTGGGTTGTGGATTCTTGAGATTTGGCATCGGGACAACTCGTGTCTATTGCCTCTTGAACCAGACTTACTTCAGAACATAACCTCCAGTTTTCCGAGAATGCGTCCGCTTATATGGCATGCATCTGCAGGTGGGCAGCGATGACGACGGCTACGCTGTGCGAATGAAGCTGAAGCATTACTTATCCTATGTGCACGACCGCGAGCATGCGCCGGCCGATGACTCGCCGCTCTACATTTTTGACGGCACGTTCGCCGACCGCCGGGGAAGCCGGGGGCTGCGGCGCGAGTACGAGGTCCCCCACTACTTCCAGGAGGACCTCATGCGCCTTGCGGGGGACAAGCGGCGGCCACCCTACAGGTGACTCACCGTTTTAATTAGTACTGTCCATTTGGCGGCCTGTTGATGTATGATTGGTCTTGGATTCCATGGTCATGTCCTACTCCCTAAGAGAACTCATTACTTGGAGAGCCAGTGCTGATAGGAGCAGAAGCTTACTTCAGTGCCCATTTTGAGCGAGCGTACAGTGGTACTGAGAAAGTATCTGTGCAAAGTTTGGGTAAAATATAGGTGTGCATGTTGGTGATTGTCAAAGGGGAATCAAAGAGGAAAGTGTGAAGTGCTAGATTGGGTGGGTAAGGCTTGATCTAGTGCGTGAGCTGGGTTGTTCGCTGTGGCAGGTGGCTGGTGATGGGCCCTGGGCGCAGCGGCTCTGGGCTGCACATCGACCCGCTGGCGACCTCGGCCTGGAACGCCCTCGTGCAGGGGCACAAGCGCTGGGCGCTGTTCCCTCCAGGTGCACCACACGCGCCGCCTCAAAAGTTTCTCTTTCTTTGATTTTTGTGACTTCCATGTTGCGCTTCTTCTGGCAGCTCCCAGCAGAGCCCGCTTCTAAGGTTCCACGGGTCGTCTACTGGCTCCCAAGTGCTGTCCATTCTGAACAGTGGCAGCCTCAACTTTACGCCATCCCAGCTGACACACCGCACGACTAGAAAAGCTTATCAGTGCATCTGCCGGCTGATCAGGGCTGTCACTTCTCGACATTGGCAGCTCAGCTCTGATTGACGGCTGGCGGCATGTGCGCGCATGTGCAGGCACTCCGCGGCACGTGGTGCTACCGAGGGAGAAGGGGCTGGAGCGGGAGGCTGTCAGCTGGTTCACTGTCATGTACCCGCGCACTCAGGCGCCCGACTGGCCCACTGCGCGGCCCATCAACATCATCCAGGTTTGCTCAGGGACTTCTTTCGTAGTACAAATCTTCAATTGGCTGATGTATGTGGGATGTTTATCATTTGTGGCCACACCACCACATCATTGTGACCTTCACATCACTTTTTGAAAGTGTGTTTATCATGCCACACCTACTTGGCAAGTCTTGCGCTGCTTGAAAGTCGCCCCGCGGCAGACATGACTCTGTGGTACAGTCACATTCTCTGGGGAGCTCTTACGATGACATCACGTTCGGTCGCTGACATGCATGCACGGTGCAGGGGCCCGGGGAGACGGTGTATGTGCCAGGCGGCTGGTGGCACACGGTGCTCAACCTGGACCTGACCATCGCCGTGACGCACAACTACTGCAGTAGCGCAACCTTCCCCGCCATCTGGGCGCACACTCGCCGCGGCCGCCCCAAGATGAGCGCGTGCTGGCTCGCCCAGGTTTGGCCGCTGAGTATCACCCGAAATTCATGTCAATCTTCAAGTCGCGAATGCGCGTACTGAAATATGCATGCATTTGTGTAATCAAATCCCCCACCACAGTTGCATGCACTCACTTTTCAGGCAAAGTCAGCATGCTTGTGTCTGCTCTGTCTGGCGTTCTCAGCTTCGCACCTTGGGCGCCATTTCCCCGGATACTGCCTCTATCTGCTGTCCCTACATTGTGCCTCGTCTTCAGAATTTGCCTGCTTTGGTCTCCACTGGTTCACCGCTGCTCCCTTCCAGAATCATTGATAGGTAGCATGGGCACTTGCCTTGCACGCTACAAAGGGCTGCTATGCCAGCTTGGCATCACAAAAGTTGGCCCCACTGTCCCTGCAAACAAAGCCTCTTAGGCACAGCATGCTGCAATCCATTCTAATCGCGTGGCCTGCCTGGTGCCAACATCTTTTAGGCGTCCTGGTCAATGAGTCGCTTGGCGTCCCATCTGCAGGGTCATTAATCGAACCGAAAATTTCTGTCATACATTGTACAAGGTCTTTTTGAACTTTGACCCATATATTAAACGGGATTGCCTGGCGCGTGCAGATCCGCAAGGAGCGCCCCGACCTGGCGGTGATAGCGGATGAGTTGGCGCAGAGGGGCGAGGACGAGGACGGCACCAGCTCATCTTCCAGCAGTTCCTCATCTTCGTCATCTTCCTCCAGCAGCAGTGAGAGCAGCTCCTCGCGCTCAGGGTGAGCGATCAGTGGTCCTGCATATTCTCAGCTCCAGCTCCTGGGCTAAGTGCTGCAGCTGGTGTTGCAGTGATCAGGCCAGTGGATAGATGCCACAGTGACAGAGCGCAGATTGTGTAGTGATATGGGATGGCTCCCGCAGCCCATGCCAAACAAGGGCTTGTCCATTCAGGATCTGTGCGTGAAAAAAATGCCCGTGCATAATTCGAGATCTTGCAGCAGCAGGAAAGGAAAGTCGCATTCGTAAATTTCTTTTTATCTGATGACAGGGGCGGGACATCAGCTGACGAGGATGGCGAAGTCAACCAGCCGCCTCGCAAGCAGTGGAAGCCGAGTCTGTCCTACGGCGCCCCCTCCGGCATGCATTCAAGTTTGAATCCACAGGAGGGAACCGCTTCCAGACAGGACGCGTCAAAACAGTTTCCCGACCCCCCAAGGAACCTAAATTTGGGGGGCGGTCAGCTGATGGAGGGAACGCTGAACAGACAGGGAGGTGGAAGCTCAGAGGCGGGACCATACAGCAGCAGCTTCCTGGCAGCTGCGCATGAAGCCGGGCTGATTGGCGGCCGCGGCAGCGCCAGTGCTGCAGGGCTGCAGACTAGAGGGGGTGAGGACAATTCCAGAGAGGGTGAAGTCTTGGTGGAGCCACAAGTTGTGGAGCCTTGTGCGCCCAGGACGAATGTAGCCGCCCCATTAGCGACATGACTACTGCACCCCTGTTAATCAGCATGCAGGTTGAGGTCATTAGTTGAAGAGTTCGTATGTTGAAGAGAGAAATGTACAACATGAAGGCATAGCGAGCGCCAGAGAAGGAGAAAATGCCCCGTGGGGCTTTGCTCTTGAAATTTGCCACCGCCTCTTGAGACTTTTCCTGTGAGTTTAGTGTTCAATTAAGCGTGAGGCTGCATTGCAGTGCAAAATGGGGGCATCAAAGGACAGAAACATGTCCAGGCCCAGAAGATTTTGCAAAGGTATAACTCTTGCGATGACAATCACTTGAAGAGCCTCATGTCGCGGCTTGAGTGTCTCCACTGTGAGTCACCAGCCAGCAGTGCTCCTCACCGGATAGCACTTTCCATCTCTGATGAACAAAGAAAGCTGACTTCTGAGGTGCTCTGTCACACCGTATGTTACATCAGAATACACCACCGCCAATGACAAGAATATGCATGGCAACAGCTAGCTCCAACCTCCTGTTGGAAGTCGATAAGCACCAACAGCCGCAATAAAATTGATCTAGAAACAGCAGAATCTTGGTTGAAGATACCTGAGATTGGCAATTGGTGTTGCTTCCACCTCACGCTAGGTTGTGGTTGAAATATAAACATTCAAAACAAAACTCTCACAGGAAGATTTTTAATGGTGGTAGCAAGTTTCAAGCACACGCCACGGCGGAACCAATATGGCAAAAGTGACTCTAGAGATCTGGCAAAGAGCTCTCTCTGCTAGCTGCCGGTGACACTGCAAATGAATACGCACGCATCCGTGAAGATTCCAGCACACAGCACAACTTCCCAGTATGTGACTTCACGGATTTGATACCGTACCTTCACCGCTGAAAGCATTGGACAATACTACTATAAAGCACATCCTACAGCATCCAGACCTCATCCTACCGCCAAATCAGAGATTTGAAGGCATTCCCTTCTGTTAAGACACACAGTATGACACTCCCAGTAATTCAATTTGTCGGCAGAAAAACCCAGGCATACAGAGTTTGGATTGATGCTGCTGCAATCATGGTTCCAGGCTTGCAAAGCTGGCTCAGCTCGCAGGCAAGGGCCCTGCAGGTGCCAGCCGGTGTGGGTCCAACTTAGCCGCAGTCCCTATGCCATCTATGAGCGCGCTGCACCCGCCCCCCAGTCGCACACCTCTGCCATTCACAGCATCCTGCTCCTTGCAGAGTCCGCCAAACCCTGCAGCAGCTTCCTCGCGCACGGAAGCTGCAGCCGCTGAGTCAGCGCACGCAGGGGCTGCCGGCGCTCTGGCGAGCGGCGGCCGAGGAAGATTCTCCGGAACGTTCTGTGTCGCCTCGTCGTCTGCTTCTGTGCAGCTTCCATTTCCCGTGCGCGCCCCGGCCCGCTCTGCAGCCCGACGTGCCGAGGCAAAAAATCCGGGACGGGCATGTATGAAGTCATGCATGGCATAGGGAGGCTCGGACCTGGCCCTCTTTGACTCCATGCCTTGGCCGAGGGCCTCAACCTCTGCTGCTTCTGACGCCAGCTGTTGCTCGTGGTCCTGCTGTGACACAGATGGCCGCGCTGGGAACCTCACTTCTGGAAACGGCTCCCTTTGCTGCCCTGACGGCTGCGCGCCGTTTGCCGGCCGGCTGCCGGTTGCGGTCTGTGGTGGTTGTGCGGGGAGCAAAGCAGGGAGGCTGTCAGGGCTGCTCTTATATTGTACTGCAGTATCTGCGGCACAGTCAGCTTGCTGCGCAGGGGACTCCTTTGGAGACAGGGACGGGGACGCGCAGGGCTCAGGGGGCGGCGGGAGGGTTTCCAGCAGCGGCTGCCGCGCAGCTGCCGGCGTCTGCGCCAGGCGGGCGGCCAGCTTCGGCAGAGCTTCATCGCTGGACGCCAGCACCTCGATCACCTGCAGATCGTCTGCGCAGAAGAAAATATAAAAAGAAAGTGAGATTGAGAAAATCTTCCAGGTGTAGAAGCAAACTACACGCGTCCACTAAGGTCTCGACCAGCAAGGCAAAAGCTGCAAGTACGGCAGTCCCTGTCACAAGCAAGGTGGAGGATGCATGTCCATGCAAATAGCAACCATTGGCAAATGCCAAGCAACTCTTGCAAGGATGCATAAAGACCTGGAGGGGCTGCAACGTCTTCAAACCATGCTGGTGCAGATCATCAAAATGATGGTGATGAGACTGGCACTTCATGATCCAGAAACTTTACAAGAGTAGCAGCAAAAATGTGAAAAATTTCACGCTGCTGCCCCTGTAGAGAGTATGGATCAAAATGTGACGGTCCCTGGCACCATCTCCTTAAATCTCGCCATTACAAGCAGAAAAACGACAACAGATGACCCCATGATCTATCCGTTGTGGGAGCCTCACCTGTGTTGGAGAGGGCGGAGAGCAGGTTCCAGAGGCAGTCCTCGCTCAGATTGACCACCACCTGCTTGCATTCCTGCAGCCGCCCAGCATCCTGCACCAGCCCAGCGCAATGCTCAAGAGGCCAAATGCATAAATTATCGTCCCAAGCTGCCAGTCTTTCGATGTAGAACCAATATCACAGGGGGGCTTTTCCTCATGCTGATGCTGGCGCCCAGCACATGATACATATCGCAGTGCCCCATATTTGCCGTTTTTTAATGTACAGCACTTCTTTTTGCCCCCATCTGCCTCAACGCACCCCCTACTCGACAAAACGGAGGCTGAATTGTGCTGGGGCACCGATGTCTTACTGCAGTATCCTGACCTCATGGGTCACCTGAACCTCAAATGCAGGCACAAATATGGAAAGCAGGGATGCAAAGGCAGGCGTGGCATGGCCTGCTTCACTGGACCCAAAGTTTCCAGCTTGGCCTGCTACGCATGAAGGCAGCGCTGCAAAGACAGGCCCGGCTCGGGCATAGGGTCAGTGCAAGCATGCATTCTCCACAGCGCAGGAAATGCATGCGGTACATGTTAAGAAGACTAAGCACAGAGTGTCAGTGAGAGTAGACATGGTAGTGCGTGTGCACCTGCAGGCAGTGGCGGACTCGGCGGAAGTAGGCGGTAGAGGCGGACTGCTGGAAGGAGATGCCGACCCAAAGGATCATGTCAACCGCCGCCACGTCATCCTCCAGCACATCAAACACATCCTCCGGAGTGATCACGGCCGCTGCAGCCGCCAAACAAACACAACTCAGTGGCATGGCAGGGCAGGCAGGCATCATGTAGGAACACAAGGAAGGTTAAGAACCAATCTGCAGTGCTGCTTCGGTCCCTGAAGTGAAGCACTTCCTCTGGCGTTGTCATGTTCGCTACAGCCGCCAGCATGGAAAAAAGAATCAGGGCAAGACACTATGTCTGTGAGTTTGGACCGTTTTTTAGGCATTGAGATCAACCAAACAAGGCCATCCGGGCAAGACAAAGAGATCCTGCAAAGCTGCATGTTTGCGGCAGCAAATTAGGGCATGTTGTACTTGGTGGGACATGGCATGCGTAAGGCTAGCATGTGTGCCGTACATGAGTGGTTGCATGAAGAGTCTCAAGATTGGTTTAGGTAATCTTGAGCGGAAGTAGTGACAAAAAAACCTCTTCAAGCCATTCTGGACGCTACAAGCCATGACCACAATCGCCATGGCGACCATGTTTCAATGCAAAGTCAACCATAGACTCATATTATCCATTCAGGGCTGCGGCTGACCTTCGCCGTCATCGTAGAGCATGACTCGGCAGCGCAGGTCGGCGTCGCCGCATTGGCCGCAGCGCAGCGCGCGTTTCGCGCGTATCGTGCGCACGTGCTGGGGCGTCACCTCCGACACTGCGCCGCACTCCGGGCACACCAGCTCGTGGATGTTGCCGTGCATCTCCAGCGTTTGCCCTGTCACATGCATGCAAGGCTCATTCATTGTTTGGCTATGTTGATTCTGCTGGCTGATTAGGCTCGGTATCCTACAATTGCAGTGCACGCCATGCCTTATGTGATGCATGCATTTACTTTCTAGAAGAGGCTGCTTCTGTTGGCAAAATGTACGCTACTTTACTACAAGGGAGATGCTCCAACAATCAGCTATGAAAGCCATTTTGGGTCCATTTGGGAATTGATTGTTCGACATGCCACCCAGATGCAGTCCATCCAGCACTCGCAGCAGTGAAAGAAAAACGACAGTAGCTGGCAAGGGGCAAACGCTCACCTGAGGGGTTGGTGTCGGGATGCCAGGTGGTCAGCCCCACGCTCTCTGCAAGGCCATCGATGTTCATTGTGTAGTGCCGCTGCATCTTTCCCATCGCTGCTATGGCCGCCAGCGCGCGGTGCCCCGCAGACGGCTTCGCTCGCTTCGCCTCTGCGTAGATGTCTGCATAGAACGCCTGCAACAGATATTCAAAATAAATCTGGGTCAATACCAGCATTTTGACAGATGCAGCGGGGAGGTACAATAATGGATGCGCCTTTCATGATGCATGAGGTGTCAAGCTTCCAAGAGATCTCATTTCTCTGGCGTTGTGCATTGCATTCCTCTGGGCCCTTAGGCCTCAGATGGTCTTAAATCGGGGCAATGACGTGCACAGCAGGGATCCTTGAAGAAAATCTAGCTACATCAATCCGGAAGCAATCCCTCCGCTAGGATTACAACTGGGCGCTGGTCATCTGGAGAAAGGAAGTAAGCGCACCATGGCTTCAAGGCGCTGCTTCTCAAAGAAGGAGTATGTGAACAGCTTCTTGCCGTCCGTCACCCCAAACCGCTTCTGTGCCCGCTCATACAGTCCGCCCTTTGTGCTGAACGTGGACATGCCTGGAGACAGCACAAGCAAGGTGAGCTTTGGTGGAGACGCAAGCGGAAAGGGAGCAACATGCCTGATGTTACTTCTTAAAGAACATATACAGGTTGTCCCAGGTGTTTGAATGGGCGGACTGCCAGTTGCTCTGACGCTTCTGTGAGCAACTTCTGTTGCAGCTCTGGGACTCAAGGCTGACCCTTCTCGCCCAGACAGGTAGATGCTAGCTGTGGATGACTTAGGAGATTCGTGACGAGCTAAGGGGTACCAAATATTCTTTGACAGAGGTTGCAATAAATCGAGATGTTCAGGGAGCGGACATGTAGCAGAGAAGTTTATACCAGGGTAGGTCACCAGAACAGCATTCAGACAGCGGTGAAGCAGCTGTCATCCATCAGAAACAATACCTGACGTGGCAGAGAGTCCACTGCCTGTGAAGATGAGCAGGCTGGAAGCGGATGCAGCGGCATCCAGCATTCTTTGCAGGCCATCCACTTCAGCACCACTGCGCAGATGTTCCAAGCAGACGTCAACATGGCTGCAGAACCAGGAGACGCGGTCGTGCAATATAGCAACGCATGAGGAAATGCAGCGACAAGGGGCAGCCAGCACGGCCAAGGAGGTGTCTCTGAAGCACGGTGATCAATGCACATAGTGCAAGAGAACAGAAGGAGTGTCAACAAGCCCATGGACGTCTGGCCACGCGATGGTCTCAAAATAATGAAGAAGAAGAATTACAATTTTCTACAAATGCAGATATACAACATTGCGCAGTATCCAGGGACCTTGGTTATGGGGTTCCTGAGACAAACCTTGGTTCAGGCTGCTTTCTTTTACGCAGAACGACCATCGCGCGCCCTTAGGTAGGCGTATCACGACGACATGAAAAATGAGAGTCGCCGCAAAACTTCCTCAGAACTGCGCCATATTGCTTCTAAGCCAAAGCTCCACCTTCAGATGAGGTTTGTGGACTCACAAGTGCTCGACAGACGACACACAACTCGTTGAGGTACAGAAGACCTTCACATGTTTCCAGAGAAAGAATCATTGCCTGTCGATCGCAGCCACTGGCCTTTGGATGCGTCATGGAGGTTGAGGCTGTTCCTTGAGAGCCAGATTAGGACAACATACTTAAATTTGACAGGTGTCTCTGCCAATGAGAAGAAGTCCAATTTTTATGAGGCATCCAACGAAAGTCTTCTGTTTCTTCATTATTGCAATGTTGTGTGCATTACTTCTTGTGTCCAGCAGTGGGCTGCTCCCTTTGCACCGCGGTACCAAGAAAACCACGCTTGCTGCAGAAACTTTTGTTAATACAGGAAAATCTACATGCCCGATAGATCTCCTTAGCAGACAAGTACATCCCAACCCAGGACAACACACACCCCATCATGCACAACAGGCCGGCCATCACAAAAATTCACAGATAGGGCGCCATCAAGAGCTGTCAAGTGTATGGTCAGCAGGCGGGTTTTATCATGATTACTTCTACTGTAGCGCTACATATCATTTCTACCAAGAGGGTGCATCTGCAGACACGCTGCAATCTAATGCTGCCTACTCCTTGCTGGACTTGCCGGATCCAAGCAAGAGGAACCCAATTATGGGCGCTCACACACTAGTAGTGATGATGCCACCTACCAGCTGGGTTCACTGTGTTCCATTATGTCCCAGTGTTCTGCAGCACAAGCCTGGCCTGTTTCTGCAGCTGCTCATCTGCTCGCATGCTCATCCTCAGCAGAGCAGTCGCCAGCTGATCACTCTTTTCCTGCCTCCCCAGTGCCCTCTCAAGATTGCCCGACCTGCTGAATGCGCTGTTCCTACTCTCTGCATTGCCTGAAACCCCAACAGATGCTCCCGGTCCCTCTGAATTTCCCCCTGCTTGCCGGTCCTTCTCTTTTTGCGCACTGGAATGGAAGATGGGATCTGTGTATAGAGCTGCATCCCTGAATGGGCTCGGCATGGGCTGCATGCTAGCACTCCTCCTCCCTCCACTGCATATGCTGCTGCTCTCCTGAGCGATACCATTGACCTGGGAAATTGCTGCAATTCCTAATGTCTCGTTGGCAGCTGAGGGAAGAGCCCTGCTGCCAGAGGTGTGGCCAATGTGGCTGCCCGGCCCGGGCAGTTTGGGCGGCACTGCAGCTGGCAGCGATGCGCAGCTGCTGCTGCGGCTATGCAGGGAAGCTACACGCTGCAGGGAAGCTGCCCGGTGCAGGGAAGCCGCGCGATGAGTCAGCTCCTTACTCAGCATTGATCGCAGGGCCGGGGTGTTGCCATACCTACAGCATCAAGCTTATCTTTTGAGCACATTGCATCAGACAAGTTTTGACAACCTGCACGTGCACATGGGTGTCCTCATGTTATCTATTTCAGCATTGGACTCTTCACATCATTGCATTGAACGTCTTATGATGTCCTGCGTGCACATGCAATATGCCAGGGGGCAGACAAGAGCAACCAGGCATAGTGATAGGGTAGCGGGTAAATATGCTCACCTGAAGCTGCTGCGAGAGAGCATGCGTTTCAGCTGCAGCTCCGACTGGGCTTCGGCGTCAGTCTGTGCAGCTCTGCGCAAGGCTGTCTGCAGGGGTGCAGCGTTCTGGACGAAGGTGAGTGGCTCATCCGAGTCTAGCAGCGCCCACACCAAGCTCATGCTGTTCTTGCGAGGCATCCCTGCAACACATATATTCCTTAGTAAGCCTTGTCTGTGCGTGGCAGGAGCTGCATGTCTGGCAGAAATGGAAATGAGGCAACAGTGCAGATCTCGGAAGAAATTGTCACCTGCTTCATGGGCAGGCGCTTGCTGCAAAAGAAAGGCAGTTGCAGCCTCCAATGTTGCGACCTGCACAACAGAATGCATTTGCACAACAAATAGCACGGTGCAAATGCAAGGAAAAGTCATCCAGACACCCGTAGCATGCGTATCATACTATAATGGTACAGTGTAGACAAATACCACAATGCTGGAAGATATATCTTAAAAACACAAGTACACTGCTGCAAGGATCTTTGGTAAGTAAATATGAAGCCAGTCAAGAGTTTGGCGCTGACCTGGAAGCCAGTCTGGCCTGCCCAGTCACCACAGGTGTAGAAGGTCTTGACATGTTCCAGCATGGACGGCAGACGCCGCGGCTGTGCCATGATGACTGTGGCTATCATGAGCCCCAGCACATCGTCCGCTGTCATGTCACTGCCAGGGTCGCTATCTCCCCTGCAAAACGTTCCCACCCTTTAGGGTTCAGATTGCTGACTTCATGTATTGATATGTACATAATTCTGGGGACTGCCCACACAGATGACACTCACGCAATCCTGTCACAAATCAGGCAGCTGTAAGACATACAGCGAACAACACACACCACAGAGCAAAACACCGAGATGACAGATGAAAGGTCCTGCCTAGCTCGGTCTTCAGAGAAACACTCAGTGAGTCAGTGCAACGCTAATTGGTGCCATGGGTCCTTGCTCACCACCATAATGAGGAGCCACACAGAGCCATCATCCACAAAACTCCAAATTACTGCTGCACATACACTGAATAGGCTGCTCAATTTGAGGAGCCACCGTGGAGCTACCGTTCACATAACTCCGGACTTCTGCTGCTCATAGACTAATAAAGCTGATCACATAGTACTAAGGCAATGTAGACTTCCTCTGCTGATCTGTTCAATTGGGTTGTGTTGACAGAGAAGAATATGGGCGGCAAATGGGCGGTTGATCACCCGTCAGACATTGCAGCAGCTGCCTCCACTAGGAGGTGTACACACTCCTCGATGCCATCAGCCACCTCTAGAGGGCAGCAAGAGGCGCTCTCCGTGAGCTGCAGTGCATCAGCCGCCGGCGCCAAGTCCAATTCAAGAAAGTGCCCAGGAACGCTGCAGAACGCTGCCAGCTCCTTGCCTAGCTTTCCCTGCAGCAAGCCACAAAAATATAAACCACCTGAAGTGATTAGACAGACATGCATGCACCCAGAGTCATGCATTCCATACTTGACAAGGGAAACTGTTTGGAATGGATCAGACAGCATTTAAAGGACTGCAAAACCTTGCTTGTCAAATTAGAGTTCTAACTTGATTGACCGCCCCATCCTTTTGAAGTTGTGGCCGCACTCCGGGAGCTGCTCGGACGAAAAGTTTCCTAAATGCACCTATTGACGGAATGTGCATCAGAAATTAATCACCTGGTTTGCGCTCTGCGCCATTTTTGCCAAATTGAGGGTGAGCTGGTGTAGGGATGCATCCTCTGTGCTGCAGGTAATCTCTATTGACTTGAGGGCGCTGCCATGAATGCCTGCCACCAGGACCGTCTCCAACGCAATAGGTATGTTCTCGGAGTGCCCTGCGCAAAAGTAGTGCCCAAACTAAAATTTCTGAGCTATTCAAGGTTGCATGTGCCTGCAGCATCATATTGGGGCACACTGCAGCGAGTTTAGGAGTCAGGCAAGCCTCTTTTGGGGAAAATACTTGGGAAGACCTGCATGCACAGTGTTCTGGTAAGGGACGAGCAAGCATTCACCTTCCCAATCAGTGAGCACATATCCCTGGCAGCAGGATGCAATCAAAATTTCCTCCAGGTGACCCCGGGCCTCCACCATGCTGTTTGCAGCCCATTGATAGAAACCCTGCGGCCACCAAAGTGACATGTGACTGGGAGGACACACATATGTCTGGCGAGATCTGAAATATCATGGTAATGCAGGTATTGGTTGTGCCATTGTCTGCCTGGCCTCTTGTCTTGAATTGACTCCTGTGTGTTCCTCTGATGGACCGAGCCAGTTGTCACGTAGATTTTGTGTGAGTTTTGGTTTGGCAGTCCCTGTCTGATGTAATAGGGTTGCACCATCTTTCCCTCTAGGCCTTCCTCTACATATATATCATGGTAAGTTCTGCAGATGCCTTCCAAATAACATAATAAGCGCTCGAGGTAACTGTAATACAGCAGCAATCTGTAGGTTGACATTTGTTGAATTTGAGGAGTGAGCAAACCTGATCAACGGGATGGGAGGCCTCAATGCATCGAACGAGCTCGTTCGCTCTCTCTAGGCATTTCGCGCCGCCTGGCAGGGACTCAATGTAAGCCCTGCAGTCTGCAGCGCTCCTCAAGTGGGGCGCAGGCGGCAGTGCTGTCAGGTCCTGCAGCCACAAGGAGGCTCACTGCTAGATGCACCATGCACCTTCAGCTATAATCATGTCCTGCAAGCAGGCGGTAAGGATCCGAGCTCTGCTCTCCTCCCCAGAGCTCTGCTGATAGATGCCTTGACCGATGTACGAACTACCTGCACCTCTCCATCTCTGCCTAAAATGGGTAAGACCATGTAGAGCTTCAATCGCACCTCAGATCCTGTGGAGGAGGTCATCCGGACTCTCTTCAGCTCCAACACAGCGCTAGTATCTGTTGATTTGCTTTCAGAGATAGCCATTGGGGCATCCACTTCTTTCTGGGACGAAAGACATGAAGAATGAAAGCTTTCGGCGTGATTTTCGGTCAGTGACTAGGAATTGGTCCTGGCGAGATTCTTGTTGACGAACATTCTACATGAGACACCATTGTCAGTATACGTTGCTAGAAACTCAATCGCAAGTCTTCGATGCACTATCCTTCATTCAGCTGTGCGATGTGCTGTGTAATGTGACTAGTTAGGGGAATACCTGAAAGGAGAACTAATGCTTTTCAGCTTTGCAGCAAAAGATATTCAAAAATTTAAAGATATGATGTACTTTATCAGGAAACCTCACGCAGGTCAAGACCTCTACCTACAGCATCCTGCTCACCATGGTGAGAAAGTCGGGCCTAAATACGGCAAGATGAATATCTCCCTGACAACCTCGTTGTCTAATTGATGTAAGAGTTTCGGATTCTGATCGACTGTTCTAGTGCGAAGAGGCTTCCAAGATGCAAGCCATCAGCACGTGTTGTGCACATGCAGGGAAGCTGCAAGGAACCCGAGAGGTAGCATGCCACACTTGCTCCTTGGCCGGTTAGAATAGTTTTCGAGTGTTGCAACGGCTGAACACGTCTTATAATGATATCTCATGAGAATTTCTGGCGGCCATGATTCTCATACTCACTCTGTTTAGACTGTATACATGTATGTACTGCAGTACTGCCGGTTGGGTACCGCATAGATAGGCACTACAATAATTTTTTATTACACGCTTTTCCTGCCAAAAGGCAAGGTACGTCTTGCAGACAAGCTGCATTAAAGGCTACCACAATCCTACCCCTTGTTGGACTCGCCATATCCAAGCAAGACCCAATCAACCGTGGGCACGGTGCTCAGTATTTATACCGCCCCACGCCAGCCGGGGCCGTACAATGAGCTCCCTTAATCAATCATTCTGTCCCGAAATGTCCAATTTTTGTGCCCAAACTAGATGAAACAAATAACTTCAGGTCATTCTTGTGCTTGACGAATGGACTGTATACAGTGTCCCATGCACAACCATCTCAATTCCAGTAGGCAGAGTCAGCATCTGGATCTGCATTGAGCTTTGCAGTCTCCACGGCAATGCATACTTGGCATCCCTGCATGCACCATGAATTATATTAAGAATCCTGACAAGCTGCATTGAACTGTCAGACATAAATCAACCCTGGCATGTGAAACGACGTCCAGCGTTTTGTCAAAGACATCTAAAGTTCATGAAAATAGAAAGCTAAAAGCAGATCTTCATAATGAATAGCCATCAGCGAGCTCCTGCTGGCATGGCATGTAAGCAAAGGAAGGCGGTGCAAAGCAATGCTGCAAAGGTTCTACTGAGCTTGAATGGTTGTGTGCGCACCGGTGGCACGCTGTACTCTTTCAGCTGCCTCTCGTCCTCCATAATTTGGCCAGCATAAATCAGTGCCTGTGGAATGCATTCGAGGAGTCAATGTCCAGGCAGGCCAGGCATGACAGACAGAGACCTATGCAATGCATATGGTCTTTTGTGAACTCACTGTACAGTGCAAAGCAATCAACTGCCCACGACTTTGTTTGAGGTTCCAGACTGTAGAGCTGCACACACGCACCAGATCTTCCCATTTCTGAAGACCTGGCGTGCTGGACTTGTCCTTTGGCTTGTTGGATCTCTGTATGCCTCCTGCCCAGAGTGCTTGCTTTACCTGTGGTTCCAATTTCCAATTTAGTATTGTGGTTGGACAGGTTTATTTCACTCTTTCACAGCAGATTGAGTATAGAGACAACACCTTAGCAGCTGTCCAGTCAGGGTATGCTGTCACTCTGTATCTGCAGCCTCCACAAAAGAATGTCTGCAAGCAAGAGAGAATTTAGCAGCTGCTCCACTTCGCATAAAGCACACAAGTGACCGAAAAAATGAAAGAATTGAGATACTTGCCATGTGATCCATGTCCTTCCGAGGAGGAACAGTAGGGATGCCTTCGAAAGGGAAGTCCATAGTAGCAATCTCTTCAAATACTTCGGCCTAAGGGCATCAGAAAGACCCAAATAATTTACATAAAAGGTTTCAACAAATCTGGAAGCCACCAAAAAAAATGTCATTGATACCTCTTTTTCTGGGGGAATTGCCATCCTCGCATCGCAGTCCCAAGCACCCTTCCCGAGGGAAACGCCAGAACTTGCTTGCGATTGACTTTCCATTTTATACGAAATTATGTTTCACTGCTGTGGCGTCAATTATGACATTGCGGCTAAAAGCAATGGCCCGTAACGCAAGCGTAACGCCGAGGAGTTGTGGGCAACCTCGCTTTTATGCAAAGACAGGAAGCACAGCCAATCTCATCTGCTCGTGAACGATACAAGATGCTTGTCACTTCAACTACAATGTGGTGACACGGCAAATTCATCCCTGTTACAACAACTCAAAGGAGAGCACACAATTGGCATCGAGCTTGGCAAAATGTTAACATGCACTGCAGTCAGATTAAAGTAGTAACTGCTGTTCAGACACCCACAGACACCACAGCCGCCAGCTGCTTAGCAAGAGCAGGGTAAACGCCGCACTCATCCCCTCCCCGCACACCCCCATGCCCATCCAGAACATGCACGTTGCTCAGCTCGCCAGCAAACCAGGCACCCAACACATGCACAAACCTCACATCTCCCACATGCGACTTTGTGAACAGCGTGCAGTCGATCATCTCATGCAGCTGGCAAGCAGGCGCGAATATATTCGGCCACCTTTGAAGGGTATGCCCGCTGCATGTCATGCTAGCATTCGACAATAGGTCCGCATCTACTTGTTGACTCGCTGCAATCCCAGACGTTCTGTTATTGCCATTTGGCCTACTACCACTTGGCAAGGACAGCATATCAGCATTCTGTTTCATCTCCCTTCTGTCACCCACACTGAAGCTGCCGCCTCCTCCCTTGACCATCCCATCCCTTTCCTGTGTTCCACCACTCGACCCATGTGCATCCCCGTTATCCCCTAATGCTAATGCACCTGAGCCTCTCGCATCTCTGCTTCCTACCCTTCGCACCACATGCTTCCCGATTCGAGATACATTTTGAGTGTGTCTGCCATCTGGGCTAGCATCCTCCTCACTGCTGTCACCGGCGCAGCTGCCGGTCCCGCCGGCGGCAGCTGCCGCCTTGATGGAAGCTTCCAGGCGGCTGCGGAAGTCCTCGGCTTCCGCGGGGCTTCCCGCGCCGTCATACCCCAGATTCGCCGAGTCATAGAGGTACTCGTGGAACAGCGTGGGTGTCTCCAGGAATGCCTGGCAGTCTTGCGCGAAGAAGCAACGCCAGGAATCTTCGGCCCCAAAATGCTCCTCACAAGACCTGTGTGGGTGTGCATGCATGCCTGTTGTGTATAGCTGGGATCAATGGCGATTTTAAGAGATAGAATAAATTCGATTAAACTGGAACGGGCTCGGCCTCCATTGGACCATATCCTGAAGTCTTTGCTGCAGTCTGGATGCGCATGCCACCATGGTTGGGCCATCGAACTCAACAGACGTGTAGAGGCGACGGGTGCGAACTGGTCACATCGGCTAATATAGCACCTAATCTACTGAAGGTTGGTAGTGCTACTTTCACGGTGCTTCGCTTGTAGCTTCACAACAAGGCAATCATGTCTTTACGCAGCCCCTTTGGCCCATAGCTTTGCAAGGAAGGAGAGGGTGGGAGCCAGCACCTGTCAAAAACAGCTCGGTAGGAGGCTGGGAGCGCCTTTGCACACTTCTCAAATGTCATGCCGTCTGACCTGTTGGAATATGAAGGGATATCCAGGAACCAGCCCGCATCTACAAACAGCTTCACCGTCTCCAAAGCTGGTGCCTCAACCCTGCAATCATAAATCTCAAGCTGAAGATCTAAGGCAGATTTGAATCCCACCTCTGTGACGTGAGCAGTGATAAGATTTGGAAAAAAATGGCAATATGGTGCACCCCACTACCCACACAATCTCATCGCACGATAAGTCATGGCACAGCGTGCAGTCTGACTCTTTTGCATGCCCACACCTCCAAGCATGCGCCCAGGGCAACCACCTAGTGTCATTGGATGCTTGAGAGACGACAGAACTGTAAGGTCAGGGCCTGCAACTAGGCTCCTTAATTATGACCCATTGCAATGACCCAGTGGACGCTTGAGAGGTGAAGGTAGTGGAGGTACTAGCTGGGGGTATGATAATCACCTCAGGGTAGTGGCGATGTCATCAGCCAGGTTCATGACGCCGACGCCTCCGGCGCTGTCCCCGGTCAGCAGCACATGGGTGGCATTATTCAAGCCCCAGACCGTCAGTAGATCCGTGATCACTGCCGCTGCGATTCGTCTGCCCCGGAAGTGCCACCCGCCAAAATCGCTCTTGCTGCCTGCGCACAGAGGAGCATGCATACAAAGTTTAACAAGCAGCTTCCTGCTTTACATCCACTTCTCACAGACTACAACACTGTTGTTAGAGTTTTCGAAGAACCTGGGCACTTGGGGATCTGTCAGATCCTATTTCATAATCATGTCGGTAATTTCAAATGGAAAAAAATAGGCCACTGGGTTTCTGGGTGCATGTGGGCGTTGAAATGCAGATTTGAAGGGTGTGGCAAGCAGAGGACACCATACGATTTCTAGATTAGGTCTCTCCTGAGGCAGGGGGGTTGAGGGTTGATATTGGCGCACCAGGGGAAGCATCGCCCAGATGGGAGTCAGAGGAGCAGTACCAGACATGGACGTGGTTCCAAGAGCTGAAGTCTGGATTCTGCGCTGCGTCCGTAGAGGTGATGCCGTGCGACTGCAAGACACACAGCATTGCATGTCAACACTAGTAGGGCTCAAAAATTCTCCCCTTGATCTTTCATTCTTAATTCAATGCACCAGCACTTGACATACATGCAGGCATCTGGGGACCTGAGAGACTCGAGCCACCAGGAATGCAGAAAGGTGCATATCAGTCTCAAAATCCAGATTGTAAATCCTCTGCATTTTTCATGTCATGAGAATTAGGCCCTGTATCTTGGGCTGCATGCACACTGCATGCAAAGGGGCATCAAGTTGGAACAATTCATTGGAAAAGGTTGCCTTGGTATGAATTGATGGCACGAGCAGTGCATGAGATGGTACACAGAGCCACGATGCTTCGCAGTTGCACCAAGAAGCTTCATATGGAGAAGGTCAAACTGGTCCCTTAATTTTAATATCATAGTCATTATTATTGCACGCTCTTCCTGCCAGAGGCAATGTGCATGCGCAGACAGACTGCATGTAAAGGCTGCCAAAAATCCTTCCCGTGGTCCCTACAGGGTTACCATACATATAGCAGCGAGAGAGAACGCGCCTGCAGGATGACATCGGGCAGCCCACGGGCGGAGCTGCGGGCAGATGTGCGGGCAGGCAGCGCGGATGTAGACATGAGGTAGGGTGTGCTGGCATTGCGAGCTGCGCAGGAAGGGCCGTCCCAGCACCATGCGCCTCCCAGGAAGCGGACTACCCACCTGCAGACCTTTCAAGCTTTCACTTTTTCCCATTTTGTTCCATGCGTTTCCTGCCACAGGCAAAGTGCGCCTCCGGACATGCTGCAGGCAAGGACTGCCAAAAAAAATTCTACCCCTTGTTGCACTCGCCAGATTCAATCAACCGTGGGCACGGTGCTCAGTCTTTGTACCAAGTCCCGCAAGCCGCCATTGAAGTCTGGTAAAAAAAGGATATTCTCTTATGCACATGGAGTGTTTGCCGCATCCATTTGAAAGGATAAACTCTTCACTCGACCTCCATGATAGCAACAGATCGCCAACGCTCTTGCAAACGGGCTGCATTGTGTCAGAGGGAGGGTTTTGGCAGGGTCTTAGCTCAATATAGCGCAGCATTTCCTCCAAGATTGGAGATGCAGTGGCAAACCTGGGCTTCTTCATTACTTATCGTGCATTCCTGTCTGCGGCACGTGATCTGCCTGCGCTTCTAGTACGGCTTCATGTGTGCTACTGAGTCACTGACAGATGAGCATGCCCAGTGGCGTGCCTTGTGCTGTTGTCTGCTGTCCCTGGCCGATGGTAGTATGCTCCTGGGGACCGATCATTGCAGATCGCCAGCTTATCAACATGCGCGACTGTGTGCAGCTGCATATACTCCCGGTTGAGGGCATCTGCAAGGCAGCAAAGAATAAGTTGCCATGAGTCATGACAATAAGCGCGCACTCGCACCGCCAGACACTGCAGAAAGCAGGTGACTACGAACTGCCACAATGACATGTTATAGTATCCAGTGTGCTTGACACGCACATAAAATTTTGTTGGTGGCAAGAAAGCACCTTGTCCGCCATCACCAGTATTGGTGATGTCAGCTTGCAGGGGGTGGTCCTTTATCGATTTTGCCTGTGCAAGGATAGCTGCAGCAATGAAGAGCCCCTGACAGGCTCCCCAAAGCCTTGACACAGCGAGGGGATTTGCAGACATGCCGTTTCAGCTAGCTTGCCAGAACGTCGTGGAGGAGCGTATTCCAACAATACTTCGTCTCATAGACGGCGGTGTTGATTTGGGCAGTGGCACGGTTCTAGGATTCAGGTGGCTTTACGCTGCTCAAATCTCGTCATCTTGCAAAATGTTTTCCTGGAGAACGAAACCTCGCGGTATGTACCAGTTCCCGTCTCGAAAAATCTTCTTTGTCTCTCAGAATCCTCTGCGATACATATACACCCACTTGGGACTTGCCAGCGGAGTGAATGCGTTCTTTGCGTGAGGACCTCCTCGTTAGGAAGAACTTCAGGATTGGGCTCTCACGTGAGAGAGGAAGACGTACAGATATGATCGCATACCACTATATGCTCGGAGTCTGCCTATCACCGGAATGGACTCCAAGAAAAATCCATTCAATAGAGCCTAGGGTTGGACTTCAACCCTAGGCTCAATCAAGAAGTTATAAGTCCACCGTGGCAGCCACGTGGCAAACACTCGTTCCTGAATCCTTCACTTTCACAAAATGCATGTTGGAATGTCTAACAAGACCTAATTGTTGTGTGAGACATTACAGTAGTATATGTAATTGGTTCAAAATTCGGCCAGGCAATTATCTTGCACTACATCTATTCTGCACCGCATCTTTGTCGTCATCCCTTTATGTTCCTGAGACCGCTAGCCACCAATGGAGCCCTCAGGCTTGCACTTTCAGGTCAATGTAACGTACAGGTAACCATTTCTCCCACGGATCTTGTGAACATAGTGTTTTCCTCGACCGTGGCACGTGCATCTTGGATCAGATCAAACTCCTGTTCATGTGTGATACAGATAAGGCATTTCAGCAGCATTGGATGCGGCGCACATAGACAAAGCACGCATATCCACTGCAGGAGCTTCTCGGCCTCGATTCCCACCACAGCTCCCAAGGCAGCAGCACTGATCATAGGAAATGAGATTCTTAGCGGCAGCATCGTAGACACAAACACCCCCTGGCTGGCCAAGCTGCTCTACAGGTACATTCAGCGCAATCATGGCACCCCTGTGCTGCTGCATGGCAGCATGTTGATTGCAGGCTTGAATTCCACAGATGCTGCAGGTCAGTTTATTAAAAAAATGGAATGTCAGGTCAAAGTTCGAATTCTGGCATGCAGCCGTGGGGTGGACCTGGTGAGGGTGGAGTACATTCCAGATGACAAGGCTGACATCAGCGAGTCAGTGCTGAAGCTGAAGCAGCGAGTGGGCCCTGATGGCTCTGTCTTCACCAGTGGAGGCATTGGTCCCACCCACGATGATGTCACCTACGAAGCCATTGCTGCAGCCTTCGGTAAAATCCTGTGCTGCATAGTTGATTGCCCTTATCCATGGCATCAGTGCTCAACTGGTCCAAATTATGTGTCTGTGTAATCCTGCCCAGCTAAGCCTGGCTGCACATGGCTTAAGATTCAAGGTTGCAAGGCCTGAGCTCCAAGAAGATAGAGAGAAAAGTATGCAGACAGCAATGCAGTGGCAAGCCCCAGGGATAACATTCCGTGAATCTGTGAATTATTATGCCCTGAGGTGCCGGCCTAATCTTCTGCAGCCAAGCACCTGGCATGCAAGGCAGATCTGCGAAGACAGGCCTGGCCTGGTACTCGACACCACAACTAGAGTGGTCTGCACGTAGGCGCTTGCGTAAAGAAGTACTGGTCTTCACTCTAAGCATCTGTGATTAATCTTGTTTTGAGCTCCTCAGCCCCTCGTGTTGCTTTTGTTTCAAGCTCCCCAGCCCCTCGTTTTGCAGCCTGATTTGGATTTGGGCATGCCATATCTCTTTGGCCCCATTTTCTCAGGCGCTCCTCTAGAGTGGGCGGACTGAACAGATCATTTCACACTCGAGAAAATCTGCACAGGTGTTGGCTTGGAGCTTCACCAGCCCACAGTGGAGCGCATGAGGGAGAACTACAGCAAGAGGGGAGTGGAGCTTAATGAGGCGCGGCTGAGAATGGCCACGCTTCCCCAGACTGCCGAGGTGATCCCCTCCTAGCACATGCATCATCCCTCACGCAAGGCCCCCCTTAATGTTTTAGATGTGCTCCATGCATGTCGTCAACAGCCGGCGCTGCAGATGCCATTTCCCAGGCTCTGCTGTTGTGCCCTTCATGCCTCTGCAGTTGCAAGTGCTCCGTGAGCTTGCACAGAATTGATGCCTGCAAGGTCTGCGGGGCAATAGGGAAATTGTGCGTACACCTGTATACCAAGGGGTGTAGAATCTTCTCCTACACAATTCATTTCCCTTTGTGTATACTGACAGGGTGCCACCCACCTGTGTGTTTATTACTGCAAGGTGCTGGGGCTGGTCTTTGGCTGCAGACTTCACAAGATCTCTTCAGCCAAGCTAAAGACTGAGTAGCTTGGTACTTCAAGCGATTGAATTCAGTCATATTGCTTTTTTGCCTCTTCTAAGAAGGTCTCTAAAGGAAATCTCTTGGATGCGAGCTACAGGTGCTGTATACGCCGGAGCTGTGGGTCCCCCTGGTGAACCTGCGCGGTGTTTATGTCCTGCCGGGGATCCCCCGCCTCTTCCAGGCCATGATTGAGGCCCACAAGGAGCCCTTCAGAGGCCCAACCTGCAGCACAGTCACCCTCTACACCAACACTGTCGAGGGCGACCTGGCAGGTATGCTCTCTGACACTCCTGAGTCAGGCTTTGACATGTCTGCCCAGACAGCAGTGCTGGAATCCTCTGGCCAATCCAAGGGATTCAAGACCTGCCTGGTGAATATGGCAGTCGATCTGGAAAATTTCTTGGGCAGACCAGAATTCCGTCCCAGGACCCAAAATGTATGTGTTCAATAGGACACTGTCCTGCATTTCTAAGACACCAAAATAGTGATATTCAGAGCTGGCCCGACCCCATGGAGGTTTTACATGGGATGCCAAAACCTGCTCCTGAAGCCTCAAGGAACCGAAGGCAAAGAGTGAGGCTTCAGGAACTACTGCAGTTTGGGATTGCTCTCTGTGAGTCGCTGCTTTCCTTTTCTCAGGCGTTAGTCGTGTCAAGTGTAATTCATGGGGATGCCAGACCTTGTCCTGATCTTTACTAGACATGAAACATCGGGATATGTGAGTGATGGGTTTGCACTCTGACGGCGCCGTTGGCAGTTTTATTGCACAGACCCTGAAATGCCAGCCGGTCTGCTTGTTGGTCCTGTAAGGCCAGGGAATTGGTAAAACCATTGATCAGCATGTGTTTGCGCTGTGCAGATCCGTTGAGGGAGGTGGCAAAGCAGCATCCGGGGGTGAACATAGGCAGCTATCCGAATGTTGCCCAGTGTACAGATGCACAGACATTTAGGGTGAGGCTTCAGCTGGAGTCGAGAGACCAGCAAGCTCTGGATGCAGCTGCAGCAGCTGTTACAGCTGCTATAGAGTGCACAGCTGATCCTGCCAGCTAGCAGTGGCTGATTGTGTACAATCATTCACACCTTTTCTCTTTCGCTTACATATATATGAACAAATAGCTTGAACACCGCATGTAGAAGGTCAAGTCACCCCGTCATCATTGGAGCTGAGTCAAGGGCAAGTATGTCTTGCAACTCGCTGTAAAGCAGGTTTGTCTGTTGAATGATTTGTGCCTCTTGATAGCCCTGACTCAGGAACGTCTGCAAAGTCATGCACTGCAGCAACCACCAACCCTCTTATAGCACCATAAAAGGCAGATATTTTGCTCACATCTCGTCAACAATAAATCCAGTCCATGTTGGCTTCTGTTGCACATCTGACTTGTCAGGAACCCACATACAAGGCCGCCGTAGCTCAGTCGTTTGCTCACTCCTAGCGCGCTCATCTGTTTGCAGTCAAATGTGGTGCATCACATTCACCCTGCTCAGCTGCTTGTCTGTTCGTTGCATCTGCCAGGCGATGCCAGCATCACGATCAGCTAGCACACAAGTTAACATTTGTCATGACTGCATTCTGGAAACAGCAGGCACTCGTCATACCAGGCAAAACTGTGACATGCTGATCAGAGTGACGCCTTGCCTCTGACTGCCAGGAATGAGTCAGAGCTCACAGGAATAAAACATGAACATACTTTCCAGTGATGTCCCCAGACACTGCCAAGGAATGCTGCTCCTGCAAAGGAAGCCCAGGCCCCTCCTGAAGCAAGCCACCCACCCAGCAGCACAGAGAACACCTTGAAAATTTGTTTAAAAAAAAGGCTCTGCACACCACGACCAAGGCCCTGCAGAGGACCCAAAGCTTGGGACACAACACACTAAGCCGCAGAGCAGATGCGGCTGACTGCCACACCTGGTCGGCACTGACAGGCCTCACTCCTACCTACAGCTCATAAATTCTTTGTGTCTTCTCCGAGACGGGAAAAGGGTGGCTAGCAGACTCCTTGAGCTTCTTGCTTCCGTTGAAGGACGGAGGCCTTTTTGTAGGTTCCTTTATCACTGCCGATTAGCTGCTTTCGGTCTTGCACCCCAGCGGGTGATGATCTCCCCTCCAACCACCTGGCACGCATAAAAACGCATCAGAAGAGCAGAATAATGGGATGCGTGGGCGCCGTAAGGCTACAGCTTGACATATCTGGAGGATCGTGTGAGGGTACATCTGCCGTACCTTGCCTTGAGGTTGCCTTTCTCAATGGCCCAGGAAGTTGCTGTGCATCTCTCTCGAGTTCGTCCACGATCCCATGCGCTGAGCGTCTGGACAGAAGATATACAAATATGTCTTTGCGTGCGGGATGAAGAACTTTCGGATCGTGACGATGCAACCAGCCAACGCAAACAACCTGATACGCACTACTATTGAACCAAAGAGGCTTGTGAGGTAGACTCGTACTCTTCAATTGGGAGAACTCGCGCGCGAGTGCGTAGATCACTCTATTCGGGGGCGATGAGCCCTGCACCGTCCTCACGAGCAGGAGCACGACAATCACCGCGAGGACGAGCTGGAGGACTGAGAATCTCTTCATGGTCACTTCTGTTGGAAGCACTTCTCTTAATCGTCAGCAAAAATTTGTTGGAAGCACTTCTCCTGATCGTCAGCAAAAGCTTATCCGAATGGGGTTCTCTTGGACGCATTTGTCCTCCCGAAATAGTGTTTTGCGCGAGGCGGGGCGGAGCCCTCGATTCGCTCGAATCCAAAATAGACATCATGGGCACTTTGCCTGCAAGTTGCCAGCAAAGACTCCCAATTACAGGCGCTAGGCTACTGGTTTGTCCGCATAACCGTTGTGTGAGACAAGATGGCAAGAGGAAGAGGGCGCGGAGGGCGTGGGAGAGGTCGTGGTCGCGGCAGGGGGCGGCCAGATGGCGAAGCTGATGGCAGTGACTCAGATGAAGCAGAAGAACGACCAAAGATAGGTAGAATTCAATTTTGAACTGTGTTCATCGGATGCTTTATTTAGTTGAGTGCATGCCCCTCGGTTGAAGAGTTTCACTCTTTTCATTTGACCTTTCTTCTGTGCATTCCTCCCTACCACTTGGGCTTGCACGATGTTCCATTGCCAAAACGGGTACTGAGAGAAGGTTTCGATTAAGCTTGAGAATCTTAGATGCATCTTTCTTGATCGTGAGTCACAGCTTGGTTTACTCGATCAGGAGGCCAGAGCGCAACAGCAGGTATGTTGCCACCCAGCGACAGCGACGAAGATGACGAGGATGAGGCGCCTGCGCCTAAGAAGGGAGGACAGGTGCTGCTTTCCGAAGAACTGTGGCAAGCACATGTCCAAAATGTTGCCCTGCTGTACCTGCATTGTTTGACCTGCATATCTTCGGTGTTGCTTGTGTTTCTGAGTCATATTTCTGACAATGTTATCTCACATCAATAACCGTGTCTGGACGCAGCCTTCTACAGCCGGCATGCTGCCTCCTAGTGACAGTGATTCCGATGAGGACTCTGAAGAGGAGCCTCCACCAAAGCCCAAAAAGGAGCTCCAACCTGCTGTCGCCGACGCCCCTAAACCGTATGTGGTTACCTGTCTTGACTAGCATGCAGTATGAAGCTGCCTTGTCACAAGCAGATGCTGCATTTCCATCCACGTGGCCTTGTGCATGGTATGTACGTACTCAGACACCAGCAGCTCTGCGCACAAGTGCACAATCCAGCATCAACTGGCATAATGGCAATGAATTTTGATGGAGGTTGTGTGATCCGGGGGGCTCCTAGCTGATGATGCCAGGTTGTTTACAGGTTTGCTTGGCGGATCTGACATGAAACATCCTTGTCTTGACCGTGATTTGGTAGCAACAGTGGGGTTTTATCATTGTTGTGGGCGCATGTCTGGCAGGAAAAAGGAGGAGGAAGAGGTCGACCCGGAGCAGGCCAGGAAGGACTTGGAGCGCTTAGAGCTCATCAGACAGCGGAGGTGCGCCGTGCGCCAGATCCCCAGCATAGCATGTTGCAACTTGCATGCACTGGAGGCAGGCGCCAGCCTCGCGCATGTGCAGCCCGATTGCTAGGCTATGTTGGCATCATACGGGCAAGTGAGCATGTGTGTGTGCACAATTTTTTGTGGTGTGTTGTTGGAACTCAGCCCCTGCTCTCTGGAATGGGTGGGTGCAGAGGGCTGTCAACCGCCTGCTAAAGGAGGCACCCTATTAAGAGTTCCCAGGAGCTATTTACAGATCAGAAGAAGGGATAACGCAAGACAGGCGATGCAGGCGCCACTGTAAGGAGAAAGGGCGGCCTCGGGGTTAACTTGCAATGCGTGCAGCATACAGGACACCTGTAAGGCGCATATGAATTGTGGAGCTGTCAACCTGATGCCTTTGCAGATCAGCTGCGCAAGTGTGCTTCATTATGCCTTGCATGGCCTTGAGTCTGTAGCTCTCTGGTGACAGAGGCTTGGGTCACCCGTATTGGGTGTCCTGCTGCCTTACGTGCCCTCTGACAATCCCATGGTTGAAAGAAGAGCTGACCATCGCCAGTCATGGCTGTGTAGCATATACGCAGGGGGCTGACTGGCTGACTGAGCGTTGTGTGGGTGCAGGGAGGATTCCCGTCTGCAGAGGATCAAGGATGAGGGCTGGGACCGTTTCGCCCCAGAGAGCGATACCAACCGCAGGTCAGCCTCCTTCACTCTCAGCCTGTTTAGCCCGCCCAATCTAGAAGAGCACCTGGGAAAATGGGGCCAGAGATATGGCCTGCCCAAAATCCAAACCGAGCTGCTAAGACAGGGCTGGGGTGCTCAAATTCACCTACAGATGAAGGGTAGAGACTAGGATTTTTCAAGCAAGTGCATATGTGCGGACCAATTATCTTTAGTCTCAGTACACCTCTAATGGTGCATAGGGAAGGGCCTTTGTCAGGGGTATGCGAGTGCATCCCTATCGCAGATACTTCCAGTCTCCAGTATGTTGGTGACTAGGTGAGCACAGCTCTGTGACCGACTTGCTGGTGGATCTTCAAACTGACCTGGCATCCAACAAGGATGCACCTGTTCCTTCAATAGCTGCACCTCGTGGGTGGCAGACGCGAAGCGGCACTGCCAGGGCTTTGCCAGCTCAAGCTGAAATGTTTTCTTTGCATGTGATCAATCAGTCAACCAGCTCAAGCTGAAGTATTGTCTTTGCATGTGATCAATCAGTCAACCAGAAAAATGGATGATGAGTCATGATGACTGATGGCTGTGTGGGCAGGCCGGACGGCGTGCCCAAGGACCACCCGAGTAGGGCAGGCCTCGCCGAATAGGGGGGCGTGCTGTTGTACTGTACCAATACTATCCCGCCACGGCATGTGACATGGCGCCGTTGCATGGGAACTGCATCAAGGCGCGGCCAGTGCTTGCAAAGACTTGAGGTTGCCAGTGCTTCGAACGCCCTGTAGTGCTGCAACTCAAGAGGCTTGGAGCCGGCGTGTAGCTGACTTATTGTACAGAGTCCCATGATGTTGAAAATGGACGCACGTGGGCATGCCAATTGGCTTGCAAGCAATTGCAAGAAGCTTTCTTCAGGAATAAGTAAAGGGTTAGTCGTTGTCACGGGCGAATGTGCCTAATGCGGAGCTGTTCTGTAAATTGCTCTTCATTGGCGCTCGCTCTGTCTTCATGTCTGCAATTCTCCCTTGGCTGAGAGTGGCAGGGCCCTGCTTGACTTGCTCACGGCTCCATTCTTGCATGCTTGGGTGCTCCGAGTGCCAGAATAGGACCGTCCTTCGTCCCCGTGATTTGCAATTCAAGATCTCTGCAAATGTCTTGGTCGGTACCAGCTCATTCATGCCAGAGATAATCTTTGAAGTCGACCTTGATGTTTGAAATGGTGTGCATCATCTGTTAGCAGAAGACTGAACCGGAAAAAGAGGCACCCCGATGAAGGGCCATTGGCGAGTAGTACCCCTGGCTGTACTGCTGCTATTCTCTCTTCACTGTGCTAGAGCAGACGTCCAAAAGTTGACTTGCAGCGACGATCCAGATCTTCGCAGCCAAGGGATCTTCTGGGAATGCCAGAATTTTGGGAAAGTGGTGGCGAAGGAGAACACCACTTACTACCTAACAGTGGAACCCGAGAGCGCAGCGTACCAGCAGTTCGACATCAATATCACGCTCACTTCCATCACCGGCGATGTAGACTTGTGAGTTCCCCGAGGGCCACACCTCAATCGCACCTAAAACGCCGGTGCACACGTCAAGCAAAGCACATGCCGGACTGAGGATCTTGGCAGACAAACACGGCGTTAATAGTTGTCTCTAGTGAAAGGCCATTTAGTGCCCAAGATAATGTGCCTAGAGCTTCTGAAGTGTACTTACGGGGGCGGAGCATCTCACGAGGTCCAACGCGTCGCGGTGGCAAGATTGACCAGAATAGCAATCGTGTCCCACGTTTTCACAGGGAGAATCAGTATGACCCGATGTGAAATGCATCGCTTCCATAATATTGTGAGGCGTTTGTCGCTTGTAGTGCGAGATCCATTGGAATGCAGGCTGCTGTGCTATCCTGCTTTACTGAGGATCTTGCAGTATTTTTTTAGAGCCTATTTAACTACTGGATCGTCCGAGGCAGCTTGGACGACCCTACATCACATATGCCGCTACGATCAAGCAGGATTGTCATGAAAAGAAGCCGCGGAGTCTGTTCCCAAGCTGCCCTGTCACTGCTGACCTCACCACTGAAAGGACAAGGGATGGTGCCAGGACCGTGCAGTCAAAGATGAAAGGTCCTCTTCTTGGTTCACTTATGGACTTCGGAGATTGTGAGCCACTGACCATTGACAATTTGGCATGCAGGATTGTGGGGACCCCAGGAGCCTCATCCAATCTGGCCAGCACGCGCAATGTGGGTCAGGACATTGTCTTCGTCTACAGGTGCGTCAGCTATACATTTGTCAGGGGTCCTAGGAAGTATCATGCCAGCCCCTAGAAAAGTCAACGGCCACAGTAGTGGCTTGAACTCTGGGGCATCCCTGGATTGACAAGTTTACTTCAAGAGGCAGAAGCGGGATATCCCTTGAAGCTATCTGGCTGCCAAGTGGTTCAAGTGTCTGGGGTGCCCCTGAGTCATAGCCATGTGGCTTTGGAGCGTTGCTCTGATGCCAACACGCCAGATCCCTGATCTTTCTAGGGCATCCCTGAGATCTGAACGTCCTGAGCCCGGAACCTCAGTTCCGATCTCCTGGAGGGGCGTCCTTTCAGGCTATCAGATCCCTGGTGGGCAGTGGCAGTGGGGCTTCCTATGCCCAGATCAATAGTGCATCATGGGGCATGCATGACTGTGTTTAGTCCGCTCAATCTAGCGGAGAGGAGCACCTGAGAAAGTGGGGCCAAAGAGATATGGCCTGCCCAGATTCAGATCGAGCTGCAAGAACGGGGCTGGGGAGCTCAAAACATGACTTGTACCATGACAATGTCGAAATAAGAGGCGCTTAGGAATTGTTCGAGCAAGTGCCTGTGTGCAGACCACTCCAGTTGCAGCCAGGTCAGCACACATTGAGACATCTGCACACAGGCAGGACTTAGTCTGTGGTGTCCTACAGGATCGAGCTGACAGCCTTGCATTAGCCCGTTTTCCTGGCATCTGACTCAGAGGCATCCTTTTATCAGAATGAAGAGTATTCTGAACTGCAGGACGGAGCTGGCTGCGGGGAAATATGCAGTGGTGGTGCTGGGGTATGCGCTAGAAACACAGTACGAGCTGACAGTGCAGCTTGTGGAGACTCAGCGATCGCTGCGGCCGGCCGCCACGCTGGCGCTCGGACAGGTGCGGAACATTTTCAGTGCCAGTATAGGCAAACCAGTGTGAAGACAGTTTATTTCGGTTGGACGCTGGCCCGGGCTGAGTGCCACTTTCACAAGCAGCAGTGTAGAGCACATTTAGTCCACAAGGACCAGAAAGCCCGGCTCACAAAATGGGGCTGGGATGTGCCCTTGAAACACGCATAGCATGCTCAGATCTGTGACTATTTTCCGCTGCCCGCTTGGTTGCGGCTCCTGCCTCCCTGCCTGCCCTCTCCCCGTGATCGCCCAAGAGATCAATCACAACATGCAAGCATGGCAGCTGATGAGTAATTGACTTTTGAAGTGCCGGGATTTTGGCGGTGTAGACCACTGTCTCATTCGCACAGAACAGCGATGCTGCAGCAGCCCGGATCAAGGAGATGTCTTGCAGCTGAAAGGGGCGTGTACTGCTTCAAGCCGCCCGCACAGCACAGATGCAGGATGATCAAAATGGCAAAATATCTGAAGTGTCGCGCAGATGATGGTTGACTGCTGTGCCACGGACGAGACGGCGTGCACGGACCTTAAGGCCAAGTTCCCAGAGCTGAACAGCCACGACGCGGACGTCAACCCAGACTACTGCTACATGCATGGCAACGTCTGCAGCAGGTGCTGCGCGGGTTATTTTAAACGAGAAAATGAGGTCTATCCCATACAATATATGATTGGTTGTCAAATTTACGTGTAGCACTGCGCCTATGAAATATTGTCCCTCGGGTCTGTCTGCAGCAGAAGCATGCACTCACGACGCCTGTTCTTTATGCTCTTTAAATTTAAAAAATGGTCTTGCTTGGCCATTTCTTGGCACACTTGATTTCAAATATACCATCGCATGTCTTGACTGGCAGTCCTGTCAATAACGGTGCTGTCGTTTTGGACATTGCTGTCGTCTTGGACGTGCGCTTGTCTCTCCGTGCTTGCGAATGCCTCAAATAAGCGAGCAAGGAGCCTGCCAAATTTTCAAGGTTCTGCCCTCTTAGTTATCTTGCCCAAAGCATGCCGCAGGCAAGGAGCTCTAGCCAGTCGCATGCGCTCAACATCTGTTTCTATGAGCTCGCAGGTTTTCGGAAGACTAGTCCTAGGCGATATGACACGCCCTACATACTCTCAGCGCTGAGATTCTGAATGATGTCCCAGGGACGGCGTGCTGCTGGAGATGGCGGCGTTTGCCGGCGGCGATCTGTCGTGCGCGTTCCCGGGGGATGCGGTTATGGGCGTGTTCAAGGGGCTCACTCGCCTCGATTTGTCCGGAAACCGCATCACCGGCAAGTAAGTCATTCTCTTCCATGATGCACATCCAGCATTGTGTCAATGCACATGCAGCCTTTTCTGTCTTCTTCTGATGCACCGGTGGTTACAAGCTGGATCACATGCACCTGCATGCTATTCCTGTTTATAATATGTGTGAGCGGGTTCCTGTCCCAAGCTCCTGTGCACACAGTATGTAGCAGGTGGCATGCTGATCACTGACAGAATCTTCTCCCATTTGGACTCCGGTCACAATGATGCTTGCATGTTCACAGCATCATGCAAGTGGCCAAGTTTCTGTCAGCCCTGGCAGATGTGCATGCCATAAAAAAAAATCCCCAATCCCGGTCCAATTCAGAATTCAGAAATCCGGTTTTGAATTCATTCGCGCAGCGTAACACAGGTCGCCAAGACGCTCTCAGCGCGCTGCCCAAAGTAGCGAATTTGGATCTGGGCTCCCGAGCTTTGTAGCCTACAAATTTTTGCAATTTGAGTTCGAATTTGAATTTCTTTTTGTGCATGCGCGCAGCATAACACAGGTGGCCAAGACGCTGTCGGCCCTCCCCAAACTCGCACACGTGGATTTGGGCTTCGATGCATTGGAGGGTCCACTGGACTCTGCATGCGGGCTGGCGCGCACGCGTAAGATGGCGTCCCTGAACCTAATGAACAATGCGCTGAGCGGCAGCGTTCCCTCCTGCTTCACCCAGCTTCCCGAGCTGGCGGAGCTCCACCTCGACTACAACCAGCTCACCGGATTGCTGCCTGCCTGGGAGACCGCTAATAGCCCCATGGTCTACTTCTCAGCGGCCTACCAGGTGTGCAGGTCACAGCTGACTGATCAGTGAGTCATGTGTGATGAGATTTGAATGTCGTGGCGTACCAGTGGTGGGTGACTCACCGCTGACTACTCAGTGCCTCATCTGTTGTGCAACAACCATGTCTCGCCTCAGGGTGTGTTGAGGGTGGCAAGCATTTTGAGTTGGAGGCAGGGCAATTGCCAGGACGGGATGGGCTTGAACTTCTGTACACCTTCGCAATCCCTTTCAGCAAATGGGCAGTAACTAATAGTCTCGAGGCTTGCATTGGACCGTGCCTGGACCCACATCAAGTCTCTCTATGGGTCCTCATCCCCTTCACAGACCCTTGAAACCTTTCTGGACACTTGGCATTAGAAGGGTCAAACACTTAAAAGCTTACTGTGCATGCACAGATGGGCTTCCTGTCAGGGATCAGCGGCCCGTTGCCCAACTCATTTGGCAAGATGAAAAGCCTGGCCTACCTGGATCTGGGCGGCAACATGCTGACTGGACCGCTGCCCCCCTCTCTCCCTGCCTCCATGATCGATCTGCGTCTGGGTGCCAACTTCTTCTCGGGCACCCTGCCCGCCTCCTACGGTGCGCTTTTTCTCTGATAGCAGGCCCAAATAATTGGTAGCTTATTTAGCCTTTTATAAGCCTTGGATTGTATGGCCATGCATCGGCCGGTCTCTGGGGTGTGCATGCTTTCTGGGCACCCGTCTGTTCTTTTGGAACATGAAAAAGACAGTCAATCAGGCTGTTACCTTCACGGGAACCTCTCTTCCCTGCCCGCCTCCTACGGTACGCTCCCCTCGTCTTCAATTTGAGTTGACCTAAACTCTTTTTGGAAGCAATTCCGGCCCTTACTTGACCAACCACTGCATGAGATTGGAGTCCTATGCAGCAATGCAGCCTTTTTGCGTAAAGTACTCCCTGAGATTTACATGCTTAGTTCCTCCAAGCTGTAAGCCGCAACTTGCCCGTTTCCTGCGGTGCGCTTCCCCTTTATGACTATATTTAACGACTCATCATTGAGATGAGGTCAGTTGCCGCGGGATTTCTCGTTGCAAGGGGGTACAGTCAAAAGTAGAAAGCAGTAGCCTCAGAACCCGTTTTGTTGGACATCAGAACGTTATCTGTGTGTCATGCATGATTTTGGGTGGCTGTAACAGATGTTTTGGCAGTGTTCCGGTTGCCGACAATTTTCCCCCCACTTTTAGCTTCTACCTGATCTATGGTGCATGCATATCTTGGTCTGACCCACCTACATGCACCATTTAACATCTTGGAAGCAGAAATGAACCCTGTGATGGTTGTCTCTGAGAATGTGTTTGCATGCATGCTTTGCCAAGCATGCTCGTCTTTTCCCTGTTTCTTTTTTTTTTTTCGTGACACAAGTTTCGCTTTTGCGGCGCAGGGCTGATGCAGAACTTGGTGTCTATGGAGCTGGATGACAACTCGCTGGAGGGAACGCTGCCGAACGGCCTGGCGGCCATGAAATCATTGAAATTACTCGACCTGTCCAATAATTACCTGACCGGCTCGCTGCCGGCTGACTGGACCGGGTCCCCCCGCCTCACCCTCTTGCTGGTGGGCAACAACGCCATCTCAGGTAGGGGACTCTTCAGGCTGCAAGGGATTGTTTATTCAAATTTGGGGCCCTTTCACTAAAGAATTTAATATCGTTTCATTACACTAGTTTTCAACCCATGAGGTGCGGTGCGTCGCAGCAGCCTTTCTGGGACAGCCTTCCAGCCTGGTCTATTTCTGGAAAAATAATCAAGGGAACCAATCGTATGATAGCTGGCTCATGGTATGCTGTGCAACAATCCTCCTGAGCAGTAGGGCAGAGGTGACTGCTCCCGGCAGCTCGTGTGCGCCCTATAATCAGGTGTTTTGTTGCTTACATCCGCATGCAGCCTTTCAGGACCAGGACCAAAGTGGCACTTCAGGAAGAGGAACTGTCGTCTTGCATTTCTGAAAGTTTCAGCCTGAAACATTACCCCCAATGCAACCAGCGGGGTGTCTGTTTGGCAGCGCCTTGAGCACTTCTATAATTGTACCTTCATCTGCATGCATTTCTACCACTCATGCACCAGCTTAAAAGGTTTTATGTATTGTTTCAAGGGCGCAAGTAATTTTTGGCATGTCTGCTGGGCGCCACTATATCCCAGGAGGGCTGTGGGTTTTTGCTGCACCAGAGGTGGCCTGTTGTCTCTGCGTCTCAGGGAATTTTGGGTGATCGCTGCCTGATCAATTCAGGCAACAAAATTGCGATTTATGTAGTCATATTGTTGTTATTGTTATATCACATTTTCCAGTCCTTGGGGACTAGGTACGGCAAGCAACGCCTGAATTATTGCTCTCGATGCTTGCACTTCCTCCACGAGTCATTTGTATGCCCGACAGCATCAAGGTCATCTCTCATAGTCATACATGGCTTGGATAAATGATACTAAGTTTAGTCATGGATTGTGTGCAGGGAACCTGCCCGCCAGCCTGGCACTGCTGGAGGACTTAGTCGTGCTGGATGTGCACAACAATTCCCTGAGCGGCAGCCTGGATGAATTCGCATTTGAAACCGTTTCGAACCGCCAGGACCTGCACTCCACGCTGCGCTACTTTGACATCGGCAACAACTCATTCACCGGTGAGCAGATGTTATTTTGAATTTGAAAGCAAATTCCTGGCATGACATGATCTGCATGACATAGTCATGCTAGACAGTGGCATGCTTCTTGCTTGCAAAAATCTGCTCATCACCTTGTGGCACCTGCAAGCACTGCCTGGCATGAAATCAAACATGTGCATGTCCGCTGATTAGCTGCTTTATCTGGATAATGCAATGAAATCAAAATTCTTGGAGCACTAGTGGCGACAGTCAAATCCCAGTGCCTTCAGCAACTCAATTTTCCACAGTGGCATTCATTGGCAAAGTTTGAGTTCTACAGACATGCTGTGCTATAAAACACAGAAGGCCCAGGACAGGAATACAAGGATAGAACTCAGAGCAATTGAGAGATCCGCCTATGTGCTAAATCAGGAGTTCTTGACATATTTCCCTCTGGCGGCAGGGGACATGAACGAGCTGGACGCACTCAAGCGGCTGGCGGTGTTCTCGAATTACGCACCCTCAGCACTCACCCCCAGCGACCTGCAGGCAAGGAACCCTACACCACTTACATCTGCATTGAATGGAATAAAACCGTGTTTGTTCTGAATAGGTGGTTAAAAAGGTTTCATTCAATTACGGTGCTTGCTTTGGACCCAGCTGGCGGCCGGGGTAACTTCTGAGCACCATGCCCATTGTGAAGTGAGTCTTGCTTGGATCTGGCAAGTCCAAAAGGCAACAGTATGCTTGGCAGCTTTTGACAGCAGCTTGCCTGAAGACGCACCTTGTCTCTTGGCAGGGATAGCCTGAGAACACTAAAATATTTGTTAACTGCTTCTGGTGATTTAGTCAGACGGGAAAGTAAGTCTTTCGGTTCGTCTTTCAAAATCGGTGAAGGCAAGCTCAAGACAGACCAGGTTGGAAGGCTGTGATAGCAACGCTGCTGCAACGCACGTGATCCCCATGCATGCAACAATGAAAAAAACAATAATAACGATAGTAATCATGATGACTAATCTAGAGTCATCTGATGCAGGCGATGGCGGCAAACACAACAACAACAGGGAGCACGATCCGCGCGCGGGCGCAGATGACGCCTCGGACGTTCGATATCAGCGGAAACTTATTTGACGGCTGGTTTCCCGAGTGGATGGTTGAGAAGGTTGCCGCCTGCAAGGAGGACATCACTCTCATCCTGGATGTGCGCACCCCCTCTTTTCTCCCCCTGTATATACCCTACATCACCACTGGCTACTTAAAACAGGTTCAAGAGCATGGTGCAAAACTGCCTGTTGGATTACGGTATCCTGGATATTTAAAGTCAAATGAAGGGCTGCAGGGTACTAAGTTGGCTTGGATAGAACAGACTCCCAGGTGCATGGCTGCCTGGGACTTGCTTTTTTCAAGCTCTTCCTAATTGCTTGTTGCCCTACAGTCTTCTGCAGGGCTTTTAGTCATGAAGGATGATCACATGCAGCAGGCCAAGCATCCTGCAGGCTTGTCAGATCTGACTAGTGTCTTTCAGAGGCGTGCCTGCATTGTCCAGGGCATGACAGATACAGCCCATTAAACTAAGCATGTGTTCCGGTGGTATCTTTTCCCCTAGGTGGTATCTACCAGGACCTAGACTCAGCGTGCTAATTTGCGTGCTCTGGTTGGCCTAATATGGGCACCCCCCTTGCCCTTTCAGAGGGCACGTAAAACCAGACCTTATCGCGTTATTCATAATCATTACATTTGTGGCAACCTTCACCTGCAGCTTATCTGTGTTCGCACCTTGCCACTGGCAGGAAGAGACTGCATAATAATAACTATGGTTCTTAGTCCACCCTCGATCTGGGAATCTGGGTGGGAGCCCTGTGACATGTACCCTAAAACCCCCTTAATTACTGTGCGCAGGGGGTGACGTTCACCTGCCCGCCAAAGGGATTCGAGCTGGAGGCATCGCCGCCGGCCGGGCGCCTGGACGGCCTTTTCTGCTACAACGCCCCTGCACATGCACCCATTACTGATGCCACGCCCACGTCAGCGATCGCCACCATGGTCCGCATCGAGCACCACCACTTGTCAGGCGGCGCCGTCTTTGGCATCATCCTCGCTGTGCTCGTCGGAGTCGCCCTGCTGGCGGGTGAGTCACCTTGAGTAATCGGCTCATGAATCTTTGCGAGGCCGTGAGAATATCTAGTGCTTGTCGAAGTTGCCCTGCTGGCGGGTTAGTCACCTTTAGTAATGGGCTTATGAGTCATTGCAAGGATCCACACAAGGTACATGAGCCAGCCAGAGTCAGCCGCGAGCTTGCGCACTGTGACACTTCCATGTGGAGCATTGAGTGGGGAGATGGGACTCTGCATTTGGCTGACAAGGAGTGGCCAGCCTTCATGTTTAAAGGTGCTGATGCCAGCCCATGACCCTTTACAGTCTGAGCAGCGGGGCGCTCATCTGATCAGACTGTCTAAGGGTCATGGGTTGCCATATTGAGCGATGCTGACACCTCTGGAGTTTACCAGGCACAGAAAAGGTGCAATTTACTCTACTTTCTGCAAAGTGCAGTCCTGCTGAGATCCGTGAAGGGGTAGTCCATGTGGCTCACAACGCCATGCAAAGGCGCATTGCACTGAACATGTTTATTGCCGTCATGGCTCCTGCAGGGAAACCTAGTGGGTCCCTTGTACTAGACCTGTCTGCAACCTGTCATGGACAGGCATGGGAGCCTAATATCTTACACCTGGAAAGAATCAAGAGGCATCACACTGCCTGAAAAGGCACAGCCCAGCTTCAAGTACCATTACTGAATATTCTGATTCTGTTCCAGGCGGAGGCTACTGGCTGTACAAGAGGAGGAGCGTCAGCAGCTTTGAGAGGTTCGACAAGTTTGACTCGGGCGCAGCGGCCGGGCCGATGCAGGCCGGAGGCGCAACGAATGTTTTCGCGTCGTCCAAGTTTGGCGGCCGCATGGTCTACCCCGACATGCAGGTGCGCGCACCTGCCGGCACATGCCAAGATTGCGCATTCCAAAATGGGCGCGCTCAGATTATTTTGCACGTGTGGGGAGCACTTTTACTTCTTCCAAATTTGGCAACGGCATGGTATATGCGGACCTGCCGGCACATGTCAAGACTGCGCATTCTTTTATGCACCTTTGCTAATGTGATGGTTAAGAAACAGAGAGGTGCGACCGATGGAGCTCTGACTGTACAACAGGTCTGCTGCTGGCAATGCTGCATTAGTGCCACATCTGTACAGCTGCTTGTATTATCAAATGAACTGGCCGGCGCGGAAAAGAGGAACTGCTCATTACAACCACTGCGAATTTGCAAGATATTGAGACTTTAATTTCTTGTATTGTCCTGAGCATGGCTGGTGCCTGTTCAGGAAGTGGAGATGGGGTTTGCGCCCCCCGCTAGGGAATCCCCCAGCAAGGGGTTTAATGTTAACCTCAAGAGCGGCCGCAAGCTGGAGCTGCCCTGAAGCTGCCAGCAGTGACTCGCTTGTCACTCCTCTGCAACAATGACGGGATGGTGATGCTGACACCAGACATTCAGTGAACCAACAAATGTGATATCAGCACGGCCTGTGATTACCCCAGCACGAGCCCAGCAAAATTGTACAGAAATGTGGGATCCGGCAACGGTGGCGTAAGAGAGTTTGCTGAATATGGCGGCTTTTATTTTCTTGGACTTACTAGGCCGTGCTGGAACCAGGTGGGGGCAGGATTGTTAGCAGCAGGAAAAAGTGCACGCAGCCCATTCAGAACAATCTGGCACAAAGGGGAAAACGTAGCTTTCGTTGAGCATTCCGCTTTGTGCAGCAAATATGTGTTGAACCTACGGGCATGTTGCAGATACAAATTGATGTGCAAACTGACCGGAGCCTGCTGCACCGTCTCTGTTGCAAGGTTGCCTCTGACAGATACAAACTTGACATACTTGCACAGAGGAATACGTTAGGGCTCACTGGTGGATCCAAAAATCACAATTGGGTTTTTGGACATCTGAACTTGGGTTGAGGGGTCGCCATGCTTCCTGCTAGGACTTTGAAACAAGTTGATTCAGAGGATTTGATTTTAGACAGCTCAAGGCACTTTTGCAGAAGGCTTACATGAAGAGTACGTACAGGACGACAGATCCTAGCAACACATTGAACCTTTGAATGTGCTGAGCTGCGCCTTGGTGTACAACCAGCAATACCAAGCCTAAAGATGAGCAGGCCGGCCTTGGGCTGTGGTGTAACTTGTAGCATCAGAGATCTCATCTCACAAGCAGCAGGACGGCCCTTGGGTGCCTCATTTGGCACATCAGATGCACATGCCCTCAAAATTGTAATGCCACCCATGGATGCATCCTGGATAGCGCAAGCCACCGTGGCTTCACGATGCAATAAAGTTTTGCGCTAACAGCACATGCTGCTCTGCACTGCATGGCACTGACTCCTGATCCATTTTAATAACGCTTATCCTGCCAAGAGCTCCTCGAGGCAAGGCACGTCCTGCAGACCAGCTGCAATTGAAGGCTGCCACAATCCTACCCCTTGTCGGACTCGCCAGATCCAAGCAAGACCCATTCAATCGTGGGCACGGTGCTCACTATTTACACCGCCGCCCGTCAGCCGGGGCTACTGAATGGCCACTGCATATATGTACATATTATATAAATCCAAGCCAGGACACAAATATCATTGCAGCTGCAGGCCCATAATTAATTTCCTTGTAAAGTTGCCCCAGAGCTGCACCACTGGTTTCCGTTCCAAGGTTTCTAAGATCCTTAAAAGATGCATGCATATCGTAATTCTTTGTGAGTACTATAGCGTCCCCATGCTATTTATCTCAAACCCCTCTGCGTCTGCAACTCAGCAGCCGGCTTCCCCTCTCTTCACAATGCGATCCCGGACAATTCTGCTCATTTGAAACGCATCAACCTTGTCCGATCGTGGCGATCTAGGCAGCAGGACCAGATCCAGCAGACACCTCCAAAAATCAGGCAGCGGCCCCTGAGAATCAGAGATTCTCAGTGAGGGCTCTCAGTCTGGGCGTGCGAACCTCGTGAAGCGGATGACGGTCTTGGACGTGTGCCGTTTCGATAACATGTATCAGGATGCACTCAAGGTCCGTTACTGGCATTGCATTCGGTGCTTGGCGCACGTCCTCCTTGGCCAGCCGTACTTAATCTTGCAGGGAAGCAAATCAAGATTGACTTAGTGGGCCTTCGCAGGGACACGGGCAATCATTCGACAGCCTCCTAGGATACGTCAATCCTGCGCAGAGCGTCACATCTAACACCGATGAGAGCGACTTCTTCATGTTCTGCTTCAAGGTGGGGCACCGGCCCAAACCAGGATTTGTCTAGGGGATAGGGCTTGGGCTCGAGCGGGGAGCATAGACATGGTATGCAGTGCGCTTGATGCACGCATCAAGCATCCCAGAAGCAATCTGTGGGACGCCTGCGGCTCCGGCGTGTCCCCTTCTGGGAGGATCTCGGCCGCAGATGTTGCCCTCACGTCAGCGGGACACGGGGCTTTGGGAGAAAGCCAAGTGGGGCGCTTGGCATCTGACACAGCTCATATTTTATAGAAATCCTTTGTGGAAGGTGTGCGGAACCGTCCAAGGGATTATGTTGGCCGGGACAGCAATTTAGTAGAGCCAGTCCCAGGAAGTGACGGCATTCAGAGCTGGCACTTTCACAGGAAGCGCAGCTGAGATATGGTGGCTCTGTATAAATCTGATTGATATGCACGATCCTGGACGATGCAAGGGCAGGGATATTGAGTTCCCAGGCGTTTGCCCTCTTGCGATGACCCGGTTGACAAGTCCAAGGGGGCTAGCAATGGCCTGGATAATATCTCAGGACTGCTGTCCTGTGGCTTCCATTTCCAATTAATGCACGGATTTGGTCTTGAAGGTAATTCAAGAAATTTGCCTGAGTGCCCTAGATTCCTGGACCAGGTTCCCTTCTAGTCCAGGACAACTGCTGGGATGGCTCCCAAGCAGCCTCCTGGCTCTCTCAGACGCACGGGGGGCCTCTGTACAATACCTTGAAGAGCTTGAAACATTGTACAAGAGCTACCAGGGCTGTTTGCATGGCTGACCTTGTGCTTCTCTTGGTTGCAGATCCAGCCCTGTCCCATGAAGCACACACATCCCTGGGAGGAGTGCTGCTATGCCCACCCCCACGAAAACGCCAGGAGGCGCGACCCGCGCAAGTACCAGTACGTTGCAGAGCCCTGCCCCGACTACAAGCGCGGCATCTGCCTGCTGGTGCGCCCCCCTTTCCCAATTTCCATGGTCTGTTCCTTCTGTTACCTTGGCCCTGCTTGTGCCAGTGAGCGCCGCAGCTCTGTCCTTGACATGGTCTCCCTCCCTCACATGCACATCATCCATCCTGAAGTGCCTGGCACCGTCACTTTTTGTTAGCAGGCAACTTGCTGTTCATATTGGTGTTTGCTGTTTGCATCCCAGATCAGATGCATTGGCTGGCGGGGGCGGTGTAAATACCAAGCACCGTTCCCACAGTAGATTGGCTTTGATTGGATCTGGCGAGTCCATCAAAGGGTTAGATGTATGGCAGTCTTCACCTGCAGCTGGCCTGCAGACGCACCTCGCCTCTGGCAGGAAATGCGCAATGAATACCCAGATCAGTATCCTGGAACCATCTGACCAGCAACTCTGGGAACTGATTGGTCTTGCTTGGATCTGTCGAGTCCAACAAGGGGTAGGATTGTGACAGCCTTTGAGCAGCTTGTCTGCAGGACGCACATTGCCTCCTGGCAGGAAAGGCGTGTAATAAGAACAATACGTATAAGAACTGAATTGCGTGGCTATTTGTGTGCTGCAGGGCAGCGCATGCCCCTACGCGCACGGTGTGTACGAGAGGAACCTGCATCCGTCCAAGTACCGCACGCAGATGTGCACAGAGACGGGGCACTGCAGCCGCAAAGTGTGCTTCTTTGCGCATGAGACCTGGCAGCTGCGCGCTCCCACGCACATGTGGACTGTGGAAGCCGCGGTACGGCCCAGTCCTTCAGTGTTTCTCTGGTGGCACAACAAAATCCTGAAAGCCACATGCTGTGAATGTTGATACCGCTGTACGGTTGGTATAGAGGCTGGGCAGTGCCGGCTGGGCGGCTGTGACCCAGTGCTATGCTATGCCTTGCTAATGCCTGGCAAGTAAGTGTATTGAAAGCTGGCCAGCAAATTGCGAAAGACACCTGTTCAGTGGACCGAGTTTGATAGAAGCGAAGGAGACCTTTTTCACTCTTTTCTTCTGCTTGGTCCACTGGACAAGTGTCAACAAGTATGCATTGGAGCAGCAGATGCCCGCCCAGCATTGAATGATTGCAAATTTGACTTGTGCGCGCACAGTGCAGCAGTACATGCGGCATGCTGTGTCAGGATGCATGATTGATTACTAGTATGTGCGGGCATGCACTGCCGTTGACTAATCGCATGTGCGCGCATGTGCAGGAGTACATGCGGCAGGTGCGGCTGGAGGAGATAATCCGCGACAGCCAGCAGGCGGCGCTGCGAGAGAAGGCGATGGAGATGCTGGCCCACAGCCGACACCTGGGGGTGGCCCGGGGGGGACCCGCCGCCTACTTTGGCGCTGGGGGGTCAGCCCCTCCCACCATGAACCCCTTCCAGCAGCAGCACCTGCAGCACCAGCTGCTCCAGGTCAGCTTTATATTTTGCACTTCCCTCTTTCTTCCTTCTATTTTTTCAGCTGTCAAATGTCAGAGTCAATGTAGTCCAATGCACCCAGAGGCGCCAGCTAAACTTGAAACCACCTGGGTAGGAAAGGCAGGATGCAGAGATCATATGTCTCAACGATTCGCAGCTGGTGCCTTCTGCATGCCTTTCTGAGTTCAAATATCAGTCAGACATGCAAGTATGCAGTAGAGTTTTTTTTACTCAATGAGGTCTGATGTCCGGCATGGAAGTTGGAACTGCCTGAATGATGTGCTAGGAGCTACAAGTCAGCTTGTGTCTCTTTGAGGGGCATGCATGCGCTGCATGGCTTGTGATGCATGTGGTTGTGTGTCCACAGAACTTGGCTGAGGGGAGCGGCATGAAGCAGGCGACCGATGTCCCCTTTGCTCCACTCCCCACCATCAACAGCCCCTTCGCACAGCACCAGGTGTGCCCACACTCTCGACTGCATTTTCACAGTATCTTAAATCCTTCATACCAACTCTTTGAAGGTACAGCAGTCCAACCTGAAGAACCTCCAGTCCTACCTCTCAACGGAGAGGGGAGGAGGACTGTCTTTAGATTGCATGCTTTGCTCGTCCCACGGCTCCCTTCTTCGGCTCCCCTGGTCAGCGGAAGATGGGGCATAGAGATCCAGCACTGCACAGATGCTTAGGGTGGCGGCATGAATTTCTTCGCTTCCTTGAACCTTAGTAGAACATCTCAGCATTTTAGAGTAGATCATGGAAGACATGTCTGAGGGGCAGAGCACTCCGGGTGCGCAGGTGGGGTCCCCCCCAAGCACGCTGCAGCTGCCGGCGACCCCCCCTGCGGCGGTGCCGTTCCCCCCGCGCAACACCAGCACTTCCCCCGTGCGCATGCATGACGGCGGCCGCGCAATCTCTCCTGACGGCCGCGCCGGCATCAACCTGCGCCAGGTAAAGAGTCAATCCGTTCACAATGCAGACCCAGAACGGCAGAGTCCAATCAGCCCATCAGCTCTCTTCTTCCTGCCTCCTGCGCGTGGCTGAGGCAGGCAAAAGGCTGGGTGGAATAGATGGGATGCCTGGGCAGACTGTACTCTATTGCTTTGTCTGATTTAAATATGTACAACAGACAGAACGAGTGTCGAGACCTTGCATGCTTGTTGATAGAAGAAACACCCAAGCAACTTTCTGTGGAAGCAGCTTATTTTGCATTTCCTGTCCTATAATTTATTGAAGAGGTTTATGCATGTGATCAGACGCTGAGTCAGCCCACGCCAGGCTCCAATGACATAATGGGCGACGCAGCTCTGGGCGCGCAGTCGAGCAACATCTTCCAGGCGGCTGCACAGGTACTTTAAAGTCCCATCTTTTCCTACTGTCTGAGGTGTGCACATACCGCCCAATTCTTATATGGAAGCGATGACATCTTGACAATATGCATTTGAACATGATCGCACAGAAGGCATTTACTGCCCACGCAAATTTCTGTGCAATCACATTCCACTGGCAAAGGCCGCACTCCAAGAGGGATCGCAGCTACATATCATAAGAGTGGCTTCCATTTGGCAGCATTCACTAGGGGGTCCACTTCTGGGTGCAAAGATTCTGCGCATGTCCTGAAATGCTTCTGCTGGTGTGTCTGCAGGTGAATGTGCGCAGGCAGGGCCGCGCGCTGACAGAGGACACAGAGGGGCCGCGCATGTCCATGGCCATGAGACGCCAGCTGGGCATGGCCCCCAACAAGTCACCCTCCAAGGCCGGTGCGGCTCTTTAATCTTATTTAAATCAAGCTTCAGTCAAACTCTTTAGCTATGCCTATGATGGCTTGAGACTTTACCCCTGACTAGCCCATTTTGATCTCGCTCCTGAGCATAGATCCGGGTAATTTGGCTGTTTTGTTCTGGGCAATCGAGTCACAGGGCAGCCTTTCTGCAATGATCTTGGCAATTTGGCAAGATTAAGGGAACAGGGATCTTTCATTCCTGGTTCTCATTTAGTCAGTGTACAGACATGTACTGGCAGGCCTTATATAGCTATGGAACGTCCGTTGCAAGCATTGTTGCAGACCTTTGCAACGATGCATGCAAGGGACGTTCCATAGCTAGCACCCAGTATAACACCCAATAGAGTTACATGAGTAGTGTGCACAGAAAATGTAGTCCAAGGCTCATTTTCTGACTTGATGGTTTATTGTATTGGTGCAGCTGCTGCGGCAATGGCGGGAGCAGGTTCAGGGCAGCTGCGCTCGCGCGGCTCCCCCGGCATGTCACCCACGCCCTCTGGCACGCTCCCCATCCACTCAGGTACTTTTGTTTTCTTTTTTTGAATTTGGATCTAAATTCGCCTGCTTCGCCTCAGCCTGCACCACTGCGTGTCTGGACCCACTTTCTTGCCTGTGCTCCTGAGGGATGTGCTTGCAGTCTCCTGCATGTCTTCTTTGGTTGAGGCGTGCTATTGAGTACTATTCTCAATCGCTCAAAACCCACCAGTGTGACTTGAGTGAGGTCTGCTATTGATCTAGGCAATTTGTCAAGTTATTCAACACCCAGCAAGACCTGCCACTTTTGCTTAATAGGGAATTCTGTGTCCTGTGCAGGGCTGATGGGCGGTCAGGGCATGGACCCAGTGTCACAGGGCCTGCTGCTGCAGCAGGCAGCGCTGGCACTTCAGATGGCGCACATCAACTCCCCGCCGGCAGCCTCCAGCCACGAGCAGGAAGCCGCCTCCACGGCGGCCCTGCACGCTGCACTGCGCGCTCAGCAGAGTGAGTAACCGCTGCCACAACGGTCACCTGGCCAGAACTGACCCATTCGGAGATTGTACATTAGTACATGGGGGCCTGTCATCTTAAAGTAGCGGTGGTCCGTGCATGTGAAACACAATCGGCGGCATGCACATGCAATGACTAAGAAGGGAGACATGCACGCGAGCCTTTGTCAAGGACAGAAGCCTGGGATGTTGTGCCTCTTGAACGCATTCACGATCCAGGCCAGGTTTTGTTACTAAGGCGAGTACATCATGCTATAAAGGGTCTTCCGAGTCAATCTTAAGAGCTTGCACCCTGTCTCAGATGACTGATTTGGCACACACTTTGCTCTGAAGTGATCTCTTGTGTCATTACAAGATGTGACATCTATGTCTGAGAAAGAATGGTCTTGCTCAGGCACATCACTAGGCAGCTTCCCTTTATACAGAGGGCCATTATAGCACACAATTGAGGGTCATACCTAAGATAACTAATCCTTCGCAGGCGCATCGGTGGGCAGCGAGGTGAGCGCCAATACAACGGATGACTACTCCAGCCTGGTGAGTCAGCTGCAGGGCCTCTGCTTCGGGTTCATGGGCGAGGGGGGGACCCCGGAGGGAACGCGCGACGCTGTCAGCCCCCAGGAGCGCTCCGGCAGTACATCATCCGGCCCCTCATTCGAGCTCGACCTTGGCAACAGCGGCCAGCTCGGCACCCACAGCCAGGTCAGCATCCTTTTGGCTCCTCATGCACATGACTGTGATATTTTCACGAGTGCCATATCCATCTGACATGGGCATGTTGCGCATTGAGTAAGAATGCGCTGTCAGCAAGGTGTTCTGGAACCTACTCTCTTGTCACCAGCACATTGCTCAGGGAAGCTTTGCTCTGGGGGATTCCTTGTCAAATGATACCAGCGGAACACAGCATGCTGGAACGTTGAAGGCGTGGCCTTGACGGGCCAGCCTGACCTTGGATCAGGCACTTATTTGCATTGGATTGATCAAGGCTGTGGGCATAGATCTGTTGAAGAGGCCTTGCAGTGTGAGACGCTTTGCAGCTGTGCATCTCCAGCATTGCCAAACGAACCCCCTCATCCGTCAGCAAAAACCTGTCCTTGCATTGACAGTTTCTTGTTGTTGACGCGCAGGCGCCTGCAACCACCAGCTCCATGCCGCTGTCATACGCCCAGGACAGCTTCTTCTCCTACTGAAGCTGCCTGGCAAGCCGAGGGCTCAAGAGGCAGATGAGCCATGCAAGCCACCACACTGCACAAAAATTTGAAGCATGGGGCTGGAAGATGCCTTCCTGCTGTGACCGTTTGTGCCAGCGTCCTCTGCTGAGCTGTCCAATTGGATAGGGCCCTTGGGGGTTGCTGCAGGCACTGTGTGGCAACACTCGGTGCCTGGGCACTCTTCAAAGGGAGGGGAAACCTTTTACATTGCTGCAGAGGGGAGAAGCAACAAACGAGGGAGGCCATTTCGTGAACCATTTGGTGACTTTGATTTTGAAGACTGCAGACGCCAATTGGATCAAATCCGTTGCTGCATATCGCGCCAAGCGCTTTCCTTTTTGGCGGGATCTTCAAAGGTTGGTGTGTGTGAGTCTGGGAAGGCTCTCTGTGCGTATTTTGGCGCCCCTTGTGTCGCCTTCAAGACGTAGAATAGCTTGAATAGCTTTATATCCTGTGAGTTTCGCGCTGCCATTCAAAAGTGGGCTCGCTGTCGGCTCTGTGGTTCCCTGTGAATGAGGACCTTGCAAGAAAAGTTGTCCCAGCAGATTGTTGATCATTTGAGCGTTTGGAGCGGGCCCCTTTTCAAGAGCTGCATCTTGGAAGGACCCGGGAAGCTCCGTGCAGAATTGGGCCTGGCTCATTTACCTGGTTGCTGGCTGCTTGCTCAACAACCCGGGAATGTCCAAGGTCCCACCAATTGTAATTTAGTTAGCATTGCGAAAGGAAGGTGCAGAAGTGTAGGTTGGAACAGGTGCATTCTTAATCTGCGAGTGAGGTTGTACTCCTGGAACGAGTCCCGCACCTGGCTAGGGCAAGGATTCAAATTATCTGAAGAATTTTCCAAAAGCTCCAAAGTCAACGCTGAAGTCAATGTATGGGCATGTGTTGCCCCTGGTACAAATTTCTATTCTAATGGTTTTCAAAAGCGGGTGCAGGAGGAACAATCAAGATTGGCGTCCGATTTGCTCCATACTCTCGGATGTCTCGGGGGGAGCTTGCACAGCTGTTGTTTTATTACTTGCAAGATTATTTTATGTCTGAGCTTGCCATGTCATTTGTGATTGTGGCAATGCCTAATGTTTAGTGCAGCGCTCGTGCTGCAGAATATTGGGTCTTTGAAACATCTTACTCATGTTTCTTTTACAGTGTAAGGGTGTTTCAGGCTCACTGCTCGGTGTACAGGGTTGAGTAGTAGAGGATTTGTTCCTGCCTTCTTTGCCAGCAAAGTAACAAAGGGTTACTCACCTGCTTGCAAAAGGCTGTCCGACAGCCAAGGAGGTGTGCAGTGACCTTCTCAGGCGAGAATGCATGCTTCTTTTGACAGATTCTTGGGTGCAAATGCACGCGTTGGTTTCCCGTTGTAAAACAGCAGATTTTTCACGATTTTCTTTCCAGCGGCTGAGTCTCACACTTCTGAATGCATATCTGCTCTCATATCTTTCACGCAGACCTTCAGTGGCCTGCATGAGTATACGCGACTGCACCCAAAAGGAAAAAGAAAAACGGAAAGTCTCACAGCTGCACCTAGAACAGTCACATCAGCTACCCCATATTATCTGCTACACAGGGCCCCGCTAAGTGAGCTCAAGGCCAATGGAACTTCATGCCACTGCCATGCATGTGCATCAGGTACCGAGGAACGCTGGCCCAGCAGCCGGAGACAGTAGGCATGACAACCCATCCTGAACCTCAAAAGTAAATTCAAGCAACGGGCACTGAAAGGCTGCTGTAAGAGCTGACAAGGGTGGCGCAAGCAATCTGGCCCAGCAAACCACCGGTAATATGTAGACAAGGTGGCATTGCGGGACGGGCAGGTCCTATGGCAGATGTCAATGTCATCCCAGACCTGCATTGCGTGCGCATCTAGCAGCTGCATCACAGCATCAACCTCCACAGGAAAAAGGGTGTCAAACCAAGTGATAAAGTCATAACCAATCCGGCGCAAGCCCCGCATGACGGCGCAAGCCCAGATCTTCACATTTTGGATGATGGCATCCCTGTTATCATCAAGGGCCACTCGCCTATGAAACTCATCTGCAGGCAAGGCAGCAAAATTGTTCCAGAACTTGAAAATGCGCTGCCACCACACACAATCAAGGGTCCGCTGATCCAACTCCTTGAGCAAGATGGCAGCATGCACAGAGGTGGGGACGCCAACAATATCTCTCAGAAATTTCAGGTGACAGGAGGCCAAGGCAGCCCGGCCCCGCCAGCTGTCGCCAACGGGAAGGCTGCGCGCACCCCACACCTCACAACCGTAAAAGGCAATCGGCGGCACACATGCATCATACAGACGCAGAAACAGGCCAGCTGACATGCTGCACTGTAACTTCCCATTGCTGCCTGAGCTGTGCCCATGCACCCCACATGTGGCTGTGAAGCTTGCCAAAGGTGAGGTTCATGCCGTGGACACCGTCAAAAAGGGCACCCAGGAACGCAAATTGCTGAACCCAATGTAAAGGCGCACCACCACAAAGCCACTGAAAAGGTCCTGGCAAACTTGCACGGAACGCCACAATCTTTGTTTTGTCAACACTGCTGAACAGACCCGCTTGTTCACAGAACTCAGCAGCTGCGTCAATCAAGCGTTGCAAATCAGCAGGTACAACAATGCTGCATGCATCATGAAAGTGAAATAAAATTAAAATTGGCATATTGTGCCTGGCAGGGGTGTAAGTTGGTGCAGACGCATCCGCGCGCCCACAGCAGCAAAGGAAGTGGCCACATAATATTTTGTATATACTCGGCATACATAATGTGGCATGCACTGCGTTTTGACCCCGTTCATAACAGCTCTGTGGGCAGTCTCAGCGATTCCTATCGTAATTATTAGAATCTAGAAAGGGGCCGGTTGTTGCCGCAGACTCCCCAAATGGTCTGCAGGTCGCAGTATATGTAATTGTAGACCATTGTGATCCATGTGCAGACGTCAGCTGCCGCAACCACGCTGTTGTGAGGCTCAATATTTACCCTTGGGGCCGGTCGTCGCCGCAGACACCCTTGATATTCTGCAGGTCGCAGTAGACACAGTAGTAGATGGTGGTGTTCCAATCGCAGACGGCGGTCGCCGTGAGCGTGCTATCGTGCGGCAGGCCGCCGGCCGAGGTTGTGAACTCGCCCTGGCAGGGGTCGCGCAGCGAGCTCTGCGACGATCACATATACTAAGGATGCAACCTGTGTTCTTTCATGACAAGCTGTAGTGCCCCGCCCTGACAGTACTTACGTACGAAGCTCTGCGGTAATCACAATCTTGGTACTACTATCACACGGTGGCCCAATTCGGCAACCTCCATGTCTGCATGGACATCTTGCCTTGGTAAGAGAGAGATATGTATATATAGGGTGGTATGAAAGCTCCTTTCACCTGAGATATGACGTAGTTGAACCACTGCGTCCAGCTGCCGATGGTGGGCGACACGGGCGTAGTAAGGATCACCTCATGCGCCCAGCCGCCGTTGGAGTTCGGCTGGATGGTGATCTGCGCCGTCGTGTAGCCGCGCGCTTCGGCCGCGTTGACCAGCAGCGAGTCAAAGTCAAACGCGGAGGCCAGGCGGTTGACCTGCAGGCACACACCCAAAAATGGAGTATTGTAGATTGATTGAGACGCTCGATCAACAAGTGACAAGACAGTCCTTTGCATGATGTACATATTAGAACCGTTTCAGGAACGCCGTAATTAAGTGTGTGTGTGGTGCATGGGTGTGGTGGCATGAGAGCATGCAGTGGGAACCAATGAATTCTAATGCTGATGTGCAAAGATCAGTCTCTGCATGCCACATCTAGTGGAACAGTCCAAAGACAAGCTCTGTGTTGCAAGCACAGTGCACAGCTGTTCGAAGGTATGGACGTTATAATCATTTTGCATGATAAGACCGCTGATTTGTGACAGGAGCAGCCGCCATGCCTGGTAGAGGTCGGCCAGCTCAAAGCCTTCCGGCACATTGTCGGGCCGGCCGTAGGCGGCGACTTCAAGAAGGGTCGGCAGGCCCAGTGCGGCTGTGCTGGGAGACACATACCTGCACCGCAGCACCCAGAATACCTGTAAGGGTTGCTGAAGACACATTTGGACAGAGGCTTGCAGATGAAATCACTGATGAAACGCAATTTGCTACCACTCGTATGAAGTCATCTCATCAGATTGACAAGAAAGCGGTAATTTAGAAAGAGACCGTAAAACATGATGCTTGCTAAGCACTTTCTAAAAGTGCAGATCGAACACATCGCCTTCCTTCTAAGGACCGACTGCGATGAGGTCATCATCATCTCCTAGTCTGCCCAATGGCTGATCTGTCTGCCTCTTGGGAACTTCATGCTGACCATTGCCCCCCAAAACTGCAATGTTAAAGGTGTGCAAAGTATGCAGGGGTATAGCTCTGGTACAGCATGTCTTGACTGGCACGTGCTGCATACTCACTTGGCATAGTTGCTGATCACGTCTGGCTGGCCGTTGTTGTCGCCTGGAAAGTAGCGCGAGGTTTTGTTTGTGAAGTAAAGTTCAAGTGTGGCAAGGTATGTGAAGTTGTACCTGCAACACATGGATGGCTTCAAAACCTCTCTGACACAAGATCTTCAGTTTCAAGTGATCAGTCTTCTGTACTGACTCATTTATGCCTTCTGCCTACTACAAAATGCCGTGACGCAGTGCACTTGTGACGTCTGGAAACTTGCTCAGGTGTTCAAGGCACACTGCTCCTATGTCCAACAACAGCGACTTGCAAAGGCAGATTGAAGACAGACGCACGCCCCCTTCAAGTAAGACAGAGTGCAGAGACAGACGCACCCAAAGTAATTCAGCAAGGCGAGCTTGTTCTCTGCCGCCACAGTGTTGCCGGTATTCATGTACACGCCAGAGCCTGGGGCATAATAAGAGAACCACCCATGCTGGATATCCAGAGTGGTCCACGGCAGCGAAGCATCCGCCGAGGCTCTGACTTCGCGGCCGGAAGTTTTCACGTGCATCACCTGCATAGGCCGTTGGGGGAGTTTTGCCTACTAAAGCGCAAGCCAGTGTGCTGTGAGCCTCACACATGTGCATGCCACAACCATCAGGGCAATCTGAGCATGAGTGCAGTCTTCACAATGACCCCCATAGTGCCACTTGTAGACAGCGCGAGCCTTGGAGAGGGTTCAGATGACAAGCACCCTAGACAACAACAGTTCGCACCTCAATGTCAGTGGAGGAGGCAAATCCAGCAATGTAGTCATAGTGCCACCACTGCTTGGGAGGATACAGGTTGATGTAGTAGGTGCATATCTCTGAGAAGGATGGCCTGTAAGGGCTGTTCAAGGCGGGTGGAGTGTAATCCCCTGTTTCTGTCGGGTCCATTGGCACTCCTCCGGTTTGTAGCACAGCGTTAAGAGGAGCTTTATCATACCTGCAAAAAATATAGAGATGAATGAGGTACACAGTCACGATGATCTGGGGCAGTCTCTCGCCATCGTCTCAGTATTAACATGACTGTCATTTCTGAAGAGCGTGCGGATGTTTCCTACCAGAATTTCAGGGCGTTTGTCAGGTGGAGCTTGTCAACGCAGACAGAAGAACCAGCAAGTGGGTACACAGCCTGGAAGTACTCCTCCAAGGTTGGATACGCGTTCCCTCCACATAATGTTCCTGAGCACGCCATCCTCCGCTCACTTGTGGGCTTCAGTCAAGTGTTCTTGTTTCAGACACTGCGCATAGAGGACTCCATTGACCTTCTAATTTCGTTCATGAGTGGCATGAAAATAAAGTGTACCCCCAATACTGGAAATGACGTTCAAGGGAGGAAGTATTGCACTTCTGCCAGCAGGAAACTAAACAAAAGTATACAGACTCAACAGTGGGGCCTCAACAGTTGTACAGATAAACAATTGTGTCTCTTTGAGGTGAGACATGAGTGCTGTTCCTGCCAACGGAAAGTCCTGACGTGGCTATTGTGTTCTGCATGGTGAACGTACTGTTGATCGACAGACTCCTTTGGATGTTTTCGACCGTGTCCTGTACCTTCGTGATAACCTGGCTCACATCCTGGACTATCTGAGGTGGAGCATCACTTGGCTGGTAGAATGATTTAAAGCGCTCCTGAACAAGCAAAGAGAATGGCTTGAGTCCGTTATGGTCAAGTCAGGTTCAACATTGCACTCGGCTTCTGTTTTGGAAAGCTACAGAAACAATCATGCTGTCTCTATGCTATCTCAGAGAAGGTGTCTTGCCTGCTTGGAAGCAACAGTAGACACCTGTCCGTTGCTATCTCGCAGAGCCAACAAAAGGAGCAAAACGCCTGTGAAAGCAGCCAGAGGCACGCGTGAGACGAGCAATATTGAGCGGGAGATCCACTTGTAATTTCAGGTGCCTTATGTACGGTGTCGACAGGAAAATTCACCGAAGCAAGTCGACCCTGCACGCATGGTTCCCAATCGTGCCCGCAGCATGGTCCACCTTGCAGCACGACTGTTCTGCGAAGATATGCTACCCTATCCCAGCCACCACAGCGAAGGTTGCTTTTTTTGGTGGGTTCAAGCTGTACGAAGCTGCCGTGACATCCGTCTGTTTTCCTCCGAATTCAAGTTGCTATGGGCCATAGCCTATGGCCCGTTGGCAGGGTTCTGGAGAAAAGGGTTTGGAGTCAGGGAGAAAGAGGAAAGGGAGAAAACCCCAAATTTGGCCCATTTCCGAGCCAAAGATACAAGAGAAGTGCTGGAGAAAAGGTGTTTTTGATTAGATCTCGAGCTGCTGTACCATCTGTGAACGGAGAGCATTATGAAAGAACTGGCAGTTCCTCTCATGAGAAGTCCCTTAAACAGTAACATACTCCCAAATAAAGCCTTAAGGAGCTTCCTGTACAAATCTTTGGTATAAATCAGCCTTACACGCATTCTTACTCCCCCAATAAGGTGCTGGTATTATTTCTTCTGCTGGGTGTCCAAGGCATATTTCATTGCATGCAGTGTCCAGATCTGGCTCGTAGAAGTGGAGAAAAGGGGATTCCTCTAGAGAAAACCTTTTCTCTCGCAAGACTACACCTTTTCACCCTCATCAACTGATGGCTTGAATGAGAATATTTCATCACATGCAGGGCTCACAGGATGTCTTCCCGCACAAGGCGCGTCCAGCTAGCACTCAGGGGCACACAGCCCAATGCTTTCCTGTCATGCCGCTCAGGATGTTATACATTAGCCAGAGTTCAAACCCCACATGCAGACGCTCCCATACTCTCACCCTGCTATTCCAGTATTTCGACATGCCAAAAGGCTGGCACTTTCACAGTTTCCACAAGACTTATTCCTGGGGGTTCACTATTTTCTGCAATGCTGTCTGACAATATTCAGCAAATATTCGCTCCAACACATGTTGTTGACAGTCACTGATGACCTGACTACATTCTTCCAATTATTGCCTACGCTGCAGCAGTCCTCACTGGCGAAATTCTGCACTCATCAGATCGTGGAGTACTTCTCATCCGAGTATTTCCTGGCCTGCTGCTTCACCAACCTGCGGCCGGCAACAAGCCTTTCAACAGACTTTTCCTTAGTGAAACCCCAGTAAGCTGTGCGTCATGAAGACCCCATTATATGATGCTCTGCCCAAATATTGCATCCTAGACGCCCATTCCGCATCCAAACGCTTACTCGGCCCTTGGGGATGTTTGGAAGCACTCGAAAGCACCTTACTACTTTGTACTTTCACTACTTTCAAACAAAGATTGTGGGACCCTCCAGGGGCATGAGAAAGGCGCAGCCAGTGCAGCAATTTCCACACAACAGATTTTGGGAGAGTTTGGCGGGTGTGCTCACCTTGCATACTTTGCCTTGTCCTTCCTGAAGACATCATAGCCAAGCTGCTGCGCAGGATCATCGTTGTTGGGGTCGTTCAGCAGGTCACTTATGCCCATGAGGATCTGCATGCGCACCCAACCTCTTCAATGCAGGCATGCATGCATCACTTCCCACTTCAGACATGAATGAATCCACTAGTCCATATCAGTTGCGGTGCCCAGTACAGTGAAGGACACAAAAATTTCTACTGCTAAAGAGCCTGCGAATTATACAAAAGCGCCTCAGATGACTCACCTGCTTCACTGTGACAGAGGGTCTCCACCTGTACAAGTCAGGGTCCACAGTCAAAAATCAATGACAGCGGCTGTCTCAGGGAAGATCGGATCACTTCTCAGAAATGAAGGAGATGGGCAGATGGATGAATTAAAGGCGTCAACGTACCCCTTTTCTGGGTTGAGGATGCTCAAGCAGACCTGTGACACATCTCACTTAGTGCTACTGCTCTCAAGTATCTGGGTTGTGCAGGGACAGGAATATTTTCAGATGGCAAAGTCTCAAATCAGCTTGTGCAGGACTCACCGTGCCAGATTCATATATGTTGGGATGGAAGAAGCCCTTGGGGAACTGATACCCCAAAAAACACAAAGTCAGAGAAGGGAGGGATAAAATCCAAGTCTTTCATGTTTAAAAGTATTTGATCAGAACCTGCTGCAGGATGTGCAGGTGAAGCAGAAGTTGCCTCACCTTTGCTGTAGGAGGGCTGGAAGGGTAGTCATTCGTGAACCGCAGCTCCAAAGGATACACACCTCCCTCCCAGATGGTGTTGGTTTTCCCTGGTATCCTGCAGTCCCAATGCAGCATATCCACAGATCCTGCAGCAGAGAAGGTGTCAGCTCTGCAAATTCTCACGTTACTGCACGGGGGAAGAAGAAAGGGAAGCACAGGCAGGGACCTCACCATCTGGGAGAGTACGGGGCTTGGCGACAAATCCAAAGGGATGATCTTTTCGCCAAGCTTTGCGTTCCTGCAGGAGCACAAGAGGATGAGAATTCAGATGGGCTGATGGCTTCAGTAAAACACTCGCCTCGGACGATATGATCGGAAAATCAATGGAATTGATTCATATTGTTGTTGATGGCAATGACAAAGACCTGCTGTAATCGCTGCTGTGCAACACCAGACATCGGTCTTCTAGAAACACTGCACTTGTGCGCTTCAGAACTCCTCAAACCTCAACTTACACAGCAGCTATGGTTAAGCAGTCACTGCGCATCTGATGACATGAAATACACGAACTGTTTAAGATCAACGATGCCTTCATTCGACCGATGCTCTGCTGCGTGCTGTGCCAGGTCATCCTGCAACACAGATCTGCATGCTTGGCCTCTCTTCTCCTCTGCTCTAAGCTCACCTATTCCATTTGACCATCGTACACAAAATAAGTCAATTTGATTGATGCTGCCATCGCACTATATTAAACGCAAGTAGACATCAGCTTCTTGTGCAAAGAATTTGGTCGATCGCAGTTCAATGTTCCTAAATGAGACGTAATAGCGGGTAAATAGAAACTTATATAATGCCTGAAACACATTCAGAGTGACCGCATGATACTGTATCGGGGCCTTGGTGGAGCTAGCAAAATGTGAAATAAACTGAAGGTACTCCGATGGTCCGACTTTCCTCTCGAGATATCCTTATTATTCTTGTCACGCGATCGTTGGTGTGCGTCTACAGTGCTATAAATTTTGCTGTGCGTGAAAACAACGCAGGTGGGCCTGCACAAGATGCAGCAAGTGCCAAGTCACTTCCAGAAGCTGGTGCAGCTGGTGGGAAGGGCTTTCTATGCCTCCGAGTGCCCTCCCCGAGACCAGAACCCCGAGGCTGCTCAAGGCTCTCGCAAAGGAACCAATGTGCGCTTTCCACCTCCCTCCATGCCCTTTATCCTGTGCATCATGTCACTGCACGGCAGCATATCCTGCAGCCCCGAGTGCCTGCATAACAGAGATCTACTTCTTTACAGGCGGAGTTCATCGGGCTGGGGGTGATCACACTGGATGCACTGACGCGGAGGGAGTGGGTGAAGGAGGATGAGCTGGCCACTGAGATAAAGGCCCACCCCAAAGTGCTGCGCAGAGTGTTGCGTTACTTCGAGCAGGTCAGCTCCCATCTTTGCCTGCCCAGGCTTGTGCTGAAACCTCCACTGTAGGTGCTCAGCAGCGGTGTCTGCTGCTTACAGGACAGCAGACACTGCAGACACACCCATCTCCACACTTGCTCCAATCCTTGTTCCTTCAGGCATGAAGCACATAGCTTGAAGATCAATCAGCAATGGACTCTTCACTTGCTGGCCGCCTGCAAATTGTGGAAGAGTTGTGGCTTGAAGAATGGAGCCTCTCACATCTGGAGACGAGCAATACCAAATAACATCTTCCGAAGCATGAATGCGGTGATAGTGACGAAGTGGTGACGCATAGATCTATATAACCTGCAGGAGCAAGTGGTGGCTCGCGAGCACAGGAAGGAGGCGATGAAGCGCAAGCCGAGGGGTGCAAACTCGGGGAAGTCATCAGGGGACGCCACTGGAGACGGGGATGCAGTGTCTGGGCTGGCCGGTGATGTTGTGGTGGAAAATGAAGATGAGCTTCCTGCCAAAGCTCTCCTTCACAGGTGCTCAATTGCTGGACTTGGATGGGCATCAGTTGCCACATTACAGCTAACATGCGCATTGCTTGGCACCATACATACGTCGACAGCACGGCCTGCAGAGAAAGATGGAGCGATCTTAGTACAGAATAGAAAGCTGCAAATGCAACACCACACTATACCTACGTGACAGCTGGCTAGGTCCATCAAGCTCGGCATCTTGGCAGACCATGCGGCTTCATCGCATGCATCTTTGCTTTGACATCAAGAGATAAATGTGAATTAAAGTGATTTGCCTGGCTTGCCTGGCTTCTATCAGTGCCTGGGTGTGTTTACATATGTAAAATTTTGCTCAAGATGGGAGATTGAGTTCATGATGATGTGGCATGCAGCTACTGCACGCTGGACTACGGGCGGCTTCTGGACGTGACTAACCTGCGTCTCTTCAAAATGCGCAAAGCCCTCAAGGAAAAGCTCAAGGACAGGTGCCAACCCTTGTTGCATGCCCCCATCCTTTCCTTAACATTGTTAGGTGTATTCTTAGATCTTCGCGGATTTGCCTTGCGGATTGTGCGATTTTCATCATGCACACCGCGGTTTGAGGAGTCTAGCCAAGACATGGACCGGGCAGGCACTCTGCTCTTCAAATCCTGCAGGATTTGCGTCAGTGACTGCTCAGTTGCTCTTCTTTTTACAGGAGCAAATCATCTAGATGATGTGATTATGGGCAGGGGTGAATGCCTGCCTTGAGGCCCTGCTGTCTCAAAGTAGTCCAGGCAACCCCAGCACCTGATTCCCACACCCGACATGCACAAAGAACAACCCTGATCATATTGTCTCCAGCGAAACAGGAATGCAGACCACAAGGCAGAGCGAGCGCCAGAAGAAGCAGAAAGGCCGCCTCATGGTGATATGACCTTGCGTGCAACATGCAAGGCACCTCTTGCATTCCAATCAGAAATTTTTGAGTTTGAAATTTGAATTTTGCGCGCAGCACCCCGGTGCTGGAGTACGTGTGCCCGGCCTGCGGCACGCGGTATACGACGCTGCAGGCAGCGCACCTGATCGATTTCGCCGACGGCGAGTTCCATTGCGAGAATTGCCGATCCATTCTGCGCTCCAGCCGCGACGGCGCAGCCGACGGCGGCGAAGGCGCCCGGCAGCAGCGCCTGAAAGCCGCCAAAGTGCTGCAGGCAAGCGCATTTCATTCAAATCGTCTGCCAAATGCTTAATTCGAATTTCACCCCTCCACAGCTATGCCCTTCCTTTGACAGCCCTTAAGGATAGTCACAGAGGGGCCAGCAGCGTCTGAAGTTGCTGCAGGCGGGCTGCACTCCCATGCTGTCTTCCCAGTGCTGCTTCAACCTTCAAATCGATGCCTTTCCTTTGACATTTTTGATGTTTGGTGTCCCGGAGGACGCCTTGATTGGAAGGTGTACCTGAGGGAGCATGATGCTGCAGTGATCTTGCTGCAGTGATCTACATAAGTTCTGCTAATATGGCCCACTGCAGCTGACTCTCCCCACTATACAAGACCAAATTTAGTGTACTTACACCCTCCGCAAAGCTGAGTCAGCGAGGGTGGGGCAGAAAGGGCATGCAGTGAGGTTTGAATACCGTATAAGCAAGTACAGGACGAGTCCTTGACGAGGGGAAGATGCGCGACTGTGCAGGAGAAGATGGAGGAGCAGCTGCGGCCGCTATTCTCTCTGCTGGAGGAGATCCAGGGCCGCCTCGCAAAGGGCGGCAAGGTTCCCAACTTTGGATCCCTCAAGGACTGGGCGCTGGTGCGCCCCCCTCAGCTTGGCAGACTTGTCATCTTGTAATAAATGCAAGATCATTCCTCATCTCTCTTGTGTGCAATCCTGTATGGGCTCTTTCCCCGCCTCAGTCGAGTAAATCACTAAGTCAGGATTACTCCGCACCAACCTTCTGCTGCTATTTGTGTGGGCCCTTTCAATGCCCGAGTTGAGCACATCATGCAGTTCAACAAGTGTGGACTTTTAAGCAGCAATGTCAGGCGGCCACAGTCAGCAGCAGAGCAGTGCAGTTGCTGTAGTCATGGATTTGCGGTGGGGTTGTGCAAGTGCGTGCTCATGGTCAAAGAGTCGCGCATGTGTGGTTATGGAAATGCAGCGGGGTGACTCATATGATTGCGTGTGAAATATGCAAATGTGTTGCAGGCGAGGATGGATGCACAGAGGGTGGCGACTGGGAGAGCGATGCGGCTGGATGACGGCCCTGCCAGCGTGGAGGTCGACATGGCAGGTGAGTAATGGCTGAGTCATGGCTCAACATGCCTGCAGCAGGCCTGCTCACTGCTCCCCAGAATGCATCCTGGGTTCCGTCATTTCTTGTGGAGGCTTGCCTGCTGGTCAATTTAGCGTGTCCAGAACACACAATACCGTACCTCCCTTGCTGCATAATGGAGATCTCATCTTCCCTCAACCACAATTAGGATATCCTTCTCTTGCGGCTTCGAACGATTCAGCACACGATTTGTAAGGCCGCAGCATTTGGTCCAGGAATGAGCAGCAGAGTGATGTGAGGTGCCGCTCCTGGACCTTGACGTCTAGGTTTGTAGCCTAGGGATTCTGAATGGGGAACTGAATGTGATGTTGCGCGCTTACACAGGCGCGGCGGCTGCGCCTCAACCGCTGGAGGAGGCGCAGCCGAGGGAGCTGCCCCCCTGGCTGCGGGCGGTGGCCGCGCGGGGGGGACCGGGGGGTCCCGCAGCCTCCACCTCAGCAGCGCGCAGCGAGGAGAGCACCGGCACCGGCACAGATTTCCAGCAGCATGCCAGCAGCACCGAGCAGCAGGACATCCAGGCACGCTCTGTTTTGTGGTAAAATTGACTCAAATATGAAGGCATGGTTTAGGATACGAGGGGCTGACTGTGCCTGCCACATGGACAATAGGACATTGTCTTGTTGCCCATGCCAGCATCGCCATTGCACATGCAACAGTGCAGGCGTCAGTTGAGATGCCGCCAGCCAGTTGCCACCTGTCCCTTTCGCTGCAAAGGCTTCCCAAAGAATGCCCTACATCAATTCCATGCCTGTAGGGGAGCATGTCTGGCGCAACAGTCAGTGTCTTTAGTCATTTATAAAAAGAGCACATACTTGTGCTGTGTCTGCTGTGCACCGCCCACAGCTTGCCTTCCAGGATGACAGGGGATTCTTAGAGGGTACTGTACAAGTGGCCATTCTCCATGCATGCGCGTGAAAATTTATTTGCTCTGCAGGCGGCATATGTCAGGCAATTTTTGGAGCAGGTCAGTCAGAAGCAGGCGCACCAGGGTGCAGGCGTTCCCATGGGCCTCGACAGCAAAAGGCCAGTGAAACATGACCCAGGCAGTGATGGCGAGAAGAGGCTGAAAACTGAGACTGGATGGGTGGCAGCCGTAGTCAAGCCTGACGCAGAGCCCGAGGTGTGTGCAGCAAGATATGTGTCAGACTACTGGGGTTTATGCATGTCTCTGCTGGTTTGGGTCAGGGAAATTGCCACCAGTGAAATTTGTCGGTTCCTCATAAAACCGAGCCTGTGCTGCAGGGTGACAAGCTTCATGATGAGGAGGACTGGGAAGTTGCAGCACCCTCAGGCAAGTGCCTCTAGTTCTTTCTCACTTCCGACTGTGATCTGCGAATAGTGATCTCTGTGTGATCTTTGGACTGTCTTCGCACTGATGCTCCTGCCGTGCTCAACGCCTGCCGACTTGCAGCACAGTAGCTGGCGCTCAAAGCCTTCCAAGGGGAATGCAAGGCTGAGCGCTGTTCCGCAGAGTCTGTGGTGCTGCCAACAATGCACGCACCGCCCTGCAGAATCTTTCTCCTTTTCTTAAGGGATTACACCAACACACAGTGCAAGCAATTGAATGACATCACTGCTATCAACAATCCGTGTGTGTGTGGTGCAAAGAATGCATGCACTGGTTGGCAGAGTCTGTATCTGTTACCAACAATGCATGCATTGCGATGCAGAATGTTTGTATGTTGCCAGCAGTGCATGCAGTTTTCGCTGACAGCATGCCTTGATCATTTGTGCAGAAGCGCCAGTTGAGGATGCCCAAGGAGAGGATGACAGTGACCTCGAGTGGGAGGAGGCATGACAAGTGCAAGATGGCCAGCATTGTGCTCACCTGCTGAATGACTGGGCTGTGTGATGACCTTCTTTTCTAAAAATTACTGTTCCTTCATCCTAGATCTGCTCTGGGGAAGAAGTATGCCAAGACAACCGAACGTTCTGATGAATTTGATGGCAATAGACACTTGATTCGCATCTCAGACATTGTTATTCCATTTAACCTTACAAGGAATGAGGCTCATGAGGTCCGGGCTTTGGACAATCTTTGGCTCCAGGGCTGTCACTGAAAATATCAAAGCTTGGCTGACTCACTGGCAAGCTGCCAAAAGAGGCAGATGGGAAAATCCAATGGCAAAATCACCGGAACACCAGTGGAACAATCAGGCTGGCTCCACAAGACATTAGCTCTTCCTTTGTTCCTTTCGTATTGCCATAAGCCGAAGCCTGGCAAAGATTCTCGAAAAATCGAATTTGATTTGGTCCCCTCCCAAACATGAACACTCTGAAGATGTGATACAAGTAGCATACTGTGTCTTGTACTGCTCAATGGTCGTGTGAAATGAATGTCTTGCTTAGAATCAGTTACGAGAGAAATTTGAAAGCACATCATGCCTTCCAAGAAGCTCTTCCTGGACATCACTTCACCCAGGCGGACATCCCCAAAAATTCTACTACCTGAGCCAAGCTTTGATGCCGATCGTGCAGGGGTAAACAATTAATAATTCAAAATGATTTTCATTCAGTGTATCATCGCTAAAAGACCAATTTGGATATCCTTCTCCAGTGTATATTTCAAGATTGAACCAAGAACGTCTGAGTGCCTCTGACTGCTTGTGCCAGGTGTCCCTGAAAGTCACAGAGAACGGCTCCTTCAATGTATTTAGCACTTCACAGGAATACAGGTTCACCCCAGAAGGGCTGGTCACAAAAGCAGGCAGGGATCCTGTAGAGGATGAACAGAGCAGCCAACTCTCCTACAAGGTAAAAAGAACACCATCGCCCTTCGAAAGCATCAGAGCAGCCGTAGCACTGTGCAATGTGCAGAAAGTACATGTCAAATTACTCAGAACAGAACACCAACTACAAGATGATCTGCTACTTTCATGCTATTGAACCTTCACCGCTTGTGTGTGATGGCAGATCTCTGAGAGGGACGTGCGCATCATCAGGACCTTGGGCCGAGGCGCCAGCAGTGTGGTGAGTCAACACTAGCCTCAACTAATACATGAAAGGCTGGTCCACGATGGCATTATTATATTATTATGCGCTTTTCCTGGCATGATGCGTCCTGCAGACAAGCTGCAGTCAAGGCTGCCAAAATCCTAACCCTTGTTGGACTCACCAGAATCAAGCAAGACCCAGTCAACCGTGGGCACGGTGCTCAATCTTTATACTGCCCCCTGCCAGCCGGGGCGATGAAATACACAGAGAAAGTACTGTGTCTGCTTGCACACAGGTGTACAAAGCCTTCCTGGCGCGGAGCGGCAAGTTTGTGGCAGTAAAGAGGATCAACTGCTTCGAGAGGGTGAGGCCTGGGAGCAAAGTGCATCGCCATTTCTTGCGTCTGCATGCTTGTACATGCTGTGCAGCGGTTCTGAGTGACTTTGCATGCGCTCACAGGAGAAGCGGCACCAGATGATGAATGACATCAAGGCTCTCTGCAACGTGACCGAGCCCAGCCTTGTGCAGTTCATTGGCGCCTATCATGCACCTGAAAATGGGCAGGTAATGCCGGACTCATCTGAAATTTTCTCCTGGATACCTGTTCATCAACAGCAGGATACTGCCCCTTTCTCCCTTGGTACCAGCCACCTGTGATGTCTCATGTAAATCTGCGCATGTATCTTTAATATTTAAGGCACAAGTGCCATGTTTTGTGTTGCAGATAGCGCTCGTCCTGGAGTACATGAATGGGGGCTCGCTAGCGGATGTCTTGGTAAAGGTAGCATCCTGACACATGCTCCTGATTCACAGCTGCCTGTCACTTTTGTGCTTAAAAATAAGCATGTCCCTGACGCAACCCTGGGTGAAGAAACACAAGGCTGCTGCTGAGCAAACCTTGGCTGTGGCTGCAGATGGGGAGCATAGCTGAAGATGCGCTGTCTGTTGCCACAGCGCAAGTGCTGCAGGGGCTATCGTACCTGCACAGATACAAACACATGGTGACATCCTCTCCCCGCATGCATAGGTCGACACAATTGATAAGCAAATTTCTCAAAGAGTCCTGCAGGGGCTGTCCTACCTGCAGACATGCAAGCACATTGCGCTTCCCCTGTATGCATCTATTGAAACCATTGAGGAGCTCACCTATTAATGAGTTGTGAAGTTATTGACGGAGGCAGACAGGCATCACGTTAGGCACTTGGCAGTAATCAGACGGAAGATCAGGTCTTTGCACAGTGCTCTGTAGCTCTATTGGGTGAGCTCGTCGACTAAGAACGGGTCACTGAATTGCCGCAAAGGTAGCTGGATACAGACAAGCATCTGCGCAGTCCTCAGCAGAGAGCGAAACAGGTGGGGGATTCAGAACAGATGTCTCTTTAGTTGCTGTATCTGAAGGTTTGCATGCATGCGAGGGTTCAGGTGCACCGGGACCTGAAGCCAGCCAACATCCTGATGGACCTCAGCGGCACAGCCAAGATTGCAGACTTTGGCATCAGCGCCTTTGTGGACAACACCCTTGCAGTGGTGGGCCGTTTTTCATCTTCCTCTGGACACCGCGGACTCACATGACTTTTACAGGGGCACCCCGTAAAGACGACATGTCAAAATAGGCATGCTTGCAGAGAGTCCTGGCTCGGTCTCTAGGGCAATAAGTGACTCCTTGCCTACATCCCTGCGCACCCGGTTTTACAGACATGCCCCTCAGATCTTTTGGGGCCCCAAACTCAAGAATGTTGAGCTTCAAATTGACAAAAATATTCATTGCTTTACCAAGATATTGTGTTGAGTTTTTTGCTGACAAGTTTGTGTTATTGCAGTGCCATACGTTCACCGGTACAGTCACGTATATGTCCCCAGAGCGCATCAACAGCCAGCCCTACTCCTTCCCTGCAGACATCTGGTGAGTTTCTGTGCTGCATCTGTCATCCTTTGGACCTAAGAGTCCCACCTTGACCTGCTGAGCCTGAAGGGGGGCTGTTTATAAAGGCAAAATTTGCGCTGAGTCTTCCATGAAGAGACAGCTCTTGGGCAGCATAGAGGATATCACCGATATTTCCTGCCGCATATTTGTGCATCTGCCTGACCCTGAATCCGCTTACTGTTGACACAAGGCCTTTTGGCATTCACGCTCTGCTGAGGGCAGCTTTTGAGTCCTGGTTGCCCGGCGCATCTGTTGATCCTCAATTTGTCAATCTCAATTCACTTCTCAATTTTCTCATTCCTCAATTTCTCAATTCAATCTCAATTCTCAATTTTCTCAAATCTCGATTCTCAATTTCTCAATTTTCTCTCAATTCTCAATTTCTCAATTCAATTCTCTCATTTCTCAATGTTCTCAATCCTCAATTTCTCAAGTCAATTCTCAATTCTAAGTTCTCAGCTCAATTCTCAATTCTCAATTCAGTTTCAAATCTCAATTTTCAGTATTTCTCAAATTCCAATTCTCAATTCTTAATTTTCTCAATTTCTCAATTCTCAATTTCAAATTCTCAATTTTCTCAATCCTCAAATTTCAAGTCAATTCTCAATTCTCAGCTCAATTCTGAATTCAAATTCAAATCTCAATTCTCAATTATTCTCAATTCTTAATTTCTCAGTTTCTCAATTCTCAACTTCAATTTCTCAATTTTCTCACCTCTCGATTTCTCAATTCAATTCTCAATTCATTCTTAATTAAATTTCAATTTCTCAATTCAACATGACGATGACAATTGAAGCGCCCTGTGACATTAGCCTGAAGCTAGGTGCGCTCTGTGCAGGAGCCTCGGTCTGACCCTGGTGGAGTGTGTCACTGGCAGATACCCATATGACGCCAGTGGAGGGCCCCTGCAGCTCATGATCCAGGTGCATTGCTGCTCTTTGCTGCTTTCTTTTCCACATTCCACATGCGGGCCGCAGGCGGGGAATGGTATAGTTACTGAGCACCGGTGCCCACGGTCGATTGATTCTTGCTTGGATCTGGCGAGTTCATCAAGGGGAAGGATACTTGGCAGCCTTTGCCTGCCGCTTGTCTCTGCAGACGCACCTTGTCTCTTGCAGGGTGTGCGTTTGCTTCAAATTGCAAGTATTTAACTTGCATGCCAGGGAGTGAGACAGCACCCGTGAAATTCTCTTCATGAGACACCATCACAACAAGGAGGCGCCTTGCATGCACTGCATGTATTGCGAGGCAGCCCTTTCTTCCTGCTTATGGCACTCGCTCTGCCTTGTATGTCTTGCAGTTACATTTGCTCATCAAGCCCTGTGCATATCCAGGTGGTGGAGGAGCCAGTGCCGCTGCCAGCAGAGGGCACCGTGAGCGCAGACTTCCGCAGCTTCGTGGCTGCATGCATGCAGAAGGACCCCTACAAGCGGCCCACCGCTGAGGGCCTGCTCAGCCACCCCTTCATTCTCAAGGTCCGGCCCAGCTTTCTGGCACAAGCTTGACAGTTTTGCTTGTGCGCGTGTTGCAGCCCTGTCTTCATATCATGACCACGGCGCAGCACACCAGCATTTCTACGTCCTGGAACCACGGGTACAAATTCCACGGTGTTTCAGGCCGCAGGCAACATTGGAAGAATGCTGTAAGGGATGAGCACTGACCGGGGGCAGCGGCATGCTAAAACTTACCTTGAAGGGAACATCTAGCGATGAAGTTGACATGTGGATCATGGTTATTGACATAATGTTTATTCCTGCAGCATGCGAGGAGACGACCAGACATGCGCTCGTTCATGCGGTGCATGGAGGATCCAGAGTCCATGTGAGCCCCTTTACACAATTACTTATATTGAATTTCCTCAAATGCCATGCATGCATGCAGACCTGTGAGATTGAAGGTCCCGGCACGAGACGCTTGCCCCATGTGCGCAAGTTGAAGTGTCAAGCCCCTGAAGGTTCATATCAGAGATGCAGTTACCCTGAATGCAATTGCAAGACCCCAAGCCCTGACGTGTCAGAGTAGAGATGCTTGTCTTATGAGTGCAAGTTGCAAGAGTCCGAGCCCTGAATGTTTAGCCGAGTGAAGGCTCCCATGAGCACCAGCGGATCACCTGATCTTCGAATTTGTTGCCAGGACATTTGCTGCAGCAGGTGCTCAATGTGTGAATGATGTCATACTGAGTAAAGGTGAGTAATGGTGAGAAATGGGTGTGTCACATGCAGGATGGAGGAGATGGCTGTTGATGTGACAGGCAGGTTCTACCGGGCGATGGCAGCTGGCAGGGAGGGCGTCGCCAGCACATCGTCCCTGTACTCTGAAGACTCGGTGAGACAGTAGTCATGCTTCCTTTGCCCTGTGCCCTCACCCAGCAGCGCAGCAGGCATAAGAAAAGCGCTGAAAATCATGTCTTCCGGCCTGAAGTGCCGTTCCTGAGACCAGAAGGGTGTTGCACTTTTGTGTTTGATTGTGCCAGGCACAAGGAGCTCGCCAGTGTATTGCCCCTTACTTTGACCAATGAAAAAAATGGCAAAATTGCATGTTTTCACCCACTCCACAAGAACAGAGACCTCAAAGAGCATACATTGTGCTGTCTAGGCACCACCAAACAAAAGTGCTTGGCGGGTCACAGCACCTGCGCATGCGCAGGTGTACACGAATGAGGGGAATGTCACGCGCGGGCGGGCGGCGATTGTGCAGAGGCTGCAGGAGTTGGCGCAGCTGCATGCGGCCTACGGTAGCGGCACGCATCAGGCTGACATCATCGACTCGCTGACCATGCAGGTGCGCGCATGTGCCGCCATTATTTTTGGTAAGTGCTTGTGACCTGAGCTGCAGACATGCTGGACGTTAGAAGAATTCCATTTATATGCCTCCTGCATGGAGGATTCAGGGAAAGAGCTCTGAGCCAAGGATCTGTTCCCTTGCAGGACGGGGGTCTGCTGGTGCATGTGAAGGGGCACTTCAGAGTGGGGGGATCGGGGCCCCTCGCTCTGGGGCCGCAGGGGGCCGGACCCCCCTCTGTCTACTGTGAGGCCTTCCTCATCCGCCGTGACAGCCTGGGCCGGCCGCTGATCAGAAATCAGCTGTTCCGATTACTGTAGCGCAGGATTTAAGTACACCATTCTGCACCGGCTTGTGCAGGTGATCAGGAATGAGCTGTCAGGCCTGTTGTAGCAATTCTCCATACTGCTTCACTGTTCCATACAGTGCGGCACTGGCCTGTGCCTGTGATCAGGAACCAGCTTTTCCGAGTACTGTAGCACAGCATTCTATTTCAGTGAGTGTAGTAAAAATAGTGCAGTACAATGAGTGTAGCACAGAACATGTACCCACAAAATGCTGCACCGGCCTGTGCCGGTGATCAGGGATCAGCCATTATAGAAAAATGATACGCTGAAATCAAAGCAGAGCGAGCGCCAAAAGGAATGAGGAAGGGTTGCCTTGCACTATATTTGGAACGTGTGAATCATACCAGACACCTGTTTTAGCGCAGCATTGTACCCACAAAACTCTGCACCGGCCTATGCTGGCGAATATGAATCAGCTTTCCTATTGCTGTGGCCTAATTTTGTTCCATACAATCCTGCATCAACCTGTTTTCCTCTTGCCTGCTTGCCTGCACCAGGTCTGCTGCCTGGGCTTTGCCTGGGCAAAATTTATCTTCTAGTAATGCATGCCATGAGCTCTTTACTCATATCTAGATTGGGATATTTGGGTGTTCTGTAAGTCTTATGCCTGCTTGACAATCACAACCTTGTGACAGAAATGCTCTCATGAAGTCAAGAGTGATGAAATCACGTGTGCACATGCATCATGCATGATGCTGGTAGCAACAGAGCTAAAGTTTAGCTGCTAAAGTTTAGTAGCTAAACCATGCATGTAGAGTGCCGCAGGATCCCAGAGTGCTTGAATAAACCTTTGAATGAAGTGCCTTCTATACAACTTTCAAACTTGCACCACATGTGTACAGTAACTGTACACATGTGGTGCAATATTTGCCAAATACCATTTGGAATATCTGGTCTCACACTACAGCCAACCCTGGCATGCGCATGCAGAAACCTCACATCTTGCTTTGCATACCAAAACTTTTTCTGTCAAAAATCTCACATTCTGGTTCTCATAGGGTTGTTATGTATGATAATGCTGAGTCACAATGAAATTTCAGGAGGTTTCCTTGCTGGAGCCAGCAGGAATTAATTGCTGGGTGGCTTGCCTGTCTTGGCAATTCTCGCTTCCTTTTCAGCTGCAGCAGGACAAATTGGAGGCATGCATTGGAAGCAGATTTTAGGGAAAAAATTAGCTGCATCAAGCATTGCAATCGCCATTGCTGACAGAAATGGGTATGACAGACGGAGAAGGGACCCTTGTAATCTAAGGTTGCTGTGAAACCAACAGCTGAGAACTTTCTGTCCTTATGCTCAATCAAGTGAGATTATCTCCCACTTCATATGTTTGCAACTGCTCATTCCATTTTTGCCTATCACCTGGGGTTGCTTTGGGGAAGATCTTGTGTTCGTACAACTCATCATCAAGCTGGAAGTAGCTTGAATTAGGCTATCTCACTCAATTAGTGGCATCAAATTGTAATCGAAGCATATCGTATTGCTAATATGGAGTTGGTCGCGAGCATCACGATTTCTTACTTGCGTTCTGCTGTAGATCTTGTTCTGCACTTTTCCACCCTTGACTGTCTCTTGAAGGAGCTTGAGGGAAATCTCAGTGTTTCTCGAAGACTCGAAAATTAGTATCTTCACTTCGATCCATTGTGCTTCCTGCAGGCAACCGCATCTTAGTGCTCCCTCTGAGGAAGTACTCGAGTGGGACTTGCTACAAGCCTATATCAGGCAACTGCATTCAGGAATCGGAGATCTTCGCGGCTCCTCAACGTAACAATCTGAGCTGCATCTGCTCGCAAGATTGAAGCTGTGGAGGGCTTGGCAGAGCACAGAGCAGAAGGAGCATTCCCATGAGTGGGGCACACCCAACAGGGCCACCAAATGGGATCCCTCCCTTGCACCCTCGGCCACCCCCTCAGTTCAGCGAGCCTAGCACATCAAAGCCGGTGAGAGCCAACATGCACACTTCTTTCCAGGAGCAAATCCGCTCTAGGAGGGTGCTGTCTTAGCAGGACAAGAGCTCCACGAACATTTGGACTGCAGACTTGACTCAGAAAGTCACAGATGCTTATATTACGTCAGGAAGAGTCTTGCTGAATGGCCTGTCTCCACTGAAGGCTCATCAGCATGCCGCAGAGTTGTAGAGGCCATTGATTTGCCTGTCCATGCAATAAAACAGATTCCTAGCTGCGCTGTTCTATTGAGTGTGATTGCAATGCAGGCGCTGGCGTACGCAGAGCCACTAGAGCAGGCGACAGCCAGGCATGCCCGTGCATGGAAGGTAGGCGCTAATGCATGGCTCCCGCAGGACCAAACCCGAAACCATACCTGGCTTGACTGAATGTGGTGTAGACATTAAAGACATATCGTATGTCGTGAATGCCTGTAATTGCCTGTGAACCCAGGCATATTGATGGCGATTGACAAGGGCAGAAGCAATCCACTCAAATGCGTGCTGACAAAGCGCATCTCTGGACATCCAGCAAGGACTTTTTGGGCTGTGATCATGTGCAGGTGTGGTTGGTGGCGGGGGACTGTTTCTTGATCGGGCTGGCTCCAGTTCTGGTGCACATGTCCAAGGGGCCGGACGGCAAATTCCCCTTTCATCCAGTTTCCATCAACCTCCTGGTGGAGGTCGCGAAGACCATATTCGCCACGGTTGTGCTCATGCTCTATGTGAGTCAATCCTGCCTCTCTCTTTGTTACTTGACTGCTGTGTGTGATCCTGCAAAGCTTCTGTTGATTGTAGGAGACTAGTAGATACTTCCAATGATGTTTATCTGCGTTGCCTTGTCGATATAGAGATGCAGTCACGCACTGATGTGCACATCAAGGAGGATGCAGTACAATACTCAGCACGTGATCCTGAAATTACAAATTTGCCTTGAGTTCCCAGCAGCCGACAAGGCCTCAGAAGGGCACCGGAGTGCATGCCAGGACCCAGCGCATCGACTGATCAGATTTGACTTTAGGTCTGAGCAGGAACGGGCGGGCCCCGCAATGCTGTAGTCCTGCATCAGAGCGGGGTCTGTAGCGCAGATACTTCAGCACCCAGCGTCTTGACTGATCGAATTCGAATTTGAATCCGAGCAGGGCACGGGGCGGCCGGGCCCGCCGCTGTACCGCAGCGCGCGCGCATTCGTGCGCGACGCGCGGCACAACCAGCTGCTGGCGATTCCTGCTGGGCTGTATGCGGTCAACAACTACCTCAAGTTCGCCATGCAGCTCTTCTTTAAGCCCACCACCGCCAAGATGCTCGGCAACCTCAAGGTGAGGGCCTCTTCCTGTCTCGATGTCCCGCCCAAGACCACATGATTGTAAGTTGAAGGGCAATCTGGGGGCAGTTTGGGGGCTTGTCGCGTAAGATTAGGGGAGCCCAGGGCAAGCAATTGAACCTGGAACACTGAGTACCTCATTGTGTGACATTACGATGCTGGGCAACCTCAAGGTGGCAGTTCATGCTGTGGGCTTGTGATCGTTCCGTTTGAGCACATCGATTCTCTTCGTAAAAAAGCGTGCCAGGACTGCAATTTGTAAGCAGCAGCGTGGGACGAGTCCTCCCTCTGCATCCCTGTCATGTTGTCGTCTTTTCTGTTAGCGATAACAATTCTCCAGCATTGTTGCCAGAGGATAATAATAATAATAATAATAACACGCTTTTCCTGCCAAGAGGCAAGGTGCGTCCTGCAGACAAGCTGCAGTTATAGGCTGCCACAATCCTACCCTCGTTGGGCTCGCCAGATCTAAGCAAGACCTAATCAACCGTGGGCACGGTGCTCAGTGTTTGTACCGCCCCCTGCCAGCCGGGGCCAATGCCAGAGGATGAAAGAGCCTATACAGTGTTGGACGGAAGCCACTGAACGCAAAAGCTTCTTCTTTGCATGGTTGCCACGTTGTGGTGCAAAATGCTGCTGTGTCCAGTTTCGAAACAGAGTCTGCGGTCCTGTTTAATTGTGACGTCACCTGACAATGGGTTTGTTGTGATTTTGCAGATCCTGGTCATAGCGGTGCTGATGAAGTGGGTGCTGAAGCGCACGTTCAGCGTGTTCCAGTGGGAGGCCCTCCTCTTGCTGGTGGCAGGCATCACCGTCAACCAGCTCAACTACTGCAAGTGAGTCATCCATTACTAGGAGCTATTAGTGCATCATTCCTGAATTGGCTTCTGCCTGCGCACCCTCCAGGCTCACTGTTACTGGCTCTTCGCTAGGCAAGGCGACGTTCCTCTGACCTATCACTCACACAATCTAGTCCTGGAACTGCAGTTTCACAGACTGATAGTTGTCTGCAGCAGCTTGTCAGCCATTTTAAGCGGGCCCCGCTGGCATATGTGTGTCAATGTGCTGTTCTCCATCAGGCGTTCCATGACACAAGGCACACAGGAAGCCTCTCTTGCATGGGCCACGAATTTGGTTGTGTGGCCAAAGCATGATCAGACCCATTGCCAGAACAGGCTCATCGCCACTTCAGTTGCCCCATCTCAGCAAAGTCATGCGCTTGTGCTGCATTCGCAGGGGCGGGAGTGACGGGGACATGTTTTCGGGGGTGGCGATAGCGTACACGCTGGGCAGCGTTACGGTGCCATCCCTGGCATCGGTCTACAACGAGTTTGCGCTGAAGAAGCACATGGACACAAGCGTGCACGAGCAGAACTTCTTCCTCTACTTCTACGGCGCTCTCTTCAACCTGCTGGGCGTGCTGGCCACGATGGCCTTTGGTGGGCTCTCCTGGACTGCCATTTTCCATGGGCACAGCAAGGTGAGGCTTCAATTTAATGCAGCAGACTTTGCATATGCACGGGTATTTTTCTTTGAAAAGGTTCCTGCCACAAACACAGCAAGGTGATGCTCAGAAGCCAGCTCTCGCAAAGATAAATGCAGCAATGGCTACTCTTCTGAGGGAAGGCGTAAGAGCTGCATAATAAGGGAAGGTAACTTGTGATTACTTGCAGCAATTGCTTCTCACCACGACCATTTGGGGTGCAAGAAACGCATTTGCGGCGAATTGTGTACTATAAACGCATGCAACACGGTTCCTTGCAGAAGTGATGGGATGGAGTGGTTATTGCATCCGCCGGGGTGTCTGTTTCCTACCTGTATGCAGCATTTCAGATATTGGTCTTTCAAGCGACCATCAGCAACCATGCATGACCGGATGACATAGAGCGCAGAGGCGAACCATTTGGCTCGTTCATATGTGAAGTACCACAACGTCATTGCTGACACATCGCTGATGTCATGCGCGTGCAGGTGACGATGCTGCTGGTGATGAACAACGCGCTGCAGGGTATCCTCTCCTCCTTCTTCTTCAAGTACGCGGACACCATCCTGAAGAAATACTCGTCCACCGTGGCCACCATCTTCACCGGCATCATGTCTGCGGCGCTCTTCGGCCATTCTCTGACGCTCAACTTCGCCATCGGAGTCACCATCGTTTTCATCTCCATGCACCAGTTCTTCGCGCAAGGTGAGCTCGCCAGGGTTCACATGCTAGCACCCCTTATATAATGGGGTTAAAGTGCAGGGGTGGGGTTTGGCAGCAGTGAGCTTTTCGTGGGTGCCATTCCTTCTGGCACACCATCTTTTCGTCTCAATGCCCCAGTTTTTGCTCAAGGTGAGCCTGCCAGTGCGCATGTACTAATGCCCTATTGCAGTATGTTTTGTGGTCATGATCTTGCGTGCCAATTTCCTCTTTCTGCTACGGTAAACCATATTTTTCATGTCCATGCACCAGTCCTATGCGCAAGGTGAGCCTGCCAGCGCAGCTGCATGTGCCAGCACTGCCCTGCAGCATTGGCATTGCTTGTCTTTGTGCCCACATATCTATGCTCTTGGATGTGAGGTGCATAAGTCTGGTGCATGTCTGGGCAATAACTCCACGTGTGGGACAGCGATAAATGCAAGAAATCCAGTGTTGTGGTAGATCACCCCATGAAGCTGACCAAGAGATGGATGGATAAGAGGGCTGTACTGAGATATCGACAATGCAATCGGCACTGCCAATCTGGATGCAACGTGCTGTCCTCCAGAAGCGTGTGAAGCTGGGCAGTGCTGTGAAATGGCTGCAAGTAATTCCATGAGCCACCAAGGGGGTCTCTGCCCTCTTTACACTTCCTAAGGGGGTCCGAATTGCTCCGGGCTGAGGGGTGTTGATATGTACAAACGAGTGAACCTGACTAACGCACGCGCGTTGTGATATGTGCTGCAGGGGGAGTAAAGGGACCGAAGCCGGCGGGAGGGAAGGTGCATGCGGGGGGACTGGCACCGTTTGGCAAGCCGCTGCATTTCACGCCGTCGCCATCATTGGAGCATCTGCGGCAGACCAGCGATACGGACCTGGCCTCCCTGGATGGCAGCACCGGTGTGTTTGACCCGGAGCACGCGCATGCGATGAATGCGCGCCGGCCGCTGCTGCCACGCTAGTGTGTGCAATATTACACTTTTGAGAGGCCCTAGACAGGGACTGTATTGATGGTGGGTGGGCCAGTGACCTGGACCAAAACAGGAGAAGATGGCCTCGAGCCGCAAACAGAGGAAGCTCGAGCAAATAACTGGCTGCGGACGCTGCTGCCGCGCTAGCTTAGGGGCCGGCTAGGCAGTCTCACCTGCTCGAGAGTCTCTGCAGGCAGCGATGGTCAGCGATGGACCAGCTATCAGATGGGAGCTTGGAGACCTCCAAAAATCAGAGGGCCCTGGCTTGGGGCTAAAATTTTGCTGGCGCAATCTGTGTGACTGCTGCTGCTGTGATAGCGTGACAGGGCCTGTTGTGTGTGGGTGGTCATCTGAAGATAGCAGGGAGTGTATGTATGCAAAGTAGGATGGATCTGTGCAGCATGAGGCCCTTATAAGGCGATTTAAACAGCACCCAGGAAGTTCTGGTGCTTAGCAAGTATGGCAGGGAACCTTCAGAACAGATTGGGAAGAAGGAAGGAATGTGTCAGTGATACTGAGTGGCGTTCAGGGACTGGCAGTGAACGGCAGCATCTAGGTGAGAAATGAACGTGTCAATTAACGAAATGAAGACAGGCTAGTGTGTTTATGCGTCAAACGTTGCACCGGCCGGTATCGGTGTCACACGGTGGACTTGCCCTTAATTAAGATGTGCATGCAGTACGTGCTGCAAAGTCATGCAATGAAGAGCTTTTCAAAAAACCCTTCAAACCTTGCTAATCACGGTCAGCCTTGGAAGTTTACTTTGCTTGAGGATCCAACTTTCTGAGTGTGAAGGCGAGGCCAAGGCAGAGCGTATCTCCAGGTCCCAGCATTTCGGCCTGCACATAAACAAACAGAAATCGAGTTGAATCCACCAAGAACTTCTTCCAACAACTTCCAGGTACGTCTTCAATCGTTCCTGAAAGCACTCGCAATCACACTGTATCCAACACTTGCCATTCACAGCAGATTGCTTTTCGGACAGTGACGCGCATGCCTGTCACGTCTTTGATGGAGGGATATGCTCGCTTGAACGCCGTCCAAGTTTGTTAAATCAAATTTCAATGTCACTATCGAGGACAATTGTCATCGTGAAATCACTCTACATTGTGTCTGTATAGTGAAGGACACGGGCGGCATGCGTGATCTTGATCACCTCGCAGTGGTGCTTGGAAGCAGTTTCGACAGGTTTTTGTCCCCGATATTACCTTACGTATGGCTTTCATGACCAGGGATCTCTAAATGCTTTCGCTCACTGGCCCAGCTCGGAGAGTTTTGGCACTTGGGGGAGCAGCCTCATCCTGCAAGAGCCTCTGCACATCTTCCCTCAGAGTGCGTCCTCGATCATGCTTGGCAAGCCAGATTTGCAATTTGAAGGGTTTTTGCACTTCTCTTCACATCTCATCTCGCAGCTTGGATGATCTTTGTATGGGCTGTCTCTCCCTTGTGCAGGGGACCTCGTTCCAGCCATTTAGACAGCAGCGCATCTCTCAGCAGGCGCCTTTCGGCAGAGCGCGAAAGTTTGGGGCAGCGATCGGTCCCGGCGGGGATTACTCAGCAAAGGGCTACTCAGCAGCAGAAGCAGCTGAGTACGAGGACATGGGCGGATCAGTAAGCTCCCTTGAAAAAAATGGCCATTTCTGCTGCAGTCAGCAGTGCAATTTCCGGTGCATCAGAGGAACAGATGATGTCTGCATGCTGCTTGCTCTCTTGCAAGGAGACTGCACTACTTGCTGGGAGCTCTTGTGACTGTAATTAATCTCAATTAGTACCCCACTGATCCCAGGAGGAATCTTCCTGGCAATGTGTCGATGGTGAATTGGCCTCTTCTTTTCATCCAATCAGTTGAGAAGGTCAGGGATGTCACCAAATTTCATCATAGGGGCGGAAACCTCAGGGCGGAATAATACTGAGCACCGTCCCCTCGGTAGATTGGGTCTTGCTTGAATGTGGCAAGGCCGACACACAGGGAGGACATGTGGTAGCCTTCACATGCAGCTTCTCTGCAACTGCAGACGGGCGTTGCCTCCTGTCGGAACAGCGTGCAGCACTGATACTAAGACTGCCCACGAGACCAATGAGCCTCAGGTGGCTCCCAAAAGGTCTCTGAATGTAATTATGACAAACTGATTTAGATCCCTTTATAAGCAGGGGGCATTGCTGGAGGGCAAGTGGGCGCTGGTGACGGGCAGCTCCCGGGGCATCGGCCGGGCCGTGGCAGAGGCATTCGCCACGGAGCACGCCAGCATCATTATCACCTGCGAGCCCAACGAGAAGGACGACTTAGAACAGGTGATAATGCTGCAGCATGCACTCTCCCTGAGCCAATACCTTTGGGTTGGAACTCGGAAGATCCCGCCTGCAGGCACAGGCACCTGTAAGTGTTTCGGGGCTGCAGAAGGGTATGGCCGCAGCCTTTCTGACGGAAAGACTTTTGGGGTGGAAATTTCTTCCAAGGGCAGTGGACATGTCGAGCCCCCTCTGGCAATGCACAGCACAACAGCCTGCAGCGACCTTGCCAAGGGGCCTTGTTGTGTCGGCTGTTCCCGGTCGAGACGGCGACTCCAGTGACTCTTTTCATCAGGAGAGTTGAACGGCCCCAACCTTGCCAGATGCTGGGGGGCAGATTTCAGAAATTTGGGGGCAGATTTCAGAAATTTGATTATAGGGAGAGCAAGAGAGTCTTGCTGTGCAGGTGGCGGAGGTGTGTAAGAAGAACGGAGCAGCGGATGTGAAGCTGGTGTACGCTGACCTGACAGACCCCCAGGAGACCAAGAAGCTAGGGGAGGTGAGGTCCAAGACTGCAGACTTGACCGCTTGCATTTGTCCTTTCTAACTGTCCCTGCCTCTCATTGCTTTGCATGAGACTGGAGGAGGCCCAGCACTACATGCATGGCCTTCTGTACATTTGCCAAAGTTCCTTTGACATTTCTCGCCAAAGTGGGAATTGCAGGAGTCTGTGGCTCTTTCCAGACCTGTAGCAGTGCAGTTTTGCCTTTCAATGAGAAAACTAACTTGTTGAAATACTCTGTGTCTGCCCACGGCGTGGTGGCTTCTTGAAGCTGTAGATGGGTTCTAGCTCGGAGCCTTTCCAAAGTAATGGTGCGTATATTTCACAGGAGGCGCTGAAGCTGAGTGGAGGTTGTGTGAACGTACTGGTCAACAACGCGGGTGTCTACTTCCCCATGAGCCTCGATGAAGGCCCCAACAAGGGGCAGGGACCTCTGGATGGTGAGCCCAACATTGACTCTTGCCCTGCATCCAAACAGTCGAGGCCGGTCCTTGTCTCATCAGTCCAGTTTTGAACAAACTGGTTGTCAGGCTGTCTCATCACCTGTGTTGGCTTCTGCATATCTCCTGCTTGAAGTGTTCTCTGTCTGTGATCTGAGCACATTTCTGCACAAATTTGGCGCATGGAAATGAGTTCCAGGGGGAGTGGCATTGACGAATGCAGTTCCACGGCTGAGTTCTTATTGGGGTGCATGATGACTAACTGCCGAGTCATGGCTGTGGTGTTGAACTGGAAGAGTGTATCCTGTGCGCAGGCGACCCGGACGACTGGGACAAGCAGACGCACATAAATCTGATGGCGCCCATGCGGCTCACGCGAATGCTGCTGCCTCCCATGAAGGAAGCAGGTCAGGTCCCCCACCAGTTATTATCATTATCATTATCATTATCATTATCATTATCACTATCATTATCATTATCATTATCATTATCATTATCATTATCATTATCATTATCATTCATAATTTCTATTATTATTATTATTATTACACGTTTTTCCTGCCGAGAGGCAAGGTGCGTCCTGCAGACAACCTGCAGTTGAAGGCTGCCATAATCCTACCCCTTGCTGGACCCGCCAGAATTTAGCAAGACTCAATCAACCGTAGGCACCCCACCAGATTGCTTTGTGAAAATCCTACCTCTCTGAAAGTCCAAGCAGTGTATAAGAAGGATGTTTGCGCATCATTATGCTGGGAGTAGAGTATCAAGGGTTGGGCCGACTTTGTATTGTGGTGGCACAGTGAGTCACCTGTTGCAGCTCAATTTACTGTATCCTCCTCGCTTCTTAGGCCCCTGAGTGGCCCGTAAGTTGATAGAGTTCTTGGGCGCCCTTGTAACATCAGGGGGTTGTGTCCTGACATGGATGCATCGATGCATGTGTTCCTGGACCAAGTAAGAGATGCAAATTTGGGCCGTGAAACAAATGCGCTATGGCGGATTCTATGGCTTGTGTCCGAGGAATACATGCATCGCTCCATCTGCGTGCACCCCTGAGGCTCACCGAGAGAACACCTCATGAGCTGTCACGCACCATGAAGTTGCTTGTTGATGACCTTAAATGGGGCTTTGACTTTGTCTTTAGATGCGCTCTGCTGGCTGCAGGTGAGGGCCATGTTGTGAACATAGCAAGCATAGAAGCGCTCTACCCCTACCCGTCAGCCCCAGCCTACTCAGCCACCAAGTGGGGTCTGCGCGGCTGGTCCAAGGCACTCTTTGCGGCACGTTCCCTCCTTTCCTCCTAATGCTTTCCATTTATTGCTCTCAGGAAACAGCACCACGGAAAGGATGGTATGGGTAGATCACGGCTCCCTTGGGAGGGGCCATCCATGCCGCGCGCATAGTGAACACGAATTTAGTCACCATGCACGCAGCACAATATTTGTGCTGTTTGAGATGGGTTGCACAGGCGGCCACCTTGTTGCCCGGCGCCTGCAGGGTTTGGCTTGCAAGCCTTCAATTCCAGCACCTGCATGATTCTGCTACAAGAGTAGTGTATCTGCAATCTGCTTTGCACACTAGGAGTGCGCCAAGAGGCAATTGCATCAGCTCCTCTTGCGTGGCAATAGTTCCTTTGGCATGCAAAATTGATTGATTGTCTTTCCTGATGTGCTCAACAGGCGCTGAAGAGTGACAACATCAAGGTGCTGACAGTAAACCCGGCGCAGACCAGCACGCCGATGACTTGGTCACGCCCCGACGCAGAGTATCTCCCCGAGAAGATGATTCAGCCGTCCGAGATCGCCGAGGCCATCATCATGACCTTCCGGCTGAACCCCAATGCCTTCATAGAGGAGATCACTCTGCAGACGGCTGAGCCGCCCAAGATAGAGAAGTGAGGCAGCAGCCTTCCAGAAGAGCTGAGGGGTCCGTAGACAGATGTGACATTTATTACAGTAGAATGTGACAAGAAAATTGATGTACGGCTGAGCTGTGGTGGAGTGTAAGGGTATGCACAGATGCATGGCTAACTGCCAATGGCGGGCACTGTAGACGATAGGCAAACATGAGGTGTGTTTTGGTGCTGGAGAGGTCAATATACTATGCATGTGCATCGCATTATGATGTAGTGCACATCTTACTGCAAAACATATATGACAATGTGGCACCAGTCGGGCCACAAAAAACTTTGCATGTGTGTACACCGAGATACAAAGTTGCCTCACGGCAACCACACACAGCGTAGAACAGCAAAGAAAGTCAGGTCCACCTACTTTGCCACGCGCTAAATATTGATGAACACATCATGACTTGACACAGTCCCCAAACAGCACGCACACAGGTGGATCTCAACACAAAAAAATTCCTGAAGAAGGAGCTATTCCAGACACCATTACAGTGCTACAGTTGCTTGTGCAACACGGGCCTCCCAACAGTTTTGTTCACAGTACAATCTGACTGGCTCAATCCTGCCTACAGCCGCCAAAGTTCTCGATCTTGTGCGCACCCCTGTTGTGTCCAGGGGTGCGCACAAGACATGCCCACCCCTGGACACGTCTTCCACATGTGAACTCGCTGCATTCCTGCGAGGAAGCTTGCTGAGAGTATGCCTGTATTGGCCCAAGCCTGCTGGCAGCTGCGTGTATCAAAGTCACTTGAGGGACTCAGAGAAGGAGCAGTGCTTCTTCAGTTTGGCAGACAGGCTGTAGGTGCCGTCATCATTGCCCGTGACGGGCTTGATCAGCTCCTGCAAGCCCAAAATCCTGTCAGAATACTTGCAAGGAGCTTGTGGTGGTCTGATATCTGCTTGCTGCAAAGATACTGCTAATCAGCTCTATTGTGTCATCGCTTGCTTGCGTCCCCAGCTTGTGCCATGCTCGCATTATTTCCCTCTACCAAGGCAGACATATTCTTGAAAAACTGCTTTACACCCCTGCCCTGCCAACAAAAGCACTCCGAACCGAAACCCAGCAAGCCACGCCCACAGGGCATAGCAATCACAGCTTTGAGTCTATTAAGGTCCCCGGGCTCCAGACGCACCTTGACCCTGCCGGTGCCGGGGGTATAAACCAGTCCATGCACCACCAGCTGCTGGCCGCGCGCCCACGCCGCCTGCACCACCGGCGACGAGACCACGTTGAACACCTGCGCCTCCACGTTCAATTCCACCAGCCTGCGCACCGCAGCGCTCTCTTTTTCAGGGCCACGGTCTCTCAATTTAAGACAAAGAGAGAAGAAAAATAATAAGACGAGAGGTGACTCAAGGATTGAGCGGTTTGAGCAACTCCAAGGCATACAGGCAAAGGCTCCTCTCCTGCACCGGGTGCAGGAGAGGCCTGCAAGACTTGCTTGCTATCAGTGCTTTATTTGCCATCAGCTCTGTATTCAAACTGTGAGTGTGGTTCCTCTCAGGTATTGCTGCATGGCAATTCAGGCTTTGCCCAGATATCCCTGGCGGCAGGGCAAAGCAAAGCAGATGCTGCATGAAAGAACCTGCATCTCAGTAGCATACAAACTGCCAACACTCAAAATGGCCCGCGCACATATTGCCAACTATTATTCCTCCTCTTGTGAGAGCCTTTGTCAACAGCAGCGCTCTGCCTCTTATAAAATTCAAATCCCAATTCAAATTTTCTTAAATATTTCGTCATTTAATGAGTACTTAAATGGCACGCACTTGTCCCAGGCTTCGTCGAGGGGGAGGCCCTCCAGAGCGGCAGCGTTCTTGTCACGCACGTCCCTCACATCAGAGATCCACAGGTTAGTCACCCCCGCCGTGCTCGGGTGCCACACGAGTCCCGCCTTGCACGCACCTGCGCGCATAAAATTGATTGAGTTGATTGAATTTGAAGACTATAGGGTTCAAATTTGAGCGCCGTCAGTCTCCACCCAGCCACGTGCTCGATCTGAAGAGAGCGAAATGCAAGAAGAGTGCAATAGGGTATTCCTGGGTGCTCCAGAGGTTCAGTGAGCATTCAGATAGAGTTGTGCTGCTGTGTAAGAGTGCATAATGGACTTTGTAGTGTCAATGCTATGCCTGCCTTTCTCCAACAAAGGAAGCACATAAAGATGTCCTCTGTCTGAATAGCTCTCTCCAAGAGCAGCTCCAAACAAGCAGCTGATTGGGGCTTGCAGGCATGTGAGCCTGCAGTGCTTTCAAGAAAGTTGCACCTGGCTAATGTGTTTCATGGCTAGATAAAACAAAAACCTGGATCTGCACCTGATCCTCATCCTAGGCTGTCTGAACCATTTGCTTCTGCATACAATGTCTGGATTTAAAAATGGATTTGAGGAAGAGAAGCGCGGCGCACCGCAGTTGTAGTGGCCGGTGACGAGGATGTGCTTGACCTTGAGGTGGTCGATTGTGTACTCCAGGCAGCTCATGCAGTTGAGGTCTTTGACGCTGATCAGGTTGCCGACGTTGCGCTGCACAAACACCTCCCCGGGCGCCATGCTGAACATCGCGGCCGGCTGCGCGCATGCATGCACAAAAGTCAACGGCCAAGATAAAGTGAAGTGCAGGTACAATATACTGTGGCAGCTGCAGAGCTGAGCTGCACTGACACTGTCTGTTGCTGCTTGTGGCACTATATAAGCCGGGATCTCTAAAGGACATGCATGGCCATTTACTTTCCTCAATTACAACCAAGCTGAGAGTCACACAGCGCCACACAAAGATGTGCATAGCAAATTCAGATTGCCAATGCCGGAAAAGCAGTCTAGTATGCACAGCAATCCTGATCAAGGCTTCTACTGAAGACAAGGGATGTGATGGGGTGCGCACGTGCGCGCGAGAGTCAGAGCAGCCAATGTAGAGGAATTCTGGAGACTGTGAGCCAGCAATCTTCGAGAAATAGGTGGGGTCCTTGGCGATGCACTCCTCCGCCCATTTCCTGCACAATAAGCAGATCTCAGATGCCCCTGCTTGGCCTCAGCAACACTTACCCAGGAGCTTTGCTCGAAACATAGATGTTGCAACCAACCAACAGATGAGTTAATAGCACGCCTGTAAGACCGGCACAGCAGGCACACAACAGCATCACAGCAGTCAGTAGGGCAGCGATCAACTCTTCCAGATCCCTACTTCGCACCACAGTATCATGGTACATTGGTATCGTGGTACCACGCATAGTTTGAAAAATGTCAGTTTATGTTCGAGCAAGTCGGCCTGCAGAAGAGAGGCCCCCCAGCCACAAGCGTCGAGACCAAGAAGTAGGGTTGCAACCAAACTTACCGATTGGCCTCCAGCAAAGGGGTAATGTCAGACGTAGTGCCTTCAATAGCCATCTTGCTGCTCTGTATAGTGTTGTCACCCCCGCTCAGCTCGCACAAGACAAAATGCCGGTTGCAATGTTGACGGTGAAGACCTAAAGCTGGGCTGATCTGTCTAAATAGAGTACCAAAGGATCAACGATTGCACTTACAATTTTCACGTCGCCATCGATTGCCCAGCAATACCGGATAGACTCTCCAGAAGATTCTTCTGCCATGGCATGCGTCTTCAGAGCCACACGAGCATTATCCGCCAGATCAGGCTATGCTTGTGGAGGTGGTCCGTAACGCCTACTTAAACTCAAAGTTGGCGAAGGACAGCCGAGCAAGTCACGGCCTTTGCATTGGGAAATTGAAGTGGATCTCTTCGCCGTTGCACATGAGAATGGTACAGCAGTTCAATGGCACCACTATCATGCCACGCCCACTGTCCAACTATAGAGTTTGGGTCCACTTGGAGGTGGACAGTGGGCTGAAGCTATCATCGATTGCCATGTCACGGCGCACGGTGCGCCGCCGCGCCAGAATCCTTCAGGGTGGATAAGCAAAGATTTGCAACTGGTTATGGTTTGCAGAGCAGCACCCAGACGTCATGGGTTCCTTCAGCAATTGAGCGCACGCGCGTACGCACATGCATGAGTGCACTAGCCAGTTGTGTATGGGCGCTAGCGCCGTTGCAAAGGCGCATGACTCTAAGGGTGCCCAAGCCTTGGTGAAGTAAATCCGCCCCTTCTCGGCCATATGTTGTGGCTTTGATGTGACCATCCTGTGTCTTCGCTACTGCCAGTAGCCCGAGTAGACTTGCTGCTGAGTAGACTTGCTGCTGAGCACTTGCGCGCTCCTTCAATGATAGACACTTGGCTGGCACTATATCTTTGCCCCTTGGTAAATGACATTATGGCAATGAGGATATGAAACCCAGCCTTCCATATGCTATCCATGAGCTGTACACCTATTTCTAAGGATACTGGCTAAAAGCCAAGAATGGGCATGGAATTGGTTCATTCCTGCTGCTCAATTGAGGAATCGTTCTTGGCCTGCTGCCTTCTCTCGCTGCCTCTCTCCCTGTGACTGAGTCAGACGATGGTCTGTTGGAGGCTGACCCGTACTGAGTGAGAGCCATGCTGGTACCTCTGACAAAATTTCTTTCTTGAAGTCTAAAGTCGTCAGTACGTTCTCCAAGCTGATATTAATAGCTGGTCTCTCGACGTGCGTGACGAGCCTCTTAACACAACTACAATCCTCTGGTTAAGCACTGTTGCACCTGAAGGATCCAGAACATATTTGTTGGCGGCCGCTATCAATGGATTTTGGAAATTTTGCCAAGAAGGAAATTCCGGTAAATTCGGTTGGCCGTGTCACAACTTTGACATAGCAGCTGCAGCTTGTGGGACAAGTAAAGGTGCAGGTCTTGAACCATTTCAGAACAAAATTGAAGTCGTGGCCATTTACACCATATCTCTCTCCCCGCCAGCGGGAGCGCAAGACACTTGTGCCGTCCTCTCAGTCCATCCCCGCATACGCGCTGCAGGTACCTATCCTGCAGTGAAATATATACCAGTAATGGTATCCTAAGGAGCTATCTGTCTTATTCAGCTGAAAATGGGGATATTTTGTATTTGTCGCTGCAGGATTGTTCGAATGACGGCATCCGTCAAGATTGTTATGGCGACCCTGTACCAAGCTATTTTCTTCGCAACAATGGCCTCGGCAGCTACAGCCCATATCAAAGGTGCTCAAACTGCTTTATTGATAAATTGAGACGCTTCTAATTTTCCTGCTCGTGATTTTAATGAGTTTGCACTTGCTCAGAACTTGACTCGTGCCAGGGCCGGCACTGGGCAACATCACCGCCAAGCTGTCTGAGGTGGAGAACGCTCTCTCCCACGTTCTTCCTCAGAGCAAGGCAGAGGGCCGAGAGCAGGAGAAAGACATAGAGGCGCTCCGGGCCACAGTCGCTGCTCTCAATGCTACCGTCAACTCTTTCACGGTGTGGCTCTGCGACTTCAATGCCAGCTTCGACGGCTGCATCTATTCAACATGCGTGCGCTGTACCACATCTGGCTGACCTTATCTGCTCTCCGACCCTGCAGGACTCCACAGGACCCACTGGCGCAACAGGCACTGCAGGTAGGCTCAGCCATCCTGATTTGACACACAGTTGCTTGCAAAGCCTTCCAAAGACGTCCAATTGCCTGCCTTTTGACGGTGTTTAAGCTGCTTGTCAACAAGTTCACAGGCCCTAACACAATGTCGGACAGCTACTGGGTTTAGAAACTCTCTCAGGCTCAATGAAGACAAAAGAAACTTTGTTCGACCAAAGCAAACACCGCGCTGCAGCTTCTTTGCATGCAGAAATCCGGGAGTCTGCACTCCCTCTCAGTCTTGCACTGATGAGCTTTGTCAAACAGCAAGTCCTGCATTGTTGTGAGGTGAACATATTGATGCCTCAGTATGACTTGATGCTCTCCGACCATGCATTCTTAAGGGATGCCAAGCTCTCTATCTTGCTACAGGAGACACTGGCCCTGCCGGGAGCAATGGAGATTCTATCACAGGTGTTTCTTCCCGTCCAATAACTGCGTACCAGTCGAGTGCAGGAATTGATACATTCAATCCTGCCAGGAATCCCTGATACTTGTAGACAATTGCTATATAGGATGTCTATCACAGAGGAAGTGTGAGTGGGGGTGACCCTGCTGCATGGTCTCGTGCTAGTCGCTTGTTGCCAATCGACCCTGCCCCTTTGCCCAAGCCTGGCTTGCCTTTTGCACACACCTGATGTGCATGCTGTATGAGTAGGCCCTAAGTACTGTAGCTAGAGGTCATCTATAGAGGTCATCTGGTTACTAAACGCCACAAGATTACACATTCACAGAAGCAAACTCTCTGGATGGGCAGGAATACAGAAAATGTTGAGGATGCTTTGAATGTCTGTCACTGAGCGGTGCCTGCTGTATCTCAGGGCCCACAGGCGGCACTGGAGCGACGGGCAACACCGGCGCAACTGGACAGACTGGCCCCACCGGCCCAACTGGCCCCACAGGTGGCTTAGGTGTGTGCCTGCCTGCAAGATTCTGGTTGTATCGAGTAGTTTTGGAAAATTTTGATTTTCAATAAAAGGGGGATTCTCTCCTGATGCACCTTAGCTTTTTGGCAGTGTGATCATGCACTTAGGCCTGTAGTCACTACGATGGACGAGTGATAAGAAACGGTTGATCTTCTGTGTGACGAGAACAGCTCATTCCACAAAAAGCAGGAAAGAAGAAGAACAGCACTTCTCATGCAAAAGTGCTGTGGCGAGCAGCACAAACCGCAGCCAGACAGGGGCCGTTCACAGCAATCTCCCACGCCAGCCCTCCTATAGATCAACAGTCAGATGCACTGACAGCTATTCTTCACAGTGTTTCTGGCTTTGGGTCCTCGCGCAGCCATTCGCACGAAGAAGAATCTTTGCTGTTGGCAGGACAGCAAGGAACTGTCACACTCGCATGCCATGCCATCGGTGATGTCTTTGGGGCTGACATGTGGCGCATGCATGCAGCGTGCCACCTGGGCGGCGGCAACATCGTGACTAACGGCGCCTTTGAGAGCAGCACCTTCCTCCCCGGCTGGGTGCCCTCCACCCCCCTAGATGACGGACAGCAGTTTGTCAGCAGCCTATTCAGCATCAAGACCGACGGGCCGACCGCCCCTCCAAGCTCGCCGCGGCTGCCGGCCACCGGCCTGCCAGCGCAGTACAACAACACGAACACAACCTTCGCAGCTTTCACCGGGACAGATGCTGGCATCTACAGCAGCATCAGCCAGAACCTGACAACCGTGCCGGGATGCAACTACCTGCTCTCCTTCTACCTCATTACCACCAAGGCAAGGAGCGTCGGCCGCAGCGCCCCGCCGATAACGGTCGCCTCCAACGCCAATTTTGGCGTCTCTGTGGACGGCGATTTTGTTGCCGTGAGCGGCAGTTACATCAACCCCAACACCGGAAACCCCACTGCTCTCGACCTTCCATGCGTCAATTGCCCCCTGTACCTCACACCCTGGGCGCCCTTTCAGGGCACTTTCACTGCGTACGAGCCTGTCACCACCCTGTCATTTGTGGGGTTCAACGAACGGGACTTCTTTGGCTTCACGCTTGTGTCAGTCACCAGCATCTGACAAGCTTGACAGGTTTTACAGCAACGTTGCATGCCATCGGTGATGCAATTTCTGCAACGAGTGTGAAGGTGTGAAATCTTGATGAATAGCAGCAGCATCTGATCAGCCTTACAGCAACGTCGCATGCCATTGGTGATGCAAATTCTGAAATGAATGTGAAGGTGTGGAAAGTTGGTCAATAGCACTGGATCGCTGAACCGAAGTTGACATTATGTTTGAGGCCCGAAGGGCTGAAGTAATGGCAGTATAAAGCGGTACAATACAATTTTTCGCTTTGTGAATGATTGGGACTCAGATTTGCTGGGATGAACATGGTTCAGACTGCACATGAATGGCAGTATGTACATCTGAAGTGACACCGGAAATGACTGGAATTGTGCTTGCCTTGTGGAGGCAACAGCATCATGCAGTCTGCATGACGCACAACCGTGAACTTCAAAGTATGGAACAAAGTGTCACACAGTGTGGAATTATTATTTTGGAATAGAAGATTGATTTGACTCTGCTGAAGTGCGTTGTGGGCACGGTCAGACTGTCCCTACAGCATCACCTGTGTGGTTGCAGCTTTTCTTAGCACCAATGTTTTGCCATGAACTTGCCGTCACTGCTTCAGACCTGCCTGTGAGTTCAAGTGATCCCTGCATGTGTGCCCTGTGGGCGCTAGGCTCAGCTTTGCCAGCTTGTAATACTTATTGATTCACATGCATGGCCATGTGGCAGGAAACTGGCTGTGCAGCCTCAAGATGCGCAAGCATTGCATGCACATGCTGAGATGGACTCACTGACCCATTAAAAATCGAGTTTGTGATTCATAATTGCACTCCAGAGCTTGTGCGTCTTGGCACGTCTCGGTGGGTGGAAAGCTATCAGAGGTGAAAATTTTGCCGTGCATGCAAGTCGCCGTCAATGCAGCGGACAGCACGTGCCACAGAGTGCTGGGAGGGGAGGCCATCTATATTGCTGTGCATGGGAAATTGATGCATGTGCTTGTGAAGATGTCTACAAGAGCGGCTTCAGGACTCTTCCAATTGGAACCGTTTCATGTGTTGTGTGATGTGTTCGAGTGTGATTTTGTCCCTGCAAAAAAAATGCGCTGTTTCGCAGGAGACTTGAACCGGGGACCACGAGGTCGCTGAGCGTGTTCCATCAGTGCATCAACTGAAGAAGTCGCCCGAGGAAAAAACGGAGGGGCAGCAAAAGTACAGATCGTCACGTCGGTTTCGCAGGTGGTCACCCAACCCACTACTGGTGACGCCCAAGGCAGCTTTGCTTCCGGGACGGACGAGAACGGGCAAGGTAGTTCAAGCGTGAGTAGAAAGGCTGCCTGCAACTTGACTGAGGCTGCACTGACCAGCTGAATATCATGGCTCCAGGGCACCATTTCATTCCGGCATTGAATCAGGGAGCACCGGTGGTGCCCTAAACTGGTTCAGCCATCAATTATTATTACTACAAGGCCGGCGAACCCAAAGCCAGAGGCCATAGGGCATACACGCAGCCATGTTTTGCAATGATTACAGCGCCGTCACATGTGTGTTTAGAGGGACCAGCAAGGCGCGAGAAGAAAAATTTACGAGTCATTCTCCTGCAGAAACCAGCACAAATCTCCGTGACACACGACCTGGACTTCAAGTTGCAAGTAGCCGCCGGCGGCTGCCAGCTGTGCATGCAAGTTGCATCATCATGATGCCATCATGCAACAGCAGTAGCTGCCCATACAGGACAGCCTGAGTTCATGTGGTGCAACGCACTGCACAGCTTTGGACACTCAAAGTTAAAACGCAACACATAATACCCCATTTTGGCTTCAATGCAAGAGATAATTTTAGGCGACGTTTCCCAGGGACTGTCACATGGCCCACGTGGTCAAGAGTCAAATTAGTCATACCAAGACCCGTGCAGAGGAGACAAAATGCCTCGCTCTGAAAATTTGGCGTCTGATAGGCAGATCGCAATAGGCTCATCTGACACTTTCTTGTTGTGAGGCCACTTCGAGCGCAGCATCAGGGGCGCAGCTGAGCAAATTTGCTGGCGCGCTGAGGATCACAATAAGCCCGAGGCTCTTGTTACTCGAAGGTGTCAAGCCAAGTGTGATATTCTGACTCTGAACAATCTTCGAAAAGGATTTCTTCCATCACATTCTGATGCAGAGGTTTTGTTGATGGCTTGGGCCACTCGGCCGAACTCTCGGTAAAATTACGACACAGAAGGCGCTTGTCTCAGGGCTCAAGTCTGACATAGTCAAGTGTTCCAGGTAATCAATAGCGGTATAAGAATGTCGTGCATGCTCCTCAATCTGTGCAGTATAATGCTCTTGCCATCTGACTCTTATTCTGGACAAAGTCCTGCAGCAGCGCCATTTTCCTACCAGGAAAGGATGAATAAACGATGCGCACATGCAGAGTGCCAACATCCTAAAGCGTATAACCAGATGCAATCAATTATTGTTCCTGCAGGGAGGACCAAGGACAGCACTTTGCTCAATCTCCGATGCGCATCCAGCCCATCTGCAGGCCAGGAACAAGGGGCACAGAGACTGGAGCTCACGTTAGCAGATGTAGCCTGTCTTACCAACACAGGGCCCCAGCCAGAAAACCGCTCAGGCCAATCACTTTGGCACATGCCAGCGCCAGTGGCCCATCCCTCGCCAGATGTACCACATTCTGCGCACAGCGAGGCATCACTTGCATACAGCCCAGGCTGAACCCGCTACGCAGCTATTGCCGAGGCAGGAGTCGAAACAAAGCACGCTTTCGATGGCCCCAAGATGTTTGTGCAACAGCGAGCCGGCCGCGGATAGCAGATCCTCCCAGGAAGCAGCAGCAGCAGCACAGGGGGCTACAGCGGCCGCTGCTCACCAGGCATTGGTGCTGGGAATGGCGCAGCAGCCGATGGAGGGCATCGTTCCTCTTCCTTCTGGGTGAGAACTGCCATTTTATAGGCAGTCTTTCTGCTCTGGATATCGACCTTTCAATAGATTGAGTCTGAGCAGCACCCCACACCACGCAGAATAGCACCTTGGTCGATGAAGCGTGCCATCCACATATGCACAAGCATCAACTTACGTTTGCTTTATCACAGCTGTATAGAGCCCCCTAGAATGCCACTGGTGAAGTGCCTGCAAAGGCTTTGCAGCTCCTGAAGTCACAGTCTCTCATTGCAAAACTTGCCAGCAACATGGCATGTACGAGCAAGTTTTCTCAACACATGACTAATCTATTTCCTTCTGCCTTTTGCAGCGTCGATTTTGTTCTTTGCCGGGTCTACAGCGGCGATGCTGGAGCTGACAAATCGGTTAGTCAGCGTCGCCCTCGTGGCCTACCCCTACGCAGCGGGGTCAGTCCTGTTCGCCCTGGGGGCGCGCGATTATAAGCGCGCTGCCCTGGAGGGTCTTCACGCCGCGCGCAGACGGCACGGCCGGGAGCAGCCGGCATGCGTATGGGCGCGCACCGAAGTGAGAGGTACGCCGCCGGATTGTCTAGCTTAATTTTCTACTGCAGCCCCGCTGCAAATAAAGGACTTCCTTGAGCTGTACTTCATTAGAATGTGTTGGGTTGTGCTCAAAGGCACGAGTACTACTGTTCTGCATTCATGTCTCTGGGAATCAGTCACAAAGCTTATCAATTGATTTATCTGGTCTTGTTAGCCACTCGTTACCCGGTCCTATGCCAGTCGCTCGCCACTGAGCTAAGGAATAAACATACTGCATGTACTGATAGCGCTCTGCACTACTGCAGAGGGGGAACTGGCCAGCAGAGTTGAGCTGGTACCAGTAGCATTGCCAGCTCGCATCGTGCACACTTCTTGTGTAGATCTTGGATTGTGTAGATCTTGGATATAAGAGCAAAGAAGCTGGGACACACTGAGAGGAGGTATGGAGCAAAAATAAAATGTTGATGGGAGGGAAAAATAGCAGAGTGTATCTGGCGCGCAGGCACGCAGGCAATCGTGGCGGGCTGCGAAATGTGCGTGGTGTCCACGTCAGCGCCCATCCTGCTGGGCGCGCTTCCGGCGGCGTTGTCTCCGGCGCTGCTGACATCAGCGGAGGCCCTGCTGACGTCGGTGCTGAACGTCGTCAGCGGGTTACTGTTCGTGTGCGGCAGTTACGTCATCCTGGGCTCCATGTATGCCAGCCTGGCGCCGGGTGACGTATTTGCCTGGGAGCACCTTAGAGAGCTGGGCTTCTGGGGTTCTGCCTGCTATCTAGTGGTGAGTCCCGTGGCCTTGAAGACTTTAAAGTCTTCTCTGTGTCTGTTGTTGCTTATGACATCAGTCTTATCTTTCTCCCGCAACAAGATCCCCTCCTGCACAGTCAGGGTCTCTCCTTCTTTGTCCCAGTCCGTGCTGATCAGCTGGAATTATGAGCATCTTGACCAGATGAAATCATTGCTACTGGTTTGAGAATGTGTCTTTGCTAAATGTGACAGCCTTGCACATTTGCCTGCCTGCCGTTTTCAGGTCAGCATGTCGCATGCACAATAGCTGTCTGCCTAACCGAACACCACGCTGTACACTTTTTGGGGTCTGGATGCTTGATGCAAATCTAAGCCCTGAATGCTCCAACACCTACTGTTTACTTGAAACTGAAATATGCTTTTGCTGGCTCTTGCGCAGGGCTCCGCAGGCCTCCTGTTGGCAGCGGTGCTAACTCAGCCACTGCTGCCCTTCGCGCCAAACCTGGCCTGGTGGGGTCACCTAATCGGTTATGTCATCGGGTCGCTCTGGTTCACGGCTGGCGCTCTGGCGCAGATCGCTGATGTGGCACAGGAGGGAACGCTGTCTGCAGACATTCAAATGTAGACTTGAAGATGTCCACTTGGCGTTTAATTTTATTATTAATTAAAGCTACTAGGCAGGTGTCAGAGTGATTCTATAATGTGTAGTGACTGTAGTTGCTGCAAGCTTTTCCTCTGGGAATCTGTATTTGGGTATCTGTTCTGCATAAGAGACTCGTGATTTCAAATGCCTGGAAGAGCTTCAGCTGGTGTGCTCCGAAGGTTGGCCTCGGCTACTTTTGCCATGAAGATGATCATGGATTTTTTTGTTACATGCATACCAATGCTAACACATTCATTTGGCAAGAAGCGAGGGCAAGAGATCTCTAGATTGCAGTAGATCAACATGCAGATTACACATTTTGCATGCATCCGCATCATAGGTTTCGTCCCGTCCCTAACCTTTCCAAGAACATGACACGAAGGACGTTACTAACTTAGTAATTACAAGCTTATAAGAAAAGCAAATGATCATCAGAATTCTCGAAATTTCGAAATTAGCTCTCGCAGCTCAGTCATCACCCTGAATTCAAGGCCTGAGTGAGTGTATCCTGATTAGTCTATTCGCCAAGTTTGTTTTTATTGACAGAATTCTGCGGATCACGAACGAGCCAAAAAAGCCAATTTGAACTTAAGACTCCCATTGCGCGTATCTCTATTCCAAATGGAGGCGGAGCTATCACGTGCTTCCTCGACGCTTACGATTCATCGCTTAGAGCCCAACCAGAAGACCCTGGCACCCTTAAGGTGCTGGATAGCGTGATCTTGGGAGCAAAAAGACACATTGGAGTGAGCCAAATGGCCCGTGCAGGGGCCGCTCAATTATATGCAACCGCACTGATGGGAGGACTTCTGTCCTCCAGCTGCTGTCTGGTACGTCCCTTGATGGCGCTGTAGATTATATATACTTGGACATCAGCACTTCGTGAAAGTCAAGATCCCGAGTTTGTTCCAGAGCCCCTGTTGTGGGGATCCAAGGTACCCTGTCTCTTTCTTGGAGTGGTGCAATCTCTTGTTCTATTTGACTGAACAAAATGACTGAAATTTTGAATATCTGTTTTCTCTAGGTACAGCTAGCGCTCAATCTGTTCTCTGTGGGCTGTGCGGGCTTCTCGGTGCTGACCCCCTACAGGCCTCTCTTCATGGGCCTCACCACCGCTAGCCTGGGCTACTCTCATCTCAGACACGGGTAAGGATATTCAATTTAAATATTATCAAACTTCTCTGCTGGGTACAACGTCCAGTTCATGTCCATTTCCTGTATGCACCTTCAGAGTTTTGTAGTGCTGGGTGGGGACTACATATCATATTTCTAGCAGGCCCCGTCGCAACTTCAGGACGATCTTGGTTGTGCAATCTGCAAGGGATGCAAGGAAAGGCGTGTGTTCTTTGTCTTGTCTCCTGGCAATTCAATTGCTCTAGGGCCCCTCAGCAAGCATCTGCAGACATTGGGTCACTGCAATCTTTTATACTGTCTCACACCACTTATAATGTGGTCTTTCAGCCCTCGGGGGCTGGAGGGTCATTGTGTTGTTGTTGCATGATGAGCAATGTCGAGGCAACCCTTTCTCTTGTTCTTCTGGTGCTCGCTCTGCCTTGATGTCTGCGTTCCTCTGTCTCCAAGGTGCCGTGCAAAGCATGTGCGAAAGTTAATCATGTCACGATTGCTCTTTCTTTTGGGCAGGAATCCGCAGCGGTCAATTCTAGCTCTGGGAATGGCGCTCTCTCTGGCAGGAATGCCAGAACTGGTGCAGCTGTACAATGAGAGCCAGCTGCGGCTGATGCGCTCGCTGCCGCTGACATCATCGCCTGTCAGTGGTGACAAGGCGCTGACTCAGCAGCAGGTGTGCATATCCGCACACCTTCTGTGATCTTCCCTGTCGTTTCCCAACGTGGTTCTTACTGTAGCTGGATTCTTTAGGATGAGGCAGGACTTGGCCCAGATCAAAAGAAGAGAGATGCAAGGCAAAAAAGACAGTGCAGCGCTACGCAGGTCGTAGTGTATATGAAGTGCTAGTGATATACTAGATCCCGAGAAATGGGTGCAGCATCAAATAACCTGCCCAGGGCTAAAATGACTGACTCACTCTGGTTGGTCAGTTGATCAATCCCGATGTAAGCGGGCTTTTTGGGCAGTATTCAGAGTCAGCATGTATGCAGACGCACTGCGCCTCTGCGGAGCCTGACAGAACAATCTTCTGTGGACTGAGCTCGGCAGGATGAATTAAGGGTGCACACTTGTAAGGAGCCAGCTTTATTGCCTGATGCCTGCATGGTAAACTTGCTGGACGGTATTGAAATGCCAAGGGCCACTTCAGCATTGTGCAATCGCGCTGTGAGCCCAGATCTGTCACTCACTGCCTTTCCTGTTTTGGCGCAGGTGATTCTGCATGTGGAAGGATTGCGTTGTGCTGCATGCGGCATGCGGCTAAAACAGGCGCTGCTGGCACAAGTTGGAGGCGTGCAGCGGTGCGAGGTCGAATTCGAATCCGGGAGGGTGGTTTTGCATGGGCAGGCCATAGGCGAGGACGCTTTGTTGGGCTGCATCAGCGAACTGGGTTATTCTTCGAGACTCATCAAATTCCAGGAGGAGCCGCCGGGCAAGGAGGAGAGTGAGCTGTGATTTTTTTCGCCGTATAAATATGTCATGGGAGTTGGACAAGACCGATGTCTTGTTTGGATCCTGAGCATGTGCGTGCAGGATAAATTGGAAAATAAAATAGGCATATGTGCTGTTACAGCTGGTCAGTTGGTCCAAATGTTTGGCCTGCGGAATTGGTTACCTTTGGACTGTAAGTTGCAATCTACAGAAAGACGTGCGCAGTCTGTAGTCTTCGTACTCCACATATTGCAGACTAGGCTTACATCCGCATGATAGGATCCTATACATATATGTTGCATCTGGTGATACTGCAGATTATTATTACTACATGGTCGGCAGACCCAAAACCAGAGGCCATAGGGCATACACTATTTTGCTATTGCTGTGATATATCAATATATATCATATATAAGCAATATATATTGCTTGTGCTGTGAATAGCACCATCCCATAATTTTGACTTGGTGTGTGGATCACATTCACTCACGAGCTTGTTTTCACTAAGCTAGCCTAAGCTCTGTTGCACAGCCGCCCACTCTTCGTTGACTGCCTGGCAGATGCCATGCACGCGCGTCAGCACAGCTTCCTCGTCACTGCCCGGAAGCTGCAGGGAGCCGCTCACATGCTGCCACTTGTCAGGATGCCACCTCAGCGTCGCCACCTTAAACACCCGCCTGGCAGCCACACAATCGAAAGTGAGTCGTACTGATTATCAGTCCCCGCTGGTCTGCCTTCTCATAAGCCCTCTCTTACATGATCCCGGGACAGACAATCCAGCTTGACATTCACGACCAGGCTCATGTCATAATTTAATCTGATGTGTTCAATGCAACGCAATGCTGATCATCACGGTGGCTGGTCGTGAAGGTTGTATGATGCACTAACGGCAAAAGAGGCTTCATGGGGCAGAATGTAGAACATAGGGCAGCCCACCTATAGCTCGTGAGCAATAGAGTCTCAGTACTTCCTTGCTGCTCTCCTGAACCCATGCCACTATCTTGGCCCTTCAGATTTGCTCTCCCTCTCTGCCCAATTTGGTGCGTTCCATTTGCTTTTGAATCTGCAAAAACCCCTGTTGAGGAGTCTTCTCTGTCCTGGGAGTCCAGAGCGACCAGTGCTGCCAGCATGCATGACTCATCCGGCGGCCAGGGAATGTCCGCAGCCGATAGCGCCTTTTGGCCCCTCGCCTCAAAGATCGCAAACCTGTGGAATAGCATAACCATCAGTGAATTCAATGTGTGCACAGCTCAAAGCTGCTTCAATTCCAAGTCTAGCTCTCAGGACTAACACAGCATTGCGCACAAAATCAGACTAGCACTGTGACGAGTTCTTCATCCGTGCTGTGCTATCAGACTGAATTGCATGCTGAATCAAGATCAGAGCTCTTTCTCCGCACAGCTGATAAGAGTGGCACAGTGATCTTGGCAGGGTCTCGTCTACACTGTGCGAGCAGGTGCATGCTCATCAAAGACTGAAGCACAGCCACGGCAAGACGCTGGTTCTCACCTGGCCTCATGTTTGCGCCATAGTGCAAGAGATCTGGCATCAAGCCCATTCTGTGACCCTGGCCAGGGGTGCCTTCCTGAAGTACTGTAGCCTCCAGAGCGCGCCCAATCGAAGCCTTCAGAAGAGTAAGGTACGTCAGAATCAGACTGTCTCCTCAGGCCGTCTGTGTCGGCTTCTAGCGCCTGCTGCCTGGCCTGTTCCTCCCTGCGTCCGGATCCTCAACGCTGAAAGAAGATCCTTCTTGGAGCTTGCAAGTGCGTGAAGCGAAGGGCAGTCATCCGAAGGCGAATCTGTTGTGTGAGGCTGACAGGCTAAGCGCACCTACTTGAACTTGGCCATGGCAGCCATCTGATGTTGAGCAGCCAGCTTTATCTTCTGGTCGCGGGACATCCTCGACAGACGCTCCTGCCGCTGGTGCTCCTCCCAGTCCCACCTGTAAGACAAATACCTGTTTCGTTTGTCTGATTGGGCATGATCTTTTAAGAATGTCTCTGAAATGCTGAAGAGATAATGGTACGATGACAGGATGTTGCTTAACACAGAGCAGGTTTCCCAGATCGCACTCTTCATCGCTGCTGCTTTGGCTGCGTTGCATGGCTCCTGACACGCGCTGCGGCTAGCTATCTCAAGAATTCTACTTTTTTGCAGATTACCTGCGAAGTTACAGCTTTCGGGAAGGACTATGGCTCGTAGAAAGGCAACCGTTACACGCTGGCGTTGCGATGACGAGATCATCTACGGAAGCATTCGCAACACTCCGAGACATACTCATCACTTCCTTTGGCAACTGTTCTGCAACATGCACTTCTATTCTTAGAAGTCATCTTTTGATACCTGACACTCCAGGCGGTCCGACGCAAGAGCACACAGGATAGCAAGTTTCGGCTGCCGGCCCGTGTACAAGGTTACTCCCTTGGACGCCTGAAACTAAAGTGCAGCACTGTGCCAGACGCATTTTTGAAGTCAAATGTGCTCTTGAGTATTTGGTTATACTTCTCGTTCATGCACTGCAAAAGCACTAGAATTGGTGGACCTTGAGAACATCCGGAGAGTGGGATCCTGCACAATCGCATGGACCCCGATCACATGTCACACTCGGCAGCTGCTGCTGGAGCTCCATCAGGCAGCTTGCGTCCAGAGCACGGCACATGGCCAGGTAGGACGGAGTGCTTCCCACCGCGGCAGTGCTCAGTAACAGATGCCATCCCTTCTGTGCTGTGCAAGAATGCGTTGCAGGCTACAATTATCAGACAAATGGCTTACGCAGCTGTCGTCGTTGCCATTTCGTAGTTTTGGCCCTAATGCCTTGGCGCATACACACACAGGCCATGTTCTCCCTGGCAGCTTCTTCCTCATCTGGGCGTCCTGGTGGCTCTTCAGCACATTCAGGTGCGTACTTTCACTTGCAGACAGAGCATCCATCAGCGCAACGCCGATCTACCTGCCCAGTGTTTGAGCATGAAAGTCTGCCCTGTTCTGCATTTCAGAGCAGAGTTAGAGGCCATGATCATTAAGGAGGCCATTTTGAAGGATGGAGGACATTTTCGGACCCCACTCGTATCTCGTCTGTACTGCCCATGCTAGTTGTCTGTATATCACAACCTCAATCGGCTATCAAGCATGCAGCAACGATCAGTCATCTTTCGTATACCTCTTTGCAGGCTGCACCTGCAGGCGGGTCGGCAGGCTCCGTTCCGCAGCCGAGCCTGGTTCCCGTTCTCCTGGGGCGTGCGTGGGCGGCAGCTGCCCGTAGAGCCTGCCCTCAAAGTGGCGCTCACATTCATAGGCATCAATGCCGAGCTGTGGGCCGGGCACACCTCCTACAGGTGCTTCCTCTCTTGAGCAGGTTGCCTTATGTGGTCATGGTACAGACAGACATGGGCCTCTTAGTGGCTCGATTTACAGCCTGAAGATAATTGTTTGACGTCATTCTTGCTGGGGATGCACATGAGCCAGTCGCACACTCAGACGCGGCTAATTGTCATATCTTTTGCACACTGCAACCGCTGCAGCTGGGTGACTCTTGTTCCTCCTGCAACGCTGCAGCCTGCAACGCAAGCTTGCAGGGTTGACAACAGTAACCCGGCGTTGGCAGTTTGCTTGGAGCTTGGCGCTGCTTCCATGCGCGTATCCCCTTTGCTCCAACCCACATGCACGCAGTGTTCACTGCTGCACCCGTCAGCATTCAGGAAACCTATACACGGCGGAGGGGCGCTTTCAAATAAATAAAATATGTAAAAGTGATACTGCAGGCATTAATTTCATTCAACTACAGCATCGGTGGCTCCTTTTCCCACACATGGTGACTGGTTTAATGCAGGAACCTGTACACGGCGGAGGGCTGATTTGAGGCAAGCAACCTCAGGAGTGATACCTTCAGGGAATGCTTTCATGCAAGCTGGGTGACTGATTCCTTCCCCACATGCATTCTTTGATGCGCATGCAGGAATTTATATACGGCGGAGGGCCGGTTTGAGGCGAACAATCTGCAGGACTGGCAGCACAGCGCCATGTATGGGGCGTTCCTGGTCTCCGGCCTAGTGGACCTCATCGGCTTCTACGCACCTGCCGGGACGCTGCCGCCCGGCACTGAGCATGTGCGCGCACCTGCCGCCATGCTGCTGCCCCAGCTCACAAATCCCTACACATTCTGTTTTCTAGACTCATGTGTTCCGTAAGTTGGCATTTAAGGCGTTGCGACGGCGCAATAATTGCTCAGTACGACAGTGACCATCCCACATGGACATGCATGCTAGCAATGTCAATTTCCTTGCACCGCTTTTTCAGCTCTTGAATCAGGCGTGATCGTCTAGCTATGCGCCGCCGTGCTGGTCTTCAGAGATGTTTGCCATGCCACTACTCCCTAACGGGCGGTCTTAGCTTTTGAAGAGTAAAGGGCGAGGCGGCTGCATGTGTGGAAGACCGAGCAGTTTATGCCAGAGATCAGGGTCACTGTCTTTGATGGCCCACTTGCTATGAGCGCTTCCAGCTGCTGCACAGCGGAAGTTACTGACGAAGCTGAAGCAGGTATTCTTATTAAAATTATAATTATTACACGCTTCTTGCAGGTCTCAGGGCTAGGTGCGTTGCAGTAACCTCTCAGTTATTCCCCTCCAGCCTTCTCGTCTTGGCACTTTCTCCACCAATGGCATTTGAATCTAGTGGAGTCCAGGTCATCCCTAACACAGTCATTCCAGGATTTGACAGGCCTGCCCCTTCTCCCTGACCCTTCTATGGTTCCCAACAGCAGCTGTTTTGGCAGCCTGTCTTCCTCCATCCTTGCCACAGGTATATCTGCAGGAGATCAGGGCCGTTCTTTGATGCACAGATATTTCTGGGGGTGGCATTCGCTACGGAGGGGCTGCTGTTTGGGTTCCATCTGAAGGGAACGCCGCTGGACTGGAGCCTGCACGTCCTCCTAGTCATGCTCATCTTCGCCGCCTCGCTTGTGTGCTTTGGCGAATACAGGTGCTTGTAGTCTACGTGGGCCTTTCATTGGAATCTTTCTGCCTTCGCTTCAGATCTTAAATTGCGGGTTGTGAATGGTGAAAGAGACCTGAAGCTAGTTGGCCAACAGTGCCTTTGTGTGAGGCCTCCTGTGAGAACTTCTGAGTCTCCAGTGCAGGGCGGAATAGAATGAGGTCTCGTGCTGGTTGAATCCGCGTAAAAAAAGGTGGTGCATGGCATGTGAGTTTGGAAAGTGCATTCAGCTGAGTGAGTCAGCTGAGCTGAGTCAGCTCTTGGCACTTGCTCTGAGGAGGGCTTCCTGCCCATTTCTGCGTCACGTGCACTGCATCACTTGATGGATAAGAGTACTGCACTCTTTTCATCACGATTGCAACAAGACTTTGACACTTTCCAGGAGGGTTGATAATGCATGCACAGGTTCCAAGGCAGCTTCGTGCTGACTGCTGCGCGGGGTCAGCTGGTTCTGCTACAGGGAATCTGGTTCATCCAAATAGCCGAGATCTTATTCAAGGGTGCGGCCTTCACTTGCTGCTTGCTTCCTGCATTCACTCGTGCCCTTGAAGTCCTCAAGTGATGTGCAGTTCTCATATTTTTTAAGGGGAGGTCCATATAGGGAATTCTGCTTGGTAATCAGACAATTTGGGGTCCTGGAGGTTGCCATCCAACTTGGCACAGCATCATTTTCTCTGCGCTTGCAGTGAGTGTCATCATTACACGTTTTTGAAGGCTGAACAGGTGTACAAATGTGCCACTTAAACCAGAGTCTTGCAATGTTCTCCCTTAATGCTTGTGTCCTGCTGCTGCAAATAAGCGTGCACATGTTATGCTGCCGCATTGCATGCAATGACTCACTGCCAGTTGAGTTTCAACTTGAAACTTTCAAGCATGAAGTTTGTGCCCTTCGGCCTGTAGCTATAAGCATGCCGACTTTTAAGCTTGTCCACCTGTAATAACAAGGTTCAAGACTCCGCTGAAGGCTTATGTGCTTTGCTGTTGCAGACAAGCCGGCCTGGGCGCCAGACTACCACGCGAGTGCAATGATGGTGCCGGTAGTGTTTGTCATGTGGTTACTCATCGTGCTGTTCGCCAGCCTGGCGGCCCACGTGGCGCTGCGGATCCTGATCAGGCGCTGCCCATGCGCGCGTCCGACCGCGTTCCCTGCTTCCAACCAGCCCCTGGGCAAAATCCAGGTGCCTCCATTTGTCCACGTGGTACCCAGGTGCACCTTATGACAGGGCATCAACAGAGATCTTTCTTTGCCAAGACAGCAGTGCTGGCATTCTTTTAGCGATAGCATCTGGCTTTGTAAATGCGGCAATTAGTGGGACAGAGTTCTGGGCGGACCAGAGGTCGTTCCAGAACCCAGAAGCAAAGGCCCAATTCCAGGAGGGCCCATGGGATATCAACCCTGCTGCTGCTACTTCTTTCCCCTTGCAAGGGCAATTGCATTCACCCGTTGCTAACTATTTGAAGTCATGTCTAGTGGTCACCCATGCTTGGCTCTGCACGTATGCATGTTGGGATCCCGCCGTGGTTTCCTGTACCGCATCTGAGTATCCTTTTGTTCCTCCAGGAGGAGGATGAGGAGCAGCTGCCGATCAGCGGCCTGCGCAGCGGCGGAGACATTGAGATCGCTGCTGCATTCCCGCGCAATGGGCACATTTTGTAGGGGATGTAAATTTGAGGGGGTGGGCTGGTGCTGTGTGGCCAGCTAGGGAAGGGCTGTGGAATTTCAATGTACATTTTCTGTGCCACTATCACTTGTTTGCCTGCTTGAAGGCTGACTTGAGCAGAATTATGACCAGGTCATTGGTTGTGCAGCACTGACTTATGTGCATTCTTGTGTATATTGTGCGGATGTAACACCCGAAGTAGTGATGAATTGATTATGATGATTACTCCGTCGTCTGCTGACGCTTTTAGTTGGTGCAAGCTCTTTTTATGAACTTTTCTCCACGAGGATCACTGCCAAGATCTTGCCGTGGATGTTGCCAGCAGCCCTTTGCATTCCACAGGCCCAGACTGCAGAGTTTTCCAGTACTTGTCTTCCTCGTGCTCACCAGTCCCGGCAGAGTAATGCTGTTTGCAAGAGATTTGGGTGATGCTGGGATAACCCTATAAAGCCCTCAATGCCAGGGGAGATGTCATAAACTCCGGAAGCTTTGTTCCATACAAAACGTCAGAAGAAGGCTGGGAAAGCCACAAGCACGGTTCTGCGCGGAGCTCATAGCAGTTCCTCTGCTATCCACACCGTGCGTTAGGACTTGCGCAAGTGCTGCACCAGGCCGGGCCGTGCATGAACGGGTGCTAAGACGGGTGCGTTTGACACGGGACAGCTTTCGTGGAATCCCGTGCGGAAGTGGCCTTTAGAAATCTGGTACACTCTGCAATGCATTAGAAGCGTGCTCCGAGTGTCAGTGCGGCACTACGATGCGGGCAGCTTGATGCCCGGGCTTTGGGGGGCTATCTGAGACAGCAGCCTAGTTATCAAAAGACCTGCAGTATAGTGCCAGGCGTTGGCCGTATCTTTTTGTTGTCCTGATATTAAAAGTTGGGCTGCGCAATTTTTCAAGGGGCCTTAGCTTGCCTCTTGAAATTCAGTGGTGCCTTTATAACAACTTGTGGGAGTGAAGAGGTCGAGGGCCTCAGACAGCCTGTCAGGCAGTGGAACCGTTTGCTCTGCGTGGCTTAAGCTGTTAGCCTTGCAGTAAGACCTAGGGAGACACCGGTACACGCAATGTCAGTAGGGATGTCAGTCTGAAGGGTTCCCTCAGGGATTCTTATTGTTGGCCAAAACCAGCTTCAAATAAACTCGAGTATTTCGTAAGAGCTACCGACATCATTATGACGAAAAAGATGTCGAACTAGCGTTTTGGTGGCCGATTGAACAAGCCACTTGAGCTTGCTGCAGGATGACGACAAGATTTAAAAGCACCTCTTAGCAGCTGTTTAATTTCAGGAGAGCTGCCTATGCAACCAGCAGGTTCTAAGAACAAATGGCCTTGTGTGCAGGAACAGCAGACACAGAGAGAATTGGTTCTCAGTAAGGGCTGCTAGGATGGGGAGAATAGGAGGATCCCGCCTCCTTCCCTGTGGAGCCTTGTTAGCTCTTCTCTGCCTGGTGCGCTTGACTCCCTAACGCTCAGTTAATCCTCTGTGTATGTCAGGTCAGCAGTCGCGTGGCCTTGTTTGTCCGAGAGTATGTGCTGCTCAGCACTTCAGCTAGGAGTCAATCTCAGAACCTTTAAGAGCGGCCCAAACAGAGGCAGGGGCTTTGTTTGGGTATTTTTGCATGGTGGCGCACTATAGGCTAGCACAGTGCAGATCCTTCCCTGGTGCCGGGGTCTCTGCACCTGTTGCCTGCTCTGTTTCAACGAGCTCAGCAGCAGGACTCAACCTGAAGAAATCAAGCAGCAACCCTGCGAGTATCCCTATCTTCAACAGTGCATCAGACCGTTGTGCAGAAGGAATGGCATGGGAAGTGCATGAGTGCGCAGAGTATTGTATTGCATGCCTCACAACCGGGCCAGCATGTGAGCTGACATATGCCGGCATGTGCGCGCAGGTGGGCCAGGCGAGCGCGCAGATCCCCGTAAATATCACGCTATTCGGTTTCTCCACCCCCAACGTTACGGTCTACGGGCAGTCCACCAGCTTCGTGGCCACCCTCACGGTTGACCCCGGCAACCCGCTCCCTACGGGGAACCTGCTCTTCCTAAATGGCAACACCATCCTGGCCACTGCCCCGCTCGCCACTGCCGGCCAGGCCAGCGGCAACCAACTGGTGGGATTCCTGTCTTTCCGTGTAATCTCACAGCGATGCACTGCTTTGCCATTGCTGGCCAGGCCAGCGGCAGAGAAGAGGCGAGTTCTTCAGCTCCAGATCATTAAGTGAATACCGCTGGCATTCAGATGAGCACTGTAGCTGTAGCGCGGCATCAAAACAGGCATGCAGAAGACACGCCTGCTCATATTGGGTACTATAGCAACAGTAATGGACATGAACTAGACAGATTGAGAGAATATTGCTTGGTAGTACACAGTGGGATAAAATGCATCCGGCATTTGGAGCCGCTCGAAATGTTATGTTGCTAGCAGACCAGGGGACAGCTATGGCCTCGATGCAGGACCCAGCTGGGCCGAGCTGGCACTGCAGATTGCCGGGCATCCGTTTGTGTCTCTGAGCTGTTGCATGCAACACGGACGGCCCACACTAAGTGCCGCCCCTGTCTGTTTACAAGGGGCACCTGCACCGTCTCTGTATCGTAGACCCGCAATTTGCATTGATGGGCAGTGACAGACTGCCTACAAGACCAATGTGCCTCAGGTGGCTCCCAACAAATCTCCAAAGCGTAGCACCTTGTGTATGCATGTGTCTACAGCTGGTGAACTTTCAGCTGCCGTTACCCCATGATGCAGGGTCAGGGTCTACTTCTACTTCCCCTGTAGTAGAAATCCTGCCGGGTTATTAAACATTGTGTGCTTGCCCATGCAGCTGGTGAACTTCCAGCCGCCTTTCATACTGTCGGCAGCGCTGTACAACCAGCTCAACGTGATCTACCCGGGCAACACTGCGCTGGTCAACAACATCAGCACCACTTGGCTTGCAGCTGCGACTCGCCCCAACCAGGCCGACAAAGCATTCCTCATCTTGCCGGTGCGTGTGCCCCGACTGACTCAAAAATGAAGCCGGATGCAGGAGGTCAACTTGAGGCATAATTCGGCATCAATACTCGCCCCTCTTGAATGTGTCTGTGTTCGCCAGCAGCTAGTGTTCCAGCCTGACAAGGCCTTACTGATCCTGCCAGTGCGCGAGCAACGCCTTCTTTGAAAGAGAATTCGAATGGTGCCTACCTGGAAACACACATCCCCTTAGAGGAAACCCCGCCCCTCAAGAGGGCCTATCAGTCATGCAAGCACTCTGCAGCGTCTGGATCGCAATCATCCTCCTGCTGTCTCTTTTGCTGCCAGCCTCGAGGCGGTTGCTTTGCATGCAATCAAAGGAGCTGCGCATCTTCTGTCTGTGCATCCTGATAATTCCTCAGTTAAAAATGAAGATGTCCTTGAAACCTTATTTGTGCTGCACTCTGTTGCAGGCGAGCACATCGCTGAGTTTTGTGTCGTCTCCGTTCACGCTGGCCACTTTCACGCAGTCCTTCCAGCTGCTCATCAGAAATGTCAACAACACCAACCAGCAGCCGCAAGGTGACTCAGCGCTCACTGTCTATTGTCCCTCTTCAATATTTGAATCTTGGAAATCTGGACGACACGCAGGCTCTGGTGTTGTATCGGGCGTGCAATCGATGGGATGCTGCATGTCTTTGTGACATCCACCCACAAAGCCATGTACAGATAGTTTCTGGGCTTGATTGAAAAGACTCCTGTTTGCCACGGGCGCTGGCTTTGTGCATGTCAACTGATAGTGGAAATGCCACCCTATTGCCGCAGCTACAGGATTAAGTTGAACATTTAAATGATTACACATTCCTAAGATGAAGCCAGGCTCGCCTTGGGTTGATGTCATTCTGCAGGATGAAAGGCTAAATTAAATTCCAGCGTCCAGAGATGCAATCAACCGAGTCCTCCAAGGGGCAGCGCGCAAGGAAATCAACACCTGATTCTGACATGTGCCGGCATGTGCGCGCAGGCTTGGCCACTGTGCTGCTCACACGCACTTCCCCATTCGTGCAGACGCTCGGCACATTCAACCTGGTGCTAAACGGCAGCCCGACAGACCCAAACCTCGAGATCGGCAGTCTGCCCTCGAGCTTTGACGCCAACATTCTGCTGCCGAGTCCCTCCAATCTGACGGCGCAGTTCTCCTACTTCCCCACGAGCAACTTCACCAAGCCGTTCGACCTGTTTGTGGGCATTGCCATCACGGTGCGCCCCTTGGATCATTGCTTGTAGGGATTTTTCAGGGTTCACCACACCTATTACTATGGTTTTTATTATTACTCGCTCTTTCTGACAGAGGCAAGGTGCGTCTGCAGACAAGCTGCATGTAAAGGCTGCCACAATTCTACCCCTTGCTGGACTCGCCGGATCCAAGCATGACCCAGTCAATCGTGCGCACGGTGCTCAGTATTCATACTGCCCCGCTGGCGGGGGGTGTATACCACACTTATAAGGGGAAAAAGTGTTGCGTGGGGTCCTGGTGAAGGCTGCAGCGCACAAGGTTGTGTCGCGCTTTGAACCCGACTGGATCCATCCATTGGTATTGTTGAGGGAGGGGCCTGTTGTGTCTATGCTTTGCGCAAGCACAAGCCTTGCTCCTCATAACACAGATGAAAGGAATGGATTACTGATGCGTTTGGATTTGAACGCAGAATGTGACGGTGCCGGCGCCGCCGACGCCGCCGACCCCCCCATCGCCACCGCCGCCACCGTCTCCGGCCGTGGTCCCCCCTCCCCCGCCACCGCCGGGTGTGGTTCCCCCACCGCCGCCGCCGCCGGCAGGCGTCCTCCCCACCGTCATAACGCTGCAGGTCTGTGTTGGCGATAAAGTAGAGCCATGCATGTGGCCAATTCTGCTGTGTCTGTTCCTTTGTTGGCTTTGTCTGGCCTTTTGTCATGTTGCAATATTGTGGGCATCCGCTTTTTGGCTACTGCAAAACAAAGGCAAGCACCAGACAGCCAACCACTTCAGGGAAGTGAAGACTCGATTGGAGGTCAATGACCAAAATGAGGTCATGGATTGCTTTTTCTCTCCCCTGCGGGCTTGAGTAGACGGTCCTAATACGATTTCCTACTTGAGCCTGAACTCAAAACTCTGGTGCAGGTGTATTGGGAGGCTATCAAGGACCTGTTCAAGGACTGCAAAAAGCGCAACCTCATCTTCACAGCCTCCGTGACCGGACCCTCCCGCAAGCAGGTGCTTTCACTGTCTGCACTATTTTGAGGCACCCCTTTTCATTTGGATGCATCTTGTCTGGAGAGCAGCGTTGCAGCCTATTTGGCAAAGTGTGGTACACCATAGTTTGGTGTCTGCTAGACAGATTAAAAGGGCACGGAGCAGTGGGATTCTTGACTTTCATCTGTTGCCCTAGGCGCATGGGCATTGATTACACTTTCCTCTTGTGCCTGGGTTTTTGCTCACCCAGCAGGTTAAGTGCTCCCTGGCATTTGGAATCTGCTGCTGATCTACCTGCATCCAGCCCTGCTCTGTTCTCGTGCCTCTCACTCCCACCTTGTTGCACCCCCAACTCCACTTGCTGAGAAGCTGCCGTGGCGGCTGCCGCGCAGGTGCCGACGACGGGCTTCATCAAGTTTGAGCTGCTGCCGGGCAACATCACAATCGGACAGGGCGGTGTGCTCGTGGACAGCGCTCAGGGACTCGCGGTTGTCACCATCGTCAAGAGCCCTAAGGAAAAGGGCATCTATGGCATCCCCCCGCTGGGCGAGTGGCAGGGTGAGTGTCTTTTGAACCTTCCTGTGGCACAGCTTGATGAGAGTTCCTTGCCCTCTCGGCTGGCAATGAACGAACGGCCCCGCAGCTCTCCAACAAAGGGTGTCTTAAAATGGCTTGGCCCTTGGAAGTCAAGAGCTGAAAATCCACAAACAGCACTTTCTTTGACAGCCTGTGGGGTTGCATTCAGCAGAGCAGGGCTTCTTCTGAGCATTCACCTTTGCATTGACTTGCACAGCTTCAGGCAGAGAATGAAAAATAATGGTGTTCTATTCCCCTAGACAGCTTCACCGAAGTCGCCTGGCAGGGCTGTTCTGACAGTGCCCCTTCTCACACGTTGCCTGTTCTGGCGTTTCATTCCTCACACTTAGCTTCTAATCTGACAAGTCCCCTTCTCATGCGCGCAGTGGTGGCCACCTACTCTGGCAGCGCGGACGGAGTGTATCTGCCATCGCGCGCGATCGCACCTCTTTACATCTACGAGACATGCGACAAGTACGGCAAAGCCAACCTGTTCGGGGACAAGTACGAGGGGGGGTCCTACAACTACGGCGGTGGTAACGGCTACGGCGGCGGTGGCGGCAGCAGCGGGGGTGTTCTGGGCGCCGTAATCGAGGGGCTCACAGCGGAGGGAGGGTCCAAGCTGCCCGTTTACGGCAATGGCTACGGCGGGAAATACCCGGATGGCCACTACTACCCGCCAGGTGCGCGCTCTTGCCTCTCGTTTTGATCTCTGGTCAGACCAACATGCAGACAACCTTGCATGGTTGTTGCATTTTACGCATTGAGAGCAGCTCTCCTGACTCAGCACAATTGTTATGTTAACCCCCACGAGGGCGTTGTCTAGGATGCTGCACCTGAGCAAGATGAACCTGTGAGCAAACGTAAATCTGGTTTTAGTCTGGAGCCCTCCGCTTGATGAGTTGAAGCAAATGCATGCATGCTTGATTGTGCTATTGACCGAGATGCCATTGGCCCAATGTGTCTTGTTACCTGCTCAGAATACTTTGCATGCATGCAGGCTCGTACTACAACGGTGACAACCAGCCGTACACAGGCCCGGGTGCTTACTACGATTACTCATCCACCGGCGGCATCCCCGCGCAGACCACCGGCTCCTTCACCACCTTTACCGCGGCCGGCGGCGTTCCCTCTCAGGTTACTTCAAGCACCGAGGGATGAGTCATCGCCATGACTCATCAAGGGATGACATCATCGACGACTCGTCCCCCTCTGCGGCGGCCGGCGGCCGGCGTTCGCTCGCAGGCCAGCGTATCACGGAGGGAGGGGTCATCGATGACTCATCCCCGGCAGCACGCTGCGGCGCCCAAGAGTCTGCAGAGCATGCAAGGGATGACATAATCGACGACTTGTCCCCCCGGCTCGGCGCCTGTCTGCCAGGATCCAATGCCTGCCAACTTGAACTGGCCTTCAGGTGCTTTGAAGTACCTCTGTTCCTGGTAGCCATGCTGCTGATCAAGGGGTACGCCGTATGGGAGGCGAACAAAGCAAGCAGACTGAACAAAGACTGACAGAACAGACTGACAGAACAGAGCAAGCAGACTCTTGCGTGTGAGCTGTCTGCAGGTCTAGCTGATGAAATGGTCTGCATGCAGATGCCCAGTGGCTGCTTGTCACCTTCCAGATGCATGCAGAGGCCTCGAGGCTTGGGCAGGATGGAGGCTGTGCATTGCACTAGCACCGACTGCCCAACAGGCTGTTTTGGATTTATGGGCGCTGCAAAGCATTGGAGGGTGTTTGATTAGAGCAGCACGTGGCTGCCGTACTGCCTGGAGGCGAGGTTAGGTGTCCTCTACTGACACATGGGAGTCGTGAGCCTCGTCAGTGCTTGCAGCCACGCCCTGCGCATGGTTGGGCCTCATTTGAATTATTTTGTTAGTTCATTTAGTTGATCATGATGTAGATCTGCTGAAGTGCATGACAAGTTGTATGTAAACAATGCGCAGGTTTTCGCTCCATTCCCAAGTCCATGGTAAATCTATAATGAATAATCTTCACTGGTCCATCAACAAATTTTAATCTTTCTTCGTGGACGTGAGCAGATCACGTGAGCGTGACTCACCACCCAGAGTGCCTTTCCCCCTTTGCGATCATCACCGTGTGGAAAGTTACCATCCTTTCATTACTATACAAGATCCGTGAGTTGTCGTCTAAAATTTTATTCCGATCCTGGCGAAGATCCGGCATCTGGTCAGCGCATTAGGCTTCTCCGAGCTGGTGATCTCCGCACTAGATCTCGGAGGTCCGAAGCGCACTAGCTCTTGTGCGAGCAGTCGACAGGGTACGTGACTCTCAAGGGCATCCAGTGTTGATTTTAGACAGATCTTATGCTGGGACGACGAGCGCATGGCATCGCGAATTAAAATGGGGAGCAGATTACGTTGCTGTCGGTCAGCCAGATGTTCCACGCAGCGTCGCTTGGTCTTATAAGTAGCTTGGAATGGCAGCTTTACATATTTATATTAGATCATTCGTGCCAGATCATGCAGCTGGCACGAGGTTTTGCACGCAAGTAGCAAGCTAACCCTACATCTTGAAATATAGTATTCTGTTGCTGGCCTCTTATTATCAAAAGATTACAAAATTGCAGCAAAATCGTTCTAGTTCTCTGCATGGAATGGCATCTTGTCCTTACTGACCCGTAATCTGGACCTCAAAGCAAGGATAGGTGTCTGGTTGGAGACAGGTTCTGGCTGGCTTGAACATCTCTCAAGGCGTGAAATGCGCTGCCCCACACTCGTAGAGTGACACGCCTCTCTTAGAATTATTCTCTAGAAACGTTGTGGTTGACTGCAGGGACAAGAGAAGGAGGTATTGTCAAGTCGGCAGTCATGAGGCGCTCCCAAAGGGCAGCAGCAGCAGCAGTAGCAGCAGCAGCAGTTCTTATATGTCTGGTGAGAAATTCTCTGATGCCCATGCACCAGACATGCAGCATCAAGGACACTTGGAGAAGGAGCTTGCTTTGTCAGCAAGAGAGGCCTCTCCACAGGGGCAGAGGATTAAGAGTACCTGCCTTTTTGCATATATAGATTTTTCTGCAGTTCAGGCCACAATCGCCGTGGCTGCAAAGCGCTTCCACTGCATACAAGCAATACTCTGTGGCTGCTAAGTGCAAGCCCAAAAGATCAACTGGCTCATGGCAGGCTATCAGGCCTTAACTTTCACATTTAGGTCCAATTGTATATTGCACATTCAACACAGGTCAAGCTGGCAGACGATAGCTCCCCTGCTCTCTATTACCACCACATCAGCTTGTAGCTTATGCGCCCGTTAGGCTTGGTCCTGAAAATGCACTGACTTATGGCTTGTCTAATGCTGGCTTGGCTCGGTTTGAAGGGGACTTACAAAAAATCACAATTGCTGCGCTGACTAATGGCATGACTAACGCTGATGTGGCGGCGCGCAGGCGGGCCCGGTGGCCGCGCAGGTGGCGACCACGATTGGCTTTTTTGACGTGACGCCCGTTACGGTTTACGGGCAGCCACCGACGTACCGCATCGGGTTACCGACCCCCACGAGTAATCCTACGGCCCCCAGCGCGGGGAACGCCGTCTTTCAGAACGCCACTAACACTCCACTCATCAATTTTCCCCTGTCGTCTGCGACCTTCAACCCAGTTTGCACGTCCACCTCCTGCGGCAATGTGCGCTCCAGCCTCTTTGCCATGCAATTACATTACTGATCATGATTTATGAGGCTCACGAGCGAGATCTTGATTATTATGATCATTGCAATTCTTATTGTTTGACACCTGTTTGGTTTCCTGGTCTTATGGGCAGTATTGCTTTCATAAATGGTGCCACAGAAGGCCGACATGCGTTGCCAGGAGTTTGGTCCTAACACCGCACCCACCTGTCTCAGCAGATTTGTACCGGAATTTCTGGAGCCTTCTGGACCCTGCATGGGAGCGCAGGGGATTGGGCGTTGAGTACTAATACTGCTGATCCTTGGTTCTTGGTATCTACTAAGTTTGAGGGCCTCTGTATGACTAGACACAATTGAGATCGATTACAGGACATGCATGCGATGCAGCATGCTTCATAACTGAATCCTTCATTCTGTGCTGCAGACCTTCACCTTCACAGGGTTTTCGGCTTCGGGACCCCTGCCAGCAGGGGTTTACAACAAGGTCGCCGCTGCATACACCGGGGGGACCGCAAACGGCGTCACTTTCAACCCTGTGGATTCTCGCACTCAGGGCCTGCCCGACGCTGTTTTCCAAGTCCTGCCGGTGAGCGCCCGTTAGCTCTTCAGGAACAAGGGTCGGCAACTATCTATGCATCTCATTTTGTTACATCAAAGGTCATACATACACTGGTCGATGTGAGGCTTCCAAATGCTGCAAGGCCTGCATGCAAACAATGCATGAATCAGGTGCACGTGACCATTGCAGCCGGGGGCGATATGTGAATTGCTGCAACGGTTATATCCGCAAAGGAAGAAGCTGCCTTATAATCTGTTTCGAGTGCATCTGATCAGGATGCTTGAGTCTTCGTGCCGCAGGCATGCAGCACTTGACTTCAGGCTCTCACATGACTTACATGACTTACATGACTGAAGAGAAGTTACATTGTCAGGAACACTGAGCAAATTCTCCATGATGCCTGCACAGGCCAGCACCCAGTTCTTCTACAACCTGACGGCCTTCACGCTGTCAAACTTCACTAGCGCCTTCAACATCAACGTGACAAACATCAACGGCACTAACGTGGTCCCGGCCGGTGAGCACGCATGCAACTACCGCATGCCAGTTGCCTATGTCTATAATATCTGCGCAACTTCAGACACCAACTCTGGTCTCCTTTATGCTGCAATATTGGGACCATGGGCTCTTACTGTGCCCAAAATCTTATTGTATAAGCCTGTTAGATTGCATGCAGTGTCAGGGTTGCACTTATTTTTCCAAAGCAGCCTTATTGCAGCACAGATAATAAAGCATTCGATTCAGTACTTCTATTGTATACAATATGAAGATTAGTCATCGTTTTGGTGCACTGATGTGGCATGCTGGTGTGGCATGGATGTTGCATGACATGACATAATAAGCTAGTGCAGCATGCTGACGTGGCTGACATGGCAGGGGCGGCATACGCGGTATTCACGCGCAACGAGCCGACGACGGCAGTGATCGGAAACTTCTCGCTGACTCTCACACCCGTGGGACAGAACAGCGTCAACCTGAAGCTTCCCGCCAGTTTCGACGCAGCTTCCCTGCTGAGCGTGGGAGCCTACACGGCTGTGTACACTTACTACCCCACCCCAGATTTCACCACCCCTGTGCCGCTCACCATCAATTTCAACGTTGTGGTGCGATCACAAGCTCACAATTCTGTCTCACCTTAATTGCTTTCTTGCTTCCCTTTGTCACCAGATCAGAAGCACTCAAAACTTGCCTCGCCTTGCTTGCTTTCTTGTGCCACCAGCCTGTCCCTGTCTAAAGAAAGGAAGCTTCATGTGAGGTTCCTCAAGCATGGTATTGTGGTGCTTTGCATGCTTCCATGCATTGCCGCGCCTCAGGCATGGCATTTTTTCACTTGTCTGCAGCTACAGACACTGCTGGATATTTGCAGGCAAAGAAGGCACATGTTACCAAAGTTAATGAGGATTGATGTCAATTTTCGAATCGAATTTTGAATTTTATTTCTTGCAGGAGAACCCGACCCCGCCGCCGCCGTCGCCACCGTCGCCCCCCGGTCCCCCCACCGGAGCCCTGCCCACCACAATCACCCTCTCGGTGTGCATTTTCAAGATCAAATAACAAAATGTCAAAATGTGAAGGCACATCTGTCAAGTGGGTCGTCCTGATGTCTCCTGAATTGCCCAGTAATGGACCCACAGTGGTCTCATCTTGTTCCAGGACGTCGACAAATATTCTCTAGATGTGCACGAGCCCTTGAAGCTGATGCCATCTCTTCAAGTCTCTGTTCAGGAAGCCCAAGGCTGTCACTGCTTGTGCCAATACTGCCATTGCCTGCTGCCACCAGCAACTGTCATGCTGTGATGATATGCTAAATTATCAATCATTAGGCATGAACCATTATTTAATAAGTGATGATTGTTTCATACATATTGATTGCTAATTACTATTTATTGTTACTCCTTAGAAATTCATGCTTGGCTTGAGGCTGACAGCGATGGTGTTTGCGCAGGTGTTCTATAACCAGCAGAAGCAGAAGTTGTTGGGCGGATGTAAAAATGGACTACTGGTCTTCCAAGTCGCTGTCAAGGGGCCCAGCACTGCCCAGGCACGCCCCTGAACTCATGCCCTTCTGCACAAGGACAGCTCAATTATTTTTTGTACCACCGGGAATGGGTTTATATTTTTGACCGTTCACGAGACTACCATATATAAAAGACAGCAGCCGTCCTAGGAGGGTACACTGCGGCCTTGCATCGTGGTATGAGCTCTCATGCCTCTGTTTTGTGAAGCCAACTTCAGGCAGATCATTCTGTTGCGCGGTGGCATGGGCCTCCGAGCTGATGCAAAGGGCGACTACGGCATTTGATTATCACTCTTAATATTCGTGTGCACGTGCGGCAGGTGCCGCAGGACGGCACAGTCAGCATCGCGCTGCAGCCGGGCGGATTAGTCATCGGGTCCCAGGTGGTCTACCCCGATGCCAACCTCGGTAGCGCCGCCGTCACCATCACTCGCCCGGCAGACGGCGCAGCTTACGGATACGGCGCGCACACCGGTGAGTTGCACCCCTTCTTCCTTTTAGTCTTTGCATGCTTTTCCTGCCGTCGGCAGGTGCGTCTGCAGACAAGCTGCATGTAAAGGCTGCCACACATTCCTCCCATTGTTGGAATTGCCAGATTCAAGCAAAGACCAAATCCACCGTGGGCATGGTGCTCAGTATTTGCGCCGCCCCCTACGCCAGCCGGGGCACAACATTTACACCGCAGCAAACGGTTAGGAAAGCCTATGCAACGGATGCTTCACCGTGCAGAAACATGCTGAGAGCCCTCTGCCTGGAATGCAGGTGTCAATTTGCTTTCAATGGGTTTCCAGTATACTGGAATATATTACTAGTATGAATTCTACCAGCAAAAAGCATCCATGCACCTGCATGCCATCCAGAACTCATGGACTTGCATCATTTTGAGCCTGTGAAGAGGTGACAGAGCCTGCCGAGCAAACAGTGTTTGCGCTGCTGCTGGGCAGTGGGTACCACTGTCATACAAACAAAATATACAGTAGTTAAATGTTGCCTGTTCTGGCGCGCAGTGGTGGCGACCTATTCAGGCAGCAGCGACGGAGTGTATCTGCCGTCCGAGGCGACCGCAACGGTCCACATCCCCGAGTGCACCGGCAAGCTCAGCGAAATCGCGCACCACGTCGAGGGAGTCGCCGGTGCGCGACCCCTGCCATTTATAAACAGGGGGAATCAATTGTTATCACGTCTTCTTACGCCCTGTGAGAAAAGCCTCCATGGTTCTGTGATGCTTGCGTGTGCGTGTGCACTCTAAGCTTTCTGGTGAATGCCAAGAACCACCCGTCAGTACTACTGCAAATCACAATAACATATTGCTTGTGTCTCATTAAAAGTGAGCCTGCATTGGCACTTGCATTCCTGTCTGGATGGCACGTTGCTGCAGAGTTGGAGTATCCAGCGCTAGGAGGCAGGTAAAGCATCCCTGTTAATTTTGTACGGTTGCTGAGCTTGATAAGCCGAACACCCAGCGGCAGTGGGTCAACCTTGACGAGGAGGTGCTCCGTTCTTTTCAACAAAGTAATGGTCCGCGCATGCAATATGTCTGGCTGATCTGTGGATGACTAAGGGGTGACTATGGGGTTGTGCAGAGGTGGCCAAGGATGTGATTGTGCCGGAGCCGTACTTCACCCCCGGAAACGGGCAGTATTATGGTTACGGGAACGGCTACTCCGGCTACGGCTACCCGCAGGGTGCCTACCTGCCAGGTCAGCACTGCGCCCGAACGCCCGTAATAATTTTCTTACAGAATTCTAGGGTTTAGGATTTGAACTCTGGCCAATGCCCTGTGCTTTAGTAGTCTTTTGCAAAGGAAGTCCCTTCTTGTGTGCCCACATGGTCAGTTCAGCATGCAGGCAGCTCAAAATTGCAGCAATGCTTGTTGTCATGCAATGGATTTACTTCCCCGCACATGGTTTCCAAATCGTGGTAGGAAAAACTACTGCTGGTGGCAGCAGAATTGCCTCAAGTCAGACAGCGGGTTGTTTTAATATTCTAGCACCTTCAGATACATGTAACCCAGCAGACCCTGACAGAGGGAGTGCTTCAGTGCAGGCCAGACAGCTGAGGGCAAGTAAGCAAATTTTTATATGAGGCGCCTGTTTGGAACTAGCAGCAGCCATGCAGCCATGCGCATGCAGCCATTATCTGAAGATAACAGCGGCCACTTCTGGTAATATTGATTGTCAAAACACTCCAAGAGGCTTCAATGAATGCAGCCGCAGTTGTGCCGCGCTGAGAAACGAAGCAGTTTGGAATGAATGCTCGGTCACAAGCTGCCTGCGGGCATGTGCGGGCATGAGCAGAAGAGAATATGTGGATTACTAAACCCGGCCCAAATGGTTCATATGCGCCAGAGCCTTGAACCCCAACATTTAGTGTGGCGGTTATATTTTGTTACGGCTGTGATTGCAACCCTTGCAACTGCGCATGCCAGGTGGATTTTCTGCAAGTTTCACTTGCGTAATTGTAACAAACGGAGAGCATAGGAGGTGGCACTCCTCGGATGCTCTCTTGTTGAACACTTCCTTTGCACCCACTTGCTTAAATCTGTATTCTTGAATTGCCCCCTAGAAGAATGTATGGAGCAGTCTAAGGGCTTGCAGGCTTTTTGCCCCCAATGCAGCGCTATTAGCGCTCAACTTATAACCGGCGTAACCGGAACTGTTTTGATCATTGGATATCCGGTACAGGGAAAGCATGCGGGTTCGGTACTTGAGATTTGATGAGTTGTGATACAACACCAGGCTGTAAACTTTTGTAGGCCCCGCAGACGTGGCTGCAGACGCCCTGGGTGTATGTCCTATGGCCTTTGGCTTTGAGTTTGCCGACCACAGCTGTACTAATAATTGAATATTATGGTGCTGAGCTGGTATGCGCATTTGACCTCAGGGCCTGCACTAGCACTCATGGTTGGGATGGACGCATATGATAAGATATGACCGTTGCAGCAAGCAAACATTAAAAAGCATCTCGAAGAATTCCCTAAAAAACACACTCTGGGCTGCGAAGGCCGGCACTCAAGTGATGAGCTCGCCAGACAGCGCTGCAGTTTCATTAAAGGTTTAGCTAGCTAACTGACTTTCCAAGTCACTTGCAAGAGGTTTAGACTGCTCTTTGATACACGTAGCAAACCAGTGCACTTTATAGGAAATGCCTAACTGGATTGGCGTCCTCATGCAGAAAGCAGGGGCATGCAAAAGCTTGCGTGGAGCAGCACAGCAGCGATGAGTCATCGGCAACACCTGGTGTCCCCTACAGCAAAGTATTGGATCAATCTTCCGGCAGAAGACGTCACAATTCCAGCCTGCACTCCTCCGTACCAAGTCGGGAATAAGATAAAATTACATCTCCCCGCACCACACCAGCACGGCAGAGTCGCGGGAGGCAGCGGAACCCTGCAAACCTGTGATCGGGAGATCTAGGAGCGGGCAGCGTAAAGACCACCGTGAGCTCAGTTGAGAGGGTGAGTGGAGATTGGCATGGCCAATAAGGAAGTTATTGCCCCATTCATAGTGCCCGAGGTCCGGGAGTGCAACGGGGGCACAAGCGGGTCCACCCGAGATGTTGGGATGTTGTTATTCGTTGCCCTGCAGCTCACGGTCTGGCTCCTATATGCCACATAGGGGTCCAAAAGTGAGTTAAGTAGGGGTAGCTGAACTCTAGGCTTTCGAGACGCCGGAACCAGGGGACGTTGTTGTCAAAGGTCCTGCCCGGTACAGCTCGCAGGCGGGTCAGTCGTTGCTTCAGAGCAGAACGTTATCTGCCACATTACAGCGTTTGTCTCTAATTTCATTGCCACTCGGGTGCCGGGGGCCCGGCTCACGCGTAGTATCCATATCACAGATATTCTCGGGCACATCTTATAATATAGTGACAAACCTGCCTTAGCACCGCCTCCGTTCTGTGGAGGTGTTTGCATCAATAGTTTTGCTCACAAGTTATGATGTCCGAAAGAAAAGTCTGGCACTCATGCTGGAGTGGTGCAACCATCTGAAGGGCTCTTTGCCTCATTCTCATCTTGACAGGATCTTGCAAGTGCTGGCTTCGTTGCTCTTGGTGAGCTGCCCACAGCAATCCAGGCTCATACCATCTCTGAACAGCTCTTCTAAAGCAATTCGGTGTCTGCAGGCACATTAGGGGAGCACTGCCGAGGAGGCAGCCATGGCGCGCTGCCATCTTGCAGCAGCAGCAGCAGCAGCACTTATACTCTGCCTGGTAAGCAACACTCAAGAATCTCTTCCCACCTGCCAAATGAGCCTGCAGATTGCATGCCTCTGCTCAGATTTTGTCAGACCAGCCACGCATTACTACAGACACTTGCCTGACACTGAGACGCCTTTGGACTTGATTTCCATCTGTCAGTCCATGCATCAGGGGACACAGATCCCGACATGCATGTCTTTCATTACGAGCAGCCTCGGAAGAACACAAACAATTGCCAGCCACCCTATGTTGCCACAGTGACACTTATAATGCTGAGTAGTCAGCGCTTGAGAGCTCCAGCCCTGGTGGGTGGGGGCTGTACTGAGCACCATGCCCACGGTTGAACGGCTCTGGCTTGGATCTGGCGAGTCCATTAAGGGTTAGACTTTGTGGCAGCCTCAACCTGTAGCTTGCCTGCTGGTGCACCTTGCCACTGGCAGGAACAGCATGTGACTACTGATCTATTCTTGACAGGAGCCCTAAATAATCTCCTTTGTGTAACAGGTTGGGCAAGCAAGCGCGCAGGTGCCTGTGAATGTGACAGCCTTCGGGGTGACGCCCGTATTGGTTTACGGGCAGCCTGCCACCTACACGATTAACCTGGCCACCCCAGTGGGTCAACCCAGCCCCAACGTAGGGAACGCCGTCTTCCAGAACGCCACCAACACTCCGCTAATTTCATTCCCCATCACAGCTGGCCAGGCCGTGTCCGGCTGCACCGGCTCTGGATGTATCCTGGTAAGAACCTCTTTTGCCATTTCTTGCGTACTCATGGCCATTGCAGGATGTATTTATATTCACTGGTAGGCCTTGTGACTTTGCTTCAGGGTCCTAAAGTTTCGCAGGTCTAGGAAGGCCTTGTGGGTCTGATCTGCGCTGGGCCTGGGTGCATCGTGGTTAGACTTTCCTTCTTCTTGTCCATGCTCTTAAGCTTTCAGACTGTATGCTCCTTGCACTGGCATGGCAGGCTTAGAGAAAGCCAAGACCTTTCCTGGGTAGTTCTGGGGCGTCAACAGCACAGTCTAGTCTAAAAGGGACTTGCTTGGATTCTGGCTTGACAAGAACTAGACCCACAGCTTGCCTGATTGATAGATGTGCCTGAATTTGCCCCCTATGCACCGCCGGAGTTTTGAGGGGGGGCAGCAGCATCCAATGCAGGGAGTGCATGCATGAGTGTTTACTCGAGCTGCAATATGTGTCTCACTCTGCAGACTTTCAGCACCCCTGCATTAGTGGCTTCAGGCAGACATCTCCCGGCTTTACATTTGCCGCCAATCATGTTGACCATTTTGTTAGAATGGCTATGTTCGAGAAGATCTAGATGCCATTGGTCATACCTATGACTGGTGGAGAAAATGGAAGAAGTGTTATTATCAATATTGCGCGGACCTGTGTATGCCCTATGGCCCTCTGGGCTCTGGGTTCGCCACTCATATAGATTATTATGATTATGATTATTATAATTGCACGTTTTTCAGTCCTAATGACCGGGTGCATAAAGCAACACAGCTTTATCGTGACAATTGTAAATATGCGCGCAGGCCGTCTCTTTCACCGACGCCGGTACGGCCACCGGAGTGACATTCGGGGGGATCCTGCCAGCTGGAGTCTACAACGCCGTCCAAGCCGGATACACCGGGGGGACCGCCAACGGCGTCACCTTTACCGCAGCCGGCTCGCAGCCGAGCCTGCCGCTCAGCTCCTTCCAAGTGCTGCCGGTGCGCAGCGTTCCCTCCGTGCTCTTCAATTTTCATTACTCGTTTTTGGAATATTCATGAGGGAGTGAGCGGCATGCGCTGCTGGCAATTGTGACCTGCCCACAGCGCCAGCGCCTGTGACCGTAGTGCAGGATTTCTCAAGCAAGGCTAGCACAAATTCAGGGGTTGGCCTAATATAAGCAGTTGGCAGATCATGCAAATTGCCAAGAGGCAGCAACCCCACCAAGCCGCCACGCGCGTTGTATAGGGGTTCAGTCCTGAGAAGTGTATGCCCGCATCTTGCCATGGTCAGCAGGCTCAAGGACAGAGCATGCCTGCTAAAACTTGTCCATGTGAATTCCAATCAGCCGGCTGAGTCAGCGCTGACTAATCACCATTGCCTGTTTTGGCGCGCAGGCGTCCACTGAGTTCGAGACGGCGTTCACCCCCTTCACGCTCGCCAACTTCAGCTCCGCCATCAGCATCAACATCACCAACCTCAACAAGACCAATGTCGTCCCCGCAGGTGCGCGCACAATTGATAACAAGCCCTCCTCTCATTGCAGGCACTAATCGGAAAGATTTAGCTTGGAATCAAATGTGCACTCAAAGCTTGAAGCAGCCTGGTGTGAGGAGGTCTTCCTGATAGATAAGTATTTTGTACAAATTAGGAAAGTGACATGTGGCATCGCTGAGGTGGCAGCAACCAATCTGCGCATGCATGCGTTCTGGATGGATGCTGGAATACTATTCCTGCCTTGCATTGATTGTCTGTCTGGTCTGGTCAGTATCCATGCTGCTCAGCATGCTCGCTGCTGCTCCTAAACATCAGCGTGCTCTGACATCATGCCTCCATGCGCGGCAATCTGAATTCATAATCAAATTTGAAACCGCAGGCGCGGCGTACGCGGCATTCTACAAGGACCCGGCAGGAGCCAACACGCTGATCGGCAATTTCTCGCTCGTTTTCACGTCAGTCAGCGCCAACACTGCCAAGCTCACCTTCCCCGCCAGCTTCGACGCAGCTACCCTTTTCACCACCCCTGGACCCTACCGCCTGATCGAAACCTATTTCCCCACCCCCAACTTCACGCAGCCCACGCCGCTCATCATTGGCTTCACCGTCTCGGTGCGCCACCCCTTTATGCCTTATATATTCAGGGGTTTAGGGGAGTCTTCAGGGCTTTCATATATGCAGAAGTCTTTTGTTTTGCATTCTGCTGTAATACCAGGTATCTCTTGTCTGTGTGCCATGAAAGATATCAGTACACAGCTCAATTGAGTGTGTGATCAAATCAGTCAAGTCAGTGTACTGCTCAGGATTCCTTGTGCAGAGCTTGCAGTCATGAATGAAGGGACTCCCTTGAGTTTTGGAATCACTGATTGGTATGTGGGGTCACTCCTCGGTCATGAATTGCTGCATTATGTCGGGGTGGCATCTTAGAGATGGCTCTCTTGGCTTGCATGGACTTTTTGTACAATCGGCGATTGTATGTTGCAGCATTCTCTCGCCAGAACAGTGTTCGGATCCCAATTATTTACGGAATGCAGACATATGAGATGTGAAGATGGGCAGTGACAAACTCCCTACAACAGCAATGAGCCTCAGGTGGCTCCCAGCAGGTTGCCAAAAATGTAAATACAAAGGGCCCCGGCTGGCGGGAGGCGGCATAAATGCTGATCACCGTGCCCACGGCTGATTGGGTATTGCTTGGATCTGGCGAGTCCAACAAGGGGTAGCATTTTGCAGCCTTTCACTGCAGCTTGTCTGCAGGACGCACCGTGCCTCTCGGCAGGAAAAGCGTTAATGACAATAATATTACAAATGACGAATGAAGTGATTTCTGTGGGCAGGCCACAACGCCGTCCCCGCCGCCTCCACCCAGCGGTGTTCCTGCCCCACCGCCGCCCCCCTCAACCGGCGGCACCAAAACCACCATCTCCCTCTCGGTGCGCATCATTCACCCTTTCTTATCCATGCAGAGGGGGACAGCATATACTACTAGTATAGGGTAGCATTCGGTACCCGGTGACCTGCACTCTACGGACAGAATATCCTTTTGAAGAAAAATTCACCTGGGTATGCGGCTGCATTTGCCTGCCCATAAACAGCAAGTGCCTGGGTATGATTAATTTGCCCTTGATGTGCACCTTGTCCTGCTGCTTGGCGCTTCCCTTGCAGATTTGACATGGGGATCTTGGATCCTTGCACTACCCTTATACGCCTTCAGTATCAGATCACCTCTAGGGAGGGCATCCCAGCAAGCGTTGCAGGCGCGTGTGAAAGACAAGCATGGCTGGGGCAAAGGGGCCAATGAGTACTGAGATGTTTTCTATCCCATGCAGATTTTCTTCACGTACGCTCGGAGACGCCTCCTGAACTACGGAGGCTGCAGCCGCTCCGGCAGTCTGACATTCGTCACTGCCGTCAAGGGCCCCACCGCCGCACAGGCACGCCCCGCCAGACCGCGCTTCTATGATTTCACTAAATTATTTATATAACATGCATGCATGTTGGGATTTTCTGTATGCCATGTATGGTGGACACCCCAAGTAGAGGTCAAGTAAGGGCTTAGGGTCCAGAGGAAAGACCAGCCAGCCAAATTATACAACCATGTCAATTTAGACCCCCTGAGGTTCACAGCCCTTGTTGGAGTCTTGGGTATATCCGAGATGGAGTCATTACTGAGTTGTGAAGATAGGGGGGGGGCTGTAAATTTGCCCGGAGGTGTCCTTCGACCAAAGCTTGCGCTTGTGCTGCTGCCAGAGGAAGTCACTCGCCACTTACAAGGAATGGATGCAAATCTTTCTCCATAATATCAGCCTTGTGTCACCGTCTCCTATGTAGGGCATCATTCGGTAACAAGCCGTATTACTGACTTTCCCTGCCATGCCCTGTGCAGTTGCCGCCCGATGGCACGGTCACGATCTCTCTCCAGCCCGGCAACGTGGCGATCGGATCCGCGCCGGTTGTTCCCAACGCAGCGACCGGTGCCGCCACAGCCACCATTGTCCGCCCCTTCATCGACGGTGCAACCTACGGCTACGGATCCCACACCGGTACGCCCGTAGTTGGCATCTGTTTAAAATTTGCAGATATTGCGTCTGCAGTAAAGTTGCACAGCGGAGGCAGGAGCTGCATGCATGATGGTGTTAAAAAATGTGTGCACTTTGCTGCTGCTCAGAAAATGTGGCTCCCTTAAGTCCGCTGCCTTATGTTGATTGGGCTCTAAAGACTCTTGCATGTAGCAGCCATGCAGCCATGGGCGTGTCCTCTTACTGTCCACCTCTGACCAGCCTCCCCAGATACGGTCTATCTAGTCGTCATGCATGCTGTTCTGTGCAGCCACTGCCGTGCATTCCGCGCCGGTTATGGCCATTCTGCCAGTGATTGCAAGCTATGATATAGTTTTTTACTTCCAGTCGATCTAAATTTGGCAGTGTACTGTGGCAGTTGTGATTGCGCATTCGGCCGGTGCATGCAAACAAACAATTGATTTTCAATTCGAAATAGTCTGAATTTTTGGTCATGCTTCCGATGTACAGCCACGGCGGTGTATTCTGGCAGCACCAGTAGCACGTTCGGCCATTGCATGCAAACATAGATTTGATTTCGAATTCAAAGTAATCTAGTTTCTTAGCATATTTTTGGCTTTGCAGCCACGGCGGTGTATTCCGGCAGCACAAACGGCGCGTTCCTCCCGGCGCAAGTAACCGTCTCATTTGTCATCCCCAACGACTGCAACAACAAGGGCAACGCCAAAGGGGACCTCGTCAACCACGTCATTGGTGCGCGCCCCTTTTGTGTAGGGTTTAGGGGGCCAAGACCATTCTTGCAAAAAACCCTGAAATTTTTGAGATCTTGGTAAATTATGCGCGAGTGTCTTGTAACAGACGTGTCCAAAAGAGGGATGCATGTGATTGTGCTGATTTCCTCAATGCTTTTTTGCGGGTGCAGTCATACATGACTTTGCACCCAAAGTCGAATATTGACATTGTTGGTAGACAGGGACTGTAGGGGGACACGGCAGCTCTGTGCTTCATCCTCACTATGAGAATTTTTATTTTTTCATGGCCTTGAAGTAAAGGGGAAGTCAGCAAGTGTCTGAACTGGGTTGCATGTGTGCCGGGGTCCCAACCTGCTTTGCAGACAAAGTCATTGATCAGGAGTTTTGGGGCAGCCTCAGGTGTTGCATGCTGGATTTTCTTATGTTCTACTTTCTTATGTCGGTGGAATATGCCTGACATGGATGTTGTGTTGCCTGCACAGACTCGGTCGACTATGTTCTTGGAAAGGACTCGCACCAGCCAGGCTACGGGGCCGGCTACGGTTACGGAACCTCAGCCTTCGCAGGTATGCGCAGCTCCCCGTGCACTTTTCAAATTTGAAGCGGAAGTGTTCCTCGCATGCAAGCTTGCAGAACAGCATAATTGCTCCTAAAGGACTCGGAGGTGTGCACATATGAAGACACAACATGAGGCGCGCAAATTTCATGCTCAAAAGCAGCTCTGTTCTGCTTGACCTTGTGCAGAGCATATGCTTCCTTCCATCCGGGGTACTGAAGCACTAATGGCTGCAAGCAACCATCTGTAATTTGGTGATTGCGACGTATTTCCTTGCCATTTTTGTCTGACAAACCATGCTGGGTATTTGTGCAGGCACATTCACCACTGCCGGCAAGTGAGCAGACGCTGCAGAGCCGCTCGCCAATAAGCGCGAAATCGGACAAAGTTGCTTTTTTGACACATTTGATGGGCAGCCGAGAGCGGGCATGCAGCCGAGGGTGCCGCATGCATGCAGATGAACTCAGTGCCCAGCTAGCATTTCATTTGAAGGAAATTCTGCTGCCGAAACCAAAATCTCCAAACGGCGATCCTTGATCCTCGCATGCTGGCGGTTAATAGTCATGGATGGCATTTTGGATGCGGGCCTGGGCGCATTTCGAAGCACTGCTTTGAGAGCAGCATGCCATGCTGAGCGCTCTGCCAATAATGGGCCATAAAACCCTCCGGCAAGTTTTCATTCCGTGGGTTCAATGAGCTTCGTTGAAACGAGTATGACCAAGCCACAGCGGAACGTTTGCAGCAGCATATGCGCAGAATAGAGCCACGCATGTTTGCTTTCTTTGAGTTTCTTCGCATGCTATTGAAGGCACAAGTGGCGCAAAAGCACGCTGAATTGCAGAGTGGAATGAGTTTGAATGCAGCAGCTTGCCGTGACTCATGTTTTTTGTGCTCATCCACCCTTGTGCTGCGGCAAATCTGCATTCAACTTGGTCTACAATAATGTCCTTGCTGGACGTCTCTCGATGTCTGCTAGGCAAAGCATGCTTGCACTTGCTGCGTGACATGAAAATAGCACAAGGCAGAACCTTGCGCATGTAGAGTTTTCATTCTGCTACTGATCAGTGTGAGCACTGTCAAACCTCAAGCAAGCATATGCTCATGCTGGCATGCATACTCATTGGAGGCATCCCTTGCTAATGTCCCCTGCCTAAAGACTAGCCATACATCAGCTCAAATTTGTATTGTCCCAAGGTGTCTGTCTATGGTGAATCTTCGTAGCAGAACAAGTGTGACTGACCCACCTGATGCACTGCACTTGACTCTTTGCTTACTACAAAACCATGTGGACAAATCATATGAGCCTTCCTCTGTTCAAGGAGATTCAGATCATCTGCTGCCCCGCCTGCCACCTCCCCTACTTGGCCCTGCACCTCGGCCGGGCCCCCTCCCTCGGCCACTCCGCCCACCCCCTCTCTCTGAGTCCTTCCTGAAACTTCCACGGCCCCCGGCCCTGCCCTCAGATGACCCCCCTCTGCCCCTGCAAGCACACAGCCAAAGCTTTAATAACATAATTATTTTTGTTACACGCTTTCCTGCCGAGAGGCAAGGTGCGTCCTGCAGACAAGCTGCAGTCAAAGGCTGCCAAAATGCTACCCCTTGTTGGACTCGCCAGATCCAAGCAAGACCCAATCAACCGTGGGCACGGTGCTCAGTATTGATACCGCTCCCCGCCAGCGGGGGCTAATTATATTATTATCAATATTATCAAAAAATTCCGGTCCGTGAGGACTATGTACGCCAACAATGCCTGGCTTATTGCTCTCCAATCTTCTCGATGCTTGCACTTCCTCCAACAGTCATATGCATGCCCGACAGAATCAAGGTCATCTCTCGTGTAGTCATTTGAGCTCTACGCTGACTGCGTCTAGCCCCAGTGCCTGATATTGTGCTTGAACATCATCTGCAATGGCATCCTGGCTCCGTTCTAGCCACATTCCCAGCCAAAGCATGCCGCTTAGAACCAAGCAAACTCCATCAGCTCCTTGAGACTCATCAAGAAGACTCAGCACACAAAACAAGCTGCACCGACTCCTCTGAAATTAGGTAGGTAGAGCTCTGGCAATGTACAGCTCCAGTACGTGCATCATGATGCCAGCATAGCGCCTCGCATTCAATGCAAAACACGGTGGACGAAGAAAACAATGGGCGCTATGCTGGTCCCATGGTGCACCTACTGAAATTGTACAGCCCGAGTTATGTTTGCATGTGGCAACCTCCATTGCAGCATTTTCATGGCGCAGTCAGTGCAAAGCCCACGTCGCCTAGGTCAAGCTGCACCGCTGTCCTAGCGAGTCAACCTATCATCTAGAAACAAAGAACCGCATTGACTTCATCAACTCGGCCTAGACATCCTTGAGCTCCTCCTCGCTGTCTGTTTCCCTTCCATTGGGATCTTAGCAGCACATCTGAGCACATTTGTCACAGAAAAATTATTTGTGGAAATTTGTGAATTTTTTTATTTATTCATGACACACCTGCCACGCCTGCCGGCGCTGCCGTCGTGGCGGGACCCCCCACGGGGTCCCCCTCTGAATCCTTCTCGGGACCCCCCGCGGTCCCCCCGCTCCGATGACGCATGCGGCCGCGGCCGCACCCCCGGCATGTCCTCCGGCTCCTCGCCCAACTGCGCGCACGCATCAATGCCCCTCTTCATATAAAAAATCCTTGCATATCCGACAAAGCCCCTACATCTATCTGGTGTAGCGCAGCTGCAAAAGCCTGCTGCGAGGGGATGCTTTGCAAGGGAACCTGGCCATGCAAGAGCCCTCGCACTCTGCTCCGGACTTTGTCTCAAACACTCTCTTCAGATCCCCAAAACTTGGCACAAAATTACATAAATCCCGCATGCATGCGCCATGCTGCATCTCGCTTGCATGCATCGCCTGGTTCCTGACCTGTAACAGCATCGCCTGATCGTGGTAGTAATACGCCCTCCCAGTATTGTTTACTCGGCCAGTTTGACCCCCCCAAGACCTAGCTTTCACGCCCCTTCTTTGATTGCAGAAAACCCACCTCGTCCCTGTAGTACTGCGCGTCTTCCTCGGTCGTGTCCTTGTATCTTTTGCGCCGCTCTGTCTCGTCCAATTCTTCCTCCCACCACTCCTTCTTGCGCTTTGGCTTTACCGCCGGATCCGCGGCCGCCGCCATTGCCTTGCGCTTGCCGGCGGACTGCTTCTTTGCAACATTCTCCGCCTACAATTTAAATAAGAACAGCATAAATACATGTGCCATCGCACTTGCACATGCATATTTATGTGTGAACAGACCCTGTAAGTGGGCTCTCAATGCTGCTGCTTCTCAGCAACATTCTTCCCCTACAGTAATAGGAAGAGGATCAGGATACGTGGCAGTGCTGGTTCACTTGTGCATGTAAGGGGGGCAGCAAGGCAGGCTCTCGCTGTCTTTGTGACAGCCTTGTCTCTTTGCAACACTTTCCGCCTGCCAGTAACCCGTATTTATACCCATCTGGCTAAGGTTTGCGCATCTGGAGAAAAGCAGGAGACGCCAGAATCCAAGACTTGCAAAGCGTCAGGGACTATGTATCTATAAATGACATCCCCTGAAATCAAAGAGGCAGGTGGCACTATGGACTACTGTAGTCTTTAGTACCCCCTGAAAGAGGGTCTATAGGCTGGAATGGGAGTGTAGGAAGCGCGGTAAGTGGTGTGCTCAATGTGAACTCGCACCCACCCATATGCCACCTCGTTGCTCTCAGCGCCGGTTAATTCCAATGGCTCATCGCCGCGTTGCGACTAGCCATCAGTGAGTGTGGACGCTGTGTGTGGGACTTGTGGGGACAATGTCTTCAAGTAGGTTGAGACAGACACCATATAATCTACTTATGGATTTTAGGGTTTTTGGATAATCTGAGGGTTTGAACCAACCCTACAACCCTACACATATCCCTAGGATGTTTTGCAATCCCTCTGCAACCTTGCCATGCACAAACGATCCAAGGTGCGACCGCACATTGCATTGGGACGTAAAAGGTGAGGCGCTGGTTGAAGTTTCAAATGTTCCGACTTGACATGTTTGAGCATGCTGCCGCCAACATGTACCCATGAGCCAAATGACAGCGCAGCGCCATGTCATCGTTATGTGAGGATGAGTCACCTGCTGTCGTCGTCTATCAGCGCGCAACTTCTCTCGTTCGTCAATCTCCTGCTGCTGCACCGCAGCTTCCGCAGCGCTCCTGCAAAAAAATCCAATTATCGTACATTAATCGACATAACGTATGGCTATTTGTTTATGATGTTGTGCATGTGAATGAAAACCGCTCATTTTGCCACATCCCCACAGCTCCTAGCGTTTGAATTTGCACAAATAATGTGAAGGCTGTCTTCAAACGGAAAGCTGCTCAGCGTTCCTGCCAATAAAGAGAAGGCCTTGAACATGAGAACCATGGGTTGATAACCTTGAAAGGAGCGACCACAAAATGATGCAACCTGAAGATCAAAGCTTGCAGACACAGCAGCGGCAGTAACGGCATGCAAAAGCAGACGGGAGTATTGCTATGGCCACGGCAAATATGTTTGGCATGCCGCAGGTTTGTTTGCCGTCTCATCAGATAATGGAGCAAAATTAGTTTCACAGCCTTCGCAATGCAGGCGAAACAGAGAAAAAGGTTGGGGTGACCCAAGGATTGCCAGAGCTGCCTGCAATCTCTGGAGTTGCCACCAGCTCCATAAAATATCAATTCACGATATGACAACATGCGACTACCTCAAATAATCAGGTCAGGACATCATGAGAAAATGGGACTGGACCTGATGTATTCAGGTCAGGACAAGAAGAGAACAAGGAGCTGGACTTCAAACATTCAGGTCAGGACAGGAAGAGAGCAAGGGACTGCAACTTGATATCTTTCAGGTCACGACAACAAGAAAACAAGGGGCTGTTTTTCGAATATTCAGGTCAGGACAGCAAGACAGCAAGGAACTGCGACTTGAAATCTTTCAGGACAGGACAAGAAGAGAACAAGGGACTGGGCGGGGAAGAGACACCTGTGCACATAGCTGTGGTAGAGGACCCGTCCCGTGCACATGCCCTCCTCAACCTTGACCACCTCCAGCTCCATGCGCGGCCCAATCTGGCAACCAACACATTTTTGAATTCAAATATGAATCAACCCTGGTCTGGCCAAACGCAGGGGCATGCAGAGGTGCAGAGGATCCCTTCGCTGATGGCGTGAATTCAGCAAGAATCCAGCAAGGATGGATCCACAGGTCTGAAAGTGTTGATGGCTTGTCTCACGGATACTCTTGTCAAGAGCAGAGCATGGACTCGTTCTTAGATCTTGGGAGTCAGTGACTAAATATAGCCCTCCAGAGAAGAGTGCACTCTGCTTGCTGTTTGTCTTAGGTGAAGGGCATACCGCACGAGCGACTGGCGGCTGGCGACACTGCCGTTTACACTCTTCTCTACCAACCTTCAACACCCACCCTTTTGCACTGATGTACGGAAACCCTGAAACCCCTCTACCTGTTCAATAGAGTGGATAGAATGGGTAAATATTACAAGCGCACCTCCTGCAGGCGCACGCGCGACTGGCGGCTGGCCATGTTTCCCCGGCCCATGTCCTGCGCCAGCTCCACCCGCGCCTCTGCCGCCTCCTCCCCCTCGCTCTCCTGCGCAAAGTTTAATTTATAATTATTTTCAATCAATAATACATTATTTATATTTCTCTTTGCAGCCTGGCATGCAGCGTTCGTTACACCATATGAGGCTTCTGGGTTGGTGCTCAACCCCCAAAAATCCCCCTGGCAAGTTGCATACTCTAAGCCTGATCAGCTGCCATGCATGTATCTTACCTCTGCCTTGACCCATCTCTGGTGGCATTACAGCCTAGGACACTTATATGCGAGAACCTCGCAAGAACCGTCCTATCACACGGTGCTTGGAAGGCACTAGAAAGAACACCGCACGCTCTGGGCTATTGAAGTGTGCATGCACAAGGCAACTCAGCATGCCACAGACTCTGTCTAAGCCTGGCAATACAATCAACAAATACAGCTACTCGGCACCCAAAGACAAGATGTTTGGCATGGGATGCCCCACATGCCAGGCTGGCCCACCAGCAATTATCAACATGCACACAATTTCTTATATACCCTGATTCGATCCCTCACAACCCTGACACGAAAGGGGCACGCACCGAGCCGTAGCCGCTCTTGGTGAGGAACTCGGAGACGTCCTGGAGGGAGCCCATGTCCGGCAGCTGGCGGCGGGCGACTAAGGATTTGACGCTCTTGGTCACCCCGCTCGGCGCCGCGCTGATGCCGTAGTGCCGGAACGAGATCCGCCTCGTCTCCTTGTCGTAGCTTAGCAGCACCACTCTCTGTAGCACAGGGAACGCTCAGACCTGATTCATCGTGGCATGCCACAAAGTACATGAGGCCCAGGAATGGCGCAGGATACATTGCACGTGATGCATCTCCAACAAGGAGCCAATTTGTATACCATGAAAGCACAAGAAGAGGTTGCCAGCAGAACCACCCTCTGCGGCACGAGAAGTACTCAAGAATTCAACCTGGCATGCATTGAACTGCACAAGATCCACCAAAAAGAGCCCACTAGGTTGCATGTGACGTGGTGTAGCTCTGGCCATTTGCAGCTGTCACTTGGAGGACAACAGAGGCACGGCAGCACCACGGCAGCACTCTGTCGCCACAAACATCACAAATCTAGTGGCTCATCATGGCATTATGACATGCTAGAGATCCAGAATTGATGCATCCTGAGCTGCGCATTGTCAGATGCCAGAGGGGAAAATAGCAGGTGTCACCAGGATTTCTCCTCGGAGCACAGATGTAGATTGTCAGCCGCATAATGAGCCAACTCATCCTGGAGGAAGACATGCAGTGATGTAAATCCCTGTCCCTGAAGCTCAAGCCTCACAGAAGCATGTCTTCTGTTTTAACTTGTGTCCCGACACCTTGAGCCCTTCTAAATGTGCCATTTTAGTGGCGGTCTGTTTCTTGAGGTTGGGGAAGTGCATTTTCATCTGAATGAAATGCACCTCGTCTGCACGAAGATGGCAGAAAGCATCTTGTTTTCCTGAACCCCAGAAGTCTAGGACCTTCCAGAGGTACACCAACCCCAAGAACCCACCTGGCAGGAGGACAGATCGGCACAATGATAGCGGGGAACAGGCTCTTCAACTCGGCTTTAGCACCCCTTATACCCTGGGCCCGGCTGGCGGGGGGCGGTGTAAATACTGAGCACCGTGCCCACGGTTGATTGGGTCTTGCTTGGATCTGGCGAGTCCATCAAGGGGTAGGATTTTGGCACCCTTTACTGTTACCAATTCGATAACCCTATCCTGACTGCTCACATCGCCTCGTCTGCCTTGCCACTTTTATACAGGGATGACGAACACATTTATGCAGCACTGACAACGCACCTGGCAGGAGGACAGGTTGGCAGTCTGGACATTGATGGCGGGAAAGAGGTTCTGGAACAGCGCAGTCGCCAATTTAAGCTCTTCCTGGCCGCCGAAGTTATTCATGACGACTAGCGGCGGGCTCTTCCACATGGACGCCGGCTGGCGCGGCCGCTGCAGCGTCGCCGTCACATCGCGCATGAGCGAGTACGCATGGATGCGCATCGTCAGCGTCGGGCCCTGCGCAGGGGGTATTGAACTTTAAATTCGAGGCATAGTCAACACTATACTTGAGAATGTATGTCTAACAGTGACTGTGTAAAAATACCAGTGACTGAAAGATCGCATTGGCCAGTATGCGTGCATGCACATCCTTGGCGTCGGGCCCCATGCAGGCGCGACCACACCACGCGTGAGAAGGCTCTTAAGTGGTCCCTCTATCAGGCACTAGGTTGCAGGGAGATAGAGAGGCCCTCCGTGCCGCAACAGCACACCTATCGGCGCCAAAGGAAATGGAACATGGATTATCAGGTCACATGCCGGACAGTTGTGGCCACCGTGATGCACCCTCTGGAGGGTCCTCAACACAACAACCTTCCTCTCCCTCGATGTGTGCTTTGCAATCGAGACGATCTCTACATCGGCCTGCATGTTGCAGGCTACCCCCATTTTGACAGCGCCAACCTCAGCCACGCGATGAGAGATGCGGCGTACAAAACGGTCCATGTCAGCATTTGCACAATTGTACCGCATGCCACAGCGCCGTGGGTGAGTTCAGCACTATCGAAAGGGGAGAGCCAGCAACATGTGCACCGAACCTGGTTGCAACATGATGCATGGGACCAGCAGAACCAGGATTACTGTGGCAAATTCATTTGAAAGTTGCATTTTAAACGCACCCTGGGGGTCTTTGCGACGCGCAGGTACGCAGCATTGTCAGTGGCGGTCAGGATGAGGAAGTGCGAGACTCCCAGCGGGCCAGCAATGTCCACAAAGTCCCGCAGCTGGTTCTTCCTGGACTCCTGAACACACGAACCAAGGAGAGATTCATTGACGTGACACAGCCATAGAGCTTACGGGCAAAGGATCTTATTATCACAGCACGCTGCTCCTGCCAGAGGCCAGGTGCGTCCAAGCTGCAGTTCGAGGCTGCCACATTTCCTACCCTAAGATGGACTGGCCGGATCCAGGCTAGATACGATCAAACGTGGACACGGTGCTCAGTATATCTCCCGTGGGCAAAGATACTGCATGGGAAGTGCACTTTGCATGCCCCGGCAAGGGTAGAACCTTCACATGCAGACAGACATTTCACCTTGCAGGGCACTGGACGCTCGCTAAGACACGTGCAAGTCTCCCACCCTGTGATCGCGGTAACCACAGTTGCGATGATGTTCTGTCTGGCGGTATGGATGCATGAATATGAGATGTATGAGGGGATGTGGGCTTGAGGGTTTTTAAATGCCAGGAGTCCTCACCTTCAGGTGCTCTGCAGTGTTGGGCTGCATGACTCTGCGCAGATCAGTCTCCAGTGCCTTCAAGATCAGCTGCAAGGGAGCACACCTTTCAGCGATGTGCAGGTCACACAGCAGTCAAGCCCCCTCAACGCACCAAATCTTTACATCAGTGTCGTCGTTAAATCCAAAGAAACAATAGTAAGCAGTGGGAGCCACAAGGAGGCTCACCCCTTGCTTGCCGCGCCAGAAGACGAATGTCTTGGGCTCAGACTTCTTGGCTGGGTCGGTGAAGTTGGGAATATGTGTGCGCTTCTTCCTCTGCAATTCAATGAAAGATATTTAATGATTCTCGTAAGCCCTCTCAGATCATTTGTCAGTTTGCTTTGCCACATGCTGCAAGCGACTAAGAAGAAAAGAGATCTGCTTGAGGCACTTCCTAATAAGAGAAGGCTACAAAGTGGATCAACAATCAAGGGCTCTTATCATAACAGGATATGTCAATTGAATCCATTTTGCTAAGATGATGTGCTGCTAGTACTGTTGCAGGTCAGATGGCAGAAACTCACCCTCCTTGTCTTCGCCATTTCACAAAGCTCCCACCTGGGTCCTAGGCAGATGACACAATGTTGAAATGTTTAGTACGTTTCAGACATCTGCCACATCGCAGTCTCATTTAGAGCTATGAACTCTGCGCAGCTTTCCGTCTCGGAACAAAGGTTCCGATGTGGTGATAGGGAAACGCAAAGGCCAGTGATTGTTCCCTGCCCAGTGGCCGCCCTTGATGGTGCTTCTGCTCAAAGCTTAAGCAAAGCAATTTTGGGCGGAGTGCACTGCATCTCCAGGTGCGGTGATCAACTTTGTATTCCTAGTGACCGTTTTGTGCGTTCCTATTATGTGCATGTTTAGGCTGCCGTGTTTGCATTCTCTGCAGTGAGACGTAACGTGCATAGAGTTGGATATCAGATCGTCGCTGTGCTGTTGCAGGTTTCTTCTAGAAACTATCCACCGGGAGTCGAGTTGGCCTTGAGCCGACGCGGAAAGACTCCTACCCTGTCACGATGCTGATTCCTAAGAAGAACCGCAAGGAGGTCTACAAGTATCTCTTCAAGGGTGAGTGCAGGCCCGCTTGAAGCCCTGTATTGTCCTCTGTGCTCCCGTGGTTTCGATCAGCATGCATGGCATTGTTTTATCCCGGTGAGAGCCGCCTCCATCTAAGGCACAATCAACGCTGGCGGCTGCCTCTGCTTTGCTCTCTTAATTCCCCGACGATCTGCACGATAAAATAGTTCTTAAACATCTCCAGGTGTTGCAGAGTGTCTGTGCAGTCAGGCATCATGCATTTGTCCGGCAGCTGCAACACGATGGATGTTTGCTGACCTCTGCTTGCAATGTCTGCAGAGGGAGTTCTCTATGCCGAGAAGGACTTCAACCTGGAGCAGCACCCGGAGATCGAGGGCGTGCCCAACCTCCAGGTCATCAAGCTCATGCAGAGCTTCGTGTCCAAGGAGCTTGTGACTGAGCGCTTCGCCTGGCGCCACTACTACTGGTGCGTTTGGTGTCCTTCACAGAAGTACCAGGACAGTCAGAAGCTGCTGTTCTCTCATACAGTAATGAACAATACGTAGGGTGCCTAGTAGGTATTGGTCTTCAAGAAATAGAAGAATATCCACTTGTGTTGGCTATGATGAAGCTTGCCCATCAGGGGCTTTCCTGCCCCCAGTGTCCAAACTCTTACGAGTTGGGATGACACGTGGGCTGCTGAGCCTTTCCTTGTAGTATCAACCTGTCAGTCCCGATCTATTTATCTGTCCTCTTCTTCGTTCTTGGCTATGATGTTAGCTAGTCCTCCGAGGGCTTTCCTGCCCCTTTCTTCTGATCCCCAGAAGACACCTGGACTGCTGAGCCTTGCTATAGTGTATGACTAGATATTCTGTATGCTCCCACGGGCAATGATGACAGCAAGTCCACTGAGGGCATTCCTGCCTCTCATCTCCTGATTTTCAGGACGACATTTGGATTGCTGAGCCCTCTTTGTATTCTAAATTTCACGTTCTTATCATGGCTTAGCGCATTTTTGGATGCTTGCATTTTGGGCCATGATGACAGCAAATCCATTGAGGGCGTTCCTGCCTCTCATCTCCTGATTCTCAGGATGACATTTGGACTGCTGAGCCCTGTTTGTAGGTGTTAAACTCATTTTCTGTCAGCTTTGTCAGTCCTTGATGGCCATATTGGGCAATGATGACAGCAAGTCCACTGAGGGCATTCCTGCCTCTCATCTCCTGATCTCCAGGATGACATTTGGACTGCTGAGCCCCGTTTGTGTATCACATATCACTTTCTGCCAGTCTTTGCATGATTATTTTGGGCAACGATCTTATGGGCAATGATGACAGCAAGTCCGCTGAGGGCATTCCTGCCTCTCATCTCCTGATTTTCAGGACGACATTTGGACTGCTGAGCCCTTTCTGTGTTCCAAATTGTACATTCTGCCAGTCTTAGCATGGGTCCCATGGGCAATGATGACAGCAAGTCCATCGAGGGCATTCCTGCCTCTCATCTCCTGATTTTCAGGATGACATTAGGACTGCTGAGCCCTGTCTACTTCCCTCTTAAATGATCTTCGTCAAGTATTTGTATGCTTTGTGTTGGGCAATGATGACAGCAAGTTCACCGAGGGCATTCCTGCCTCTCATTCTCCTGATTTCCAGGACGACATTTGGACTGCTGAGCCCTGTCTACTTCACTCTGAATTGATCCTCGTCAAGTCTCTGTATGCTCTTGTGGTGGGCGATGATGACAGCTAGTCCTTCGAGGGCATTCCTGCCCCTTTCTCCTGACTATCAGGAAGACACCTGGACTGCTGAGCCCTCCCACCCTTTACCCCGCTCACTCACAACCCATGACTAACAATGTTGCCGTGACTAACGCTCAGTTATGGCTGCCTCGCAGGTTCCTGACCGACTCCGGCATTGACTTCCTCCGCGAGTACCTCAACCTGCCCTCTGAGATCGTTCCTGCCACCCTTAAGAAGTCCACCAGGCCTCTCGAGCGCGGCACCGGGTGAGTGGCGCACACAATTGCTCCCTTTGTAGCCGCTCGAAGCGTGGCCATGATTGCTAGTTTGAGAAGGTGGTTTGGTAATGATGATGCCTGCCCTACGAGGGCGTTCCTGCCCCTTTCTGCTGACTCCCAAGAGGGAAGACACCAGGGCCTCTGAACCTTCTCCAATCCCGATTTCCACCTAGCATACACCCCCTTTGCTTTGCCCAGCGCTCACATCATGTTTGGCTTCTGCCAGACAAGTCAATGCCATCTGTAACTGCTGTTGTTGCTAGTAAGTTGTCCTTCATGTCAGCTAGATTCGAGGTAGAAAGATGCTTAGAGGCTAGTTGCCATCACGAGGTGTGCTCCAGTGTTTAGTCTAGCATTCACAGAAATCTGCAAAGAGTCTCCAGCTGCTGAGTGCGGACCCCCCGGTGTTTGTAGGGACAGGCCCCCCCGCCGAGACGGCGACCGGCCACAGCGCCGCGGCTTTGGGGACGGACCCCCCGGCAGCGGTGGCGGCTACCGCGAGGGTCGCGAGGGCGGCCGCGGCTTCGGCCGCGGCGCTTCTGACAAGGTGACTCACCCGCTGACTAACCCGCTGACACCCCCATTCTCCCCATCTTACCTTGCCTGACCTGACCTGGTACCTATTTACACCAAACAGAGCTGGGATGTGTCCTTGCTAGGCGGCGTCACATTTTTATATCTGATCCGGATAGGCCCTGGTGTCTAGACATAAACAGGAGATTTTGACGGCTGTGATTTCACCAACCTGATGGGGACTTTCCTGCCCCCTTTTCCCAAGCCTATGGGAGGATGAGTCAGGTGTATGAGCCTTGTTGAAGAATATCCCACCGTTGATCTGCTGTTTGCTTTCTTTCGCTGGCTGTGATTCAAACGACCTGACAGGGGCTTTCCTGCCCCCTCTTGCCCCAAGCCTTGGGAGTCAATCTCAGGTGTATGAGCCTTGTGAAGGAATCCCTTATCATTAGTACTTTGCTCCTGCTTGCTTTCTGCCCTGGCTGTGATTTCACTGACCTGACGGGGACTTTCCTGCCCCCTCTTGCCCCAAGCCTTTGGGAGTCAATCTCAGGTGTATGAGCCTTGTGAAGGAATCCCTTATCATTAGTACTTTGCTCCTGCTTGCTTTCTGCCCTGGCTGTGATTTCACTGACCTGACGGGGACTTTCCTGCCCCCTCTTGCCCCAAGCCTTTGGGAGTCAATCTCAGGTGTATGAGCCTTGTGAAGGAATCCCTTATCATTAGTACTTTGCTCCTGCTTGCTTTCTGCCCTGGCTGTGATTTCACTGACCTGACGGGGACTTTCCTGCCCCCTCTTGCCCCAATCGTCTGGCAGTCAATCTCAGGTGTATGAGCCTTGTGAAGGAATCCCTTATCATTAGTACTTTGCTCCTGCTTGCTTTCTGCCCTGGCTGTGATTTCACTGACCTGACGGGGACTTTCCTGCCCCCTCTTGCCCCAATCGTCTGGCAGTCAATCTCAGGTGTATGAGCCTTGTGAAGGAATCCCTTATCATTAGTACTTTGCTCCTGCTTGCTTTCTGCCCTGGCTGTGATTTCACTGACCTGACGGGGACTTTCCTGCCCCCTCTTGCCCCAATCGTCTGGCAGTCAATCTCAGGTGTATGAGCCTTGCCAAAACCCATACATATTAGCGTGCGCTTGCTCTTGCTCTCTTTATGCGCTGACTGTGATACAAACGACCTGACAGGGGCTCTCCTGCCCCCCCTTTCCCCAATCCTCTGGGAGTCGATCTCAGGTGTATGAGCCTTGTCAAAACCCATACTTATTAGCTTGCACTTGCTCTCTTTCTGCACTGGCTGTGATTCAAACAACCTGACGGGGACTTTTCTGCCCCCTCTTGCCCCAAGTATTTGGGAATCATTCACAGGTGTATGAGCCTCGCAAGCAAGATCCTGAAATCTGAAGTGCCCTTCGTACTGGTGTCGTTTGCCAGAGTCACTTACATGCTGTGTGGGCTGGTTTGCAGGAGGGTGCCCCGGGTGCTTACCGCCCCGAGTTCGGCCGCGGCGGCTACGGCCGTGGTGCTGCACCGCCTTCTTAAATGCCTGCCTGCTATGGCGGCATCCTACCAAGCCGTTCGTGTGACCAGCACTCAGCAGCGGGCTCCTGTGTGCTGTTGTGCTCGGCAGACAAAAGCCCTGAGAGTCCGCTCTTGTTGTGCTGCTAGCTGGGGCGCTTGTGAGGTGTTGTGAAGCTCTGGGAGAGTGGGGAGATGAAGTGCTTGCCTCTTGAAGGATGTGTTCGGTTTGTTCCGGATCATTAGCTGCAGAGACGTGTCTGGCATGGGTCTTGAGGCCTTCCTTGTAAGAACAATCAATATATATCTCAACCACCGTCGAATCTTGCATTTCACACCTCGATGAAGTGTCGCTTGACCAGTGGTTGAACATGCATGCGGAATGCACGAACATGCACGACACGTGACGACGTTCAACGAAATGAACTAAATGGAAGCCAGCACACCACACGTAAATGCCTTCAGGCCCTAGAATGGAGTCTACAAATATGCAGAGTAATCGCGCGTGTATTAGAACCTTCAGACGATGATGCTGAAGTAATAGGAGAGGCTTGCTAGTTATTGATCTGGCCTGGTGTATGTCAAGATGTTGGCCACAACCTCCAGGCGTTTGTGGAGCTTGCACCCTTTTGGACAGTCCCAAAGATTGTTATCCTCCTGGGCCAGCGTCGATCCATCAGCAATCTCTGGATCTAATCCTGGTCAGGCGTACAACCTCGGTAAGATGCTGCTGAGTCAGAATTGTCTTCCAACCGTTGTGCTTCGTCTTCGTCCTTGCCTACAATTAATAACAACCAAAATCTTTGGTATATTTTATCTGTCTGTGCATCTGATTTGTACATGCATTTAATTTCAGGCTGCACTCAATCTGACATGTCTGAGTCCATCAAATCACGTTCTGCAGTTCCAACCGCTACAGTGCAGGTTGTGTGATCGAGAATGCACATTAAGCTCAATGCTACATCATCTGTGCTTGCAGTGAATGGCGAGTGGGGCCTGCCTGCCAAATCGAAGACCATCCCAGATCCCCTGAATGGGGAGCCCTTCATCAAGCTGCCTGACACGCAGCTGGACGAGATCGACCCCTTCGTGCAGAGCTTGCGCGCAGTGCCCAAGTCGGGGCTGCACAATCCGCTCAAAAATCCAGAAAGGTGTGCCGGACCCTTCCGCTCCTGCTTCCTTTCTGCATCCCTATTGATGTGGCGGAGATAGGCCCCGCCATTCTGCTTGACTGCTTGACTCCATCCAATAGACAAAGATTGCTGACAGCGCTGTCTGCATGTGCCGAAGACTTGATTAGAGCAACCGATGCTTGCAAATTGATGCATGCATGCTCGGCATGAACCTGGTCTTGTCAAACCTGTGGCAGGTACAACATGTACGGAGCAGTCATTGCCAAGGCAGCTGAGGAGATGAGGAAGCCAGAGGTGCGTTCTCAGCATTCCTGCAGCAACTTTCCGCTGCTAGCAGCAGATTGCTTGTGCGAAGCATCATGCAGAACTACCGCACCATTGTGATTGTGCCAGTGGGCTGGAGGTTGCATAGAGATTTGCAGATCCTTGGAGGCGGAAAATACGGTGTTATCAGGTGCTGGAGATCTGAATGCATATAGAATTCAGCCATGGTGATGCTGTATCCTCCATCCCAAGGCAGACTATCTTTTGGTCTATGATTTCAGGCATAGCACTCGGCTTTTGGATTCACCGAGTAGCACGTATGTCAGAAGCATGGAGAGGGTACTTAGAGGAAACGCACTTGGAACTTCTTGCCGTCGGTGCAGCACTCGCCTTCTAAGAGCTGCAGGTCAATGTGCACCTCTGACTGCCCCTTCGGCGGCGAGAACTGTGCCCGACGCCAAGAAACTCCTTTACACAAGTCTGCTGCCATGCATGCAACTTGGCAGTGATCCTAATTGAAATCAATTTACTGCTATGAGAACGACTGTCAGACAAGGAGTGTTGTGCACCACATCCCCAACTTCTGGAATTCACATTTCGAACAAGAAAAATCCATTTTGTAATTTAAAATACCAATTGCAGGTGGAGGACTATTTCACCAAGCTGGTGCAGCGGGTGGCGCCCAAGCACGACGCGCAGGCGAGAGCAGAGGTTGTCGTCACACGGCGCTTCTTGGAAAACTTCTCTGGCGACCAGGTCGGACTTCCCTGCTGCCCTTGGCACAAGGCTGGAGAGAGCTGCTGTTTAATGTACTTTAGTTCGTAGACAACCCTTTAGCTTTATGGGCAGGGTCTGCCAGCTGTGGGCCTTCCAGCAGCGTTCAGATTGTCACTCTAAATGAAAACAGTGGCTGATCCAAATCTTTGGCAGATGGGGCAGTTTTGTCTGTCTCTAGGTCGATCAGATATATGAACATGCATGATACCCTTGTTAGACACCTCTTTGAAATTTGACACATGAAGCAATGGCCCTTTGTTGCTTGTCAGAGCCCAGAACTGTTGCTTAGTATCTCATCCATCCGATTCCAGCTGCAAGACATCACTGGAGCAATAGAACATCTTTTGGTGAGTGTTTGCAGCTGAGAGCCGGGACGATGATATATATTTGACTTTATTCTGGACTCTGCCCAACCGCAATTTCCTGCAGTGCCTGGACACCCTGTTGCAGAGAAGCCGGGCAGATGTGACAGCAAAAATACTTTACTTGGGTGCATGGCACAGACGTCCAACACGTAAATCAAACACAGGATAGGAAATAAAGTGCAACGTGTCCAAATCCAAGTGCAACGAATTAAAATTTGCAAAGTGCCTCAAATTCATTCGTGCAGGTGCGCTTTACGGCGCGCAGCTTCGGTGTCGCAGGCGACCACGCAGGGCAGATGAGTACGGGGCACCGGTGGCCCTACGGACCCGTAGGGTTGATAACTCCCTTTAATTTTCCTCTGGAGATCCCCGCGCTCCAGCTCATCGGCGCCGTCATGATGGGCAACAAGCCGCTTGTCCACGTGGACCACAGGTAAGTCAGCGATTAGTCTGCAGGGGTTTCTTGGGTTCCTGTCTTCAGCAGGGTCAGGGGTCAGACCATCAGTAGTTACCTTTTTAAGGATTGCTTAGCGCCGTTGAAACTACCATTCATCAACTTCAGTTATGGGCACCCTAAATATAGAAGGTAGGCTCAGCAAAGCAGCTGGGGATATTGTATTCAGCACAGCCCTTCTGAATCACACTGGGTCTACAGCACAATCTCGGCAAAATCACACCGCTCTTGTGCAGTGAAATTTGTCATGATTAGGCTGTGGGCTATCTGTGACTCAGAATGATGCTCGTAACTGGACCTTTTCCTCCCTTGCTACCGCTCTTATGAGCGTCGATCTCTCAACTAGTGGCCATTCGTGACACTGTGCGACACAATCCATCGATTGCATAACAATTGTAGCTATGTAATGCCCCAAAGGACGTAATCTCTCGTACAATTCATTGAGTAGGCGACCTGGAATAGTTGGAATTGACACGTAGGCTGACATCGATTCTACGCATCTAGTCGCTTGCAAAGTAAAGGATGTTCGCGTACACGTAGATGAGCTGAGAAGTACATTGTTGCCTGCCCAGGGTGAGCATAGTAGCGGAGGCGTTCCTGCGCATGCTACACCACGTGGGCATGCCGATGACTGATGCTGACTATGTGCACGGCCACGGGTCCGTGGTCAACGAGATCTTGGTCCGTGCGCGGCCGCGCAGCACGCTCTTCACCGGCAGTCAGCGCGTCGCAGAGAAGCTGTGCGCGGATCTGCATGGCAAGGTGGAGATATACTCAGATACCATTATTTTAGTAACTCTACTTGTGTTAGTAATTCACACGTACTACAGATGACATCCGCGGCGCTGCGCGCATGTGGGCACATGTGCCCGTGCTCCCTTTTGCAGTGGCGCTACAGGAAATGACTTGATCGGAAAAGCTTGTGGTAGCTGGCGGCTGGGCTACAGCGTGAGCCTCGCATTGGCAGGCCCAGCCCGCAGGGCAGTGCCGTCCTTCTCGAGGCCCCTATTGTCAAAGAGGCATTGGTCCATTGCAGACGCGGGGGCCCTCTTGAGGATCAGGACTGCTCTGCGGAGCCCTGCGCCTGCTTTCTTACAGGATGTCAATGCATTGATGCTACCGAGTTTGTCGCCATGTCAGGCACACTGGTAGCAAGCGCAAGATCAAGGGTAGTCTGCATCTATCGGAGGTTGACATACATGAAAAGGGAAAGCGCACGTGACGACAATGAACCGCGCACAGCTTCCGGACAAAATCTCACGACCTGGCTCAGTCGTAGGGGCAGGCCTCATTCTGCGCATCAAACTTCGATGACTCAACATTACTGTATGTAAATCATGTGACAGCGCGCACATGTGCGCGCGCAGGTGTTTCTGGAGGACGCGGGATTTGACTGGAAGGTCTTGGGGCCTGATGTGTTTGAGCCGGACTACATAGCATGGCAGTGCGACCAGGATGCGTACGCATGTAGCGGCCAGAAATGCTCCGCGCAGTCCATCCTATTCCAGCACAGCAACTGGGTCAAAGCCGGTGCGCTGCAACCCGTGCTCCTGACCATACGACAAACTGTGACTAATGCAAGCTACCAAGCAGATTATGTGCTTCGAGCCATGACAGAGTGCGGCCGAGGTGACAGCTATGCACAGAAGCTGCTATCATCAGGAGTTTGGGCTGCTCTTACCCTGATATTGTCGCAGCATCCATCGCTCTTGCATGTTAAATCGGGATGCAATCCCTTCGTCTCCCTACAAACGGCTGATCGTATAGATGAGAGCATGGATTGGAGCATGGTGCTATGTCCTTTTTCCAGCATGCGGCTGCCACACAAGCTGAGAGCGCTCTTTACCTACTGCTTTTACGAGAAGTATTTCCTGCGTGCAAAGGTTGCAAGCAAAAGCTGCAGGATGCACATTCTGCATGTGGTGCTTGAACTTTGCTTGATGCTGAATTCTTGAGGAATTTACTCTTGCACGAGTGCTGTGATGAACTTGCGTTGTTGCATGGGCAGGGCTTGAGGAGAAGCTGGCGCAGCGGGCAGCTCAGAGGAAGCTAGATGACCTCTCCATCGGGCCCGTGCTGACGTGGACCACAGACGCCATGCTGGCGCACGTCGACAAGCTCCTCAAAATTCCAGGTGAGGCTTTCGTCACCCTAATACGAACTTATCTGCTCTGCATCTTGCTTGTAAGGACGCTGTCTAATGAAGCGGGCTAGGGATGTGCATCATGATTGTGCCCCTTGCATCAAGATGTGTGCTGTGTGCGATGCCTCGATTTTGCCGCCAGAAAGCATGTGCCAACTATGTGTTTCCCTCGTCTTTGAAACGCCTTCATCCGAGGCTGCACGTTTTGTTGTCGACTTTTTTTCTGATATAAAGGCTGCAAAGTGTCTCAAGACAGGATGTCGTCAACTCCGCGTGCTGCTCTGCATCTTCTCTCACCTGCACAGTGTTTCAGTCAAGTGGCCAGAAATATTGCGTTGTGAAACACTAAGTGGGTATCAGTTGCTTGAGCCATTTGTGGGAAATATAACGCGTTTGATTCTCCTATGATTTTGTCTGGGAAATTGCCTTTGATGGCTTGCATGTGCATGGCAGGAGCACGCGTGGCGTTTGGAGGCAAGCCATTAGAGGGCCACAGTATTCCAGACGTCTACGGAGCGATTCAGCCCACAGCCGTATTTGTGCCTCTGGACCAGATCCTGAAGGATGAGAACTTTGGGCTCGTCACCACGGAAGTTTTCGGACCCTTCCAGGCGCGTCACAATCCTGGAGAGATTGGACAGCTCCGCATCCCCTTACTGTGTTGACTGGATTTGCGCCCTGTGTGCCTTATATGCCTCCAAGCTGCAAATTTCGAGCAGCTCCCTGGCTGGGGAAATGCTGGTATATGATACAGAAGCAAGAGGACTGATTGGTTCTTGGTACTCAGAGCAGCTTTTCAACTGCGCCTACTGTTCCTAAAATATGGCCAAAGCTGAAGCGTGGATTTTGGCTGTGAGAGACTGCATTTGCGCATATTGGCATCACTGTGACAGTGTGAGCGCCAAAGTAAGGAGCCGTAGCAATACCCTGCAATGACCCTTTTGAATCCCCTGGACATTTTGCAGGTGCTAACGGAGTACAGCGATGAGCAGCTACCGCTGGTGCTGGAAGCTCTGGAGAAGCTGGAGGCGCACCTGACCGCAGCCGTCGTCTCCAACGACCCCGTCTTCACCCAAAAGGTGATTGCCTGATATATTTTTGCTGCAAAATGCAAGCCGTGCAGCTTATCTGGTTCTCGTAGAAACAAACCAGCGAAGATGAAGGAGCCCCACAATCCAAAATGGATCCTATTTGGGCTGATGACCATTTAAATGTGCAAGACACTTTGCACTGCGCTGCATGGCCAGAGAATGCTTTGAAGTGACTTGCACGCTCAGCACGCTCATCCCCATGCGGCAATCTTCTTGCACGCTCAGCAGTTCTGCAGCTTCTGCCTTGATGTACGCATGCCAGCGCCATTCCTTTGACTCCAGAGGAGGCACTCACCAGCTGCTTGCTGTGATCCTTGTTTGCTTGCACCTGGGTGCCCGAGCACTTTCCAGTCGCGTGATGGAACGGGCAGAGCAGCGCAGATAGACACCAGGAGCATCTTGACGACCAGGGCTGGCTTTTCTGTTTCCTCTCTGTTGCATGATAATCGAGAGAGAGACGCAAAGAAGCTGCAGACTCATGCATCGCTGTGTATTCTCATTGCGACAGATGCTCAAAGAAGGTTGCAAATTTTGTACTGAGCATCCTGTTGAGGTGCTCGTAGGAAGCTCACGGGACTCTGCCAGTGCAAAGCGGCAGCTCAATGATGCAGAGCGTAGTGACATACATGAATGTAATTAGTGACATATTTAGCTGCACACAGGTGCTGGCGAACACCGTAAACGGGACGACGTACGCGGGCATACGGGCGCGCACGACGGGAGCGCCGCAGAACCACTGGTTCGGCCCAGCCGGTGATCCGCGCTCGGCCGGCATCGGAACTCCCGAGGCCATCCGCCTCGTGTGGTCTTGCCACCGCGAGATAATCAGCGATGTTGGACCGATCCCCCAAGGCTTCCAGGCCACCACGACCTGAGCTATGTGAATTAATACCACGGATTCATTTTTACATTGCATGTGTTGCTAGTCAGCGCTGTCAGGCCTCGAAGAGGAGGGCAGTCACATAGGAACTTGAGCTTGAGTTGAGGGAGTCCATGGTGCATTGAATAAAAGTCTCAGGGCGCCCAAGACATATGTGTTGCATGGTCGTGCCAATGTGAAATCATTAGCATTGTTGAGGACAGTCCACCAGAATTTTAGGCCACCAGTACGCGACAGTGGGACTTTTGCCTTGGAGGATCCGTCACCATGTACTTGTTTTTGCTGTGATGGCAAGAGCTCTAAATGGCAGGTGCTATGACTGATCTTTGTCAGTCAGATGGTTAGGCATCTGCAGGCCGTCTAGAGCCATATGCATCTACAAGACTCTTTGACATTAGATATCTAAAAACAATGCATGCACCGTAAATACGAGAGGCCTCCTGAGAGATCCCAAGAAATTTAGCGAGGAGCTGAGCATGATGTGATCTTGCCTCGCGCTTACTAAACTTCGGAATGTGTTCAGGACAATCTAGCTAGCACATCTAGCTGCACATTATCATATTTTGAATAATTTAATATAAACTTTCATGATCAACTTCATGCATATTGCATGCGAACTTCTTCATAGATCGTGTAGAATGTTTCCCGCAAACAGCTGCTAAGGCGCCTCATTGCCGCGCTGGCAATTACAGTGCAGTGCTTTACATTCCAGGGGAACACCTCTGGAATTGGGCCTTTAGCTATGAAATCTCTGTTTCTTGGAACAGGACTTCAATACGCACACCACTGACCATATTGACTGTCATAAGTATTAAGCACTCAGGTGTAGAATCCCCAGAAATTTCCAACACTGTTGGCTGCGGAGTCATCTTCGTCCTCTTCAGATTGCATTCGGATTTCCTGCTCTCCTGATGGGGAGTCTGACATCCTTGTACAAGGGCAGATTTATTCAAAGAATTGTTCGCTGTCGGTCGATTTGAGCTCTGTAATTCTCACAGTCCTAGATGGAGTCCCTGTTGAGGCCATGTCACCCCCCCCCCCCCCCCCCTGTCACAGGGAGTGCACTCGCTTTGCCTCTGTGATGAGAGCACGCGCCTTATCTTTCGGCTCATCTCGAAGCAGGTCGGCATTGAATTTGTCTATCGATGGTAGATTCAGCACTGCTCGGAATGTCTCTGCTACTGACTCCCCTAGGCCCTTCAGGTCATAGCCCCCCTCCAGCAAGAACACGCACCTGCCGCCTGCATGCATACACACACGCACAGCCAACTTAACTACGCCTCAATATTGACTTTTGAGTACAATCTCTGCCTGCTATGCCACGAGCAGTCCCCAACAATGGTGAATTTTTTTTTGGAAAGGATTGCCAATTTAATTGGCTATAAGAGTGCACTGCAGGCAGCACTGCCCGCAATCCTGTGAGAGTCATTCAGGCATCTCCAGCTAGACAAGGTCACTCACTGAGGAGCCAGCAGCACATGGGCTGGCTTTGACTTGTCCTGAGGTCTTGAGGTATTGAACCCTTGTCATAAGTGTGCTATGTGCCATAGCACCAGAAAATGTGCATGGCATTGTGCTAAGTTGGCGGAGCTTCCTCCGGCTAGGAAGCTATGTTCACGAATTGCAAGTGCATTAACTTCATGCCATGAAGCTTATATTCATACGGATTCGGCTGTGATGACCAAAGCTCGATCAATGGTAGTGAAATTTCCCCTCGGGTTTATACAAAGCTGTTCAAGCAAGTGGGCCCACCTGAGAGGCTGTCGGCCAGGGCCTTGATCTTTGCAGCGAGCCTGTAGTATGTGGAGCTGCGCATCTGCAGGCTGGCCAGGGGATCCCGCCAGTGCGCATCATACCCCGCGCTCACCTGCAATTTGAAATTTTCAAATTCAGACACGACAGCCACAGCGGCGCCAGCCATTGCATGCAGTGGAACGGGACGAGGGCATCCTCCAGTGTCTCAAGGGGTTTACTAGTAGTCAGACATGCTCAACCTTTCCAGGCCACCTCAGGGGCAAAGCAAGCGTTTATTTAATGATTGGGACGTGGGGAAGCATGTGCAACAAATTGTCCATATTCTACAGGGAGAACTACAGACATGTGGGGACTTCAAGAATGAAAAGGAAGTTTAAATCCTATGGCAGTAATGTGTTACCAGGATGATGTCTGGCTGGAAGCGTGCAGCTGCCGGGCCCACGATCTCATCAAAGACTTCCATCATCACTGCATCGCCAGAGTCGCCTGCGCAGACAGCCATAAAAACATATGCCCATAGAAATGCTCATCAGGCTCAGAATCTGCCAGTGCCTGCCTCCCTTGCAGGACGTCCTGTAGCTGAGCGAAAGCTTCAACATCTATGTGTGAATCAAACCTTGCCCTCACAGCACCCAACCGCCCAAAGAGCATGCTCCGGTCGCGTTGCCAGACCTTTGTCGACTTCAATTGTCCCAAGCTGCTCCTTTAAGAGTTACACAGAGTTTGTTTTTACTGTCTGATATGCCAGAAAGGAATCAGCCATCCATGGGCATGATCAATAGGATGAAACCCTACTGGAGTGCTTATTCTACCCCGCAGTGTGCATCCACTCCATTTTGCCACGATGAGGAGAACACCTACGACCTAATACCCCTATTAGTTGCTCTGAATAGATTTCCGCACCGCCGGGGTTGCGGAGTTTGGAATCAGCGCCACAGTACAGTCAGAGAGAGTGCACCTGGCAGAGGCAAATTTATAGATGCGCCTGCGCCGTCGCCGGTGCCAACCTCTGAAAGAGCGCCAGTGCCGGGGTAGAGGCCGGCCTGATGGGTGGATATGAAGAGCACAGAAGGGTCGTCGAAGAATACGTCGTTAGTGCCGTTGCCGTGGTGCACGTCGAAATCAAAGATTAGCACCTGCGCGCACATGCAAGCACTCATGACGCAGGGTGACTTAAGATTATGTAATCAACATGTTTGGGTGCTGCGTATCTAGCGCGAGCATAGCAGTCGCTAGCAGTGAACGCAAATCGACAGAAATTCTGCCACTGCTCCCCCCTTTTAGAAAAGGAAGCAGGCAATTGCTGCAGGTAGATTCTGCAGGTCAGAGCGCAGCTATTAGAGGATATTGACAAGGGATTAAGAATGGAATCACCCAATTCGCTTTAAGGGCCCCGTTCAGGGTGGTTAAAAAGGGGGGGTGCCGAAAAGTGTTTAGTCATGCAACACTCAGACAAGTGCAGCAGTAGACCGAACCTTTTTGAGGCCGTGGAATTGCTGCGCGTGCCTGGCGGCCACTGCGACGGTGCCGAAGAGGCAGAATCCCATGGGCCCCTTAGCGACGGCGTGGTGACCTGGCGGGCGGCAGATGCCAAAGCCAGCTGGCGCGATGCTTTCAGCCGAGCTGCCCTCCACCACCGCGTCTACCAGCGCCATCGCCGCTCCTGCCGCCTTTTCAGCCGAATTCGTGGTTTGAAATCGAAATCGAAATCGAAATCGAAATCGAAATCGAATTTGGATTTGGATTTGGATTCGGATTTGGATTTGGATTTGGAGACAGTAAAACGATACCGCCTGGGTGGAGTCACCCATGGGTCACTGCACAAATGCCCCGCTCCGCTTCATTGCCTTGCAGTGCGTTGGTTTGCAACGCAAGCATGTGCATCTTTGATATGGACATTAACCTTCCTATTCTTTTACTTTGTCCCTTGTCTGTCTTCTCTTGCCCCAAAGCACCCAGGCGTGCCCAACTTTGACACAATTGACTGGGTACATGCCCAGATGATGCTATGCAAGTTCCTGGTTGGATGCATGCTGCAAGCTTTTGCCGCAACTGCTGAAGATGGGACCATGCACAGCTGACACCATGCAGTGCGTTGCGCCAGGGGCGCAATGATAAGCACAACCAGTTCTGATCCACTCTTTCTTAGCCAGTACTACTACTATACTGCAGCCCCTACTGTCGATGGCGCCTGTGTTCTCTGAATGCGTCAGGTGTTCAAGAGGTGTGGTCAGGAACCCACCCTCAGGGCATCGTCGAAGGAGGTGGGAGTGATGTAGGTCGGTGCATTGTCCACAACCTCATTCCTGCCTCGCCGCACAATCTTCTCCAGTCCCAGGACATAGTTCCGCTCGTGGATTTTGCATAGGTCTTCAATGCTCGCAGGCTGGAAATCTGTCAGGCGAGACAGCTGCAGCGCACACAGCCACACATGTGATGTAAATGCTCTTCTGCCCTTTGCAGGATAACAGACCTCCAGCCGGCCAGCCCCAATCAAGAGCAGTCCTTGAAGCTGCGCAGTACGCCAATATAAGCCAGAATTACCTCGATTGCTTGTCCCCTTGAACACCAGCAGTGCAAATGATGCCGCCACGGAGGCTCCAGTGAAGGGCATGCAGTCCCATAAAGGAGGGTATTTCGTAGTTGTGTAACGCAGGAGATATGCATGCATACCCATAGAAGGGATGTTTCCGGGTGAGGCTAGCTTGCCTGTCCAGGCATGGCCTCTGCAGTGAGATCAGCTGCCTGGAGAGCGTCCAGGATAGCAGTGCCGCGAGCTGCGCACTCGGGATGCCCTGGCTTGTCATGGCTCAGGGCAGGGGAGCTCACGTACACAAGCTTCGGTACTTGCAGCAGCTCTCCAGCGCTGGCCAGATTACACGTTGTGGAATGTGCTGTGCGATTCTGCATGGACTGTATGCTCCAAATTCAGACATCCGAGGTACAGTGGAGCTGGTGGAGGTCAGTAACACAGTGCAACATACTGAAGATGGACATTGATGAACAGACGAAACCATAGTCATCAAAGCCATCAAAGGGATTATAGGACGTTACCTTGCGATCGACGCGACGAGCAGGTTTCAGTGAGCCAGTGCGATCATCCACGGATCTGCAAAGCCTTGATAAAGCCTTGGCACCTGATGCTGCGGTCTGCATAAGCTTCATGACACTCCAAATCCAGTTCACTGAGTTTTTTTGGTCGCAAATTCAGAATCGAGGCACTCACATGCAAATTTAAACTTCACATCCATCCTTGGGAGACCACAATATCAGAAGTCTCGGAACCATCTTGAGAAGGGAAAGAAAAGGAAGGAAAGAAGACGAGCAATTTGGGCCGAAACATTACGTTGACAGGAAAAATAAAAGAGAATCGGAAGGCAAGAGAACACGTGCAATTACAGTGGAAATCCTATCTTTGCTCTGCTGGTTTTACTAGGCTGCTCACGTCCTAGCTGCAGCTGCTGGTACAGAAATTGCCCTTCAGATTATTACAGCTAGTCTCAAGATGAGTTGCATCGATAGGCAAGCTCCTGCGACCTTTTCAGGGCGCAGCCATCTGCCGCAGCAGTCTTTTGCATCTGTGCACTCCTCACTTTTTCCTAGCAGGCGACCTCTCAGATCACACGTGAGGTCTCAGAACAGGAGAATATCGAAGAGTGTATGCTTCGCCGCAGCCACAGCTTCGAGACCATCTGCTGCAAAGCAGGGTGAGCCTTCTGGGTGCCTAGTGAGAGCAGCATTTTCACAGATTTTACTCACACTTTGAGGCAAGAAACAGTCATTCACCCCCGGAAATATTTATCATCACTTGGTTCTCGCTGCAGGACAAAACCCCAAGGAGGCTCACAAGATCTTCGACGAGGTGGCCATCACAGTGAGGTGCGTGCTGCAAGCTACACCCCACATCCACCCCTTCCTGACACCACTTCAAGCTACTACCAATTTTCGATTTCCTTGTGATTAATCTGGCGTCATTTTGGACCTGAGTCCAACTTCAAAAGGGTTGGCATCCTGTGCAATATGCAGGTCTGGGAGGGGCGGCAGGGGTGAGTTTGTGGAGGCCGGCATGGGCAAGAAGGTGCCCAATTTCAAGTATCGGGCAGGCAGCAGCCTGCCCAAGCAGATCTGGCTGCCCGCCGCGGAGCCAGCTGACGGCTCGGATGGCGCCTCCGTCCTGTGCGCTTCTTGGCCCCACTCAACATCCTTAAGCTGTGGTGCTCCCGAGCATGAATCCTCACGTTCTGCATGCTCTAGATGAGCCGGGCCCACCAAAATGCAGACACGTTGTTGCTTCCAGAAGCACGAAGAAGTATGCACCTTAGCTTCACCAAATACTGCCACTGTTAAAAAGGTTGCTGTACCCCTGCGCAGCTCAACGTGTCATTGGCAGCAAGAAGAGCCATCCTGGGTGAATGCAAAGGGGGACCTACCTGACAGCGCTCTCTTAGAAGGAGAAAAATAACAGTGTGATCTTCAATCTTTTGCAGGCTGTATGCGGATCCGGCGCTTGACAATCTGCTGCACCTGCACGGGCGCAAGACGATCACAGCCAAGCATGGCGCCAACGGCAACCCGGTGGAGGGCAGCGGGGGGCCCAGGTGGGGGGCCTTTGCCAGAATACCTGACTCCTCAAATTCTTGCCATGCAAACCACAATTAGAAGCTTTTGTGACCCCCCACTGTTGGAGGAGCAGGCTGCTGCCTGCTAGGCAGTGCTCTTGAGGGGAGTCACTGCGGGTGCATGACTCATCCTGAAGATGCCATGTTGAGACGTACAGGTCTCAAATTCTTTAGAAAAGATCAATTGTGGCAAGGGTCTGAGCTTTGCCTGGTCAGGAGCCGAAGTCTCTTGCTAGCCGCAGCCTGTCCGTGGCAAGGAGATCACTTTTGGTACATTGCTGGGGTCCAGTGGGATAGCTTAGCGTGGCAGCAAAAGCTCCTCTACAGTTTCTCTCAACCGCATGCACAGTTCTGGCGCTGATGTATATAGTTTAAATCTCTGTAGGAGGCGTGGAAAGCAGGCAGCCCAGCGGACGCAGCCGCTGAGGATAGGGGTGCCGATGGGAACGGTGGTGAAGAGAAAAAGGGGCGGCGCACTTCTAGGGGAGCTAACAAACCCCGGAGAAATCCTGCTGGTGGCCCGCGGCGGCAAGGGCGGCCTCGGGGTCGTGCGGCCGGCCGCGCAGCCGGTAGCCAAGGGCAGGGGAAAATTCCTGGACGAGGTGAGTCATGGCTGCATCCTTGGTATTTCTTTGCTTTCTGCTCTCCTCTACTTAGTGAACAAAGACCCATATTTTGTCGATTTTTCAGGTGTGCACACAGTGTGTCCCCAGAGACCCTGCTCTGGAAATGGTCTAGGAACCTCTTGCATGCAATCAAAACTACACTAGAAGAACAATCTACACCAATTAGTTTGTGAAACTCACTGCAAGTTGCAACACGTCAGCTTTCAACCTGGTGCAGATGCACCATGTTGCATCCTGTTGCCTTAACATTACACAGGCCAGCAGACATTGTCTTAGCCATGCTTCACACGTCACACATTGCCCAAAAACCAGCAAAAGAGTCTGACGGCAATTCTCTTCGCCTCTTCACCACCAGGGGGAGGGAGTTGTGGCGGACGATAATTGGGCGGAGGACGCGGCAGGGGGAGCCGGGGAGGAAGTCAGCCTGCAGCTGCTGATGCGCGTGGTCGCTGACATCGGCATTGTCGGCCTGCCCAACGCCGGCAAGTCATCCCTGCTCGCCATGCTCACCCGGTGAGTAATCCATCAGTGTCTCCTTTGAGACCTCCTGCCTGACTGTCCGTTTTGGCACTCCTGCCAGACTTGGGGACCTACTTCAAACTGCGGCGTTTTCAGGTCTTGGTCAACAGGCAACCCCATGGAGCTCACAGGTTCTTCCATTTTACTCATAGGCCTGTACCTGTCTTCTGTAACCATGCTATGCCTAGCAAGCGTGAACTGTATTCTCATGTAGAAGTGCAGGGGCATCAGTCAGTTCTCCATGGCTCAAATGGCTGTTTGGGTATCTGCTGCACCAATTTTCTCTGTTCACCCCTCGTTGGCATGCAAGTTATTGAGGAACAGGTGCTCAACTCGAGAGCTGAATATTGCAGGGCATCCCCCGAGGTGGCTCCATACCCCTTCACGACGCTGATGCCCAATCTGGGAGTCATGGCAGCTGGGCAGCCTCAGGTGTGTTTCCATGGCGTTGCATATTTCCAATATGCTGCCTTTACAAGTGGAATACATTATGTGCAGATCTGTGTCTTTTCATGAAACTTCGTTTCAATAATGGAGAAACTGGAAATATGTGGTAATACATGAAAGGGGAAAGATTTGCGCACAGGCGCGTGAGAACGAACCAGAATTAGAACCTTGGGAGGCGGAGGCTGCAGAGGAGGCCGCGCCTGTTCTGGCGGACCTGCCGGGGTTAATCGAGGGGGCGCACGCCGGGCGCGGCCTCGGGCGTAATTTCCTACGGCACCTGCGGCGCACGCGTGGAATCCTGCACGTGGTCGACGCATCTGCAGGTGACTGACGCGTGACTCATGAGAGGTGCATGTGGTTGACGCCTCAGCAGGTGACTGCGGATACTCATAGATCTTGGCGCTTATCAGACGAGCCAGATCAATGTCCTGTCTCCTCTTTTGGGATAATGTAAATATGTTAAAACAGGAAGAAAAGGAGCAAAGTGTATGCGAAGTCTTGTTCTGGTCATTCTGTTTTCCTAAAGCAGGCATCAATATCACTCTCTAATGGTATCACGCAATAGTGAAGGGCGTTGGGCAGGAGTGATTATCCTTTATCCAGCAGAAATGCTGTTCCCGTGCATGCTGATAGTGCTGTGTGTAATACTTCCGCTCACCTGCGGTTCTAAGCCAGCAAAATTGTACTCAAAATACGAACCTGCCTGCAGTGTTTTCGTTCATCTACACTTTCGCTCACTGCAATGGAGCAGCACAACAACTTGAGTTCTGCAAATATCTGTGCTGCAGCGGACCCGGCGGCGGATTATGAAATCGTGCGCCAGGAGCTGGCCATGTACAACCCGCAGTACTGCGGCCGGCCGCACGTGGTGGCGCTCAACAAGATGGATCTGTCCGACGCGGCCGAGCTGCACCGCGAAGTCGCGCAGGACATTCTGGCCGTCGCGCGGCGCATGCAGGTGAGTCACTGATTTGTCATTGTCTTGTAAGTGGTGAACGCCATTCATGGAAAACTTGCGCGGGACAATTTGGCCACCGCGTGGCACATGCGCGTGGCACATGTCATTGTTTAGTTTGCATTCTTAAACATCCCTGCACTGGAAAAGCGCGCACAATACGAATGTATCCTCGTTCTGCGCCACAGAGCGGTGGAAATAGCAAGTTGACAATGACAACTGATAGTGTTATGTCAAGCATTAGTCATTGGCTGCTGGGCGTAGTGGGCAGCTGACTCTAACACTGTATAGTGATCATTGCAGAACCTGTGAGCGGCAGTAAAGTTGTTGCAGCTGTGCCTGTGGCGGTAAGGAGTGGAAGCTGTTGCACTTGTGCTTAATGCAGAATTATTGCACATGCGAAACCTGTTTGAAATGGTGCTTGTGGATATCTGCAGGAGGAGTATGTTGCTGGCAGCTCTGTTCAGCCGTCGCTGCCTCTGGGTCTGGTGCGCGTGAGCGTTGTGGCAGGGACTGGCATTGAAGATTTGAGAGAGGCCCTGAAAGACCTGCTTGAGCAGTGATATCATTGGCGTCACCACAATCAGTCATTTGTAGTCATCAAGCCCATGACACTTTGCTGCATATTTGTGCAACACCTGAGATCACCGATGGTACCACATGCCATGCATGCAGTATGGCATCGTGCTGTTTCTTTTGGACACAGAACATCACGCTATGGGTGTGTTGATACGAACTCTAGTTACGATAGTTAGATAGTTAGATACGAACTCTAGGAATGCATTGCAATGAGTTGCGATGAGAGCTCATGCGCAGTGCATATAAGTAGGCAATGCAGGCAGCAATTGCAAGATACATAAGCCGGCAGCTTATTCAATAAATTTGTTACAGCATTGGATGAGCATGGATTGGTTTAGCAACATCGACACCCTCACACTCCTGGGCTGACTTTCAATCTGGCAACTCACGCTTGCATGCACTAATATACACCCGCAGGCCGGCCGGCCGGTGATTATACGGCAGTAATAGCCCAATTATGTAATCCATAACCCACGACATCTGCAGCTGCACATCAGCTAGCTACAGGTATACAAGTACAAAAGTACCTCCCCCCATTTTTTGCCAGTGCAAATCCGTGCTTTAACTCTTCAGAGTGCATCTACAAGCAAACTGTTCTGGCGACTCAAAAGGTCACCCAGTCGCTTCAAGAAAGAAACCAATTCAAGATATCAAAATTCATCAGCAATATGCTACAATGCTGAGACCACAGGTCTGCAACTCAACATCATGTGATGCAGTACATAATGGCACCAAATTCTACCTCTTCACACAATCCTGCCTCTGCAGGGACGCTCTTTCTGACTACAGTTTTGCTGGCAGTATGCAGCTCAATAAATTCCAATCCTAAACAAGCTAAGGTCATGAGCAAATTATCTACTCAAGAGGTCTAACTTTTAGACTTTACACCAAACCTTGCCAGTTCTGTATGTGAGCCTGGCCTGCACCCTTATAAATCCTGCTGACAGCTCACAATTCTGGCCATCAGAAGCAGCCCAGTCACAGACTGCAAACCCAGGGGAGAGCGCTCTCAAATGTATTATCATCACCTGCATCTGCCAGCATGCAATGCAATGCAATGGAATGGAATGGGATGGAATGCAATGTGGTGACTACAGTACTCCATTCCCATTAGTGCCAGTCAGCAGATTGCTGGGCGTTCTGCTCATGAGGAACATTGGCGGTGCATCCCGTGCTGCCTTGATCGTCTCTATCTCCACATAGCCATGCCTCATGTAGAGCCGTCTGCTCCTCTCCGATGAAGACTGCGCAGGCACAAGCACTCTACTCTCACACATTAAAGCACAATGAGCGCTGTCTGAATGCATCACAACCCCTCCAGAACTGGCCCTGCACAGATGCAATGTAGCTTCTACACATAATTGACGCCCAACACTTTAGAGGTGATCGCCAAAGTGCGTCAGTGATGTGTAGCCTGCCCAAATCCTAATCGAAAATAGAAACTGATGCTGGGCGATTTGGAGCACCAGCATATTCACAGAGCGGTTGAGGTTGAAATATTGTGACATTCCTAATGGAGTATAAGGTCTGCGTCGGTACCACTTTCAGTTAGAAAATTATAATCTCACACATTAAAGCACAATAAGCGTTGTCCGATTGCATGACAACCCCTCCAGAACTTGCCCTGTAAAGATGCTAGCTTCTGAAGTAATTAATAGGGACCCCCAAGAGAAAAAGCTCGAAGCCTTCCACCAGCACTTTAATTCAATCCCACCCCACACTTTGCATTGCACCTTTGGAGCCAGTGCTTTTTCTCCTGAGGGGTCCTTTACCTGAGTCAAGATCTCTATCTTTCCCAAATTAGACTGACATATGCTTCAAAATACCACTAGCGCATGCACGTGAAGTATGGACACAAGCAGCACGGCATGAATGCCAGTTGTACTGTGAACTGCATGCAACTTGATATAAGAATACAGGTGAAATGTGCCAAGTGAAGGCGGCCCCTGTAGCAGCTGATGGGGCCCTCACCTCTAGGTAGCAGTGCATGCCCTTCGCATCGGCAATGCTGTTCAGGTGTTGCAGCAGTGCGCTTCCGAGGCCACGGCCCTGCCACTCCGGCCTAGCCCCCAGCAGGAACACATAAATGTAGCTTCCATGCTCCTGCAGCAGGGCACTTCTGCTTTCTAAGAGCACTCACCAGAGACTTTTGGGGTACCTCGATTTATGACGTGGCTTAAGGTGCCTTGAGCATGCGTCCAGTAATAATGATGTTTGCATCCAGGAAAAAGATGACTCAGGTAGAGCTATTGGCATCCCACCTTGCCAAAAGCATCCTTGGTTGAGTCCATTTTGTCTCCCATGCGCAAGGCAGCACGCAGCCTCTTGGTGGAGAAGCATGGCACCATCCGAAGAGTGAAGAGGAACGATTGGAAGGCGGAGGCCTGTTGCAATACAAAACTCAGTGAAAGCATGTCAAATGCATCATTGTGGGATCAAAACCCCTCAGCAGTCACGCAAGTCAAAGAGAGATGCTGAGGACAATGCACAGAGCTGAACTAGGCTTGTAAATGCGAGCCCCAGCTCCAGGAACAGCGATTTCGGTGTGTGACCAATAAAATGATTCTTTTGCCAGGGCTTGCAGCTGGGCGATCGAAGCAAAGGACGGAGAGCTGCACACCTTCTCATCCGGGTACACGCGTGCCAGCACTGCCGCCTTTGCACCTTCTGTGATAAAGTTTAGCTCGCTTTGCGTTGGTGTCAGGTACTGGGTGATCATTACATCCCAGAAGCGGCCAATGGACGAGCCTTTTACGAGGTAGCAGGCTATTGGATCGTTAGCCATAGCAGCCTGTAGTGCAGGGCAGGCGCGAGAATTAGGCATTTTCGCACCGATACAATTTCGCCTCGCATATTCGACAGTAATTATCAGCTAACATCTCTGTGATGCACACAGATAAATCCACGACTCTGCTCAGGTGAATGGTATACATATACGACGACTTGCATTGGGCATGCCTGAAAAGTGTCTCTGGCCTGTGCTGCCACCTCATCCTCCCGGCGAAACGCTCTTAGATCCACTTTCGTTGTCATTTGGCGATGTGGGCCGGAGGACTGCTGCTCCTACAAAGGGGATGACATAATCCTCGATGAGAGTGTTAAAGTTTCTAAAGTGTGATCAGGTACCCGTACTGTACCTTGTTAGTATAAGTGCCAGGAATTTAATGTATGGGGTGGCGAAGTAGCATGATCAAGCAGCGTATTCGATGTAGAGAACGTTCTCTTCTCTTCATGCATAGGAAGCTGATGACGTAACTCACGGAAGCCGAGTGGCCTGGGGCATCATCAGCCAGTAGAGCAGCACTAGACTTCAAGGAACGTGCATGCAATCCCTCAACAACATCACATCATGGTGCCTCACACTGGCCTGGCCAGCCCAGACATGTGCGTGTTTGTGCATGCGTTTTTAATGAAGTTCATGATGATGAAGCATTCTACACTAGTGTACTGTGTTCAGTCCTGTGTTCACACACTGGGCATCTGCACACTGCCAGTGCCACTCAATGAGGCTCTAGCAGGCCCCAGCGGAGGTTGCTGATCTGAGAACGAACCTCACACACTGGCACCAAGCTTTACAATGCTCAAGCTCAAGTATCGATATCATGATATATCACGATGATATCATTCTTGATTGCGCGTCGGCATCACAGGAACATGAGCAGTCATGCAAGCTGCACCGTGCAGCTTGCACGGTTGCACCCCTAGAAGCGTGACGCTTCCTAGGGGTAAAAACAACAACTGGTTGTTCTTTAATCTTGTCGTTCTTTCCCCTAAAGTTTTAGTTGACATAAATGCAAATGAACTCAATGTAAGTAAGGTATTTCCTGCAGCACTCAAGCCCATGCAACTGACAAGCCTCTGCGCATGCACAATGTGAATTTTGACGGGCAAACCTACAGGCCATCCTTGCTGATACATTACTGCACCCGGCTGCAACTAGAGCACATAGTGCAGCGCTTATTCGACAGGGTCTTATGGCAGACGAGGAGCCCCACCTGGGGCGATTGTGCTGGGTGCTATGGTGGTGGCAGGCGCCACTGTGGTCTGCGTGGGCTGTGTGGTGTTGGGTGACTGCGCACTCTGCACAACACATGTTTGTGGATGACACTTCATTACTTCCAAGCTAACAAGATAGAGGACTCCATAGGGCAACCCTTTTTTCCTTTCACTGTAGCTCACGAACGAGGGCAGGCCTGGACCTAAGCCATCTTTACATGCACAACAACTCACATGATGCATGCATGACAGTCACTACTTGCGCTGATTGGCTGCAAAGTATTACACTCCTGCTGCATGTCGACTTTCACTGCTGCGTGGCAGAACATGGGATGATCCCTAGAGCTGTGCGCACATGCCTTGGTCTAGTGCATTGCAGCATGGGATGTTGCAAGGAAGTCAAAGTAAAAAAAGGTTTGCATTCTCAGGAAGGTTGTCAATTCACTTGCGCTGGGGTGGAGGTAGGTGCTTTGGAGGTGGCTGCAGGTGTTGCAGAGCTTCCAGCTGCGATGGTGGTTGGCGGTGTTGTGGAATGGGCCTGTGGGGTACTGCTTCTGCCCTCATTGTCCCCCCTGAAAAAGCTGTGCAATGCCTTTGGTCACCCCGGCAAAGTCCTGCTTGGCCTCTGCAGCTGCTGCGGCCTGAGAGACAGACAGGTCGTCATCGTATTGCGATTTTTACTGAAGCTCCCTGAAAGCTCTGTCGGCACATGGCTGCCATTCCCCACAATAAACTGGCAGAGTAAGTGATGGAAAGCCAGTTCTCTATTAAGGAAATTCAGGCCAACAGTGCTGACATGCTCTCTAGGCACCTTGGGATTCTTCCATACTTTAGTGAGGGCATTAAATTGCTGAAAGAGTACGTGTGCTAGACCTGAAACCAAACAATTTCATACATCGATACGAGTCCATGCGCGCCCTGTCGATCAACAAAAGCGCTCGCAAAGTGGACCGAGGCCTACCGGCAGGTTCTCCACAGCTCCAGGGAGAAGCTCATGATCTGCGGAAGGAGCATTATTGTGGGCTTCAGAAAATACGAGCTGGAACAGGGTGAGCCCACGGCCAATAAGCTTGCCGAACTCGTAAAGAAAAGTCGTATTCTGCATTACGAATGCGTTCGAGTACCTCAACACGGGCCAAGGAAGCGCAAATGGCCACCGTCAGTAAGGCAGCTGCTAAGGGCATCCCCTTGCAAAATGCCTTCTTGCCTTGGATGCTACTTTTCTTGACACTCGCTCTTCAACACCTATCGCTAGATTGTACTGCGTGACTACAATTGTCTCATAGTGTGTGGTGGAGGATCTGGCATAGAGAGTTTGACTTAACCTGTTTTATTGGCTGCCCCAGAGCTTGTTTGAAATTTGGCAAGTGCGGCCGAGGACATACCAGACGGCGTTCCCATTGGAAGAAGCTCTTCAGGTGCCAAAACAGGCTAATACCAACAGCTCAGCCTTGAAAGATTTGCACTCTGACTCAGCTCAATTGCTCTCAAGATAAGCGACGTTCTTGCAGAATTACGGTGTTGAAAGACTCTCGATAGCCTCCGTACTCCACAGCACCAGAGAAGAAAAGATGGCGATGGCGACTCTCGTTTCCTCCAGCATCTCCGCAGTGCGCACGACATCCAAAGCCACATCTGTGACCGTTGCCCGGGCAGCGATTCTCGGACGCCCCACCTTCCTCCCCGCTCGCCCCGTTCAGGCGTTTGCCGCTCGTAGGCACGCCTGCAACATCACAAGGTGCGCGTGGACCCTGGCACTTTCTCAGCAACGGCATCGACACGCGTAGGTGGGTTCGAGGGGATATCCTTGGTCTCAAGAGGTTTGGTGGCGCAGCCTCTGCAAAAGCAGCAGCATCGCCACTTGCTTGGCAATTTTCATCGTACAAGGCCAGCATCGTGATTTGGAGTCCCCAGATAGCTGCAGCCTCGCAGATGCGGTCGAGCGGGAAGCGTTCGTGATAGTGGCCCACGTGCTACAGATGGTCTCCGACTTTGTGCCTCCTCAGGCATTCACATGCGTTCCGGAAGTCTTTGAGCCCGAGTCCGTTTCCAAGTGGCCACGGAAGGGCACCACACGATGTGGATGTTTGTGCACGTGCAATCCGGTGCGACTGGAGTGGCCGTTTGGGGGCTCGCGATGCTGCTCCAGTGCCTACTTCAGGCTTCTAGGCCCTTTGTTTTGGTGTAGTGGGAAGGCAGAACGTTTACGAGGCATCGGCTACTCTGGAGGGTTTGTCCAGCATCACCTACCCTGGCATGCCCATATTTATCTGCCAGGGATGGCATGACGAGAATTGCCCCTTGCCGTACGCTTTCTTTCTTGCGCCATCCGAGCAGCTTTACGGGGAGAAGGTTCGTTTCCTAGCCTAGCTTCCAGAAATCCAGCAGGTGCTTGACACCTCTGCAGATGGAGCTGGCCGGAAGCTGGCGTCCTCTTTCCAAAACGCAGCCACCAGCCGCTCCCGCGCGGCCCCATTGCTCGTTTTTGGTGTCAAATCCTCAATGGCACCTTTCCTGTTGCTCTGACACCCAGACCGCAGACAAATCCACCTCCTGGAGCTAGCACTGGTGACCCTTTTCCTAACTTCCTGTTGTTGTATAGCTTTCTAGATCTGATCCATTTTTGCTCTGTTTCTGTGCGCAGGTCTCGCAGCAACTCTCTGAAGGTGAATGCCCGCGATGAGGCCACCTTGGAGCTTGAAGACGGCGTTGAGGGAGGCGCTGACTACTCCGGCCTGCTGGCTGGTGTGTCTTCCTGCACTGACTCATTCCTTGCATCATTCCTTGATCAGTCTGATCATCTTTGGCGTGCTTTTGGCGCTGGAAAGTGTGTGCTGGTGTTCACAGCAAAGCGCAAAAGGATCCCAACTAGGAATCAGCTGCATGTCAAGTTTGCATGCAGGACTCGGCCCTTTCTCGAGGGCGGGTATTGGAAATCAACATCACATCTTCAAAGCTATGCCTTCAACATGCACTGTTCTTAGGTCCAGTTCTTGGTCGGTCTTGTGCCCCTATTTTGACGAGTGCAACGGTGCCTGCAACTTGTGACCCCTTCAGCCCACCTTCCCATTGCATGTGCGCAGTGGCTGACATCTACAATGCATGCGATGCATGATCTTTGCAGCGCATACATGCCATGGCTGACTCGAAGTGCTGCATGCATGCGCAGTGATTGGGTACGCGGCAGTGCACTTCAACAAGGTGTCCGTGGATCGCACTCTGCTGCTCAAGGCTCTGGCGCTCTACACCCTCGTCAACGCGGCCGTCAACCTCATCACGCGCAAAGGCTTCGGCGAGAAGGTGACACAGCCTCGAGTTACTTTGCAACGTGCCCTGCATGCCTCCTTTGCTGCACCCTTACATTGCATGCTCCCTCCGCCCTCCTTGCTTGCCTGCACTGTACCAAGGTGCTGGCAAACATCTTCTGCGCTGGCGGCTGCAGTATTCGGACAACAGTTGGATCCTGTCTCATCCGTGCCCACTCATCTGTGGAAGTACTGGTAACACAGCCTGTAATCATTGAGCTCAGCAGAGAAGAGGCTTCTCCGGTTCTAAGGCCATCCAGGGCCTTCAAGAGCGAAGCTAACAAAGCCTGGCTTGGGACCCTTGAAGAAGACCTGAAAGTGTATTTTGTGCTCGCAGATCTCGCACGTGATCGGCCCCGCCTCGCTGGCGGTGTACGCGCTGAACTTCAGCCGCATCTCCTTCCTGGACACAGTCACCGTCCTCTTCGGCTACTTCCTCGCCGAGAAGCTGGAGCCCACCAACCTGTTCTGGGTGCGCTGCGTTCCTGAACATCCCTTTCCCGCATTGTCCCTGCTGGGCACTCCCTTGCTTGCATGTGTGTCTCAGAGGTCCAGGCGATTTTTGCTCGGCAGATTGTGTTGTTCATATGGAATATAGGCAGGCTGTCACTCAATTGTACTTGAAGGAACCCGTTGGAAGTTCTCCTCCACGGGTCACAAATTTTGTCACCCTCTCTAGAATGAGTGCTCATGCAAGTCATCACCCTGGACTGGATACCTGGGAGCATATCTGGCTTGATCAAAGAAGGTTGCATGTCTTCAAGAGGTCAGTGAGGTTTCAGCGGGTGGCTAAAGGCATTCTGCATGTGCTGCAGGTCTTCATTGCCACCCTGGTCGCCTCCGTCTACTACGGCTACGGTGAGCACCTCTGTTGTATTTTGAATAAACAGTGTGTTGTACCGGATGGCCAGCACCCATCATTGCCCTTTGAAGATGCAGATTACTGCTTAGCCGTGTCCCTGAGCAAGCTCCGCCCAGCCCATAACATTTGGCAGAGATTTTCTTGCAAATGAAGGCGCATAATTTTGCCAAAACATAGCTCACGTTGTGCGGGCTGTGTGCAGGAACACTGTGGTACGCTGTGGCGGTGGGCGTGGTGTCGGTGACTAAGCTGTACCGCGCCAACGAGGACAAGAAGCCCCTGCCCGTGCTGCTGCTCGCCGTTGTGGCCGCCTCCGGTGCGCGCCCGCTTTTTTTCCTTTCTCTTTTCCTCTTATTTTCTCCTCTTCAGACAGCTGCTGACATAAAATGTAAAAACGATGTGAATCAGCCTCTGCGGCAAAAGTGACAACACCGTCAGGGGCCGATGATGCGAGGGCTTTAGGGGCGCCGTTATATTCGTTACCACCCTCGCACCGACTGTCTTCATCACTTCAGGGGTGCTGGCACAATCTCTGGCTCTTGTGGACTCATTCACATATGATCAAGCTGCAGGCACGGGTGGCTTTGAAACTGCAAGCCAGGTGGTCTTGTCCTTGTGTCGCAGAAAAGTCTTTAGCGGGGTCATGTGATACGGTGTGGTGATGATTTTGAGACGACAAGTTTGCTCGTCGGTCCGGGTTTTGAGTAGTCTCTTTCGAAACCAATCGGTCTGGGTTGTTGAGGAGTCTGGGTGTTGGGGTTGCGTTGCAGCCTACGCTGTGTGGAGGAAGGAGGCTCTTGCTTGGGCACTAGTGCTTTACGTTGCCCAGATTGCCTGGGCTGCCTTTGGCATCCTCCAGGGCCTGTCCAACCGCTAGGTGGGCTGTTTTGCCCCCTCCGTTTGCTTCTGTTCTATCAGCTGTCCTCTCCCCAAGTCCTATATCTGTTGTCACTGCATGACAGTATACAAGTAATCTCAAGGGCTCACACCAGTAGACTACTGTACACGACTAGTTGTGGCAATGTGTGGCTAAAACAAGTCAATGATTACAGCCAGGCTGCGGGCGGGTGTAAAATTTTTGGCCTGCGAGTTCGTTTTTGATTTTGAAAAGGTGGGCGGGAAGTGATGGGAAGCTTCGTGTGGTTCACAGGCTGGGCAATCTACAAGGAGCAGCACTACTTGTGGGCGCTCGTGCTGTACGTTGCGCAGACCTTCTGGGCAGCCCTCAAGACCGGGCAGCGCGTGGCGGAGCACGTGTCTGACTAAGCGATGACTAACGCGACATCATAATGACGGCTGCTTAGTCGCCTCGTCCCAGCGAGCCTGAATTGGTGATGCTGGATGGCGGGACTTGAGGAAGCAGTGGTCAGAGCATGTGTGCATCAGCAGCGTTGTGGTGGGAGAGAAGAAAACCTAAGAGTGGTGATTTGATGAAGGTGAAACAGCGCAGGGTGACGAGAACAGAGCATGAGTTGCGTGAGAGGAAGCAGATTTTGGGGTGGCGAAAATTTTGGCTTGAGCAGCGGCCGGGGGTTTTCATGTGTCCTGTACAGAAGTGATGGAATGAGAATGTCCCGGAAGAGAGAAGAGTACTTGGGGTGAATCAGTTATCAGACATGGGTCATTAAATGACCGTCATTTGCATGTGCAATGGTGGCAGCCGTGCACTCATGAGGTCACAGGGAATGCTTGCATGGCTGTCGATGGAGACAGAAGCGGGCAGTCATTCATATTCCATGGGGTGCATATCAGATCGGCGGTGACAGCGAGGTAAATTAAAAACCTTGGCGGTGTTGTAGCATGATTTTTCCATGATGGTTGCTTGTAGCGTTTGAGTTTGAATGTAAGAAGCTGTGCAGTGGTTGCGCCGCATGAAGCTGTTCTATGTGGGGAGCTGTGGCTGTCGTTGCAGCTCTTTGTGAGTAATGGTCGGGTGTCGCGCAGATGTATGCTGGTTTTCTGCAAACGATTGACGCTCTTGCTTTTCTTCTTGTGCCTTGCTGGTCGCTGTGTGAAGTCGCTGTAGCCACTGCAAGCATATGCTTCAAGCTGATGAAGTTCAACTACATCATCAGGCATGGTGCCTGAATTGCAATGACATAAGAAAATGGTGCCCTGGAGCCCAAATATAAATAAGGTATTAGCTAACTTCCATAGACACTTGATTGGAGCCTATGCCAAGCGGCAGGCAGCCGTTCTCCTCACGAAAACATTGCCCTTAATGCACATGTCTGGAAATCAGACGAAGAGTGAAATGCCCATGAGTTGTGGCATGCTTGCAGTACATATAAGGAAAGGACACTCCAACACCATGGATCGTTCATACCAGGCTGAAAATGCCCGTTCTCGTCCGCTCCCGGAAGCAAAGCTGCCTTGGGCGTCACCAGTAGTGGGTTGGGTGACCACCTGCGAACCCGACGTGACGATCTGTCCTTTTTACTACACTTCCTTTTTGCTCGATCTTGCCTCTGTGTTCTTCTGTCGTCCCTTCCCTTCTTCACACTTTGCGAGCATGGTCAAATGTACTTTTGAAAAGGGGAAAGTGTGGACATAGTCACCGGTTCAAATCTCTTGTGGAAATGCCCTTTTTTTGTTTTTTTTTTTTTACACAGGATGGACGTTGTCCATTGGACAACACCTTTTTAACCACATCACTTGCAAAGAGCGACAAGAGGTCAAGAAGGTAATGGTTGCTGTCGACGCAAGAAATAACACGTCCACCCTGCCATGCATGGTGGTCCAGTGGACGACACTAGATGATCATGATATCATGCAAGATATTTAGTTACATTGCAACGCGATCGCATGCGCATGCATGAAGCTTGCCAGCATGGCAACTTTTTGTGAATCCTCACCATGTGTACATCTGATGTACCATATCAAATATGGGTTGGCATTTTGCTGTGGTTTGCACTTGCTCATGTGACAATTTTAAAGCTCCGTTAACAATGAGTATTGCTTGCACCGTGCTGTGACTGTGCCAAGAATACCATCACGCCAGATAAAAATCCGCAACTGCACATTACTCTCCAAGCACAGGCACACAGCAAGATAGAGCGCAGTCATCTAACTGGGAACACTTTCTAGATCACAACCCTGGGGTATCAAGCCCGATGATGCCCTCACACAAGGATCTACAGCGCTGTATCCACCTCCGATGTCTCCCTAGTGCGCATCTCATGAGACAATAGAATAACCTCAGGACCTCTGTATCTTAAAGGTGTGATCAGACACAGCTGGGTGTAATCAGTCACAAGCGCCTGGCACCTCACAGACAGAGCAGACAAATGCAGGAGTGTATCTTCATTGGCAGCAGATCCACCTCAGCGGGTTCCATCTGCTGTTCTCCTTGGCAGCCTTGTGAGCCCTGCATGCCAGCCACCAACCTTTTCATTTCTATGGAACTCTCTTATCCGTCTTCTTAGCTTTGAAATTGTCATTTTCGTCACCTACACGGCAAATCCTACCAACCTTCCAAATGACCCTTTGCCTAAGCACATTTTCCTGCTGCTACTACTGCTGCTGACTTTGTAAAAACACACTGCAGCCTGCTCTCTGCCTCTTAACAGGAGAAGAAGATATTGTGAAATATTCTCATTGCAGGCCTTCCTCTATTCTGTGAGAGAAGGAGCCAATGGAAAAGGGCCGCACACTTGGCCGTCGTGTGATTGCTGGGTGGCCTGCTGTACTAGCCAGCCACTGGCCAACAATTTCCAGCAGTTTCCGGGAAATCTCCCAACCCCATCACTTACGGTAGAAAGAGGGAAAATGAAGGGGGCACGCAATTAGCGATGGCGTGATTGGCTGGGGGCTGCTGTACTTGTCAGCCATTCTTGCAGCGACAGCCCAGACACCGTCTGTACAACCGTTGATCCATGAACGTGTATGCTAAGATCCATATTTATGGAGGCGTGGGCCGGGGGATAAAACAGGGGAAATAAGGGGGGTGCGCACTTGTTAGACATGGAGGAGGGAAGGCCAGTCAATTACATTCCTGTAGCAGGGTCCGAGAAACCAAAAATACAGGATTGGGGATAAAACAGGGGAAATGAAGGGGGCGCGCACTTGGCGATGGTGTGGTTGGAGGGCGGGCTAGAGTACTTGTCGGACATGGAGGAGGGAAGCTGGGGGAAGCGAATCGCGCGCTCGCTGAAGTGGGTGTATAATTCGGTGAGGAACTCGTTGGGCAGGTCTGCGGGGGCGTCCTTGGTGCCGTTGATGCCGCGATTGTTGCGGATGAACTCCTCCCGTGTCATCTTCTTCTTTATCTGCGCATGCATGCAGGACAATGCTTGATCAGGCACGATGTTTCACATATGGAGCGGCTGCTGAAAGGTGTGCAACCAAGCCCTTGAAGGAAAGTTTGCAACCATCTTCACCTTCATCTGCGCGATACAGAAACGTAACACACGATGTAAATATGGTCAAATACGGCTTGCAGCCTGATCAGGCAGAATAATCAAGTACGGAGAATAATTAAGTACGGAGCAGCTGCCCAAATTATGGGTGCAAACAAGCCATGAAAGATTGCAAATGTTTTCCTTTATGTGCAAGATACAGCATGCAGCCTGATCAGGCGAGAATCTCAAGTATGGAGCGGCTGCCAAATTGAGGGTGCAATCGCTCATGAAAGAAATGCAGACACCTTCTTGATCTTAGTGCACACATGCAGCACGCGCCCTGATCAGACGCGAATTTAAAAAGAATGTTGCTGCCAAATCAGGTGCGCTTGCCACATCAGATGGAGGTGCAATTCAGGTATTGACTGCCAATTTAGGGGCATCAGCCATGTTAAGAAGAGTAAATATGATCAGGCCCAGGCACCCAGTCAAACCCCATCAGCCTATAAGGTCATCAATCGTTCCCAGAGGGAATTCCTGTGGGAAGATCTGCATGAGCCGAGACCCTCACAGAAATGCCCCTGGGGATCCTGATCGATATCTCTGCTTAATGTGACCAACTGCACTACTTGTGCTGGCAGCATATACATTCGGTGCATACAAAGGACAGGGGCCACAAATGTCAGGAGCTGAAACTTGGTGTGGTGCCCTAGGCAAATCTTCTCTGTGCTGGCCCACAGGATACACGTCTTCTAATACCAGAAAGCAAGATGCAGGAGAGATATCCATGCAGAGGAATCATAACGGGCTACCGCCACGCCTTCGCTACAACGCAGGAATTACATGACCCGTGCACTTCCCTCAGCAAGCACAATGTTTGGGATTGGGAGTGGGGACTCACAGCGGGGTTGTGCTTGTCGGTGTTGAGCATGATGACGGAGATGGCCAGAATGTAGACCGCATCCGCGCTTGCAAAGATGCCGGGCTCCTGCGCAATGATAAAAGCACAACTCTCAGCATCATCATTCTGACCTCAGTGTACAGTGGATCGCACAGTGACATTTTGCCATGTTCTTGGCAGCCATTTAGAGCTTCCTGTGCTTCACGGCTCACATTAGGGGTCTAGAATTGCACCTTTGACATAGTTTACTTGATTATTACACAATTGTACCAATGCCACATCATCTTGGTAGCTTGCAAGAAGCATCCACCACAATGTATGGCTACTGGCTGCTACAGGGAGGCCAGTTCCCTGTGACAATCTTACTTAAATTTGCATCATTCATATAGTGCTAAAATACACAGCGATCCGTATGATAGCACTTGTGGTATAGACACAAACCTGCGCGTAGAACTGGCGGCTCCACTGCTCCAGGATGCGGATGATCTTCTGCGCCTCTCCCGGCAGCCGGAACGATTCCAGAAACTCCCGGATCGCCGCCTCAAAGCTCATGCCTGCAGAGATCAGATGCACTGCGCCCTTCAACGCGCCTTCCTATTATTGGAGGAATATGAGCGCGCATGGCATGCTGCAACGCCATTGCATGCGTGCTTTTGTGACAAGCAAGAGTACGCTGACACCGAGCCAGAGGAGCCTCTTGCTTAGCTCCCCTTAGCAGTGTGGCTTCTCCAAATCATACAGCATACAGAACCCCAATTCTATCCGCACAGAGACATGCATGCACCATTGCCCGAGTCACAACGCTACCTTGCCCATTGACATCTCTTCAATCCTAGGCCTCTTCTAATTTGGGCCTCCGGTAGGGCTTGCTCGGGGTGTCTGGGAAATAAACAGGCTTTTGCCTTAGACGCTTCATAGCCCCTTTATCCCCGTCTGCCTGAAAATACAGAACCCACCTATGCTTGATACTTTACAAGGGCGGGTTCGTTATACAGCAGCTGCTGGCGCACCTGAGAAGTCGAACATGTGGGTGAAGGCGTCGAGCACACGCAGGCAGCGCTCGGTGTTCTGCCCGAGCAGGTCGCCGATGATGGCCTTACTAAGGCCGGGGCAGGTGCGCAGGAATCGCGCCACCGCCACGTCATCAGCTTCCTCGTCCTTCGACACCGGGTCCAGCACCTCGCCAAGCCCCTGTGCGCACGCCAGATCAAGCCAGATGACTTATCAAGTTTTGATTTCAAGTTTGAGGTTGAATGCAGGAGCGCTCGCCACGTCAGCGCGACGTGGGCCATGCCACAAAAGGCGACGTCATCTGTTCCAGATCAGGCATATGCAACTCTATTAGGCCGCTAAAAGTATGTGTATCGCCAGAGATCCCGCCAGGTCGGAGGTCCTTCCAGCTGCTTCAGCCATGCAAGCCAGTGTGCGTCAGAACAGTCAACAGCAATGAAACATTAAGTCAGCCCCTGCACATAAAGACAGCGGAACTGCAAGCCAATCAAAGCACCGAAAGACACATCAAGTCCCAGCTCGCAACCTCGGCTTCATTTATGAAAGTAACCCTTTGGGCTTTCGGCTTGTTGTGCTGCAATTCTCAAAATCTAACAGCCCCAAGTACTGCTTGGTTTGATTAGAGCCTGCGTGTTCCTTGAACACACTGTGTCCTCCACGAGATTTGCAGAACAATTAGCTTTGATAAGCATGTGAACCCTGAAAATTACAGCAGCAAGCTGCTGACGCACCAGCTGGCTGGCCTTGCGCGCATGCATGCCCCCCGAGCGCGGCGTGGCGTCGTCGGCCGCCGAGTCTAGCCGCCGCGCCGACGCAGGGCCCCCACCCGACAGCGGGGGGACCGCCTCGAAGGGGCTCGCCCCCCGCTGCGACGGCGCCGCCGCCGCGTCCTGCTTCATCCGCGCCAGCATCTGCATGCAGTGGCACTTCACATTTGTTACACGCAGCACGCTATATGCAGGCCCTTCTCTGCCTTGTGAAACAACCTGCAGCTATCCAAAGAAATACATTCCGTTGGTGTGTATATATGCCAGATAGATCTATATCGGATAGGTCTACAGGAATCATGCCGGGCAGAAGTTGTCGGTTTGAGTTGTGCTCAGAGCTTACAATAGTACTGCGAGTCTCAAGACTGTTGATTGGCTGGTTGCAGGAGCCCGCATTCCTCTGTCGCGCCCTGGTGTGTGTTCACCAGTTTCCGGCTTATTGTCGCAATCTTGGATGGGACAAAGGGACCTGCTCAACTATTTCATCCATCAACACCACCGTGTTGGGTGCGCTTTACTGCGGAAGCAAAAGGAAAAAGGATCGACGCGCCTTCTTGGCGGGCTGTGGCAGGGCATCCTCTCGGCTGATGCGCGTGAAGCGGGGGACCTCGGTGGAGCTTGTGCGATTGTAGTTGCCCAGCCGCTCGGCGATGGCGGCCGCATCCAGCTCGCGCATGTCGCGCGGCGATGCCTCCCACTCCCCCGGGGTCTCCCCCCTGCCCCCGGGGGACGCGCTGCCCGCGCCGCTGCCCGCCGACCCCGGCGCGGCCCCGTTGCCTGCGCAACCATTTCTTTATTGTTATTATTATAATTATAACAAGGTCGGCGAACCCAAAGCCAGAGGCCATAGGGCATACATGCAAAGCGTCCGCAGCCTTTTCCGCGGGGCCTACAAAAGTCTGCAGCCTGTCAATCATGTCATCATTCAACACTTGCATGCACTCCCTGCACCGCTTGAGCACCCCACTGTAACCAATGCCTCTGGCCTGCCAGAAAGGCAACACCCCCCAATGAGGGTTATATTCCAGGGTACGGTACGGTACAATGCCTCAAGTGGATGCCATAAGGGCCCTGTTGCCTCCCCAAGGTAGTATAAACTGCTGATTCGACAGATGGCACTTGAAGGTATTAGCCCAGAAGTATGCGCCAAGCCAGCAAAGCGTGCATGCAGGTGCATGAGCTCACCAACCTGAAAGGGCTCACATTACAGCATGGCATAATGACAGGAGCCTCTGTGCTTCCATCTTAGTGCATGATAGTGACTTTTGACCCCAGATGGGATCTTCACATGTGTATCATTGTGGGCGCGGCTGCCTTCTGCATGGCTCTCAGGACCAGCGGGTCAGCTGCAAAAACTGTTGTAAAGAATAGTGGGAGTTGCCTACAAACGGTTGTGCCTCCTGTGGGACAGGGCATTACAAGCAGACTCACCTTGAGGGGCAGCGCTGTTGGTGGCCTGCGCTTCAGTTTCCCCACTCTGCTCTTCAGCCTCCTCGAACACGGTCTCCCTGACGTCCTCGCTCTCTGAGAGGCTAGGCATCCGCCCGCTGTTCCTGCACCCACAAGAGAATCCCTCGGCCCTGTGCTTTCTTGATTCCTGCCTCCTTACCTAAGAGCCATGTAGGGCACGGTTGCCAGGTGAGTTTGCAGTGCAGATTGGCACAGCAGGGATAAAAGCACCTCGAGCTCCCTGACTTACGCAGAGTACTGATATATGAGCAGAGTACTTGTGTGATGTGCAATGAACGGCTAAAATCAGTGAAATGAGACCGAACAAAGACATCCGGTATGCTTCACAATGCAGATGCCTTCATACTGACTTCCATTCCACACAAGGAAATCAGCTTACGATCTGATTTTGGGCCAGAGAGACCCTGGCATCGGCGTCACTCTGTGCAGGGAGTCTGCAGAGCCTCTGCGGGAGGACATTGGGGATGAGGTCTCGCTGGTCATGGCTGCCTTTGTAGCACAACTGGCTGCTCAGTTGTGAACAGTGGGTTATTCTGAAGAAAAAAGGCAGCTGCTCAGAGATCTCTGATAGGCAGGCTTCAGGTACCTCCTGCAAGGACACACAAGCAAAGGTTAGAAGCTCTCGTGCATTGATGGGCAGAAAGTCCTAAGTCAACCCCCTTCTGCACGCAACAATGGGTCTTGCACGTCAGCAACTCGTCTGTCGTTGTTGTGATATATGGGTTCTCCTCCCTCCAGGCTTTGGATGCATGACAAGAGTAGATAAAACCAAGAAAAGAGAAAGCGTCAAGGCAGGCTGGCCTCTTATATCTTTCCTCTTGCACTCTTGGTCCTGGCACTGAGTTTGTCCAAATCATAACCTGGTTATCGCTTCATGACAGATTCAGGGTGGACAAGGGCAACCTACAAGGTCCAATCCCCTCAGCACAACGACGTCCGGAAGTCCCTCCAAAATTGCACCTTGTGAATTCCCCTTCTCCGCTATCAATCGTTCTCTCCAAGGCAATTCTTGCTGTCCCAAGGTTGTTCAAGGCACCCCTGGTGCACTTCTTGGTTCTCAAAGAGCCGCACGAGTGTTGGTGCTGCGCCCCGGCGAATGGGTCGTACACTCCAACATGCCAAATTGAAGGAGATAACTCTAAAATGCAGAAAGATCATCTGGTGCAATTTGTCCTGGGCTTCGAGGTGACAAACCCAATTCTCAAACCCAAACTGCCACGTGCCGTGCAGCATGGCGCATTAAATGGGTCGGAACATTCTCGCCGGTATGCAGCGCTTGGAGAGGCATGCAATCAAGCAAAGTGGCACCAAATGTATGTCTCGCTTGTAATGTGGACTGAACAAGGTATCGCTTGCTGAGTTGGCACCAAGGAGCACTCTTTGCACAGCCGTCTATAGATCGAAAATAGTTCATGGCTGCTGATCGCTGCGTTGTGATATGTGAGGCACATATTATCTCAAGGCATTCACATGCAGGAATTGAAACGCGAGCATTTTCCACTTTTGCAGCCTGATCTGAAAACATCTTATACTATGCTCCTGATGTGGCAGCCCATACTTCTGAAATAGGATCGGTTGCAATCCACGAAATACTTCCGTTGTTCGAAAATTTCCACAATGCACTGGGCAGAGATTGGTGAAGACCCGACCGACTGCTCAGCCGTTTCTGATCACAACGCATCCTGGCCGGGTCCCCACAATTCCAGGAGCACCACAATCGACAATGTGACTGCGCAAGACGCCCCGGCGGCCAATCCTAGCCATGGCACAGCACCTACTCGGCAGGGCTTCCAAGGCAACCTTCCCAGTGGCTTGGGCACACTGACAGCGGCCACCTGCCAGATCACACTCCTGGATTCCGATCCAGGCAAGAAGAGCAGATCAGCTTATGGAAGTTCGCGGAAAGCAGAACCTTTTCGAGCACTGAAAGGGACAGCAGCTGCCAGGATACACACCCAGGAGAAAGCTGTGACAAGTGTTGGTGGGGCAGCGGACCGCATGTCACTCAGCAGACGCACCATGCAACACGTGCGGCCGAAGTCTGCCCCTGGAATGACGATTTTTCAGCCAAGCGACCGCACCAGGTGCCGCATAGCACCACTTGTTGGTTATCATGTCTGGACTTCACATGGATCTCAGGCAATCTGCTCATCTGCTTGGCTACTGCTTGGGTGGTTTTGTTCCTCATTGGGTAGAGATCAGTGAATTTTCCTACATGCTGAGGTCTCACAGATGTGGCTGCGGACATTTTGCGTATGTGCCTTTTGGCCTCTAATATTGAAGTTCTTTAGTTGTCTGACGGGGTAAACCATAGCGCTGAGCTGGGGTCTGACTGGCACGAAGGGTTGAGGGTAGGGAGGCTCTTCGATTGGCGCTCGAGAATGAGAAACTACGTGAGGAGAACGCGCAGTTACGGGAGCTGCTCGCTCTTGCCGGGCCCGCATCGGCAGGAAGCGCAGCGCCGAGCGCTGCCGGGTTATGGGGCGCGGGCGGCGGCGATTCACGGCCCAAGGCGGCCGTGGCCGCACTGCGAGAATCTAATGAGAATCTAATGCGCTGCCGTGTTGCGCAGCTCGAGCGGCAGGTCTGCCGCGCAGAGGCAGAGCTCCAGGTGCTGCCATGCACCTGTGCGCAAGACACTTTTCCCTTCCTGAGCACAGCTGTCAGTCGCATAACCTGGCGGTGTCTGTGTCATTGCCTGCCTGCCTGCCTGCCTGTGTGCAGAGTACGGTAAGAATGCCATGATTGGTGGTGTCACACAGACACCGCATGCAGCTGCCATAGGTTCATCCCAGAGTCATTCCCAGGAAGTCACTTTCATGCTACAGAATGTCATGACGTGCCTCTCTTGAGAGTACAGATAGATGTCAAACAAGCGTCGGAATGACACGGGGTGCATGTTGTGCAGCGGCGGCGCAAGTTTGCGGCAGAGGCGGAGCGAGCGGTGAGGGAGGTCACTCAGCGGTTAGTCAGCGCGTTGCCTGAAGAGGACGCGCCAGACGACGCCTGGTTGGGCGCCGTGGACCGGCTGACTGGACTGCGCGATTGGGGCCGTGGCATGCTCTGTCGCCTCAGGTGCTAAGCCAAATCCTTGCAGTTTTATCTTAGAGCAGTGCACGGATGCATGCATATCCCCACATCTTCTGCTCACGGTTTGCAGTGTGCAGTTTGCCAGGTCCTGGGAGGATTCTGTTATTGCAGAAGCCTCCTTGCCTCCGCACGCAACAAATTTCAAATGGTGTCATGCTAGATGTCTTGAATGGAGTGCTTGATCCTTGCACCGGCAGCGCAGGCACAGCTAATTTCAGAGTTTCCAGTTTTTTCACGTGACTGCTGGGCTGAATTCTCTTGACTTGATTATGTATGCTCATGAAAATATTGCAGGGACATGCGCTGCTGCGTGGAAGAAGAGGCTGAGGCGCCAGCCCCTGACCTGGTGGAAAAGGAGCAGGCTGTGGCGTGGAGCATTCCATATTTCATTCCTGGTGGCTCTGACTTTGCGCCGAGCGAACAACCTCTTATATCAGTCAGAGGTATACAGCGCCTTTTCATGTCCTTGAATTGTGTTCCGTGCCATAAAAGAACTTTGAACACTTGTCTCCTCTGCTTCTGTTCTGAGGTGACGTTCTGAAAGTCATATAAGCATGGCCTACGCTTGCATATTGTGATCTTTTGAAGCTGCACTGGGAGCAGGGACTTCCCTTAAGGGGTGCTCATTGAACCGAGGTTTGATCCATAACACTTCCGACTGCCTCTTCTCAGTGTACAGGACTACATTCAGAGAAATCATAAGCAAAATGTGTCACACTTCTGAGCAGGGCTGTGCATGGGAGAGGGCACGCTGCTGGCGGATTCAGGGGCCGTGCATGCGTTGGAGTGCCAGCTGGCGCACCTGGCGCCTGATCTGGCGGCGGCGGCTGCCACGCTGCGTTCCCTCATCCTGCCAAACCTGGCCGGTTTGGCTCCCTCTGTCGCCAGTGACATCTCGGTGAGAAGCTGAATATATTTTGCCCCTTTTTCCTTCCTTTCAATGTCTGAGTCACAAAGAAGGACACGTTCCAAAGTTCCATAAGGCCGGATTTATCTGAATGACATAAATGTGTGAATTGACGATTATTATTCCCGTAGATGTTTGCCTGGAGATGCAATGCTGGTATGTAACCAGATGTAAATCTTCACAAAAAGCACTTGCACTAATCTCTTGAATCCCTGTGTGAGGTACAAGGGAAACGTGACTCATAAAGATTGCTTGCCACGCATGCAGGAACAGATGAGGAGGGTGCTTGCCTCGCTGGTGTTTGCATCTGCCAAGCTGTCCGGCCTGGCATGCCTGCTGCCAACGCCCATGCCTGACCTTGCTGACCTCAGCAGAGTGCCACCTCGCCTCCAGGTGACCTTGCATGCAACCTGCATGCGACAGATGTCCTGTGATTAAGCGGCCGATTTCCTGGAATTCAGCATTGTTTTCCGCATGACATTCAATGTCAGCAAGAAACTTGGACCCTTCGAGCAGTCCTAGCAGAGCAGGCAGGGCATACAGCTATCTGCAGGCTTCGAGCAGAATCATGAACTTCTCGAAAGTCTGCCAGTAATGATCCGCGCGCAAGTAATGAAGCAATGAATTGAGTGGAAACGGCTGCCAGGCGAGGCTGAAGGCGAGAGCAGACGTGAGGAAGGAACAGCGGCCTGTGGCTGCCACTAGCGCTGCAGAGACTGTGAGTGGCGTCGGCGGCACCTGCCGGCAGGTGCCGGGAGAGTGCACGCATAACGAGCACCTGCGAGGCCTGCTGGCCCAGCAGGCAGGCCTTTATTCTCTCCGTTGCCTCACCCATGGCTTACAAACCCTTCATTGGTGCGCCTTGCCGCCACCATTCCACAGGACTCTAAAGTTTATTGTCCCCTGACCATTCCAGCCGGCATGCGGTAGCTTTCATTGACACTTTCTCTGGTCCTGCTGCGGCAATGAGAACCTCTGTGTGTGGGGGTCGGCTGCCAAACTAGAGGTCAAGTCCTGCACCTGGTATTTGAGAATTGCCTGCTGCAGATCATGACGTGCCCGATGAAATTATGCGGCTGTCTGAGTGAAATTTTTTGTCATTGTGGTACTATGATGCAGATCAGCCACAGCTCACAGCTGCTCCATCAGATAACGGCAGCGTTGTCGGCAGCCAGACAGCAGCATGAGGAGCCGGTATCACGAGCTCGCGCTGCTTTGAAAGCTGTTGTAGCAGCGCATGGCCAAGTGCAGGTGACACCCTTTTCATAATCTCCGCAGGACCTATTAGGTGTGTATGGGCTTGCCAGATGTGCATGCAGTGATTACCTAGTCATAAGGTAATATGCAGAGGTTTTTGAGAGCCTTAATTCGCCATAAAACCTGCTTAAAATCAAAATAGTAGCCTGGGTTTGATAGAATTACATGCGCCCCAAAAGCAATACGTCCGGTAAAATGTGCGACCTGTGAAGTGGGTGATAGAACTTAGACGGCATCCTGACTGCCTGCACCTGATCAACCTTTGCACTTTATGGCTGATAGCATGCCTTTTCAGCTTTTAATCACCAGGCCAATGGAGTCTATTTGCTGCACAGGCGTGGCCTGCATCGGAGTTGTGCCTAATGAGACTCCTGAAGCAGTTGGCGCTGCATGCTGCCACGCTGAGAGAGCTCCCAAAGCTGCTCGGCAGCTGCCATGCCAGCAGCCAGGATGCTCTGCAGCTGGTGAGGACCAAACTTGACACTACATAAGCTCCGGTGTTTGTGTCTCATAGGAAGTGAGAAAGGCATCTGCATGGGCGTGGAGAGGCATTTGCAAGTTTTGCCTCTTGCCAGTCCAAGCACGGCTCACTTTTGGCTTCAGTGACACTGAATCAGCACATCTTGCATATGCAGACATGAGTGTAGTAGTGAAGAACTTTCCTACAGGCTCAGGCTTCTGATATGGAAGGCTGGCTGGATGAGCACTGCTTTGTTGTCTGCAGGTGCATAGAGAGGCTGTGCAGGCCAAAAGGGATGCACTCTGATCTTTCAAAGGAGGCACTGTTGGTTGCAGCCATCTTGAGTGCAGCTTGAATGGCACAGAGTTCATTTGATCGCAAGCCGCAAATAAAATATCTGATATCAGCTTTCAATACAACATGCGTGTGTCATCTTGACTACTTGTAGAGGCAAGTTTTGCGGGTGCCACCAGCGTAAGCGAAACCAAAGGTGAAGGGTTCGCAACGCATGCCAATCGCTGTTGATGCGGCGGCTCCAAGCGTTGATGCGGAGTGCGCTTCTGGACACACACGCTGTCTGCGCGGAGGGGAGGCCATGCATGTGCATGTGAAAATGTCTTCATATAGACATGTGCACTGGCGCACACAAGAAACTAAAATAAGCAGCCGGCGAGGGATTTGAACCGGGGACCTCGCTGTTGTATTTCAATCTTGTCTTCAATCATCATTCCACGCTCGCAATAATTGTAGAGAAGATAGAAGAATATGTTAGACAACGAACAAGCCCGAGCCGAGCAAAAAGAATGTGCAGTAAAAGTACAGATCGTGACGTCGGGTTCGCAGGTGGTCACCCAACCCACTACTGGTGACGCCCAAGGCAGCTTTGCTTCCGGGAGCGGACGAGAACGGGCATTTTCAGCCTGGTATGAACGATCCATGTCAGGTTGGTGAGTTTAGGCAATATATTCTGCACGACCGCAGATTGCACACTCAAATCATGATCAGGTTCTTCTAGCTAGTCCTATAGGGCACGACCAAAGCTCCGTCTAGTTTCTGGTTCCATGTCTGGCCAGACATATGGACACATGCAGGGGACGGCAAGCGTGAGGGAAAGGGCTGCCTGCAATTTGAGTGAGGTTGCAATTGACCATTCAAGTATAATGGGTAGGTTGCCAATCCATTGCAGCTTTGCACCGGCCGCGCCGGGCGGCACCTGGTATATATACCCGTGCTAGCATGAGCTCGCGAGCTAGCAGCGCTGCGCATGCGGCATTTGGCTGTCGATCAACAGGTTAAAAGATTAGCATTATGCTCTATGTCCACACGCAAGGTTTTTGAATTTACATGACACAGTCCTTCCCACGCACTTGAGTTCTTCTTCCCATGCATGCCCACTGGCAGCTTCCCCCAGCTTCCGTTGCGGTTGAAGATTGCATTTGGATTCGAATGCATTCGCATTGTATTCGGAAGCTTGAAACTACTAAATAATATTGTATTGCAATACGCCTTTCCTCGCGGTTCGCTTCCTCTCTCAATTGGAGCTTGGCTCTTTCACGAGACTTGATGAACAATACTGTGCAGAATGTCCTCTTCTTGCTGCTGGTCTCCACCAGTGTTGCTGTTCCCTTCTTGATCGCAAAACATGTGCCTTCTCAGAGCCTGGCCAGTAAGTGGCTTCTTCTTTCGCTTATCCCTGCAATCTTTGTTATAATCTGCAATTTGCTTGCCTCTAAAAGCACGCCTGGTTCGGAGCCCAGATGCGCTTCTGTATGATCCATCGATTAAGAATAATCTTTTAAACGCAGCGGGTATAGCATCCGGTACCGCATCGCCTTGCGGCTGGCCTACTACCTCATTTGGGAGCGTTGGGAGCGTTGCTTCCATTGGCAGCATAGGATCTTTGTGGAGCATTGGTAAGCCTTGTTTCCACAGAATCTTTGTTTTCATGTTGCCATATATATTTCTCAGCCCAAAGCTGTCGATTACATGGCGCCACAGACTGCTTTATGTTCTTGCCCAAGCTTGACATCTGCCTGGCAAAGCCTTACTGATGAGCTGTGTGGCAACTTCGCAGGGTCTGTGGGCTCGATCCTGAGCATTGGGAGCGTAGGTGGAGTGCTTTCTATAGGGTCCATTGGGGGTGCTGGCACCATTGCAGCCCTGATTGGGGTGTGCAGCTTTGGAGGCTTCCTGAGCGTTTGCCAGAGGTCTGCCCCCTGGGGCCTTGGCAGCCGTCGTCGCAGGCGCCAAAATTAAACTCTGTCCAAGATTTATGTCCCAGACAGGCACCATATAGACGCCTGTGCGGTTCTGGAGTGTTTTGTACTATTTGCCACTGGCATTTGAAGCCTTCTTAAGCGCTCCAGGACAAACGATTGGTTGACCTTTCAGCCAATGTCTCAGCCAAAATCAAAGAATCAACTGTGTATTAGTAAGCCTGGATACGTGCTTGAGGTCCTAGTCTTTGTCAAAGTGAGGCTTATCTTGAAAGGAGCAGAAAGCCTTTCTGAGATCTGAGACCTGAGATTCACTGCCAAAATTTGGATTTCAAGGATCTGCTGCTACAGTGTGATGCTACAACTAGTGCATGGGCTTACAAGCTGTGTCACCCTCAACTCAAAATCGGTTCCCGCGTTCAGCAAACTGCATGCAATGGCCTAGTAAAGCCTAGCTGGTCAAAACCTGTCACCATTGCTTGTGAGCATTTGTGACTAAATCAGGGAAAGAATGCAACAGGGACTGTAAGGGATAACTGGCAACTATCTCTACAATTGTTGCAACAGGGATAATCTGTGGGCTGGCAACTCCATGACACATAGTCACCACTGCCACTATAGCTGACTTGCTGTTCCAACCCAAGCCTTCGAGCGTTGTGGTCAGAATGGAAGCCAACATTACTGTCCCATGACTACCCAATCAGGAAGTCCAATGAATAATCGCAGATCGGGGTACTTTCGCGCTAGTGCTGCCTCGACGCCCACTACACTGTGAAGGACTCTCCACATCCACACTCGCCCTTGGAATTGGGGTTGTAAAATGTAAACTCCGCCCTGTAATTACAACAACCTGTATCAGCTCAGGACATGCTTCCAAGCAGCTCTTCTCTGCTAGCAAATCACGCCGCAATCTGGCTATGCAGACACCAATGAACGCAAAAAAAATACAAGTCCTTGAGCAGGCAAGGACGCCGGCACGGCCCATGCGAGCAGTGAACCTCCAAGGTGACCAAATATCACAAGGGCTAAAGAAATAGGGGCACAAAATAGAACGCACTTTATTCTGTCCTCCACATAGTCCATGGTCGTGCCCAGGACGTGCATGAGTGCATTTGGCTCGATCAGAATGCGCACTCCTTTCTCGTCCACCACTTCGTCAAACTTATTCTTGGTGTCTGCAGGAGAACAGACGACTCAGCCCAACAGGCTCAAAACAGTGACTCAACATCAGGGAAAAATAAACTCATCAAGAGGAATCAACATCACGACTGCACAAATAGAGAATATATGCAAGTTGTGAGCAGAGTGGAAGTCTGGTCCAGGAAGGTCACCTGCGTAATTAAGGGTGTAAGCTAGGCCGTTGCATCCTCTCGTTTTCACGCCCAGCTTCAGAAACTCCTGCAAATGCACCGGATCATTAGTGGGGTTCACTTGCTAGGTGCTATACTACTTCAGGTCCACTTTATCAACATCGCGCATATCGGGATACTCAACATCTGGACAAACAAAACAATCCGTGAATACTAGCCACAGCACCTTGTTCCTCTTCTCAAGGAGCGTTTTGATTCTCTCCGCTGCTGCATCGGTCAATACTATTGGGGCTTTTCTCAGTCTAGGTGCAGCTCTCTTGGCCACTGCAGCAAGCAACGACAGGCTTGGTTGCACCATAAACTGCTGTCTTGCTTACTGTAATGGATTTCAACACAGTTTATTAGATCCGAGTTCGCACAGCATAGTACTGAATGAAACCTTCACTGGACCTAGCAGAAGCTGCTGGTACGAAAGCGCAAATGCCACTTTGTGCATGCAGATTGCAGAGTTGGCTACAAAACACGTTTTGTCACGTATTACGGAATGTTATATGCTGTGGAGGTGAGAATAGTTTGTGCTCTTGCATCAATGGCCACGATGACTTCCTCTCGTAAAGGGCATTCGGCGGCGTTCCTGTCGGAGAAGGCAAAATTTAGCGCATGTGCATTCCTTGAAGCTCAGGGGCGTGCAGGAACATCAATAAATGTTCCTGCGTTAAATATCAAGTGTTCATGATCAGTGATCACAGACAATGGACGACGATGACGATTTCGATGTTTTTGCAAAAATCGATAGCATCGTCGAGCAGTACAACCAGACAAAGGTGCTCAATTTGCATGTCAACAGAATTGATGAATTCTCTTTTGTTGACATATGAATTTCCTGAATCAAATTCTTGGAATTTCCTTGCAATTGATGGGCCATCACTCTTTATACAATTCTCTGCAGGTGAATAACAGGCAGAATGGCAGCCCACAAAATACAAATGCCGGGCAGCGTCATACAGGTAGCGCGGCGCCCAACCCAGATTGGCAGCAGCCTAGCCACGGATCACAACCACCTCTCGGCCTTGTCGATGCTGCCCCTCCCCCGAGCTTTGGACAGCAGCAGGGCCAGCCCTGGCAGCAGCCACCGCGTCCAAATTACCCTGCCAGGCCTGAGCCAACGAAGCAGGGAGTGAGGCAGCAGGATGGCTACTCCAGCGCTCCAAAGAATGTGTTTGGCGAATCCATGCCTGCATCAGGTGCTCCAGCACAGGTGCCCCCACATGCCAGGCAGCCTCACGCACACTGGCAGCCACGGCCTTCAGGACAAGCAGCTCCCTTGCCTATCAGCGCAGCTGCCGCCCAGCCAGCACGAAACCAGTACACAGGCCCTGCTGTCAGGCCGCCATATGCAGCAGGCGCAGGAGCACCCAGGCCGGGCATGGGCTTGTTGCCTGCCGCCAGACCAGGTAGCGCTGTGGGGGGCGCCACCCCCGCTTCCAGGGGGGCAGGCGGCATCGCCCCGGGGCAGCAGGGTGCCAACTCAGCCCGCATGCAGCCTCCAGCTGGCGCCAGCGCAGCAACTGCACCAGCTGCAGGTGGAGGCCAGCGCATGCATGCAGCAGGGAATGCCATGACAGCTGCGCAGCCGCGACCGCTGAACATGCACTCTCCCGTTCGCGGCGGAGGCGCACCTGCACCGTCTCCAACGCCGCCGACAAACTCACTCCGTACGTGATTTGTCCCTCCCCTGCCGATGGAGCCCCTTCTTGGCTTATCATGCGGCCTAGCGGGGCTCACAGCGAAACTAATGTAGCTCTTCACTCGCTAAATATTGAGTTATGCTAGCTAAATTCTGGGTGCATCCCCATGGCTCCAATTAGGTGCCTCATTACGACAACGTTTGAGGCCTTGTAGCAGTGTTTGATATTTGTTGTGTGGCATGCGCAGTTGCAGCTCAGCTGGCTGGACCCGAGGCACTGCCGGAGCTGAACACTGGGGCCACTTTGGAGCGCCTGCAGCGGGAGAAGGACGAGCTGCAGAGAAGGTGCGCGCTGGCCGGGTCAGCGAACGTAGCAGTGGAGCATCGTGTCTCCGTCAGAAAATGCATGAGTTGCTCCAGATGCGAGGCACTCTGGCTGAGCAGTGGTAGCCCATGCGGCCAATCGGAGCATGCCAGCCACTTTCTGTTTTCACTCCACCTTAGTCTGCGGTTGTCAAATGTGTCCAATCAGGCACTCTGCTCTGCGATCTGTGGAACACTATTGCATGGCTCAGCAAGACAGTCTGGTGTGGACTCCATGAGGCTCGACTCCATTAGAGAGAATTGGCACAGCCTGGCTTTGTAAGAGGTCAGATGGTTGCGGTGCTGAGGGGTAGATACTTATCGATCTTGGCAGGGCTGCATTGACGCGCCTTGCACGCTGAGCACGCTGTGCTGCGCAGGCTGAACGACAACGAGGGTCAGAATGCGCTGCTGCGCGCGCGGGTTGAGCGGGCCGAGAGGGAACGGCGGGAGATGCAGACGCGTGCCGCGCACAGCAGCCAGGCTGGCCTGGCGGCGGCCACGTCAGCGGACCTGCAGCGCCAGCTGGACATCGCGCGTCAGCAGCTGGCCTTCAAGGAGCAAGAGGTCCGCCAATTGAAACGCAACCGCTCAAAGAGTAATGCACAGCCAGGAGCAGAGAAAACCGACGGGGTTTTTGGTGTTTTTGCAAAGTGGGGACCAGTCCCCTGCAATGCTTGGGAAGTGACAACCGCGCGCCTTGGTCTGCCTCGTGGAGGTTATCAAGGAGCGGCTTTCACAACAGTTTTGGCAGCTATCATATCTGATGTGAGCAATTCTGCGTGCACCCTGTCGCGTACCTGGGATGGGATGTAGTGCTGTGCCGTATGGGCAGCCGCGCGAGAAATGATCCGGAAAGCTGACTGGGAATAATTCCGCCACCAGGCGGCGGAGATTCTGCGGCGGAACCAGGACCGGGACGAGCGGCTGAAGGCGGCTGACGCGCAGGCGGCCGCACTGGCCGCAGAGGCCAAACGCCTGGAGCAGCAGCACGCCCAGCTGGAGGCCGAGCTGGCAGAAGCGCACAGGGATAGGTGTGAAGATCCCTGAATTTATTGGTTTTATTTGGTCATGATCAAGCGTTCTAATTCATTACCATGAGAATAAGTCCGTCACTGCGAACGCCATGGCACGTCCTGGCATGTGCATGGTTTATGTTTGCATTACCTGTGAAGTGGCAGAATCTTGGATGTGACTTATCTCGGATGCCAACTGGCATTTGCAGGCTTGACTAAGGCGAGATGGCAGTGCGCCCTGCCTGCAGCTGAACAGACGCAGCTGAACAGACGCAGTAAGCCGCATTGCACTTGTTGTGACGCCCCAATAATTGTCTACTAATAATAGAGAGATAATAAAGAGAGATTCTTCCGTCCTCGCAGGCGGGAGCGGGCGGGCGACGTGAGCACATCAGGCAATGACGCGCTGCATTCTCCGGCAGCCGCGCGTCGCAGCCTCAGCCCGCGCAACTGGCAGCAGCAGCAGCCGTCGGCCTCCGGCAGAAAATCCGCGGCAGCCACTGCGGCCGGGTCGGCCGCCGGCGCGCCGCGGTCCTCCGTGGCGGCCGGCCAAAAACGGCGGCTCAGCGGCGCGGCCGCTGCGGCCGCCGATCCCAGGAGCCAGATTGGAGAGCGCTCAGGCATCGGTAGGCCGACAGTTGTCCCTTATTTTCACATGCGTGTCTTTCCATTCCTGCGAAGTCCTTCAGCTGTAATCACATAAAAAGGATGCTATTTCCTGAGGATCTACCTCCTTCATGCCTGCTCGAATGTTGTGCCAGAGACGCAAAACGGCGCTTTGCTCCTTGTCTTTTGAATCCAATTGTCTTGAGGTTCAGGGATGGAAGCATGTGCATTGAAGGGGAGGAGAAGTTGTCCTAAGAAGTGATTATCTCCTTTGAGGAATGAGTGAGTGTGTGTGCCCTGCAGCCCGGTCCAGTCAGCCCACATCGGGCAGGGCGGCAGAGAACGCCCCAGCAGAACCGCTCCATGAGCGCGCCAGGTGGCAGTCTGCTGCGCCGCCACCTGGCGACGCCAGCTTGTGGCAGCGTCTTAGCGCGGCATGTGGCACCAGCCTGGCCACATTACTGGAGGGTGAGTCACCCGCAGTTTTCCTTGTTGCAGCTCATTTGTCTTGCCTTAAATGTGCACCAGCACACGTGCTCTTGGCTATTTTGCTCTGTGCACCAGAAATATGCTTGAGCCTTTATTCTAGCATGCTGGTATCCTGCCTGACACAGCCTGTGCCACATTTGTGACGCTGCATCATTTGTGGCATGATGCTGTGCCAGACATTACCAGGCACCAATCCCTTTGATGGCATGAACCATGTTCTGATATATACTGAGCTTCATGGTTCAGCAGCTTAACGTTCACATGGACTCGCCACAATCTGATAAGCCAGTTATACCACGGGTGTTCAACCACGAGTGACAGCATGAAGGTCACATCTCAGTATCTTGCAGCAACTTTTGCATTCCCAGCTTGTGACCAAACTGAGCAGGCAGGTGCGCAGAAAAGTCCCTTTGTGGCATGACTCCAGACACATAAAAAGGGCAAGAAACACAAACATCTACAGGAAACAAGGGAGTATTACGGCGCAGAGAGAGGAAAGCAGGAGAAAGCAGGTGGAGTCAGCTCGAGTGCAGAGCCATGTGGGCAGGCTGCTGACGTGGCGAAGCAGGCGAGGCTGCTGGCGTGGGGCGTTGACTCCGCCGGGCCGGCGCTGCTTTGCGCGCTTTGCTCCTCACTCGCGGCCGCCGCTCACAAGGGATCTGCTCAGGTCAGGCATCTCAAAGAATGCTACTACAAAAGAAGTCATTGCTGCGCATCTTCCATGTTCCACCATCATGACCGGTCCTGTCAAGCTTGTGTTGTTGGCTGGATCTTGCATGCGCAGCGATTGACAAATTTGCACAAGCATCTTGCAAGGCAGAATATGCAGCGGACAGCACACCTTTTTTGCTGTGCTTCTGTCGGGCGCTGTGCCTCACCCTCTGATCTAACTGTTTAAAGGCTGCAGAAGACATAAACAAGAATTCGTTGTGATCCTTCCTGCAAAAATCTTGGGACAGCATTGCGATGTTGCTTGACATTTTGGTGATTGGTGACTGATGGAGAATTGCTTTTGTGCTGGGGCTGCAGGCGAGTGACTCTGATGTGAGGTGGCACTGTGCCATGCTGGACGTCCAGGCAGCGCTGATGCGCCTGTGCGGCAGCTGCCAGGCAGCTGCGGTCGCCAGCCTGGCACCAGCTGGGCAGGCCTCTGCTGCCCAACCTGCCCAAGCCTCCGGTACTCTTCCGCCCCATGAATTTGTCATGTGAACATTTTGTGCTGTTTGCTGAAAGACTGGTATATACGCATACATTTTGGGATGGATTTCTATCTGGAAATGTCAATCTTTTGTTGTACCTTGGTGGCCTTTATACACGTCGTGCCGTCTTATGGGCTCTGCTTATTGTTGAGCTCTTTATCACTTACAGCCAGTCTCATCTCAACCCAACGTGTTCTGTCTCAAGGCAAGGAGAGATTGCAAGCGCATTCTTTCTTATGGCATGTCATAAGTTCACAAAATCTTTGGTGCAGGGGTTGGGGCAAGGGTGCAGCTACATGGCCCGGGCAGGCCATCAGGAGCGGCTGAGCTGGCGACCGCATCGCACATCTCCCCTGAAGTCCTGAGGCTGGGGTCTATGAGGTTGATGGACGCCGCACCCGCTTCTGAAAGCCTTGCCTCTCACCTGAGCCATCTCAGGTGCTGTTAGCTGTTTCCGCATTCCTGTTCAGCAGTTGCCACCATGCATAGTTTTTGCTACTTGTATTAGTAACCCTTTTAGGTATGCTACTAGTCCATTTTAGGGCCCAAAACTTTTCATGATTAGTGTGGAAATACATGTGTCCTCCCTCAGCAAGCATGGGCCAGTGCTAGTCCGTGCCAGCGGCTACCGGATCCCGTCTTGCATAGTGTTGGCAAGCACTAGAAGTAAGGATTTAAAAGCCTCATATGTCTGGACGACCATAAAAAATTCTGGGGATTGACTGAAATACTAAGATTTGGGGTGTGGAACAGGAATTTGAGACAGGGCGAGCCTGAGAGGCTGGGCAGGGGAGTGCTGAACCTACTCCTATCCCTTCTTCTGGGCTCGAAGGAATCCAGCGCGGTGTTCAAATGTGCGATGAAATCTTTGGCCGCACTCGTGGCAGCGGCGCCGCCGGCTGACAGGGACGCCATGTCACCTGTGCTGACATCAGGTGTGACAGCATGCAGCCCTGAAAATTACGCAAGGTCATTCACTTTGTAAGTTGAACTGGAAGAAGCAGGAAGCATTGTTGCCTGGCATGCCTCGAGCATCCTTAGGTGTCGTGTGTTTTTCAGATCACATTGTCCGTTTAGTCTGCTTAATACCATGTGGTGCCCACAAGATTATCTAGGCCATAGCCTGCCCAAATGACCTTGAAAAAACCATAAAGTTGCATCTCACCTAGAATGGCTTCTACCGGCCTCACAGTTGCAGGCATCCCAAATTTCTTTTCACACCGCAGGACCCATCAAGCAATCGCTTTCATGCGTACAACCTTCATGTTCAAGTGGCGCATGTACTGTGACGATGACTGCTTTTCTGAATTCAAATATGATTCCTGAGCGCAGGCGTGCTGGAGCGGTTGGCCTGTCATCAGGCGGCGTTCCTGCAGCTCCTGCACCTGCTGCTTGAATGCCCTGCCATATGTGACATGCTGGAAGCCAGACTGGCCGCACAGGTGATTGCAAACTTTGCCAACTTTGCTTCCACATCGACTATGTTATCTAGCAAGATTCAGCATTTCATAATCATTTAGCTAGCATAACTCCTTGTGTTCCAACGCTGCTGTGCTGGTGTGGCTTGTGGATGTCCTACATATGCTTGCCTGCTTTCATCTGTGTATATGGTTCGCCCAACAATTGCACGAGTTCAGTCTTGATTCATGGGTCTCTGAGAGACCGTCCCTCGGCTCTGTTGTTGCTCTGCTAACCTGTTCTTTGATGTCCTCCTATTGATTACCTTGCTTTGGTTCTGTGCTTAGGACGCCATGCAGACCTTGTGAGATGACCCAGGGATTTCCATGGACAACGCATGTATTGTGTATAAATGCAGTCTGAGTCACACCCAGCCTGAAAACCACCTGTGGCTCCAGGCTGCCTCTGGGGAGGGAGACGGTGAAGCGCAAGGACCGATGGGTGGCGCAACTGTTGCCCCTGCAGCAGACGGCGGCGATGTTCAGGCGCCGGCTGCGCATGGGAAAGCAGGGGAGGCCAGGTACGTGACCCACACCCAACCCCATATGCAGCTGCTTGGATCCCACAATTACCTCTCAAGAAATGCCAGGGAATCAAGCACTGCAGTGCATGATTCTGAGGGCAGAGTTACCACATCTTCCCCCCCTTGGTCGTGAACAGAAAGTCACTGCACTGTGTGCCCATGCATGGAATAGCACGTCAGATGAGAATACGGGCACCTTTGATCAGAACAGTTAGTTAGATGACTGTGAAAGTCGCCACAGGGTGCTAACGGAGTCAGAACAAGAGTGTGAGCTGTGCGTCTGTGCAGCTGGTCTGGCTGCTGGAATATCTTCAGGGCGCTCAATGGCTGCCTGACTGCACCACCGGCTGCTGCTGCAAGCACACCAGAGCCACCCTTGACATCATCTCACCGCTGCCCCTTTGAGGTGCCCTTCCCGACATGATAAGTTGAACCATTTGACACCCTAAAGCTCGTGTTGGGCCCTTGTTTGCACAAGGTTCATTTCTTCTACCCTGGTCAGTACCATTGGTCACGCACCCTTGTACTCTTCCCATAAGCAGTATAAGCAGTGAAACTGTGCTGAAAATGTGCCCATTCCAGGCAGGCACCTTTGGGCTGCTTGCCTGGGGGGCATTGCTAATTCTCTTTTTGTGGATCCTCTTGTGCTTGCCACGTCATAGCTTGCGCGCACCTTCAAATTCAGAAGTCTCAAAAGTGCGTGTGTGGGCATGCGCAGGTGGCGCGGAGGGCGTTGCAGGTGGTAGCGCTGTGCATGGAGGCTGACCGGACTGGGCTGCTGCTGGCGTTACTAAGCGAGGACGCAGGCAGCCCCAGCCTGGTGCTGCGATTAGTCATGCTGGTCGACGCCGCCACGCTCAACGTAGAAGGTAGGAGGGCTGCACAGGAATACATACATGCAAACGCTGACTTGCACGTGACCTCCTGGCCACTGTTTATGCCAGCACATGGGCCAATCATGACTTGCTCCGCCCTTTCATAGAGGGCTCAGTTCGGCTGCCAAGGCAGTGAAAAGTCAGTTGAGACCAGATTATAGAGGTCAGGGGGCAGTAAAATCAGCTACCTTATACAGATGAAGCACTGCAACATAGGATCCTACCGTGAGGTGAACTATCATGGAAATTTACCAGTGACATACAAGACGACCAGCCTGTGGCAAACCCATGACAAAAGGAGCAGTGTTGATATACAATACGTGTGAATTAATAATGATGGCTCACCGACACTTAAGCGAGCGTTTTCTCAACTCAGGCGGCCCGCTGCGTGCGCTGGCCGCGCCAGCTCAGCCGGCGAACGCCAGCGAGGCGCTGAGGTGGCGACAGGCGCTGCGGCTGACTCAGGAGGCGCTGACGCTGCTCCGAGGCCTCTCTGTGCAGGAGCACCTGCGCGAGCTTGTCATAGAGGAGCATCTGGCATCCTCTGCCTCAACGCGGCTCTGCCACACAGTCGTGGGTGCGTGCCACAATTGCATGTGTCTCTCTGGGACCTAAGACCTCAGATGCCCTCCATGCGGGCACTCTGTCACAAGACCTTCAAAGCAGGGATGCTTCAGGACAATCCTGGCATTGACTATGAGGCACGCAGTCATTATGTGTGCTGCAAGACAGGACAGAAATTCAAACCTGCGCCGCAGTGGGACATATTCATATTAATCACCACTAACCTTAAACACCATGCACACAAATGTCAGATACTGATATTAACTGTGAGATTGAATCTGTGTGCGCGCAGGCCGCATTGTGCAGCTGCCGCCGCTGCCGGGCCGGCTGGCACGCTCGGCTGCGCCTCTGCTGCTGGCTCCGTGGGCGCACGCCGTCGGCGCGAGCTCCGTCACGCGCAGCGTCTGTGTCAGCGGCGACTCAGCAGGTAATGACTGTAACCGTTGCAAAATTATTATGTATTATACTCTTAGCAAGTGATGGTAGCGTCTGTGTCAGCGGCGACTCACCAGGTTGCTTTTATTGGTTACATAACTGGTGCCTAATTTACTCATTGCAAAAGTACATCAAGTGATGGTAGCAGCATCTGTGCCGGCAGCGACTCAGCAGGTAGCATGTGATCGTTACATAATCAGTACATTAAAAACTCATTGCAAGAGCACATAAAGTGATAATGGCAGTGTCTGTGCCAGCGGTGGCTCAGCAGGTAATGTATCATCCGTGGCCGGAATGTGATCATGAGTCAGCGTTCCTTGAAATCGGCAGGATGCCATGAAAAGAACATGTGCTTTTTTAGTATTCCTCTGGCTTTTAGCCTGGCCTGATGACCCCTAGTTGGTGCATCATATGACAGCATGCATTGCAGATATTTGCAAGAGGCAAGCCTGGGTCGGGCAATGGGCACCACAGTCATTTGAGGACTGAAAGAGAGGGGATGGGCACACGCATGCCACACGCATCCGAGCAGGACTAATTAGCAGAACCTGCTGGGAGCCACCAGTGGCTCGATTTATCCTATGGATATTATCTTCTTTCCATGTTCATCTCTCAAACTTTCAGTGCCTGTGCACTCTGTCAAGATGATGCAATCATAAAGCACTGAACGGTTATGCAGCGCATTCCAGGCCAGTCAGTAACACCAAAGAGAGTCTGTGTCGCACTGCCAGCCCTCTGAGGCACCTTCGAACCAGCAGGTCTTCCGTATTTTGAAAATGCATGACCATATATACAGCCGTATGTACTGCCTCATAATTTATCTAGCGTATCAGCAGAAGCACTGTCTCGCATGCAAGTTACTACCTCTGGTTTACTGAAGAATGTGCGGGTATGCATGCAGGGTGCCTGCCTGTGGCCACAGTGGAGGATGTGATGCATCTGGCCAAGGGGCTCCTTCGGCGGGTGCAGGAAAGGCTGCCAGTGCTTATGCAGCCCTGATGGCTGCTTGGACTTTTCTTGGAGCAGAATGGACTGGGAACTTATTCCCTGAAGCGTTTGGAATGTTATCTGTGCACTGTGTGGTTGCCAATTGCAGCCCTTGTGCTTGTAACAGTTGCAAGGATCTCTATTGTGGTTTTTTGCGGTGGTACATCAAGAAACATTATAGCCAAAGGCCGGCTTGCCAATTGACGCCAAGTGCTGCGCACAATAATGTACAGCGTTATATTCGGCATGCCTTCGATCGTTGTGTTACCAATAATCATGCATGTTTGTTGGCACGACCAACAATTTTACATCTGAGAAAAAACCTGATGATGCTGACTTTTGAAGGTTATAAGCTTAGAAGTTGCTGGCTGCACAGTCAGCTGGGATTGTGATGTCAACATCTGCGTTGCCATGCTGGCGTCAGCCCAATGCAAGGTCTTGAGCTTTGATCGGAGCAGAATAGCAGTTGTCTTGTGACCAGTTGCGATGCATCCTCTTCATCTCACATAGGTACCCTTGAGCCATTGAAAAGGCGACAGGTTCATGGATGGAGCCAGTACAACACCTCTTTGCTTTTGCTTGCAAACGATGAGCACGCGCGTTGACTCAAAAATAAACAGCTCATTTCACATGTTATGGAGCATGACAGACGTGATCTACGTCGATGGAAGCATATTGTAAGACGTGATCACCATGAAGCTGAAGGAACTGCACAGCATCATGCAGGTAAGCGGAGTTTCTGTTGCTTACGAAGCGACTTGGATCTTCTGAAATTCTAATGCCGCCTCTCAATATTCTTCTGATATCGACCTTTGGGAAAACTCGCAGGACATCGACACCTTTAATGAGCCCAAGGTCGACCTCGAACAATACCCCACGGGCCCTGAAATTGCCTCGCGGATGTTATTCACGGTAAGATCAAGGAAAATGCAAATTTTGCTGCAGCTCCCCAATTACCCTCTCAAGACATTCAGCTATTCGTGCTGTGCTAGCCTCCTCAACCAATGCCTAGTAACCTTCTCTGCTGTGCCGCGCAGATAGAGAGTGTATACGACGACTTTGCTGGAAGGACGGTGGTAGATCTGGGATGCGGCACCGTGCGTCCCATGCCCTCATCACCTGTATGGAATTCTTGTGCCTGCATAAGCACTGCTGTCCGTTTCTTTGTGAGCAAAGGAACACAGCAAGCTTGCCGCAATATAGCTTGGCCTTAAGAGCTGGCAATGGTTGAAATACAGTAAGATAGTCCAAGGAACACAGCAAGCTTGCTCCGGCGAATTCCAGGCCTTGACAGCTGGTGATGCCTGAAAGACAGCAAGATGGCCGGAAGGATCCTGGCAAGCTTTTGCAGGATTGGTTGACCCCTCACCGCTGGCAATGCGAGATTCTTTCTTTGGTCCAGGCAGGGAATGCTGGGCATTGGAGCAGCGCTGCTGGGCAGCTGCCATGTCATTGGAGTGGACATAGACAGCGATGCTCTGGACACTGCACAGGGCAATCTAGACAGCTTTGAAGATCTCCAGGTGAGCCTGCTTCATCTCCACCTTTGCATGCCTGCACTTGCCAAGCAGCGACCGAACTTCCCCAGCATGAATGCATGTTGATATGGGACTTTGTCTGGCGGCGGTTTCTGTGACTGCTCTGAGATTGAATGAGTACCAGCAAACCTGCTGATGTAATCAGGGAAGAGTGGCAGAGGGTGCCCTCTCATTCATGCTTATTACAGATGCAATTCTGAGAAAGAGATATGCAGACATCAAGGCAGAGCGAGGGCCAGGGTAAAGAGGAAGGGCTGCCTTGCAAGTGAACATCATGCGGAAATAAGACATTGCAGTTGTCCTCATCACAAGTGCTCTTTTGCTGATGACAAATGCGCTGTGCAGATGGATCTGTTGCAATGCAGCATTGCTGAGCTGGAAAGGCAGCCCAGGCTGACAGCAGACACAGTCATCATGAATCCGCCGTTTGGCACCCGCCGCAAGGGAGCCGACCTGGATTTTCTCAGAGCAGCGTTTCGGGTGCGCACGCATATGAGAGGGCCTGCTTCCAGTTATGCAAAACCGGTTCATTACTTGAGGTACCATAGCCACGTTTCAGTCCTTTTGGTCTGGGTGGATACTCTTATTGGTCCCTTTTCGTGGCCAGCTGCAATGATCTGCAGGCAGTGGCAGCATTTTTGCAGGCTTACCTATGCTTGCCATAGCCGTGGCATGATCCTCTGGTGTCTTCTTGGGTTGCCATCAGCGGAAATGAGGCTGCTCTGTACAGCACAGCCCCTTGTGTGCAGTGGCAAAGCAGCAGCACAAGACATGCAGTAGACAAATCCATTCCAGCATGCCAGACAGAGATCATCTGTCTGAGGCCAGACAGAAGCTGCAGTCGCCGGCAGCTTGATGCAGGAGAACACACAGAGCTGCTTTCATATGGTGCATGCATAATGTGGCCAAGGACCACACAACATGGAAATTCAATAAGTGTGGTGTCGCATGCCTGCCCATCCGTTAGGACTGGAAAATGTCTGATCATAGTAAAAATTCAGTGCACCATTTTGACTGCGCAGGTGTCGCGTGGGTCAGTGTATTCCCTGCACAAGACCTCGACGCGCGCCCACATACAGCGGGTGGCCCAGAAGGAGCTGTCAGCACACAGCGCTGAGGTGGTTGCACAGCTGCGTTATGACCTGCCCGCCTCCTATGCTTTCCACAAGTGCGTCCTTCCAAAATGGCTGTTGTGTGATTAGAACCCCCTGTGCTGAGCTCTTTGGGGCGGCAGGGGAATATATCAAAGTGACAGATGTCAGACTTCACGGGTGTGAGGTCTGGCTGTGGTGCTTGCATGTTCTGTGTTTGTTTGGCAAGACTGTTTTGTGTTCAGCACACAGGCAATACATTCTGCGCTGGAAGTGATGCAGCTGTGCATGGGTATGGGTGACTGCCCGCCCACTGGGGCTGGCAGCCAAAGCTGTGAGCAGGAACAACCCAGCAACCCAATGCAATCGGTCAATTTCAAAGCCCCTTGCTGCAGAGTCAACGCCTTACAGCAGGGCCACTGAATGTGAAATTTCATCCAGGGAGCGCTCAAGGGACATTGAGGTGGATCTGTGGAGGTTTGAGGTGCCTCTGCGCCGATGACCCGCGGCTGTGTCTGGCGTATGTACACTGCATCTAGACTGCAGATCTGCAGCCATATGATGCCATGCATAAGACGTGCATGACGCAACAATGTTTGTGTGGGACCTGATGACGTCATCACTTGTCACAAGTCATGACTTGCAGCTATGGAAAGAAGAGAAAAATACAGCGCAGAGGGGGAGATAGTCTGTAGAAAGAGCCGAAAGCCAAAACGAAATTGTGCTTTGAATCCATGGAGCAGTACATTAATCTGAGACAATCGTATGCTGACATCATGATGTTTTTGATCAAAGCAGAACGAGCTGAAAAGTATTAATCCATTCTTTGACAATTGTTGTGTTGTTCACAACAAAAACAAAGACAAAACAAAAACAAAAGAAAAATTGCAATCTTTGCCTGCCAGAAGCAAGGTGCATCTGCAGACAAGCTGCAATTGACTTATATTATCACTGAATAAATAGCCACTGAATAAATAGCCTCTGTCAATTTACAACCTCCCCCCCCCCCCCAGACAGCCTTTCTCTGACGCCTGCAATGGTGACTCCGCAATACACTTCACAACGTTTTGCGCTTTCCTATTTTGACACATTCAGTGAGTGACCCTCTCCTTGAAGGTGCTTCAACGCAGCCTGGCTCACTATCACTTTTTCTCTGAAATCTGATGCATCAGTGCTTGAACTCCACTACTGAGCTTGCTTGTGCATGCGTCCAATTCATAGACGACTCCTTTCAATATCCCGATGCCCAAGCGTCGTTTTGGTTCTTGCAGCAATCCACTGGCTTTCCATTGGTGGGATCAACATAGATAGCCGTGCATGGGCCGTTCACGTAAGACCCACGAAATTGAGTTATACCCGGACAGTAGTTGCTGATGCAGGTTGCATCGGGGTGAGAAGGGCATGTCTCATACCCATCGCAAGGATCACGGATGCAGAGCGCAGGTTGGATGCCCTTGCCGCACTTGATTCCTGTGAATCAGGGCTCGTCTCTCAGCGGGCAACCAATGCACTATACATAGAGCTTCTCTAGAAAATGGTTAGCTAAAACCAACAAAGCAATTCCAAGATGTGGCTCACCCTCCTGACACATGCCCTCGTAAGCGATCGTGATGTTTGCACACTCGGCACTACATTTGTTGCCGTACGTTTTGCCATCTTCTCCGCACACCGGCAAATATATGAAGGTGCAGGTGCAACCTGCACATTGGGAGCGTCATTATGTGATCCCTTCTCCGTACTACTCCACAGCCCAAGTATCATATTTGTATGTAAATTTAGATTAGGACGCACCTTTTTCTTTGCACAGTCCATAATGATCAAGCTTTGTACCGGCGCAATGAAGAAGGCAGGGATTTGAGTAATTTTTGCCATCAAGTCCACAGACTGGATTGTATTCCTCAGTGCAGATGCAAGGGTTGTCACCTGCAATACAGATGCGGCACCAAGAACCTTCTCCTGCATCTTCTGCATCCTGTTCACCAAATAAGGCTGAATACATTGCTTTGGCGAAGTAAAGAGCTCGAGAGTGGAAATTACCGTCAACTTCTTCCTGAAAAGCCATAGAGCGTGAAGCTCCCTTGTGGCACCTGGTCTTGATCTTGTCCTTCAGCTTCTTCGGCAAGTCATTGTAACAGTCACAGAGTCCAGCCTCATCTCCAAAACGCGAGATGATCCGTTCCACATCAAGGTCGGTGATAGCATTAGCACACTTGCAGATGGTTCGAGGGCAGCCTCTTGGCACCACCAGGCATGGATCAATGCGTCCAGCGGTGATCTCCATTGCATCCACGTAATTGTCTGGAGAATCATCAGGTGCAGATGCAGACAGCGCGCTTGCACGTACTGTAACTGGCCGTACTGTAGCCCATATCAGCCAGACGGTCAACAACAAGATTCGGCGCATCTTGCTCCACCCCTGCACAGACAAGAACCTGCGTCCGTGAGTGCGTCGACCCACGCTTTGTGATGACTACGACGTCACGCAATCAACATATTCAACAAACTCCTCTGTGCTCATCAGACGACGTCTAGAAACCCTACTTCGATGCCTGATCGCGTCATAGCGTAAAGACCACACAACTGGTCTTCAGCGACATCATATAGGCCTTCATAGTGTGCAAAATATCACTGGTATACATAGAACGCTCATATAGACACCCTTGAATCACCCAGAATTAGCCGTGAGGACGAAAACGTCAAGCGCAATTGATACCCTTGTCTTCATAAACTAGCTAATTAGCTATAGACGCAGATATGAACAGGCACATAGTAGAATACCGATCAGCAAATTTTCCGTATGTCTCTAACGCGTCAAGCGCGATCTTTCGAACCCACAGCAAAATCCAAACCCTTGTCATTCTTTCGCGTTCATGGATGATCAAGCACGTCTTTGGTGTCAGTGAGGCTCACCTCAGCAGCTGGATGATTAGCTGGATAGTTAGCTCGTATCTCGTGGGACGCTGTGAGTACGACTGATACACGACACGAATCTAGCTGAAAAGGATAAGAAACCCTAGCACCTACATAGGCCAGCAGTTCGTGAGGTGATGGCAACAGCGATTGAAGGTTCTGTCACCCTCAGCCTTGTGCTCAGTGTTCCAAGGGTGGGGTTGCTATGATTCATCTGACTCCTCAGTCGAAGCATAATTTGCATCAGTGAGGCCCAAAACCGAGACGGTGGCCAGAAAAGGATTGTGCAGCTTCTCATCCTGTCGACACCTGTACCAAGCCGTGTACTGAACGATGTCTTGTAACTTCCCCTAATGAATTGCATGCTCTGCGCTACTGACAAATGAGCAGGATCTGACAGGCATGGACACAACAAATCATGTACCCTTGCTAAGGCTGCAGGCAGAAGCAATTGAGCTGTGAAGGATAAGTGCACACTTCGCGCTTGTCTTGGTGGCACTTTTCCACAGTGTACTCATGCACTCTATCCTTTTCGTTTATACCACATGGTCCTGTGTGCCAGTCTTGTTTGACTTGCTCTGCATGTTGGACAGCGTCGGAGCACCGCCAGGCACTAGGGTCTGCCTCGCTTGGGCTGAAATGGTCCATGGAGCCTTCAAGGCTATCCTTCTTCCACAAGTATCGAATGAGATTGAAACGTCTATGGATCGCTGTATGGCTCGCAACTCCCCTGAACTCTTCCATCGGGAGAGTTGGTAGGCACAAACGTCCATCGAACAGCTGCAGTTAACACAGTCTGCAACAATGATATATCCGGGAGATGCATTCACTGACTACCAATGTGTAACTGTTCAAAGAGATGTGCATTGGCAGGGCTTTATGGAAGAGAGAGAGAGAGAGAGAGAGAGAAACAGAAAGAGTTCGCGTCTGTCGACATCGTTTCCTGCCACTTAGGCCTGATCTGACGCCTGGCCACGAAGGCGAGAATTATCGCCTGTACCCGTACAGACCTGATCAAATCCACGGATACCATCTCGCCACATCAAGCTAGCACCGTCGGTACTGTGTAGCAATCTTACAATTTACATCGAGCTTGTTTCTGACAATCCCATTTTTGAACTCAGACACACTTGCTTTTATCAATCTGTAGCGCTTAGAGCCTAACAGGAGCACCAGCAACATGCAATCATAGGATGCAAGCTCTGTCATGTAAGCAATTTCAGTACTCTAAGAGTAGGTGAGCTCTTGAAAGCAATTCTGCTGTCTACAGACTGCCAGAATGGACGAAGAGCTCTTTGAAAGAGCCTCTTTCTTATTCACATGCCCTCCACGCTGGACAGTGACTTGTGGTTTGTAGGCTCCTGCTCTGGGAACACAGCTGAACAGGCAACCCAATCCCAAAAGAGACGCGTCTCCTGCATCGGACCTCAGTCGCAGGTGCCTGTTGTTGCGTGGGACGCATCTGCAGGGGCGAGCCTTGCTCCCGGCGCCAGATCAGGTAAATGATCGGTCTCCTGCGGCGAGCTGCTGCGGCAAACTCGCCTCATTGGGCTGCACAGCTGCTGTAGCCTGATCAGGCGAGGGCCGCGTCTGAGGCGGCGAGCTTGGCCGCGGCGCCAGATCAGCCGAGGGGCACGTCTGCAGGGGCGGCCTGCTGCTGCGGCGGCGCCTGAAAAGGCGCGAGGGCCTTGTCGAGGCGGTCGACGACGGCGCGCCATTTGGCGTCCCCGGGGGCGGCCAGGTCCCATGCGAAGTGCAGCAGCGCATACTGCTCCACGCGAGTGGCGGAATCCCACGTCGTGAAGGCCTCTATGTAGCGGCACACGCGCGCCTTGTCCACCTCCGCCCTCTGCAGGGGGCATGAGAAGAGCGTCAAGAAGCTTGTCATAAACCGAGTGTTACAGAATCAGCCCAAATACCACCCACGTAAGCTTTCTACTCCTTCCAACTCATTGTGCTAGCCCGGTTGCACTGCAGGGCAGCCTCTAGAACTCCTCAAGTGTCCGTAGTGGCCCATGCTTGCCAATCTCAAGAGAAGAAAAGACACACTTATTAAAAAGCGTACTCAACCAGAATAGAGTGTCTCAGTCCACTGCCAAAACAAGCCGGTGGCAGATGACTTCGAGAGGCACGAAGGCGAGCCAACATGCCACAGGTGCATCCAGCAAGTCATAGTACAATCCTCCAACCGTGATGACAGCCCTCAAAGCGTGGAAGAAAAAGTGTGGCGGCGAGCGCACCTGTAGCTCTGGACGGCGTAGGTAGTCGCGCAGGAAGTCGACGAGGTGCGAGTGCATAAGGTGGGCATGGTTGCGCTGGGCGTCAGACGGCATTCCCGCGTCCTCTTTGCCTGCAACGCTCGTGAGCAGGAGTTACTGTGAGTCCCCCTGATGGCAGGTGAAAAGCTGCAGTCTCCTGCCTTTCCTACCAGGGGCTATCATCACGAGAATGGCTAGCTGGTATCTCAGGGTCCAGTGGATGAATCATTTTCGATAAAAGTACTTGAGATACCAGAGTCATACCCCCAGCAGTGATTCTTTATCAACATTCCTCGTCTGCATTGCGCTTCACTCTGTGATGCCTAATGGATTGTGTGATTCTTCTGCAGCAATAATAATTTGTTATCAGCAGTGCGACAGCGGCAGTAGTGCGCACTTGGGCTGGCGGCCACGGCGCGCAGTTCGGCCGGGCTCGGCAGGTGCGGCAGCGGCGCCGGCGGCTGCGGCGGCGGCTCGGCAAACGCGGCCGCCTGCTGCAGATGATGCTGCGTGTCCCCCGCCACCTGCGCGCATGCAATCGCAACGATGAGCAAAATTTTGCTCTCAAATATGACAGGCCGTCAGAGCATTTCGTCTGTGAAGACACTCGGCCCTGTGCTTGGGCTTCAATAGGTCGCCATGCAGTTCATTTGCAGCGACAGCTGAACATTTCTTGGAGTTTCACTAGCCACCGATCCTAAACCAATGTTCTGCACCACTAACCACAATTCTAAAATTTTGTGGCTCTCTTATTCATAAGAACACGAAACAAGAGGGAAACAAGAGGCACTGACTGCAGACGGGCGGTGGAGCAGGAGGGCTATGTCAAAGAACTTCCAGAAAGATGGCACGGGGGAGGAGTCACCTGCTGGGACCAGCTGGTGGGCGGCAGGATGAGGAAGGGGAGGGGCTGCGAGTGGGCCGCCTGGCTTCCATCCTGAACCTGTTCACAATTTTAACATCAGGGTCAAAACCTACTCAAACCCCGAGCCCTGCTGCTCCTACATTGTCAGCATCCTGTCATGAACAGCACTGGACGCTGCAGCCGTTTTTTGGCAAGCAACCGGCGCCTTGTGAGCCCCAGTGGTGAATCTTCAGCCAATTAATGATTTTCATCTACACATTATTGTTGAAGTGGCCTCAGTTCAATCCCTCTGCAACGTACTTGGTGATTCCGCACGAGCCTTGTCTACCAGAAGATCTCATGATGTTCACAAGGCATGTTTGAGACACAAAAATCAGGGTTGGTCGATTGTTTCCTATTTTTGTATGACTCAGGGCCGTGTACAGAAAGTTACCTGAGGGTGTGTAGTGATGTACTGCATGCCGCTGTCCTGCTGATGCTGCTGCGGATCGCCGGCGTTCTCTCCAAGCGCCTGCTGGTAAACCTGGCTGCCATCCCCGCCTGCAACAGCCCAACAGTTTCTCAGATTCAGGAGAACAACTGTAAGAACCCCCCGCTTTGGCCATCCAAAGTATCCCCCGGGTATTCCAAACCCAGATGACCGATAGACCGGGCTGTCCAGTGCAGCACGCAGAGCAAGGATGTGATAGATTGAACAGGTCAAAAACATCCAAGAAGAACAATTTCCTGCACTCTTGAACAGAGCACAACAGCAACTGAAGGACAATATTGCGAATCAACATCAACTGCCCACTCTTCCTAACCACATAGCCAATGATAAATAACAATGATGTCCAGGCATTCACGTGCCACTGAAGAAGCCCAGATTGCCTAAAGCATCCAGGCAGTCTACTCACCAATCTGCGCGCCGTTGGCCGCGACCAGCACTGCGCCATTAGCGCCTGTGAGGGCGCCCGGGAATGCAGCCGCCAGCGCCGCCACGTGCTGCTCCGAGGCGCAATCGAACGGCTGCGTCTGCGCACAGGGAATTAAGTGCCTCAGAAGAGGTAAACGCACTCCTCCTCACATAAGACTGGCACCCACAGAGCGCTTGACAGCCTCAGATGTCAATTTAGTGCTTTTGAACCCCAACATTGAAAGACAGGGTGTGGAATTTTGCATCGGGACCGTGCTGTGCCTTTGGCATGGGACAATGCTTGATGTGCTTGCTGCTTGTGCACATGCAGTATGGGTGTCAATTAATATACCCAACAAGGCAGAGCTGCAAGCTTCATGCAAAGATTACAGCTATTGGGCCAAGCACTTTGCTGGCAGTGCTGGCCTGACTGTGGTGGGCGCGCAAGATTAAAAAAGGAGAAGGCGTGCCTGTTCGCTGCCGGCCAGGCCGCTGTTCTTGAGGGGGTAGCCGAGCGTCTTCTCAGTGTACCCCGAGCGCTGCCGCTTCGGCTCCGGCGCAGACCCGTCCGCGAACTTGGCTGCACAGTCCAATGCAGGGTTTGTCAGTGCGATTCGATGCGTGCATGCCGGTCTGCTCGGCTCCCATGCATCAGCAGGTGTCCCGGAGTGCTCAAGCAACTAGGAAGGTTAGAAAAGATGGCCATTCAGTTCAGCAAGAAAAGCCTACAGGAATAGGATGTTCAGGTTGACGGCTAAGGTCATTGGCGCAACTGCAGACACCGTGACGGCAATACTGTGCAGATCTGGCTGAGGCCTATCGGCATGCATGCACTACTGTCTGACGTGCACAAAATGCTTTGCACCTGGACCTTGCGAGGGTCAGCAGACTGCCGGACCGGACGATGATTGCATGCCGTGCGCGGCCCTGCAAGGGAAGGATAAAGTAGAAACTGCTCACCCCGGTTGCAGGAACGGCGCTCCTGGTCGACATTGACCATGCCATCGAGCTTGTGGGGGCCGCAGTAGAGCGCGCGCATTTCTCCGGTGTAATTGAACGAGGGCCGCTTGTTGCAGGCCTCGTGCGCGCAGCGCTTGTGTTTGATGTCAATCATGCCCTCCGACTTGTGCTGGGAGCAGAAGATGCCGCCCTTCTCCCCGGGGAAGTTGAAGTTGGGCATGCGCTGGCAGCCATCCTCATTGCACTTGCGGTCCTGCGCGAGGGGATGAATGAGGAATGATCCATTCGTCGCGTGCGCAGGGGATATAACACTTATTGCCAACAGGGTCTGGCAGCCGTGTGTACTGCTTCAAGGTGCTGCGCAGGAGGAAAGATCCGTTCATCGCATGCGCCGGGGGAAATGATCCCTGATCGCAAGCAGGATCTGGTGACACGTTTCTATAATTTCTTGTGCTGACAAGTCTCTGGGCCATCCCCAAGTTTAGATGGCTGCCTATCTGACTCAGTAGACCGATGGCGGAATCGCTGGGCGGACCAGACAATACCTTTCAGACAATCATATCCAGTCTTTTGACATGCGAAGTCCTGTGGTTCAATCTCACGGCAGATGAACAGAGGAAACACCCTCATGAATTGTTGGAGTAATGCTGCTGCACCACCAGTTGTGCCACGGGGGCTTTCTCAAAGACTGGATGCCGGCCCTTGCGCAAAAGGAAAACCAATCGACCTGCCAGAGGACGCACGGACAAGGCTGCACCTTGACATTGACGTAGCCGGCAGGCTTGTGTTGGCCGCAGAATAGGCCGTGCCCCGTCCCCGGCTGGTTGAACACTGCCAGTGTGGCACATCCAGGCTCCGCGCACGGCTTGTGCACCACATTCCTGAGACAGCACGAGAGTCAGTTAGAAGCCACAAGCAGGACAAGTATGTGTCTGTGCTCTTGCAAAAGAAAGCTACCTGCCGAAGCCGCAAAACGCTTCAGCCAATGCTTACTCTGCATTGCATGCCACAGCATGACACAGATCAGAGCCGTCTGCGGGCACAATGCAAGCAAGATTCTCTCCTCGTTGCAGCTTCCACCGCAAAGTGCAACCCTGACACAACACTCTGTTCTCATCCTCAGGCTGGGAAAGCATGGCTGAGATGTCCAATTCCCCAACAGAACAGCATAGGCATTGGCATCGGCAAGTGCGCCACAATGTCAGAGAGGAGCTGCACGTATGCGCAATTCAGGCCGCAAGAAAATCTCACAGAGCCTCTGGGAACCCATCAACACTTCTCTTGGCCAGGCAAACGAAGGATCAAGGCGAATACTTCAAGGGCAAGCTGGTCGTTGGTCAAACTTGATCAAGGATCAACTCTTGCACGCTGCGGTAGTGAATTAGAGCACTATTTGTGAAAGATCCAGTGGTGTCCCTGAAGCTCACCTCATGCCATCCATTTTGTGCTTGCTGCAGAAGACGCCGTGGCTCTCCCCTGGGTGATTGAAGCGCGCATGGGTGCCACAGTCTGTCACAACGCACTCGCGCACCATCTTGGTCTGCTACCTCCCCTGCATCAGAACAGAGAAGCTAATCTTCACACCAGTGATGGAAACAGGAATGTTGTGGCTGCTTTCCCAGGCAGCTAAATGATGGAATTAACACGCTCTGAAGGCCATACAGAGGACCTCCGAGCCTTGGCTAGGCACTTCACCTCTTGCTTTCCTAGACGAGACACTCCAAAGGTCAGGCAGGAGGAGGGATACCTAGAGCAAAGTATACTCTAAGCAGATACTGCGGGCTACCAGTACATCTTTGAAATCATCCATGCTGGGCTGAAGGAGCCAGACAGAACGATGCATCGCACTTTCGGCAAAGGTCAGCTTTCCCAGGCAACCCCCAGACCTGGCTTTGATACTTCCTATACCTGATGGCCAGGCTTTGAGCCAGATAGGCAAATTTGCGACCTTCAGATGACAAGAAATGCAATAGACGGACGAGGCACAGCACCTGTTCGGCACCCCGTTCAATCCAGAGGATGCAGCGTGAGGGGGCTCCAAGCAGGCACTTGGTAAGAACGACAGCGGTCACACGGCCTTCGCACCGGGCTGTATGAGTGCCTGTGAGTTCAGAATCACAACCTGATGTCGGGCCGTGGTCTGCGACAGGAAATTGAACATTAGCCGTAACTCGAAGGACGTAAAATTTGCCGTTTGTTGAGCGTATCCGCGTTAGCGTAATCTGTTGAGTTCCACGTCGGCAATGCAAATATTCTTCGGTGTGGATCAATTCCAGACAGCTTAGCTTTGCATAGATTGTTGTAGGAGAACTAGAGAAAGCATTAGCATCAGCAGATCTACATCTGGGGAGTCCTTTGCTTGTCTATTTCCTGGCACAGATTTGGGCATGGCATCGGGGAGCGCTTTGTTGGGATCTACATCTCTAAGCAGTTTTCACAGTGTTCGGTGTCCCAGAAGAACCCACGTACCGTACAAAAGCTGCAGTGCAGGGCCTTCTCACGATGGAGATGTTGGTGTCGCAAATCTCCCACAGCCACGCTTCACACGCAGAGATCTTGCCTTGTCTGCGACAGCAGCAATGGCAATGCAACTCTGTAGACCTCTGGTATGTATTTTGTAACACCTCTGTTGGTTGCCATTCATTTTGGCTCCATGCTTTTATGCCATCTTTTGCGCATGCCGATGATTCAGAAGTATGTCAATCTACGTGTAGCTTGCTCTATGTACGCCAATGATGAATGCTGATGTTATTGTTGTTGTTGCCGGCCAGGGCGCCGGAGCAGCAGGTTTCCCAGTCAATGTACTGGAGAACTTTCTGAGCAACCAGCCTGAGCCAGTGCTTTTCCCCAGGCGGGCCCTGAATCAGATTTTCGCTGTGCTGCTCATGCGATCCGCCTATGAAGCGGTCGATACTCTGGACTTCATTCCAATGGTGAGCCCGGAATAACTTTGTCACCCTGCATGCTTGTCTGCGTCACTATGCTAGAAGACTTCCGGCAGAGGTGTTGTAGGCGCTTGTTTGGGGCCCTCCCTTCTTGAGAATAGAGCTCATCAGGATATGGACACAAGTTACAGATGTGACTCCACAGATGCAATCCTGTGCAGGATAGGTTCCAAGCACAGTTCTGGAAGCTGCGGCAGGCAGAATATGAGCCATACTTGACACAGAGACTTCCCCTGAAAGTTCGCCAGGTACGGGGTGTCCAGCAGCTGCTCATGTTCCTTGCAGCCCATATGCAAGTGTGATTTCCATGCATTTCAAATCTTGAGGATGTGAATTCTCATTGTTCATTGGGTCAATCCGCAGGGAGACCTGACAGATCCCAGCTACTTTGACTTCATCAGCTTTGCCCAGCTCGCCACCATCTCCAGGGAGATACCTCTTGGCCAGCAAGCTTTTGAGGTGCGGCCCTTAATGCCAGTGGATTCTGTTATGCCAAGTTTCCATGCTTGTCACTGAATCAATTGACCACTTCTTTCTTACCCAAAATGAAATCCAATGTGTTCACAGCTTGAGCTGATGATCTGGAATCTTTGCTGTCCATGCTCCAGTCAAGTTGGGGCAGAGACTTCTAGGGACCTGGGCAGATCTGAAATCTCAGAAGTAGCCGAGCATCTTTAATTGAATCCTCTTGATTTGAAGGACCAGCCTGACCTCCAATATATGCAAGAACCAAGTAGGAATGCCAGGCGTGCAAAAGCAGGCGTTGCACAGGCACAGCGTCACTGGAATATTTGAGTGACGAGTGACATGACAAGAAATGTCATCAACCGCACCTAGCGATTGCACAACCCTGTGGCCCCCATGTGTACCAGAAATATTCCGTCATCTTGCAGCAAATTATATAGCAGCCCTTGTACCTGCCTTGTACTTTAGAGCAGCCTTAGAGCAGCCTTAGAGCAGCCTCAGCACCTGCTTCCCAAGCAGATTCTCCTGGCGCGGTTGCAGGAATTTTGTGAGGACTGCGAGGGCCAGAAGAAGTTCATCCAGAGGAGCGCAGAGCTGCAGAGCAATGCAGAGCTGCCGGCCGCTTTTGAGCGCGCGACTGGAGACCAGATCTATAACGGCCTCCTTAGCGGCTTTCGTGTGCGCGCTTGATCTGGCTTCCCTATATCCACATGCGGATCCTGTTGAACGGTGGACGCCATGTTGGATGTTCTTTCAAGAGCCTTTCTGTCTCTGTGTGGAGTCACCCTAACCTAATACATCGTTCCCTGGTCAGGGTGCAACACCTTGAAAGCATGCGCGTATGCATCTGACTTGTGTGGTACTGCATAATCATGGCCTCTTTCGATTTGACAAGGAACTCAGATGCGAGGAGAATTTTGTTGTCCCCTCTGACGGCCTTGTGGCATCAGTCTGAATCTACCAAGTTTTGGTCAGTCCTCGGAAGGCAGATCTGAGCTTTATGTGGTTTTGGGGTAAGATCACAAGTGATGTAACCACACTGGTGCCACAGGGTGTGCACTTTGGCGCTCCACAGCCGTCGCCGACGCGGACACCGATAGCTGAGCTGGCAGGGAACGCACAGCGTATCCTGGACATCTTTGCAGCCAACGGCTATGCCATTAAGGTCAGTGCAGCAGATTGACGATCATGAGATTTTAGAATGCCGCATAATGCAACTTCCTTGAAGGCTCATAGGTGGGTGTAGGACGAGGCGGCGTTGTGAAGCTGACGACGTGAGTGAAAGCAATGCATTATCTTGCATTGTTTGGCTGCGTCTTGCAAGCAGTCCTGAAGTCCACTGTCTCCTTATACCTTGCAACCAGTACAGGAACAGAGCGGTTGAGAGCATGCTTTGAAGCATTCGGCGAAGGCCTGTCTTCGTAGTTTTGCTGCAAAAAAAGGCATGGGCATGGTTCAAGAGAAAATTTTATTGCCGCTCGCCAAGTCTTGGTCTTGAAGTGGACTGTGCCCCGGGATGTGCATGCACTTACCGGCGGACAGCCTCTTCGGCACAGAATCTTGGCGAAGAATTGCTGTGCTGCTATTGGGAGTAGGAACGTCAATGGAGGGCACCTATGTGTTGTGCTTCATTGGACCCTAGGCACCAGCTTGATCTCCCTTAGGGGCAATGTGTACAAAATGAGGATGCAAAGACATCCAAGGACGCATCAAGATGTTTGGATATCGGATGCGCTCTGTTACACCTGTGAAGCAGCCCTTAGTCCCTTTCTTGGCACTCGCTCTGTCTTGATGTCTGCATTCTCTCTTAGCTTGAGAAGATGCTTCGCCAGGTCTGAATATGCAGCCCACTTGGGCAGAATATGCAGAGGCATCAAGGACGCAAAGATATGCTTCTTGCCCATTTTGAATATGCCCAATTCTGGCTGCAGGCCACGGTCTCCGACGTGGTTCCCTCCCGCAGCTGCGGCAGCGTGGAGTGGCACGGCGCCTGCCCCAGTGCCGGCAGCTTCCGTGTGCGGCTCGAAGGCCCCGCCACGCTCTGGGGTGAGGGGACATAAACCCTTACCCTTCTCAGAAACCCCACTACATGTTTAATTTTAATTACACGCCTATCCAAGCCACAGTTGGCTTAGGTGCGTCGCAGCAGTGTTTCTATGACAGCCTTCCAGCTCGGCCTATCTTGGCACCTTTTCCACCATGTCAGATAACTACATGTTATCTACCAGATAATCTATTACAGTATTCAGGCCTACTCCCTAGGGGTTTTGGAATTATTCCTCGGTGCTGGGATGGTAAGTCCTATAAGTAATGGGAATTGTCATGTGGTTGGCCCCCTCCAACCCCAAAAGGGGGTTTTGCAATCAAGGGGATGCGATGAGCCAGTGTCTCATTTTGTGTAATTAGCATCCATGCAGACTGCATGATGCAGTCTTGGACATGACTGGGCAGAGCTCTGCTGCTGAGTGAGTTGGTGGCATGTAGCGTCGTGGCCGCTGCGTTCGCCCACATAACTTTTTCTCAGAGCCGGTTCTGATTATATCAAATCAATTATATTATCCTTTTGGAGGCTGCAATCTGCTGCAGGGATGCCCTGGAGTCCTAGGTGCTCTGTCCAGTCGAGGGACTGCAGTTCTAGCGAACATGCTCAAGGCGGCTACACAACTGTCAAGTTGCGCTCTGAAGATGAAGTGATACTGCTGCACTGTGCAGGGACGGCTGCTCTTGAGAACAGGCGGGCAATCGCGAGCGCGTACGATGCGATGGCGGTTGAGGCGTACCTCCGGAGCAGCGGCTGCAGCGCGTCCTACTCCATCCGCCACACAGACACGGCCATCGAGGAGTTCTGGACCGTTGCATGACTGCCAAGGATGATTCAATCCAGAACGCAGAACAGAGTTCCCTTCGCAGCAATGGCAAGCAACCGGTGATTGAAGAGGAGGTGATATGGAGGAGCGCTGTTTGTGTACAGAAAGCAAGAGAATGTTGCAAGTGTGTGTTTGGAATGATGGCTAGGCTGTGAGCTGAGTGTGGCTTGCAGCTGCGTCAGCGTCAATCAGTATGGCTCAATATTGAACCATTGGTGGCACCTTGAGCACTGCCGTGCAAATCAAACGATTTAGCTTAGCTTCTAAATTAGCTACCGTATATAGTCACGGTGACTATAGTTGAAAGCGAAAGATTTCGCGTTTGTTCCTGTAGGTAGGTTAGCAAGGCAAGGCCATCGGCATTCTTGTGTCAGGAGGTGGTAGGTAACGGGAGCATTGTAGTGAGATGCACGAAGAACGAGAAGAAGGAAGGTAATCCATGATCACAGGAAGCTGACAGGAACGCCGCTCAGCGGTGCACCTCCGCCGCTGCGAAACGAACATGCACATCCCGTTTCTTTGCTGATTGCTGATCGGACAGTCAAAGTAGAAACTTTTCTGTGGATGTTGTGATTCATTGTAAGACTTCAAACGTAGGCTTCAGTGCCAGATTAAGGACAGCTTTAGATCTTGACGTTGTACGAGCGAGTTGCAGCTTGCACCCCAGGAAGACACATCGAAAACCTTCCAGGAAAGTGCATCACTCGTATATCACCTTTACAACGCCTTGTACGGACAGAGCGTGTTAGGACCTGATAGGTGCTGAGTATCCTTGAAAGCTAGTACAAGGGCAGTCGCAGAGCGACATATTCCATTGGATTCACTTCTGGCTGAGCGCTTTCAGCCAATTTTAAAAAGATTGCATAGGATCTACAACTCGTGCTACATCGAATTTCTCGAGAAGGCGACCTGGGTTTGGAAGGGCGATGGGCCCTCCCAAGAAGGCAAAGGCGAAGGCCAGCGCGTCTGGCAGCCCCAAAAAGAAGGCCAAGAAGTCAGCAAGAAAGAAGGCAGAACCGATGACGGTGGATGGCGAGCAATCAGAACCGTCCAACCCTGCAGTGTGGCGCCCTGGCCTGGATGAAGTGGGGGAGGATGAGGAGCTCCAGTATGACCCGTCCACCTACGACTGCATGCACACCATGAGCCTCGATTGGCCATGTCTCAGGTGCGTCACACATTCCCAGCACCTCCCCCAATGTCCAAGACAAGCCTTGTCTCTGATTGCCTTGATGGTCTGGTAACACCTTCTTTTGCCAGTGCCCTGCTTTACTCCAGCACTGTCTAGCTCTGTACCCGCAGTCAAAGACAGTGCGCTGCCTGTCTTGTGCAGAATGCACTCTTGCAGTGCCAAGAACCTTCCCCAAGCATCCTGCGCACTGCTCAGCTGCTAAGATGAAGTGAAAATCCATGGGACCAGCAAAACAAGTGTCTTTTGCTCCCTGCAGCTTTGACATTTTGCCGGACGGCTTGGGCGGTCCTCGGAGCGCGTTCCCTCACAGCATCTCAATAGTGGCGGGCACGCAGGCCGCCAACGCGCGGCAGAACTCCATCGCACTCCTAAAGCTTAGCAACTTGGGCCAGGGCAAGCACGGCGAGAAGGTGCGCGCACACCCTCCTTTATTACTACATTCGAATGAATTCTTACACGCTTTTCCTGCCAAGAGGCAAGGTGCGTTTGCAGACAGGCTGCAGGTGAAGGTTGCCACGATCCTAATCCTTGATGGACTCGCCAGATCCAAGCAAGACTCAATCAATAGTGGGCATGGTGCTTAGTATTTGTACCGCCCCCCGCAAGCCGGGGCCGCTTATAATTTCACGTTTTCCTAGATATTTAAGATCTAGGAAAACGTATCCAGTAACATGTGCATGAGACTTCTCCATTCTGTGCGATCATGACACAGCTCCTAGAGACCCGGAGATTTCCCCAGCGAGTATGCACACATCATGACAGAGCGAGCGCAACAAAGGGAGAAAGAAATGCCTTGCACACTGTAATGAAGGAATTTGTGTTAAATTCTCTGTAGACATGGAATGGGGTGGGAAATTTGAAGGTTCCTTTCTAGCAAGATTGAATAGACGCACTTGGTAGGGCGTCTGTCAGCTCGGATACCACAGTTGCATTGTTCAGAAACGGTCTGCAGTGCTCAACTTTCAATGCAGGACGCCCTTCTCCACTCATGATTACAAAGTTGAAGTTGTGAATCTGAAATGCAGGCGCCAAAAGAGGACGACAGCGACGATGACATGAGCGAGAGCGACGAGGATGAGGAGGGCCCCCCGGTGATGCACCTGCGGCAGATCGGGCTCAGCTGTGGGGTCAATCGCGTGCGCGCCATGCCGCAGCAGCCGGGCGTGGTGGCCGCCTGGGGCGACAACGGCCAAGTCTCGGTGAGAGCTGTTCTTCCCTGCGGACATTGTTGTCCATCGACGGCAAATTGATTGACCTTGATCCCCAGTCATCTCGAATTTTGAGGGTTGAAAGGCATCGGACAGGGGGCAATGATGGGATCCATCAATCAAAACAACGCAAGTGGAGGCACCCCTGCAGCGTCAAATAATTTCACAATGGCCACATGCGCCACTAGTTTGAAACAAGCCTGTCTTGTCCAGGCATCTTTGGCACGGCTGTGAGTCTCGCACAAGCTATTCTTCTCCTCAGAGTATTCTCAACGAAAGGATTGAATGGCAGCAATGAATGATTTCAGACACAGCTCCCCACGGTTCCTTTCCATTGCTATAGAAAAGGTCTCTTGCTGTACTATCAAAGACCCTTTTCGTGAGAAACTAGAAAAATATTTTAAATGGTTGCATTGAATGGCCTGCAACAGAATTGAATTTCTTTCTTGCCCCCCTGCCTTGTGCAGATCTGGGATATGGGCATGCAGCTGAACGAAGTGACGGCTGCTGACGATGAGCGCGCGCAGCGGGGCAAGCCGCAGAGGCAGGAGCCGCGCCATGTGCACCGCCACAGCAGTGAGTGTCTAGGCTCTGGTCCACCCACAACCAGTCTACAATGCGAGCATGCTTGAAGGAGAGACTGGCGGATGTAAATCGAGTTGAGAGTTGCAAGGGTGTTGACTCGGCAAAAGCGTTTACTATGGCTGCATAGCATTGCAAATGATGAAACCTTCGGCCCCATCCAGCCCATCCTCAAGTGGTCAACTATTGGGGAGGTTCGCATGCGGATCAGTTTAGGATGCCCAATCCCAGCGAAATGCTCACCAAAGTCTGTCAGTAATCTGTAGCCTGCCCATATCCAAATTGAAATGTCGCAACTGATGCTGGGCAGTGCAGAGCACCAGCAAGTTCACATAGTGATGAAGGGTCACATATTAAGACATTCCTAACGGGATATAGGCCATGTGCGTCCCACTCTAGTTGCTCCATGGGTGGGTCAGAGCAGACAGCAGGATCAAATGAAAGATTACGACCTTCCTGTAGGGCAAAAGTTCATTTTGGTACCCTGTCCACGGACAACCGAGGGGAAGATGAATTACGTGAAGATCCACCATCATTGAATTTTGCGTCGAAAGACGCTGTTAATGCGGCAGGCAGACGGCACCTGTTCTGAGAACAATACGCGACAGCTCGTGCCTGCAGACAGTGAAGGATCGCTTGCGCGCAGGGTAGGGTTTATAAGTTGAGGGATGTGCTGCAGGCGAGGGGTTTGCGCTGGACTGGTCGCGCGCGGCGGCCGGGCGGCTGGCGTCGGGGGACTGCCGGAAGGGGATCCACGTCTGGGACGCCAATGAGAAGGGCAACTGGAGCGTCAGCGGCCGCTACCAGGCAAGCATTCTCCCCTTATCAATCCGCTTTGCCCGGCATGTTGGGAGGTTCAAGGGATTGTTGCTGGTATGGCGATAGGGGTTGTTGTCAAAGGGTGCGTATTTCTGAGGGAGTGTGGATCTGGGTGGGCTCCTCTGAAACCAACCTTTCGTGCCAAATGATGGTGTCTGTTAATTTCCAAGATTTAGTGTGCACACCCTGCCAACCAGAATTGCTCTGGGCACGTTACAAGTATATTCTGAGAAAGCGAGTTTGTGAACGACAGGGGCATGAGGACTCGGTGGAGGACATACAGTGGAGTCCAGTGGAGGGAACGGTGTTTGCCTCCTGCTCTGTGGACAAGACCATCCGCATCTGGGACACCAGGTGCGGATTTGCCTGGCAGAAATCCTTGCTTGAGCTGATATTTAGTACGCCCAATACCGAAGGGGTGCAAACGGAGGGGTGCCCCAATGTCTTATGGCCTGCCCAAATTCCAAATCTATAAACACAGACAGAGGTTTTGAGTTGAACATTGACGCAAGGAAGCATTGCCCTCCCAATCCCCATCTGCGTACCACACTAGTTCAGCTTATATACATATTGGGAGCCACGGCAAAAAAGATTTGAGTGAACAATCTCTGTTTCAGCAGCGGCTCGCCCGCTGGGACGTTGCTGAAACCATCAGGAATGTCCTCTGACAAACTCTATGCGTAAGTTTGGCCGGAAAGCAGAAAATCAGACGCCCTGGCGATATAAAGATTACAGGCTTGCAGACGCGGGGCATTCACCCGCTGAGGGCCACAGGATTTCAGATGGATATTCCCGTAAATGAGTAATCAGAGAGTAATCTCTTAGTAGTCTTACTCACCAGCTACCGGGTGGCTGCCAGGGGAAAGCCGACGCCGCAGCTTTCAGTGGTGGCGCACGCGGCGGATGTGAATGTCATTTCCTGGAGCGCGCAGTCGACCTTCATGCTGGCGTCCGGCGGCGACGACGGCGCGCTGCGAGTGTGGGATCTGCGCATGTTCGGCCGAGACGCCGCTGCCAATGAGGCCAGCTTCGTGGCCAACTTCACCTATCACAGGTGACCTCAGTGGCTGCACCCTGCCCTACTCTCAAGCAGAAGGGCGAACAGGGATTAGTAATGGCCACTGGTGGTGCAGCGCAGGTTTTTCTGACCATTAGCACAATGTCAGCTCGAACCTTCGTATTTGTCTGGAAATTCCTTGGGCTCACCGGCGTATCAGTGCAGGGCCATCCATCCGGCTGCCTTTCCGGGGATATGCTTGTTCTGCGAAAGAGCGGTCCTGGATGGATCCTCTTGCTTCTGTTCACTCGAGCCCTGTCACCCCGTTCACAGCAGGGTTGCCAGCCAAAATTGCTGCAGAATGTTTGACAACTTCACAAGAACCTCCTTCTTTCCACGCAGGGGCCCGGTCACATCAGTGGAATGGTGCCCGGCAGAGGCGACGATGCTCGCCACGTCATCAGCAGACGGCCAGCTGGCAGTGTGGGATCTTGCAGTTGAACGGGATCCTGAAGAGGAGGCTGCACTGGCCGCTCACATGAATGCTGCATCTCCAGAGGACCTGCCTGCGCAGCTGCTCTTTGTGCACCTCAGCCAGGTGGGCTTCGACCCCTTCCAAGGAATGTGGCTCGCCCTTGAAAGCCGGAAATCTGCCAAGGGGCTGAAGTAGCTCTTCCCGCATCTCTGCCAAGTGGCATTCTTTTAAGCATTAACTTAAAAATTAATGAATTAATGTTTAAATTGACATTGCGGCTCCTGAAATGCTGGGTGATGAAGGGGTAATGAAAGCACAGCAAGATAGCCCTTTTCGCATGTCCGACCGGTGGGAATCTGCTTGTGAAAGGATGTGGCATGCCATGATGCTTTGACGTTGCAGGGGTTCCACTAACGGTCAAAAGCTGCACATTTGTGAAGGGGAGAAGGAAGGATACAACTTACTGACCTACGGCGGGCATGCTTGTGTGTCCAAACAGCAAGGCCAGACAATGCTTGAAGAAATGTGCATCACTGACAAGCTGAATAGCTGCTGCTGTGATTTGTGCGCAGGGTGAGATCAAGGAGGCTCATTGGCACCCGCAGATCCCTGGCATGCTCGTCACCACGGCCGCCGATGGATTCACCATCTTCAAGCCTTCCAACGTCCCCTGAGTACAATGCGCAGAGCTGGCAAATTGTCAAGGATCTTTGAATTGCCTGGGTGTTGTGAGAGGCAGAGCCCTAACACATTTAGCAGACCTCAAATGATTTAAGTGGGTTTGACGTGATGCCTGAACTGGAGCATGCACGGTGCACGTACATTGGCCTCAGTGCTAGCAAGTTGACTTTTGCGAGGTCACATACAACGGGTGTGTGGGGAGCATGCTGGCATGAATCAATTGCCGGTTCCTGTTTTAGGCTATATAGCAAAGATGTCAACCTGTCTACAGGAAAATGTGGCTGTTACTGTAATGCACCCTTGAAATGTGCCCCCTTGAAATGTGCCCATATCATTATGTGAGGCTGACCAGCGCTGCCATGTAATGTCAGTTCGTACAGAGCGAACGCATGCCAAAGCCGTGCCTCGGCGGACAGCGCCGACCTCAGCAGGCCGAAGCACGCGTCCATGGAGGGTGTATTCTTTTGAAAGGATTCTGCAAAACAGTTTCAAGCATGAATTCAGCTTCGAATCTGTTAGCAGACCACACATGCCGCCTTTATCTTGAGCCACAAATCACCCCCATCCAGACTAAGCATGAGCGCATCGTTCTTTCTTCTTTCATGCACCACAGTCACCATCATGGTCATGATGACAATGACCAGAAATGCACAGGTTCCATCTTAGAGCAAGATCAAAATCATAGTTGCACAGTACGGATACGTGTATCAGGACGGATACGCGTACTTGCACGTCCGAGACGCGTCCCACAAAAGTTGGGCACCCAATACGTCTAGAAAACGGCACGTGCGCCTATGTAGGCAACATGCATGCAAGCATGTTTTGGGCAGTATGCATTCATTGGAAGCCTTGGGAAGTGTGCATAGACCTCTTTCTTGAACAGTCTGGACTTTTCAAAGCATTTAAAATCAGGGGGAATGGTCCCAGAGCTAACCGCACGTGAAAGTATGGCCTGCTGAAGGTACACCGTAGCAGATCGTGACTTTTGCAACTGAAATACGAAGGTGTTCCCTACTCCGAGACGCGCAGGGAACGCCTGCATCCACGGGAGATAATGCGGGTCTCATGTATGAAATCTTAGATTTCAAATCTATGTGTGACATATAGTAGTACTATAATAGTACCCTTCAAGGGGTCCCCTTGTCGTCTGCAAGAATCCCGAAGGTGCAATAAGCCTGATGCAAAACACATGAGGCACAGCGAAGTGGCGCCAGAGCTGCTGCACTGGCCAATGGCAAGAAGTGGGTGAGCCATTCCCTACCTCAAATTGCTGGTTAGGACCTCGTACTCAAATCAACACTGCCACGTCTGCTGTGAGATGCCTTGAGTGGAGGGCATCCTGCGTGTCGTGCAGATTTTTCACGACGCAAAGCCTTTACAGTACTCCCTCTTGCAGTGGTTTTCTACAAAAGAGCCAATCTGCCCAACTGAGCCTGTTGTCGACATTTTCTTGTGCAGGCCCTCGTGCAGAGCACGTCGGGCCACTCCAAAGGCTTCGATACACCTTCTTTGCGTGTTGGCACTTCACGTGGCATGCAATGCTGGTGAGAATTTTACCCGACTGCAGGTCCTTGAGAGTGTTCATCCTCAACTCAATTTTGTCCGAGGCTTGTCAAAGTCCCTCGCTTGCTGAGATCGTGTCTAAGTTGTGGAAGTGAATAAATCACGTAGACTTCAGTACTCCAGAATGAGTTGCAGGTGCCCCTTTCCCACCGGATGACACACCGCATGACGATCCCGCTTCGACCACGCTGGGCACGTTGTTGCCAGGTCTGGGAGGTGAGTGCTGCTGGCTGGCAATAAAATAACCTTGCTCACTCTCAATTATATTAGAAGTGCTGATGCATGTGGCGCAAGGGCATATAGCAACACAGGTATTTCGTGATCCTATTGAAGCCGTGTTTTGGTGTTAGCAATGCAGATTCTCTTTCACTCCTTGTGAGTGCTTGCAGGCAAGATCGCACAGCTCACTGTTATCTTACGGCATGAACGCACTATAGGCATGTTAAGATGCATGGCAAACTGGCAAGGAAGCTAGAGCGCAACTACCTTTTCTAATCAAGACGTTCTCCATGCAGGATCGTTCCAAAAGTTTTTCAATGTTAGGCTCCCCAGCAGGGGCGTCGACAGTTTTCTTCCCGCCAGCAAGGGCGAGGTCCAGAGAGTTCAAAGCGAGGTTCAAAGCGAGAATGATCAACAGAATATGATCATCAACCAACAGACCTTGGTTATCAACCAACAGAATTTGACCATCAACCAATTGGTCGAGCAAATTAATGCACTGACCCCGGTAAGTTGGTGTGCCTTAGCTGCATGGTGCCACAACACAATGCTGTTGTTTAAGAGACTTATGCAGGTATATTCTTGCGCAGGGTTTCAACGGCACCGATGGAGCAAACGGTGTGTCATTTTGGCATTGAAGAGGAAAACACGCTTCTTAGTGTTTGCTGCATTTATCAACATTTCGTCAATAGCGTAATCTATGGAGCTGAAGGTAAAATATTCCATAAGCATAGGCATACTAATGAACACCTTTGCATTTCAGGAGAGACTGGACCCACCGGCCCTTCAGGTGTGTCCTGCCATTTCATATGTTGCAGCATCCTGCACTGCTAATTTTCTAATATTCCCTGTAATTGCAACAGGCTCACATCACATGCTTCATCTTGCACGCTTCTCTTCACAGTGCACCTCACAGTCTGTCCAAACTGCAGGGTTCACAGGATCAACCGGAGCCATAGGTTTCACCGGAGACATAGGCTCTACAGGTGCGTCCTGCCATCTGACATGCTCCCTCATCTTGCACATGCGAATCCTTTGCATGTGCAAGAAGCTCACATCCCATGGGTTATCCTGATGTGTTGCATGGTTGCTATCACAGTGCACTCCACAGCCTCCTGGACCTGCAGGGTTCACAGGATCAACCGGAGCCACAGGATTCACTGGAGACACAGGCCCTACAGGTGTGTCCTGCCATCTGACATGTTGCTTCAATCTGCACATGCCAATCCTGCATTTGCAGAGCCTCAAACTGCACTAGTTTAACCTATGTGTTGCAAAGTTGCTATCACGATGCAGCTCACAGCCTCCTGGACCTGCAGGCTTCATTGGAGCCACAGGTGTCACTGGAGACACAGGCTCCACAGGTGTGTTCTGCCATCTGACATGCTGAAGCTGCCTAATCCTCCATCCACCAGTCCGCTGCATCACAACAGACTCACATTGACAATTCATCCCCCATGCGTTGCATATGGCATCACAATGCAGCTGACAGCCTCATGTATTCTATAGGCCCCACCGGAGCCACAGGGTTCACCGGAGACACCGGCCCGACAGGTTTGTTTTCTCTCTACAGGTGCTGCCTCATCCTGCATTTGTCATTCCTCTGCATCTGCAGCATGTTTGCTTTGATATGTAGCACTGTTGCCACCAAAATGCAGCTGACAGCCTCTCGGATACTGCAGGGTCCACTGGAGACACAGGCCCGACAGGTGTGTTCTGCTTGGTTCACAACCAATCTTCTTCTGCACTTCCCCCTTCAGCAAGAGGCTCACATTGGCATGTTTCTTCTGATGCGTCTCAAAGCTGACATCCTCATGGACGCTGCAGGTGCCACAGGCTTCACTGGAGCAACAGGTTTCACCGGACCCACAGGCCCGACTGGTGTGTCTTCCCTAGCACATGCTGCCTCATCCTGCACCTGCCGGACATCTGCATGTGCAACAGGATCGCATCAGCACACTCGATGGAATGTGTACTAGAGCCATCACAGCAGCTCAATAACTTTGTGGATCTTGTAGGTCCCACTGGAGCTGTGTTGGTGGCAGGCTTCACTTTTTCAAATGGTCCCCAAGTAAGGCTACCTGTCACTTTGCTTCTTTCAGCATGCAAGTGACCACCCTTGTGCGTACCCCAAGTGCATGATTGAAGAAATTCTACACCAGAAACTCCTGTCGTTCTCAACTTTTGCATGATTCACCACGTGCCTTTGCACAGTGCAGAGCTGAGGCACACCTATGCCCCATACAGACATTTGTGCATGGTGCTCGTGTTTAAATTGCAGCTGTTTGTTCTCCCACCTTCTTACGATGTGACACAAGCAAGTTTGCATGCATGTATAGACCCGACATGGGGGCATGATGGACAAGGGAGCATGCTTTTGTAAGAAAGGAACAACGCCGACAACGCCCACGCGCTTTTGTGCCCCATGCAGACGTTCACCGCACTCTCAAGTGGCAACTATTTCTTTAAAGTGGCGGGCGGGCAAGGTGGAACAACATCAGGGGAAAGCCTGGGAGGCCTGGGAGCTACAGTCACAGCCACCGCGTCCCTGCAACAGGGAGTCCCTGTCACCATCATCGTGGCGGGCCAGGGTGACTCCGGCGGCAACTACTTTAATGCACCAGGCGCGGGTGGCGGGGGCCTTAGTGCTGTCTACACCAACGGTCAAGCTGCACCAACAATTGTAGCAGGTACATTGTCTCTATTTTACACGGCTATCATACGGTGTCGTACTGGAATCTCATGAACGCCATCACCTCGAATGCAAAAGTGCTCTTCACAGGCAAGACTTCCAACACATCACCCTAGCTAGGGTAACACCCTACAGTAGTACTAGTACCCTATAGATCAGGTCTGTAGCAACCCGATTTGTTGACATCCCAGCTCTTCTCTAGGCGGCGGTGGTGGTGGCAGTGGCTACCAAATTTTTGGACTTGTACCCGGACAGTCTTCAGTGGCATGCAGTGCTGCAAATGCATCGCCAGCTGGTGGAGCTGGCGGCGGGAGTGGAGCTGGCACGGGGACACCAGGGCAAGGAGGTGCAAGACCTTCTTTCTCGCCAATCCTGTGCCATGAGGCTCTGCATCCTTGGCCAGCATGCTTGCAGACTGCAACCCATGCATTTGAAAGGATGATATGTGGTGTACACGTCCTTGGTCTTGATCCAGACTTCTTCATGTTTTACTGGCAACTTCACACTGAAACATGTGGTCACAGCCATATTGTGTCAGATGCCCAACCCGACCACATACTCTCCTTCATGGTGTGTAGGAAATGGTGATGGTGGAAGCGGGGGAGGTGGGGCAACCGTGGGCAATGCAACAACAAGCACATACATCGGTGGCACTGGAAGTACCTCTAGTGCCGGCACAGAAGTTTCAAAATATGGGGGGGTGAGTCTCATGAAGGCTTTGCAATTGCATACTGTACACTACAGCTGCTCTCATTGTGTTGCACTGCACAAGCACAACATCACATGCTTGCCCGTCTGTAGGATGGTGGATATGGTGGCGGCGGCGGGGGTGGCAGTGGTGCTGGCTTCAATGGTGGTACGTGTACAGCCTGTACTGAGTATGCAATCGTGGAGCCTTCAGGAGACTACCCCTGCATTAGCGCCATATACAACTCAATTCCTCCAATATCTTTGTCTTTGTTTTTTCGGCATATAATTGTATTGTTGCAACTTTGACGGTGCACCTCATCTCCATGAGGCGCTGCAACCTTCCCTTTCATTTGCAGGTCGGCATCAATGATACATATCATATCATATCATATATATATCTACCCACATTGGCCGGCTAATCAGGGTGCATAGCTGTGTTGTTGTAGGCGGTGGAGGCGGTGCAGGCTATGTAGGTGGCGCGGGCGCAAGCAATGGACAGCCTCCTGGCAACGCCGGTGCTGGGTCCTCCTATCTTGCTGCGTCCGTCAACGGCAACTGCGCAGGGCTGGCCGGAAACTCAGGCAACGGCTACGTCAACGTGTATGAGTTCCCGTGAGTACCCAAACGCACGCCACAGCACTGCCGCAGTTTTCACATGGTAAAGCAGCATGCTATCTGGTTCACAACCATTGTAGGCCGGCTGTTGGCTGCAAAATCTGATCAAAATTTTCAAGTGCATTCGTGTGAGGGTGACAGGCAACATCTGAGCAGCGCTAGCCACAATTACCTCATCGAGGGTTTGGGCCAGATCTTACGGGAGTGGCACTAAAAAAGATACTGCAGTCTGTTGATGCTACTCTATATGTGTATGGATCGTGACTCTGCCATATATATAGGTTGCTGTGCAACACATGCTCAGAGTCATCATCACACTAGTACCACAGGCATACCTTAGAACGAGAGAGTGTGAGAGGTGGGGAAAGGTGAGCCTCAGTGTGATTGAGACTCTCAGTTTAAGAGCAATGAACATCCTGCGTTTTAATTTTGTACTACTAGTACTTGCTTGTGCAAACAATTGTCCACAATTTATGGTTAAAATGGAAAGACAGTATGCACTATATATAGATAAATACTACTTATTTAGTAAATGCCTTTATTTCTGACTGAACACTTTGTAGAACCCTTAATATATGCTAATTTGCTTTGGCACTTGTTGATGACCACTTTGTTCCGTGTATACATATCATATAACAGTGCATGGTGCATATCATTAGCAACCTTAGTCCACCTCTGGCACTGTCCTGCTAAGGTATGAAGCCAAGCTAAGCCCGCACTAATGCCACAACGCGTTGTTAACTGTGTGACATGTACCTGAGTTCCCCCTTGGTAGTAAACAGGGTTTGACCAAGGGCCCACCAAGACCTTGGTGCAACTAAGACACCCAATTCCCTACTATCAGAAATTCCTACTAGTGAGGGTCAATGTCGGCATAATCAAAGCCAAAGGCCATGGACATGTTTTTCGCCACACCGTGGGGCCCTACTAGTATTCTTCAGCCCAATAGAATTGTACTGGTAGGTGTATTGTATTAGAGCTGGCTGTGCCGGCCGGGCCTGCGGGCGCCCCTACTTGATATTCTAAGAGTGAGGCGAACTAAATCTTGTCTGCCATCATGGCATGATACTGGGATGCATAAGTCTATAGTACTAGCTAGTTGCAAGCCAGGTCTGAAGTGCAATGTGAAGTATCGCTAACAACATTACTTATCTCAGCACCCTGCTTACGGTACATATTACGTTGTCTTAGAAGATGATGGTTCATCAGAACTTTGATGTGGTGTTACAAAAGCATGCTCTGGCATTGCTTGACCTGCACCGTGCAGGTGGCACTGGGGGAACCCCTGGGGGACCAGGGTTTCCATGCCCTACAAGGAAGATCAGGGGACCCAATTAGTGACCCCGCATCCCCGGAAGTACTCGCTGCAATGCACAGTCATCGTCACATGACAAAGCACAGGCTCATGTCTCAGATCCTTGACAGCATCCTGGATGTGATCCACACACGAGTTATTCCGTCGTGGCTGTGAACCTTAATCTCCTATATCGTAGTGCAGAATTGTCCTTTGGGAGCAATCGTTGTGTTAGATCACCTTGTTGCGCTGCTGGCTTTGTTCGCTAGTGAAGGCAGTGAAAGATCGATCGATTCATGGGAGACAATCATAAGGATCATCGCCCCACGCACGGCTGGTCCCAGGTTGAGGAACTGCGGAAGATGGAGGAGATGGCCAAGAAGGCCCCTGAGCCCTTCACAGTGCCAGAGGGATACAGCCCGCCATCGATGAAGGAGCTCTGGCAATACGTAAGGATTTCCAAATGTATATCTCGAGACACGCAACAAGTCATCTACTTGACCGTCTTGGGGTTCTTCTGCGTTTCCATCCTTTCGACGACGGTGCCTCCAGCTGCGCAGCTGGTGCAGCAGCAATGGAAAGATATATTCAATAAATTCTGCATCTGGAAGACCTACTTGCCTTGGTGAGATTTTAGGTGCTTGTCTTGTGCAGGCCCAGAGACGGCATCCCTACAGCAGATATGGCTACGCTCTAGTGTTTGTCGTGGGCCTTGGAGCCTATGCAGCAATTGCACTTGACAAGGTGGGCTCTGTACACAAGGCCAGCGTGAAGGACAGGCCTGCATGAAGTGCAATTGCACCCAAGATGATTGAAGCGAAGAAGGTTACAGGTAAAAAAATTATGGTGGCAAGTGGCCTACTCCGACCGAGATCAGGCAATTCACCTACAGTTTAGGACACAACAGACGAAGTGCGTCACTGGCAAGAGCGGACAGGTGTGTCTGGCTAGGTCTGTTGAAAACACTCAGGTGAGTCAGGGTAAGGCACAAGACAAATCAACAGGCAGACAGCAATGCCTGCAAACAACACGCGGTGACGAGATGAGATCACCTCGATGTACAGCAACCAACGAAACAAGGATGCAGGACTCCGAGCCTGGGAGCAAAGTGTGTGTGCGCCGTGAATCAGTTGGAGAGCAGCAGACAGTGGCTATGTGAGAGATGACCTTGATGCTGTTGGGCATGCATATGCATATGACTGGTGGAGGAAGTGCAAGAATCGAGAAGACTGGAGAGCAATAATTCAGGTGTTGCCTGACGTACCTAATCCTTGAGGTCTGGAAAATATGTAATAATAATAATAATAATAATAATAATAATAATAATAATAATAATACTAATACTAATAATAACAATAATAATAATCTGCCCATGCATGTAGCCTGTGTGTAAACCGACACCATAATATTACTAATTACATTTCATTACTCACTGGATCACTGAGACAGCAACTCTGTATGTACTACATAACATGTTTGTGCACATGCATTCGAATGAGTTCATGCACGTGCACGCATGGACTTTGACTTTATCTCGCGACTGTCTTCACTGCAGTCCCGTCCTCGCTCGCTAACCTGGCATTCACTATAAAGTTGCAAATCAATGTGTGGGATCCCTTTGTGATCCTTTGAGGACCAAAGGCCTCAATGCACATGCACAGCAAGTGCTCCGAGTGGGCACAAGATGCGCACTTGGCACCAGGCATGCAAATGCCATGGCAAATATCCAGAATTCCAGTGTCACAATGCTGATGTCCACGACTCACCAGCTGCAAGCTCACAGTGCACACAGGGTACAGGCTCTCGATCAAAGAACTCAATCTCTCCCCCGCCCCATAAGAATGCCCTTGCTCACTGCTTCGCAGTAACATTTCAGTGACAATCCAGAAACAAAAGAAATTTGCTGCTACTGTACAGAGAGTCAAGTCTCAGCCCCCACAGAGGGGCCTTATAAAATATAAATCCTCCAGAATGTTCACTCCCCCTCCTCGTCTACAGAGTCATCCTTGGACCCAAAGATGGACCGCTGCCAGCGAGCCAGCTGCAGCACCGGATCCAGTTTTAGATCGCGCACGGGGCGGCCCGTAATTATGTCAACGCCCCCAAACCGGTCCGCCGCCCCCGCGCGCTCCAGCCGTGCGCTGTCCGACGATGACTCGTTGTTTGCGGCCTTAGTAAGCGCCGCCTGTTCTGGCGCCACTGCGCCTGATCTCGCGTCCTCCCCCAAGCCTGGCGGCAGTAGAAAAAAGACAATCAATTCCCAGAACAACAACAGCATTGTGTTGTTTAAAGTAATTTACATTATGCGAGTCACTGCTCATGCTCAGGCAGCTGCAAATAGCAGATCAGAGCTCCCTATTCAAGACGCTGACATTGCGCATCTACATGTGTAAAGGAGCGCTCGCGCTCGATCAGAAACCAGATGCACAGTTTTTATCCTAGTTTGCTGCAGCTGTTCCTGGCAGGCATTTACTCAGTAAAGAAATACTACATGCAGAACATCAAATCAGAACAGGAGCAGGATGGAGCTGCATAAGGGAGCTGCCTCACAAGCTATCACTCAGTGGTAACAAAAGCATTGCGATGGACACCAGGAAGAGAAGTTCACCAGAGCCGAGCGGCGGCATGAGCGGATCGGCGGCCGGGATCGGAGATCTGACGCCGTTCTGTGCTGCGCGCATTCTGCGCTCGGCCGCATCTCTCGCGGCCAGCAGCTCTTCCACCGATGCGCCATTGCCCATGCCCAGCTGCATGCACGCCAGCAACCGTGATTGCGATATGCAAATTTATGAGCTGTGTATCGCATACTGTAGATGAGATTCAGATACCATAAATCAGCCTGGTGGGATCGTGAGAATCTTCTGTGAAGTGTCGTATGCCCCACCAAGCATGCATGCATGCGAGACCCAGAATTGTGCAATCCAATTCTTCGGAAGAGTCCTCCTCCCAGCATCTGCGCCGTTCACATGTGGATGTGTCCTCGTAGACATGAGTCACAGCACTCGTTTTGCAGCTGCTGACAACCGTCTCATGCATGATGACTGGCATGAAAGGCATGGTGTGCATTGCAGCCACCTCTCATTGAAGACTCCTGCTGCCACTCAGGTACGAGATCACAGTGAGGGGCTGAATGGAAGATTGCTTTCATTGAATGATGAGCCCATCACGCCCCTGTGGCTGTCCACTAAGTCCCAAAGGGAAGGAAAACAAATGATGTGATTCCCTGATCACTTCCAAAACGACAGGAAGTTGCAAGCGCGTACCCGCGTGAAGGGATTGACTCGGTCCACCCAGGAGCGCGATGCCTTGGAGCCTGGCACAGACCGCAGCAGCTGCAGCAGCCGCTCGTAGCCGGGCCGCACTCTTTCCACTCCTGCCAACAGCGCTCCCTGCCCATTCGCCCATATGAAGTGCACCTGCGCGCATGCAACCGATTGACATTCCATCAGCCTCCGTGCTCTGCATCAAATCAATGGGCATTTCCAGTCAGAGACCCCTCTTGTTTCTGGACTGCACGACATGGCAGACATGCGAGGAAAAGCTTTGCTCGGCATGACAAGTGGCCTCACAACAAATCTGAACTCTTTCAGGTGCATGCTCTGCTTTGGAGCTTCTCATGATCCGTTGCCATGCATACCCCCAAAACTTCCCTCAAACACGGCAAGAACAAGAGACCTCATTTGCCTTCACACCTTGATTCCTAACTTCAACGACCCTTGACCTTGAGATTCAACATGGAAGAAAAGAAAAAAAGAAACATGAGTAATTGCAAGAATAAGGAAAGGAGGCGCGCCTGCCAGTCCCCCGGGAAGCATCGGAAGAGGCGCACGTCGTCGCCCATTATGCGCAGCCGCTTAGTTACCGCCGCGTCCTCAAAGCTGCCCACAAAATCCTCCGCCTCCTGCTTGCTCCGCCCAAACCTGCACCGCAGCGCAAAATTTCCCAAGGACCTGAGATTAAGAGCCCGAGCTGACCCGATCAATGGATTGATGTGTCTACAATACACTACTGGTGCTTGTTAGACATGCCACACATGCATAAAATTCTACACCAGGAATACCGCTGTGTGGTGGGGAGAAACAGGAACAGCGTGATGTAATGGCAGCAAATGGTAGGGCAGGTCAGTGAATACGGGGCCACAAGTTGAAAGCTGCGGCGCAGCGTGACCCATGCTTCCTATGTCTCACGTTGTCTATTGGAAATCAATGAGGCTGAAGCCTTGGAGGTGCCTGTTTGGGCAGCACGGCCATTCTGCTAGAAGCAGCGCAAGGTGAGGAGGTGGATGCTTAATCTGAAAGGCTTGAATCAGATCCCCTACCGACACGGGAAATAATGAAAACGCATGACTCACCAGCACCGGCGCCAACACAACGGAACACGCGATAGAACACAAGAAAGAGGGGCAGAAAAGAAGAGAGCGCACCCAAAGTCTGACACGATCTGGCCGTCGGTCTGCCATTGCGGGTTGAAGACTAGGATCAGCCGCCGGCCGCCGCGATCCGCATCGATCTCTCTCAGCGCATCCAAAGAGTCGGCTGTGGGGAGCACCACGGCCGCCAGAGAGTCGCTCTGCCACGCTCCCACGCAGTCGGACTCATCCAGCCAGCGCGCCTCCAACCGGCCCTGTATCATGATCATTTATTCATGCATGCCAGACTCTTGCACAAAAAGGGCCTCCTTGCTGCAAGAAGCATGCCTTATGGAGAAGATCAGGCCAAGTGCACAGAAAAAAGATGCTTCTTGACAGGGTAAAATTAGAGAAAGGGCTGCATCGACACCTTGATACAGGCCTTTGGAGCAGGAATCTTGGCAGACCCAACCCTTTGGCTGAACAGGGTGCTTTAGAAGGCGCTGAATCTGTAAGACTGTGCATCCGAATATTTGCCTGGCAGATTTCCAATGACACGGCTGGCACGTTCTCCCTAAATCCGCTGCGCGTGTTCTAGGTACGCTGTGACGCATTTGTACAGAGTGAACACAGGAGGATTGGGGAGGGGGCGCACCCTGAACTCAGGCCGCTGCTTGAGCTGCATGAGCGTGGCCTCGACCATGGACCGTACCGCCGCAAATTGCTGCTTCACGCCCCCGGGCCAGCCGCCACCGTCAAACGGCGATGCCCCGTCCTCAGGGAGCAATAGCTCCACCCGCTGCCGCCGCTTGCCTGCGCAGGATACACTCTTCCTTAACTGTTATTATCATCTTTCTTGTCCACCAGGATCAGGTGCGCTACAGCAGCATTTCTATGACAGCCTCTCAACCTTCCCTATCTTTGGCCAACCCAAGTCTCGTGTAAGTAAAATCGGAGGTCCAGGAATTTGTGACAAAATCATTCCAGGACCTCCCAATTTGCTTCTAGCAGCCATGGCTTGATTTGTCTACGCATGTGCTGCACACTAATATTTCACTCAAGCTCACTGCAATAATCCTGGAATCCAAAGATCCACTCGCAGAAGCATCCAGAAGAAACCGTGAGAGCTGACAATGTTAAGTCTGATTGGCAAGTGGGCTCATTGAAGTAGGCAACACAGTTATTGCCAAAGTTGCATGATTTAGCAAATTTCTACGGAATAAGTAGCATCAGAATGGGGCGCTCACCTGCGGCCCATGCGCGCAGGATACCCTCCACGGCGCCTTGCACCGCCTCCTCACGAGTCATCGGCAGAGGGAACACCACCGGCGGCGCCTTGGCCGCCACCTGCGCGAGGCTCAGTCAGTTTTACTGACACTGACCAAAGACTACTCGTGATGACTAAGTGATGCAAATATCACACGCTGCTTGAGGCAAGAAGCACACGTGCAGACAGCTGCAGGTTTGGGCTGACACCCATCCTGCCCCTTGATGGACCCGCCAGATCCAAGCAAGATCCAAGCAGCTATTGCTCATTGTGTTCACTGACCCTTTACACTCTGAGAAGTACAACATTTGCGCAGGACAAGTAGACAAGCTCTGCAGAAGACATCCACTGCAACGGTAGGCAGGGTCAAAATGCCAAACCTGCTTCAGCGCCGTCTTGGCTCCAGAGGCGTTCCTGGCCGGCGCTGTCTTCGGCTGCGTTGCCTGCCTGCTAGCCTCTCCGGGTGCATTCTTCTTTGTGGTTGCCTCTCTGGCGCTCAACTCTGCTGCAGGTGCCTGTGTCGCCGGATCTGGTTGTGTTGCACCTGCAAGCATGGAGGGAAGAGACATGCTCATGCTGGAGGAAGCATCCACCTTGCATGGCATCCTTCGGTACAGACACTTGCAGCTTTGTCAGACCGTCAACGCTCACAGGAGGCAGTCTGGTGCACGTTTGTACAAGCTTGCAAACCCAACAGCATGAGTAATGTCTCCTCTGACGCACATTGCTGTCACATGATCCCAAAAGGTGCATTGTTTGCCAGTTGAAATATTTCATGTATATAAATGCTTGCACTAGCAAAACATTATACCGTTTGTAGAGGGTGCATGGAGCGTTTCTGATACATTCTCCAGCTCTTTCTCCTGCTGCAGATCTGCTCTCCGCTCCTCCACGGCTGCAGGAAGAGGTTGAGCAGCAACCGGCTGACTGGACGCTGATTCAGCCCCAATTTCTACCAGATCGGGCACCTGCAGAAAAATGTTCCTTCATATACAGTTGGAATCCTGTCCTACGAGCATGCGAATCCGTGCAAGTAAGAGACTATGACAGGGTCCAAAAACGCGCACTCAATTATTCAGCTCAACCACCAACATGTGCCTCTCCAATCTGCCTTTACAGCTATGCATGCTGTAAAATTGTGCCCATCCCACAGGTCATCTGATCAAGAAAGGCCAGGACAAGATGACTGCACCTCCTCAGCTTCATCGTCGGGGGCGGCCGGCTGCTCTGAAGAAGTTTCCTCGTAGTCATCCCGGGGGAAGTTAGTCACCGCTTTGTCACCCCGAAACTGCAGCGCCGCCTGGTCGTACGCCCTGGCCGCCTCCTCAGGGTCGTCAAAAAATCCCACGCACTGCACCTGTTTAGGCCAGGGTCCACTTTCAATTTCGTATTTTCTATTTAAATTAGAATTCTGCCCTCTAATGCTAGTGATATTGTCAGAATTTTCATTGGGCGCAGCAGCATGCTTGCACATCTCCGGACACATGAACAAATGTTTGTATCTGATCAAGGGCCGAGCGTCCAAACCACCAAAAGAACAAGACGTGCTACTTCACCTGGAACGTATCTCTGTTCCATGTCATAGGAACGGCCTCAGTTGGGTTTACATGGGCAATGGCTGGTAGAATGCAGTCAAAGAACAGGAAAAATATTGCCCAGATGAGAGCCCACACGAGCCCAAGACATGGCAGGCTCGGGCTCAGCGCTCCTACATCAAAACCTTCAATAAAGGGTGCATAGATTTGATTTGAGAGAACCAAAGAACATTTCAAAACCCACCTTGTTGCCATCCCAGGCTTGTGCGCGCCAGCACCCGTTGCTGGCAGCCCATGTGACGCCTCTGAAGACCGGCCCACCCTCCGGCCGAGGATACATCGTCGCCTTGGGCCGCTTGGCAGCGGGCGCCTACACATCGAGGAAACTGCTGAAAATTGGCAGCCTTGCAAAGGAAGGCACAGCCAATTGAACATGAGCCCAGTCTCCACATGGCTGCGAGGGAGTAGCCATGCAGACGATTGCTTCACAATTCCAGGAGTCAGAGAGAGACATGTGGCATCCATGACCCCACAGCTTGCCCGGACATGGACGTGTGAGCGAAAGGATTTGGCCGGGACAATGTGAATGCACACATGCATCAGCTAACGTGCTGCTGTGAGTGAGTAGAGGCCGCCTGTCAACCTCGCAGTCTGACAGCACCTAACAGCCATGTCTGGGCATCTGAAAGTGCGACAGGGATGCACATAAGCGGTTTCATACTCTGTCCACGGCGGCGCACCTCTGCGCTGGGATTGAGGGGGCAGGTGCGCTTGTTGTGACCGGCCTCTCCGCACAGAGCGCACGTTTTGGCCTTCCCCCGAGCGCTGGCGCTTATGTGCTGCCGGGTCCCCCCCTCGCTGTGCACCGCGCGCATCGACGCACTTATGCGCCTGCGAGTCACCATCACGTCACGATCATTACTAACTCTTTAAAAGCAGAGCCACAAGCGCACTCCGAGATTTCTCTGCCTATGAAAAAGTCATGAAGGGTCCTGCAGGCTGCACATCCGAGGGCACAACAGAAGTTTGATGCACTGATGAGCCTGCAATACAGGATGCCCAGTAAACTGTGCGAATGTGTCCTACCCCATCTGAGTAATACCAAGAGGAAGAACCCCAGGAAATTGCCTCATGTGTGTTTAAGCCACACCAGGACAGTCCAGTCGCGCCCTTGAAGATGAACTAATGACAGGCCATAACTCCAAACTCAACCCTGACAATCAGAAATTCAGCTCTGCCAAAATTCATCTGTGCGGGAGCAATAAGGCCGTCCTAATGGTGCTCTTGCACGGCGGATGCCTGCAGCCCATACTTGCATACATGCATCCATGCAAAATTACACTGCAAAGAGAAATTCAGGACGCCTATGCTTGCATTGCGTGCCTGTGCACAGCCACACTTGAAAAGAATCTGCAAAGAGAGACTCTGAATGCGTTTGCTTGCCTTGCACGCCTGCGTGCATCCATTCATGAAACTGCAAAAAGAGATGTAGGACGCTTCTGCTTTCGTTCCATGCCGGTGTGCGTTAAGGCTGGAATAATTTCTCCTGAACATTCAGGCTCATGAAATGTCCAGGATCCTGTCCCACTGGAAAGGCTCCTGGACACTCAGCCATGAAAATACCCGCAAATGTTAACCAGGAGACGCACTGTTTGTGCTCCTCCCGCAGCGGCTGCCGTTTTCGCCCGGCCATAGACGCGCGTATCTTCTCCTTGTGCTCGTCCGACAGTGGCCCCCGCCGTCCGACGCCCCCGGTCCGGCGCGGCCGCGCGCCGCCGCGCGGATCCATGCCGTCGATCTCGGCTTCGCCTGCGCCAGTGCCGCGCCAGCCTTGGCACACTGGGCACGGCTCCAGCCTCTGCAAGGAATTGACGCCTCTTCAATTGCAGGCACAATTGACCTTCATTGGCTTGCCATCCTTTTGACCCTTTCTTTACATTACCCACCGGTCATAAAAAGCCACGTCAAAACACCGCCTGCAACCTGCGAAATGCAGGACGCAGGCTGGCCCAACACAATCTCCGGTGCTAAAAGATGGAGATTTGATCATGCTTGACACCGACCGCTCAGTGTGCAGCGACCTCAGCAGTTTGTACATCCTGCATGCGCTATCTTGGAAAAAAATGATCCCCTGTCGCAATGTCTTGTGCACGAGGCATTAGCGAGCTCACCCCCTTGGCGCGGATGAAGGCCTGCCCCTCGCAGCGCGGGCACACGGTGCGCTGCCCGTCTGGCAGGGTGACCCAGCCGGCAACCTTCCGCGCATCCATCATCTCGCCCTTAGGGCCCCGCACCAGCCGCACTGTCCTCCGCGTTCCCTCCTCCTCTGCGCAGATTCAAGTTGTATTCAAATTTGAATCACAGAACAGGCAAAGACAGGGCAAAACTTCTGGCCTCATTGCAAGCCAATATAATGAAATGAGAGAGAGATCTCACATGTTCAATTGTGTCCTGAAGGACCATGAATGCTGCGACTGCGTCATGACTTCCCATGTGCACTTGATCGCCCCAGACATCTTTCCCCCATGCACATTCAGTCAAATAAGAGCAAGGCTTTCCCCTGCATGACAGAGGCTTAACAGCCCCTCGGCTTGCAAGCATCACCACATCTTCCCTGTGGACATGGCCCTCAGCAGATTGAATGAAAGGGCTGCAGTCGCCACTGGTGGTGCATGGACACACACTGCAGCTAGCAGGGGGGGGCTCTCTGCTGCACAATGCATCAAGGTGGAGCATCCTACAATAGTATCATGCTCAGACAGCATGCAGAGCAAGCGCTCACCGGGATTTTCTGTGCGCGCAGCTCTGCTTGTCGGCAGCGGATCTCCGTCTTCATCGTCCGAGCCGGCCGCCACCGGCGCGCGGATGAGGCGTCCGCCGGGGCCCTTGATCAGGCGCACCGTCCTGCCGGGGCCTGCCGGCTGACTGGACCCCAGCTGACTGGACCCCGGTTGACTGGACTGCGCCTGACTGGACCCCGGTTGACTGGATTGCGCCTGACTGCTCCCTGCCTCGGCCTTGGAGCGCCGTCGCTCGGCCGCGGCCGCCTCTGCGCTGCCAGCATCGCTCTCACCGCTCTCTAAGGGAACTTTACTGCTGCCATTCGGGCCTGGCTGCTGTGCTGAGCTGCGGCCCATAAAGAGCTCTGCTGCCCTGCTCTGCGTGGCCCTCTCGTTGAGCCTGGGTTTGGTGCTTGCGTCGCTGGTGCTTTCTGAACCTCTCGAGGATGATGCTGGCCTGTCAGGCGAGCTGGTGTGTCTGCCATCGGCTGTGGAAGCAGCAGCGTGTGTTCCAGCAGTCCTTGCTTCCTGGACAGTCTGTGCGCCCCTAGCCCTGACTTGCAGTGCTGAGATCTGATGGAAGGCCTGCAGGAAACACCAGCAGCGATTCACGTCAAGTGTCCTGACTAGTGCAATTTCACCAAGGCTGGCCTTAACATCCCGGATAGCTCGACGCTGAATAGAAGGACACTACAAGGCGGTATCGGTAGGTCAGAATTTGTACTGTGGTTTTAGACAGCAAGATCGAGAATTGTGCTTGTTCAGACCTGGCCAGGGTGCCCTTTTCTAGGTGAGATGAAGAGGGCGCAGGAGCTGTGTGACGACAGCTTGCGCAGAGCAAGCCTTACATGGCAGAAACAGAAATTGGTAGTGTTATTCGACTCTTGTATGTTGCAGCATCTTTGTAACATTAGTGGACGAAAAGGTGGGAAGTTAGCTGCTCAACGAAAATAGCGATCGGTGAAATTGAGCAGCTGCACGTCTGTAAATTAGAATACGCAGCGACCAGCGACTTTTGAAAAAATTTGAATCTCAGCGCACTTGGTGAAGAGGCCGAGATGCAAAATGCAGAATGTCTGCCTTGATCCATCCTTTTGACGTGGCACGCAGAGGATGAGGTCATGCAGAAAGTGCTGACTATTTGATTCAGACATTGACATCCCCTCAACACCAGCAGTCACATCGATGAAAATAATAAGTGCTTGATTAGAAGTGTGCAACGGCCGCCGCAGCGGCTGCCCGCAGCGCTGCGCTGTAGTTGAATTTTTAATTTAAGCAGCAGACCTTTGTCAGCGTGGATTCAATGAAGTTCAGCTGTATACTAGTACTATAGTACGCATAGTACGCGTGGCTCTGCAGCGCAGCTGAAGTTTGGCAACATATCATTGTGGGGCGCCAAGAGTAAACCACTCAAAATGACAAATGTGACATTTGAAATGCCAAGCGTAATGCGATGATCTGGCACAGCACAGTCTGCAACGTCTGTCCTGCACGCTGTGCTGCCAGATCATCGCACAGCATGATGATAGCTGATTTGAGCAATTTTCCATTACAGCATTGCAACGGTGCCAGGTGCAACAATCATGAACCCATCCACAAATTTGAGTCCAAAATTATCTAAATTTTCCCCCTGTCTCATCTCCTAGCCAGAGATCTCCTCCACATTGCTTATGAGTATTAGTGGGGCATGGAACCTCTGTAGATTGATTTCTGTCACTAAAGTTCTCGTGCACCTAGTATATAAGGAAGTCAAGACCATCTTCGCATGCATTCAGTTCATCACAACCCACCTGAAATCAGAGAGGGGACAACTAGCCAGTCAGCACCAGCCGAGTGGAACGATTAATTTCTCCGACAACAACCTTCACTGCTGGCTGCATAGGCTCCCAGTAAAGCTCACTTCAGTGATGCACCCGCCACGCAGGAAGCCTATAGTTGTCCAATTAGCAGCAGCTGCTGCCTAGTGTACATGGTCGAATTGCTAGGACAAAGAATTGTGGCTGCCCAGTAAAAATTGCAGGCCATGGTGCATGACACTGCGAGTTGCTGGCAGCGCGTCCCTCTAGAGCAATTTCTTGGAATTGCCAAAGAGCCCAAGATGCCAATTATAACTTTGCATCTTGCCTGTCCCTGACGCCCACTTGAGGACTTCGAAACACATTCTGCTGCGGGAATAGCTCTTGCAGTCGAACGCACTAATCCCACGGCAGAAGGGCCAGCGACGCAAAGAATGTGCTTCTTTCCAGCAAGCCTGCCCTTGAGGCCCCATTATGCGAGCCCTTCCCTCCAACTCTATTCAGAGCATAGCTGTGCTATATCTGCCAAGGGCGCAGCGCATCACAGCTGAGCTGATTCTCAGCTCCAGCAAAATGGGCGCCGGCTGTATTGCGCGTAATAGTGCAAAGCCCCCGGGGGTGATCGCGTATCTACCACGAGTCCCCGCCGGAATAGCCTCTGCTGCCGCCGCCACCGCCGCCGCTGCGACCGCCCCCGTAGCTACTCCTACGGTCACCGCCGCCGTAGCTGCCACCTCCTCGTGACCCGTAACCACCACCACCACCGCCGCCGCCGTAGCCGCCGCCGCCACCACCCCTGCTGCTGTATCCCCCGCTACTCCTGCCGTAGCCTCCCTGATTCCTGGCACCTCCGTATCTGCGCACAGGCGACTTAACAATCAGCTGTTGCATTCGGATGCTTCTGGTCTTCTAATCTGCTTCTAATCTGAGCTATGGAAAATCAGTGTACCGATCTCTCATTCAATTACCGTTGTGCATTTTGTGAACCAGATGCAACAGCACAATCACAGCCTTGTGGAAAAGAGGATCAGGATTTGGCCTGCAATGCCATTCTCTGCTGGGTTGACAAACCAGACCGATCCAAAATCCTAACATGCCAGCAAATCTGCGAAAGTGGTGCTGCACCTGCATAAACCTTTTTCATCCCATGCCCACATACAGCTACCGTAGTCAGCACCATAATTCCCGCACCCCTCAAAATGCGCTAAATGCTTGGAGCCGTTTTAAAAGAGCCAGTCCTTAATTGGTGTTTCATCATCACCAATGGGTCGGGCTTGGCGAGAGCAGTCCAAAACTGGTCTTAAAAAATATCATAGGGTTCATATTTTGCATGTTAGGGTCTTAATTTTCGACCCTTCTTAAGAAGGAATAAATATTTTATGCGGGGAATATGGTGCTGACTACGGTATGCGCCACAGGGAAGGCTTCTCCCTTGCAACAGCTTTTCTTGTCAATAAACAGTCACTCACCCGCCACGGCCGCCACCCCGGCCGCCGCCGCCGCCACCGCCGCCGCGGAAGGGCTCTTCTGGGAGTGAGATGGGCATGTCCAGCTCGAAACCGCGCTTAGTCAGCTCCTCCACATTCTCCATCATCTTGTCTGCAATCTCCTGAGGCACGTCAAACGCCGCACCCTGCCAGCACAAGCACGCACTCAGCATTCAGCCTAAGACTAGAATTTCCCAGAACAGGGAATATTAAAGAACCTTCGGCTAAGACTACTGTAGTCTTCACTAACTCCTGTGCAGGAGATGTGGCCCAGAATACTCCACTGCAAAAGATGGAGTCCGCCCATACATCTGCTATGCAACTGCCCACTTCAGAGAGACATGACAGAAAATGGTAGAGCTCCGAGCAAGTGCCAGGTAAGCTCCCCTCTGTCCCTCACAAGATGACCCTCAACTTTTAAAACCTTGCAAAGGGTAGGAAGCTGCGCAGAAAGTGGAATGGAAGGCTCAGTGAGACTTCTATCGCTCAAAAGGTGGAGCAAGTTCTGATCCCACTTCTCTCAACCTTTAAACCTCCTACAGAGTGGCCTTCCCCGCCATCTAAGAGACTTTCAAGACTGGGAGAAGTGGAACCAGGAGTGAGCACTGCGCAACGGATGACATATCGAGGTGTAAAGTTCCCCATGGCATGAAACGGCCTACAACGCCATCGTCTACTTGCTGCAAGCCAGATAAAAGCTCTCCAATCCCAAACTCTCCCTCTGTCGCTTGACGCATGTGCTCGTGTTAGATTATAACTGTTGCCATACGCATGTGCTCGTCTTAAATTATAGCTGTTGCCATACTACCAAATGAACATTTGAAGCTCAAAATTGAAGGAGGGAAGCCCACCTCCATGCCGGCGCGATCGTCCTGCAGCAGGCGCACGCGGCCGAGGCCGGTGACGCCGTCAGCGCCGATGACATTGCGCACGATCGTCATGACGTGCCCGGGGAGAGTGATGCGCCCCGGCCGAGACATGACGCGCATTGTGACTAATCCCACCTCCTGTGTGATCAGGCTGCAGAGGCACACAAGCACGCACATCAGCAACAGAAGTCACTCTAGATATGGAAGAAACCTCTGTGACCACCTAATCCAGTTCCATGGAGTTTCACCGGACTGGAAACACAAAGATCGCTAAAATGCGGCAGACTGGGAACGTGCATTGCTTGCAGATTTGAGCATAATCCGCATGTCAAACTACTGCCATTCTATAGGCACAAAGAAGGCAAAAGCCCAACTTCTGACAAATGCACACACTGGGGTGGGTGGTAGCAGATACCACTCCACTCGAATGACCACTTGTGACCATACAACCATGAGACGGCAGACTTGCTGCATCACAACGCAGAGCATAAAGAACGCTGTGGGCGTGGGAGGCACCAGCACCCAGTCCGTAATCAGCCATGGTACTAGTACCCTGCAACCACAAGAGGGAGAGATGCAGCATAATGGTGCATAGAGACAGAGAGGGCTGCCCACCTGCGAGGCTTGGGCACCTCTATGAGCCCAGAGAGGGCAGCGAGAGCGCGGCACATGGCGTCGTGTTTGTCACCCCTCTCCAACACCAGCTTGGCCGCCGGCGCAAAGAACTCAATCACCTTCTCATCCACGTTGTCCAGCCGCCTCAGCACCTGCCATGTGAAACACACATTATCACCTTCTCGGGCTTCGTAGGACAACACGTATGCATGCAATTCGAAGCATGCAGAAGAACAAAGCCACTGCCCCAGTGTTTAGGCAACGGGCCCAGAGCGCACGAATACGCCCGTGAATGAGCGCTTCCAGCCTTGCAGACGAGCGATCCCACAAGCAAAGCCACATCGCACATAACATGCATGCCGTGACTCCGAAACAGAAAAAACCGGTGGCTGAAGAAGACCCTATCTACCCAAAAAATTAGACCCTATGATAATTTGCAGACCGTATTTGGAAAGCTCTCGACAAGCCCAATGTAATGGAGCATGACACGCATACTTTTGAAGTCAGGAGGACCCCTAAAAGTTGCTTTGGAAATTTGCCTGCACCGCCGTGGGGGCGGGTTTTAAAATGAGCACTACAGTAAGTCCTTACTGCAAGGGCGCGCTGGAGTGTGTAACAGAAGTCACAGCTGTGCGCGTACCTGCTTGGCAGATGCCTCCATTACGGCGGAGGGGCTCGGCGAAGATATGTACTCGACATCCTTGAGCTTGATCTCTGCGCACATGCGGCGGAAGTAGGAGCGGTCCCGCGGCAGGACGACGGCGATCGTGCTGCCGGTCTTGCCGGCGCGGCCGGTGCGGCCGGAGCGGTGCAGGAACGCCTCTGTGTCGCGTGGCAGGTCATAGTGCACCACCTGCGCACGTGGCGACGCTGATGTCAGCATCTCAGAACGCTGGTGTCAGCACATATGGGTGGTGAATCCTAAGAAGAAGCACATGCCACCCCTTGCTGGGAACGAGCTGCATCAAGATGATCTGATGGACATCCTACTTCAGAGTGGGTGTGGGACATTGCCATTTCTAAAGTCACAAATCCCTGCCTGACTTGCACAACAGGGTTAAAAAATGGCCATGTTTGGAGACAAATGCAGGTGCAAAATAGGAGCATCCCATGCAGCAAGGCTATAAGGAGAAGAAACTCACCAGGTCGACGTCTGGGATGTCAAGGCCGCGAGCGGCGACATCTGTGGCGACGAGCGCTGTAAACTTGCCATTCCTGAAGTTTTTGAGCACCTGCTCGCGCTGAGCCTGTGAGATGTCACCGTGCAGCGCCTGCACAGGGAGAGTAGCAACAGTGAGTGTGTTTTCTTTAAAAAAGTAGTCACTGCATTCTAGGATTTGAGCTCAACCATATGCATTGCAAGATCAAGTGCATAGCTGCCTATCCCCCACAAACATAAGCATTGCCCGAACATGTGCGTAGCTGCCCTTTTCCCCTAGTTTTTGTACAAAAGAAAGAACCTTGAACACTGTGTCCTTGTCGCACACAAGACAAGATGAAAGCTGTGCAACCTCTGCAAGAAGGCACATCACTACAGACACGCTTTGGGGTACTCCCAAGTACCCCAGCATTCGACAAAATCGGAGGTGATATGAGCGCCTCCAAAGGTCACACAGCCTTCTCCACATCCCGGGAAATTGAGCGGGTAAGTATGCCAGCCATAAAATCGTGCATGGCAGGGTTGTTACTTCATTCCTGACAACCCCTGGCTAGGGTAAGAACCCTCACCTCGCAGGGGTGTACGAGCGAAAGTGACGCCGCCACTTCATCGGCCTCACGCTTCGTCTGTGTGAAAACAATGCATTTGCCGCCCAGCGCGTGCACAGTTATCAGATCCACCAGAATGCTGCGTCTGGCCTCCTGCGTCACGTGCACAGCCATCGTCCTGCAACACACCGCACATGCTCAGCAAGACTGTGCAAGAACTTGGTGCTCGTCAGTGCTGCATGACCTGACTTTTGCTTCTTGACGGTCTCCTGTCCAGCACCCAAGATGGGTCTAGGCCAATTGCAATAGTCTGTCGTGCAGCATAGCTGGGCACATTTATGGCGCAACACAGACAACCCTCCTGGACAGGTGAGGGGGCGCCCATGCAGCTGATCTGGTAAATCTGGGCACAACAAGGAAGAGCACGCAAACAGAAGAGTCTGAAAACTAATGACTCGTAACGATGGATCCCACATCCCGCCAGACTGTAACGAATTGCTTGATTCGCTATACAGGGAAACAGGAGGCAGCGAGGCTCACTTGATGGCGTCGGGCATCTTGCCGCTCTGCGCGTCCCCCACGAGGTCCACGAGGGCCGGGTTCTTGAGGTGCTTGCGTGTGATGTTCTTGACCCAGGAGGGCATTGTGGCAGAGAAGAGCATGGTCTGGCGCTCAGCCGGCACACTGTCCAGAATAATTTCCACGTCCTCGCTGAATCCCATGGAAAGCATCATGTCCGCCTCGTCCAGGATGACAAACCGGGTCTGCACGCAGCGAATTCACTTTGAAGCGTGAGTTTGAAATCACAAACTATATTGAATTCCTGAAATACCCTGAGCTTCGCCCAGGATCACAAACGGGTCTGCCCAGCTAGACAATAACCCCACAGAAAAAAGTGCCTCATCATGCTTCATCGCGACAGGAAGGCTTTCTGGGTTGGGTTCGTCTAGGACACAAGACCAAGCCTTGAGCAGCATCAGGCATGGGGTCTCAAACGTTTTAGCTAGATGCCAGAGCATGACAAGCTGCGTCTGAGCACACCAGAATCAAAGGACAACAGCAGCAGCCATTGCAGACATTGGAACCACTCTCAGAGACATTTGCTCAGAAACCAACCCTCTCTGACCTGACCCTGATCAAGCAAACCTTGCATCTTGATAGTCGTCAACACAGAGCCACTCGGCACGATTCCAATTCCCAGACTCCTTACGTAATTGGCCAGGTGCAAATGAGCAGGTGCAAAGCTCCAAAATGAAAGATCCTGGCAGGGGGGGCAGGGGATAATCACCAGGGAGAGGTCAAGGCAGTTGCGGTTGATGAGGTCGATGACTCGGCCGGGCGTGCCCACCGCAACATCCACCCCTGAACGCAGCTGCCTGATCTGCCCGCCAATGTCCACACCTGCACAATGCGCACACACACAAACTTTTTACGCTGATTGCCACTTCGCAGAATAGCAAGCTGCCTCCCACAGAGTCATTCCCACACAGTCGTGCAATAGTCTCTGGAGGCAGTGGCCTGTGACAAGGCCTGTCTCGCAGCCAACTGGGTATTGCAAGGATGACATTTGACGAAATGCTTTTGCCAAGAAGATCCCACACTGATGCCGGCCATGCGACCGGAGATGCCTCGAAGGCATATCCTCTGTGCACAACTAAGCGTGGCACGGAGAAACAGGAGGCGAGCCACTTCAGGCCGCACCTCCGTAGAAACAGCCGACGTTGAGGCCGGGCGCGGATTCCTGGAACTCCTTCTCGACCTGCTTGGCCAGCTCGCGCGTGGGCGCCAGGATTATGCAGCGGGGGGACCGGCCCCTCTGTGGTGGGCTCTGGCTGTTCTCCTGCACGCCAGCCATTATTTTTTTCATACCACTTGCATGTGAGCATCTTGCTTGCACAGGGAAACTTGAGGTCTTGGACACCAAATTTACACCCAGTCAAAAGTAAATCACCCGCAACAAGGTGTTCCAAAGCTTCAGCAGTGCTTTACAACTGCCCTATGTAAAGATCTTGATAATCTACAGCAGTCAAAGCTGCCATCGAATACTGAACGTGGAAGTGACTGATCTCAGGACCATAGCACAGTCTCCCACCATATGGCATTGCTGCATGCTTACACAGTCAACTCACCTTGAGCAGATTCTCGAGCACCGGCAGCGCGAAGGCGAGAGTTTTGCCGGAGCCGGTACGCGCGCGTCCGATGAGGTCGCGCCCGGCGCGCGCGGGTCCGAAGACATGCTTCTGGATGGGGAAGAGCGCCTTTATGTTGCGCTTGCCCAAGGCCGCCACCGTCTCGTCCGACAGGCCGCAGTTCGCCAGCTGCGCGCAGCAGCGCAATGTCAGGACAATTCATCTTTGACACATCACTCTCAGCCCTTAGTGATGCATTAGCACACAATTTCAAGAGGGAAGCTAGCTTGATACAGCGCAGTGTGATGCTGCAGACAAGGTGGATTACGTGCGCAAGCACAGGATATCAGGTTGGTGGTCAACGCAAGATAGATCAATGTTCCAGCAGCAAAATCTTCAATCTGATCACCCTGTCACATGTATTTGTTCCAGAATGCGGTACTCACTAGCAGGACCATGCATGCATGGGCTTTCATGGGGCTTCCTGTTGCCACAGGGAGAGGTGCTGAAGCCTGATGAGCGCCACAGTTTCAGACTAGAAAGATGGGTGCAGTGTAAGAGTGTGCACCCATTGGGAGGTCAAATGGATGCTCTCCCTTGGCGCAGGGTCAGCATTGAGGGTGCCAGTAAGAGCTACAAAGGAAGGCAGAGGCACGTACCAGGAGTGACTCGTCCTGCTGTGTTTCGTCCACTTCCAAGACCTCTGCTTCGCCAAAGATGCTGGCGAGAGAGAGGCGCGCCCTCTGCACGTTCTCATCCTCGTCATTGCCAGGGCCATCCTCGTCGTAGTACTCCTCTGTCTCCTCCATCTCGTCATAGTCGAGCTGTGACACGAAGAATACCTCTCAGCTCTTACACAAAACTTGCATCTATCCAATTAGCAGCAATTAGCAGCAGCAGATGATGGTGGATGGGGAAAAAGCTCCATTGTTCATCTGCCAGTACACACATCTGGAGAACAAACTACGAAAATAAGGAGCCGTATGACTTAGCAGCTGCCAAAGCCAAACATGTGCAGTGGCTAGGTGTCCCAAGGAGTCTGGAGGTGATGTGAGCGGGCAGGAACCAGATTCCCTTGTATAATCAAGGCAGAACCATTCCAGGTTACATAACATGGGCCTGACACAGACGGATTTCATAAATATCCTGGAACATGTAGTAGGTGGATACACCTTCCGAGACGTAGCACGTGAAATGAAACAGCTCCTTACGCGTCTTGTGTGATCTGCAAGCGGTTAATTATGATAAGTAAAAGCGCACCGCAGCTGCCCCGGTAGAAACCTTGCGTCCGCCTTCCTTGGGAAGCAGTTGGCTGCAGAAGGAGAGGCGGCCGGATGCAAAGCGTGTTATCCTCGGCGTGGCCTCCGTGAGGCTGGCGGCGGGACGACATCCCGCTGTGCTGGGTCCATACGAGCTCTTCGTGCGGGCAAAGAGCAGCCTGCCGTTGCCATGAAACAGAGAGCGCCTGGAACCGAAGGTAACCAGGTGTGGCTCCTGCAGCAGACTCTGAGCAGCAAGCTTCATGGCTTGACTTAGTAGCGCTGTTGTGGACCGCAATTTCTGCATAAACTCCGGAAATCACGCGATAGACATGCGAACTGTCACGGGTCAAGAAATTTTGCTATCTTGGACGTGGTTCCTGCAGGAATGGTTTCTCTTTTTCAGGCCTGCGGCGTTCCTGCTGATGGGCTCAGATCAGTTCCTTTCCTCGCCTTCGATCGCGATCAGAAGTGGAAGAGAAATTTGTCAGACTAGCAAGCTGATAGTAAGTCCCATCGCATAGAGGCTCTGGCGCTTGGGCGCGCCTCAAGTAAGGATCAGAGACCTATGTACATAATGTATTGGGATGCAAACATGCTGAAAAGAACAGGTTCTTCAACACAATTTCCTGGTATGACAGGACAATCCCACGCGGTTAGTTGTGATGTCACAATTCAGAGTGTGCTCTAGGCTACCGAAATTCTTATCCAGAAGTGAGAGATCTGTCCTTATCTGCTCCATTTACAGCCCACACAAGATGTGCCTGAAGCGTTCATTATCCCATCAAATTTTCTCTATACAAGAGACGCCTTGCATGCATGTTGGCCACAGCAAAAATGCCAATCTGCAGGAACAAAGTGAGTCATAAGGTCCTATACATGCAAGCCGCAACATAACAAGTTTTCTCAATGGCATTCCCCTACCGGCCAGCTGCGAGCTCAAAAGAAAACAAGCGCTGCAAAGGGTACTGCTGCAAGCAGGGCAGCACCCCAGGCGGATTCCATATAATCCTGGTTGAACCCTGCCAAAACAATTGCCAGCCCAAAATAAGCGCACTTCATACGAGGTGCAAAAAGCAACAAAACCTCACAAATTGTCCAGAGTAAATGCTAGCGCTTAGGACAATAATTTTCCTGTCTGCACCTATGAACAGGACAAGTTGACAAGGGGAAGATGTTTATTGCCGCACATGGCAGCACATATTGCCCTACTCTATTTACTTCTGCAGGCCTAAGATCCGCGCTGCTAGTCACCTCCCACTCAGCCCTTCCCCTCAGATGCCCCGCTGCCGAATACAGCATTCGTGCGATAGACAGAGGCTTGACAAGCTGCTGAACGCCTCTCCTCACAGGTAGGTTCCTTGCACATCATGTCAGAAAGCAGACGTCCTTCTTCGTTGATTGCTGTAAAGAAAAGCATGCATCCCGGCAGGTCAGAAATCATCCTGTCGTGATTTCTCACTCCCAATGGCAGCCACTGAGTGGCTCGCTCTGCTTCCTCAAGACCCCAATCACATCCCCCCTTCCTCCATAACACAAAAGGGGAATGCCTCGCCGGCGGCGCAACAAAGCTTCGTTCAGCAATGAGTTTGCAGCTGCAGCTGGGCTTCTCCGGGACTGCCATCCGAGGTCAGTTCAGCGCTCACGGCAGCTATGGCGAGTCCCTCCCTTCGGGGATTGAAGAGGCCTCGGCGGGGAGCATCAAAAGTTGTTCAGTCATGCGCAGAGCTGGCTGTCAGGGCGTGCAGCAGGCGGCAAAAGTGCCCGAGGGGCAGTTGCCGAGCAGCGGCGGCTGGCAGTTGTAGCTGGAGCCCGAATTCGGATTCGAATCGCAGCACTGCGGTAAGCCCCACTGGAACGCGCAGCCGATCCGCAACGAGTTCGTGCCTATGCACGTCTGCCCTTTCAGCCGCCTCCTCTGCCCTCCCTCCAGTGCCCCGACCACATCTGCACAGCAGTGATGGCACTATGATTGAGACCTGAAGTGGTGATAACATACGCAATCTGGCAAATACATGAGGGGCCACGATGGTGAGTACGAGCTTTGAGCGCATGACATGAGCTGACACCAGGAGATTCTCTGCTGCCAGGCTTAGCATGGGCCCAGAATATTATTGCTGTCTTGCAACGAGCCGTTGGGCCTTGCAGCGTACGTGCTGCTTAGGAGTGTTAGCCCAGTGCAGGGCAGAGAATTAGTTTGCTGGTACAACACCCCAAAGGCATTAGCTGGAGCTCCTGCTAGATCATGTATTATAAAGGCTGAACGTCATATCTACCTGCTCTAAGCGCATGCCTGCTCTCACCCTCCCCATCAGCCGGTACAAAGGACGCTAATCTTCCTGCGCAGGAAGAGATCCAATGTTCAGTACAAGGCGGATGCACCAATGCCCACTGCACGAGCGGCAAAATGCTGCAAGATACCATGTAAGACAAACGCCCACCAGTCGAGCAAAATAATACTTCAAGCAGGCCTGGAGGTGATGAGCTCATGCAGATATCACACATGGTGAGTATGAATGGTGCACTCACGTAAAAGGCCATGTCGCTCGCTTGCTATCGATTGCCTCTCATTGCTGCTTGTCAATGTGTTGGCTCTGACCTTCCTGTGGGCAGCAACAGGGCACAAGTTCAGATGGGTGCTTCTTGCCTATTTTTGTTCACTAACAAGACATGTGCAAATGCACACCGCTACTGATGTCGCGATCGCTGCGCACAATCACGAGACACCATGATTCGTCACAGAGCGGACGCGAGCAGCACACAAGAGCCCGCCAAAGACAGGCTGGCAGCGTCCCTTGCCAAACCCTCCGATACATCCGAAGCAAGACGAATAGAAGGCCTTGCGATCGCGGAAACGTCGATGAAGGATTTCAAGACCCACAAAATACATTTATGCATGGCAAATGTGCCCCGCTGATGTCAAGCTGCCCTCCACCACAGCAAAAAACGCCAGTAGCTTCTCGTCTTCCTCACACAGCTGCGAGGCAGCCAACTCCTAGACATTCAGACCGTGTGGGAGTCACACCAGTTCAATAACAACGTCGAGAACAGCAGACACGCCAGCAGCAGGCGTGACGCCGGCTGCCGATCTCCCATTCGGGCCACCAGCACCGCTCTGTTGATCGCCCGAGGCCCCTGACCCTTTCTTTTGGAGATTTTCGATTGCACACCAAGGCGAGGGCCAACGCGAGCTGCTGGCTTTCACACCATGAACAGCGCACCAGGCAAACAGGTCTCCGGAAACTACGCGATTGAGCGACAGCTGAACATTGCGATTCCACGTGGTGGCGTCCCCGGTGTCCTGCCGAACGGACGTGTGGCAAGTTAGCTCATTGACTAAGGCGCGATTGCTAAGGCCTGCTAATGCATGTTTGCATTTGTTGAGCACTTTAATATTTGAGTGTTAGCATCAATTGGGCAAAGATAGACATGCTGTAGGTACTCGGATTTGTGGGTTTGGAATAAGAATGACCGTCGGAACCCCAGATCTCCACCGTCTAAGTTTTCAGATCAGACGATCTGCAGCGCTTTGGCAGCTCTAGGTCTCAAGATGCAATTATGCAACCAAAGCTTCGTCACGTAACAGGAACAAAGGGCTGGGCTGTGAACGTGTTGCCGTCCTAAAAGTCAGACAGGCTTGCTTTTGCAGTGCCGGAACCAACCAGAAAACAGGTTCAAACGCCGGGAACACACACAGAGTCCTTACCAGGATATTATTGCGCGCAAGTATTCGTTTTAACTTCCTTTCCTGCTTATGTTTGGACTGGAGCAACGTTCAAGTGTCTGGTCGAAGATATCTGTTTGGCTCCAGAGGTGCCCAGCCAGGGATGGATTTCCACGCATGCTATGAAAAGTTTCAAACACCGACTGTAAGGCTGGATTTCATGATTTGATCAGATTGGCGGCCTAGCATGTTGCTCACTCAGTGCCCTCGGCGGCTTAGGCAGAACATACCAAGCACATAGGGAGCGTTGATATCGTCAGAATCATCAATGATTACTATTATTATTATCACACGCTCTTCCAGCTAAGAGCAAGGTGCATCCTGCAGACAAGCTGCAGTTAAAGGCTGCCCTAATTTAGGCTAATCCTACCTGTCTGCAGGACGCACCTTGCCTCTTGGCAGGAAGAGCGTGTAATGATAATATGATAATGATAGTCCTACCCCTCGATGGGTCTCTCGCCAGATCCAAGCAAGACCCAATCAACTTTGGGCATACTTCTCAGTCTTTATATCGCCCCCCACCAGCCGGGGCGCATCATTGATGGCGTCCAGTATTCTCAAGGATTACATTGAAGAACTTTGCACACCTGGATCAAAGCACCTAACAGCACGCTCATAGCAGCCACTACCAGCGACTACTTTGGCTAACCAGATTGTGAATGTGAAGCTGTCAAAACTCAGATTGCCCTTATTCTTCTACTGGCAAAATATTGCAGTTCAAAAACGTGTTCAGAAACATTGCCCAATTGGCAATGCTACTGCTAAAAAATGCACAGCATTCATGTGCCGCCCTTTAAATCTATATTTCTATGATCAGTGTTCTTCAAAGCTTCGAAGCTCAGGCTGACAAAACAACATTCCTGCTATGACAGAACTCAGTGCCTTGCCTCAAGGCAAGTTGACGTTGTAATCATCAATTCACCACACTTCAATGTCGGTAAGTGCAACCCACCTGAACACGATCTCAAGAATAATTCAGAAGCAGTCTGCTTGCAATTTTTCTGCAGGCTGTCATCGCTGGCTCCGAACGATACGCAGCACAGCATCATCCCTGCAAACACTCAGTGACTGCCAATTGCTGAGCAAACTCATTACTCAAATGTAAATTCCGGTCTGGCTCTCATGCACGGAGGCTGCCATTGCCGTTCAAGCCATTTCCCTGTCGTTGCCTCTCATTCTTCTCCACCTCAAATTAGATACCCATATTCTGCTGAACGGAATCTGACTTGACTGCAGTAGCTGGCAATAGCGAGGGTCTTTGCGGGGGGTGGAATGTCCCCTACAGAGTGCAACATGGGTGACTGAAACTGACATGTATCTTCTCACAACAAAATTTTGGCAGACGAGCTTCAAGTTCTGGATCCTGTCCAACAGCAGAAATCAAGTACAGTGTCAAGGCTGCGCCATGGAGTCTTTCTGAGAAATGCTCCAGGGGGCGTCCTGGTCTAGTTTGGCATCTTCCAGCTCCTGCAGGGCTTGCTGCATGTCTGTCATCTCCTCGTCCGGATCTGTGCGGATCTCTGCGCAAACAAACAAACCCCTTCCTTAGTATCACCCAGCAATTGCATGCCCACAACCTAGCCTCTGGAGCCACCTCAAATTTGCGGGCATTGCCGACTTTCATCATCCTTACCAGCCAGAAACCTTTCTTGATGCTTTTGCTTGGGGATCATGACTTAGACATATGGATGGCACATGCGATCCGAGAAGCACATTTCTAATCAAATTTACTGCCGAGAGAAAGAAATGATGGAAATGAAGAATTTGCATTCCCTGTAGCGGCCTGCAGAGTTGACTTGCATTCTACCCAGCATTTGCCCTGACTGAGCAGTGACTCACTGCATGCCAGTGAGGCTTGGCTGAGGCCATCTAAGCAAAAAGATTCAGAGATGCACGCATGACTGAGCGGTGACTCACTGAATGCCAGCGAGGCTTGGCCGACAAGGCGGCTGCAGCGCGCGGCCAGCGCTCCGAGCTCCGGTACAACGGCGTTCTCTATCCGCGCAGAAATCGTCGCGCGTTCCCTTCGCTCGGCCGGGCCGCCCGGGCCGCGGCTTGCGCTGCCCAAGCTGCCCTCCACCATATCAGGCTCGTTCTGAAGCTTCTGCGTAACAAGCAGTGGTGTAGTTAGGGTCTGAAGCTTGCGCAGAGGTCCCAAGAGCATATTGGCAAGGAAAGCCCTCACTTGTCACCTTCTGTGTGCGGCTGCAAAAGGCCCAATTGTTGACTTTCTTGCCCAGTTGATCAGAGAAGGCTGTAACTGCAAAGCTTTTTGCATTGCTGGCTGGTCGTATCCAGGAGGAGCAACCATCAGCATTTCCTCTGCTGTTGCCAATTGTTACAAGGTACAAGACTGAACTGACTTCCGGACCGAGGCAAGCAAATTTGCACTGATGTCATGGTTGGTGGCAATGACTCACCTGGAGGACAGCCTGGATTTCTTGCTGGCGCCAGCTGGCGCGGCCGCCCAATGACTGCGTCGCACGCTGCAGCAGGCTGGGCTGTGATGACTCAGCAGCTGACTCACCCGCTGACAGATCCGACACCGCCCCCATCAGCCACGAACCCACCGTCCTCTGCACAACCAACACGCTTGTTAGCTTTCGAACAACTTGGTTTCCAGAAACTCACTGCCTTCTGCATGAGGACTCCAATGAAGCCGTCGGATTCACTGCGCGGACATGCATGCCAGAAATTGCAACAGGCTGATGAAAAGGGTGTCATGCCCAGAGAAGGGGTGGGATAGAATAAGTGGCTGACCTGGCGCAGGAGGGGTGGCCGCCGGGAAGCTGCGGGAGTGCTGGGCACTGACGACGGCGGCGGCGCGTCGCCGAGGATCACCGAGGTGCGCACGGCCAGTGGAGGCAACGCAGCGGGAGACGAAACGTACGCAGCGCTGTGCCGCCGCGGCAGCTCCTCGAGATGAGCGGCGGCGGCCAGGCGTACGGCGCCCGTGCTGTGCCGCGGCAGCATCGCCGGCCGCGGCGGCGATGCCGAAACTGGCGCGCCGGCCGGCCATCTGCGCGCATCGCTGGGCGGTGACGAGCTGGGGACCGTCATCGGCGCGGCGGCGCGGCGCGGCGTGGCCGGGGCCGACGGCGTGGGGGACGCGGTTGTAGACGACGGCCGCGGCGGCCGCCGGCCGCCAGCGGCCGCTGCCGCAGAGGCGGCCGGCTTCCTCTCGGGCTCCTGCTCCCTTGGACTCACGAACGGCGACGCCGGCATTTCCGCCGCCGTCGGCCGGTACTCTGCTCGGTACACAATCTCCGCATCGGCGTCGCTCTTTTCTGGAACTAGTTCCTGCCAGGCGCTGCGCCAGTCCGGCAGCGGCGGCGGCTCCCATCGGCCGGCTTCCGCCACGGCCAGTGACAGCTGCTGGGGGGCTTCCGTGACGGCGCGCCGTAGCGGGACGTGCGGCGGCTGCGCGCTTGGCTGTGGGTCGATCGAGCGGCGCACGCCGAGCGCCGGCGCCCGGCCCGGGGATGCCGCCATAGACCGACGCCGCCCCAGCCAGTGCATGGGGCTGCTTGCCAGCGAGCGCATGCTCGGGGACGAACGCGACGGCGTTCCCTGTGCAGCCATGGCAACCCTTCACAAGGTGCCTTCTTGATCTTGCAATGCAGCACAAGCAAGAATGCAGAAAGATGTACCATGTGCATGCAAGTGTGGTGGGAAGCCGTCACAATAAGGGATGTGATCCATCAGATCCTTACAATCAGGAATAAAGAGCTCAGAAGGCAGTGTTGCACTTGAGGGCAAGCTAAAAGAGCAAATAGAAACATTCAAAGCAGTAAACTATTGCAGGGGTTGCGTGCCTGGAATGGAGCAAGCCCCTTGTCGAGCAGTTCGTTGCGCAGTTCTCCTTGCGCGGATGTTGCAGCCGAGGGGCTCCCGAGCTCCACAGCCCCCCGCACAAACATCTCCCCTTGGCGGGGGGTCTCCGGGGGTTCGCCGGTGGCCGGCGGTGGTATGGAAAGCACTGACTCCAACGGCGTTCCTGCCGATGCCTGGACTGCCTCTGTGGCGCCGGTGTCTGACTCGTGCATGCTCGCAGCCATCTCCGCCTCTTCTTCTGAGATCCTGGGCCCCTGCAGAAACCAAGCAAGCAGTCGATGAGGCAGTAAAAGATGATGAGAGAAAGAATTATTGAGGATAAACAGCAAATATTCTCAAGCCAGTGCCACACGCTGCGCAGTAATTGAAAGGAACAGGAGGTTGCTGAACAAACTTTCCGGAAGCTCAGTTACAGAAGAAGTTGCGTGAATCGCAGCTTGGCGCATGGCAATTAAAGTATCAAAATATGATGCAGGGGGATCTATATCTAAGTCAGATACATAGGAACATATCCCCCTGCAGGGAGCAAACGAATAATGGTAAACTGAAAGTCCAGAGCGCGAAGGTGGGAATTCAACCAGGGGAGGAACCAAGACACCCTATGTGGACTGGCAGGCTCTTGTGAGTTGCTGACCTGGCCGAGGGAGGTTAGGGCGCCGCTGACTGATGCTGACTGGCGCCGCCAGCTCAGCGGCGGCATGTGCCGAGACCCGACGCGGTCGAACATGACCGACAGTTTCGCGCCGTAGCCGTGATACGAGGCCTCGCCTTGCAGCCGCTGCGGTACCGGCGCAGAAGAGTCCATCCTCCGCAGCAGTCTGCCGCGCATGTCAAACACAATCGTCAACTTTAAACTCTAGAAATCAACCCTTAATATGTGGCAGCTCTATGGGCAGAGGCTACTCAGAGAGCTGGCAAACACATCACATGCCACAAAGGTGCCTCAGGGATATCCTTCTCCCCAAGGCAGTCATGGGCAAGACGTAGGTAAATGTTGGGGCCCATGTCAGAAGATTTCCTCTTTTCCGAGATTATGGGAATAGCCACAACGGCCACATCTGCCCGATGTGGCAACAATCTGACACAGAGTCTGGTGGCAGTCAAATCAACATCAATCAGGTTCTGTAGAACCAAAAGAAATACAAAAATAGAAAAAGGGAAAAAAAGGAAATTGGCGCACCGGGCTCGTGCGGTCTCGGAGCGGCGCAGCGCGGCGGCGGCCGACAGCCGCTGCAGAGTTTCTGGCGGCAGGCCACATGCGGCCAGGAACACGCGCAGCTCCGGCTGATGCGCCAGATGCAGCACCGCGTCGTGACCCCCCTGCAATTGCAATATTCCCCTTCAAGTTCCTTCAGGGCACCATGAATCAACAGACTTAGCAAGCTTTTAAGCGGCCTGCCTACAACATCAGGCAAGAACAGAACATGCAATTTGTCTGGCAACTCTGTTCTGGTGGCATCAGCAGTTAGCTTCAATCCAAATTGAAGGGATAGGGGCATGCATTGAGGAATTGCAGCCGTATCTGATGCGCAGTCAATCTGGGCACTTTGAATGCTTATGCCCGTGCCTTTTGTGGGTACCGCAGGTGTCCAAAACAGGACACATACGGTATAGGCAGCAGAGGAGGGTATTTCCTGACAAATTATGTCTGGTGAAAAAGCATGGGGGAAATTGTGGGGAGAATATCAGACCTTAAGGGCCTTGCCGGTGAACTGCGCCTGGCAGATTCCCATGAGAGCGCGGCGGTATGACGCCAGAAAATGGTGCCCCGGGTTGCTGCCTGCAAAACACCATACACACTCGCATTCAAACAATCTGGTCACTGGGATTTAATCTGAGATTGTTATAATCCAGATTTTATGAATGCAACAGCACAGGCCTGAGTTTGATGATGCATAAGATTTGAAGGGGGCATGGGCCTCATGCTTTGCGGGCATTGCGGCCTGGATTGCGCGTTTTGTTGAATATTATTGCCTGTTCATGAGCCCAAAGCTATTGCAGTTGCCTACAGGTTTGCTCAGGTGAACTTTATGGTTCGACATTAACCCAAACCCTAATTTTGATTTCAAAAACAAAAACCTGTTGCCAATACAGGCATGCGCGGAGGGAACGCGTCGCACCGTTACGGATGTGGATCTCGTGCGGCGACGGCCGAACGACGACGTCACCTCGGTAGTCCACAATCACGCGCTGCCCCGGCCGCGCAAACAGCACAAGGAACTTTCCCACCCGCGGCACCGCGTCCTGTGGCCAAATTTTCACTCACATCATTAAGAATGCTTCACTTTCTGGCGGACCATAGAACTTTTGGTGAAGAAGATGGTCTGTGTGGAAAATGGCGGATATTTTTGAGCTCTGGAGCACAACACATGCAATCCAGTGAACTTCAAAATATGATGTGTCTGAAGCATGCGAAGCACCGCACGTCAAATGAGCCAGCACAAGCTTACTGGATCATTTTTGCAGCATTAAGGGCAGAATGTTTTAGAGAGGACAAGGTGTGATGGAGCGGAGCAAGGGGACTGACCGCATCGTTGATGATGTGCCAGGTATCCGGCACGAGCTGATCGTACTCCTGTTTGAATGCGCGGTTGCCGGGCCGGGGGGCACCAAATGTGTACACCTGTCAGCCCAGAAATTACCTTCAGATAAGTGCAGAGGTCTGATTGGTCGGCACTAGTGTCACTATCTTGCGTGAGCCAAATGAAAGTCCTCTTTTCCCATTGTTCTGAAAAGAAATTCATTTTTTCACCCTGGAGCCGGATTTCTCAGGGGGGCTCTATACATCTGGCAAAGGAACCGTGCATGCAAGCTTGCATCCAACCTCATGAGCCCAGAAGACACCCAATGAGGTGTACTTTGGTGGAATGTATACTCGTTATGATTCATCTGATTATGAACGAAGTGCTTGTACTGACCTGGCAATTGGTGAGGCCGCACTGGGTGACAAGGTCATGAGCGGCCAGACCGGCAAGTGCGCCGCCGAGCGAGTGTCCAGTCAATAACACCCGGATGTTCGCCGCCTTGAGACCGCTCGCCGCGATGATCTCATGCACATGCGCGATCACCCGCCTGAAGTGAACACAGCAATTCTTGGGACTCAACCTTGAATTGGGACATCATTATCATGTGACAATCTTTGGCATGACATTGGCAATCACCACAGTGCATGCACCCGTCTAGCCACTCTTACAGAGCCTGTTGCCGGTTGGTGAGTGATACGGGACCTGATTGGGATCACATTTGTTCCCGCTCGTGAAGTCTTTGGGAAGGAAAGGGAACCCCATAGAAACCTCTTGTGTACATTGCTGCCCTGACATTGGCAAATGCCCATCGGCAATGCCCATGGCTCTGCATGCATGCATGCATGCATGCATGCATGCACAATGTCAAAAAAATGCAGGATTGCGCGCCTGTTGAGGCCGTTGGCTGTCCATGAGTAGTGGAACCCCGAGTGCACCATGGGCAGAGACGCCAGCCACCAACGACCCCTCCTGGGCGGATGCGCCACCCGCCATGCCTGCAATCACATTCGAACTGAAATTCAAATAAAAGTGGTTCGATACTCTGGACTCTTTACGCCAAGGCGCCTACACTGACAGAGTTCCACTAGGTTTTCTTCATGTGGTGCTCGAAACATATGTGAGATGGCAATGACAGCCAGGAATGGAGGGAGCTGTATAAAGAAAGCCTACCTCTTGACAGGAGCCTAGGAATTGAGATCTGTCCAATTGATTAATCAAGAAGAAGTGCCAATTCAGCAAAAGCACATTTGGTGGGGGTGGGCTTGGGTTGTGCAGAATGCATGCGGGGCAGCAGTTGCCACGGGCAGGCAGAACTCAAGGCGCCAGCTCAGACAAAGCTGCCGCTAAGTCACTTTTATGCTGGATGTCTGGAATGAGTCAGCGGTTACAAAAGATGACTCGCCTGCAGGTCTGCGATGGCGTTGCGCAGCGAAGCAGTCCCCCGGAATGAGATCACGATCGTGCGCTCCGACCAGCCAATCAGCACCTGCGAGGGCGTTCAAATATTTGAACTACTGAATTCAAATTCAAATCCATCATCTTATATATTCCTTCAAGGCGTGCCTTGCTCAGTGTCATCTTTCCAGGTCTGGCAGGCGGGCAAGAAGCACAGAACAAGAAATGATGGGCTTAGCATAGCTCTCTGCAGGGAGAACTTGCACGGGGAGTTCGGAAGAGAGAATGGTTCCATCAGAAAACTCTCGGCAGAGAACCTCATTGCTTGATATGCCACTTGGCGCAACAAGGAGGTGGATAAGGAGGCTGCAAGGAAGATCACCACATTGGCACTGCTTGGCACTTATATGCAAGCACTTCTGTAGTGGGTGGACACAACAGAAGTTGTCAAAAGAGAGGAAGGGGAAAAGCGGCACCTTGGTGTCAAGGGAGCGTTCCCAGAAGAGCTGCACCTGCTGCAGCCCAAACATCCCCATGCCCGCCTGCGGAGTGAACCGGGGCTGGCTCGGCCCATCACCCTGCATCACATGTATAACTTCAGAGCATAATTGCACCGTACGGATTCGGCCATTCGACATACGGTGAATATTCGGTCGTATATGGTGTTTTGGGCCAAAATAGGCCATTTTTTGTGACCCTATTCGGGGTATATTTTAATACCGTATGACCGTATATTCGGCCGTATATACGGTCCCCAAAAAGTGTTCTGACCGAATTGTGCAACTATGCATGCTTCAAAGCAAGGAATCTGTGGGCTGAAGATAGTGCATACAGCCCTTATGTCACCCACCTGGTTGCTGCTTAGTGAAGCGATCTCTCATCAAATCAAGCAACAGGTGCCCTGACTGCAAGTGACTGCAAATTTGTTCCTGCAAAGGCGCCCGGTCCTGAAACCCCAGATATATGGCACCCCACATGGCCTTGGTTCCTCACAAGAAGAGTATCAACAAAAGCCACAAAAGCCATCACCGGGGTTCTCCCTCATCAAGCCGGGCACGAATAAAAATAAAATACAGAAATATCTGTCTGAATCCTTGAACGTCCACCGCTGAGATAGGCATGGTTCATGAAGCTGGCAAGAGAAACACTCAACATCCTAATATGAAAAGAGCACGTGAACGGCCTCACCAGCGCAGGCTTGTCCCTGGTGAGATCCGGCGCGGTCTCGTCGTAGCGGTACACGAGAGTGCTCCAGTAGAGCGCCTTTAGCGCCGTCTCAAAGCAGAACATCGGCTCCGCGGCCAATGCTTCAGCCGCGGCCGGCCCCGTCAGCCGCGTCAGCCGCTCGGCCAGCCGCTCGGTTTTTTGGGCCTCCGTCCAAGCGAACTGCTGCAGCCAGACCTGCGCGGAGGCAACAGATTCTAGGATTGCAGTCATTAAGATGGGCAGAATAGAGATATATGAAGTTGCAATCCTCTGTCTGTGAATGTAAAGAAGTGATCTGCCAGTCAGCTCAAAGCAGCAAGCTCTTCATCACTGCAGGAAAAGATCCATGGGTCATACATGGACTTAATAGAGTTCATGCACAGCAAGAATTTCCTGTGCTTGGTGGATATGTACCCAGTGCCCATGTCTCCCTGTCCAATTATGATTTGCCGAAGATAAAACATCGAAGTGCAAGTCTTGGGGGTAGGAGCTAGACCTGCAGAATGGGGTCATCGCCGTTGTGTGGGTTGCCAGGCATGAAAGAAACGCAGTCCGCTATCACCAGCGCTGCCACCACCACCTGCACAGAGAACAAGTTCTCTTATGTCAACTGCATTATAGGAGCCCAAAAGATATCCTTCCGCGAAAGTGATTCGAGATATTTGGATGAAGAGTAAAGGATTTCAGCATCAGGGCGACGATGCAACCTGGCAGCCTCTGGTAATTAATCGGACCGGAAAGGTCTCCCGACTCAAGAGTGTTTTGTTAGTTTGTTCACACCATTTCAGGTTTGAGGACAACGTTCACAGTTACACTGTGCACCCATGCATGCACCTGCATTGTGGGGGCCCGATTGGGAATAGGGTAGTGATAATTACAGGTATCTTGGCCCCGGCTGGCGGGGGGCGGTACAAATACTGAGCACCGTGCCCACGCTTCATTGGGTCTTGCTTGGATCTGGCAAGTCCAACAAGGGGTAGGATTGTGGCAGCCTTCGATTGCAGCTTGTCTGCAGGACGCACCTTGCCTCTTGGCAGGAAAGCGTGTAATAATAATAATGATAATAACAATATAATTACAGGTGCGGTTTTCTCATCTTCATACCCTTGCGCTGGGGATCTTATGGGGTAAAGGAAGTGGGGCAGTCACCTGCATGGGGAAGAGGCCCTGCCAGGAGAAGAAGAAGGATGCGCACGAGGTCGGGTTGATGAACCACAGGAATACGCACGTCAGAATCGCCACTGCAAACGCAGTGATGGTCCGAGACGCCTGCCACACAACAAACCGACACCGGCCTTTGTCTAACGCTTTTAGTAATGTCCTAAAAAGAGACAACCCCACAAAATGTGGACACAGGTTGCGCTGTGCTCTGGGTGCCTCACTTCAAGCAAAGGCGCCAATCGATGCATGTATGATTATCATGCCCAAACACATCTGAAGAGAACCCCTCAGGTTCCTTCAAGTCAAGAATCTCTCGGTTCATCTCACAGATCTGAACACAGCATGGCATGCCAGCATGACATGCAAGCTAGTATATAAGTCCTCTCCAAGAAAGTGTGAGCTTGTCAGGTAGTGTAAAAACACAGCACTTTCAGCCTGACCAGGTTATTGCCAAGATCACAGCACACAGTATGTTCACACGGTGGTGCATGGTGCTGCAATGGCATGCACATAGGAAAAACTCCCCTCTGCAAATAAGAGAAAGTTTCTCAAGCAGCGTGGAAAACACAGCACCTGCAGCCTGACAAGCATGCAGAATTCCATCCATTTCGATGCTTGCTTTGGTAAATATGATTGAGCCTGACAGAGAAAATTGCTTGGATCTGGCGAGTCCAACAAGTGGAAGGATTGTGGCATCTTTCAACTGCAGCTTGTCTGCAGGACGCACCTTGGCAGGAAAAATGGAAGGTGTTTATTGCCTAGCTATTGGAATAAAAATTCAAAAATATATTCGTATTTCAGTGCATGCCGGGCGATCTGGTGGGGGGAGCTCACCAATTGTGTATCACCTCACCTTATTGGACTGCTAAAGATGTTACTAATGAGCGGTATAAGAATATCAGAGGAAGCTGAGAGAGTGCAGCACCTGTAGCCTGACGAGCACGTTGCCGACCCGGAATGAGTTGTAGGGGCGCGAGCGAAGTAGCACAAACCCCCGGTGAAGGTAGTAGACGTACAGTAATAGGTACACCGTCATCATCACGCCCCCGGAGAACGTGGCGATCTTTGTAAAGCTGCACATACCCAAATTTTTGATCAACCCCTGAAAAAACTTTACTCGCACATGTCACAGACACTTAGTCAAAGCATAGAGAAATATAATCTGCTCAAGTTACAGACACTTAGTCAAGCCCTACAGAATCCAAATTCCACATTCACCCAGGCATGCAGGGAACCAGGTGACAATGACGGCTTCTAAAAGGTTGACCACCGTTTGGTAGGGTCCAAATAACTCGTTTTTCGGATTTGGACAATCTGTTATTGATCATGTGCCGCAATAAGGAAGTCAGGAGCTTACTTGGGGGGACTGCAGCTGTAGCGCCACGAGCGGCAGTCGCCCTCGTTCGAAAGAGTGATGTACCGCTTCTCAGCATCTGCATGACAAGACTTGCTTCTTCATGCATAAGATCACAAATTGTAAGGTTCAGGATTTCAAGGGAGCAAGAAGCCCTAAATACCCACAAAAAAGTAGATTCCACGAGAATCCCATCAGAAAGGCAGTGGTGTCTAAGTCCTCTGCGATTGCGCCACATTTTTCCGTGTAGTAAAATTGTCTATTGAATGGCAAGACTGTAGCGATGTGGATAGCAAAAAACACTTTGTGGAGGGACTCACAGAATGGAGAGAAGATGTCTGTCAGCTCCAGAACGTAGGGGATCTCAAAAATAGCCCTGCAACCACACAGGATCACTCAAGCAAGATTGTTTGGCACGAGATGCTTCCTTGGCAATCTTGTCTTTTAAGGCCAACGCCAGCAAACCAGGCCTTGCTATCAGACCGTCCTTTGCATGCATCACCACACACATGCAACGGCCGGTACAGCTGTGCTCAAGGTTCAAGTGCTAGATTGGTTACGTTCAAGTTCTCTACTGAGTTCTAAAGGGCTGCTCACCAGAGGATGAGTTTGGGGCTGTGTGTGCGCCACTGAGGAGCATCTAATACAATGGCATCCGCTCTGCCTCCAAGCAACTTCCCTGCATGACATATATATAATCTTGCTGAGAGCATTGACACTATCCACCTCACCCCGAGCTGTCCAATGAAATATTCTAGAGTGAGCATAGGCTGCATCTGCAAAAGACTGATTGTCTGAGTTTGAGTCAGGCCCAAAATGTATGGAGGGGGCATGCAAGGGCAGGTCTCAAAACTGCTGAATAAGTGCTCATAATGGGAGCATAATATTAAGTGCACCCTTTTTTTGATTTTTCTGGGTTTTGTTTTGGGTTCTTGGTTTTGGGTTTTGGGTTTTAGGTTTTAGGTTTTAGGTTTTGGGTATAGGGTAATAATAAGTGCACCTTTCTTGTCGGCCCAGGGGTTTGTGTTGTGGCCCGTGATGACAAATATGATCATCATCTGCAGCACACACCTCACTTCAGCACTCACTCCTTAACTTCTTAAAATCCGCACATCCAGAGAAGTCCTGCATGACTACAATGCACTCATATTCAAGAAACCCCGGCATGCACACGCAAAATCCCATTACTGGTGTGTCGACGCAGGTACTGCGAATTGCAGTATTTATGGCTCATGCAAGGCTGCTTTGACCGCCAACACTAAGCAGAGTGCAGAGTGCAGATTTACGAGTCTGCACTGCTGGACAGGACGGATTGGGCACAGCTCAAGCTTCGAACATTACCAGCCAACCCAAACATGCATGAAGACAGACAAGATATGTAAGAGCCCCAGTGGCCACGTGGGTGCCGCATTGGCTGCCGCCGCAGAGCAGACCCAAAGAGTTCAGGCATTTTTTCAAGAAGAACCTTTCGATTCTATTCTTAGGATTTAGGGTTGAGGGACTGCAGACGACTAGTAATTTAGCGACCCCTAGCGGCGATGGAGAAAGGGGAAATAACCCACCAGGTTCAGAGTGCTCCAGCGGATGATGCCACAGATTGCTACAAATTTGCCAAACCAGGCGCAGTCGTGGGACAGTGTCCATGCGTTCGGCGCCAGCCATGTCACCTCCTGAATCAGCTGCGCGACACAGAACAAATATGAGTTTGAGTGTGCAAACACATACAAATTTGGGAAAAGCAAGGCAGGGAGGACCGAATACATTCTGCAGTGCTGCTTTCTTAGGGAGGGTAGCTAGTGATATTTTACCGCCCCTTGACGTGCACTAGGGGCATGCATGTAAGCAATCCTTGACTGCTTGCAGCGAAGGACTTTGCATTGGAACTTCTTGTCCAAGAGCAGCAAGGGAAAGGAGATTACATAATTGGAGTGAGGCCATAATGACTCACCATCGCAATGCCCTGGATCCAGTAGATGCGGCACATGGTCAGCCGCCGTGGTGACCTGCAAATTGAAGGCACCATAACAACTAAAGTGGACTTCATACTACAGAGCCGACCATCAAATATATGCCATGCTCTCTGCCATGTTCTTCGCACTGGTGAGACCATTGCGTGTCTCCAGACGCATGGAGAAATATTAAACAGTACTCAGAGAGGCGAGTACAAATTGGAGTTGATGGGCGCCTACAGCATGCAGTGGCCAATTCCAAGAGGCCCACATTCTACAGTTCCAAACACCCAACTTGAAAAAAAGGAAGAAGTATCAAAGGTCAAGGTCAAAGGTTTTGAATTGCTCACCAGCGCATGTTCCTTGTGTGGCAGACAATACGGCGGTAGGTGAAGTGGGTGACAACTGTGACTGTCAGACCGATGATAATAGCCGCTGCAATGAGGTTCATGTACTCCAGCGCGGTGCTGCGGAAGAGGAAGGAATCATCCTGCACAGAAATACACACAAATGAAAATGATGCATGTATTGAAAATGCTTTGTTGCAAGGGGCTAGAGCTCTACCACACAGATGCAATAGAATTCATACTACCACAATGCTCTCAGTGCTGCACCGCGGAAGACCTCTATTACCCCATAGGGGATAAATACTGGGAAGTAAAGCACGGTCTGCATTGGTCTAGACAGGGCTTGTGACCTGGCCATGCATTGAAGGGCCCATAAGCTAGATTGCTCATCAGGACACCACCTCTGAGGACAATCAGGTAATTGCATACATGGCAGGCAATTCGTGGACATTTTTGTCTCGAGCAGTGCGCATCCCTCAACATGCAAGAACTCTATGTGGATGTACAGTGGGGTTGAGCGCACCACAATGGATCGGCTGATGATGAGAAGGATGATGAAGGCTGTGATTCCCACCAGCAGAGACAGCAGCACAAACGCTGCCGTCACTCGCAGCTGCCTCGCGGATTCGAATTCAAATCGCAGCACCCTGCAACAAGAAAACCCATTGCCTCTCAGCAATGCTGCAAACAGTTCTCTCTGCCCTTGCACAGCACTGCAAACGAGCCTCCACTGCTGAAGAATGAAGCTGTGATTTGCTGTGAAATACATACTGGAAGGCACAGCTTGGGTGGGTTCCATTTGGTTTGCCAGATGTGCACTGTGTTTGGACATCCCCCGAGCTTACAATCTCGCCATGCTATCAACACCTTTTAGGGGTACGTGTGTATCAACAAGGACTGGCCCTTGGAGAGTAGGGTGTATAGAGCAAGGAATGGTCCAGGGAAAGGGGCGTACACATCTACGTTGGGGTCAAAATTACTGTTCACGCTGAAGCCGCCCATGAAGTCCACTTCCTCGTCCTCGCTGGCGGCTGAGCTGGCGCCATCGCATTCGCCACCCTTCTCGACATCCCAAACCCCTTCCCTGTACGCTGTATCTCCTCCTTCGAACCCCTGACCCTTGCCGTGCAGCAGCGCGTCGTTCACATCCGCGTTCAGCCGCCGCACTCGGCCGCTTCGGTCCTCTTCCATGACGGCGCTGTGACCAATCGGTGGAGAGGTAATGCCCTCCGAGACCGGCATTAGAGACTGGAAAGAGTCATCGGCTGCTGCGGCGCGCTGGGAAGCTACCTGCTGCGGCTCATGCTCTGGCCAGGAAGGCATATTTGGCGGTGAGGAGCCCGGCTGTGGCTGTGAAGAGCAGTGCTGCTGCAGGGGCTCACTTCCTGGCAAGTCATCAGGTCAGAAGTCAGGGATATTGGAAGCACTTAAAAGCACCCAATAGGTGCAAGGACTCTTGAGCTAGTTTCTCATTCCAAGAGTGGAAGGCTTTTCAAATAGTGGCAGGCGCATGCAGGGTAGGTCCGATGGTTGGACAAACTGGAAAAGCAAGCTCAAACGGTGGTTGAGTTTCACCTGAGGGCCAGCCATCGGGCTTCGTTTCCAGGGATGGAGCTGGCAGATCGGCAGGGAGGTGATCTGTAGAGGTCTTCGCTGGGATGTTCAGGGCCCCACTTCCCTTGAATGGTTCCGATTTGCTAGATTCAGAGTCTGCAGCCCTCATCGCGATGCATTCTGGGGCTTTCTAGCAATAGAAGGGCTCAGTGAGCTTTCACAGATTATGTAAGAAGGGCTGTCTGACCAAGTCCTGTCGGCTCCTTCTCGATCAGCGCGGCCTTGTTGACTTGCATCCACTAAATAGAAAATATTTACCTTTTCCATCGCATCTGACACCACATGCATTGCCGTATTCTGTCAGACTTACACGGGTACTTCTAGCTACAAGACGGAAGCACCCTGTTGGGCGCGGCGAATACCCGTCAGCTGTGCCGGGGCAATCGATGACTTCAACGACAAGAGAAAAACTTTTTGAGAAGTCGAGGTCACTAGAAGAGATCGCCCCCTGAGCCCAGATCTTGGAAATCGAAAGCCGAGTAGAGCCGAGCAGGCCTTGGAGTCGCCGTCGAACCGAGTGGCTAGTTCGTCAGGTCTCTAGCTACCGGCAGCTTCGCACCTGGAAGTTGCATTGGTTGCACTTCAGGTGGGAGGAAGGGGGGAAGTGCACTATAGGTGGGAGGAAGGGGGGAAGGGTAAAAACTAGGATCATTCTGCCTGGGATCGTCACCAAGGTCCCGATATAAGACACTCTTGAAGTGTAGTACTGTAAACGGATTTCAGCACCCTTCATTGGCTCATATTATAATCAGAGTGTAAGACGAGATCTGGGTCAGCTTCTGAGGCCGTGACGTCCCCCTTGAGCTCACTGAATAAAAAGCGCAAGTGTATCTAACACCCACGGAGAGGGATCTCGTGTCAAACCAGATGGTGCGAGCCCTTCAAAAATTTCTTGGACGCTTGGATATCACTTAAATGACACTTTCATGATGATGTAAGACAAATCTGCTTCCATCTGGTCACTTAAGGCTCTATCTTGCGGTCGAAGTGGTGACTTCCACTGCGTAGGCAATTGTTGCAACGACCCAGCAGTCCAGGTTCCACAAGGAGACTTTGAAGACTGTTGCGGAGGATGTTGACTTGAAGACCCTGAGTCTCACGGTCGGCGACGAGGAGCTGCTCACAGACGCCAACCTGCGCCTGTTCTCAGGGGTGCACTATGGCCTTGTTGGGGCGAATGGCGTGGGCAAGTGCGAGCCTCTCCGCCCAAGAACGCAGCGCTCACACCTTGTGCAGCATCCATGAGCTCAATAACACTCCAGGCAAGACAATTAGCGTCATCCTGGGCACATATAAGTTCGTGTTCTGCAGGCCATGCCTTCTGAGATGGTGATAACGTTGTGGTCGCAGGTCCACCCTGCTGAAGGCGATCGGGAGGGGGCTGGTGGTGGGCTTCCCCAGGACCATAAGGGCGCTTTACGTGGACCAACTGGAGGTTTCCGAGGAGTGTTCCAGTGTGCTGGAAGTGGTAATGAGCGCTGACAAGGAAGTTGTGCTCTGGCGCAGACAGGCGCAGCAGCTGCAGGTGCAGTCCCCCCACACGGTTGCTTCACGTATTATCACACCTTTCCTCTCTCCTCCTTCCCTTTATTGAACTGGCCCTATGCTTTAGGGGCAACAATACAGCATACAACACACTGCAACAGCTAGTTGAGCGGGGCACATGTATCTGCACTCGGTAAATGTCACCTCTGTGGGGTTCTTCTTCTGGTTTTGAGATGTGTGCTGCTCTGCTGCGCAGGAGGCGCTGCAAGCGGAGGACCCGGGGCAGGCGGTGGCGGTGGTTAAGGCTGTGAAGATCTCCGAAGCGCGCGCAGGTCATCCATTACTCTTCACCGGCTTTTTCTGATATGTCATTAGTGACCAATGATCGCCTTTTGACCTAATTTGAAGCAACGCATCCCAGATTGATACCTGAAGAGGCCCCTAACCGAGCCAGAACCCTAATATCCAAATCCCCTAACCCTGAGCTGAAAGGGTGAGGAAGGATGTAAATGGGGCGCGCAGGGGTTGAGGAAGCGCGGCTGATCAATGACCTGCGCAGCGGCGCGCGAGGAAACGAGGCACGGCAACAGCTGCTGGATCTGGAGGCGAGGTGTGGCAAACAGCCAACATCAGCGCCTTGTTGTCACCCAGGAATGATACAGACAATCAAAGACGTGTAGAGACGCTAACATCGACACGTGTTGATGTTGATCTGGTTTAGAAGGCACAGATGCTAGATTTGGAGGGGGAAGGCATATAATATATGCCACAGCTGGTATGGAGGGCCTCTGCAGTTTAAGTATATCAGCACCACGTTTCCACCTTGTGAATTTTCAGAACAGGGTCCTGGGGCGTTCCCTTGCAAGAGCCAAGGCAGCTTTGCCAGCGAGAGTGAAAAGTAACTTGCACGACACTAGTGCTGTGATGAGGAGCACGTGGACATGTGCGCGCAGGTGCGCCAAGGCGGAGGCGGCGGCCGAGCGGAAACCGAGCGCGCGCGAGCTCAAAGCTGCGCCGGCAGCTGCACAGGAGCTTCTGGAGGGGCTGCTCGAGAGCCTGAGCATTGCCGACGCCGACGCGGCCGAGGGCAAGGCACGGCGCATTTTGCGCGGGCTGGGGTTTGCCTCCCGGCAAACGGACGGCCCCGTCTCGCAGCTGTCCGGTGGGTGATAGAAACGCAACATGCACCCCATGAAGGGACTTTAGTTTTCGGGGTGAAACTGCCCTGTATCTCTGTGTCATCTGGTGGCCTCACCGCAGGGCATTTGAAAAGGAGTAGATCAGGTCTGGGAAGCACTTGAGTGCCGGGAAATGCAAGGCACTTCCAGCAGGCAATATGTATTCGGCAAGGTGGTAAAGAGGTTCCTTTGCGTGCAATGCAGGCGGCTGGCGCGTGCGCACAGCTTTGGCGCAGGCCCTCTTTGTGGAGCCAGACCTGCTCCTGCTGGTGCGCGTCTCCTCCAAACAAGACAGCATGTGGGTTTCAGAATGGGAATAAAATATTGAACACTGCGGCCGTGGTATTGTACACAGGTGTACGTGGCCACTTGGGGCTATTTACTGATGGAAGACGATTGATTTCTGTCTTGTGTATCTGCAGGATGAGCCGACAAATGCCTTGGACCTGCCTAGCATCCTCTGGCTGCAGGTTTGAGGCCTACCCAAATTGCTCGCAGCGCTGTCTCTTGGCATGTATAGCCACTCCCATGTGTCAGTCTGCACAGCACATGCTTTTCTCAGAGATCATATCTGCTTTCTCAGTGCATCTCATTAAACATCCTCCTGCCTGAAAGAAGCACATTATTCTGTATCTGATCTCATGGTCTTGCTGCATGCATGCTCTTGATGTCACTGTCACTGTTTAAATTCTGCTGTGGCGACTGCTGCAGAGATATTTGAAGTCGCTTGATGCGACAACTATTGTCGTCGTCTCCCACGATCGAGCCTTCCTGGATGCCGTAGCTAACGAGATTATTGTCTTCCGCCACAAGCGCCTCGCCTACCATGTTGGCAACTACTCAGGTGCCTCACGTTCACATGGATGCCAGCTATGGTCCATGAAAGCCATCCTTGCCTCTACATATCGCTCTTGAAAGGACAATTCCTTCTCAAGGCATCAACGGCTGATGCATGCTTCTTCCATGGAAGTGACTGCCGACCTAATAAGAAAGCTTGCTGTTGACAAAGCTAGAAGGAGGGCAAGTTTTCTACGCTGATGCTTTGGCGATGCTTCAGAATTTTTAGATTTTTGCAGAGCGGAGTACAACTGACAATGCATGCCTTGTGGCGCCAGAGTTCGTGCAGAACACTGAGGAGAAGCAGCTGCACCTGGCGCGTCTGCAGGACGGCATCGACCGCAAGAAAGCCCACATCGAGAAAACCATCCAGGTTATTGCCTGGTCCAAATACCTCAGTTCAACCTGAACAGGCAGAGGTTGCATGCAGATCTTCTGTCTAGTGGGATGCGTGGTGGAAGAGGCACAAAGATGCCTTGACATCAGACAGATGCCGAGCCCCCACCAAGAATTGCAGTATCAAGTCGTTGTCAAGTATCAGGAAGATCTCGCCATGGAAAAAGATGCCCAAAAGGCCTCCAATAGGTCTGCCTCTGATCAAGCAAAGCATGATGAGTTTGATTCTGGCTCAGAATGAACGCTGGCGGTAGGCTTTGACACAAGCAAGTCGAACGGGGGTATATTCGTAGTCGTCAGGATTACTGACCACGGGATTGTTGGTTATCACTGTGTTCATCACTGAAAACCTTGAATTTTTGATGTGTGGCAGACGAACGAGGCGGCGGCAAAGAGGTCTGGCGACGACAAGAAGTTGCAGATGGTGGCCTCGCGCAAAAAGAAGCTGGAGGAGCGCCTGGGGCAGGAGAAAAACGACAAGGGGCACCGATTCAGCCGCAACAAGTGCGCAGCCGCCGCTGCACTATTGGCCCCTCAGATCGATTGCCCCATTCTGTGGATCATGTGCAGTTGCGCTTGTCTTTGGCACAAGTTTGTAAGGTCTGGGGAGCACACTGCGGTAGAACATCCTGGGAATTAGCTCGTCTGTAGATCTGAGTACAGATCTCTGCTCATGGTAGAATTGTGTGCAAGGAGATCATGAGCTTGAGGGCAGGAATCTCTGGGATTATTCTACCTCTAATTCAAACAGCCACCTGAGATCCATTTTCTGCGGAGTGAAGTGCTGAGGACCTTGGTTGTGTCGGCGCAGGGACATGGGCGGGTATCACCTGAAGAGCCGCAAGGATGTGGAGCTGGACGCACCCGACGTGGCAGCTGCCTGGAAGCTTCCCGAGCCGGGGCAGCTGCGCACGCGCGGGCCGCTGCTGCAACTGGAGGCCGTTTCGTTCGCGTACCCCGCGACCGTTTCGAATTCGAATTCGAACTCGACGCCCGTGGAAGGGCAGCCTGATTTGGCGGGCGCGGCAGGGAACGCCCCCAGACCTTCGCCCGCGCGCAGGAAACCCGTCCTGACCAACATCACGCTCTGCGTGGAACAGGTTTGACTTTATGATCTGGTGCTCTCAACTTTGATCTGCAAATGCAGCTTTGCACAGCAGCAGCAGCAGCAGCGGTCCACATAGACACCGCAGCTTGATGAAATCATTTGATGCAGTTATCTGTAGTTGTGTGCACCTCCTGATCGTCACAAGACACTGGATGTCAATCCCGGTACTTTTGCCCTCTTCCAATTAATTCTTAGATTCTGAACATTCTTTCTGATACCCTGCAAAATATGAACAATGACAGGGCTGAAGGGTGGGCGCATGCATGCGCAGGGCAGCCGCATAGCCCTGGTGGGCGCAAATGGGCAGGGCAAGTCGACGTTAGTAAAGCTGATGCTGGGGGAGCTGAGTCCAGTCAGCGGCTCCGTACAGCGGCACCCCCAGGCCAAATTTGGCGTCTTCGCGCAGGACAACGTGGAGCGATTAGTCATCGGCAGGGGACAAATCAGCGCGCTCGCGCACATGAAGGAGCTGCACCCGGACGGTAAACTCTATTATTTATATTCCTTGATGCAAACTTATACAAATCCTGAAAGGTCAGAGAGTCTTTGGTTTGCCACGCGCCTGATATTGCAATTCCCTCAAACCCCATTCTTATTCTCCCTAGAAACGAGAATGAGTTGCTCTTTGAAAGGACATGCATGATTTGTAAGGCAGGAATGACATGGGTACCAAATTGCTGTAGTGCCAGTTTGTTTTGTGAGCATCAGCATGGCGTGGCCATCTATTGAGTGCGCAGCCCTGATCAGCAGCCTTCATGACTGCGTTATGCTACTATAGTGCAGCAAGGAAGTCATGGTACACGCGACAGCTGCTGTCTTGTTGTACACTGCCTGGCAGCTTGACAAGCAAGCTGTCTATTACGACAGTCTCAGCTTGACAGCAGCTGCTGCTTGGCCCCTGCAGAGAAGGAATGGGGGCTCAAGAACCATCTGGGCTCCTTAGGTAACAGAGGGGCCCCTGCACCTCAGCCGATTCTCAGCATCAACTTTCACACAGTCCTGCTATTGACAGCACTTTGTGCTTTGACCCATGTAGTGAAGGAGCAGGAGCTGAGGAATCACCTGGGATCTTTCGGCATCAAAGGAGCCCTAGCGACTCAGCCGATGCGCAGTCTGTCTGGGGGCCAGGCCGTGCGCGTGGGACTGGCGGCTGTGGCCTTCGCTTCGCCGCAGCTTCTCGTGCTGGTGACTCACCCCTCACCTCACCCTCACGTCACCCCTTATGTAATCCAGCGCCTGGTCTGGCACCCCCTCCGCTGCCGTGCATTCCTCCTCTAGGCGTCAGCTCGCTCTGTTTGGTTGTATGCTGAATGCTGACTCTGCGGATCAGTGTCGGGCATTGATCCAGCCCTAGCTTGGCTGAAATAAATGTAACACGGAAGGCAGACTGACTGTGTTCAAGGAAGGAAGACTTACACTGAATGCTGCTTAACTTGGCAAGCATGTGCCCTGAGCGCAGTCATGCAGGTGCAAACAAGCCCAACAATTACTGTCGTAGAGTGGCAGGCCGGGGATTTGAGGTTACTATATAGTTCAAATTCGAATTTGAATTGCTGGGTGTTCTGCGTGCAGGATGAGCCGACTGCACACTTGGACATGCAGTCGATAGGCAGCCTTATGGCCTGCCTGCAAGCCTACTCTGGCGCGCTCGTCCTCGTCTCCCATGACCAACACTTTGTCGCCAGCGTTGCCTCCCAGGTCAGTACTCACCAGCGATCGAGCTGATTGCAGTCATCTGACAAAGATTTCTTTTTGCATGCATGCCAGCCATGCAATGCACCCTGCACCTATAGATGGCTACCCTGCAGATTACTGCATGACTCATCCTCATGCCGCCAAAGATGTAGATGTGCTTGCCATGCACAAAGGTGGCATGGCCCAACGAGCTGGCGGTTCTCTGGTGCCTGTGCGTCAGCATCCGGTAATGTGAACTCAGAAATATTATTGCTGAACAAGAACAGGGGATTACCTGCAAAACCATACGAAGTAAAGGACAAGAACGAGGGTTCATCGCTTTGACTGCACAGTTTCTGAATGTTGTAGCAGCTTCTGACAAGCTGAGGGCCTTTAGGCTCAGGCAGTCATGCTGAGGCTCATCAGTTCTTCTGGCGTTGGGAGTCAAGCAGTGTCAGTAAGAGCATCACATCTGAACGGTGGTACTGGTGGCTAGGAGTGTGTGTTGTGAATGTTCAGGTGTTTCTAGTGGAGAAGTCTTCTCTGCGCTTGCTGGAGGGCGGGGTCAAGGACTATGTCAAGGAGATCAGGAAGAAGCTGCGCGGCAGCCAATAACCTCCACCGCCCCTGATTTATTGATTATCAATCCCCTGATCAATATATATTCTTCTACCAGCTCTCCGTGCGCATCCCCTTAACAGCAGTTTCATATTGGCCACAACTTCTCTCGGGGCGCCATCATGGAATATTTTGAGCTATTGCCAGCAGCGGTGATTTTTAAAGTGCCCCAGGGTCCCCTTGTTCAAGGCATGATTCCTTGAGGGTGTTGATATAAGCATCAGAAGTTGGAAAAAGAACATAAAGTTATCTCTTGTAGCTCAGCTATATGTATAATCACAGGTGTCCAGGTAGTAGAAAGGTGTTCAAGTAGTGAAGTACACTGAAAAAAGTTCCCTCTGCAACACGGCAGTGTGCACTTTTCATGATGAGACGAACAATGGAAAAGTATCTGTAGATAGCCTTCTGGATTATCTTGATGTGCAGATACCTTTCACCGATAGTCTTGACCTCCACAGAGTGGCAAAAATCTTAGAGTTAAAAAGCACATGAATACAGGGTCTGATAGGTAGCTGCTGTTGAGCTGCCCACTGCAAGTTGTAGTTGCTCAAAAAAATCATACTTCTAAGAGAATGCACCGCAACCCCATTTTTTCTTGTTCTACCACATTGCTGTGTTTTGGCACATTGTCATAACGGATGAATCCCGCGGAATATTCAGCGACGCATATTATTTCTGCGCTCTCCAGGGATAGCAACAATTACAGTATCATGTTCATCACACAATATACCTCACAGAAATGTGTCACCATGTTGCACTGTCAGAGCCAATGGACTAATGATCATCTGCCCATGCAGGTTCTGCACTTTGGGACCGTGGATGCCAACAATACGGTACCCTAACTGACCTCAATCTTCGCACAGTGCTACACCCTTGCATGCACCTCCAGATGGTCAGAGAATAGATGGCTCAATTGAAATATGCTGGCGCTGCTGTGGCAGCTTATTGCTGACAAATCCTTATTAATTATGGCCAGGAAGATCTCTTGATGTTCCAGCTCACATGTTCCAGTTGAGCGGCTCTTCAAGTGGCTGGTACACTGACTTGGTCTGCGTCATTCGCAGCACTTGGTTAGTCCCATACCCTGAGCCCTATAAAAATATAAAAAATACATAACCCTGATAGCTCGAAACCCCCACCAGTGGTCCAGAATAAGGGCAGCAAGCAATGCTAATACTGGGCAGTTTCTTCCTCTGGATTTTACATATCACGCAGATCAGTATCAAGCCTTCAGATATATGCAGCTTCAACCATACTAGGTCTCAATGCAACATTGGCTGGGTTGCCAGTGTGCATGCGATCACATCACTCAGCATCATATCTCGTGCCTGATTCTACATCGGCTGTTATCCATGCATATCACAAGAAAAAGCCAGCAGCAAAAAGGGTGGATCACCTGGGTGTAGTGACTAAGCGCAGCCTCGCCGTGCTCGCGTCCGATGCCGCTCAGCTTGTAGCCCCCAAAGGGGACTCCTGCGTCAAATGTGTTCCATGTGTTCACCCAGATCGTGCCTGCCTTGAGTCCTCGGGACAGCGTTGTGGCCCAGTTCAGGTTCTGTGTGAACACTCCTGCTGCCAGGCCATACTCTGTGGCATTCGCCCGCTCCAACACCTGTGTTAGAAAGCTTGTCAAGCTCCTGTGCTAATGGTAGTTTAGACACTTGCTGCAAGGAAGGGCGACTGTGCTAGTGGTAGGTTAGACACTTGCTGCAAGGAAGGGCGACTGCAAGGAAGGGCGCTCAACTCTCAATCAACTGACCTCGCACCAAATGGACACTACTCACTGATTACTACTACCAGTCAGATCATCTGCTGTCACCTCAGCGGCATGCAAGCAAATGTGTGAAGCGTAGGACATCTGGCTACCAGAGACACATCAGTCTGCTCTGACCCACCCGTGGTGCAACTAGAGTGGTACGCACATGGCCTATAACCCGTTAGGAATGTCTTGATATGTGAACCCTCATTGCTGTGTGAACTTGCTGGTGCTCCAAATTCCCCAGCATCAGTTGCGACATTTCAATGTGGATATGGGCAGGCTACAGATTACTGACAGACTTTTACGAGCATTTCTGTAGGATTGGGCATCCTAAACAGGTCCGCATGCGCACCTCCCCGATAGTCGACCACTTGAGGATAGACTGGACGGGGCCGAAGATCTCGTCTTTTGCAATGCTCATTTCATCCGTCACATTGCTGAAAACTGTCGGCTCCACATAGTAACCCTTGTCCCCTGCGATTCGACAGACTCAGTAGCTCAGAACCAGCATCGTGCAGCAGTAACCAATGAGGGAGTACGAGAGACTTGTCAGCCACTAGGGCTCAAATAGTAACTTCACCAAATGAAAGGCATTTGCATTCCTAGGACGTTCAAATGGGCCACAGGGATCCTGGCAAGTTGGTAAGCGCATGTGAACAGCGCACGCGGTAGAAACAGCCGCCTACCCCACATTAAAATCCGAAAACCCCATGAAATTGTAGTATTTCATCCAGGCTGGCAACCAAATTATACATTATCACATTGGCTTGTGGCTCGGGAATAATGACAAAAAAAAAAGAATTGGACTTCTGGATTCGTACCGATGCGCTTGCCGCCATACTCAAGCTTGGCGCCCTCCTGCTGGCCCTTGTCAATGTAGCTCAAGATCTTCTCAAACTGCTCCTTGGACACCTGCAGCGTCCAGACATTGCTCTCAGACCCAGCACACCGGCAAACACATGACTTCGAATCCAAATCTCTCGTCAACATATGCATGGAGGTGTTACTGTCAACCCACCACAGATTGCGAAGAACATCAGTGCAATTCAACAAACGGCACAGCAAGGAGCATGCATACAAATTTGCATGATGCCTCAGCCGTCATGTACGAGTAATGTGTAGTAATGGCTCATTACTGAGGGTCCATACCTGAGGCCCCTGCTCGGTGCTCTCATCGAAGGGGTCACCCACGGCCTTCTCTGCTGCGCGCTTCACTGCCCGCTTGACAAACTCGTCGTAGATACTCTCGTGCACAAAAGTTCGCGATCCCGCTGTGCAGCACTGGCCCTGCGCAGCAGTAAACCCCACATTTGTATTCCAATTTTCGTAGCTTTCTTGTGCACCTACTGCTGCTTTCATCTGCGAGAGTTGCACTTGGCTGTCTCCAATACACACTTCCAGCCCAGGGACATGTCAAAGATACCTCACTGAATTCCTTCCAAGACACCCCTTCCGGGGCACCCGTGAGTCAATGTCAAGAAAGCTATCCACTGTAGCCACTTCGCGTCATGTGTTGAAATTCTCAATTTTTTTTTTCAGCACACAAAGTGTAAGGGTTTGTCATATCTATTGGTTTCAATTTCAAATCATGATATAAACGAACAAAGCGATTACATTGCACTCACCATGTTGAAGAAGAGCGCCTGGTGTGCGCACTCCACAGCGGCGTCCAGGTCAGCGTCTGGGCAGACCACAAACGGCGACTTGCCTCCAAGCTCCAGAGTCACGGGCACCACGTTCTCGGCCGCCTGCTTCATGATGATCTTCCCCACCTCCGTGCTGCCAGTGAACGCGATCTGCGCAGGCAAGAATTCATCACTGCATGCTGCGGGTACCTTTCTTGGCGTAATTAATCTCTGAGCAATGCCTGGGTCTGCCCTCTCAAAAATGAGCGCCGGCCAGGCTTGATAAGAAGAGAGGACTGCAAAAGTATCAAATGCTGCTGACATGCATTGCATTTTTATGCAAAGCAACGCTCTCGAGGTTCAAATCATATAGCTTGAGGCTCCCCTTCAGGCTCGTTCCATCGCGCAACAAAACAGCGCAGGTTGAGCTGTAAATATGCCTTGCTTCACCACATCTGCAGACGGCACACAGCAAACGCATTCCAACGAACTCACCTTGTCCACGCCCTTGTGCTTGGCGAGGGCTGCGCCGGCGACTGACCCGCTGCCGGGAATGATGTTGAGGACGCCCGGTGGAATGCCGGCCTCCAGCGCCAGCTCACCAACCCGCAGCGCGCTCAGCGGCGTCTGCTCTGCCACCTGGCACGCAGCGGCACATGCCGGCACATGTCAGCATGCATGCGGCGCCACATCAGCTGCATGGCAGCATGTGGCGATGCATTTCAGCTCTGGCAGGATTGCTGCCCCAAGCCTGACACGGCATAACATTTGGAGCACAGTGATTGATTCAGGTCTCCACAGCATGTTACAGCAGGTGGCATGTGCATTGTTGGAAGATTGCCAGGTAGTTAAGGGATGAAAAGGCAAAGAAATGGGCTGACGTTTGAGCGGCTCACCTTCATGACGATGGTGTTGCCTGCCGCCAGAGCAGGGCCCAGCTTCCAGGCCTGCATCAGGATGGGGAAGTTCCAGGGGATGATTTGCCCCACCACACCTGCACAGACCAAGTCACAATCCAATTTGCTGGCCACTAATGCTCTGATAAGAGTAGTTTGCTGAATAGAGCACAATAGTTGTTTGAGGCTCGTGGCATCCATTCGCGGCTAGCATCGGGCATCCATGTCTTGCCATTGGCGCCAGCCAGGCATCCACTGTGTGCCATGGTGAGCACATAGACCCACCGAGTGGCTCCCGGTATGTGTGCGCCTGCATCTTGCCGGCCGTGGGGATGGTGAGGCCGTGGATCTTGTCGGCCCAGCCGGCAAAATAGCGCAGGTGCTCAATCGCCTGCACACCTCAAATTCGAACTGGAAATCACCTCTGCCTTTTGAAATCGCCTCTGCTTTGTGATTTTCCACCAACCTTACACGACGAAGCAAGCAAATTGTGCAATCAAGCATGCAATTTCATCATGGGATACCTTCAACACCTCTTAGAGCGTGTGTGATCATGATCTTACCTCTGGCAGGTCGCTGCTCTTGGCAACAGAGAGGGGCTTGCCGTTGTCGAGTGACTCCAGCGTGGCCAGCTCAAGCAGATGCTCCTGGGACCACACAGAAAGTACTCTTCAATTGCACTGCGATGGTCCAACACAATGGAAGGCCCAAACGTGCAGTACTGTTGCTGAGCCTGCAGCTTCTTCCAGCTTCTAGGGAGCAGGTAGATACTGTAGACAAAATAGAGTTATGAGCAGATTTGAAAGTCTTGGCAGTGCACACCTCCATCAGGTCTGCCAGCTTGTATATGAGCAGCCCCCTCTCACGCCCGGACATCCTTGGCCAAGGGCCATGGTCGAACGCCTGCATTTTGTTGGTTCTGCCGTTCAAAATTCCAGCAAGACAATGAAAATCTTTCAAGGATGCATTCAGTACAGCGTCTAGAACGAGTTGAAGAAGTACAGCACCTTGCGAGCAGCCTGCACAGCACGATCAACATCCCGTTCTTGGGCCTCTGCCACGTCGAGGAGAACATCTCCTGTTCGAGGGTCTTCTGTGGGGAAGGTCTCGCCCCCGGCAGCGTCCACGAATTCTCCATCTATAAGGAGCTGCGTTGACATCGATATTATTGTTATCAAGCTTTCCTTTGCTGTGAAGTGGCAACTGGCAAGGAAAGGTGTCTTGCAGCAAGTGAGTTGGTGCAGACTGTACCTTGGGTTTTACGCTGCGCAAAGCTTTCTTCAGATCCTCGTGGAGATCTGCCTTCTGTAATACGGCTTCTGCAGTGGCAGCCTGCGCTAGCACCAGCGTCTTGCGCGGCCCGGCATGCCTTCGTGGGGCAGGTTCACCGTTTTGACTGTGATTTCTGAATGCTGGCTTCCCGCATCTCAGCAGATGGGTTCCATTGTGTAAGTTACTGCCGTTGTGCACGCTCTTAATTTGGGCATGCTGGCACGTGGACCTGCAAAGTGCATTGCCATTGTCGGGCTTTGGTCCAGGCAGTACATTAGCAGCTTGTCCATCGGCTGGCATTGCATGAGGAAAACCTGCTTTTAAGAATCTGCAAACGATGCCACAACTCATGGAAATGTTGCCATATGCTCCCAACAACACGACAACATACCGCATTCTCCACTCCCTTCTTGTCTTAGCGAGTGCAGATTCGATGCTCCCAGAGTGGTCTTGATTTAGTCACGCGTGTCTGAATCGTTCAAAGTAAGGATCTTTATCCTTTTCTTTGGGAGATGGGAGATGGGAATAGCAGGTGCGTATTTTCATCACAGCTGCTCCTGGCTGGGAAGGTGCGGGGGGACCTGCCTTGAGGGGACTCCCAGGACCACTGCATTGTAGCTTTCCATCATCTATCTATGGATAACATCAATATTTTGGAGGATGAAGTGACTCAAATCTTGGGGTAAAGATGCCCTGCGCACTTCTAGTATGGTACAATCAAGACCCACGTCCACCTCGAGGGAGGTTCAAGGTGAACAGCGACAGTGATCCTGATTTCTGCACTGTAGATTGATACATGCTAAGATGTAAGTTCGGACTGAGGATAGAGTAAAGCTAATCAGGGTAGGCGTGCTGGGATAAGTAGGCCGTGGGAAAGGAGCGCTCCGGTGTAATTTTTATAAGCGCGATCGCACAACAACCAAAAGGCAATCCAGGATGAAGTCAGCGTCACAAAACTTACACAGTAAGTTGGGCTCAATTCATTCTTTTTAGGATCGTATGCACGTCTTACATTAGATTGCGATCTGCCAGCAGATCAGCTGACTGCAAGTCTAAGGAGGAGTGACCCAAGCTTCGGATGAAGATGCTGTCAATAACAGCAAAGGTTTGCAGTAGCAGATCAGTCAAGAAAACAATGTCCGCAATAACGTCGTGTGCTTTACTGTACTGTGTCTGCAAGGCTGTCAGTATATAAAGCTACCGAAATACGGGATTGCATTGCTTGCTTCTGTGGCGCATTTGGCGCAACGAACCCGCTTCCATGGCGCAATGGATAGCGCATCTGACTTCTAATCAGGAGGTTGCGGGTTCGAGTCCCGCTGGAAGTGCTTTTTGCTCTTTCCTTTTTGCTCATTTTTTTCTCTGGCTGGGGCGTGGCGGTACTGGAGTTTAAGCGATAGTTCTAGCACTCCTCAAATGAAAGCATCACCACCCCAGTGCCGAAACCTTGAAACTCGGTGTCTCAACGCATTCGAAGCAGCGCCTACTGGGCACCGCGGCGGCACTTGCAGTGCACATCCGGTGGCTGCAGCCCACCTGATTCAGTCCACCCAGGCGACAAAGCTGCACATTCTTTATCCAGACGTATTCCAGGAATGATCTGCAAAGATTTGATTACCTCAATCCTCTGCCCGCAGCATGGGACCAGCAATCTGGGAGTGGGGAAGTTGTGGGATCCCCCAGAGACCAGGAAGCGGGGGAACTTTACCCCACAGCCAATCAAATGGCTGCATTTGCCCTGCATCACAACGAAGTGCTGGAAGCTGCCAACTTGCGAGGAGTCCTTGACTTTCATCTGTTCTGTGATGTACCAAATGGAGATGACTTACTGAGTCAGCCAGACTTTGCCTCTCCCCGGATAATCCAATGGTCGGGTGTTTGTTGCTACTTTCAGATATGCAATAGTTCAAGGATACGTGTTGCGCTAAGCGCTCCCTTCTACCGGAGAGTGAGAGCTGAGAAAGACCTGGAATTCAAACAAAATAGATCTCAAGCAAAATAGAAGGCCTGTCAGTTGAAAATCTGTCGCATGATTACATAGTGAACGCCAGACCAGGATGGCGGTAAGCAACGAGGATGCCAGTCTCCCCGACCTCGACGACCTCCTGGACCCCGACATCGCGAGGATCCTAGATGAAGCGGATCTCATGGAGGCGGTAAGATGTGCTCTGTTGCAGGCTGTTGCTTTCCCTGTCATTTGCAGGTACAAGATTGAACACCATCACAAATCCTTCTGTCCCTGCAGTCAGATGACGAGGATGAAGGAACAGAGCGGGGCGTGGGAAGTGAGGTGGAGTACTCCAAAGACAGTGACAGCGGGTCAGAATACAGCACTGCACAGTCTGACGCAGACTCTGAAGCCACAGAGGATGTTGAAGTCGTGGGGGAGGAAAGAGCTGCTAGTGATGCATACAACACAGCGCTTAGCTCTCTTTCTCCCCTCCAAGGCGCTGACATGCAGCCTTCAGCAATGCCCAGCACAACAGACACGGCTGGTAAGCGCTGTGTGACCTTAGTGCGGCCACCCCCAGCCCTCTTCTTCCTGCGGAGTGCATCCCACCCCGTCATCAGTACCTCATGTTGTGTTGCACCAGCATACCATGCCGTAGGCGCTAAAGAACTGATGCATGGCATCTCTGCAAGCGTTGTGATTGGAAATAGGTGCTTCTCCTGCATAACGTGATTCATTTACGCATGCATTCGGCCCACCACAGGCCAAAGAGTCAAGAGCATGGTGCACTTGAGGTGTACTCCTGGCCTTGCTTGAATTCTTGAACCCCTTGTGTCTTTGGCACGGCAAGCACTGCGCGTGCAGCTTCATCGAGAAGCGGTTAATGTGCCCGGGCAGGCGCCTCGCCGGGGCGGCCGCAAATGCCGGCGGCGCTGCTGCCGGCGAGCCCCGAGGACGAGCCGATTGGGTGCCGCACGCGCACGCGGCTGCCCATGCAGCACATCAGCCTGGACGAGCTGGACGCGCTGCTGGGGGAGGAGGGGGACGAGCTGTTTGATGAGGAGGGGGAGCAGTACCAGCAGTTCCTGCGGGTGCGGGAACTCGAGAGTGTTGGAAGTCAGAGTATCTCTTGCATGCCGCTAGGGCACAGAAGCAAAGAATTTGCAGCACATGCAGTAAAAAGTTGTTGGCCCTGAAGGGCGTGACTATGCTGCCACAGCGTTGGCACGGGAAAGGCAAGAGCACAGAACTGCAAAGTCCGCCATGCATATTGATTGGTCATTTTGCAGCTCACTTTGGGACATTTGGGGATTTTCTTTACAGTGTTCTAAATTTACGTGATGTGACATTTGCTGGTCAGGTGCTGCGAGGTGAGGCGGATCCGCTGGAGCTGTATGATGGCGAGGACGATGACGAGGACTTTGTGCTGGACTGGGACGAGCTCATGGGCGCCAATTTTGGCAAGCCCACAGCTGCAGGTGAGCTATTACTGCTCAACTTCAAATCACAGCAAGACAGGAACACAGCGTGCCACTGAGGCCACAATGCGAACTTGACTTGCACACGCTATACCTAGACTCTAGTGATTGCTTGCAGCTACCGGATTGGTAGGGAGTATCCAGCACTAGATGAACGCACCTGCGGCCCAGAAGTGGAACTTGACCTGCACTATCATGCGCGGCCAAGCTCCATGCATGGACCGAAAGCTCATGCGAGGGAGCGGGAGATATTACACATCAGTCCAAGCAAGGCTGACAAGCTGAGCAGAATTATGCCTCTCTGGGCAGCGGGATGTTTCATGGTATACTTTCTGCCGCTCTGGGCCATATGCTGGGGCAGCAGTCAGCGTGTGATATGCAGCAAGCAGTGGGAAGATGCAAATGAACACCCGCGTGCTAGTTATCTCATCTTTCTGTCATGGCAGGCGCATCCGAACCGACGGCTGCGCCGCGGCGATCGACGCGCATCCGCACGTATGTGTACGCGCCAAAGCACACTCGGCCGGGACACCAGGAGAGACCGGTGCAGTCGACTCTGCTGCTACAGACCAGGTGTGAAAGACTTCCATCCTGTGTATTTTTGGGGTAAGTTTGGCACTGGAAAATGCCATTGCTAACTTTCTAAGCGATGGGAAAAGCCCGCTCTTGAATGTGGCAGAATGAATCAGCGTAAAGCCCTGCCATCCTGTGTACTTTTATGGAGGCTGTGTCTGTGTGTGGATTGTGCCCTTGCTATTCTCCTAGGCAAGACGGAGCCCGCCCTCAAGATTGGCAGGGAGGTTCATTGGCGTGTAAAGTTGGGGAATGCAAGCCTGTGGCACATTTGGCAGTACCGGAATGGCATCTGACAAACAATTCTCTGCCTATGCGCCGGCTTTCTTGGGGATTGAAAAGTGGCAGTGAGTGCTGGAAGCCTGTGTCTGCATGGAGGTCTGATTGACATGGCACACAAGTGGCCGAGATTTATTGGTGTTTTGCAGAGCTGACTATGCTCGCCTGCTGCTGCGCAGGCAGCTGAAGCAACTGCTGCCGGCAGCGTCCCGGCAGCTTCCCCTGGCGCCGGCTGCGCCGCGGCCGCCACCACTTCCCCCCGGCCAGGCAGCGGTGGCGATGGCCCTGGGGCGACCTGCACCATCGCAGGGGCCCCCACCCGTGGCTGTGGCGGGGGGACCGCAGCCAAGCTGGAAACTTGAACAGGTGGGTCTGCCCATTTTATCGTTACTTCTGCGCCCTGTGTATCCGTGAATGCTAATCGTGGTCGCAAAGCGCACCTGTGCTCCTTTGCAACAGCACCTGATTGCAGCTTTTAAAGGTGCAAGAAGCTTATCCGTAAAGTCTAAGGTCAAGTCTTACACACTTTGAGCCAATCTAGCAGGAGTAAGCGTCGGGATGTGCTCTGCAGGTGGCTCAGCTGCACCGCCAGGTGGCGCAGCACGTGCAGCTGCTTGTGACTAGCTTTGCAGCTGCCACGCAGCTGCCCGGCCGCGACTCCCTCGTCGCATCAGCCGGCCACCTCATCCACTCGCTGCAGGTGGGGCACCAGTCTTCAGCAAAGCCTCACACCAAGTTCCTGCCTGCACGCCCGCATTTATAGAAAACAAGAATAAACTATTGTACCTCTCCTTGGTAAGATGAGGACGGCTGCCTCAGCGACTCGATGAAGGTATATATCAGCAGGGTGGTTCGAAATCCAGATATCTGGCTACATGGCAACTTTCTGCGAAGTGGTTCATTTCCTTTCAGATGTCCTAGTTGCAGGACTGCTAAATCCTAAATGCATGCATGCTGCAGGGGTTGCCGGCGTCGATGCGCGCGTGGCCGGTGGTGATGTCGGTGGTGCGCGCCCTGAGCGAGGCAGCCACCGTGGAAGCTGCCCTGGAAGCCATGGCGCAGCTGCCTGCCTGCTTCACCGCCAGCCTCCTGCCCGACGTGAGCCAAATCTGCATCTCACCCCCTGTCTTGTGTTTTGGTTCTTTAGCAGGCTTTCCTGCTCTCAACTGCATGCAACTGCTACGGAAATCTTCTTGCCTGCACCTGCACCAGTGGATACCGCTCTTTGCCCACAAGCACATTGCGGCAGTGCGTTGCATGATCAACCCCAATAGCTGGGGTTCATCATGCAAGGCACTATATTTGAGGCCTCTTTGACATCTCAAAAGCACATTACCCGTTCCCGCAAATCTATTATAAAACCCTGAACCCTGGCACCCTTCTCGGGCATTGTGATTCTACAGGAATGTGGCCCTGCAAATTGCATAAATTGGTCCATGAGAAATTATTTAAAATGAATCTCAGAAAGGAGTTCCATAAGCAAGCAAACTTTCGTGGCGCGCAGGCGAGTGCGGCCGTCCTGGGGCGAGAGTGGCTGCCGGGGGAGGATGAGCTGCTGGCGAGGGGCCTGCTGCGTTTTGGGCAGGAGCCGGGCAGGCTGCGGCAGTACTTCCTGCCCGGCCGGGCGGCCGAGGAAATTCCACCGCGCATCCGCAACCGGTGCACACTGCGTGCCGGCGACAACCCCGTCAAGGTCTGCCACTCCAAGAAACTCTGGTGCCTTGGACCCAAAAGCATGCCAGAGGAAGTATCGTGCTGTCTCATTCTGCTTAAGCTGCCATGCTTGACTTCAGTTCCGCAGGGTAGCCAGAGGCTGTTGATTTTGGTAGCAAGCATGCGCCGTTTGAGTAAGTGGTGGTTGTGTTTTAGACTTCTCTGAATGTGCACAGTTGTAAGCGTAGAGAGTGTCTTGTTTCCTACAGAGTAATCGAGATGCAGCGCTGTCTATTCCCGAGTGAGATTGGTTCATTTGTGCGGCACGCAGGCGGCAATTGCGCGGTTGCGGGGCCCGCTGACGGCGCAGGAGATTGCACAGATTGAGGCCGGCCTTCTCTACTACGGGCGCCAGGCATGAGAACAACACCTTTGATCAGTGCATGTCACCTTGAACCCAAATTCCACTGCTGAATGGCTGAGCTTGAAAGAGCAGCACTGGCGTTTTCTCTGCCAAAGTACCTACATGGCGTCTAAAACGCATGTTGTTCTTCTCTCGACCCCGATGCTACTGCAGAATTACGTCTCTGTGATAGATGCCTTCATTGGAGAGCTTACCAGGTCATTGGGGCGCTTCAGCACATAGTGAGATTCTAGTCCTTCAAATGGTTGGCCCCTAACCAGCCGGGAGTGAGTGTGATTTTCTGGGTTGCAGCCGAGGCGGATGGAGCTGATAGCGGCGCAATTCATGCCGTGGCGCTCGGCCACGCACCTGGCGCGCTTGTGGTCTGCCCACCTTAAGGCCAAGGATCCTGCCAGCGCCGGCGCCGCCGCGATTCCCGTCCAAGAGGGTATGTAATTAGATTATTGCCTATCGTGTATTCACCCCTAATATCCTGACCAACACAGCCCTGAAAAAGGAAATTTTCTTGGACAACAGTGGACTGGCTGAAGCACCCCAGCGGCTATTGGTAGCTTCTTTCACGGTCTTTCTGTCTCCATAAACAGTACATGAAATCAAGAAATGAAGATAAATTCATCAGTGCTCTGGCGGCAAAACTTCTGGGTGCTTCCTGCTGCAAGGAAGCTTTGTGAGGCCTGAGACAACGGGTCAACAGTAGTGACAGCTGGGGGATGCAATGAAATGCTTATTAGTCATGGTGTGTCATGCAGTGCACTGGACGCTGCTGTCGGGGCAGCCCAATCAGGCGCAGCCGCCGTCTGTAGCTGCCACCCAGCCGCCGCTGCCACAGCCGCAGGGTGCTCTCTTGCATCCCGAAAATTCCATGCCGCCACTTCCAGTCCAGCCAGCACCCGGTTATCGCCAGAAGAGGAGGTACACTAGGCGGCAGCCTGTGCAGCCACCGGCATCGGCCGCGCTGAGACAGGACGCTCAGCAGCCATCCTTGCTGCTCCCTCTCCCTCCACACAGCACAGCACAGCAAGCGCCGTTGCCACAGCAGCCAGAAAATGTGCAGAGCTGGTGAGCCCTTCTTGGGGCCTCCATTGATGAATGGCACTTCTTTGTGTTCAGCCCTGCGTGGAGTGTCCTCTTGTTGAGCAGGAACGAGTTTCCCTGGTGTCCGGCTTTTTGTGTGTCATTCTACCATATGTAAGCTTCAAATGTGCATTTGCCTTCAGTTGGTGTGCTGCAGAGGGCTCTGGTGCTGATTTTGACACTTGTGCCATGTAGCAGTGAGCAGCCAGAATCCCTTGAAGGAGAATCGGCGCTTAGAAGTGCGGGACCATCTTCAGATCTGCCGCTGCCCAGCAGTCATGCATCCCCAGTGGCTGCACACGCCGCACTTGAGACCTCTGGCTACCTGGAACCTCCCGGCACAGATTTGGGGCATCCTGTGGAGCAGCATCGCTTGCTGAGCCTGGCCCGTGAAGCTGCAGCCTATCCGCATGTTCCAGCCACGCGGAATTTCCCAGCCCAGCAGCAGCGGCCATGCAGCGCACCTGCGATACGATCTCATGACCCGCGCAGGCCATATCAGGCCAGCACCCACACTGAGGCAACAGCGGGCGTCATAGAGAACCAGCAGCCGCCGGTGCAGCAAGCATGGGCAGAGGGGCCATTGCAGCAGCGGCCACAGCTGCAGCCACAGCCGGCTCCTGGAAGGGCGGACCTGCCATTCGCGTCAGCACCGGGGCCGGCGTTGGTGGCCGCCGAGCAGGGGCGCATCTCAGCAGTCTCAATGCCCCGGTCCACCCGCTCGCGGAGGGGGGTCACCACTGCCCATATGGACCCTCCTTCCTTGGCCACCTCTCCCATTGCGCGGCCCGGCGACATCCACCTGCAGCCGCTCTCCCCGGACGCTCGCCCCTCGGCAGACCGCAGCAACGGAGCGGCCATCAGAGAGCCCGGCGGGTCACCTGGGCCGCTCACGCGGTCGAAACGCCGCAGGCCGCGCAAGCCTCCGGCAGGCGTCGCAGAATATGCGGCAAGGCGCTCTGCAGATCTTTCCCCGGGGCCGGCGCCGCCCGCGGCGGCGCGGCGGCAGCTGCGCGGCCGGAAGGCGGCCGCGCCTCGGCGCAAGGCGGCGCGAGTTGGCGCTCGGGAGGAGCTGGATACCATTGATGACTGGGAGCCGGTGAGTCTGCTGGCACTGGCAGAGACGGCATCGCGGCAGGCGGAGCAGATGCTGGCGGCTGATGAGGCGGCGGCGGCGCAGCGGGGGGACCGCAGCGCGGACGACGCGTCCGGGGGGGACCCCTTCGACGAGTTCGCCGAGCACCGCCGGCGCGCGCTCGCCTCGGCGCTGACGGCCACGGACTTTGGTGGTCAGCCGCGGCGGGAGTCGCGCGTGGCGGCCGAGCACGAGCGCCGGCTGCAGGCCGAAGCCGCGGAGGCGTACCTCTCCAAACAGCTCTGCCGCCGGCCTGCCGCCGCGCCGGCCACCACAGCCGCCGTGCCGGACCAGTCTTTCGAGCGGCTTCCGCCCTCGGATCTGTCGGACCGGCACGTTCCATCGCGGTCGCTGCGCGGGCGCTCGGAAGCTCCCTCACGCAGTGAGAGCATGCACGGGCCGACGGACTTTTCATCTCATTTTGCGGCGCAGCGGGCATCTGCAGCAGATATTCTGCAGCAGCAACAGCAACCAGTGATACCTCAGGCCTCATTCGAGAAGGCAGATGCAAACGCGCACAGAATGCACCCGCTGAATAAGGCATCCCCTCTTGGGGTATCAGACCGGCAGGCAAATGCAGCTGGTGAGGAGGAGCTCAGCAATGGAGCAGGTGCTGCCATGGGGCAGAATGGACCGGCGGATGCAGGGGAGCGGCCTAGCAACGGCGCAGAGGACAGCGCTGCGGGGAACAGCGCAAATAAGACCAGCGATGCTGACTTCATCATCGACGGCATCCTCACCCACTGGACGCAGGCAAGCTGCCCTGACACCTGCTGCTTCATCATTATTCATCATGTTCAATCATTTCATTTTATTTCTTCTTCCTATCCTGATGTGCTTTACAACAAGTCTCCTGGCAGATTTTGTACATGAGTCCTTGCTAGCGTCTTGTCCTTGGGTGCTGGAGCCCACAACGTGCTACAAGAAACTCGATATTGTGTGGTCGGTAGCATCAAAGCAAAGCTTCATGCATGCAAGCTGGAGAGTCATGTAAGTGTGTGCCTGGATTGGCGCAGGACGAGGACCGCGACATAATGTACACGGCGTGGCAGCGCGGAGGTACGCTAGACGAGGCCGACTGCACGCGAATCGCAGCGCTGCCGCTTGACCCGGTGCTGGCGTGGCCGCTGCCGCGCACGCCATTGCAGATCCGCGCACGCCTAGATTGGCTGCTGGAGAGATTCCACAAGAAGCAGACCGGCAGCTAACAGTAAGCTGTTGAAGCGCACCTGAGGGTTCTCTGGACTAGGGGTGATCAATAGAGAACGGGCGGGCGGGCTACAGCAGATAGAGCAGAATCAGTGCAGCAAAGTGGCATGGTCGACAGAAGCACTGCTCGAAGAGTTCGCGCGATCCCTACCCCGTTGCATATTTTAATTACCCCAATTTGGACGTGCATGCATGCTGCCATGGGCTTCCAAGCATGACTGCAGATAATATTTGCTGCAGCTGCCAGCTGTGCCGCAGTGGCGGCCACTGAATAGATTTGTACTACGTACATCTGTATACATATGTGTGTACAGTAGAGGAATGCTGTGACCTCCCAAAGCATTATAATCATTCAATAATAACTCGGGACCCAATCTTGCTCTGTGAGGACAATGTGAAGGTTCAGTAGGAGTGTTGATGGACCGAGGTGGAATGATTTCCATTTGAAAATCTTGCATGTCTGGAAGGAACGCCAGGCAGACAGGCCTACGCTATTGATAGCCTTGAGCAAGCTGACTCACTCGAGATCCTCGCAATCGGGCGTATACGACACCTTTCCCCGATGTGAATTATTCGGCCGAAAGGAACAAAAGAGGAGAAAGTTGAAGCGTTTCTTTATCTGCCGCTCAAACTCACCCTTCAGAATGAGGTACGTTTCCACCTTCGATCCATCATCTCATGACTCGTTTAACCCCCAGACATTTGTGGCGATTCTGTCTTCAGACACATTTATTCCAAACCCATTAGAAAGGTATATCTGATTCTCAACGGATGGACAACAGAACATCGTCAGGCTCAGTGCTAGGGCTTAAGTGATCACGGTGCAACAACAAATGTCCCGAGGGCTACTAAAGCTTTCTGATCATGCTTCTACGTAAAAAAGTTACCTCCCCTACAATAACGATTTCTTTGTCTTGGTAACGGCTTGTCGGTTTACTGATAAAACCTCGAAAACCAGGAATTCATCGAACCCTGTGCTGTCCAGCCAGAGAAATAGGGTCTGCTTCTATTGGCTGGCCTTATGGCGCCCTTTTAGCTTCGCGTGCGTGTCAGCTTTGATTCATGGACCATCTTGGCGATGAGTCGATGCATGCAGTCACCCCGGATCTTTCATGCATCACAGGGCGACCAGGCTTGCTGCAACAGCTGTGGCGGCTGCCCGCTCTGCAGCAGCACAGCAGACACTCCATGTCGGCTGCGCAGCAACTGTGGGCGTCATGCAGACCTGGGACTGGACTGTGCCGTCCTTCCAGCACGTTTCTGATTGCCACCTGCACACAAGCACAGCTGCCTTCAGAGCCGACCCTGCCCTGGAGCCAGAGATCTCTGAGAGCCACAAGGCCGCGCTGCGCAGCGTCAAGCCTCAGGTGTGCCTCTGAGTACAATTTACAACCTCTTTTTGCGGATCAAAGACATGTAACTGCTGTGCATGCCATTGAGCCCCTGCTGGCCAGCTCCAGAAAACGAGCGGACACATGACTGGAGCAGATGTGGAGTTGGATCAAAGCATGCACCCCCACAGTAGCTGCAGTCATGTCTTCGCTTGGCATGCACATGCTGAGCTAGCATGAAGCAGGAACGTAGCCTTTGGCCGATGACCGATGTCCTGATTTGAGCATGTGAAGGCATGTCAAGCACGTGATGTTTGTGTGCGCGCAGCTGCTGATCAACGGCAAGTTTGAGGACGCGTCAGGCGGGAAGACCTTTGAGACGATGGATCCGCGCACGGGCGAGCCGCTCATGACAGTGGCAGAGGCTCAGGCAGAGGATGTTGACCGCGCCGTCAAGGCCGCCCGCCAGGTGACTCACCTCTTGCATAACCCTCCTGATTCGAATGCGAAAGTAAATCTGAGCCTGGTCTGCGGCATCGTCGATCTGTGCATGTGCATGTGCATGTGCCTTAATTCTGATACCTATGCTTAGGTAGAGCAATAGAGGCTGAGCGCTAGGGAATGCTTGACTTCAAGAAAATTGCAAGACATACAAGGCAGTGTGAGCGCCAAGAAAAGAGGAAGAGTTGCCTCGGGATGTAAACACTGTGCATCGGTGAGACTTTGCGTTCAAGACTTCAATTGCAGTGGGGCAGTCATGCAAGAGTAGTGTTATGAAAGCTAGGGTAATGTTTCAAGTGCAGCACAGCTGAGGAGAGACATGTGTTGCAGGCGTTCGATCATGGCCCGTGGCCGCGAATGAGCGGTCGCCAGCGCGGCAACATCATGCACAAGCTCGCCACCCTGATGGAGGTGAAAACCCCTCCTGCATCATTGATTCACCTCACTTTATCTGCATCACAGGATTTACCTCAAACCAGCCACTGTAGTCTTCAGTGCCCTGTAGTCTTTAGTGCCCCCTGTGCAGCATAGATACTGTATGTATGTCAGGAGCCAGGCGTTTCACATTCCTTTGACACAGGCCAGCTGTGCTACGTGAGCACACTCCCAATGGTAAGATTTGTTGTGCTGTGTGCAGAAAAACACAGAGGAGCTGGCGACGTTGGAGTCTCTGGACAATGGCAAGGCGTACTCGGCTGCATTCTCCATTGACGTTCCCATGGTGAGTGAATTCTGTACCAAGTGATGGCTGCAATGTATTGGAAACCCCTCAGTTCAGATGCGCAAATATTGCATGACTACGGGTGCAGGCAACATTACTTGTCATAGAAGCAGCTTGCCTCAAGGACCTCCGGGCAATGCAGTGCGGTAGAACATGTGTCCTGCAGAAAAACGTAGCTGTGGGCCACCCAATGGTTCTGGACATGTTGAGCATGTGCGCACATCTGCGCTGGAAATGATGACTAAGATTTTAGCATGTGCGCGGATGTGCGCAGGCGGTTGAGCACCTGCGCTACTATGCGGGCTGGGCTGACAAGATCTACGGGCAGACCATCCCCACAGACGGCAAGATGCAGGCCTACACGCTCAAGGAACCCCTCGGTGAGCTGCAAAAAAAATTTCCAGACTTTCTTGATGAGACTGATAATCTCTGGGTGCTTGTGTCTGGGGGTTGAGAGAGAATGCCCTCGTAATCCTGTATTGAATACCGGGGGAACCTTGTAGTGTGCGAACTGTGAAAAAGCAATCTGCTTGCTCATTGCTAGGCGCAGAAGGGGTGTTGCTATAATTCACTGTGTTGCGTGCAGGTGTGGTGGGGCAGATCATCCCCTGGAACTTCCCCATCCTGATGCAGGCCTGGAAGCTGGGCCCAGCACTGGCAGCAGGCAACACCATAGTCATGAAGGTGAGCTAACACCAGCCCACTTCTTTTACTTTTTGATATATACAGCGCAGCGATGGGCAATTCCCTCCTGCCAGCTCTGGCATGAGGATCCCTGGAATCATCTCTCAAAATGGGCCAAGAAGACGCTTGCCACAGTAGCCAGCCCAGCAGCTGATGTGGCGCCACACACTTGCTGACATGTGCCGCCATGTGCTGTCTTGTGCCAGGTGGCGGAGCAGACGCCGCTGAGCGCTCTGCGGGTGGGTGAGCTGGCGCTGGAGGCCGGCCTGCCACCTGGCGTCCTAAACATCATCCCCGGAGACGGCCCCGTTGCCGGCGCGGCCCTGGCTAGTCACAAGGGAATCGACAAGGTGCGCACTTCCTCCTGCCATGCTCTGTCCTGCATTGTTTCTTTGCTGAGGCTTGCTTTGCAACATGTTAGAGCCACAAGAGTTTCGCCTTGCCTTTTGCTTCGTCCTGTGCTGATCCTGGCAAAGGAGCCGCTGTTTGGACGATTGCGCATCTGGGTGGGCAATGCAGCAATAATTGATGCTGCACGCCACCATGCTGATCCCTGGTCTCTCCTTAAGTTGATCATCACAGTTGATAACAATCCGAATGCTGTTTTACTTGATTGTTGCTTGTTTGGATGAAGGAGGGAAACCGAGTTCTTCACCGCTTCACCCTCCTGTTTCCTGCTCACATGACTTGACACACGACCGTGTGCGGCCAGATCGCTTTCACAGGCAGCACAGAGGTGGGCAAGATAATAATGAGGCAGGCGGCGGAGAACGTAATCCCGGTCACTCTGGAGCTGGGCGGCAAGAGCGCATGCATCATCTGCCCCGACGCTGACCTGGACGAGGCCGTGCGCGGCGCCCACGAAGCCCTCTTTTTCAATCATGTAACCACCCTTTATGTCCCCTGGATTAGACTACTCCAGGGGGATCTGTAACTAATGCGCAACACCCTAGATATTGATTCCCCTGCCTGATACCTATCATGCTGAGCCTGTCATGGCTGCTTATGGCAGCATCTCTCTAAATCTCTTGTAGAGTCTCTCTGTGCAGGCTGTGCAAGTTCACAAAGAGTTGCAGATCATTTTATCTGAGCAGGGGTAAAGTTGGGGAAGACAGCAACTTACATCTGCAGCTTTTTTAGTGCAACCCTTTCCTGCATCCAGGGTGGCAGTCTGGGCCGAAATGCTGCAGATATAAGTTCAAGAGTCCAATCACCGAACGTGTCAATACGCCGTCTCTGGTAAAATATAAGACTGAGATTTTTTTTTTGGTGGCTGCGCAGGGCCAGTGCTGCACAGCGGGCTCGCGCACGTTTGTGCACGAGAGCATCTACGACGAGTTTGTGGCGCGCGCTGCCAAGCTGGCCAGCGGCCGCCGCGTCGGCGACCCCTTCGACAGGGCAACGCAGCAGGGGCCGCAGGTGGGCGCCTTACTTTCATTCATCTTAGCACGAATCCCCTTGAAATTTTCAATGGTGCCTGTCAGGTTTCCTACTGTTCCTCTTTGCAGTTGCTAATGTTTTTATTTGCTGATTTTTCTTGCAAGAATGCAGATTTGGGGGGACGAGTGAGGTGTTATACGATGTCTTCAATAGCGTGAGAGAGGCATCCGTCAGCTGCATTGAACATGATTTGTACTTGTAGCACTCTTGGTAGAAGGGTTGAGGAAGTAGCAAGTGTGGCTGAGCTGGCAGCTGAGCTGGCAGGTCACCTGGTGTGTGACAGGTGTCGCAGGAGCAGTACGACAAGATCATGGGCCTCATCAGCACCGGCGTCGAACAGGGAGCCAAGCTGGAAACCGGCGGCAAGCGCCACGGTGAGCCTTCTTGGCTCCAAGTAATCTGTTCAATAAAGTGCACGTATCAGCTGGCAGCAATGCTAATGCAGCCTGGGCACACAGACACAGCAGCTCCCAAGTGCGTTGCAGCTTTGACTGCCATGCAAGGGGGCACTTGGGGTTTTGGGATTTTATGCTTATGCAGAATTTGATTTATGGTAGCCAGCTGGTGACGATGTTCTTGTTTTACTTTTCTTTTATGCACTGTATGCCACTTTCACCTGCAAAGAGATTGCCATATGCGGCCAAATCGGGCTTTGCTTGAGCAACTATATGCACAGGATGCATGTGCAGATGGTGTGCTGTTGCGCGCAGGTGAGCGCGGCTACTTTGTGCAGCCGACAGTTTTCAGCAACGTGACGGACGACATGACCATTGCCACAGATGAGATCTTTGGCCCCGTCCAGTCCATCCTCAAGTGGTCCACTGTGGACGAGGTGTGCCCTCCTCCCACTCATTTGTCACTACTGTACTCATGTAAATGTGGCTGGCATTTTGGGGGGCCGGTGTTGTAGAGGACAGACTCTCTTGCCAGGCTGGAACTGAGAACCTGCTGAACTAAAGAACACAATTGGAATCGAGGGCGGAAAGTCCTGCTGAAGGTTCAAAGCACTCGGCTTTCATGATGTCATAACGAGGAAGAGCCCATTGTCACTGGGATGTGCGGCACTTTGCTCTAAGGTCACAACCCGCAAGAGCTTACATTCAGTTGGATAGTGCATCATTCTGCCTTGTCTTTCACTGGATTTTGAGACAGGGTTCTAGTCCGCCCAGAAGTGTTGCGAATTTTATTGCCAATCTCCTAGGCAGGCTAAAAATGCCTAGGATTGCCCAGGGACACCAAGAAACTTGCTCTCTGGGCAGCCCACATGTCTGGTGAGCCCTGTCAAATTGTGCTTGCAGCGCGCACTGTCAGAGCCTGACTTCCAACTTTTTGCGCCAGGTGATCCGCCGCGCAAACAACACCGAGTATGGCCTGGCGGCTGGCGTTTTCACACAGAATCTGGCGATGGCCAACACGATTTCGCGCGCGCTGAAGGCCGGCACGGTGTGGGTGAACACATGGAACCAGTTTGACGCGGGGGTTCCCTTTGGCGGCTACAAGACGTCCGGCATCGGCCGCGAGAAGGGCGAGGCCGCGCTGAGCCACTACACGCAGGTGACTCACCCTCACATAAGCATGACTCACCCTCATGTAATCGGTCTGTGCAGCTCTCGTGTCAGCGTGCACTGGCTTTCTATTTTTCCCTTTTCACTTGTCAAGCCATTGGCAAGTCAAGAGAGGGTGCAGAGATCAGGACAGTTTTATAGCTGAGTAAAATTCTGCTTCAAGAGCATTCATCAGCTGGCAGAGAATAATCAAGAGTTTGCTGCAACGCACCTAGCCCTGAGGGCTGGAATAAGCGTGCAATAATATAGCATGTAATGATAAGAAGCTGTGCTTGCTTTGTCAGCAGGGTTGCCTACATCAAGCAGAGTAGGATTGCATGGTTTTGAGGTCATCATCAAACTGCACCCTCTGCATCTGCAAGGAAACGGCGCAGGGCAGTTTTTTTAGTATTTCTGACAAATCATTTTGTGGCTGCGCAGACCAAGGCAGTGTACATGCCCATGGCAGAGCCCATCACATGGAACAGCTGAGCACATCGTGGCACATGCGCAGCACCATCCACAAACCTTCAGAGACCTCTTTTGCAGGGTACTTTTTTGAGCAACAAAGGATACCAGAGTCCCCTGAAATGCCACTGCTCAGGGAACGAGCATTTTGTTGAGCGTCTTTTTGTGTGAAGAAAAAGACGCTCCTTGAGCAGGCTCCATGCGTGGGAACCTCAGTGTGAGTCATTCCTGCAATTTCCTGTCGTTAGATACGTGCGATATTTTGTGACGATTGATACGGGGCATGGGGTGTCGTCCACTCGGCACCAAGAAATGTGCAACGTGTGCATCCTGGTTTATGGGTTCTAGAATTTTGTGCGGAAGGATTGAGCTGCCTGGAGCACTAAATCCAGATACATTTGCTTGGGTCTAATTTCTTGCTGTGTAATACAATGAGAGACATGCGCTGTGTGTGCAATGCTCATCTAATTGAGTTTCTTGCAGAGAAAGTGCTTGCCATGGGGCAGGAGAGCCAATCATTGGCAATTCTGAAAGGATGACTCGTTACTGAGTACCCCAGTACTATGAGTGCAAGTATGTCAGAAGGGCGCAGTGGGCATGCAATAGGTACTAGACTGAAGCTTTGGCAAGTTGTGTAAGAGCCAGGCTGCTCACAGTAGCATCATGCATTGGTTTGGTATCTACAACATGCTCATGATGTAAGAACAGATGGTGACAACGATGGTCCAGTAAACCAGAGCATGCTTCCACCAACGGTGTTAATGTACACAATTGCTCAGAATACTCTCATGCAAGTATTTACAACTTAATGTCATAAGTTTCAATTATCATTGCTGGCGCGCCAGCAGTCCTCCAGCACGCATGCATAATCACAGCACAGTTCTAATAGCTCCTCAAGAGGCTTGCCAACGTTGTCGACCAGCGACCCCGCTTATTATTCAACCAGTCAAATTGTGCAAACGTGGCTTCATTTGTTGCTGTGGTAGCGCTGCAGGCTCTCTTCCAAAGGGCATGTGACAATGTCAAGCGCCCAAGTTTCTGCCACCACCAGTAAGGTGCATAATACACACAGCCTGGTCATATAAAATAGCCTTGTCCCCGCAGTGCTGCTCAGGAGAATATCTGGAATGCGTAGTCATCCCTGCAGAGATTTTCTTGCCACATCAGCCAGTCTCACTCCTCCTCCTTATCTCCAACTGGCTCCTCGTCCTGCACACGTGCGCGCCATTGCTTATTTTTGTGCCGCTCCTTTATTCCCCATTCTTCTTCATTCATAACTGGAGACTTTTGCCCCAGGGCCTCTGCGCATGATGACTATCCTGCTCCAATTGGCAGCACGCCTCGCAGGAAAGAGAGGGTGTGAAAGAGAGGGTGTGAAAGAGAGGGTGTGAAACTAGGTGATGGACATGAAAAGGGCAAAGCACAGCGTACCTCCCCCTCATTAATGACGGGCATCGAGAGCAGCAGCTTGATGCCGTCCACCTTCTTCCTGCCCAGCATGGCCTTGGTCTGCTTGGGCAGCCCGTGCTCCTCAACCCAACTCTTCAGGCCCATCTCCGCCGCCTTGAACATCGTCTGCACCCCAAGCAGACCATTCAGCCACTCAGCACCACTTAGTTCGCATATGCAGCACACTTATCCCTGGTGGGCATGACCTGACCAGCTTCTGAAATACATCCCATGCTGTGACAAAGAAAGGGAAGTGGAGGAGAGGTCAACAGACAGGATGGCCATGTCCTGGCAGGAACCTGCCGGCATTAGTAGACAGAGCATTTGCTGATGCAGCCCTGGCATTCAGACAAAACAGCTCCCAGATCTGCTCCCAAGCCAACAGCCGGAATATCTCATGCGCATGCATCATGGATGAAGGACTATGCTGCATACCTGCTCATACTCTGCGTTGGGCACAGACACGACAAAGTCGCCGGGAGAGAAGCGGCCGCGGGCGGCGATGCCGAGGCAGCGGCCGAGCGCGTCGGCGACGAGGGGGCTGACAGCGTTGCCCATCTGCTGGTAGCGCTCGGTCAGATTGTTGTTACGGACCCATGTGTCCTGGTGCGCGTGGCTGATGCCCGCCAGAGCAAAGTAGTCCGGGAAGCCCTGCCCGCGCACAGCAGGCACTGTCAGCAGGGAAGCTAATGGCAAATTACTTCAATTAGAGATTAGGACATGCATGTGGTTTCACGAGGACCACTCAGTAAGCAACAGCACATGGGCTAAGGTCCAAGCAAGAGCTTGAGATGCAATGTTCAGAGTGTGTCCCGGGATGGAGTCCCAATCTTGCATTTGCAATACTTGCACCATACGGCACGGCAGCAAGAAATTCTCGCAGGCATACCAGGACATCAAGCGCTCTAGCCTGGTGAGTGTGAGGACAAGCAACAATCACAGGAGGCTGATATCACAGGAATTCGGGCCAAGCTACAGTCACAAGAGGCAGAAATCCGGGGAACGGAGGACAAGTTGCAGTCACAAGACGCAGCTATTAGGGGTGACTGAAAGGGTGAACAGAGAGGCGCCACCTGGCAGCGGGCGTTTTCCCGGATGGAGACGACGCGCCCCTGCGTGGGGTGGATGAGGCGCAGGTTGTGCGGCTCTGCGCGGCCCACCACCGTCGGCTGGATCTCGTCGTACCACATGCGCCCAAAACAGCCGTGCCGCCCGCCCGACTTGCCCTGCTTGTACGTCACGCACCACCGCGGGCAGAGCAGGTCCCCCGTTGGCAGAAACACCGTGGTCCCCGGGCAGCCTGCACCCACAACACCACAAACCCTAAAGTATATTTATATTCTCTTCAAATGGTTTCTTTAGGGTAAGGGTTAACCCTAAAAATAAGACAGATAAAAACAAAACAAAGTAAATAAAAATAAAAATAAAAGAGATGTAATATACAACGGAGGGGACGGCAGGATGACAGGCATTGCTGCATGCGCAGGCTGACAGATGGCAGATTATCAATAGGGGCAAGCGCGCACCAAAGAGGCCGCCGCCGCGCCAGCCTTGCTTGTCGAAAGCGTCCACGCGCGAGTGCTTGGTGATTCCCTTGGGGGCTGATGCGCGCGTGCCACCGCCTTGGCACGCAGACCCCTTGGCGCCGATGGCCGCGTGCGTGTGCCCCACGCAGCACGTGCCTGCACACAGCACGCCCCTCAGCCTTCAAGCACAATCAGATGGGCGTTCTTTTGCTCGAGAGGACGCTAGCAGCTTGAAAGGCTGCTTCATTTCATCTGCCTTCCACACCACCGATGAGTGCGTTTCAGCTTTGACACAATCCAGCCCAAGGTGACCTTGAACTCAATAGCCAAGCTGCGCCAAGAGCAGCTTGGGTGAGTGCGCGCATGCAGAAGGTGTGATATCGAGGAGAAGCAGAAGGGCCACGCACCGTCCCCGTGCGTTATCACCCCGGGCATCTCTCTGAAATTTGCGTCCTTCTTAGAGGGCACGCTGCAGCAGCGCAGGTGGTCATCAAAATTGAGGCAGAGCGAGCGGTGGTCGCGCAGCGGCCCGACCGCCTTCTCTGCATGCTCCGCCTCCTTCAGGACCTGCTCATCAAACATATGAACCCTAAAACCCCCTATAATAAACAACCTAATGCGACACTGCATGAAGCCAACTTTCCTGCAGCTTGCATGCGGGGGGAGAGCACCAGTGCACCTCCAGCTTCCAATCTGAGCACTGGCTTCACTTCTGGCTAAACATGCTCAAAGTGAGCACCATAATGAACGCTTCTGCACCTTGCTTGCGCCAAAAACCTCCCCCAAAACACCCTCATGAGCGTGGGGGAGATATGAGAGAGATACGAGATTTGAATACTCAGGCCCGGGCAGAATGTGATCACCCGCTCGCCCTCGGCCGCGCAGAGGCCGCGCTGGCTGAGCTGCAGCTCCAGCAGAAGTTCGTCGGCCCGTTCTTTGCCCAGCTCCAGGCAGACAGCCTTCAGCGTCTCACCCGCAAAATTGCCGGTCTTGCGCATGTCGATCTCTGTGAAATCGCCGCCGCGCTTCTTGCAGAGGAAACTGCGGCCCACCTGCATGCAAGAGGGCGGCACCCATCAAACACGAATCACGGCTCCAGAGTCCCAGGGATTACAGAAGGGCGTGTGCAACGGCAGGTTGGGAGTGGCCTTGACAATGCTAAAAATGCCTGACACTTCCTGATCAAGGCAGCTTTGTCAAAACACCAGCACCGAGCTGCCTAGGATAGACTGCCTGACTGCTCAACGGAAGGTGCATAGCGTAATGATAAACAATGTGGACGCCAGGATCCTGCAACACATAAGATTGGAAGGTGTAGTGCGCACCGCCTCTGTGCCTTTGGGCAGGATCCTGAGCGTTTTGCGCTTGTCGTTCTGGGCCGCATGCGAGGCGGCCATGGCCTCGTCTGCGCGGCGTGCCCTCTCCTTCGCCTGCGCCTGGTACGCGGGCGGCTGCCGGCGCAGCCACATCTGGTAGGGGGTCTTGGGGTCGCTGGCGTATTGCGCAGCCTCCGCCGTCGTGTAGTTGGAGATCTCCGGCAAATCCGACAGCACGTCTCCCATGAACACCTGCACAAGCACCCTCACCCCCTTCACAGCTGCTTCTCCTTGCAATGCTGTCCCTACAACCCTAAAGCCTGCTCCCTGAACCCTAAAGTATAACGGGCTTAATACTGCTGTCAATTCAAGGCCTGCACATGTCCACACCCCTTGTGGAGGCACGCATGCACTCTTGTCCACTATGATCCACAGGAGAGCAGGGGCACCTAATTGTGCGCCGGGTGTTTGTTTGCATGAAGAGCTTTCTCCCCCTAAACCACTTCACAAACTGCATTTAAAAGTGCAGGCAGCACATAACAAGAAATGGACGATCGAGGAGCGATGCGCACCATTTGGCGCGCGGCGTCGCGTGAGGCCTCGCTGGTGAAGCCGACTATGCACTCGCTCGCGGAGTGGGGCACGCCGCCCTGGAACACCGCGAAATGGCTGGGCTCGGGGAAGGCCGGCAGCTGCTCCACCCCCGCCTTGGCGCCCCACATGAACGCCCTGCGCCCACGCACACCACAACCGTGTTCGGCGGCTGGCAAGCCTCTCCTGGATATTGATACAATTGAATGCACACGGAAACTATTGCACGAAAAGGGAAAACAAGAACTCAGCACAAGCAAAGCAGATGCCAGATCACAGCAAGGGCGTTTGCCGGTCTAAATAGTGGTGGGCAGTGCTTTGAACTATCGATGGTCGATCGACATGCATTTCTGTCTCAGGCGTCATCTGTTATTGCACAGTATTCACCAATAATGCATGTCTATTTGGTGGGCATAAGGACGCTGCAGAAGGTCAAAATAATCACCGCCAGCGGCCCTGGGGGGCGCCGTGGTCGCAGGCGGCGATGCAGCCGAGACGGGTCTGGTAGCGCATGTTAAGCAGTCGGGAGGCGGCAAACTTGGCGTACATGCCGTCCTGCTTCTTGAAGATGTCCAGCACGTTCTCCATCAGGACATACCCCGGCTGAAACCACTCGATCACGTCGTAGAACGCCTGAACCTGTCGGTTCCTGTGAGAGCAGAAAAACAGCAGTCGCTTCTAATCTTCAAGGTGCAGGAGCAGTTTTACCATCTTCCCAATGCATGCACTGGCATTGAAGCAAATCATCCATGCCAGCGTCGCACAAATCATATGAGGCCTCATGTGTTGCCTCTTTATCATGCTTACTCAGCACCGGAGGTAATGCATGCAAGCTGTCCTGTAGTGCCAACCTCGACCATGTGGACTGGGAAAAGTTGAAGTGTATTGTCGGTACTGTTTCCAGAGCTAAATTTCGAAAGGAACTGGATTGCTCAGAAGGGTAAAAGCTCACCGGGGGTCGTTTACGATGTCGGCCCTCTTGGCGTGCCTGTTCAGGCCAGAAACACCCTGGCAGGGTGGGCCCCCCATCACTGCGTCCACGTCGTCGGGCAGGGGGATGACACCCTCTGCCCTGATCCTCTTAATGAACGCTGCCACCTGTACACCTGACACTTTACACTGTGCACTAACCGTTTATGTGGAGCGTGAAGAGAGCATAAAACAATATTGCTGGCCATGGAATTTAGTCTGGTGAAGCAAAATCTGCAAGTGATCACCCTTGGAGAATCGATGTGAGCTCAGAACAGGGCATCATGAACTGCCAACTGCCTCGGCCGGTGACAAGGGAAAGCCACGAGAGGATGTGGGTAGGAGTGGAGGCACATACCTTGGCTTCACAGGCGAGGTCCGCCTCTTTCACCCACTCGTCAACAGCATTGCAGAGGCGGTAGCCCTTCCACTCCACCTGGAACTCCACCCAGGAGTTTGTCTCGTCCAAAGACTCCAGCAGGTGCCCCTTCTTCTGGCCTGCGCAGCAGCAGCAGCATTGGCTTCAGCTGTAGACGTTCACCATGCACGAAGCACCCTATTCTGCAGGATGTGTCCAATTTTGTGCCACAGCATGAGGTAAGAAGCAGCAATTTCTACAGAGCACCTCAAAGCAGATGAGTGACTCAGGCAGGCAGTGAGATACCAGACAGCAACCAGGAATTGCATGTGTCTCACTACCTCCCAGAATACAGTGCAAGGGGGGAACTTACCGCCAGTGCCTCGCTTGGCACTCTCCACAATGGTCATGGAGACTATGTTCTTCACCTCAAACACATCCTTGCCAGCTGGCTCATCATCCTGCAAGACATAGTCACAGTCTGCTGCAGCTCACAAGGCACAAATTCGAGACTTCTCAACGTCAGGGAGTTTGCAGCTTAAAACAAGCCAGCCTTGTTACATGTGCAATACTTGACTTTGCACACATTAGGACTCTAAGTAAGTTCCAGGAAACTATCTGGAAGGCTGGTCAGATGTTTCCAAGATCCTTGTCCATGTGTCAGGACTTAAATCCAATTTAAGCAGGGATGTGGCGCACCGAGCTGCCGTCTGAGTCAGTCATGCTTGTCTCCTGCCAGTCGTCTGGGTACTTATCTGACAGACGTTTGAAGTGCTTGCACAGCGCAAGCCATTCGTCCACCCCAAATTCAAACACCTGCATGCGCAGCAACCCCCTTAGTAAGCCTAATGTGGACAGCTTCCCCTTGCCATCTCTGTTCATGGCAAAAGGGATAAACTCTTGTGGTGACTACGTACTGTTCTAGAGCTCCCTTGAAAGGGCTGGTCCCAAATGCTGAGCGCATGAGGAAGACAATTACCTGGGCATTTGGGTAGTTGGCTTTAAAGGCCGCACACATGGACGGCTCAAAGTCGACCGCCCACTTGGTCTCGATGTGCACATCCTTGCTCTTCCTATCCACAAAGGAGAGGCCGCCGCAGCCGCAGTACAGCTCAACGATGTTCAGCTTCTGCATCAGCACACAAGCACAATTTGGGCATCAGCCTTGCAAATTCTATGGCAGCCTGGGGTGAGGCAGGCTGCTGTACAGGGTGCTAGGTGGGAGAGTTCCACGGACAGTCTGCATTGATCTTACATGCGATCACATGTGGCACCCCACATGCCCACCTGCCCCTAGTAGCACTAAGTCACCTTTCCTCCACTAATTAGCAGCCGATTTGATGGTGCATCAACCCCTGCTAGTATTGGTCAGTAGGCGGACAGTACTTGCATGTGCCTAGTCAAATTGTCTACAGTGTGGACGCTTCATTTGCATCAACCCTGGGCAAAACCAGCAGGGCTTTGCAGGTGCAAGTACATGCGGCAGGGATTGGCACGCACCCTGGGGCCCTCATGCTCCTGGTAGCGAGTCTTGGAGGCCGGCGGCTCAGTGAGGGAGTCAGTGAAGGTGAGAAAACGGCGGTCGTGCTCCTGGTCATACCAGAAGTCGCACTCCTCCACAGGCGGTGCCGCGCTCCCTGGCGGCATCTTCTTCACTGTTACCTTCCTGCAAGACAAAGACCGGGGAAAGGTTACCTCCCATGTACCACCATGGCTGATGCATCCACTTTACAATGTAGAGCCTGCAGCATGTACTGCCACGGTGCACACTCCTGCCTTGTGCAAGACGCGCCTGGTCCTGTGACTGCAAAATACTGGTGCATTTTGCACAACTCTCAGCCAGGGCAAAGCACCCAGGATCTCTTTCAGGGAGTGGATCTCATCTATCAACTCCTCATTTGGTCTTTCAAGGACACGCATGAGCTTCTCAGGGCATGCATGGGCTTCACAAACAAAAGAAAGGATGCTGCGGTATTTTTGCAGGACAACACATTTGCTCGAAAGCAAATAGGGCGGGGCAGCTGCATGCTTACTTTTCAATGGTGTCGAGTGTGTTCAGGGTGACATAGCGGCGGTTGTCCTCCTCAGAGGCCAGGAACAGTCTGCGCTTGTCGAGTGGCCCTGGCATGTATGACTCCTTGCCATCCTGGATCCGCAGCGCTGTGTCCCATGGCTTGTACATCCACTTGCCCTTGAACCACCGCTCTCCCTGGCCAACACCATCAGACTTCATTGCAACACTAGTTTTGGAACTGTCAGTAAAGCACAGCACCAAGTAGAGGGTTCAACAAGTTTGGATGCCTGCGATTGAATGCTCATTGAACCCTTGAGACACAGCGCCCGCAGCTTAGTGCCCTCAAGCCTCTCAATGGGCAGCAGCTAGAATCATACTGGTTCAAACCATGCAGAAAAATGTTCCTTTGGTGGATTGCAATCAGTACTACTACACTGTATGCTAGCACTAGTAGTGCTAGCATACAGTGGCACTCCGTTATGCCTGGCTGTGCTCACTAAACATGGGGAGACATTGCAGGCCTGGTTGATGCAGCCAGCAATCCCACTTGCTCACCTTGAGGTCCTGAAACATCTCTGTCACGCGGACGACATAGAAGTGGGCCTGCCCGTCGCCATCTTTGGCCTCATCTGCCGGGGGAGTGACCTCAACGAAGTCGCCAATCGACACCTGCAAGACATGGCACATCTCGCAAGGGAACCAAAGACTTACAGACAAGATAAGGTAGACGTGGCCAAGGAGCAGACACTGACTGCCAACTGCATGTGTCTTTATGATGTACGGCCCTACCACTCCAACATCCTCCACATGGGCAGCCTCAAAGTGCGCGACTGCAGGCGGGCAATCATCCTGCAGGTTGCATGCACCTCTTTCAGCAAGATATGAAGATCAAAATGCATGGCACCATCAGCATCTTGGGGAGCAAAGTTGCATGCAAGCACAGCATTGAAGCTTACCCCATAGTTCAAGTCCTCCTCATCACCGTGCCGTGTCACTCCCTGGAGGACTCTTTTTGGCCACCTTTTCGAGACGTCATCCTGCATCGTCATCTCTGCTCAAGGTATGTGGACACGCAGGTTTCAAGGTAGTTCAATATAAGCAAGGGTTAGCATCAAGTTGCCTGGGCCAGTCAGAGAGAACACACCCGTGGAATGAAGGTCTCGATCTCCCAGTTGACACCATTCTTTTCTTGCTTTACTGACTCTGGGAGTCCCTCAATTTTTCTGTGCTTCCTGGCTCTTTGCGGGCTCTGAGCCTGGCCCTTCTTGGGGCTCGGCCTGGCAGCTGAGGACGGCAACATGGCGCAGAAGTGTAATAACTACACCAGAGCCTTACATTCCCTGCTGATCAGTACACATCGGAGCCTCAGCTCAATGTCTGCACGCTGAGATAGGCGTGGGCGGTGTGCTGAATTGAAGATGATCGTCAGCTCACGACACTGCATCCATCGCCCCAGATTTGGCTTTAATATAAAGAGACAAAGTACTTCGCTATTTTTATGATCGTTTTTTGGCAGGATCCGCAAGAAAAGATTGCACTCCGACTTCCGACTTCCAAGAAAGCAAGATGCAGAACCAATTACGAAAGTCTCAAGGTTGGCAGAAGCGAGACAACGGTGCACGCTTTGCCTCTTTGTTGCTGTGCATCAAAATTGGGTGGAATCTTAATCTTGATTGCGTTCACAATCTGCTGTGTGGCAAATGACAACGTTGCGTGCTCTGCATGACGTGCTTTGCACATGCACTGCACGTGCGATTTTCTGGAAAATTTTCGAGCTTTGATCAACGAATCAACGAGCACACAAAATTGGCTTGCTCGTAAGAATGTAGATGAATTTGTGTATGTGACATCTATGCTTGTCTTGCACTCATTGATCGCCAGGCACGTCTACGAAGCTGAGGTGATATGTTGCAAGCTAACAGTCCCTCCAAAATAGATTGGGACCCAGAAAATTGGTCTATGATTGTGCATCACGGCTAATCATCACTCGATCCAAATAGCCAGCTATTGGCATCACGGACCCCACTCGCCCCCTTTGTATCTGCTACTTGTCCAGAGGTGCCTGCACCATTTTGACTGGGGACTCCGCTTGAAGTATTTATCCACTCCCTCAACACTGCTGCCACGCTGTCCATCTGTGGAATATCGTTCACCTGTGCAGCAAAGGGTCAGATCACCCACAATCATAGCGCGATCACACAAGCAAGCTGTGCACTTGCCAAGGCCCACAGGTCATGACGTGATAACTCCTTTTGTCACAGCATTTTTCTGAGCAATTTGAAGCTATCTCATGGCGGCTGCCTTTTGAGCTCTACATTTCCAGACCTGCAGGGAGGCTAAATCAAGCTGCTCAAACAACTGAAGCCGAACAGAGACCTGTCTGGGAGTGGCAAGCTGCGCGCCATGCTTGCGCACAATGGCGGCCAGGTCCAGCAGCAGTCGCTGGCGGAAGGCGGCAAAGTCACGGGAGTATGGCGGCGTTGTGTGCACCAGGACGAATATGGTGCATGCATAATTGTCCAGCCCCTGCAATCAGTCACCAGCAAACATCGCAGCACTTCCTTCCATGTCCAGCTGAGTGCTTGAGTGCTTCTGCCCGGGCGGCACTCCACATGAATACATTGCAATCTGTGAGACGAGTACTCAAGCAAGTTGATGACTGCGCTGTACATTGCACAGTCTTGTACGCAAAGTGGGAATTGTAGACGACAGGAAGCTTCCTCGCACCAGCATGCCGACTCCCTGGGGCAGTCTGTGGTCCACGCCGGTGGTGGTCTCGATCATTAAGCGCATGCCGCGCACAATGCTCTCAACCTTCTCTATGTCCTGATTCCTGCGCTACAGAGTCCTTCTTTTGTTTCTGCAGGTCACGATGCCAGTAATTGTACTTTCAAAATCGTTGGTATCGCCCCTGACTTCCTTGAATTTTAAACCAGTGCTTCCATACACAGCAATACTGTGATGTTTTGTTGAAGATTGGCAGTCTTGGGTAGTGATCAAAGCAACAGCTGTAGAGGTCTGTGGCCTCGGGTGGGCTTACCTGATCAGGATTGTGAGGAAGAGCTGGCGAGCCCGATTGAACCCAGTGATGACTCTGCTCTTGGCCACGCGCGACTCGTTGCTTATGATCATGTCTGTCAAAGCCTGCGCGAATACCTCCATTGAGCGTTGTGCTTGCCGCCGACACGGTTTCTCTGGGACAATATGCATGCTATTTTTTATGGCCGTGCACTATAACTCTAGAGGTTGTAGTCTATACAGGATCGCTATGAGCAGCATTTTGGGTTCTGCACAGAGTGGCACCTTGTTGGGGATGGTGACTGGCAGGCCGCTGTCTGTTCTGAGCACGGTGTAGATGGGGTCAACCCGCTCGACAAACCCCGTTGCAAATTTTGCTCCGGTGCCGCTGGCAATGTCGATGCGATCCCCCACCACAAACGGACGCGAGAGAAACTGCAGCACACACTGCCTGATCAGGATTTTTTCTTTGACAAAATCAAGCTCACCCACTGGTATGGACCTCTACAGACAGAAGTTGTATCCTAAAAAACTTGCCATCAGAAATGTGTAATTTTGCCAGTCCTCTTGTTGCGCACTACAGTACAGGGCATGGCCAAGAGCAGTGCCGGTGCTTCCCCATCTTCAATAGAAATTGTACACCAGTCTGTTCCTTGCGCATCCATGTAGCCCTAGGCGGGTGACCTTATAATAAGGAGTACCGCCTTTATGTCAGCACACGATTTTCTCTGAAAAGGAGTATTGCAGACGATTGCCATTTCTGCGGGCCTCACCAAATTGACGCCGGCAATCATGTTGGCCATCACAGACTGCGCAGAGAGGCCCACGAGGATGGTGCTCACACCGCCCACGGTGAGCAGAGGCGCCACATTGATCCCCAGCACGTGCAGGCAGCTGAGGCCGCCGGCCATCACTATCAGCCACGATGTCAGCCCGCTCAGCGGCAGCAGCACCCGCTCCAGAGCATTCTCCTGCATACACAAGCGCAACTCACTGACCAGCCGCCGCTGCTGCACAAAGTCTTCCGTTGGGTCCTTATTGCCTGTGGCGCAGTACAGCTTTCATGAAGACCCAGGCACAGCACTAGCCTGCAATGATTCTCTTGCTGCTATCAAAAATCTCTCCTCACCAGCTGGCAAGCTGCCATGGCTGCTTGTTGCTTCATTTGCATCCAACTCCATAGGCTGCATGAGGGTTCATGCTCATTAATGAATGCTTCAGTCCCCATACAGGATCTTGCCGGTGTTCCTGCAAATTGGGGAGCGCTTGGATGGCAGATCTTTTCAGGGCAAAGGGAAGCCACCTGGCTGCCTGCGTTGGGTGCGCTGGCTGCGTGCGAGTGGCTGTGCTCCATCAGCAGCTTCACCAGCCGCTCCTTCAGCCGCAGCACCGTCCATATGCTGCACACAACAACACGGCCCTTGTCAATGAGATGCTTCAGCTCTGCCACTAGAACTGCACTGCATTGGACAAACAAAGGCCTGTTGCAATCCATGCTCATGTGCATGGTGGAGTCTCAAGACTTGTATCTGCACAATGATTCAAGCTTCTCCTCCTCAATTTGATGCTGGCGCACTACGCGAATTTCATCGAGTCCTTAATGATCTCAAATATCACTTGAAATCATACTGTAAGGGCCCCCATGTGGGGCCTCACATGAAGATGATGAGGGCGACCTCGGACAGCTCGCGCACGAATGTGTCGAGGCCGGAGAGGGTCTTTGCGCCGTTGCGCGCTAGTGCCACCAGCCAGGTGGCAGCGCCTGTTTTGGCTTCTGAATGCAGCAGCACCGCTTCAAGCAGCCCCGACACGCTCCGCAGTGTCAGCACAGCCGCCACCACCGGCAGGAACCTGCACAGCCAACACTCGCTTTTCACACTCGGCTATACATATTGTCAAGCCTAGGCGCCTTCTCAAGAAGCAAGAGCCCTTGCAGCATTTATCAGTGTCTTCAATCCACAAGAAGTGTCGATAGACTCCCATCCAAGTTGTCAATCATGGCAGCAAATCTGGAAAGCCCTGATTCCGGCCACCAGATAAACATGGCTGCAAATGGACTAGCTTTGCGCAAAGTAATTGACAAGAAGGCTAAAGGGAATCGGCAGATCCCCTCCGATCTGCCTTGCAAACAAATTGGTCAGCGCGCAGCATGATGGGAGTGGGAGCTTACACAGCAGTGGGGCGGTGGAGCGCCAGCAGGGCGGCTTCAGAGGCGTAGCCCAGGAAGGGGCGGGCAGGCCTGTCGGAGCCCTCTTCATAGCTGGCCATCCACGACAGCTCCTGTGACATGCAGATGGACAACCTCATTCTTTATAGTGGCTCTCAAGCACTCTTGGCAATCCGCCATGGCACACTTGCCAGCGCATTCTTTCTGATTTTGATTCCATCCTGTAGCCCATTCATTCAAATTCTCTCAAGCACACATGGCATGCTGGCCCCGGCTAGCCCCGGCTGGTGGGGGGCGGTGCAAAATACCGAGCACCGTGCCCCAGTTGTTTGGGTCTTGCTTGGATCTCGCGAGTCCAACAAGGGGTAGGAACTTGGCAGCCTTTACATGCAGCTTGTCTGCAGACGCACCTTGCCTTCGGCAAGAAAAGCATGTATTACTAATAAAGCATGGCATGCATCCCTGCTTTAAGGGTGTCTCAGGGTGGGCCCCTGCGAAGGATTGCTGGAAGATTGCCAGCCTGTCATTGTCGGGTAGAGGAATCACCCACCTCCCCGGCCTGCACCCTGTCCGCTTCCCTGTGCAGCGCGCGCGACAGCAGCAGTGTGGCTGCAGCACCGGCCGCGACGGTCACTGCGCAGTGCAGGCCATGCTGCCACAGTGGCACTGCTAATACTCCCGCCCGGTGCGCCAGAGCCGCTGCGGCCGCGCGAGCTGCGGCCTCTTGAGCTGCTGCTGCTGCGGCTGATGCAGAGATAGAGATATCTTGTCAGTAGTGGTCTCGTATGTTTTGTGGGCTTGATGCATGGTAATGCTGAGCAGTCCACGACGGGCTGCCTTGACGTGACTGGGAGAACAGTGCGGGGCCTACGATCTATATGTTTCGAAGGAAAACTCTTTGAGAAATAACCAATCTTAGGTGAAAGTGCTGAAGAGCATAGAATCTACACAGGGCAAATTGCTCGCTTGGTACATTGAAACTCCTTAGAAACCTTGGCAACCGGTCTATTTGCCTTCTTCAATCCGGAAGTGAATGTTTCGAATCACCTGCCGCTGTGCTCGAGCCAGTCTTGATTCCCCAACCCGCACAAGTACCGAAACTGTGTCTCCCGCGTCGGTTTTCGGCGTTACGGTGTCGACATCTGCAGTAGTGGCTCGGCTGCAATTTGTCCTGAATGAGAAACCGCCAGGTTATTGCAGTACCAGCATTGTACACGAGGATTTGCTGTTTCACCATGGCTTCAAACAGTGTCAGATTTGCTCGGCTTGATATTCGTTGAAGACTGGGTGTGCGCCCAGATGGACATCGGAGACACTTTGCTGTTGAAAGCTTAACTCTGGGCAGTGCACGCATTGATGAAGTGATGAAGTTCGTCCCCTTGGGCATATATATTACTCGTTGGCGACAGAAGTGAGACATGGCGGACCTGCAGGAAGGCTCACAGCCAAGCCTTGTGCGATCGTTTATATCCGGTAGGAAATTGCCTTACGAGATCAGGCAGCTGGCACCGCCCGCAGCGAGGCGCTGTGGTGTAGTGGTTATCACTTTGGACTTTGAATCCAACAACCCGAGTTCGACTCTCGGCAGTGCCTTCACTCTTTTTTCTTCTTTTCTCTGTTTTCTTTTTGCCTTTTGCGGCCTTTCGGTATGATGAGATGTAGTGACGATATATTGACACTACGATCACCAGAATACATTAAGGAGGGTGCCATGCATTGTTGCTCGGGTCTTACATAACTCCATTTGCTTGATTTCCAGGGCCTGGCCAATAGGAGGCCATAATACTTTGATGACGTGGAGAACCAATGCAACGAGGTGATGAGGACTCAACGAAGGAAAGGGCTCTGATTGATAGCCTGTTTGTGCATTGTGACTGTTCAACTGCTCAAGCTTTGTAAAACTTTTGGATAAGTATGGAGTCGGGGCCGGCGTCGAGCACCGCACCGGAATCGGAGCGGTTGGGGTCGACGATGCAGGCACCGGCTGGTGAACAGCGGATGGAATTCACGTTGAAGCCGCGGCCTATCCTAGAGCCGCAAGTCGGACAGATATATGCAGCGTGGGTCGAGAAGAAGGGATCGAAGACAGCGGAGGGCAAGTTGGATGAGAGGTGATGCTCCTTGGGGTGCGCGAAGCGCTCAGGCCAGGCCCAGACGACATGCAGTCGAGCACCCTCATTCAGGCGGAGGGTGAAGGTGCCCTTGAAGGACTGGGTGCCGCTGGAGGGGCCAGTGTCAGCAGCTTTCCTCGTGGAGAAGGGCAGTGTGCACGTGCAGACTTGTGAGCAGTCAGCGCTGGCGCAGGCTTAAGAGCGAGGAAGTGCGCCCAGCGATATATATCCACCGCAGCTCGGATCCCAAGCTATAGGAAGAAATCGACAAGGTGGACAAGCAGCGAACAGCACTGGAGCAGCGAACCCCAATTGAACAGGTAAGCACGGGCCTCAATGGGACACGGACATGTGAACGGGGATTGGACAGGGAAGAGCCAAGATTGGCCCATTTGTATGCTTACAAAAGGGACAGACGTCCATGGGAGTGATCTGCGAGAAGCCCTGATGGGCCTGGCCACGATTGTCCCTGTAGGACGGTTGTCAATGGCGCGCAAGATTGTTGAAACGGACTAGGCAGGGTGACCCTGGTAGACATTTTCATGAAAGGCGCGCCGCGAGAAAGAAAGGCGCCCCGTGACAATGAAAGGCGCGCCGCGAGCATCAAAGGCGCGTTGCGACAATCGAAGTTATGTGCGACAATGAAAGTCGCGTTGCGACAATAAAAGGCGCACCGCAACAATCAAAGGCGCGCGGCGACAATCAAAGGCACGTCACGACAATCAAAGGCGCGTTGCGACAATCAAAGTTGTGCGCGACAATCGAAGGCGCGCCGCGACAATCAAAGGCGCGCCGCGACAATCAAAGGCGCGCCACGACAATGAAAGGCGCGCCGCGACAAGCAAAGACGCGTGCGACAATGAAAGGCGCGTGCGAAAATGAAAGGCGCGCCGCGACAACGAAAGGCGCGCCGCGACAAAGAAAGGCGCACCGCGACAATCAAAGGCGCGCGGCGACAATCAAAGGCGCGTCACGACAATCAAAGGCGCTTTGCGGCAATCAAAGTTGTGTGCGACAATGAAAGGCGCGCCGCGACAATCAAAGTTGTGGCGACAATGAAGGGCGCGCCGCGACAAAGAAAGGCGCACCGCGACAATCAAAGTTGTGTGCGACAATGAAAGGCGCGCCGCGACAATGAAAGTCGCGTTGCGACACCGAAAGGCGCACCGCGACAATCAAAGGCGCGCCGCGACAATGAAAGGCGTGCGGCGACAATCAAGGGCGCGTCAAGACAATTAAAGGCGCATTGCGACAATCAAAGTTGTGTGCGACAATGAAAGGCGCGCCGCGACAATGAAAGTCGCGTTGCGGCAATGAAAGGCGGGCCGCGACAATCAAAGGCGCGCCGCGACAATAAAAGGCGTGTTGCGACAATCAAAGTGTGTGCGACAATGAAAGGCGCGCGGCGACAATGAAAGTTGCGTTGCGGCAATGAAAGGGGGGCCGTGACAATCAAAGGCGCGCCGCGACAATGAAAGGCGCGTTGCGACAATCAAAGGCGCGCCGCGACAATGAAAGGCGCGTTGCGACAATCAAGGGCGCGTGCGACAATGAAAGGCGCGCCGCGACAATTAAAGGCGCGTTGCGACAATCAAAGTTGTGTGCGACAATGAAAGTTGTGTTGCGACAATCAAAGGCGCGCCGCGACATTCAAAGGCGCGCCGCGACAATGAAAGTCGCGTCGCGACAATGAAAGTCGCGTTGCGACAATCAAAGGCGCGCCGTGACAATGAAATCGCGTCGCGGCAATGAAAGGGGGGCCGCGACAATCAAAGGCGCGCCGCGACAATAAAAGGCGCGTTGCGACAATCAAAATGTTTAGGGAGGTTGGGGTTCAGTATCTAGCTTTGCCTCCCATGTGAAGCCTTGCATGCTGTAGGGTGGCATACCCCCTTGGCTAAGTTTCATATATGACCCTTTTCAAGGGGTGAATGCATGGCTTCAAGGGGATTCCATCTAATGGCACTTATGCCCAAGACCTACTTTCCCATGTTGGCATGTAACTTGGCAACACTTGGCAACACTTGGCAAGACTTGGCCTTGGGCTGCAGATGACCACTGCCTTGGCTCATACTTGTTGTTTGGGATGTATGAGACCCCGTTGTGAGATTTGAGGGCCCTTGGACCCACTGCACATGCACAGCACATGCTCCAAGTGGGCACAGGATGCAGCCATGCACCTGGCATATGTATACACCATGCTGCACACCTGCACAGGGTGCCGCTTCACTTGGCACCCATGCAGGATCATGTATGGGCCCCATATGAGTCCTCCCAGCCATGCCAAGGGTCTTGGATCCCCTGCACACCTCCAAGGCAACCCCATGTGCCTTGCAAGCCACTGCAAACCTTATTTAAATTCACACCCACCTCCATAAATTGTGAGCCACCTCTGGCAACCCATAACATGGCCTCCTGCATGGGACTGTGAATGTTTAGGGTTTAGGGTTTAGGGTTTAGGGTTTAGGGTTTAGGGTTTAGGGTTTAGGGTTTAGGGTTAGGGTTAGGGTTTAGGGTTTAGGGTTTAGGGTTTAGGGTTTAGGGTTTAGGGTTTAGGGTTTAGGGTTTAGGGTTTAGGGTTTAGGGTTTAGGGTTTAGGGTTTAGGGTTTAGGGTTTAGGGTTTAGGGTTTAGGGTTTAGGGTTTAGGGTTTAGGGTTTAGGGTTTAGGGTTTAGGGTTTAGGGTTTAGGGTTTAGGGTTTAGGGTTTAGGGTTTAGGGTTTAGGGTTTAGGGTTTAGGGTTTAGGGTTTAGGGTTTAGGGTTTAGGGTTTAGGGTTTAGGGTTTAGGGTTTAGGGTTTAGGGTTTAGGGTTTAGGGTTTAGGGTTTAG